CCAATGCTAAAAATAAAAATATTGGCAAAGCAGCACCAGCAGCACCAGCAGCCGTCGACTGATCGGTGGCGTCGGCGACCTTCCTGTTACAGTAAACTCCCCGGCGATGGCGGTGGGGACTGAAACGACGATTGATTGCTTTTGGTCCTTTGCCGGCTATAGTTTCTTGCCACTAGTACTAATCGACTGATTGGTATCGTGTCGTCAATGATAGCAATAGCCCCGGAGACGGGCTCCCCGATCTCCCACCTCTGATACGATCTGTGTCGGCCATATCTGTCTCAGTTGATAAGCCTACCGTTTTGACGTCATGCCGGCGTGCCCCTCCTCTGCCCCCCTCCCCGCCGAATACAGCGCTCGCCTAGGCGGAAGCGGAATAGGATATCGTCGCCGCCGAACGTGGAGTCTAGATCGTCATGTATCTCATACAGCGCACATCATCACATGGACAACGGCCGACAACAGAGTTAAGGTATGGTGGGGTTAATCGTTTGTAATCGAAAAAGCAACACCGTCGAAGGAGGTCGCTCAGTGGCCTCATTTATCAAAATAAAGGAAAAACTACCAGCTTACTTACAGTCTACATTTGTGTAAGCCGCCTCCGGCAGGCCACATAAGCGAGGTTGGGGGTTGCGGGACCGAGGTTGATCGCCGCTANAATGAGGCAGTCAATTCCAACCAAAAAAAAAAAAAAAAAATCGCACGTGGCTACCGCTGGAGACGCCACACTTGTGGTATGCCACTCTCAATGGCAACTACCGGCGTCGTCGCAAAAACATTTATCCCCGTTCGCCTCGTAGACCCTGTACCCTGCGGAGTTTTCGTATTCTTGTTGACGCTACCCTGTGCCACCGCCGAGGGATGTTTTTTTTTTCCGATATACTCTAGTTATGCCGGGGTGACGTGATTTGCGTAATTCCAGCGGCAGGAGTCGATCCCCAATTTTCTACGGAGTTATCACCGAGTGGCGTGAGCCAATGGGTCAGGGTACGGTCATCATCACTGCTGAGAAACATGACTCGATAAATCAAACAGTGAATCACAGGCAGCGGTGTGTCACTGTCACTGTCATGTGCTACTCCTCGCAAATCCCCCCAGCGACTCCCCGTCACTCCTATCATCTATACATTGGTGAGAGCAAGACGCGCGTGACCGTAAGACGCCACGTCCCCGGTGACCACCACAGTCATCAGTAGCACCAAAAATTGACACCGCCATAGATACCTAAACTCCAATAATCCTCACCACTACCGCAGATTCGACCCCCGAATGGACGGTCGATGTTCGATACCGCCGCCACCCCATATCCGCCTCATCATCTTTTCCAGTTGCGACTTGCTGGGACTAGCAGTGCCATGTCGGTGTACGAGCTGATCAGCCTTGCCCTGACCCGCCATGGGGCCACCCGGGTCCGCCGGGGCGGCGCCGACTCGACGGCGTCGTCAAACCCGTCGTTGCCCCCGCAATTGCTCGAGGAGGACCACAAACACACCGCCCGGGAGTCGCAGTTGTTTGCCAACCCGGACCGGCTCGACCAGACGCTGGCAAAGTTGTCGACGGTGCCTGAAACAAATGTGGCGTCTCTAGAGCGCTCGACGCAAAACCCGTTGAAGTATCTCGACCACAAACGCCAGGTGTTGGACAATGAGCTCGCACACAACATCGAGCTCCACCTGGCCGCCGCTGAGAAGGGGGAAGGCAATCTTGGTCGGCTACGATCGATGCTCAAGCAGAACTACCACCAGCTTAGTGAAACCCACGTGGCGTTGGGTGAATTATACGAATCCGAAGTGAAACGGGTAAACGATGTCCTCGCTCGGCTTGCGGAGTGGAACAGTCTGCGACAGTTACTCTTGAAGGACATCTCGACAATCAAGAGTCCCACTCTGGAAGAAGGCGCTAAGTTGGCGTCGCTTTTGGACCATTCGCTGGAGATCGACGACGACATCACCCTCATCCAGCAAAAGCTTGAAGCGTTGATCAAAAAGAAACAGGTTGTCAACCAAGAGATTGTCAAGACATATTCAGTGCTTGAGAGCCGGACTCTGAAGCAAGTGGAACAGTTCAAACACTTGGAGCAGGACGGCAAGGACGTCATCTTGCTGTACTTGGCGAGCACAGGTATTGCTAATGCCGAGGAGTATTGCAAAGTAACCCCAGTGGACGTTACGTTTACCACAGCATACAGAACCCATCACCAACCAGCTAAACATGAACCTATTACCAGTTTAGCCAGTCTGGGCGATGGTCGAAATTTACTCGGCAGCGACATTTCGGACAAAGCGGTAATGATCAACCTTCAAAGCGACAACGACGGTTCGGAAGACGATGATGATGAGTTGCTTATTCCTCTGCTGAGGAGTGGCACCATCGCTAGCTCTGGTATCGGCATGAAACCATATGATCCTACCGCCATGGAACTGCCAAAACCAGCACTGGTAGGAAGTGTTTCTCAACCAGCAACAACTGACAATGCTACTCTGTCGCTTCCCACTGGAGTCGCAGCTGCCACAACGCCATCAGATGACCTGAATAGTCCTCCTAATTTATTGGAGGAAATGAACCACGACCACGGAGCTACTCCATACCAACAGGGGTACTTCGTTGGTGCTCAAAAGGCTCAGCTGATTCGTCACAAAGTGTCTGAGTTTATTCGTCAGCTTCTCAACTCATATGCCGAGGCTCACTCAACTCGCCCTGTGCCTAATAAGTCAGCTGAACCCCGCCCGTATGAGGATTATGGTAACACCATCACCCAAAAGCTTGACTATGACTACATCAAACGTTTACTTGAGGCAAAGCGAGACGAATTTCAGAACGGCATTTCCATCGTTCTGAGTCGAGCAATCCAGTACCATCGCTACCTGACGCTTTGGACGAGCTTCATCAAGATACTCAGTGACCAGGAGGGGAAGCTTGCCACGCAAATATCTCAACTGCAGCTTTTGGAGAAGGGACACGACAACCCTAATCAGCATTTCAGCCAAATCTTGCGCAGCGCTATCTCGCAAATGAAGCTCCGCATCGACGCCGACGAACCTAATGACCCCATCATCCTCAAGCCCATATCTGCCGAAATCAGAGCGACGGCACGGGCGCTTGGCCTAGTAGAGCAGAAAAGCTCCGAAGATATTTTGCAGGAGTTCAAGCTTGATACTTTGTCCTAAAGTTTAATTATTCGGTACTTAATGCAAAACTATATACAATGACTTCGGGTTTTAATCATGACTCGTTAATCTTCCTCTTCCTCTCCTGCTGGCGTAGAATTGCGAAGCTTCTTATACTTCTTCACCAACTTGCGGTCCAACTTCTTTCTCAGGCCCAGCTTGCGGAAGAATCTCGTCTTGGCAAATTGAGACATGAGCTCGCGGGTTTCAAGCGCCGTCTTCTCCTTTGCCGTCGCTTCCTTCTTAGTCTTCTCCAACATCTGCTGTTCCCAGTCCTTGAACAGACCTTCGGTTTGGAATGGTCGAACGCCAAATTGTTTGTCTTTGGGGAAGAGGTTCCAAAGATACTCGTCGTCAATGTTTTCGAGAGCAGGGTTAAGACTAACCAACCCCAGTAACAGCTTTTTAAGGTAATGCGCGGGTAACGGCTGATACAGATCAGTGTCTTTATCGTAATAGAGCTTGATGAGATTGTATTGCGCCTGAACAAGCTGGTCTTCGTCGTGGGTAGTCATAAACTTATCGAGTTCAGCCATAATGCGGTGGTCCTTCTCCGTGGGGATATCAGCGACCTTCAGTTTGATGTACTTGTCAGGAACAATGAAATCGACGTAGTGGTTTTCCGGTTTCTGTTGCGGGATGGTCGAACCCATCAGCTCGTATAACTCCTCAAGCAGCGCGTTTCTGATGTGGTCGGGAGCGGCTTTCAACGCCACTGAAGCCGCAGCAACATTAGGGACGATAGCGGGGTTGGCCGGCTTTGGTATGACTTTGGCAGCCGCCTTCTTTGTTAGCTGTCTCGTCGATATTAGTGTTCGAGACATCCTGATCATGAGGCCGCACTGTTCGCTGACTTTGAAAGGCCGTCGCATGACTATATGCAGTATTGCCACTGGAGCGGTAGTGTAACTGAGACCAGTCGCACACCTGTGAGTCAAGCGCATTGGCCTTCCTAATTAAGGTGTTTGCGCGACTACAACTATATGTTCTTTCTTTTCATATATTATTTCGTAAATCTATCTCATCATAATGTAGTGACTGTCTAGATATCATAAAATTAGGCCAAGCTCTTTCCCGAATGAGCTTGAGAGGGGATGGGGGCGATGTCGATGATGGAGTGGTCGTCGTTGACGTCCAAGTCGTTGAGTTCTTCTTCCTTGTCGTTGTACTTGTGGAAGCAGATCCAGAAACCGATCCCGGCGAGGAAACACGAGCACGCCAACCCGGTGAACAACCACACCAACTTGGGGTTCTTCGACACCGACGACAACGCGATACCGATGGCGGCACCGACGGCGTTGGTGACCAAGAACAACGACATGATGAACGACTTCATTCTCACGGGGGCCTTAGTGTAAGCGTATTCCAACCCAGTGATCGAGGCGAAGATTTCCGAGAGGGCCATGAGGGCGTATGCGGGGGCCTGGATGGCGACGTGGATGTTGTTGGGCTCGTTTTCGTGGCCAGGGCAGCCACCGGGGTTATCATAACAGGGGCCAGCCTTGTAGATGAAGTGTTGCAAGACGGCGGCGTAGATCATCGAACTGGTGGCCCACATGAACCCCCAGAAGATCTTAGTGATCGGCTTCAACGGGGTGAATCTCCGCACGAAGGGGTACACGATCCGTTCACAGACGGGGATGAAGATGATGATGGCAACCGAGTTCCACACCTGCATGACATCGTTGGGGATGGCGTGGGTGTCCATTTGCCCCGCCATCGACACGAAGTTGTTGGTCATCTGCCCGTACACCAACCAGTAGATGGGGTAGTAGATGAACACCTTACACGCGTACACGGCACGCTTAAGCTCGTCGACCAAGTGGTCGTCCCACGGGTAGTTCTTTTCCGGGTGGGTCGACGGCTTGGCGGCGTCCAAGTTGAACTTGTTCTTGACGGCGATGAAGGCAATTCTGAACGTCTTCTCGACAATTCTGTCGGAGACGGGGATGTGGGTGTAGACGTTCTTACCCAAGATCAACGCGGCGACACCAATGAAGAAGAAGCAGAAGGGCAACAAGTAGGCGGCCCAGAAGCCGACATAGTGTTCCAAGAAAGTGGTGGCGACCACCGACAACGACCCGACGTTGATCATCATGTAGAAGATCATGAACACGTTCTGCATGGTGATGTTGGGGTCGATGATGATTCTCTCGCCCTTCTTGGTGGTGTGGATTCTCGCCTTGGTTCTGGGGATCTGGTCGGCAATCAACGGCGACACGTTCGCCTTGACACCCCCGGTACCCAACCCGATGATGACAAGGGCGGCGGCGTAACCACCGAGAGCAGTGTTTCTCGAGGTGATCGAGGGGATCGAGGTGACGAACAAAATCAAGATCCCGACGATGTAGACGATGGCGGAACCCATAATCGTCCAGTACTTACCGAAAAAGGTGTCGGACAAGTAGCCCCCCAAGATGGGAGTGACGTAACACCAGAACTGGAAAAAGTACGACAACGCGGTCGCCCCCTGCTGGTTAAGTTCCAACATCCCCTTGGGCTTGTCGTTGGGCCCGTTCTGCATGTAGTTCTGGAACGGGGTCGACAACCCATAGTAGGCAAACCGCTCGGCAAGCTCGACGACGGCCACGAGCCAACACGAAAGGGGGATCTTTTCCGAGACGTGTCTCAACGTCTTCATTTCCTCAGGGGTCGGGGCGAGGTGGTCGGGGTCCTCTTCTTCGTTGGAGGGGGTCCACACTTCCAGGGCATCGGCGGAGTTGATTTGCGATGATATGTCCTGGTTCTTTTTATCGTGGTCGAGGTGGTCCTCGGCCAAGACACCTTTTTCTGATGACATTTCCCCAATATGTTCCCCCAAATTTCCGGGCCTGGTGATATTATATACTGCAAATTTTCACTCGCTGCACCCCATATCGGGCTCGTCTCCTTCCGTTGTTGCAATCGGCATTCGGAGATACCCCGCCGGTAGTGGTAGGGCAATTTGGCGTCTCTGCGCCAGTTGCGCGCGGCGTTCGCAGTGCCGTTGGATGGAACGGCACCAACTCAAGAAAAAAATTGTTGCCTGTTTGCGACACTTGTGACGGCAACGCCGCGTATGGCAGGGGCAACCCCGCGGCGTGGCGACGATCTCAGCTCTCACAATACCTATAATCTGGGGTTACATTGTCGGCAAATCCCACACCCCCCCTCCCTCATCGGCGGTGAAAATTCGCTCTCTCATCGCAAGCACCGCCGTTCCTTTTGCTCAGGGTGCCGCTGGCATCGCGCATGAAGCGAAGACGTCATCTCCGATAGGCATAGCACCACACTAGCGGGAGCGGTGAATAATTCAGGGCAAACGCCGTTGATACGGTGGCGCTAACCGTCGATTAAGGGTGATAAGAAGCAAAAAAAATTGTGGCGGGGTACGAGATCCGAGCTTAAATGTAAGATTGCCCCCCCACCGGCTATAGGCGCAATTAAGAATACCGCGTGCTTTTTATTTATCGTCCGAGCCCATTGTTCAACCAGTGCACCGGCGCAGGCGAGCACCAGTGCCGCGACGTTGAAAGGGAGCCAGGGATGCGTTGATAAGCCGCGCGTCTTGAGTCACGGGCTGGCGGCACTTATGTAGTGTGGGCACGGGGACGTGCGGCATTGTCCCCACACGTCAGCCGGGCGTTCGGAATTACATCGTCCATAGATCTATCTGCTAAGCCTATACTTCCCAGTACCCGGGATGCAAAAAGTGCATTTTTTCCAAAAGTTCCTTTTTGACGCCGTGAGGCAGCGTCGATATCGCGAATTTCATCAGCCCCGCCAACGAGTCGCCAAGGCCTTGAGTCTCGGCAAGCACGTCGATTAAATGGGCAGCAAGCTTGCACGCGTTGGCCGAGTTCGCCTTCAAGTTCAGCACCACCGTCTCGACGGTGACCGGCTCCTCCAGCTCGTTCCACGAGTCGTAGTCCGTCAGCATGCAGATCATCTGATAAGCGATCTCCGCTTCGCGGGCGAGCTTCGCCTCGGGCAACACCAGCATGTTGATCACCGACCCGCCCCAGGTGCGGTAGAGCTTCAGCTCGGCCCGGGTCAGGAACGCGGGACCCTCCATGCACACGACGGTCAAGTCGTCGGTTGACACCGCCTTAGTGTGGAAGGTGGGGGCGGCGCCCCCGTCAAACCCTTGTAAAAACCCCGGTTGCACGGCGTTTTCGATCACCAGGCGCAAGTGTAGGTCGAAGGGCTCGCCAAACATCGCGTGGGCGACGAACCCTTTTTCAAAGAACGTCGACGGGCGAATGCCTTTAGTACGGTCAATCACCTGCGACGGCAACACAAAGTCCCGCGGCTTGATCTCCTGCTGGAGCGACCCCACCGCCAGGAACGCCACGATCGCCTTGACCCCCAACAGCTTGAGGGCGGCGATGTTGGCTCTCAGCGGGACGTCGGAGGGCAACAAATCGTGGTGCAGGCCGTGGCGGGCGAGGAACGCCACGGGGAAGCCCAGGTCGGTACGGGCAATGGTGATGGGCGCCGACGGGAACCCCCACGGCGTCAGCACGGTGAGGCGAGCCACCGGCTTCAAATTAGGCAAGTCGTAGAGCCCGGTGCCGCCAATGATGGCGAGTGTGACCTTTTCGTCGAAGTGGTGAGGGAGCAGCGCCATGGTTTGCAGGGTACGGTGGGCGGACATTCGGTAGCGGAACCGGGCGAATTTTATTGTGGGCGCTTTCAGAATGTCGCGATGCCACATGGTCCCAAACAGAACAATAGCACGCTGAGGGACACGAGGGCCCCAATTACAGGCACACGTAGCGGCGTAGAGAAACTATACAATTGACACAATTGACCGTGTCGCTACCCTATACCTCCGGATGAGTCGAGCCGACGCCAGGGGGCAATGTTGTCGCCACCATTAACTCCATTGTTGAGAAACGCCACCGTTGAAGACACCACAGTCAGCAATGATAAACAGCGCCGAACGTAAGCGGTAGGGTGCTATCTAGCCCCCCACCAGCACTGTGGCTCACACCATTGATGGTAACCGCTGGCGAGGCCGTTTTCATCCGGGTGGAAAATGCCGTGTCTGGCTATCGGCAGGTGTCTTCAGGGTATATCGCTGCGTCCTCAAAATTGTGACACGTCTCGCACATATACAGTTTCTCTCCCCAGCTTTTTCTCGGAGGCCCGGAGCCGCGATGGCGATGACCTGACGCACCGGCTGACTACCAGTGACTCATCAACGGACTACACGGTTACGGCGAGGTTTTACGTTGACTGTGGCGATTTATTTTGTCTAATTGTTTCAGTCAATTGGCTACATTCGTCAATTTGCCTCTTCGTCTAACTCTAAATCCCAGCTAGTCGTATCTTTGTCTACCACTCACCCATCGGGAAGTGCGGCACGTGGCATGACGCTCACCCACTGGCAGCGTCTATTTAGATCATAACAAGGACATGTCTCACGCCATGCCATACACCGTTCACGAGGGGGAATTCGTGCTGGTCCCCGGGCGCCTGCTACCAATTGCCACCCCGGAACTGCTGCGCATCGGCTCGCCCAGCCTCGTCACCTCCCTCCCCAAGCTCCTTCACAAATGGCACCAACCCCACAGTGTCTTAAGTGTGGCTGCAGCGCCTAGTCGCAAGCTCCTCTTTTGCGGGACTCAGGACTCCAGAATATTGGTCTACGACACCGTCACCTTCCAGCTAAAATGCGAGCTCTTGGTTGAAAACGCCCTGATCCTCTGTCTCGATATCAGTGACGACGAGCAGCTTTTGTTTAGCGCCGGCAGCGACTCGCTCGTCAAAGTATGGGACATTGACTCGCTCGAAGTGCGCTACATCATCTACTCATTGGCGGATATCGGCGACATCTTCTCCATCAAATGGTGTGGGCAACTGTCCACCATCTACATCGGCGCTCAGAACGCGTCCCTCCTCTGGACTCAGCTTCCGTTGGGCAAAATTGGCGCCGCCGGTTGTCACTCGATGGTGGACAAGCTCCCCAATTATCGCTACGACAAGTTCTTCGACTCCAAAGGCCCTGGCGGCCTGTTCAACGTGTTGCAGCTGAAACAGTTTCTTCAGCGCAAGAACAGCTCGGGGAAAAAGTGCCCCGCTCTCGTCGAAGTCGACCACCAAATCCGCTTCGCCCACAACGGTTACATCTACTGCATGGAATTCCACGATAACAAGCTTATCACCTGTGGTGGTGATGGTCTCGTCAATGTCTGGGATCCCAAAACCATGAAACGCGTCACCAGCTTGGAAAACAACGAGCTGATCTTGTCGATGTCGATCCTGGGGCTGTACCTTTACGTCGGTCTCAGCGACTCCACCATCAACGTGTGGGACTTACTGACTCAACAACAGATTCGCAAGATGTCGTTTGAATCCGAAGAAGTGCTGAGTCTCGCTGTCTACGAAGACTCCTTGTTCAAAGGTCTGAGTGAAGGCTTGGTGATGTTGTCTACAAACAGCTATTCGCCAGCAGCTACTGTTCTCAACTTGAGTAATCACAACTCTGTTCTTACAGTGGAAATATTCCATGATGACTCTCGCACGTACTTGGTGAGTGGAGGTTCGACAACATGTCTTTGGGATATTACCTTGATGACCCGTGTTCCAGTCCAATTCCAGGAAGGGCTCACCAATGACCACATGCTCAAACTGTTGGAATTTATGGTCCTGTGTAAAACGGTGTCGAAGTTCCCTGAACTCTATTTGGAAGAGTCACGCAAATGTGCTCGCTACTTGTCAAAGCTTTTGGCGAGACTCGGCGCATATCAGACAAAGCTTTTACCCGTGGCCAACGGAAATCCCATTGTTCACTCATGTTTCAAGGCTTCGGCGGACGTCAAGGATCCTCCGAGAGTGATCTGGTATGGTCATTATGACGTTGTTGATGTTGCCAACGATTGGGAGACCGATCCTTACGAAATGGTAAGTAAAGATGGTTGCATTTATGGCAGAGGCATCAGTGACAACAAAGGTCCTGTCCTAGCTGCGATTTATGCAGTGGCCGAACTCGCATCGGAAGGAAAACTTGAGTGTGATGTTGTGTTTTTGATTGAGGGCGAAGAGGAATCGGGTCTGATTGGGTTTCAAGAAGTCATCACGAAAAACAAAGATAACATAGGACCCATCGATTGGGTGATGCTTCTGAATTCCTATTGGTTGGATGATGAGATTCCTTGTCTCAACTATGGTTTGCGTGGGATCATAAATGCACTGGTTACCGTGAAATCCTTGAAACCCGATCGTCATTCTGGTGTTGATGGTGGGGTCTCTCGTGAACCTACCATGGATTTGATCCAAGTTCTCAGCCAGCTCGTGGATCCACTGACACAAAAGATCAACATCCCCGAATTTTATGACTCGATTCTTCCCCTCACCGATAAGGAAATGCAATTATACACCAAGATAGAGCAATCTGGCATTGTCGATCAAAAGTTGGATACCCTTTTTGCCAAGTGGCGGAACCCTTCGCTCACCGTACACAACATTCAGGTTTCCGGGCCGAATAACAATACAGTCATCCCACAATCAGCCACGGCAATGGTATCGATTCGTATCGTGCCGTCGCAGGAGCTCGAAGAAATCAAACGCAACTTCGAAGCATTGTTATGCAAACAATTTGATGCGTTAAAACTGGAAAATCTGTTCTCGGTGGACATTTATTATACTGCTGAGCCTTGGTTGGGTGATCCTTTCAATCACGTATACCAAGTTCTCGGCGAGAAAATTGAGTTGCATTGGGGCACCAAGCCCTTATTTATTCGTGAAGGTGGCTCTATCCCCTCCATCAGATTCTTGGAAAAGTGCTTTGGAGCTCCCGCTGCACAAATTCCATGTGGTCAATCATCGGATAACGCCCACTTGAAAAACGAAAAACTACGCCTTATCAATTTATTCAAGCTTAGAAGTATTCTCAAGGATACCTTTAGTGAGTTGAAGCGTAACCCATAGCATAGTTGTACAGCATACACGCAACATATTTACCAATCTAGTACTGTGAAATCAAACCCTGGGTTTAAGACAGTGACCTCGCTCTACACACGCTTGCGTCATCAGGATTCTCGAGATATTCGGAAAGTTTCTCAAATGTTGGAGGGTTGCTATGGTAATCCTGTAGCAGTTCAATGGGGGTTGATCTTGAGGAGAAAGGCAATTGAGCAATATTCAGTCTTCGTCGTTGAGTATCTACAATGAGAACGATTAATGGCTCTTTTTAGCAGTAGAGCTAGTTGCTTGTTAAATCATTAAAATGGCAAAATGACCTCATGTCTAAGCAGTAATCTGATATAGTATTCGAATGATATTACTGATTTATATTTAAAAGACTGTCTCTCGGTTGTCTTGTTTCTCCAAGGTCCTGTATATTGATATCACGTGACTGTCGCATTAGCCTCGCGAAACGGGGCAAACACAGTTGGGATAGCAGCGCCGCCCACGCCTCGATTCTAGCCGTCCTCCATATAGAGGATACTATGACACAGTTGCCTCGTCAACCAACAATTCTGTTGTTAAGCCTTCCAACAAATTGCATTCAACAATGGCAGCTCATATCTTCGTCGAGTACTGAACTCACAGTCAGCTTCAAACGAGCCTACCACAATTTGAGAAGTTAGGGGAGACAATTACTATCGCTACCAACTGTATTAATCCCTTGACCAAACCTCCTTTCCATCTCCATTGCCACCACATGCGCGACAAGGGAATGCTAAACGATGATCCCAATTCGGAAGTAGAACCGTCGACGAGACAACGGCGCGAACAATGACCACTGCTGTGTACCGTGCCCGCCTTTGTTGAAAGAGTCATCATTGTCAATTTTCTGAGGATCAAAAGAGAGGAAGGAAATTGGGGTATCAGTTTTTAGTTTTCCACCGACCGTATTCGTGCGCCATGGATCTTAGATGGATCTCCCTATTATCACCGTTGCCACCACTTCACAATGAAGGATCGCGCGGTTAGGTAATGCTGGGTAATGCACACAATTTGGGCGAAGCCATTGACGAGACGACAATGAGAACAATGACGACTGCGGAATGCTGAGCCCGCTTTTGCTCCTTGAGTCTTTGTCGTCAACCTGAACATTTTCCCCCGAGAGTCTTGCCGAACAGCATAAATAGCGAGCCTTTTCCTCTATCATCTCCTCACATTTCCAAGCTTTGTCATGGCTACTTCTCTACTAGAGTATGGTGGCTTGGTTGCCTCTGACATGGCTGTTGCTGACACGATTCCGACAGTGCTTTCATTTTGTTGCGTCCCTCTGAAGTCGGCGTGCACCCTGCCGGGGATCCTCGTGGTCTCTCTGGGAGCAGGTGTGTGACCCCAGTCCTCATGGCGCACTTTGCAATGTTGTACTCGGCAATCAGTTCAGGACAGCCATGAAGGAAACAGCTGGGTCCATTTTACGCTAATAGAAGAGCAGTCGCGGCTACGATTATCACTGATGGTATTCTTCTGAATGTATACTAATCGCGGGCATCATCATCAATAACGGAGCCCAAGGCTATATCTCGACGGTCCTGGAGCATCATGTAAAAGCATACCGTCTTTTATTCTGCATCTCCGTGAGTGCTACTTCCAAATGCAAAAACTTTTCGTAGACGAGATACGTACCTCGGCATCCAAATTAAATTCTTGGAAGCGCTACTTTTGATACTGAAACGAATGAGTCAAGTGTGAGGTTTGGTATGTCACAGCTCACTCAGTTACATATCGCGTATACCCTAGCGCTCCACACTTCAAAATTCGCGTTCTCTCGACTCCTGCATATAATACACTGCATCGCTCGTCTGAAATTATTTCGAATTTTCTTTTCAAGTTTTTTTTTCCAAACTATTTTTTTTTTTTTTTAGCCTGGAAACAGATTCTTGCTTTTATTATGGATATTATTGAGCCGTGCGGAACATACAAATGGCATCAGAACTCACTTGATCTATCTTGTTGATGGTGAATTCTTGAGTTGATGAACTCTCCTCTACATGCAGGATCGATCTGCGAACGCACACGAAAGCATGACTAGCACCTCAGTATTCGATTCAACTCCATGAGACTACTGCAGCCAGCAGTCTAGCGTATTGCTAGTATGATAGTAGTATCATATTTGATCTGCTTGCGATTTGCACCTGTAGCGCCAGGACTATGCACTGCATCCATCTACCCGTCCTGCAGGTAATGCCATTGAAGTGTCACCGCTCTAACTTCGTCATATCTGTCGTTGACTTGCCCAGAATCACATCAGCTATACTTCAGATGCCAACAATAATCACAAAGCATTAAGATCAATTTTATGGCTTTTACTTCATTTTATTTCTTAACATACCTGAAGCAACTTCGAATTGAACGTCAGCCTGCCCAGATATTTATCTACCATACTTCTGGTGCCAAAGAATTTTATGGTGCTAACTAAAAGTCTGTACAAGTTTTTCCTGATTTTATATCACACTTTGAAGTTTTTTATTCGAAAAATCAGAAAAATTCCACTTGCTCTTCCTGATAATATTTGAACCGTATTCATTGCAGTGGTGTATTTCAATTTTTTCTGGAGTGTCATATACATAATGAAAAACTTGGTTTAAGTCTAACGAATGATATGCAAATGCAATGTCTATGTCTATGTGCAGGACATATAACTCATGAGCATGATATCTGTCAAAGGTTGTGTTGGCATCTACTTTAATCTTTCGAACCGGATAGACATGCTTATATATTGTCATGATGCTTATTTGGGCTAGTCACTCTGTAAGTGCGTGTTATTCTTGCGTTGGGTATCTCCCCTCCATGTAGGGGAAATTACCAAGTTCAGCACTTATCAACGAGACGAAGTAAGTATGTTCTAATACCTTTTTCACGATATACAAGGTTCGAATATGTGTGATAATAATCAGATGACGTTTCCGAAAGAGAAAAAAAAAATTCTGAAAAATTCTGAAAAAAAAAAAAAAAAAATTCAATTTTTTTACTTCAGCGTCTCAAATTTTGTTTTTCCGTTAGAGATACTGTCTGGGCGTGGATCGTGTACATTATCCTGGTGTCAACTAAGGCAGGTCATCTGTTACGTGTGGTAAGATGGAGGTCTCCGTGATTATGCAGGCCTGTTCGGAAAAATGCAGGAACAAGTCGAAAGTGACCAAATTGTTTCGAGGTCTTATTCTCTTCAGAGGATTTAAACGAGAATGTCCATAATTGAATTTTATAATTACTTACTGGTTCCAGCATGCATAGGTTGTTTGCTTCTGATTATCGTAGCGATGGTTTACCCGTTTGTGACCCTCTGTCTCATTAACTTCCACTATATGCAGAGTAGGTGTGTAATTGCTGAACATGAGCGCTGTCTACCTTGAAAAGATGTTAACATGTTTTATCAATCTGTTGTGGCCAACATAACACTCACACTCAAAATATCTTCATGATTACTGTTATGGTTCGTGTGCAATTGCTAAAGCTCTACTGATGAATGAGAAACATCCACTCGCGTGAAGCGAAACAGCCGCAGTGCTGTTGGCAAATGTAATCGTAATTACAATTGGAGTGTGTTGAAAAGATTGTGTATTGATCTCGCATTGAGGTCTATATAGGGAGTCATCATTGTCATTACTCATAAGATTATCACGTTGGAATTTTCAGCATTACAAGATGCTGATGATGTGCGAGGATTATAGCATAGCCGATGGTACTTTGGGTGACGGATATAATAGTTGATGTGATTGGACGTGTGAGTACGACCACGGCTATTTGGTTGATGCTCATGGTAATCATGGCATAGGTCAACATCCATGTCGTAATTGAGCCATGCTCGACGCTTCGGCTCCTTCCGATTTTTACGATCACTCAGAAGCGACGATGACAGCGATGCAATGGTATTTGAAGTTGACACCGAGTCATAAATAAAATCAGCCGGTGGCACTTGATTCATGTCCGCGATAATATCCATGAGCTCCACGGCGTCAGCTTTGTGGTGATGAGCCAACCTTACGTGGTGTAGGTTCTTTGAATGGTCACCGAAATACTTGGTACGACTGCATGGAGTCATCTGATCGAAAATGAACACATTGGTATCGTTTTTGTGAGTCAAAGCATGATTCGCAAAGCGAAGCAGAGTACTGCTGATGTCAAATACCAACATGTGGGCGAACCGTTCGCGATACAGCTCGAGCTGCTCGTCTTTCAACTCGTCGATGCTGTGGCGGTCCATGAACACGAATTGACGTTGGTCGAGACCTAAGTGGTTGAGTACTAGCAAGGCATCATTGATTTCGCGGTCAATGCTACCAAGCACCATGAGAACCCGCTCAGATGATGGGAATTTGACTCGCTTCAACACTGAGTATAATGGAAGTGAACGTTCAAACATGAAACACGCGTCGTGAAGAGAGATGGCCGATGGAATCGGGATCAATACGTCCTCGGGGTGTTTGATGGTAATGTAGTCCTGCAAGCCCCCATCAAGATCAATGCCGTATGTCCAACTCCTTTGGCAAGGGTACTGTTCGAATTTTTCCTGTGACAACTGGTTGAGCAACTTGACATTTGCAAGATGGCGACAGTTATGGCAAAGATCGGCTGCGTTTTGCAATAGACAAGTTGAAAATGGGAAGACGAGGTATTTCCGACTAACGTCCAAGGTGGTGCCATTCGACGCATATACTTTGCCAATAAACTTCAGTGCCGGCACTATGGGGCGTTTAATGGCGGAGAAATCGGTCTTGAAGTTGACCCCCGTTAACTTCACTTTGAGGATACACAGGGGGACGCTGACGTCCAATTCAAAGTCTCGTCGGAGCTTGGGCAGCTCGCGGACGACGCCTAGTTTTGGGTGATACACGCGTTTCACTGGGAGCTGATTCACTGGCTCAAACACGCGATGGACGGGTCCAGGCTGGGGCAGAGTGGGTACATCATCTAAAGTGATCGCGTCTGAGATCAGCAGCTGAGCCAGGAGCGGCAGCAGCAGCATTAAGCACGGGGGGATGGTAGCGTGCTGAGGCGAGCCGATATACGACTGGATCAGATGGCTAAGGTGGAGCGTGTGGGCCATATTGCGTGGGGAGTTGTGGTCAATATTGGAAGTAGTTGGCGGGGGCGGGCTCAATTCGATCGCTTGTTCAATCCAGGGGTCGAGGTCGATGAGCAGGGCGAGGTCCAGAAGCGGCGGGTCCAGCACCGGGTGCTCGAGGTCGAAGTCGTCGGTGGCATCGGACTCGACCTGGGGCAGCAGGGCGAACCGCACCGTCTTGCGCCCGTAGGCCAAGCGGATGTTGCTCCTCAATTGATCGTCGATGTCGCTGGAAACCTCGATGGCCATGCCAAGTGGTGATCGAGACTACCCCTGGCGGTGGGGGGTGGTGTGACTGCTGAAAACGCGGTTTGATCTGCCAGAACCCCCCGTACCTATATGGTGCGCCCTACGCCAGCATCGGCGACAATGCCGGTGGCCGCCTCGCAGGATTAGGGGCGTTCGGTTAAGGGTAAAAACGGGCATGGAGGCCTGGGCAGCTGGGGGCCGCTAGGTGGCAACCAGGAGCACACAGCAGCGCCGCTTGACAACGCCATGATCAGCGGCAGCATCCCCTCGGACGTTAGCGAGGGGGTCGGCTCGAGGGGGTCGGCTCGAGGGGATTCGCGGATCCGTTCGTGTCGACATGTAGCGTCAGGTGTATAGTCACTGGGGGTGCATCGTGCGAGGGATTCACCGTCAACGACAACAATGAGAGGCAGTCTCGCCATCCCCTGGCAAATGAGCCGGATGAGCCCATTAGTCCCGATTTAGGCAACTGTGCCTTGCTCCCACATAGACTTTTTTTCTCCCCTGACGTGGGACGCTCAAAGCCATTAGCCTAATCGAGGATCAGCGTTTAGCCCCAGTGGTGGTGCCCCTACAGTTTCGGCAGTTCACGTGTCGATCCAACGGCTTGCTCGTCGTACCCTATTTTTGCATTCCTATTTACTTATCGCGACTCGCACGGTGCCGCTTATTGTTTTTTCCTACAGACGTATCACAGAAGCCAGCCACGAACAATGGCCTACCCCCCCGTGTGCCGCACATCCGGGTGACTGGTCGCTGTCGATGCTGACAATGACGGTGTCTGAGGATGACGACGCTAGAGGTCTGGGTTCCCATCGCAACCGCGGGGCCCGCCCCCCTGCACCGCGTATCTGCCCCTAACCTTAACCAGCATGCCTCCTCCTTTGCTCGCTTAGCGTGCGCGACATTTGCTTTTTGGGGTGAGCTCGTTAATTTGCAGAGAAAGTATACCCGCACCGTTGGTGCCGGATACAGCAGCATGCCACCGGAAGTTGCCGCCCACAAAACGTTGGTCGACGAAGTTTAGCTAGCTCGCCCAATCGCCGAAATCTTGCTCCCGAGCCCTGATCGGTTGCGGACACTAGTGCCCCCCAGATAGGGTTTTGTGGCGAGCTACGCGTAGGCACCGATGTCTATTTTGCACTTATTTCTTTACCTGTTGCTTGCGCTTTCTCTCCTCCTCGTCAATGATACTTAGGCGCATCGCCTCCTCGATCATGCGCTCCTCCACCAGCACCAAGTTCTGTTGGCGGCTGCTGCTTGAACCTCTCCCCAGGTCGTTGATCAACAAGTTCGACGCGTGGATGGCGGTGGCAGTGGCGGCTTTACGGGCAAGCTTGCTGCGGGCCGACGTCAACTTCTGCTCCCAGTCAGGGCGGATGGTGTCGATGGTGATCACCCCGGGGGCGTTCGCCGACAACAGCTCGCGCCGCTTGCCGTAGCTGCCGGCGGGCGGACTAGCCGTCAGCAGACCGTGCCCCGAGTCGTCGTCGCTGGCCACGGCGCACTCATCGCCGCCAGTAGTGGTCTTGCTGAAGCGCCCAGGCTTACAGCGACCGCCGATCCCCACCAGAATGTCAGTGGGCGGGTGGTAGGTAACGCCAAACTCAGGCAGGGCACAGTAGGGACAGTTCGCTGGCTCAGAGATTAGCAGGTGGGGGGTTTCGTCCTGGCCAGCAGGGTCGTCGTGAGGGGGGTGGGGGTCTAAGCGGCGGATTTGCACGAAGCACTCGGTGAAAATGGGCTGGATGCAGCAGCGCAGAATGTTAAGGGGGAATGGGTAGTAGAGGAAGCAGATCGGGCATTCTCCCAGCCGGCGATATAGCGTCAACATGAGGTCGGGGTTGGGCACGTCTTCGCTCACTCTCACTGAGGTGTCGCCAGCGAGCTTCTGCCGCCATTTTAGCTTCTCCTCGTCCATCATCGCCTCTTCCTGGCGCTGTAATTGCTTCACTCTTTCCTTAAGCGCCTTGAGCTTGGCCTTCAGCTCCTGGCGCCGGTAGTAGTTCTGCAGCTTGTGGATCTTGTGGTTGTCGATGTCGTCTTCTTCGTCCTCAGAGTACGCCAAGTCAATCAGGTGCAATGGCAACTGGGACACGATGATGAGAAGCTCCTCGTCCAGCCACAGCGGGTCGTAGTCCTGTAACGGGGTGTAGAACGGGGCGAGCTGGCGGTGGATGATCAAGTCCCGCACGACGTCGGTCAGGTAGTTCAAGTTCAGCTTATAGGTGCCAAACGGCGCGAGATAGCCCCCGTCGACGTTTTCCAGGATGCGGACAATCATATCCAACCAGTGGTTTTCTCGGGCCCGGTCCTTCTCCTCCTGCTTGCGCCCCCGGCGGTCGCCCAGCAGCCCCACGGTGTTGCGGCGATGGCTCAGGCGCGAGGCGTAGGCGGCGTCCCGTCCGCTGTACAGGTTCAGCCGGGTACGGACCTCTTTCCCTGGTACGTTCCCCATGTGCTTCGGTGGTGCTGTGAGTGGTGGGTGTGAGTAGAGCGGATTGCGGAAATTACACTATGTGGCAAACCGAGCAAATGGCGCGGGCCCGGCGCCGGCTGTCGGCACCGCCGCTGGCTGCAGTCTAGGGAGGCGGAGTTCTAGGGTGTCACGGTAGGGTAGGGGCTACAAGCGGTCGCTACTACGGTGGCGGGGGAGGCGAATTTGCCTGGTCTAACGGTAGAGCATGGACAGGCGACCCCCGCAATTGACCCCATTCGCAGGCACCAGTGACTGGGGCTGTGTGCAGGCTGCTCACCCTATACTACTTACCGGGAGCTTGTCTTAGCTCATGCCGAGGCGGTGGAGCCAGCCATTTTCTCGACAAAGTTATAACAATGGAACTTTGATTAATGTTGATATCGGACTACAACTGCCCGAACTTTGATTAGATCTGACCCCGTCACATCTACGTCTAGGTCTAGATTAGTTTCTGTCCCCTATTAGCGAAAAGCGAGCACCGTAGTCGGCTCACATGCAAAAAGGTTTCCCATGCCAAGCCACGGGCGGGCAACGATGTCAATGTTACATGCTTTTTTTTGAGATACAGTTCACCAGTTTATTTCCTATGATACATTAATTATTCCGTATAACCTAAAACATAAACCCATGAACTGAAAAAGTAACTGTAAGAGTACATCACACTTACAACATTTGCTTGACCAAAGCGTTGATGTATTCTTCACGGTTACCGAAGTCACCACCTTGGATGAAGTGGTTGAACTTTCTCTTGTGGAAACCGCCGTTGGGGTTCGACAACTTGAAGGGCCACAAGAAGTTGTTGGCTTGCTTGAAGTTGGGGCCGACGGTGACGATTTCGTGGATCAAGTCTTCCATCGAGGTGATGCCGAACTTACCCAAGTTGGCTTCAATGATGGCGTTGTCCGACAAAGCAATTCTTTGCTTGTTGACCTTACCGAAACCTCTCTTGTAGATCAACTTTCTCACGGTGGCGTGGTTGGGGTAACCGTAAGCCACGTAAGGTTCGATCAACTTGAGCAATTCGGTGGTGGCCTTGGTGATTCTCACGAAGGTACCGGCGTTGATTTGGGTCAATCTCAACAATTGCATGATCTTTCTGGGCTTAGGGGGGATCTTCATGATACCCTTGATTCTGATGACGAACACCAACTTGTGTTGGGCTTCGACATAGTAGTCACCGTTAGCCTTAGCTTGTCTCTTGGCGTCAATGAGAGCTCTTTCGGCTTCGTAGTATTCCTTTTGGTATTGAGCGGCTCTGTCGGCAATAGCTTGTCTCTTCGACTTGTTAGCCTATTTGGTTAGTATTCGTTTGTCAGTCCCGAAAGATGGTTAACTGAATGACAGCATCGCCGTAGCTAGCCATTACGTTGGTTTGGTATCATCATCAAAAAAAGTACTTACGGCTTGTCTTTCCTTCTTGGCCGCGGCGTATTCCTCAGCGGTCTTTTGGACGGCCTTAGCCTTCTTGACTTGGGTTTCGGGTCTGAGAGTGCTATAATGTTAGCGGATGCGTTGAAACAAAATGTTGAAATTTCGAGACTACTGTTCCTACTCCGAGAATAAACCAAATTAACAAGTGATGTGTTAAAATCTGAATGACAATGGTGATACAAAAGTATCGCGAACAAGAACTAGACTGCCACATCTATTCTTGTCCCCATTGTATTTCAGGGTAAACTCAGAGGAGAACAGAGTACCACCGCATTAGCAAAAGCAGGTGGTCTTCTCGAAATCCCATGGTTGATGAACTTCTGGTAAGCCATCTTGTTAGGCACTTACGTAGCCATGTTGTCAGATGCTGAAAAATTTTAGCGAGGCCTCTTCACTTTATAGACATTCATGCGAAAAAAAATTTGTGCGCTGCATGCCAGCACGTGATGAGGGTAATAACCCTAATAATGGATTGTTAATTCGTTAATCATACGCTTTCTCCAAACTGGAGAGGACTTGAGTAGGTTTGAACGTAGAAGTCCTCTTGTTATTTCGTAATGGTTTTGTAGCTTTCGCCATCAGCTGTGTATATCTGATAATTTTGGGATGTGAACCTCATCGCAAAGCTAAATGTCATTGTGGAGATACGGTTAACTTACAGTGTAGTCTATTACTCTGAATCATTATTACATACTCTTTCGAAATAATGTCTTGGGCTTGAAGAACTTTTACTGCCTCTAAGTTTGCATATTTGCATGATTTTAAGCAAAATAAACGCACCACTCATCGCAAAATCGTAACCAAACCATCTTCAGATTAAACAATGACCTTCGAGCGAATGTTTTCAAGTATTAGACTTCTGTGATTGCTATCTGGACAAGTTCAATTCGATTGTTATGGTGATATCTGCCCGAGGCTGTACGATATTGAGATAGGCATGCTCAAAAAACCGCATAATACCCTCTCTAGTGACCCCTCTGGGTATTATACACCATTCCAAACATCCAAAGAAAACTATAAGAGGTTCAAATCTTCAAAAAGTGTTGGATTCGTAAAAACCGCGTTGTTCATGTGTTACGTAAAAACAGAAAACCACTGTATCAAAATTTTTGAAAAATGGCTGCGTGGTCTAGTGGTATGACGTTTCCTTCACACGGAAAAGATCCCGAGTTCGATCCTCGGCGCGGTCAAGTTGTGTGTTTTTAATCTTTTTTATAGTCAAAGCATCCCTACAATCGCTAAAGTCATCCCAATAACGTGGCAGTACCTGCTTATTTTTAAGTTCCATATCTGTAGTCACCCTTGATCCAGCGGTTGACCATGTCCAATGAGTTTTCTGGTTGGTTGAAGGGCACCATGTGACCGGCGTCGTACACCCTTAAGAAGGTAAAGTGTTTGTAGTTTTTTACCTCACCAGCAAGTTTCCCGTTTTCAGTGTACCAAGGACTCAATGGCGCAGCCTTGAATTCCTCATGGTCTTCATATTCCAAGGCCTCAACGTAGGCTAAGTTGCCCAACCAGTTGCAAATGAAGTCCTTGTCACCAGCGTAAATCAACACCGGCACATCTGATTCGATCAATTGAGCCACGTATTGTTGGAATGGCTTGGCTTCGTCACCAGTGTAAATGAAATTCTTGAAGACGATCTCGTCGCAACTTGAGTAGATATCCACGTTCGCCCCCACAGCTTCCATGACGGACTGAAGATTCAAGTAGTCATCGATATACTCCATTTCCTTGTAGCAGCCACCAGCAGGGTCGTCGCATTTAACTCTGATATCGTAAGGATTTAAGCCTGTGTCAACAAATGGCCCCAACATGTGTTTATCACAGTAGACTACCGAGGGAACACAGGTCAAAGACGTGGAGATATCATAGCACACCTTGGTGAGTGCAGCACACTTAGGGTAGTCACGGTGCATCTGTTTGCACGTAGCTTCATCCAAGACAGGCTCATGTCCACCCAAACCACAAGCCATCGGCTCATAGTAGGCATTTTGAACCAAGTAGTCGGTGATGCCGTTACCAATGAGTACCGACGTCAAATTGAACGAGCGGTCGGCTCTCTCGAGGATGTCAACAGCAAACTTGGGGATGTAGTGACCCGCATACGATTCGCCGGCAATGTGGAAATCATTACCTCTTAAATGAGCAAACTTCTGGAAGAACAATTCCAAAAAGACAAACACATCCTTGGATGCAGCTGCCGTCAGCTTGATGGGCTCGCCGCCAGTATAGGAATAGCCAACACCCACCGGTTGATCCAAAAAGATGACCGAGGCATTGTTGTTCCACGAGTAAGGGTTGTGAACAGGTTGTAAGGTTGAGTTGATGGAGGACGGGCCAAGTTCAAAGAACAACCCCGTCGCCGAAGAACACCCGGGGCCACCGTTGAGCCACAAGATCACCGGGTCGTTTGTGGGGTCGTTACGCAGCTCAAAGAACCAGTAGAAAAAGTGCTTGTCCTTCTCCAACACATCCAAGTACCCGGTGTAGTAATTGGCGGTATCCAAGCCAAGCTCGCGAGGAGCAGGCTTCACCCTCATCGAATAATCTTCAAAGTTTGAGTTGGAAACCTGTTCAAATTGAACGTTGCTAGAACGGAAAACGTTGTTGAATTTGGTCAATGGCTTCGAGAGCTTGTCAACGAGATTATCAATTTGCGGTTTGAGGGAGTTGAGCTCCTCCTTGGCCAATGCAAATTGGAAGCTGGTGTCGCCTTGGAGGAGTTGTTGAACCGAGGAAGCAGCTGCTCCCACGGCCAATGCTAAGGGGACGAGTCTCATGTCTGCGGTGAAAGTGGCGACAGGTCCTCGATATTAATAAATGGGGCCGCACAATGCACGTTATAAATCGGTTATCAGTGTCCTGCACATAGTAAGATATAGGGCGAGACTAATCTACAGCCAGAGTATATAATGTTTTCGTTAGGCGTAATCTTCATATATATACTAGTGTTTCATTATAACTCGTCGTTGACGTTCTTATTGGCTTGGTTGGCAAGGAACTCCTTACGGGTCTTCTCACGCTCTTGCAAGTTCCCACCCAATTGGTTGTCGACCATATCCTGGGTGACCCCATTGGAAATGAGGGTCTTCCACGACTTGCGGTTCTCGAACCCGTTTTGTGCATATTGGTAATTCTGGAAGACCTCCATGATCTTGTCTCTCGAGCAAGCCACAAACGGGCCGTGTTGGACTACCGTCTGATCCAACATCTCCCCACCAACGATGATGAACTCGACGGTGTCGTCGTCGGTTTGCTCGCCTTCAATGTAGTTACCGTCACGGTTGAAGAAGACGTTCTCGTATTGATGAACCTTGGTGCCGTTGAGATCAAGACCCTTACCCTTGATAACGTATAAGAAGTAGTTCCACTCAGGGATAACTTCCTGAGAAAACTTCGCTCCTTTCTTCAAGATGAAATGGTAGTAGTGGACGGGAGTATAGGCCAAGTTGTGCAACGATTCAACGCCATAGGACTTCCCCGATACCACTTTAACCAAGAGCTTGCCGTCGTCAGACTCGTAACGAGGAATCTCCCATTCTCTCAAATCACGATAACGAGGGGGGGACTCCTTCAATTTCGCGGGTAAGTCCACCCACATCTGAAGCAACTCAGCGGGCTCGCCATTGGGCCCATCAATGGGCATTTCAGAGTGCACGATTCCTTTACCCGCAGTCATAAATTGCAAATCACCAGGGTAGATGATCCCCTTTTTGCCAGTGAAATCTTCGTGAGCAATACCGCCATTGACACAATAGGTAATGGTTTCCATACCGTAGTGAGGGTGTTCGGGGAAGCCAGCAGCACCCTTAGCTTTGAAGTGATCGAACATGAGGAACGGGTTGAAGTTGCGTCTCTCCATGTTGCCAATCAGTCGACGCACACGAGCACCAGCACCTTCATCCTGCTCGATCCCCTCGATGACTTTTTCAATTGATCTAACCTTGTTGGCCATGACACACCACGAGAAGGTAACAATGAATAGAAGCTGTACTAGCCGCATACTCCGAGTAAAGGCTTGCGGTCCCTGAGTTATATACACAACCTTAGCAATTACGTAAAATTTAACAAGTGCTGAGAGTGCGATTAATAATAATTTATAGGGGTGCCGCTATGGCTTCTTGTGAGCCGTGGTATACATAGTTTCGAAATCGAGCGTGATGGGAGTGTCAAGTGTCCAGCCCATGGCACTCATGAGTTCCTTAGTGAAGGCTTCGGCAACGTCATACTTGTCACCGTGGTCTTTCATCCATGAGTGATATGCACTCCAGCTTTTCACATACTCCAAAAACCACTGTACGCTGACGTTTTTCTTTATGCGAAGAGGTGTCGATTGCAACCGCGTCGGGCGTTGGCGGTCGTCTAATAAATACTCCACTCGCTCGATATCGGTATACAATTCTGCTGGTACCGGTTTCTCCTTGAGGAGCGAGCCCAAATAGTCGTGTCCTGGTTGCTGGTAGTACGGACCCATGTACTGCTCGAAGTCAGCACCCGTGTTATGATCGAAAGACGACTCCCAGGTGTATTTATGATAGATGGCATTGGCACGAGGATCTTCAAATACCGGATCTTTATAAAGCCAGAATGCAAGGGTTCCACCAGGTTTGAGCATTCGATGACACTCCTTAAAGAATGCCTCGTGATTAAACCAATGGGCGCATTCCCCCGCAGTGATCAAATCAACTGAATCCGGGGCGATCTCAGCAGGAAACTGTTCCCCCGTGCCTTGTAAGAACTCAACATTATCGACCAGTTTCCGCTTACATTGGCGGATCATAGTCTCAGAAGGATCAGTGCCAATGGTCTTTGTAAAGTATGGCGCAATGGCATAAGTGACAATGCCGGTGCCACAGCCGAGATCCACCGCCAATTCCCGGTAGTTTACTTTGCTTAGAATCACATCGTAGAATCCTTTAGGGTAGGTAGGACGAGCATCATCGTATTGCTGAGTATCGAATTTGTTATCGCTGTATTGAGACATTCGTCGATATATGGGACACCCCGCGTATTGGTTTAGATTGCGACTGCATCGCTTTATATTTGACGCCCACCAAACGTGACTCATTCCGTCCAAAACCACACACATCGACCGCATATTTCCGTGGTCGTTTATCAGTTGAACCAAGCATGGGTGATGATAATTCCTTCGCTAGCATCTTGGCTGGGGTGAAGCGGATGCGGGATGAGTATGATGATCAGCCCTCACAACCAGACCCCAAGCTGTCTCCTGCTAACCAAGATGTACCGCCTGTTGATAAACCTTCAGCGCCTCAACCTACAAGCCTGACACCTTCAGAAGAACCAGCCAAACCTAAATTGATCACCCGCAAACTTCCACCTAAATCGGCGTCCTCACGCAGTGCCACCCCGGAACTGAACCCAGCGGGTTCGTCTAATCAGGCATTCCAAGGATCGACATTCAAGCGAACCATGGCACCGGCGCTTCTGGAGATTCTTGTTTCAAAGTCGCAAAAGGGCAATCCCTTGCTCACTGACCTGGAAATGAAGATCACGTCGTGGGCCTACGACGGCGAGATCTTATGCGACTACTATATCAGTAAAACATTCCAGATCCTATTCTTGTCACTCAAGTACCACAAGATCCGACCCGAGTACATCTGGACCCGTATCAAAAAGCTTCATCGTGGGGTGTCGGTGGAAGCCAATCCCACGGGACCTAAAGACCACACTTTGAGAATGCTTCTATGTGTGGTGGACATCGACTCACCTCAGGAGGTACTTCGGCAGATAAACGACCTTTGCGTCAAGCTGGACTTGACGCTTGTCATTGCGTGGCTGTACCGTGAGGCGGGGAACTATATTGCTATGGCCAAGCTGTTGGCGGCGGCTCCTCTAAAAGCCGAGCGGAATATCATACCGCCCAAGGCTGAGACCTATCTTGGTAGCATTACCGATCTGCTCACCTCCATCCCGCTGGTGAACAAAACCGACGTGAGGACGTTGCTTGCCAATTGCGGGTCGTTCGAGAAGATCGTGGAGGCAGCATGCGACCCCAATGCCCCCTTTGAGGAGTTGCAGGGTATAGGTCCCACCAAGGCTGCCCGGCTTAAGCAATGGTTTTCCGAGCCGTTTGTGTACAACAAACAAAATTAGGCAAGTACACATTCAATACTAGTGAAAGGCGTGACTATAGCTCACGCATAGTAAATCACCATAGACATGTATATCTGGGGTCACCACATACGATCATTAGTGACACGTGGTTGACAGCCCTGTGGGGTTGATCGCTGCCACCCACCCGCAACTAGTCGCTTCCCCTTTTGAACCCCACCCGTCGATAGCCATGGATAACGAGTGCTACCTAAATCGAGATTTTCCCCACCTATTGCCGAACTGTGTGCTGGCCAGGGGTCGTAACACTTCTCCGCCATCGTCGCCACTAACAAAAACGCTACTTAAACCTACCAAATCCATTATCATATACAATTGGCCAATTGAAGTGTACAATATATACTGTTCTTCAATCCCATCAATGCTTCATCTTCCCATCAAATCCACCGTGCTTCTTCCCCTCCCTCTACCGAACAACTCACCTGCGCGAATTTGTGGGGTATGCATTAAAGTCCGTGCCCGATTTTGTTGTGGAAACTATATAAATACCCGAACGAATGACCAATTGACCAACGACTCGTTTTCATGTCTGTCAAACGTACTTCGCCTTGCTTACCCTTATTCCCTGATAACCTGGTCGACGCGGCGTGGAATCGCGTCCCCTTCGCCCCGCAGGCGGTTGGCGATGCTGTCCCTGTAGCGCCTCCCACCGAAGGGTACTCGGCCACCTACCGAAACCGGGCCACTCCGAAATTCTGCGTGCTGTGCATCCACCCTGAGCTCGACACCTTCCCTAAATTGTTCAATAATGCCGTGAGATTGTACGGCGACAACCCCTGCCTCGGGTGGCGGCCTTACGACTACTCGTTATGCGAACACGCTCCCGAATTTGTCTCTTTGACTTACAAGCAAGTCCAACAGAAGAAACACGAAATCGGGGCGGGCATCATTCGGGTATTGCAGGCCAACCCGTACTTGCGCCAATCCGTTGCGCACGACAAAGTGAGACACCATTTGCGAGACTACACCAAGTATGGAGTGCTTAATACTGGTCGTGACAACCCCGATAACATCATCGAGAAGCTGAATTCGTTCATCGTGGCATTCTTCGCTGCCAACCGCCACGAGTGGGTGCTCCTGGATTTAGCCTGCTCTGCCTACTCCATCACCAGCACCGCTTTGTACGACACCTTGGGTCCCGACGTGTCCAAATACATCTTGAATCTTACTGAGCTGCCCATGGTGATCTTATCAAAGGATAAAGTTGAGTATGTTTTGAAAATTAAGGCAGAATATCCTCAAGAGCTCGCCGATTTGGTGCTGATAGTGGTGATGGACCCTATAAGAACGGTCGATCCTAAATTAATGGAGTGGGCCAAGGAACTCAAAGTGGAAGTTATGGATTTAGAGGCGGTTGCCGATGCAGGTAGAGCCTCGCCATTGGAAGAACTCTCTCCCAGCGTAAACACGTTGCACACCATTTCATTCACTTCGGGTACTACTGGCTCTAAACCCAAGGGGGCGATGTTGTCTCAAGCCAACATGTGTGCAGCAGTCACGTTGTTACTGGCTCTGGAGCCAAAGGCAAGCTATGGCAAAAACAAGGCATTCATCTTTTTGCCATTGACTCATATGTATGAGCGTCAAACCCTGGGCTACGCGTTATCCTCCGGGTATTATTTGGGCTTCCCTCAGCTCACTATCGATGGTCCTAAGCGGGATGCTTTTGCCGACTTGGTCGTCGATTTGCGCATCTTCAAGCCCACCTACTTCTCGCTGGTTCCTAGAATCTTGACAAAGTTTGAGGGGCTTGTAAAGAATACCATCAGTGAGCTTCCTCAACATGAAAAGCAACGGGTTGAAGAGATCATTCGTTACAAGATGGATGAGCAAGCCAAGTATGATGGGTGCACTGGTCGAAACCCAGAAATGGACAATTATCCCCCTTACAAACGTTTGCAAGAATTGGTGGGGTGGGACGAAATGGAATGGACCCAGACGGCGCTGGCACCGGTAGCAGGATCTACACTTTTGTTCTTGAAGGCAGCCTTAGACACTGGTGTGCGCCAAATGTACGGTTTGACTGAAACTAGCGGTGCGTACACGAACCTGATTCCATGGGAAGCCCATCCTGGCTCATGTGGTGCCTTAGGGGTTCCACTGGAACAGAAGTTACGCTCAGTTGAGGAGATGGGTTACTCAGCTAAAGAAAATAAAGGAGAGATGATTGTCGGTGGTTCTGCCGTTTTCAAAGGATACTACTACAATCAAGAGGAGACCAACAAGGTCATTAACGAGGACGGATGGATTCAATCGGGTGACATTGCCTTCTTGGACGATAAAGGCCGGGTTCACATCATTGACCGGGTCAAGAATTTCTTTAAGTTATCTCAGGGCGAGTACATCTCACCTGAGAAGATTGAAGGTCGTTACCTTTCGAACAATCCCATTTTGACCCAATTGTACATCCACGGTAACTCCGTCAAGCTGTACTTGGTAGGTGTTTGTGGGGTCAACTTCGAGAGAGGGCTCAAGTTTTTGAACGATCAATGCGGAGCCAATCGTCTTGACATGACTGAACATGAGCTTGTCGATGAGTTGAATAAGGTGGACAACAAGCGGCGGTTCTTGAAACTGCTCAACGCCAACGTCGAAGGGTTGGTGAATGGGTACGAGCGGTTACACAACATTTACATCGAGTTGAACCCGTTGACGGTTGAGCGGAACGTAGTGACCCCTACTATGAAGATCAAGCGGGCAGTGGCGTCAAAATACTTTGGTAAAGTATTCGACAAGTTGTATGAGATAGAAGACTCTCTTATTATGCCAAAATCCAAGATGTGATTTCATATTGATATGTACGACTTTTATGTACAGATAATTATACAAATGCTCAAATGTTATTGTGGACTTTTGAGGTTTAAGTTTTGACACTTGTCTTCGGGTTCTCTTGCCCTTGCTGCTTCTTCTCGAACTCCTCCACACGATTCCGTAACATCAAGTTGACGCTGTTGAGCATCTCATTCTTCTGTACAAGAATATCACGTAACTTCTGTGCATCTTGATTCAACTTGTCGACCTTCTTTTCGTAGACCTTCTTAGCATCGTCAGCCAGCTTTTCGACGAAGTAACCAGTACCGATGTCGACAAGGAAACGATCTTTGTCTTTGATTGTCCCCGGTAAATATAACGACAGAGTCATCGGGATAAGGACTTCCAGCCCCTTCAGTTCGCTCATCTTAGTCACCAGGTCCACACAGTCTCGGAGCTTGCCCTGAGCCGCCTGTAATGCCTGAAGGGACGAAGCAAAGTGATTCACCTCCTCATTAATCTGCTTTCTTACCTCCAAAAGCTGCTGTGGCGGCAATTGGGACAAATCAATCGACTGCTGAGACATGAGTGCTTCCAGATCGCTCAACTTCGCAATAACGCGAGTATGGGGAACGATGGCGGCACAATCATCAAGGGTCAAAGAACCGCCAGTAAGACGACAGAGGGACCCAAAGAAAGAGATGAGGATTACCAGAGATTGGTTACTTGCTCAATACTGCTTTTACCTTTGATAAACGAGCCAGTGTTGGCTGACCGCGATGGCCGGTTATATCTCAAGCACAAGCTTCTAGAGGCGATTTTGGAAAAGAAAACTAAAGTCAAGTTTAAACATACTCGACCAGTAACTATAACGTGGAGCGATACTGGCGATAAGCCTCGCATCAAGTGCCCGGTAACTGGAGATACACTGTGTAATACTTTTGGCAGTCTCTCGTGTGGTTGCGTCATAAGTACCAAGGCAATAGAAGCTCTCAAGCCCATCACCGCCTGTCCTGTCTGTAATGAGGCCGTCAGTGGCGATATCTTATTGCTTGGACAGAAACATAAACGACAAACCCAGGGGAAGGCTTACAAAGTGACTAAATCAAAGAAGATTTGATATTTATTGTGTCATGATAAAAATTCTATATACATAAGTTGATGGGGAGTCGTAAGGCTTCAAGTAGATTCGGTAGCGTTGGCGGCTTCCTCTTGCTTTCTAGCATCCTCATATTGAGCAGGTTCAAACTTAAGCTTCTTCTTGTTCCAGGGAGCGTAGTCGGAGTTGGCGAAGATGTTGAAAGAGATCCCGCCGATACCGACAAGGCAAAAACCAACGATACCAACAACCGCCAATCTGTGAACGACGTCGGTGGCTCTAACGTGGAAGGGGAGCTTGTTTTGCATGGTAGATGGTGTATCAAACGCCGGGATGATTTTCGTTCCCGCAGGTTAGATATGTGCAGGAGGGGAGGAGTGCACCATAATTATGGACTTTGAGTTGTACAAAATAGAATAATGGTCTCTGATACCACGGTGGCTACAATAAATGTTCATGATCATTATTATAGTACAAGTTAAACTAAATATTTGAGCCAGCGAATATCGATGAGCCCCAGCTCGACAAGCGAGGGATTTGCGTACAAAACGTCCGGAAGCCAGTGCAGGTTGTAGAATCTAAACGTGCTATCTTCAACCAAATTATCGTTAGCTTCGAAAACCTCATTTAAAATTTGCGTCAAGATGTCAGATGCATACAAGTTTATCTGCGTCATGAATTCCAGGTTCTTTGAGATACGCAGCCCTTCATCTAAAATCAGGTCAATCATGCCGTTGATGGCGTGGTCAAACTTTCCTTGATCCATGTGGCCAATGGGCAACTTATGGTTACCAGCAGAGTTCGTCAGAGACACTGTCAGGGGCTTGAGCGCCTCATAGTTACCAATATCGATGTTAACAGCAAATTGACGGGGTTGGATGCCTTTGATGATAAACTTCTTCTTGGGAGCTTCATCAGGTCCCAGCTCCAAGTTGACTACCATCGCCTCAGAGTTAGGAAAAGCATGAGTGACGTTTTTGATAAAGTCAACGGCAGGTAAAAGCGGACGAAATTCTGGGTTCTGGTGCTCAGTGTCCCAAATTTCTTGAAATTGTTTCTCGTAGGCTTTCCAAAGAGAAATTTGCGTCACTTCGCCAGGAACAATGTCACTGTTGCCATTGGTCTCGACTCCGCTTTGCGAACTAGTAAGCAACGGTTCATAGCAACAACGCAACCACGTTGTGGCTCTTAAAGGTTCGGGGAACCTCACAATAAGGTTGTATAATTCTTTGGAAAGTTCTGGAAGGGTCAGCGGCACGCCCGAGAATTGTGAACGCTTTGTGAGTGTTTGAGGGAGTGGTTTAGTCAGCACCTCGTTGAGGGGTAAATTGCTCACAACCAACAATGGCAATTGCTTGACTAAAGTGTTGAAGCTCAGCTTCGAACCCTTAAGCTCTAACAAATAGTTGAGACGTAACAACTGCAGATCGGCAACATTGGAACACTTAGGATGAATCGCTTCCAGCGAAAGGTACATTTTGAGAAACTCGAGCACAGTAAACGAAAGCTCGTTGTCGTCCACCAACAAATAATTGACAAAGTTTTCCAACTGAGTATCCTTGATAACATCAATGCAGTTTACAGCGCGCAGCCGACCATCGTCGTCAGCAGGATTCAACACGGAACTTCTCTCTTCCTTAGCTTTGTTGATAAGTAAGTGCAGCAAACACTTGAGAATGCCAATGAATAACAGCTTGTCGGTGACTACTTGCAGGTCGGCAAGAAGGATATTGAACAAAGGGTCGCTTTTCGAGTTATTCACCCAGTAGCAAGTCAACGGCTCTAAAAGGTCAACAAGGTAACGCAAACCTTCGTAGAACTGATTATCGTATTTCTTAAGGGCTGCACTTTGTTGTCCTTGGAAGAACCAATTTGAGAGGAAGCGCAATACTTCGACCAACAGTTTCCGCAACCCCTTCACCTGAGATAACCATTGCTGATTTGAAAGATCCTGAGCACAGTTACGTAAGGACAAAAGACAATCCAACAGCAAAGACACCATCTCCAGTGTGACCTTGTCTTCCTTCTGCTCAACAATAAGCTGGTAGGGGCGAGTGAAGTACTTGATCATTTCACCCCCCAAAAACGTGTGCAGAGGCAATACCAAGTTGGTGTGTGCCAGAATTCGAGTAAGAGTGGTGAGAGCCCACAGCACCTCACTGTCAATACCCGATCGTAAGGCCATGGTCACTCTTTGGAGCTCGGTGGGACCGAGGTGGCCGTGGCCAATGGGAGCGTTATATCCATAACCACTGAGCGAGTTCCCATTGTACATCACAAAATCAACTTGACCATTTTGCGAGAACGTTTTGGCACTCACGCTAATGGCGTTGAGACCCAGCATGGTAAACTAGCTTCGCTCTGAGTTCGCGTTGATGAAGTGAAAAAACAATTGTGCGGTTCGAAGTTTCGAAGGCCAGAGATGAGAGAAAACAAATGAGGTGACAACGAGACAGAAAAATGACTACGAAGTTCAAACATGTATTATATTATTAGGGAGACAAGCATAGGCACCGCTAGCTTTTGGAAACGCTATTTCTCGACGACCGCAACCATATACCCCTTAGCCAAATATTATAGTTGGGGGGTATTGGTCAATCGAGAAGTTGATAGATATTATTCAAATACACTTCACTAGATACCTAAGTCTTTTTTTATCACATCTTTGCTTTCGCCTTTTGAGGCATCATCTCACTCACGTCTCCTTACCTTTGTTCAGACGTGTCGCGTTATAGATCTCACACACATGTCTCGAGATGAAGCGACCTACCTTGCCGGGGAGCTCCTCGGAAAAGGGAGTCTTGTCACCTATCAGATGGTGATGGACCACCTTCAGACAACCCCTGATGAGGCACGCAAAATCCTCGAGTCAATGCACCAAAAGCATCCGGACAAGTTCCACCCCAAATATGTCATTTACGGAAGCCGTCAAGGGAAGAGCTTCTTCAAGTTTATTGATCACAGCAAACTCGATGCCGGGAAGGCGATCTTTGATAAGGTGGCCGAGGTCCAATTGTACAGTCTCCACCTGGACGGAGAGTTCAGTGCTAACGAGGTGGCCTACATTGAATACCAAGCATTAAAGTCAAGCAAACGAAACTTGGAGCTGTTACCTATCAAGGGACCTTCCGTATGCCAAGAGGTCGCCCAGATTGCGAGAAAAGTACCCCCCAAAACAGAACCTACAGCTTCACGAAGTCCGTCAGTAACTTCTACCACAAAAAAGGAAACTAAGACAGAAGCTGCTAAGCCGAAATCGACGTTGACTTACACTTCACGCAAGCGACAGGCAGAGAAGCCAGCTGCAGAAATCTCGCCGTCGTCTCGACCAAAATTAGTCTACAAGTCTCGTAAAGAGGAGGCTAAAACGCCTAAGGAGCGAGTTATTGTATCGACTGACAACTCTAAAGATGAGGCTGCTCGAGAAAAGGATTCTGCCAAACTGCAGCAACAATTAGCCGATCTTCAGGCCATTTTTGATGATGACGATGACTTTTTGAATGAAGCGGCTGAAGCGGAGCACAGTGACGGAGAAGTTGAGTCCACGAAGATTAGCGAGGAGGTTGCGAATGACAAAATGCAAATAGATGAACCTAACGCCCAAGAGCGTACCCCTGAAGAAGCTACACCACAGGAACAGACGCCTCAACCCCATGAGGAGGATGACGGGGTCGAGCATACCATTGATGAAGACGGATATTTGGTTCGAACGCAAAAACCTAAGAAGCCGGCTCCGCGTGTTACTAAACCTACACGGGTGGCGTCGAAAATGGCGACGCCCACAAAGGGTAAAGGGAAAAAGAAGCAAATGGATGTTGCGAGTTTTTTCGGTAAATAGTCGTTGTTATTGGATGTTGTGCTTGGCGTATGCCCGTAAACAGTTAACGCACTATTTTTGGACTTTCGCGTAAACGGCGTTTTTGTGCGTCCTACCCCAACTTTCGGTCCAAGAGCTACTATACAACTACTCAAAAGGAAGATACGATTACAATATATTTACGACACTAGGGAGTTTTGTATCAGTTTCACGCGGCTACCCTATTGTAAGGTTACTCGCGTTGGTCGAATCTCAGGCACGGCTATTACCGGATTGAGTAATGGGTGCGACGTTGATAACCAAATTGGGTTAAGATTCGAGGCTCGAGACTAAACGAGCAGCATTACGAGATATATATAAGTAAACTCACACACCCATAAGCCCCAATTCATACATAGCAATGAAGTACTCTCACTCTGCTCTCGCGGCGTTGGCGGTGGCCACCCAAGCGTCGGCCTACGTGCCCGTGGTCGACACTGATGCCCACTTGGTGTTGAAGAGAGAAACCCAAGATCTTCACAAGGATCTCGCCGAGCTCGAGTCGATGAGAGCCAGACGTGATGTCATGTTGGCCGACATCCAAGCCAGAGAATACCAAATTGTTACCGATGTGTTGGCTGCCATCAAGAACACCAACTTGGCCCCGGAAATTATCCACTACTTCGCTACCTCGCCCACCTTCGCCCCCATCACTATCTCGGCGATTGTTTACTTGCTTAAGCTGGGGTTGATCAACTACAAGGCGTTGTTAGAAGCCCTTGACCAATCTCACTTGGTGACTAAGGTCGTCAATGACTTGATCCTGGACTGTTCGCTTTACGTTGACTTGTTCAACATCGCCAAGGGTTACATCAATGACTTGTTGCCCGTTGTCAAGGAGAAGATCCAAGAAGGCATCAGCAACCTCTTCGTCCGTGAACAAGCCGACGAGTTGCCCTTGCCGTCTCTCGAAGTTAGAGATGTGTCGCCTATCGTTGTCAACTTGATGGACTCGTTGGGTCAATCGGGGTTGGCGACTCAAGTGGTGAGAGACATTTTGACCGACACCCTGTACTACCCCTTCGCCGTGTCGTTGGTCTCGGCCGTGCTCGCTGCCGGTGGTATCAACGTCGACGAAATTGTCTCGGCTGTCAAGGAGCTGGGCTTCGTTTCTAACCTCATGGACGAACTTTTGACTGTCAACACTTTTAAGACAGTTGTTACCAATGCCTTCGCCGCCTTCGCTGGCGACTGTGCTAACGCTGGCAACATCAGCTTCGGCGGTGGCTCGAGTAGCTCCGGTAGCTCGAACAGCGGAAGCTCGGGTACCTCGACTGGTTCCACTGGTGGTGGCACTGTGATCAAGAACCCTTGCAAGAAGAGAAAGAGATCTTTCAACTACAACTACTAGACGCGACGCCGACTTAAGAAAAAAAACACGGGAGTCTCCGGCAGATCACCTGTAATACCATCGACCGTCACTTTGTAATAATAAACTTTTGTAACATTGATCGGTGTAATTATCATTAACTGTGGGGTTTTGATGTCTTGTGCTCGTGTACGTCTTACTTGCAGCATTTTCTTTCTTTTTCGGCGATCCAACGTACATCCTCTGCATCACCTGACAACACACGAGTCTCATCTGAAGACCAGCGATAGGTAGTTATCTTGATTGAATTATTTCATGGCGAGTTCCAGGAAGGATTGGCTTCCCCGACAATCAGGATCACTCCTGAGATGGCCATCACCAATTCTGGTAAAGTGATCGAGATTGTATACAGTATCGACAGTTACAGAAAGACCTAGACTTTCAACCTGAAATAGTGGCTGATGGACAACTACAACTCGAGACAAACTTGGCGGCATACAGAGAAGTTAAGACGTAGAGCTATCGAAATGGCGTCGCATATTTTTATTTGAGTGAATGCTCACCACCTCACATTATGAGCTTTCCCCAGATCGTAAATCGTCGACGATGCCTTAATTGCTTGCGTATTTAAGAAAAGGGGGGATGGCCTCTGGTTGAGAACGCTAAATCGAGGCCCAGGCGCGCTTATTTGCGTTTGTGTTCTGGATCACCTTCGGCCACATGCCGCTTAGCTGTCGTTTAAAATGTGTTGATCCCTATTGATCCACCCAGAAAATAGTGTTGGCGTTGTTCAAATGTGGCTGAGCTGGTGACGTTTCCGCCAACCGTCGGCAAAAATGCCCACCATAGTGTCTGTAAGCCCCCCGTTGTTTACTGGATCCCTCACTCCTCATGTGTCGCCTTGCATTCATTTGCCGTTAGGCATCTGCCCCGGCAAATCAGAAGACGGCAAAAAAAAATTGGTCTTCGCGTCAACGGTACCGACATGCCCAAACATTAGATACCGGGGACATTTAGACCCGTAGGATATAGCGTCGCCAATCATTTAACCTTGCTCACAATCTCAGGGCGTCGTGAGTGCCCCGAACGTGATTTTTTGTGAGTGCTCGTTAAAGTGGATTGGGGCTGATCTTGTGTACCATTCGGCCCCTTTCGGGCAAGGAGGCGGGCGCTCGCACACAACATGTCTGTCCAGGTGCAGACCTACATATCGGGATGGGAGGGGGTTCGGAAGCCGTGTGAAGCGGCATAACAACACAGCGCTGTCATTCGAGCAGAAATTTTCCACATATCGACCCCACAACAGTCATTGTTTGTGCCACCCCCACCCACCACCGTCACCCTGACAACCCGGTAACCACTCACCCCCATCTCCGTGACCTTGTCGCCCGCTGCAACTACACCCACACCGTTGAGGTCAAAAAACGCTTTCTCTCCTTAAATTGTGGTGACCGTGCTATCCTTGGCCTTTGACGCGCTACTGTTGATTCTCCCATACACCACATTCCGCCGGTAGCTGGATCATAGCCGAGTGTGATGACCGGCCCGCCTCTGCCAGCCAAAGGCCTCCCCCGACATTACGCCAACGCCAATGTATCCCACTCGCTGGTTGCCAGCGGCGACCTGCGCACCAGCATCGGTCTGGATCAGCGCCGCCACACCGTCCTCGGGCTGATCCGAGGCCGCTTGAACCGGTCCAAGGCCCTGGTGGTGCTGGACCCTCAGCCGATCGCCGCCCCCGAGCCCTTGCGGGTGGGTGTCGATGACTTTGCCGACACCTCGCTGGACGAGCTGCACCACCTGACCCTCTCCGATGACAACACCCTGTACCTGCTGCTATTGCTCGAATACCAGGACCTGCTGGTCGCCGACGCCCGCCGCCAGTCACAATTCGTCTTCAGCGAGCTGTTCGACGAACTGGCGTCGACCACCGCCACTGCGTCCGTCGCCACCGCTCCCACTGCTGCCATATCAAAAGTGGCAGTTCCTGCTCGAGCGCGACTGGGAAGTGCAGCGCTGGGTCACTCCCGCCGGCGACAGCCCCCAGGAACCTCCGCCCCGCCGCGCCCGGTGCCAGCGGTGATCGATACCACCCTCGCCAACGCCTTGGCAGTCTCGGGGGCACCAAAACTCGTCCAGAGTCCCGACCGCCTGCTGGGACTGTCGCTGCTGAAACTGCTTCAATTTCGCCTAAATCAGGACAAGCTTGTGCCCGTCGAATCTAGTCGCAGCGGCGGCACTGATTCCGGGACGCCGCCGATGCCCCCGCCTACCAACACCGAAGCAGGCGGGTCCCGCTTAGTGACACCGCCTAGTGAACCTCCCAGCGGCCGCACCCTGGCCCTCTATCAACATGGCAACCGTGATTCCCACCAGCTGCTGACAGATGACCTGGACACTCGGTTGCCCGATCCCGATGTGCTGAGTACGAACACCCCTTCTCTATCGACACCACGCTACCCGCAACGCCCCGACTGGCTGGGTGAACTGGCTGTGGGGCCACGGCCGCTGCTGGGTGAGCTGGTCGGGGTGGTTCGCTCAGAGTCGCAGAAGTCGTCGGCTTCCCCGATGGCTCCCATGGTGACGGTGGCCACCCTGGGGTCGGTGCCGAAGCTGCCGCTGATGCTCCGATTTTCCCATGGTAGTGACTCGATGGCGGAAGTGCTGCGTGACACAATCCGGCTGCTGATGTCGCTGGGTGAGTTACTTACGCGGCTCGAAAACTACTACGAGGGCGACGCTGAACCCGTCCCAGAGGAAGTCTTGCTACCTCGAAGACGCGTGGCGCCCCCGCTTACGACAATCAAGTTCGCCCACGATGAGTTGCGGGGAACGGAAACCGATCTCACTGCGGGAGTCGACGCGGAGTCCGAGCTTCCCATCACTATTTATAAGGTCCAGGGCAAGGACTACGATGAGCTGACGCAGAGGTGGCTGGTGTACGAGCACAATCGAACCAGAGCATCGGCTACCTCCGGTAACGTCATAAACGCCCCGCCGCGCCAACTGCTGAGTGAATCACTCAGTGTAGGTGACACTCCCGACGCGACTGTGTCTCAACTGGGAGCACTGTCGCTGCCCCATGTTGCCAAGGTACTGCCCCCTGGCCATCCATACACGCTGGCTAGTTATCCTGTGAGCACAGGAACCGTCGGTGGCACTCGTCTGGAGCTGCACCGGCTGTCGTTGGCATCTAGCCGTGCGGTACAGGCGCCGGCACTGGCAGCAGCGCTTGCGGCGGCGGTGGCGGCTACCCCGCTGACCGGCCAAAGCCATCTGACCCATACCACCCAAACGCCGCTGTCACAATACACAGCACTGACTCCCAGCCAGTTGCGGAATGTGATATTGCCTCCGACTCCAGCACCATTGAAAAGCCTGGTGTCTCCGGCGCTGGCGCTGGCGCTGGTGCTGCGCCAACTGCCACTGGCAAAACAAGAACGTGTCGATCCCATTACAGAGCTGCGCACGCCGTCACCTCATGTCCAACATCCACAACAGCTGGTCGTACTGGACCACTCACCTCAAGAACAATCACCAGCCCATATGTTTGGCGGTTCGCCTAACGTCGAGCCATTTGCCATAGACCTTTCCACCATTGAGAAGGGGTGGCTGCCGCATCTGGTGTACCGAGATACTCCCAAAACTTACCTGTGGGGTCACTGGCTCGTAATGATGGTACTTGGGTTGATCATCATCCCTATCCACTTTATGATTTTTCTCGGTGTCTTAGATCGCGACCCTCTGGCTCATCATCAATACCTGGCTATGTTTTACAGCGCCCCAATGGGGAAGAAGCCTCGCACTGAAAAGTACACCAAGGCTCAGAAAATAGCGTCGGCGGTAATAGGGGTGTGTTGGCTAGCTATCGTTATTGCTATGATCATTGTCGGCTTGGTGGTAGGTCTCACCACGAGATGATCGCGTCTAATGATAATCTACATTTGCATCTTCAACTTTGGTACTTTTAATACTCAAGGTTAGGTCGTTTGACCGGTAAATCGAATCATACATAATACCCATCTACAAGTAATCCAGATATAATCGTAGCATTCATCAAATGTCCGTCAGTATGGTTGATGGAACGACAGCATCCTTATCTTGTTGAGTGGTAGATGACAATGGGGGTATAGAAACTGGGTTCTTTAACTCAATGGTCTGGGCAGTAGTGACCTCTGCGCTTTCATGAGACAGTGGCATACATGAATCCAGTTCAAGTAAAGGACCATTAGTAGCGACGCAATCCATTGATCCAGCGTTTGCGACCTCGAGCTCGTTGACCGTGTCCACCTGTGTAACATGCAATTCTGGAGCAACCTCAAGGCTCGACGCAGATAACACTTTATCTTTCACGTGAATGTCGTTAATGGGGTCCACATTACCGGTGTACTCAGTTGCAATAACCTTCTTTTTGAAAACATCTGAGCATAAAGGTTTCAACTCAGCAAAAGCTTTTAAGCAAACGTCCAAATTCTCTCGCCACAACAATCCAGCGCCGTAGATCTTACGAACCAAAAATCTCACATAGTCCAATTTTAACAGATTCGGTCTGTCGCTCTTCAAAAAGTCAGACAAATCTAAATCAAGTTGACGATGATATGTCTTGATCTTTTCCACTAATTCCTTCACAGCCTCCACTTCGGGTTGGGGGATCACCTCTAAATTTCCGATTTTCATGGCATGCTCCAAAAACTCCGCAGTTGTCATTTGATTTTTCAAATACTGATCAAATTCACCTGTCGCCAAAAGTTGACAAGGGCCGCATACAAATGAGTCATTCACAGCTTTCTTTGAGCTGCGACTGAGTTTTACACACAGAACATGGTACCACTCGCAACACTTCTCGCATTCAACCATTGTTCCAAACTCCAACTCGCGACATGTACAATAAATCGGTTGCTGAACAGTCACTTCTTCACTCGAAATCTCTTGATACAGAGAACTTTTGAAGTAATCATCCGATCTCGAGAAACTAAAATCAGCTTTATACAACAACTGATACAATTTTTGAACAAGCAGAGCGTTGTGTGCTCCTTTGGCATTAATGTCCTTCAAACTCTTGTCCATGGTTGTTATCACTTGCGTAGACCTGAGCGACGTTGCCAAGTATTGCACTATCGCTTCGGTTTGAGATGCGGGACCAGAAAAACTCGCGGCTCGGAATGGGAGATCCGTTTCTTTGATCGCCGACAAGAGTGGCTTAAGTTCACTCAATAATAAAGTTTTAGAGCCATCACAAAGAATCTGCGCTTTACTGATCAATTTTCGACAGTCGTGGACTCTCAGTAGTTGGTCATAAGAATCTCTTTGAAGGAACAACCGTTCCGATCGGAAGCGGTCGGCTAAACCATCAAGAGTTGACGGAGAAATATCATCAATGAATTGTACATCAAGCATTCTTCTGACTTCCTCGTCGTAAGCTTTCAGCTCAGCAATCATTTGCGATACACGATTAATCATTTGCTGGTCCTGACGTGGTAAAATCCGTAATCCATCATTGTAAAACTCCTCAAGATCAACTAACGTAAACACATCTTTCGAATCAGCATAAGGGTCACCTCCTTTTTCCAAAACACTGTATGTTTTGTGCCATTTCATGCGGTCTCTTATGCGAGTTATGAAATTTAATGCAGGGATTTCGATACCAAACAGTTCTCCAAGGTTGATGAGGTCATTAAATTCAACCTCTGTTGATCGCAGTTTAGCTAGAAGAGCTCTCAGAGCTTTATCAAAATTGAGCACTTCTCTTTGAAGATCCAAAATCTGCTCAGTTTCAGTCAGAGTGAAGTCTAACTCGTCCACTTTCTGCACCAAATGAGTCAATTCCGCTAGAGATGCTTTCGTCACTTCCAGTCCTTTTCTTACCCTCTGCGAGTGCTTAATGGCAAGAAGAGCTTGACATTCGTCGATAAACGAATCTGCCGCAGCCACGAATTGTCGTAAGTTGTTAACCATGCTTAAAAATTGAACAAAATCAGGGGATGTTGGGGTCGAGTCTGTAAGCGCTGCCTCGCGCGTGTAAAGTGCCAGTAGTATGGTTTCGCCATCCGAAAGCAAAGACTTATAAGATTTGAGATGAGGTACCGCATCATAATCGTCGAAAACTTTGCTATACTCAGCTACCCAATTATGGTAAGTGAAAGTATCGCCTTCAAGCACTTTTTGCAAGCCCCTTAACTTATCATCTGTAAAATGATATTGTACCTCCGCTTTGCAATGCCTGTAATGTGTAAGATACTGTGATAACAGAGTGCAAAACTTTCCGTTTTCGTGCGTGACAATAACTTTCAGCGGGAAACACCAACTGAGATTGTCATCTGCTAAGTCTTCGTCGGCCTGCTCATCAAGAGGTGCCTCTTTGATCAATCCCAAGGCTTCGTGGCGAAGCTTGAGCTCATTATCAATCAAATCCAGCAACTGATGCAAAGCCATAGTAATAACCTTCGAAGAAAACGGCCTCAATTCCAGTGTTGGATTAAGGATGTTGGCAAGCAATTTGAAAGTGGAAAATGTTGGCATAAGGTTCTGCGTCGTCATCCATCTTTCTCCTTCTGTGGCATAATTGATCCACAGAGGGGTTGCAATATTTACTTCCTCTGAAACGTTGAGTCCTAGTGAGATGGTACAAGCGTAGGTTTTGGGTGGTACGACTATGTACTCTCCGGGGTATTGTAAAACCAGTGTAAAAGTGATACCCTCTTCAATAAGCATGGTAGGAGTGATCACATGTTCCTGATTATGCAAATGCGGTTGTAGTTTTGCAGTATCAATGGCGTGTTGAATCAAACGTGGTTCAGTAGTAGTATCTACCATCAGATGAAGACATTGACATATAGTATCTGGTTGGAGCTGATTGAATTTCTCCTTGTATTTTTCACCATTCCATTGGTTATTATTGACATGCACACGATGATGACACTGACATTTGCCAATTAAATCTTCAAATTTCTCAAATTGCGATTCAGGAATGAAATACCAAAGTTTCGGTGCTCCCAGGATGTGGCGATCAACCAATTGGCAAAAATTCTCCTGGCAGCGCCAATTCTTAAGACTGAAAGTCATTCCAATTTGGCCACGTCGTCTAATCAAATTCGGGTTCGTAACGTCAGTTTCTGAAAGAGTTGCCAATAACAGATTCGGTGAAAAAGGAAGATTTTCAGTGGCCCAGGGCGATAATAGCTCACGCATTGGCGGGGAATTGTCAATGTTAGACTTTTTTGATAGCAAATCATCGACGACGTTGTAGAAGGGAGTTTCGTAGACCCGAGTGCTCAAATCGATACCCAGCTCTACTTCTAATGCCTTGTCTTTGTTATCTTTGCCCTCAAGAAGTTTCCAAAAAAGTGTCTCAAAGTCTTTAGCACTGATTGATGTGTGCGTAAAGGCCTCATGGTGCTTTTGCTGAAGGTAACAGGCAAACGACCGATCACGTTCCACAAATTGGGATAATGAGTAAACACTTGTAGTTGGTGTTAAGGGTACGCCATCACATTGCACGTCCTTGTTCTCAAACATCGTTCTGATAATCAGATGAATCTGCGATTGAGGCAGTATCAGCGCCAGCTGTTGTATAGTGATTGGAAGCTTAAGGTCAAGGTGGTGTTGAGCATTCAAAAGGAATCCCTTCGCCAGTCGCGTTATGAGTGATTGGCAAAATGGTTGTGCCGATCCAAGAACCAATGGAGCTGATTTCTCTAATTTCGGTCGCTTTGGGGACGGCTCGGATGTCAGCATCAGTTCGTGTGACTCATACCGCTGGAGGATCGTCCCATAAGCATTGTAAAGTGCATTAATCGTATTCTCGTCGACAAATCGGTAACCTAATTGCTTTGCCACAATATGCCATGTATGAGATGCTGTGACAACCATAAAGCCACCACAAGTTTGGACCAGCTTGAATAGTCGGTATAAATCAAGCTGGCGGTTTTCAAATTTCGGGATCGTCGAAATAGTCGCTTGGTAGTCGCCACCCATGGATGCTATAAAATCAGCTAGCAGGCGATAAAAGTCAAGCCTTAGGGCAAGGTCATCATCTGGAGGGTTGATCACTTGTTTGGAGGTGTGAAACCACACTGAATCGATATTGAGTTGCGATGATGTACTCGATGGAAGTCGGAGTTTCAAGGCGCCATGCTCTTTTGCCGATTGGAAGTGGGTCTCGATAAAGTTGACAGGGTCACATAAATCACTTTCGCCTACTGTAAAGGTCGGTATTGATGAACGTATATCTCCTGTCACTAATAGATTAGGCTCAAGCATGCGCGGCGAGGTAGGAATGATAATCATCGGTTTGGTGAGAAGTCCCTCAAATTTGGAAGACGGAGAGGGGTCTGGTTGAGTAAATTGTACCGGGAGTTTGAACGGTCATCGCCTGTGATGTATCGTGATTGCTCCCAAATATAGTGTTGTCAGGGACGTGCCAAATATTTGTTATCCGGACGTACTTTACTCACTATTGAAATTTTCGCGGTTCGAACTTGTTAGCGAGTGGAAGTGATGAATAGCTCATTGAGATCATCAAGGTCACAATGATATTCAAGCCAAACCCCTCATGAATAAGTCAATACTTCACGAAGGTTTACAGTACACTAATGCCAGATGATGCAATTTCAGGAACCGCAATGCCCTAACGAAGAATTATGACGTTACGGATGTCGATGGTTCGATCCGTCGGTGTTTAAGTGGCGACATTTCCCTGAAATTAAGTTAATTCACATACAAAGAACTGCAGTGCGCCATATGATCCTAAATATAGGAAAATAGGCCACCAATGTGTAATGCAATGTATACACCATTCGACGATGCACATGGAACACGTGGTGGATGTAGAATCTGAGCTACATGTCGAGTTTTGCCCAATTACGAATTGCGTTCGAAACCTCAGCCTATGCTGTTGATGTGGGAGTTCTTATTTGTACGTAGTGATGGTCCTGTATACTATGCCACGCCACCTTAAAACGATGCTGGTATCTTGTCGGAAGCCACTTGCGTCACACCTTTAAATGACGTAATTGTGAGTCAAAGCATCGCAAGCTACCAAGTGAACGAAAATCTTGTCATTGTTGAAATGAAAAGACGTCAGCTGGTTATTTAACCTTATGTCCGTTTACCAAACTTCATAATATCTATAGTTTGTTTGACAACTTCCTTAATAGTGTGAGTTGCGTAGCTTTCGGGTTACCCCAGGAAAAGCTCACCACTACAAGCGTCTTCGGGAGGTAGGGGTAGGGTGTGTGTATAAGCGACATGCATCAACAAAGACATGGCATGTTTTATATGAACATCACCTATAATACGCAGTAACCAATGGGTGACCCGCAAACTCAAATAAAGTCAACAATACGAGAGAATTACGGAGACTATACTCAGATGAAGATCGTCGGTGACGAAAGCCGTAGCTCTGATACGATTCATTGTAGTGATCGTGGTGTAAACTTATCAAAGGTGTATTCATAACAATCTTCATCTTAGCTACGACTTTGTATTTCGCTTTTGCCTCATATTTCATTAGTTCAAACTACTTAGTGGGGTATTACACTTACAACAAAGCAGCGGCAACAGCGGCAACACCGGCGAAAGCACCGACAGCGGCCTTACCGGCGGCACCTTCGTAGGTGGGCACGGGGGGCTTGGATTCCTCAGCAGCGGTGGTTTCAGGAACCTTCGAGATGTCAGCGAGGGTGGTGGGCTTTTCGCATTCAACACATTCGGTCACGGTGGTTTCGGGGACCTTCGAGACTTCAGCTTCGGTTTGAGGAACCTTCGAAACAGACGCTTCGGTGGTCTTGGCTTCTTCGCACTCAACACATTCAATGACAGTTTCGGTTTCGTGCTTGGTGACGGTGGTGGGGATCACGCATTCACCAGTGATGGTGACGGTACCTTGTTCAAGCTTGGTTTCTTCAGCTTGGCACTTGTCTTGGGTGCACTTGGTGATGGTGATGGTGGTTTCCTCAGGGCAGTAGGTAACGAAGTCAGTGACGGTGACATCGGTGGTGATGACAGTCACGTTCGAGTAGCCAGCCAAGGCAGTGGCGGTAACGGCAGAAGCGGCGAGAATCTTCGAGATCATATTAAGCGAGTGTAAAGTTTGTGAAGAGTAAGGCTCGGGGAGAGTGAAATATTTATAGTGAGATTTCTGTAGTCACTAGGGCGCTCGACAATTTATTTTTTTCACGCACCGCCATGCATGGTCACAAACCCATTTAGTCGACCGCCGCCTCGCGCCAGTTTCACGTGTAGCCCCTAAGAAATCTACACGACATTTGCTGAATACACGCTGAAGTACCCCTCACTCCAAGGGATGGTTCTCATCATCGCATCTGTCGAAGCTTAAGTTGGTATTGTCCCTTCTATTTTGTGGCACCGATGCCAAATTAGCAAGATCCTGATAAGAGAATAAGCATCTTATATCTGACGTATATTGTGATAAACTAAACACGCCATCGTGCTCCCTCACAATCTCGACTTTGGTTGCTTTTTCGTGGCAATGTTTTGGTATCGGTCTTGCTCGCGCGTGGAGTCTCGCGTGTACGAATACAAAACTTGCGGCGGTTGTGCACAGAGGAGTAGTAGAAGTCGCGGTGTCCACCGTCACATTGTCGAAGAAATGCTGCCTTGAGAGGGGAATATGATTCAATACAAGAAGCGTCGTTCGTAATCTATCAATCAAATTCAATTTTTGAGTACGTTGATTATCGTTTTGGGCGGCGATAAGCGTGTTTGTGATTGGGGTAATTTGCCGAGGGCTCATACTCCTACGTGGTGGTGTAGAAGGGGTTACTCGACATAAACATCATACTAGTTACTAAAAATTAACTACAGATGCTGGCCGGCGCACTGCCGCAACCACCGCATAATTCATATCCGGGGTTCGAAATTTGAGAATTCAACTTCAGAACGGATCGCTATGCTATTATGATTGAAGTATTTTTGTATCCGACTATGACAACGAGTTACCAAGGGAGCCCGAAGTCCGCAATATTTGCACCAATAGGTTGTGTTTTTATCTCGGCGGTGTTTACCTAAATGGGGTGTTTTTTTTTGAAGATCCTCGTAATTTTAACTTGAGGCTAATTTATGCGCACTGGAAAATGGTCGCGTCGTCAACTCTACATATCGGCATGGGGACCAGTGTGGTAAATTTAGAACCATGATGTTTGCAACAAACTGTTCACGCTTAACGTAACTGCCTGATAATCCGAACACCAAAATCATTATTGGCACTCAGCAATCCGCAATGAGTAAAAATTTTATCCTACATACGTCATGAATACAAACAAAAACCAGTAAATTCTAGATATTTTTGATTTGAAACGCAATCTCTAACCGTGTATTAGACTCTCAGCGGCCCATTTTGTTTCACTAGAGGCATCGTTGTGTACATTTGTCGACGACGTTAACAGACTAGCAGATGCCACATTGCACACTGTGTTGCGAAGTCAGTCCATCCTTAACATCGCCGATCAAAGGTTACTAATAGTCAGTCAATGCTGCGTGATTTCGTTTACTGGTAGTTGCCAACCCGTGGAGATCCTGAAATGTTGTTCACTGTGTTTATTGATACTGCTTGTTATTCTTGTTTATTGCTCCCGGTTCCAGCCCAGTCTGAGCTCCTGCCAAATGACTCCTGCCAGTTAGCGGCCTACGCGTAAAGCTTGGCTTCAGCAATTTCAGCCTCAGTGAAGTCGCCCATCACTTGACCAAAGGTGTTTTCTCCAGAGTATAAGACGTACAAAAACCCGTCCTCATCCTTGTGTTCTTCGTAAATGGTCGAAATCAAAGCAGCAGTGGGAGGCAAGATGTCATTAACGAAAATGAAAATCGCCTTTTCGGAAGGTAACTTGATCCGCTTACGGATAACGTAGACAAATTGACCAATTGAGAGATCGACCGGGACGAGATACTTCCGCTTGTCGATTTCCGGTATATCTGAATTCTCCACCTTTTCACAAATCACCGGCACCCGGTCCTTGAAGCGCTGGGTGATTCTTGCCGCTTCGGCCTTACGCTTTTCTTGCTTTGTTAGTGTTCAATCTTAGAGAATTAAACTCCCGGAGTGAATCAATTGACACAACAGCCGTTGCGATATCCGTGGCACTTACCGAAAGGGTGTTCGTCTTTGAATTGGGATCTCATGGGTAAAGTATAAAGAATACTCCGATAGTGCAATCCTTATCGCGGGAGCACGGGTATGATCCTAGCGGTGGCGTGTACTGCACATAAAAGCAAAGAATGACCCAAGTATTAGTGACCCTAAAGTGTGCCCTTGCCCATTATGAGCGTGAATAAATTGTTCACGTGGTGAATCAATTGAACCTGGTCTTTTTGATGTTAATTACGTGAAGTCGTGGACCTCCCTGACTGTCATCGAATTGCTTTCTCATCCGTCACCAGATTCTCCAATTCACGCAGACCTACAAACACCATGGCCACCTTGATCTAAACTAACATCAGGCTATCTGTTTGACCTCCCTTTTTAGACTAAGTTACTCCCTGGAGGAGGTTTGTGGTAGTTGGACGACCTAACCTCGTAGCAGGCGCGCGTGGCGCGGGGGTCGGGGGCGACACACCAAACACGCGTTTTTATTACACGACCACCATCTCAAAATTCTCAATGCTCTCCACCATTAGATCGTTTTCCTCGTCCGCTATGCGGGCTCTGTTCGCCCGTGTGCAATTGTTGGGTACTGTGGGCAACGTCTACTTCAAGGAACTGCAGAACGGTACCAAATTCATCCTGTACTCGCTTGCGGTCAATCGCTACAACCCTCAAGAAGAATCCAACAAGCAAACCGACTGGTACAGCGTCGCCGTATTCGATGAGAAGCAAATCGCCACCTTTGAGAAGGTGTTGAAGCCAGGCATGCAGTTGTATGTCGAGGCTGACGCTAAGCAAAGACCTGTCACCGATGAACAATCGGGTGCCAACTACGTGTTCACTAGCTTGAAGCAGCGTTCGTTCGATGTGGTCAGATTTGCTAAGAGACAAGAAGACGTGGAAGAACAGCAATGATTTGACTAAAAAATATAGCAAACGTCTATTTTGTAATTTTAAAGTAATAAACATCAATAAAGGTTCTTAGCTGTGGCCAATTCAATAGCATAGGCGATTGTTAATTGAACATGTTCGCGCATATGTTCAAAGTCGAGACGATCCAAAGTATCCATCACACTGTGAATGTATTTGTTGGTATACTCATTGGCCAGCTCAATAACAAATGACAGAGGATAACCATTCTCGAGTGCCAGAGCGTGATCCAGACATGCGTAACCGCATTTATCTTCACGGTAAGGAATCAGATTATATGTTTCAATCAACAACTTGATAAAATTATTCAATTGAACATTGGTATAGTCAGTTATAAGCCCCATGTGTTCAGGGACGCCTGCGTCCTTCATACCTTGAGAGTATCCCGTCATATCCTGTTGCAACATACCCAATACCGTCTCCTTATTTTTGGCGTATCTCGAAAACACGTCAATCAGACCAAGCAAACCACCTTCTTCGGCCAGATAAAAGTGAAATTCCAAAGTGTTGGCGAGTTCAAGATTCTTCACTTTGATCTCGTGCACTAACAACCGCAAAGCTTCTAAAATCGTCACTGTGCCAGAACCATCATCATCAGCTCCGGGAGCCGCCATAAGTGTAGGGAAAATCAAATTGGCCAGGTCCTGATGAGAGCCAACCACCACCTTATCGTCACTCTTCCCTACAATCAGAGCAATGATTGAGTACTGACCCCATCCGTTATGATGCACCTTCAGAACATGCACATTCTTTCCTAAAGGAGCAGTTATCTCCTCAACTTTTTTGAATAACCAATCAGCACTGTCTTTACCTTCCAGAGACTTGTAGTATCTTGTACGGAATGATGTAAGCTCAGCCAAGTTCTTGCGGACTGTTTCCATGTCGATTAGTGTGAACACTTTCTTGACTCGCTTTTTGTTGTTAGCTGCCTTTGGATAGTTGTACTTGGGAATAGGGGCGATGTCGTTAATTTGCTTTCCCCAAATTTTAGGCAAGTTGAAGCTGGCTGATCTTTCCCCTACCAAACCTTGTGCGATGGCTTCATCAATACTGATTTGATTAGTTACATCGATGAAATTTTGCCCATTGCGTTTGAGGTGAAGCTTTTCGACTTCGGTGCTAATTTTGAAATCGTTAGGCCCAAGTTTGAGAAGACGGGCCTCATTGGCGTCGTCGCCGACGAACACTGTTTCCGCCCCCAAGTCGATAAACGCTGGAAGGGCACTGGCAACAGTCGCCAAGGTTATCACGGAGCTGAACAACATGGTGAAAGATAAAATTGAGTTCTAATCACTGAGCTCCCTTGCTGCCATGCGGCTCCACTCGCGCGGCACCAAAGAATCCCCTCACGGAGTATATAGAGGCGTCGCTATTATAGAATAAAAGAATTAGCATATCCATCATGAAACATTATCAGTATATTAAGAACTAGCTCAACACCACCACTTATAAATACGTTTCCACCAGGGCATGGCCTTGATGGCAGCTTTTTCCTCCGCGATTTCTTGCTTGACTAATTCCAAGTCAGTCTCGCGACGCCCGGTATCAATATCAATCTCTTTCAAGGGAATCCAGAATCTCCAGTTTCTCTTCCAGACCTTATGGACGATATAAAAGGCGAGAATGACGGGGATCGACAAGCATGATTGAAAGAATGCCTCAGCTGAAGGAGGGTCACCACCAAGGGGTCTTACGGCAACATACAATTGAGCCACAAGAATAAGCACGTTCATTGTGCAACCAATGATTGATCCAATTATTCCTGGTTGTGAGGTCCAAGTCAACTCATCGGTTCCTCTATTTTGAGACCTTAATGCTAATCTGAAGCGGATATGAGCTAAGTTGATCGAACCCCAAGTGAAAATCGACGATAATCCCGAAAGAGCAAGCATCCACGTGAACACAGTGCCTTGATCAGGGTAGGCTGCAAGGTAGCAGAGGAACCCAAAAATCAATTGAACAATGACTGCCACAAGAGGACGACCTCTTTTATCGATGTAACTCAAGATCTTGGGGGCTTGCCCCGCAGCAGCAAGAGCACAAAGAGTGCGAGAAGACCCGAATACCGCTGAATTTCCCACTGAAAGTACCGATATCATGATGACGACGTTCATGACCAGGTCCAAACCTGAGATGTGGGCGTTGACAATGGCTAAAACGAATGGCGATGCTGAGGCGTCGACCGATGATGAACCTAATAATCGGGGATCATTGTAAGGGACAAGACAAGAAACCATCACGAGCGAAATAACATAAAACAACGTGATTCTCCAGAACACTTGTTTAATTGCCCGCGGCATTGTTGCTCTAGGGTTAGCCGATTCAGCCGCCGCCAAACCCACTAACTCGGTACCAGTAAATGCAAAGGCTGCAACTACAAATACCGACAATAAACCCTTGAATCCGTTTGCCCAGGCACCAGGGTTATGCCAATAGCGCGAGCCCAATTTCTCACCTGTGGGACCACCACCACCAATGAGGACAAGGGAAAGAATGAAAAACCCAATGACAGCGATAACTTTAATTGCGGAGAAGATGAACTCGGCTTCACCGTACCCTTTGACCCCAAAAAAGTTGATTGCAGCGATGAGAACCCACATGATCGTGACGTATGCGGCTGGATTAGTTTCGGTATCCCAATACCTGATTGTCATACTCGCTGCAACCAACTCTAATGGCATCACAATTAACCATTGAAGTGCATAGTTCCATGCCATCGCAAAACCCCATGAAGGGTCAATAAAACGTGAGTTGTATGTGGTGAATGCACCCGAAACAGGGAAGGTAACGCAAAGTTCACCTAAGGATTGTACGGTACAATAAATCATGATCCCCACAAGGATATAAGCAAGAACTAAGCCTGCAGGTCCACCGTTATGAAGTGATTTCCCCAGACCAACAAACAAACCTGTCCCAATTGACCCGCCAATGGCAATCATTTGAAGGTGACGATTTTTGAGCAGCCGATTGAGCGGGGATTTGGCTGTCATTTGCGCAATTCTTTCATGTTCAGGGAGATTAGGATCAATGCCAGCATCTTCTTCATCAAATCTTCTGAAGCCATCCTTGAAATGCTCCCATCTTGACATATGGGGTTTTTCCGGGGTGTCGCTAGGAACACTACTCGAGCGGAGCAGAGCTGCATCCAGCTTCTCTAAGTCAAGTCGTGCCACCTCTGTGACAACATTCTCTTTGTCTTTCATCAGGTTAAACTTTGATTTACAGGTTTCGGTGGTATCAGATCCAATTAAATATACTTTTTTATCTTGGCTTAGGCTTGAGCGGTGAATTTGCCCAGCCTCCTTGTCTTGTCAAAACGCCGTACGCTCAAATCGGGCGAAATCAGCAAAACCGGAAAATTTACACGAATTCATGTGTGCCTGAAAAATGTGGGGTATTTTTCTCAGCCGTGGCGATGCTTCACATAGTTTCACCAATAGACTTAGCAAAGTGACTTGTTTAAAGCCTTTGGTGAATGTTCATGGAAGAAACACGTTGAACTTGATATCTATTCTCGAATCGACTGCCGTTTGGTTATCATCAAATGCTATCAACAGATGATATCTCGACTGCAAGAGTGATAGGATTAGCAGCAGAGCTGGATTGCTGTCGACGTTCAATCTTGAATTGCTTGTGCGTACGGCATTCTTCTATTCCCCACAATTCGCCAAGAACTCTTACGGCGTCGAGGGGGCTTTTTACTAGAAAGTTATTGTTGGCGACCATTATCATCACGTGACGTTACATACGGCGCTCTCCCAAATAATCTAATCTTGCGGAATACGATAAGGAATTTGCAACAACCTACACTCTTAATGATAGCAAAGTCGTGCATGGTTCTATCGGCAAGTTACATAAATGACGATAATATACGTGACGATCTACACACTACGCAAGTGTTTATTGAGTTATTGAGAGAGTCTTCTTCATCAAACTATCAACTAGCCGCGCCCTCGTTATTTGAACCATACAAGGTTGCTTTGGTTATTATTCTGAACCTACACATTTCGGCTTCTTGTATAGGCGTGAATGAAGTGTGAAGTGATCAATCACAGGACGCAGAATCTTACGGATTATCTACATTAAAACTGACTGTGCCCATCAGAAGATGAGATAACTAGTTGACGTGAGTACTGTCGATAAGAATTGAGCCGGTATCTTGCTCTCTACATATGCCACCATGGGATTGTCTAACAAGTGCATTATGTCATTACTTTTGATATTCATCGGGGTAAAAAATGAGTCTCTCCACACCCAGTTTGGTCAAGATAACTATGCGAATCACACCACCCGAAGAGCCGTCCCACTTGATCGCCTCCAGTAAAGCAGTCTTGATGAACGTCACGGTCTCGTCCTTTTCCATGTCTTGTTTGAAATTTTCGTTACACCAACCATAGATGAACGTAGACCCTGACCCAGCTATGGCATAATCCAGCTTGTGGATCAGACCCCCCAAGGGGATCTGGTAAACAGATCCACCGTTTTTATCATCGTACCCAGCGCAAATGATGCCAGCAGTAAGATTATCTTTGTTGTTATAGCACATTTCTTGGAATACATTGGCAGCAACTTCGGTGGTGGGTTTTTCACCGTAAGGCAACTGGACAGAGTAAATTTGAAGGTAATATTTCACAATATCAGCAATTGCTTGAGTATCAGCTGCAGAACCCAGTCGACAACAATAAATTGTGTCGTGAATTTGGGTCAACTTATCGGTGACCCTGTTGGCAATGTACGCCCCGGTTGTGGTGCGAGAGTCAGCTCCAAGAACAACACCATCTTTGAATTTCACAGCCATAATCGAGGTCCCAAGATTAACCTCCCCTTTCTTGAGGTGGTTAATGTCGACCGAGATTCCGTTCATGGTGTTTGCCACTTCAGTGCACTTGGTAGAAAATGAGTGGCGATTGAGACATCTATGTGCAGGATAAACAAGTATACAAATTTAATACACACAATAGTTGGATACTTAATTGTATTTAACGGGGTGTTGAACATCATTGTTGTAGCTTTCACGATACATGAGACCCCCCCAAATTGCCAATGCTATCAATGCCAAGATGAGAATGAAGATCGGAAGGTTCAGTCGCTCAGGGTTTTTAGGTGTAGGGTCGATTTTCCCTTGATTGGAGATCACTTTATTGGTGTTAGTAGAATTCTCAAGTCTTACTACTTCTACCTTCGTGATCTTCACTTCATCATTTAGCTTAGTATCAACTTGCGGCAGATTGGAAATGTTCATCAATACGTCAAAACCGTCGACCATTTGACCAAACACCACATGCTTACCGTCTAACCACGGAGTTTGATCGGTGTTCAAGATGAAGAATTGGTCTAAATTGGTATTCTTACCAGCATTGGCACACGATAAGCGACCAAGCTTGTCGTGCTTGAGAGCAAAGTTCTCATCGTCAAATCTGCCACCATACTTTGACTTTCCTCCGGCTGTGGCACCACCTTGAACCATAAAATTGGGAATCACTCTGTGGAACGGAGTATTCACGTAGCCATCGTCTTGTTCAGACAACCAGACAAAGTTTTCCACCGTTTTGGGGACTGTTTCGCCGAAGAGGGCTATCAGAAGCGTGCCCAATGGATTATTCTTCTGCGATACCTCAAACTTCACCAAATGAGTTACAGAGGGATCGCCTTGTAGGTGTTGTTGATATGCCTCCGGAAGTGTAGCCGAAACCAAAGAAAGAAGCAACGTTAAAACGAAGACCACTGAAGACATGTCAAGCAAGCGTGCGTGTGTACTCCGGACCCGCACTCAGTTGTGAGACTCGCGTTACGTCTACGTGTTATCAATAAATCTATGGCATATTCATGTCGATCTATATGGTAATTCCAATGCTAAGGTTACACAGAGAGGTCGAGCATAGTCAACAAGTAGTAGGAAAATAATGCTGCGAAGGTGTACCCACTAATCTTCAACGCTTTTTTGAGATATGAATGAGCAGGAAGACGATAAACAATATAGGCATTCACCCGACCCAAATCATCAAACATATTCTCGAACTTGAGCGTGACCTTGGTATGACCTTGAGCAACGTCCAAATACAGATACTCGTCCTCAACATCGACCTGCTTGTACTCAAGGGGTGCCAGAATGTTGACAAATTCAGCTCCCTCTGGCAAATAGAAGCTGAGGTAGACATTCTTGTAAACGACATCTCTGGCCGAGTTAAGTAAAGGCGCCCGCGCAATGTAAGTGTCCTCATCAATTTTATGAACAGCCTTACCAATAGGTTGATTCCATCCTAACGTGAAATTGTAGTGCCATCCACCAAAAAGAGGAAATCTGGGTTGCAAAACCAAGAAGTTTTGAATCTTTTTATGAGTCAGCACCATACCGACCTTGTCCGTAAAGTAGTAATCATCAAAGTCCGTATCAGCCATGGGAAACTCAAGTTGCTTGAGCGCCCAATGATCACGGGTAAGTTCATAACGACCATGCATCCAATCCACGCGCGAGAAGCCCTTATCAAGTTCAGCACCTTGGTTTGTAAGTTCATAGTACTCTTCGAATTGGACTTGGTCAGCTGCTGACGGAATCCATACCGACCGATGAAGATTTTCAACTTTTGCTAACGGCTGCTGATGTTCGTAAATCAAGCCGAAGGGTTCCACTGAAAATGGTTCAATGTCATCTACAATGGGTCCGTACACCAAAGCCTTTTCCTCAACTCTAGCTTCAATAACTGGATTGGCAGTGGCACGATCATCAAAAATTTCCGCCTCTTGACCTTTAGCAACCCCAATAAACCGAAGTGAATACTCTTTGGTCGAGTATGGCAGATACGGCATCTTGTTCAATTTGACGACCAATTGTTGCGAGTCCGCCATATCAATTTGCTTCGGCACTGGTTCAAGGCCTTTCAAGTACACATAACTGACGCGTAATTCAACACTGTCCCCAGGAGACACAGCCTTCGGCAACGTTATTTCGAAAAATCCGCTATCGAGCGCCTTCACCGCAAGTGTCGTACTATCAACACCCACCGAAATGATACTGAGGTCGTCGATAGCGTCAAAACCATCGTTGAGAGTAAAGTAATAGATCTTCTGCTTGGTGTCTCCATCATTGGTAATCTGAATGAGGTCAGTCTCCTTGACATAGCCTCGCGAAAGGTCAATTGTGCGGGCGTAATGAGTATTCTCCCAATTACCCACGTCACTGATGACTAGGGCAATGGCGAAGACCGCACCAAAGATCACCAGTAGTAATGCCGAGCGCATGGGATACTGGTTAGTTTGAAATTTTTCGCTGGTGCACGTCTGACGTTAGTTGAGTCCACGTCTGTTGGTGTGAGTTTTTTTCCATCCTGTACATTACCCGTTTTGAGGTGTACGCTACTTAAATTTGTTAAATCGACTCGCGACCACGCCAGTCTAGTCCACTTTTATGTTTGCCACGAGGGCGTCGTCATTGTCACTCAAGAAATCAATCTGAAAAGCGTTGATTTTGCCACCCGATTCATCGAAGGGTGAGGTAAATCGAAGGATTTCCAGTCTATGTTTTGTTTTACTAGAAGCAGTTAAAGTAATCAAACTGTCCTCGGTAGTCCGTAGTTCTCTCAGTGGCGCGTCCTCTTGCTTGAGGTACCGACCCCTTTGATAGGTTCGTTGGCCTGCACCGGAACTCGTGAGCGTCCGCACTATCTCTGATTCAGAGGTGAAAAAACTTGTTGCTACGCCAAATGTCATTTGAGGATTTGATCCCAGTGGTCAACAAACTTCAGGATATCGTTACTACTACTCAGGTGGCAGATATTGATCTTCCTTTACTTGCGGTGGTTGGTTCACAATCCTGTGGGAAGCTGTCGGTACTTGAGAACATCGTCGGGAGAGATTTCTTGCCCCGCGGTACTGGCATTGTCACTCGGCGGCCGTTGGTCTTACAGTTGATCAACATCAAGGAGGATGACCCGATCGTTCACCAAGTACCCCAACAGGATATTACCACTTCCAACGGAGAAATCAACCTCGAAGATCACTTGCGCAAGTCCAAGGGTGGCGCATCCCGCACCGCCACCGAATGGGGGGAGTTTTTGCATGTACCTGGAAAGCGATTCTATCTGTTCAATGATATCAGGGGCGAGATCGAGCGGGAAACTGCGAGGATCGCTGGTCAAAATAAGGGTATCTCCAGACTTCCCATCAATCTCAAGATATACTCTACCAGAGTGCTTAACTTAACGTTGATTGACTTGCCCGGTCTCACTAAGATTCCTGTGGGCGACCAGCCCAGTGATATCGAACGTCAAACGCGCAATTTGATCATGGAATATATCTCCAAGCCCAACTGTATCATTTTAGCGGTGTCACCCGCCAATGTGGATCTTGTTAACTCAGAATCGCTTAAGTTGGCTCGTCAAGTTGATCCTACCGGGAAACGTACCGTCGGTATTCTTACAAAACTCGATTTGATGGATCAGGGAACCAACGCTGTTGACATTTTGAAGGGCAATGTCTATCCCCTCAAACTTGGATTTATTGGTATTGTGAATCGTTCCCAACAAGATATTGCTGACAACAAGCTGTTAGACGACTCACTCTTTACCGAGCAGCAGTTCTTTGTTAACCATCCAGCGTATCGGCTGATGCTGAACAAGTGCGGTACGAAGTACTTGGCTTCTACACTTAACAAAATCCTTATGAATCACATTCGTGAAAGATTGCCCGACATCAAAGCCAAGCTTAACACCTTGATGGGTCAAGCTGAGCAGGAACTTGCCCTGTACGGCGACATCCCACTGGCGCTCACTAGCTCCGGTGAGGCGCGGGGAGCTATGGTGCTTACCCTCATGACAAAATTCGCTAATTCCTTTGTTCATCTGATCGACGGGACTCAGGTTCTGGACTTTAGCACCAAAGAACTTTGTGGTGGTGCTCGTATTTACCACATCTACAATGAGGTATACGGTAACCAACTTGCAATGATTAACCCTACACACAACCTTACAATCCAAGATATTCGGACTGCTATACGCAATTCCACCGGACCAAGAGCATCATTATTTGTACCTGAATTGGCATTCGACTTGTTGGTGAAGCCTCAGATTAAGCTTCTCGAAGAGCCGTCGAAACGCTGCGTTGAATTGGTTTACGAAGAACTTATGAAAATAGTCCACAATGTTTGTTCCCTGAGCATTGGTCTTGAACTCAACCGTTATCCCAAACTCCAAGCTAAGTTGATCGAAGTTGTTCTGGACTTATTGCGTGAGCGTCTTGGGCCGACCACCAAATACGTCGAACTGCTTATTGAAATACATCGGGCCTACATCAATACTAACCATCCCAATTTCATTGGAGCTGCTCAAGCAATGAACTCGGTGGTGGAGGAACGCCAAAAGCAGAAAGAGTTGGAGTCCAACAACAAGTTACGCTTGGCTAGCGAGCGGATTCTCAAAAGCAACCTGACCAAAAATCAGGACGAAGAGTCGGAGGAAGACAAAGACGAGCTGGAAGACATCAACTCTGTTGACGACGTAATCAAATCGCCCAAGCATCTGCAATCTCACCAGAGAACTAGCCTGAGTCTGACGGTACAAAGACTGGTCACTGGAGTTCATGAAAACCAAGAATCCTACCTCAATTACTTCTTTGGTAAAGATCCTTTGGTTCATCAACAGCAATTGCAACAACAAGCTCAACTCAACCCTACTCCATTCAAATTCCCTCACCCTCATGAACAGACATTGCAGTTCATTGGAAGCAATAACTTAGATGCGCTGATGTCGAAATTACTGATGAATGAGGACGACTCAACCTCCTTTGAAACCGACGATACCATCAATGAATTGAGTGAGCGCGAGCAGTTGGAATGTGAGTTAATTCGTCGTCTTATTATATCTTACTTCAGCATTGTGCGCGAGATGATTCAAGACCAGGTACCTAAGCTGATCATGTGCCTTCTCGTGAATTATATTAAGCAGCATATTCAAAATCGCCTCGTGGTGAAATTATATAACGAGTCGATGTTCGACGAATTGTTGCAAGAAGATGAGAGCATTCAAGCTGAGCGAGAAAAGTGCATCGAAATCTTGAAGACCTATCGGGAGGCTTCGAACATTATCAGCGATGTTGTCTGACAAGTATTCTGTATATAATCAAACTTAAAGGTTTGTAGATCATCCAGAGTCAACGTAAGCTAGTTCACAAACACTGATATCGTCTCCAACCCACCAATAACACGATTCAGAGAGAACTTGTACTCGACGGTTTTTGTAGGTTCTTGAGTGAATTCATCTTCATCCTCAATGAGAATCTTTTTCATGACGCCCTTTCTTGTAAGTAAACGAGATTGGTGCACTGGAAGGTGGGGTATGTCAATTCCCGACTCGCTTAGATATTGGAATTCACTTCCAGTTAACATATCATTATCAATACGCACAGCGAGTATGACTTTTATAGGTATGTTTAAAGTATATTTGTCCTTTGCCTTTGTCTTGGTGAGCTGTACTACCTTTTGTTTATCCTGCAATAGTTCAGAGAGCGGAGATTCAAGTAAAGCTTTGGACAACTCAGATCTAAGTGTGTCATTAACAAGCACCGACATTTGATGAGATGACAACCGAGCATGGCTAAATTCTCTTAAGGTTACCTGCGACTTTCCATTGATTGTCACAAGCAGATTGTCCTTGCTAGCTCGATTGATAAACACCTTAAGTGGAAGAGTGGTTTGCCCCACCTTGATGAAAGTGGTCTGTGGAGGCATGTGCCGGTCTCGGGGTGTCAATTTGTTTGGAGTTCCCTCGATCTTCTTTGATCTTCTTTGATCTTCTTTTATGCTGTCACAGCAAAACGCAACCTTACAAAACGCGCACTTCGGGTCGCGTCGTATACATGGCCAGCGTTTAGGATAAAGGACCACTATAAAACTCACATCCGTGCTATAATCCTCAAGCTTTGTGCAAGCATGCTCTGTAACTACGTACTATTGTGATCAGAAATTCGAAACGACGTTGTGTTTTCGATAGAATTCATCCATAATGCAGTGGCGAGAGGGGCTATGCGAGTCATTCCAGAGAATTTTGCCACCGGCATGCGACACACGCAACAATATCGGATCAGCTGTTATCTACACTGTAGTTGAAATCATTATCCTAGTATATTAGTGACTACCAAATACGAACTATCACTTCGTGTTACTCTTCGTGTCGTCGTCGTCCACTCGTAACTGAGAGTCGCATCAACAAATTAATGGAGCGCCAGGCTCAGTATACATCAAGCGACGTGACACCAAAGGTTCATCAAAAGAAAAGAGAATTAAAACGGATGCTCGTTTTTTTGTGTTTTCAATTTTTCTCCTTTTTTTTGAAGTTTTCCTTTTTCAAGTAACAACTTAATTTCCGTAAGTTAGCATCAAATTAAAATCATCCCAAATAATTAACCCAATAGAATTGAAACCATAACCTCGAATACACCTCGTTACAAAGCCAAAAACTCTTCAATGTCGAGGGCCTGGTCAAGTTCAGGAGAAGCTTGTTCCAGGGGAGCCGACAACATATCAGTAAAGTTGACTTCATTAAATCCGTCAAACTCGGGAATGGTTGGTGCAGCAGACCGCGGAGTCACCATTTGCTACGATGCTATGAATCTCATCAACAGATATCTGATTTCACATAAAGTGGCCGCCCGGCAACTTTATCGAAAACAGATACTGGACAAGACAAGCAGAGCGATGGTGATTCCTGGCACAAAGTTACTGCTGAACTTTGCTCCATTAAACCATACGAGTTCTCGGGACTTAACGACTCGGGATTCAGAGTTAAGGTCAAATCGATTGGGGAATTGATAGGCGAATTAATTGACACCGGCGACAAGTAGTTGTAGTAGGTAGTATCCTGCACAGACATCGAATCTTCATCATCTGCAGCGGCAACTTCATCATAAGTTCGCTTGTTTGAAGGCGTCTCCATAGGGGACGGAATAAATTCTTCCTTCACTTCAATTTTTTTGGACCCAGTGAGGTTAGTGGAAATCTTTTCCTTCAAATCCAGACACACCGACACAGACGAGAGCTCACCAAGATCAGCAATCTGTTGCGGAGACAACTTGGCGTAAACAACGTCGAAATTCGTTTGGACCTGTTGTAATTTGTTCTCAAGTTCAAGAACGTAGGCCTCAAGATACTCGACGTGTTTTCTCTTCTTTTCCCGTGAAGCGTGGGCGGCTCTCCGATTACGAAGAATCCGTTCCACTCGACGTTGTTCCTTTTCCTCCTCAGTCTTAGCCCGCTTTCTCGGAGGCAAAGTAGACTTGAACGAGGCATCGAAGGGCACGTCTTCTTGTTTCACAGTGATGTCGGTGGACATGGTCAGTTGATTCAACAAAAGTATTGCAAAAAAAAGTGTGTTAATGATTAGCAATTCACAGGGTTCTGGAGGAAATTTATATGTGCGCGGGTGGGCGACCGTGGGATTGACCGCAGCACGACGAGAGGGGTTTTTTCTGCCTGGAGGCGNAACAAAAAAAAAAAAAAAAAAAAAAAAGTTTGCGTCATAATGACGCCTCTATAAAAATAGTATAGGAGACGACTTATACTCGGCAATGGCACCGTGGCGCTGTCGCGTTGTTGCGCCGTCGCGCTTTGGCCAAGATGCTTACGTAGACAACAACGTCACAGCCTTGATAAACTCACCATAGCCGAGTTTCGTTGTCATCAAGTATGATACATATGACGACGCGTACTTCGCGATATATAAAAAGAAAACAATAGGAGCGTTTGTCCCCGCTCTAACTCTAACCTCGCCCTCACCATCTTACCGACTGCCACATGCTGCCCAATGCGTTAAATTTGCTCCGATTCGGGGTTTACTCAGTGTTTCACGCCACTATGATTTCACGCACCACGCCACCTCTCAACCTGTACATAACCGCGACCCAGAGTTATTCGCACATGGTTCTAGATTTATGACCCCTCACGAGAGGGCCCCCACGGTGTCACACTTCAACCAACAAAAGCGCATCGTAAGCTCTCATTCTCTCCGCATCTTTAGCAACATCGCCAAAGTGAGTAAGCTCGACTACTTGATGAATCGAATTTCGTCAGGAAACAAATTTTTGATTTCTCTATACACGGCCTATGAGACTCCTCACGCTTACCCCAAATGAATATTACAGCATGCGGCGTCGACGATTTTTCACTACTCGCTAATAGAGGTACCGTGATCAAAATAATACATCCAAACCTACAAGCTATGGGAGGAACTGTTCTTTCAATACAGTCGCACGTAGCTCACGGATACGTCGGCAACAAGGCAGCAGTGTTCCCCCTTCAATGTCTTGGTTGGGATGTCGATGTCGTCAACACGGTTAACTTCTCCAATCACACCGGGTATGGAAAAACCCGCGGCACCACTATGGACCCCAATGAACTACAAGATATCTTCTCCCAGCTCGATAGTCGGCTTAACCTTTCGTACGATGCTATGCTCACGGGATATATACCTAACGCCGCCCTTATTCGCGCTATAGGACGCCACGCCCACAATGCCAAGCAGCGCACACCCGATATGATGTATTTATTGGACCCAGTTATGGGGGACAATGGTTACATGTATGTGGATAAACTGTGTATCGACGAATATCGTACTATACTCGAATCACGAGTCGTTGATATAATAACTCCCAATCAGTATGAGCTTGAATTGTTAGTTCAATGCAAAATTGATACGCCTCAGCAGTTGGAAAAGGCAATGGACCATGCGCATCGTCTGTATGGCGTAACCTATTGTGTGGTGCTGCTGGTAACGTTTGGCAATTCGACGTATTGTGCTTTCAGCACCCTTAATCAGCCACCTAAATTGTTCCACATTCCCCTCATCAAGCTGTATTTCACAGGCGTTGGCGATTTGTTTGCCGCCGTCCTTCTTGATCGACTCTATACATCCCGCAATATCGAGACCGCATTGCTGGAAGTTTTGGAAGTTATGGCAAAGACATTAGCTTTAACTCATAAGGCTGGGGTAGACGAATTTCACCGCGAGTTCCCTGGGCAAAGCATCGAAAGTAAAATCAATGACGGAACCACTATGAGGTATTTTGAATTGCGAGTCATTCAGGCCAAATCCTATTTCCACCTTAAAGAATCGCCATTTAGAAGCCAACATTTGGATCTGGTTTCAATTTCTTCCATTGCATAATAAATCAATCGTTCTGCCGTCATTCGCGCTATACATGGTGAAAAAAAAAAAGTAGTCCAATTGATCTTTCCGTCGATTGCATCTCTTAAAGCCAGTGTGGGGTGAAAAGATCTAGGAAAAGAAATGAAAAATGTACTCGTTATTGGTTCTGGTGGTGTTGGAACCATCGCTGCTCTCCTGTTGAGCCTCAATCGAAAAGCCAACGTGACTTTGGTAGTGCGGCTGGACTACGACAAAGTAAAAGCTGAAGGTATCTCGATTCGCTCAAAAACGTATGGGAGCATCGATGGGTGGAAGCCACAGAACGTAGCTCGAAGCGTAACCGAAGCGGCCGAGTTATTTGGCCCTTTCGATTTCATTCTTCTCACGACCAAAAATATTCCTGATGGGCCAATGACTTGTGAAGATGTGGTACGACCAGCGGTGCTGCCTCAGCTGGTAATTATCATGATGCAGAACGGTTTGGGGATTGAAGAACCCATGATGCAGGAGTTTCCTGACAACATCATTCTTCTGGCGGTCCTGCTTATCGCCCTGGCCTACAAGAATGGTGTTGTAGAGAACCCTGGCAAAGATCATGTAACTTTGGGTGATTTTAGAGCAGCTCATAAATGCTCTTTACCGGGTACAAGGGACGCGATGGAAGGGTTCATTGAGATTTATCGTAACCCCGATCAGAATGTAAATTACATTGCCATAGATGATGATTGTCGCACCACAAGATGGCAGAAGTTGGTTTATAATTCAGTGTTCAACGTTGTCACTGCCATTCTTGAAACTGATGTAACCCGCTGTCAAATAGCTGGCCTAAATGACTCATTATTCCGCCCAGCTATGCAAGAAGTCATCGATATAGCCGCTTCTGAAGGGGTTACTATTCCCAAAGACACCATTGAAAGATTTATTCATATCGGTGACGGGATGTTTTATTCGCCGCTGATGTGTGTTGATCGTCGCAAGAATCAGTTGATCGAAATGGAGGTCATTTTGGGTAATCCTTTACGAATCGCACGGAAGAATGGCGTACAGACTCCGATATTGCTGGTGTTATACCAGTTGTTGAAAGTGGTTCAGTTCAAGACCAAAGAAGCGACAGGTGCCATCAAGATTGATCCAAAGGACTACCAGTACAACTCAGACGATTACCCCAATCTCTAGTTCCAACAACACCATGTAAATAATAGAACACCGGAATTAGCCTAACACCTTTGTACTAAATTGATGATGTGAAATAAGCCGAATCGGGATGTTTTTCCCGAATGGTGTGTCGTATCCCATGGTTGTCCCTAATGGGGAATTTCTATTTCTAGCCGGTGCCACATGAATTCGATGTATATACCAGGGCCATGCATTAAGGTGCGGCTGGTTTAAACGATTTACACGCACATTACGTCCCCTGTCTCAGGCGATTTGACATTACTGTTTCATTAAATGTATAAATGGGTATTGCGTAGATTAAAGGGCCATCAACCCCAATGCCATCAATACCGGGGTAAAGAAATACGACCAACTGATCGCCAACGTGGTGGCAGCACTAGATTTGCGCTGCGTTGCCTGTTCCGTAGTTTTGGCATTTATCAGAGAGCTGACGATCTCTTTTCCTGCCGCCGAAGTTGTAGTGGTTGAATTGCCGAAAACATAGTTATTCAACTCGTAGAATAAACCTTTGTTTTCGAGATCCGTTACAATATCACCCACCGCCAGTGCGTACACACCAAGGCCTTGCATAAGCAGCGTGAAGTTACCAGCTAATACTGCATCTAACAAGCCACCAAAATCGACATTCCCTAACAAATTCTCGCCGACCGCGATGATTTCGGTGAAATTGACTGAGGTAAGCAACCTGGTGAGGTTCAAGTTGATAGCGCCAGTATTCCAAATGTCGACGACAAAATCTTCGGTCATGTTGATGTATTTGTCGTTGCCAATAAATTCTTGAACAACATACACTGCCACGCCGGTGTCGTTGAGGGCATTCAAAAAGTCACCAACAATGTTCTCCACGAGACCAGACCCCAACACCCCCAGTAAGACGTTGGTAATAAGTAACCCTAAAGTACCGAAGTTGGTAGTAGAGTTACCCGTGCCAAAAGAGATATTAGTCGCAGTAGGCTGAGGTCTGGTTGAAGTAGTGGTAGCATTGGATGAGTTGGAATTACCGAAAAGAGCACCAAGAAAGTTGGCTTGGGTGGCGGTCACGGTGGTCGAGCTGCGGCTGCTGCTGCTGGAATTAGACCTTTGTGAGGTGGTAACAGTACGGACAGTACTCGTGTCATCGCGCGATGTGTGTGACGCCGATTGGGTCGAGACTTGATTGGTGTCGGTAGTGGCAGCATTTTGGGCACTGGCTCTGGTTTGAGTTGACGAGCTAGCCCCGCCAAAGAGAGCATCAAGCCAGTTGACTCCAGTGCCAGCTGTCTCAGTGATGGTAGTCGTAGGCGATTGCCGAACAGGAGTAGTCGAGGCAACCACAGTAGCAGTAGTAGTAGGGGAAGGAGCTGCGAAAAGAGCATCAATCCAATTGCCTGTCAGCGTCGTCGTGGCAGGTTGGTTATCTCCAAGTAAAGTGGAAAACAACGCCAGCGCACCAATAGTGTTGTCGCCATTAGGGCTTTGCGTGCCTAATAGTTCAGCAAACAAACTGGAGCTTGCATCATCCCGTTTTTCAAGAAGACGCTTAGCAATTTCTTGTACCTCAGGCTGTTGCAAACGTTTATCGACCCAAGCTTTTATGTCGTCACGGTTGAGTTCAGTTATCGCCCGTTTTTGCAGCGATCCTAAAATATCTTGAAAAACATAACGTAATGCTGGGCGCAACAGCATGCCCGCGTTGTAAATCAAGCGCTCTAATTTGGGACGGAATGTTTTGTCCAAAAGGATACCATCTGCAATCAGTTTCACAAGTCCCAGATCGACCACGGCGTCAACAAGCCCCAGCAAGTTGAGCAGGGTCATCAATTTACCATAGTCAAGTCCGTTGAACAGGAGATTGATAGAGCCCGCTCCGTCAATCAATTTGCCCGTGGCGTTGGCCACTGCCTGCAATCTTGTAGAGTTATCGGCAAGCAAGTCAAGTGTCTTGAAAATGATGCCCAGATTGTTCACAGCAAGAATGAGCAGCTCAAGCGTCAGCTCCATATCTCTTTGGTCCAAGACGAAGGGAGTGACGACGTCAGTATCAACGCCTCTGATCTCGAACTGAGTGCCTGGTTTCGGCAGTGGCGCCGCCAATGCGGTTAGCGCCATTACCGCTGAACACAACACTTGACGGAACTTCATGACAGTTTTGCTTTCATGTGCTGAGGGCGACGGGTGACTTTTATTTGGTCAGAGCTGCCATCGGACCCCACCACCAGGTTGGGTAAGTACTGAGCTGCATTGACCACATTAGGAAATGTGACATGCAGGCTGACATTGACTTAGCGCGAGCATGTCTAAACAAAACGAGTATAACCACTCGCCACGGGACACGCTGCAAACCCATACGACTGATCGCAATATACCGCCCAATTGAACGCACCACCATTAAAAGGTATTAACTGATGGAAGAAGTTTCCACCAACGATAGCCGTTTTTGGAAGACATTCCCATCGGGGAACCTGCATCGAGGGTTTAGTGCGACACGCCGTATTTAGATATACTCTGCTGTTTGTAACTCGATCGGGAAATTTATCGAAACCGTCTCATTCTTCTCCACGCAAGTACATTATATAACCATTGCCACAGCCCTTCCTCTCCATTTTAAGGTCTCTCGTTAATTTTTGACCATGAGGTTCTCTCGAGTGCTTCCGTGGGCAAGCACCTTACTTTTTGTGACGGCCGAGCCTGGTCTCACCAATTTTGATATTCGTCAAGACCTTCACCAACTGGATGATGCCCCGGAGGTACTCCAGTTGATTCAATCGTTCTGGGACCTGACTTTCGAATCGGAAAGTCCCAACGCGAAGCGGGACCTCGAGTCCACTGTACAGAACTTGGCTATAACTGCAAACCAACTGGGAGTTATCTGGCAAGTGTTGGACTCGTTATACGAGAATCCAAATCAAGTGGACCTGATTGGAACTATCGCTGGTAACGCCTTAAAGGGACTCGGTGTCTTTTTGAACTCTGGCTCCCTCGCGGCGTTAATCGACGCTGGCAAGCCTTACATCAATCAGGTTTTTGATCTGGGTTTGATACAAGGATTGGCTAGCTACTTGTTTTCCGATCAAAATTTGAATATCACCGCAGACTCACTCGGAAATTTGTTGCGGCTGCCAAACTCTACATGGTTCTCTCAGCTATTACTAGACATTGGCGATGGTCAGGGCATCCACATGGACCACATCAACTGGTTGATATTGAACAAGAAATCCGCTTACCCCGAAACAGCAAACAATATTGTTACTGACTCCGTTTTTGGGAACCCCAACGTAAAAGCGAAAAGAGCGGATGACGCCAATGGCAATTATACTGGATCACTTCAACAGTTTCTTGGAAACATCGTATCACTGGTGGGTAATTCCAATGTGTTGGCAAATTCCGTCGGTGCCATCACAGGTGGTTTGGCGAAGCTGGGCGTTTTGGGCCCTATCTTGTTGCGCGTGCTTAATACAACTGAATATAGCGACGTATTGGGCGAATTGATTCTGGCAATCAACGCCACAGGCGCACTCAATATCGACGTTAACACCTACTTTGACCAGTTGAAAAAACTGGGTGTGATGAGTGATGGGGTGCAATTCATCATCTCCGACCCTACAGTGGCACCACCTCTAGGACTCTTTTTCCAACGTTTGGAGCTTACTGGGGCGTACCATGATGTGCAACAAAATCTTTACGGACCTAGCGAATTGAAGAACTAAGCGTCCGGTACGTGATCGTACTAGCATAATACCCGTTAGCGAGCTGGGCTAGTAAACGCCTTACTTAATTCGGAAGTCATCAGGATGTCTTTACAATTACGAATTCTATAGATAATGTTTTTCAACACACTTCATCTTTTAAGCAGAAACCAATTCCTAACTATCTCATATTCTTGTATTTTTTTTCATTTTAATCCCGTCAGTACTGCTCGTGTCCTGCGTTATTGAGCTAAACTTCACTTGTCAAAGCTCTTTTGGCGGTCAGAATTCCACGAAGTTTTACAAACGTCACCTCGAGGAGAGACAATAATATCCTTAACTGTCTATGCATTCGTATACTCATAACTACCAGCCCAATGAACTCATAATACCGTAACCTACAGTGAAAATGATCACATAGGCAATTATTGAAGCTGGTACCCCTCTTGTGATGAACGTGTTCACCGTTAAATATGGCTTACCAACTTCATCGCGCATAGAAATAGCAGTGACATTTGGAAACCCTGACGTCGGCAACCCCATTGCAGTTGAAGAAATGAGGGCAGTCCCCATGATCAACAAGGCCGGGTGAGGTGTTGGCAATGACTCACCCACTTTCTTGACCAACGGAATGATGATTAAAGCCGCCACTGTATGCGACACAAATGTAGCAAATACGAGCACCAACGCACCGAAAATAATGAGAATGACCATTGCTGGGTACGTTTCAATGCGACGTTGCAACGACGTGGCGATAGTGGCCAACAATCCCAGGGAAGTCACAGCCTTACCTAATGCCAACCCCCCCATAGCAAGAAGAACGATACCCCAGGGAAAATTGTTCAAATCATCAACCTTCAACATACCCGTGCCGAAGAAAAGAATCATGGGAATAATTGCAATAATACCAGATTCCCCGAAAGTGGATTCGATTTGCGTAAGAACGCACCAAAGAATAATAGTGGCAATAGTCACAAGAGTCACGTACCATTGCTTAGCAGTGAACTTGTCCTTGATGGGAGTGTACTTTTGTAACTTGATCGTTTTGATTTTGAAAGTAAGGCAAAGTTCTCCCCAAATGCAAATCAACGTGATGATGGATACAGGCAAGGCGACAGCAAACCAATTACCCCAGCCTGGATTGGGATTCATGTAAGAAATCGCAATAACATTTTGAGGTGAAGCGATTGGAGAAGCCATCCCCGCAACGTTGGAAGCTAAGGCCACCCCTAAGACAAGAGCTTGCGTGAAAGGAGCTTCTGTAGGTATTGTTCGTAACACTGGCTGAATCAAGGAGTAGCACAAAACAGGCGCAGCCACATTAGAAATCCACATAGCCAAAAATAAAGACACCGACATGATGGCTAACAACACATTGTGCGGCTTGGTTCCTGCAAAAAACAAAATCCACAGAGATACAACCTTCGCCACATTGTATTTCGATAAAGCGGCAGCAAGTGTGAATCCTCCCATTAACATCATAATAACTGAAGACCACATAGTCGACAAGATATATTTAGAAGCGTCAGCTGCATACATTGGTTCGTTTGAGCCATCAGTTTTTTTGATAATTTGACAAGTGACGCAAAGAAGTGGTACCAACATAGACGTGATATAAAGAGGCAACGCCTCCAGTGCCCACAACATCGCAGAGGCCACTAATACGGCTAAACAGCGACCCTGAACAGGATCATTGAATGTTTTCACTGTGATTAAGATGACAAACGTGACAATGGTAATAAGTAACTTGAGCACCTGCCAAGAAACAAATGCCTTCGGATAAGCTATTCTCTCCCATTTGAAAACCTTACATGGTAAGTTGATATAGTCGACATCAAGGTACATCATACCCGACTTCTTCCCTTCATCTCCCATTCTCTCACCCGTAGCGTCGGCATCAAGACTCAAACCATACAGCCGCTTTTCAAGAGATAACATGTCTTTCCATACAGTGTTGCGCTCCCATACAATATGTTCCCGCAAATTCAGCTTCAACTCATTCTTGATCTGTGCCAAATCACTCACAGTCGTCTTCACATTGAGGCGACCCAGCAAAAAAGCATAAACCTTGACCATTTCATTAATACGGCGATCTAACTCATCCAAAGTGTCAGAGCCGAAAACTCGGCAATTGAGAGGTAAGAAGTTGTTCACAAAGTCTTCCTTAATGGCGTACTTGCAAGTTTTGTCGAACTTCTTGCAGATTTTGGTGAAAGCAATTTTGTTCAACTCGATGTACAGCTTTAGTTCCAGCAATTGAATAAATAGGTGCGCCAGTTGCTTCTTCAAAGTAATCTTGGTTTGCAGCTTGATATTGAAGTCCATGTGGCTCAACAAAGCTGAATTTTTATCGGGTTCCTCATCATCGTCGTCATCGTCATCATCATCTTCTTCATCGTCCTCGATGGTCTCAGAGACAAAAGGCTGTTTTTCAAGGTCGTAATTGACATCTTGATCAATGTGATTGATGGTGTCAAAAACCAGCTTATTCAGCACTGTTCGCAGCAATGTCAGACGCACAGTGTACTGTTGATGACCTTCCTTAATCTCAGGATTATGATAAGCTTGCGTAAAACGAAATTCTTCTTCAACGTCGATATTAAATTTCCTTAAATCAGCGATTAAGTGATCGTACAGCTCGTAGATTTCAGCCTCTTTGATCTCATAAAATTCCAGTACTTTTTTCAATTCCTCCAATAACAGCTTAGTGAACACCTTGAGCGCGTCAAAAGCCGGCAGCTTGGGATCCAGATAATCGTCCTTCAGCAGACCCAGGGCATGCGACGTGAACGTCATGGCACGGGTAAGGTCATAAGAAACTTCTAAAGTTTTCAGATTCTTCTCTTCCTCTCCATAAGTGGGTTCCAGTAGGTTTTGCTGCAGCTCAGTGTCAGAATCGACTAGATTTTTGGGATTCCGCTTGAATTTCGACAATAAACGGTGTTTTAAACCTTTGTCGTTGCCAGAGATATGGTCGACAGCTTCGCTTTGCAACTGGGCCATCTCTTGTCGAAATTTGGCCAGATCCACTAACTCCAGGACCGTGGCATGATTAGTTTGATCGATTAATACCAGTCCATCTTGCGGGGACACAAATTTGAGTTGATCTTGTTCAAGTTGGTAAACCTGCTTCTTGAGAGTCGGATAGGCAACATAATGGTCTTGCCACTCTGGTACAACGTTGAACTTAAGCGAGTGTGAGAATTTCATCGCGTCGAAGTTTACTCGCCAACAATGGAATTGGAAAGGAAATTATAGCACTCTGACTACCAATAAAAAAAATAATTCGCCCTTGAACTAGCTGCATAACAAGATGTGGTCCTAAAACAGCGACTCGAAATATCGATCTCTTTGATGAAGTCAAAGGGCTCGGCAAGCGATAATTTTCTCCGATTTGCTAATCAAGAAACAGCTCGATGAAAGAGCTATACCCTCTTGTCTATGAATACGGATATCTCACACCTTCCATTACGCGATGACCGAATGGAGAAAACGTACATTACGTAATTGCACACATCGCCAACAGAACTGGGACGTATAAGCACTTTTGCAACACTCTGAGAAGACTTAATCAATGAATCTCAGACTTTCCAAAGTTTACTTCTTTCAAAGTTCAAGCTCCCCGTTTTGTAGTGTCAGATGAGATACAAACGTAATAGTCAAAAACCGCCAAACTGTGCCTCGAGGAAATTGCCGAGAAATGTGGACCGCATGTAATAATTCAAGAGGACCCACGTGGGGTCTCCATCCAACACAGTTGATTTTTCATCGCTGTGGCCAAATTAGTCCAATGCCGTGGAGGCCGCATATGCCGCGGATGCGACTGTCAGTCAAGCAGTGCTGCACGAGCATTGAGAGCAGCGAGTTCGTTAGGCCATAAGAACAGGTAAAACAGCCAGGTATAAGTAACCGGCATCATAGTGACTCACTCCTCTTTCTTTGGCACAAATTTACTTGGGACATTTGCTGATTAGTCGGAGACATCTTGATGACATAAACAACGTCGGCATGTTAGTATAATCAACAGCTTGAATCAGATACCACTTCCATGAAGCGTCACATCCAACATTTCAAAGCATATTCAATCGAAAGCTGATCTTTCAAAAATGTCGGTAATGCATTTTTAAGATTTCTTTCTCTCGATACTCCTCAAAGATTCCCTTGGGAGCTCATGTAGTACTCAAATCCTTTTAGTCTCCAGCAATCATCCAACTTAGTTGAGGTAGAGTAAGAGGGGATTCTTGTGAAGATCTTACGGATTTATGTAGTGCCAATTCTGTGGCTTATAAAGAATTCTTGGAGGTGAACAGCCAAGACCACGTGGGTGGATTTATTATGGGGTGCGTGATAGCTCGTGTGCACCAATAAAAGAAAAGCACCGATAAATCGGTTAGTGTGGCTGAAGAAATTCAAATAAACTAATCTTATAATGACATACACTTCGCTCGTCAATGTAAGCTTTGGAACTATCGGTGCTGATCAAGTAATATTGAGCTCAGACGCTTTCATTTCGCGAGCTATGTTGAGACGTTGTATGAAGTCTAGAATTCGAAAATGGTTCAAGTTCTCAGCTTCGCCAAAACACATGATTTACCCCAAAGGAATGGACATCACTTTAGATCATGTTACAGAGCGACAGTGCAAAAATCAGTAAGTTAGCATAAAATGTTCACCAAATGGAATATTCTTAAATTTCGGAAATTTGGACTGACTTCTCACATTACAAGATCATACCGTATTTAAAGCAAGCATCGAGATGTTTCCACATAGCAAGATTACGAACACATTCGGTACCGAGAGGCCGGAAGCACGAATACTGTCGGTGCTCCGTTTGGCCCGATACGCTAATCGTTACTGATGACTATGGCGTGGTGAATGATTGGAGTTGAACTTGCTGCGTTTTGAAAAGCCTCATAGTATCTTTATAAAAGCTTTGATAAACGTTGACTTAGTCCAAATTAAATCAAAATTGGAAGAAGAACCCATCAAAATCATGTGAAGGTAACTGATTTAGTCAGAATTTCGCAACACCTGACTTTGGATTCCTCAACTTGAGTTAAACAGTACTATTGCCACCTATTCAATTTTTATAAAAAGGGGATCTACACCAATGATTGGACTAGCAAGGCAACTCCCATAACTTCATAATGGGAAGGAATTTTCACTGAGGTCGTCCTTGCGATTTATCTTTCGGTTATGAGCAATAGTTGATGATTTATACCGAAAGCGCGACCCCATTCAAACGTGTCAAAATGGAGGCGTTCACCAAGAGGGTACGAACGTTCGACGCGTTCCCCAAGGTGGACTCCCAGCATACGGTTCGCCTGGAGAGGGGTGGGGCACATACACTTCTCACATTGTGTTGCTGTCTATTCATTGCGTGGGTTGAATTTGGACTGTTCCTCGGAGGGTTTATTGACAAACAATTTGGCGTCGATCCCGTTATAAAGCAGGACTTGGATATCAACATTGATATGTTAGTGGCAATGCCATGTGATTACTTACATACCAACGTTAAAGATCTTACCGATGATCGCTTTATGGCTGGAGAAGTGCTTAATTTTGAGGGTGCTGAGTTTTTCTTGCCCTCATTTTACCGTATCAACGAGGTTAATGAAAGACACGAAGCGCCTGAATTTGAGCTGGTGTTTCGTAACTCAGTGCGAGCCCAATTCGTTAATCTGGGCTATCGGCATGCGACTGATGCCCCCGCATGCCACATATATGGCTCTATCCCCGTTAACCACGTGAAGGGCATGTTCCACATAACTGCGAAGGGATATGGGTACGGTCTGATGTATGATAAGGTTCCTATTGAAAATTTGAACTTTAGTCATGTCATTCAAGAGTTTTCATATGGTGAGTACTTTCCGTACTTCGATAACCCATTGGATGGTACAGGTAAGACCACTGAAGAAAATTTGCAGTCATACACGTATTTCACAAAGGTGGTGCCAATTGAATATCAAAAATTGGGATTGCCCATTGATACATATCAATACGCCCTCACTGAGCATGCAAACATATGTCCAATTGATAAACAAGGATTTGTAATGGGCTACCCGGGCATCTTCTTTCGTTATGAATTTGAACCAATCCGCCTCCAGGTGATTGAGCGCCGAATTTCATTTTTGGCTTTTGTTCTGCGTTTGGGAACAATTGTCGGGGCATTGTTGATTGTTGGTAACCACTTTTTCCGTCTTTACGAACGTTTATTGTTGATACTTTACGGTCAAAGATACGTCGAAAAGGGGAAAGAAAAAGATAAAGGTGGGTTGCTTGACCCGAGTGTGTAAGCAGTTTTTATTCGCTACGTTTCGAATTGTGCCGTCATGACATTGATTAATACACATAATGAACCTTCGCTTTGTCTGCTGAAGATAACCACAAAGATTCTCTCTGAAACCGTTAATTGTAGGTTATATATGATCGTTACTTTCATTTGGGTATCCTGCTTATAGAATGCACTGCGTTGTGATCGTAGAAGATTGCGTCAACGAAATCAAACGACTACACGCACCGCCGCATCAAATTCGGCGCGGAAGAATCGACTTCAACGAAGCCATTATCCACATCGGATGCTTACGTATAATGTCCACTAAGCATCGTCGAAGCCGAAACGGTTGTCAAGAATGCAAGCGATCCAGAACTAGATGTGATGAAACGAAACCCGCTTGTTTAAACTGCATTCACAAAGGTACGGAATGCGCTTACACATTGACTCTTCATTGGGGAGGACGTCCGCGTAAAAGTCAACCGGGAGATGAGCAGTATACTCCGGAGACTTACAGGAAGCGTCATTTGAAGAAGCTCACAAAACCTGAAGCAAAGGCCATTAAGCTTGACACTTCCCCTACGATTCAACGGGTGGTTTCAAATGTTGGAACTAGTACAGCAAACAATCCTCTTGCTGAACGATCTATATCATCTGGCATGGTCTCATCAGAATTGATCTCATCACTGGGATACAACCCTCGTTTTGAAACTTCACAAAGTCAACCTTCCCTGAACGATTTGGCACACATCGGAAACAACGGTTTCCAGGCCAGTTCTGGCCCAGTGGATTTGATTTCGCTGCCATTGCGTGATCAACCTTATGAGGGGGTTGACGAAAAACGGCAGATTTGCAAGCGGGATGGTGAAAAGTTTGCAACGATTCCATTTGAGGCCATGACCCCATCTGAGGTGTCCACCAACGTATTCCCTGTTGCTTTAGATCTACAGCCGCCGTCGAATTCTTCACCTGCTCTGAGTGATTCCTCAAAAGCATTGGATTTCAACTTCTTTGGTGTTGACTGGACAACAACGGTATCTGCTACTTCTGCTCTTGTCATGAATTCTCCAATAACAGCTTCAGCACCTCAAACTGCTGAAGAGTTTCTTTTGAACTTCAGCGAGGACATCGCGCGAACCACTGACTTCGATGAAGAAATCGATTCAAACTACACTTCGTATGCAGCGTCCCAATCTAGCATTCCACCATCCTTGATGCCTTGGCCAGAGTTGATCTTAAATGTTGCCTATTATCGAAAACTTCTCCACTTTTGGGTAACAGAGGGGTGTACACATTTAGTGCCAGCTCCATGGGCATCTCTGCAACAGAATCCTTTTCAGGTTCTCTTACCAAGGATGGCCATGGAATATCCTCTGGTAATGACGATTATGTTGGCTTTTGCTGCGAAAGTTCGCTCGCAGTTGTTAGGATATCAAGATCTGCCACCAGACATCCGAGATCAGCTTCTTAGCCGATCCTGTACCGAACTTATTCGCCTTCTCAGTGAGAAGGACACCAGCACCAGTGATTGCACTCTTGCGACCATTCTATTAATGTCCAGCTATGAGGCATTCGATTCTAAGGATATGGATCGACACAGGGCTCATGCTCGTGGTGCTCGAAAAGTTATAAATGCAAGGTTGAAAAAGATAGGACGAAAGATGAGTGAAATTTCTTACTTTTTGATGAGATGGTTCGTCTATATTGACGTCGTCGGAGGTTTACTGACTACCAAACACCATCATAAGTATATTCGGGACCAAGAAGAGTATGAGCCTGCTGAGCTGCTTCGAGCATATCGTCATGGTATTGATGACTTAACAGGTATGGAAGTGAACCTCTATCCACAATTTGCGCGTATTTCATACCTTTTAAGAGAAACTGAAACATTCATAGCAGAAACTGGATATGATGCCGTTCCAATTGAGGTTATCAGTGAAGCTTTCGAAGTCGAAAGAAAAATTGATGAAATTGTCAAGGGTACCATACTGGGAGAACCAATTCTTTGTGTTACCAACAAATTGTTCTGCTATATGGGCTTGATCAATCTATACCGGCGCGCGCTAAAGTTACCCAGGCAGCACCCTAAAGTCCAAAAACTTGTGCACAATAGTTACTTGATTTATCGCAACGATATTGAACCACGTCTGCCGGCAGATTTGTGTACTGTATCTTGTGCGTTTACGATCGGCTGTGAGTGCGTTGATCCCATACATCGTCAACTATTTGACAGCCGCATGCGTTTGCTTGGTGATGTTGGCAATGTAAACGCCATAAAATCCCACAGCGTTATGAAAAGGTGTTGGGAAACTGGAGAGGACAAAATGGCGGCTGCCGAAGTTTTGGACATTGATGTTACCCCTCTTTAAGCTTTTACCTCAAAAAGGTTGCAGAATGCAACTCAACGTTCCTTTCAACTGTGAATGGAGCTGCACCACAAATAAATAGGCTATTGTCTGATTTTACTGAGAGTAGAATAAGAATCAGAAATGCATCAGCAATTAAACACAACACCATTTTTAAAGCGGAATGTAATTTTCGACAAACTAGACTCGTAACTCACTTTTGAATTCAATCAAAATGCTACATACTGATTGCCACCAATAATTGATTTAGGCGCGGAAGCCGTCCTCTCTAAAAATCTAGCTCCGAGCATTGAACCGATTGAAAGTACTGCAAGCAAAGCCTCAATTCCTTAAAGTTACTAGACGTATATTAACGATTCAAATCGTAAGCAATCGGCTCGTCTCACTAAACGAAGGGAAAATTTCGCACCACGCGTTAGTCCATCGAATCCATTTACGGACCACCATGAGTGCGCCGCCACCTGGTTATGGTGAGCTTTGCAGGGAAATAGAGCGCCTGCACGAGCATTCAGGAGATAATGCTTTTCAGGAGCAAGTTATCCGCAAGTGCGTTAGTTACCTTAAGGCAAATCAGCAGGGGAGACATTGGTTTTGTGATAAGTACATGTTTCCAGTATCAACTCATCTGCTAATTCTCTTTCTGTTCAATGCTAAAGGGGTTTTGGAAAAGTTTAAACCACACATGGAGAAGGCGCTCAATGAATGTCGAAATTGCGTCCTACTGTTCAATAATCTGAAGCTGTATCTCAGAATAACCTTCTCAATTGTTCGACAAATTGCAATGCAACTGGTCATGCAGTTCTTAGATATCATCACCCAATGGGAAGGAGGACGTGTTGCCAATATATTGAAGGATCGAAATCTGGATCCTACCCATGTGAGAAACGCAATATTGTCATGTATGTATGATCCTAGACTTTTACGTTTAGAGGGTCTGATTGCTAATGACTTCGTTGAAGCCGTTGAAAGAGTCCAATATTCACCCGATACTGTGCTCTCTGGTTTGGCTTACTTGGCATTGGAGCCCACAAGTTCTCGACTGAATCAGGCTTTAGCGTACAAGTGGATGGAGAAGCTTCAAAGTCAACATATTGTGCTAACGGCAAACCAAGTAATGCCCCCCTTGGTTGATGGGATCATGTACTATTTTTATCGCATTCAAAACTCAAAATTTTATTCGGATGAGGCACTGATAAAGTTTTGGAAATTCATGAACAGGTTCATTGATCTAGTTGACAACAGTGCTATATTAGAAAAGTTCAATACTCCACCAGATATGGAAAAGATGAGCGAATATACTAATGTGCACTTGTATCTGTTGATTCGAGTTTTGTTCAATAACATGATGTCGCTGCTTAACGAGCCTTTACCAGCCCTATTTGAGATACTCGCGAAAATGTTGACACGATTCGGATCCCAATTGTGGCAATACACTGACCATATCACTTGGTCTCAGGTGCTAGATTGCACCTTGAGCAATTCTCATTACAAAAAGCAACTATTGGAGACCAGTGTGTGTGGAACCGTACTTACGGTTGGATGGTTTGACCCATTATTGAACCTGATTTCTCAAGTCCAGTTCTACACAGCAGCCGTTAGGTACGCAACGTATTTGTTGAATGTTTGTGCGAGCGTGTCTCCTGCTGAATCCGTGCCAAACGTGTCGACCTTGAAGTCTGTGGCTGTCAATTATTTTTTCCGTGTATTTGAAGGGACGCCTGTTGATATCACAAGTGAGAAGTATTCTATCTACATGTTGCAACTTAAGGAGGCACGAACCAATATTGATGGTTTCCACAATCAAATCGTGGATTTTGCGATCAAAGAAAAATCACAAATTGCGCAAGATTTGATTTGCAAGTGTCTTGAGTATGACCTTGGTCTCTATGGACACAACACTTGGGAAATATCGAATGGTCGCATACCAGAGATATTTGAAATGTGGCCGAAGCTCTACCAAACGTTATTGTCGCGACCGATATACGCGGGATCTGATTTTTGCCTGGCCCTCTTCAATAGTTTCAAGAGAATTATTTACGTCATCAGTTTCATGAAGCGTAAAGAGTCATTTCTGAAGCAATTAGCCGATATACGTGACAAGCATAATGATGTGGTTAACGTGATGATGAAAACGTTCCAAAAGTTGCTTGATAGCATTGCATTGAGTGATCCTGAGGGTCTTCGACGTTCTGTACTTACGAAAGAAGGATCTGAAGCTTTATGGGCTACTTTGTTTCTGCCTCACGTCGGTCCATCAGGGTTAGATGTACTCTATCTGGCTTTCAGTGACGAAGGCGGTGCACGTTTGGAAGCCGTCAAGCGATTAATAAATGCCGATTTGGAGTTAGCTGTGGGACTGATTCTGACGTCATTACGTAAAGTCGTGACCGTTGATGCTTTTGAGCCGTGTCCCAAGATCATTAGAATTCTAATGGATGTATTCCAGGCATTAGGGGATCCTTTACTGGGGTTATTGGTGCTGGCTAAGCTTTCTGAGCCTCTGAACGTATTAGCTTTGTGGAATGAACTGTGGGCTTTCTTAAAGTGGATGTATGACAAGACTTTTGTTTGGGCTCATCAATATGCTACTGAACATTTGGAGGAATATGCTCGGGATGTTCTTGACGTTCTGCGCCAAATATTCGATCTGTTCCGGATGATAAGCAACAAATTGAAGAAACCCCCGCAAGAATTATTTCAGCTGGTGATGCTTGCGTTCAATCTGTTAGTTGTGTGGTTGCGGTTGGGCGATCCTGTTTTACTTAATCAATGCCTCGCCCTAGTTTTCGATGGTTTCGACTTGCTGATCGATCTCAAAATTGATATTGATCATAAGTTTTTGACTTATTTTATTTCTTACGGCGCCAGAGCGAAAAAGTTTAATAACAAGCTCTCGACCCAACAGCGCACAGATATCTTAAATAAGGCTCGGGAATTCGGTGCAACAGATCTAGTTGACAAGATTGTCAGGGAAACCACTCAAAGCAGAACAAGTTCTATCGAAAGTAGTCTGTCGCTGCCAACAACCTCTGCTTCTGGGTTAACATATACTTCTCGCAAGCCGGGTCTACCGTCTCAGCAAACAATATCCCGGTTTGGCACAGCGACGAGGTTAGCTCCTCGAGCGCCAGCACAAGCGCCTGCTTCTCCACAGTTCAAACTGCCCGGTATGGAAGCTGTACGCGCGGAACTCAAGTCCACTCGTGAGCAGGTTAGAAGTCCGATCAACTACAGTTCACCTGCTCCTCCAAGACCTGCTGGATTTAATAATAGGAAGTCCAACGAGGCTCAAGTCTTGCGACTGGTTCGAAAGAGAGGTCAATCTGGAGAATTGTCTTCTGATGATGACGATGAGACTGATTTGTCTGATTTGTTCGTCGAGCTGAAAAAACCGAAAGCTAAAGTCGTGGAAGTTGACATGCATGGGCGACCACTTCCCAAGTTTGTTGGTAAACCTCCACGCGGTATGCTGCCTGAAGAGTTGAAGCGCAAGGAAGAGGAAAATATGCGAATGAGATTGAATGTAAACTTGAAACCGTTTTATTCTCAAATCCTCAAGTGGAACTATAACAGCGACGATCAATACCCCACTGCAGACAAAGACTGTTTTCAGCCAGTGAAACTGACATATGCTGATGCCCGAGATTATGTGAAAACAATGGAACCACTTCTCATGTTGGAATGTTGGCTGGGAATACAACAAGCAAAAAGAACTGTTCAAGAGACCCCGTTCAAGTTGACTGTGGGGCTGCGATTAAGTGTAGACGGGTTCTTTGATGTATACACGCTGATTCCCAAGGGGGTAATTCAGGATCGGAAAATCAGTGACCTGGATCTTTTGGTGCTTGCTCATCCCGAATCAAATCATGCAGAAAATGATCAACAAATTGCAAATTTTATCAAAGATGGAACGACTACGACTTGTTTGGCCAAAGTCAAGGAAATCAAGCTGGCTAATGCTGAATTCTCCGACGTAACTCTTCGTGTTTATCCCCAAGGACTGATGATGGGGGTTTTAACCCCACAAACGGAGATATATGGTATGCGTGTTATGCAAATGATTACAGTAGAGCGCGAATACCTGTCGCTCAAGGGGTTGCAGTGGTACGATTTAGAGAAAGATGTATTGTCGGCCACACCAGCTGCACCGATCGATATACTAGATGAGGATGCCAAAAAAGTTGGAGAAACTTATGGAGTGAATCCATCGCAAGCTAAAGCTATTATGGGTCTGGCACAATCTAAAGGATTTTCACTCATCCAGGGTCCTCCAGGTACTGGGAAAACGAAAACTATTTTGGGTTGTATTGGATACTTTTTGAGTCAGCAGAAGAATCCAAAATCACTCACTGTTCCTAGAAACGACAACATCAAGGATATTGACAGCACACATATTCCCAAAATTCTCATTTGCGCTCCTTCAAACGCGGCTGTCGATGAATTGTTGATACGGATTCGAGACGGCATCAAGTTGAACAGTGGTGATATGATTGTGCCAAAGGTTGTTAGATTAGGAAGGTCAGATGCTATTAACGCTTCTGTGAAAGATTTAACTCTCGAAGAATTGGTTGATAAAGAGCTTGCTGCAAATTTAGGTGATCGCCAAAGAATCCAAATCGATCCAAAAATCCGCGAGCAGCACACGGCTGCTACTAAGGAGCGCGACTCCATTCGGAAACGCATTCAGCAAGGTGACCTCTCTGAATCCGAGCTCTCAAAACTTGAAACGAAGATTCGAGAAGTGAACAAAAAGCGTAATGAATTGGCCAAGATGTTAGACAGTCAACGTGAACAGGCATCAATTCAGCATCGAACCAGAGAAATTGAGCGTCGAAACTGTCAAGCCAAAATTCTTTCGAGTGCCCTGATCATTTGTTCGACACTTTCGGGGTCCGCGCATGACTTTTTGAAACTGTTACTGATGAAATTTGAGCTGGTAATAATTGATGAAGCTTGTCAATGTGTCGAGTTACTGGCGCTTATTCCGTTGCGCTATGGCGCTAGAAAGTGCATAATGGTGGGCGATCCCAATCAGTTACCTCCCACAGTGTTATCGCAAGCAGCTCTGGGACTTGATTACGAACAGTCTTTGTTTGTCAGAATGCAGAAGCAGCATCCAGATCTGGTATATTTGTTGGACGTGCAATATCGTATGCATCCTGAAATATCAGTGTTTCCCTCCAGAGAATTTTATGAAGGAAAGCTTTCAGACGGACCCAATATGTTTGAAAAAAACACCCGCCCGTGGCACCATCATTTTCCGTTTACGCCCTTTCGTTTTTTCGATGTTCAATCGCAACATCAGGTGAACCTGTTGACTAAATCGTTGTACAACAAATCGGAAGCCAGTATGGTTTTGGATATGGTTCTTGAAATTCAAAAATTTGTGGAACCAGCGCAGTTTACGGGTATGGTGGGGATCATTTCACCATATAAGGAACAAATCAGAGTTATCAGGAACTTATTCATAAATAAGTTTGGTTCTTTGATCACAAAAGAGATAGATTTCAACACTGTTGATGGATTTCAGGGCCAGGAGAAAGAGATCATTATCATGTCTACAGTACGAGCGCTGGAATCTGGCAGTGTCGGGTTTTTGAGCGACGTAAGACGGATGAACGTGGCATTGACCAGAGCGCGAACGTCTTTATGGATTTTGGGCAATGCCGATTCGTTACGACGGAATAAAATATGGCGTCGGTTACTCAGAGATGCTGAAGAGAGACATTGCTTGAATTCAGTTGCTGGAAATAATCTTAAGTTATTGATGGCAAACGGAGATCCAATGGCTGGCTCGTCCTTAAATGCGACTACTCGTTCGCGTCGAGAAGACACGAAGCTGCGAACAGAAGACAAGCAACACCCAAACTCTGTGGAGCCCAGACAAGCAGTGAAAGTTGAGAGTCAGCGTAAGCTGGATGAATCTTCGAATCCCAACAACAACACTGAGGATGGTGAAAACTTGAAAGTAGATGATGCGCGGCGAAAGCATCCTCTCCATGGGGAGCAAACAGACCGAAAACGTTTTAAGCAAGCTGATGGCAGCGAACCCACGCTCTTTAATCGAATTGGCGAGCCTAAACCCGACGTGGATTATAAGGAGGACAAAAAGTCCTCAATATTCGACAGCGCTACTTCTGGGCCAAACAAATCTGGTGTTCGCCACAAACCATATATTCACCCTGGTAATTCAATGCCAAGTAATTCTGGTGTCATACAGGCGAGCTTGGGACCTAATCACGAAATCAGTATCCTGGATGAACCGGAGGGGAGTGGCAATCAACCCAGGCCGACGTTTCAAGGGTACCGCGATCGTGGCGGGCGAGGACGTGGTACCAGAGGTAATTTCGGAAGTAGAGGCACATACCGTGGTGAGTCTCTGGGTTATCATACAAATTATCGTGGTGGTTTTCGGGGTGGACGTGGAGGTGGTCATTCCAATCGTGGTGGCTTTCGTGGAGAATCTCATGTTCCAGCTCCCACCAGTCTGGGAAAAATACCGAAAAAATCCTCTAACCCCATATTCATAAAACGCCGCCCTCCGCCAAAGCCGTGACCACTCATTACTACAGCGTGTAGTGGGGGTGGTCTGTGTTAGGTTATTGCCAAGATAATGATTGATACTACTTTTACAAGACTTGAGTTAATTCGATTGTGTGCAAATTTAAAGGTAATTACAGCTAAATTAGGTCATCACTACAATGCCACCAGTGGATAATACTGCCATATATTGGCTATTGAATCACCAATTCAACATCACCATAGCCGTATTTGTCCTTGTTTTCTTCATACACTCGCTGTAATTCCTTAACATATAATCCATGGTAGTGATCCAATAACTCATGCGGCAATTTTTCCTTGATCAGTGATCGTTTAGGTTTAGGCTCTTTCAATTTGAATAAGGATGAGAATGACGTAGAGCGCATGACATGAGCCTTGTGAGCCTCCTTCTCCTCACGATCACGTTCTTTCTCTTCTTTTTCTTCCTTGACGAGTTCTTCAGCTTCTTTCGGATGTTCCTTTCTCCATTCAGCTAAGGTATTTGCGGGGATGTGAATCGGGCGACCCATGCATATGTTGATGGGATTACGGTATGGCAAGAAACCAAAATCATAGATGAAAACCCCCCGAGCACTGAAAAACGGCAATGTGAATTGAAAATTTTGTTTGAGCCATTGCTGAAATTTGTATCCCCAGGAATTTTTTCTTGGCTTCGTGATTTTATAAATATCAACTTCTCCAAAAGCAAATGTAGGGACTAAAGAAACATTTCCCAACTCAATAGCCAACTTAACAAAACCTTTACGGTTCTTGAGTACCAATTTCATTTGGCGCTTCTTGTCTGGGTCTTCCTTTTCTTCATCTTCAGCCGGATCTGGACCTTTGTAGCCTCTCCCGACCATTGTGTGAGAAGAAACCATCGAGTTAAGCAATGATTCGCGAGCACCACCAACAACTATGCAAACTGAATTATCGCCATTGTTTATCAAAGATTTGATATTCTTCGCCAGTGCCAGAGTCAATCCTAATGAAAGAAGGTAGTCTCGATAGAATGGGATTGTGAACTGAGTGGTGAGTGTCAACGGAAAGATGTTGTTGATTCCCGGAAGTAATCGCTTGTGCTCCAGAGTATCGATGAAAAGCCTTTTCAACAACTTTGGTGGTTCCCATGGCTCATTACGCAACGCATTGGTGGCAAATAAACCCATGGCACCCATCGAAATGACTCCATGAGGATGGTATCCAAATATGTAACGAGGTCCCGTCGTTACCTTTTTCATTACGCCTCGCCGTTTATCACTCGCGTTAATTCGCTTTTTTAAACCTAAGAATTTGAATAGCTTGTCAACACTGGTTATCTGTTTTTCAGAAATCAAATCCTGTTCATCGTCCAGGTCAATCAGATCTGAATCGGACACCGATATCTCCGTGTACGTTGGTTCGTAGTCGCAAGATTTGTGTACACGAATAGGGTAGTAGTTGACAAAATACTCCCATAACTTGAGATTTTTGGTCCAATTCTTAACGCGATACACGGCTTTCCCATTAGTTGGAGTGTGTAAATCAACGCCATACCACCAAATAAGATAAGGAATCACCACACACGCCCAAACAACGACACCCAACAGTAGCAACAATAAAAATAAGCAAAGAAAGAACGGAATCAGAATTGTGTGCCAAATGATGGCAAGTGTTTCCAAGCGCAGGTGTAATGGGGTGTTGAGAGGAGCCACATGAATGCGGTGGTCCAGGCGTTTTCCTGGGGTGACGGAGATATGAGGAGAGTCCGTTGCCGACTTACCAGCATGCTCTGTGGTGTCAACTGGAACGTCTTCTACGGAATCCAGGGACGCCAGCTGTTGTTTCCGGTTCTTAACCTCGCCCAGCATCCTGGCTAAAAATTGTGGGGGTGGGAACCACTTCGTTATAGTTTATACTACGAGTAGGGGTGCAGGACGTATTTCGCTATGCAGGAAGGTGCGATCGACTAGCTCCCATGCAGACGCCTACCACAGTTGGCAGGCCGAGCACATCGGCGATGGATGACCGACACCATCACCAACGCACGCACTACCTTGTGTCGCCAGCAAGAAATGCGGCATTTTATGAGGATGGGCCGATTACGAGAAACCCCATGAGGCGATTGTTCGGCGGAGCCGAACCGGAAGCAAATGTTAACCAACGATATAAGATGTTTGATCTGGAATGGACCAACCAACTGCGGAAACTTGAGCAAATTCTCGGAGAAATGAACACCGAGTTATTCCGAATGCTACACGACTTTGTCAACCGAGATTATGACCGAAGATCGCCGGTTGCTATGCTCAAGTTGAGCACTAACACTGCCAATAACGCACGGATCTTGGATCAATTTCGCCTGGGACTTGATTCGAGGTGTAAGCTGGCTGTTATCACCTCACAGCATTTTGAGAACGTGAAAATGGCCGTCCGTGAGCTCATGAGACAAGTGATGGATGAACTGCACACTCAATTGGATGATAATGATGACATCAATGAGGCTCGCGGCGATCTGAATATCACCAAAGGGAGACTCAATTTTGACATTGACATTTTGCCGGATTGGGTTGAAGCCAAACAGCCTCATCGTTTGGTTGTCATTGTGCAAGATACTAACAACGTCAATATGAACACATTGAATGAACTTGTAGCATTATGTGCTCTGTTGGGATTACCTCTTAGGTGGGTTTGGGGTGTATCTCTGAATAATATGGGTAACTGGCTCAATTCGAATCTTACTATACCTGTACGACGCCTTATTGAGCCGTACTTATTTGAAGGACCAAGCAACTCAAATCTAGGATTTCGTATTCTTGAGGAGCTATTTTTAAGAGATCCTAAATTATTGCTAGATTCAAAGCTTTCTACAATTTTGCTCAAACGGTTTGAAAAGGCTAACAACTCTGTGGATCTGTTGGTAGCTGAGATCAAAATGTGTTACATGATTCATTTCTATCAACTGCCTTTGTCGGTTTTACAGGAATGGAACGTGCATGACCCCATTTACATTGATGGTCTACGTAAACTTCCGCTGTTTAAGAAGTATATCGAGGTAACCGGCGATGTCGAAGGGCTCACTAATGATGACTATGTTTATGAGTTGTTCACCAAAGCTAAGACTGATTTTGGTAATTACAAACGTCAAGTTTTGTTGGCTGTTGACAAAATCACATCGATTGCTCGAGGCTTGATTAAGATTCCCAAATTTGAAATTTATCATGCATTGATCGATGGCCGCTTTATAACGTCACTGATCGCTCGGAGATTGGTTCAAGTTGTTGATTCTGCTGGTTTTGAGAAGTCAAACGAACTAGAGGAGATATTCAAGCATCTGTTTCGACCAATTGATGACTACGTCTTCTATGAAATCTTTACACTAGATGGTGGTTGGATTCGTCAACATACTGAACTCATTGAGAATTACAACAACTTGACCTTGCATCTCATTCGTCCCCCTCTTCGTAAGCTGCTTGAAGACGCTCTTAATGACAGTCTGCTATACCTTGGAGAAGCGCAACGACCTTTACTTGTCCAATTATTCAATATTTATCGTGAAGCTCCCACGAATATTAACATTTACGATTTCTATACCACGTTCAGATCGTTATTGAATCGTCAAGATTTTGTTGATGTCGTCGATGATAACGAATGGAATAGGATGACGTACGCTTGGTTCATACAAAATTGCTCCACCTTGGTGCTGATGGGCTTTTTGAAAGAAAAACCTAAAGGTGATTTTCTAGACAAATCTTTGTGGAGAGGCGCCTAGTATATAAATTTCCATATGTGTCATTACACATTCTCATTATCCCTTCTCAACGCAGAAATACCGTTTGGAAGCCTCATGCATGCCCCGCAAAGTTCGGATCTGGTGTTCACACTCCTGTCAACTCGGCGTCCTGCTGTGCTTCGGTCTGGTGTTTCGAGCTTACACTCTCGGAAGCTGTAGAATCGCCCCAGTACTCTTTCAATTTGTGACCCACATTTTGATGTGCACTGAACCCTGTGAGAAGTAAAATGAACAACATACATGCCAATACACCAAGAATCATGAACCGCAGGTTGCGGAACATCCGATTCAGAATTTGGGTTGAATTAGCGTACAGTGGCATCTGGGTGGAGTATTGCTAAGTGTTGCTCAAGGATCGCGCGGCTTTTCGGACCTCAACGCCGTCGTGTGACGGGTTGGATTTATCCGCTATATAACACAAATTTGGTATGATAGAAATCATTAAATAAACGGTATATAACTCTATTTATAATGATGCCTGAATCCAAACATCACCTAATTGTCTAAAGCGATCCTGCTCTGCAGGATAGAAATTTACGATGTATCCGTGGTGATCAGGATTATCGCTGCCACCAATTATGTCATACCCGCACCAAGTATACTCATCACAATACTCTTTCATATGCGACCACGCACGGTTTGGTTCACCCTTGTCATTATTCGCAATCAATTGACGATAAGGAGGAATTATAGCGGACTCAATTTCGAGTCTCAGAGTCATGAACTCTCTAAATAGATCGACATTCTTTATATCGGTGTAGCGAAGTTTGCGACCGAACTCTTTTTCGAAATTGACATATTTCAGCATACCACAATGCTGGAATCCAGAATTGAACCAGAGCAAGCTGTGATCGTCTTCATCAGATATATGGCCTGGGTGGTTCAGGCAAATTTCATTCGCCTTAACTTTATACTCCTTCTTTGGTGTGATCTTACCGATCGCCGCAGCATGATGATTGTTGAATTCATAACGCTCATCACCCATCATCGCCATACTGAGCCAAAAAAGTTCTTTATCGCCATAAACCCTGTATTTTATCAGATGAAACCAAAACAAGACAGCCATGATGAGTGGTTGGTCAAAGTGCTGCGATCTATCAATAAGAACAACGCCACTTTCCATATAGTGATTGAAACGATCAGTGAAGAACATTCGCTGGGTAGTATGTTCCGTCACTTGTTTGATATTGAACACAGCTTCGTCGGCTTGTGAGGGAAATAAGAAGTTGAACCACGGAATGTCTTCGTGTAAGCGGAATTCGACATTCGCCCTGTCCTTGAAAAAAAGAGTTCCCAGTTGAGTATACTTCTTCATGTCGAAGAAATAGACCGGAGGTTGTATAAGTACGGTATCGGCGTCCATCAACATTATTTCTGAAAATGTGTTAAATAAAACGGCAAGCAATTTGTACCCAAATCCATCAAACTTCTCAACATAATTATCAGCCACACATTTTGTAATATCGACCATCCAAATAGATTGATTCCATTTTTTAGCGGCCTTCGTCAACTTTTCCTTCTCCACGTCACCAAGTTGATCTTCACGATAGATTATTTCGATTGGCAATTCGTTCTTATGCTCTTGAAGTAATGCGATAAGCTTGACAGTATCATCCACATGTGTATTTGAAATCGTGAGAACGATGCCTCGACGGCGTAAGCGATTACGCCATTGACCGAGCCAACAATCGTGCTGATTCGTTTCAAGCTGTTGAACTTTGCCGGTTGTCAACTCTGTTACAGTTGGCGACACCCCAGTTAACCATGGGTATATTATTCGCTCCAACTCTCGACACAGTTCCCATCGATGATGTTTAGGATGGGTTTGACGAGAACGCCACTCCGAGGCAAAGTCTTCTTGACTCTTGACGAACTTGATGTTGTCATCTTGGTGGGGCTTCGACATTTGCAAGAAGCACTTATTGAACACACGAGAGTGTGATAGAAACTTCCTTAAAGTCTCATGATCATGATCAATGATCTTGCGAGTGGCATCGTAGAGCTCCTTTATGTCATGCTCAACTTGCTCTTCATCAAGCTTTACCATGTCATCTTTGAAGCCAACTTCTTCTTCCGAGAACTCCATGTCTTCGTCATATTCGCCTTCATTTTCGAGCTCCTGTTTACGTTTTTCCCTAAGCTCTTCCAAAATTCTTCGCTTTTCGTCGTTCCAGCGACGTTGTTTGAACTCTTTATAAAACGCTTCCCAACCAAACATAGCGATCTTTTCGTACTTAAAGGGTCTGTGGCCATCAATAAGAGGTTGGTTGGTGTCACTGTTTTGTTTTAGCACTTGATCGAAATAGTAATTACATCGATCAGCCATGGGCCACAGGAGCGAAGCCAAGAAATGCTTATTGGACAGGAACATGTCATCGTAAACTGTATCGGTCAATATTGTATCATTTTGGTAGACAGAAGGATACTTTTCGTTGAGAATTTGGCGTATAACAGAGTCATTGACGTCCTGCACTCCTAGGTAACGTGTAATAGGCTCGACCGCCTTCCATTTTGGTTTTCGGGTTGGCCTCAAAACTTGTGACAACAAAAGTACGATCAACGTACCAACTGCCACCAGAAACAATGCTAGCTTGTATCTCTTAGAGAGTCGCCACCACATTGATATTTAAGGATTGTATTCGGTACAGAAATTTGGCTTGCGCGCTGCAGGGTGGTGTTAAAAAATTACATGTCACTGAACACTGTTGACGTGTCCACGAGCAGTGCAGCACAATGCTTCACAAATGGATGTATTTCAACCATCGAAATGTGAAGATCAAAAAATTGTGGTAACAGTCGCAATTCATAGTGCACCATAATACAATGAGATGTAGTCTACGAGTCATGCTCTGAAGCGTATTTTGGCTCTTGGAAATTGACGCAACGTGAAAAGACCGCTTGAGGTGGTTACAAAATTGTATCGTTTCGGGAATGAACGGAATGAATGCGCAATGCTTGCGGAAGCCTGATTTTCAGATGAGAATGTGAAGAAAGCGAGGGTACTCTCGTCCCCTTTACGAGTCGAACCTCAACTACACAATCGTGCTCGTTTTCAAATATCTCCGTTATCGAAAGGTAAAATACAATCTTGTCGCAATTACTACATTCAACGTAAACGCCATAAAACCTAGCTTACTGGAATTCTCAAAAACCCAAATGCTACAGATTCGTTACTCTCCCATTTCATTCTTTCAGAAACTGACTGGATTTCGTATTCTCGTTGGGCTTCCATGAATGTCTACGTGAAGCGTTCCCAGCAGCGACATCAGCTTAATGCTAGCCATGCTGGGTTTAGCACTGAGCCCCATTGAGTCTTTGCGATACACTGCCAGACCATCTTCATTTTCAGCAACTTTCACGTATTTATGGATGGATTTCTTCAACGTTGATACTTCCCCAGGAAACTTGTCATGAACGTTGAATCGGCCAAGAACCATGGCTTGAAGCTCACTCAAAGTAGTAATATCTTCAAAGACGACGTCAGCAATGCGGTCAGCAAAGTATGTCAGCAAAACCAGAGCGACTCGAAGCTTCTGATGCTCTAGATGCCCAGGCTCACGAAGTTGCTCACATAAGTTGAAGAGTTGTTTGAAATATTGTATGACCAGTTGCTGAGATCGAGGCCACATGCTATCCCATTGGATAAGTCGTTGCCAATTATATTGGCGTAACAAAGGTTCGCAATAGACAGTATCAACAAAATCCTTCCAAGTGGGCGAGGAAATTTGCAAATATGTGTTTAATAAACTGTCGCCAAGAAACCGACTAGCAGCTTCCCCCCAGTATTCGAATTTCACTCGATTGGTGACGAACGCTTGCTGAATCCGAAGAACTTTGTCCATTACCAAGGGTTCCAGAGTGGAATTGATTATAACAGCAACATCTATAGTAGCAGGAGCAGGTTCGGCGCCCTCATAATTGGATGGTGCGTACCCGATGGACAATCCGGGGTAGCATTTGTGAAGGTAGTTGTATTCAGAAGGCACGTCGCGAGTGAGGGACGCTACTTGGGATCTGAGTTGACCAAGACTCTGCTTCAATTCATCATTCTCGTTCTGGATAGTGGCCACCAGCTCGGCAAGATTCGAAACACCCGAATCGGCAGCTATCACAGTCATACGCAGAAGGATCACCTGCTCAAGTTTATTGATGAATCCTTGGACGCCTTGATCAAGGATCGCTGTGAGCTTTGGAGCATTCATAGAAGTCAAAACGTTTGAACTCAACCACAAGTAATGCGACTTTTATACTGGCCTCGTCTTAATCACGTTCAGATAAGCTGACGGCTGAGGTACGTCTCGCATGAGATGTGCATAATACCGGTAGGGGTAAAACTTGGTACCGTGTGGGGAAATCCGCGGCAACGGCAATGGAAGATTTTATGAGCCCATCCCTAAGTCTGATTGAGCCTTTTATAAACCAGTACCATCTATCAGTCGAGTGTAATCGTTGCCATCGTCGGTGGCACTCTCGTCGCGTCGTGTTACCCGGGTCTCACTGCCCTATCAGCCCAATTTGGCGCAAATGTACACATTCACATAAACAATCCAGATTTGGCAACAATCATGTGATAAATCATTAAAGTTGTATTAAGAATGTGTATACCTATTAACCATTACCCAAAAATGAAATCATCGTCAAGATGACTTACGTAGCCATCATCTAATTCGTCGTCAATATCCCAGTAAGCGAGTGGTTCGCGCAGAAGGACACCCGGCGGTTGGCTCGAGTCTTCGTTCTCATCGTCGCTAAATTCTTCAATAAAGAGCGCTGTACGTGGATCGCTTTCCATATACAAATAGTCCGGGATGCTCAGTTCACGGTCAACGTCGTAATCGAGCTCCAGGCAGTATAACTCTTCCACGTAAATGGTATCACTGTTTTTGAGGGACATCACCAGTTGTTGCGGGGGTGGCAGAGCTACTTTGGTAAGTTGATCAACTTTTTCATTGAGCGTTTGTAAATTGCGGTGAACTTTAGCGATGTCACCTTGCTGCGATGCCTTCAGCTCCAACACTTGTGACATCATTTGCTGCAACCGTTCCAGAATTTCTTGGGTATCGGGGTGGTATCCGAAAGCAATCGGGGTCAGAGTTACCATCTTTGGGGTCAACTTGGGGATTATGGGCAGCATAAGATTTGGAGAATACGGATGGAGAAGCGCCAGCGCTGTCCGCGTCGAGTCAGGTGTGGATATCTCGGTGCGTGAGAACGCCACCAGGCTATGTGTCATTTGTCAGCTGCTATGGCTCTGTTGGAGAAACCTCAAATCATGTATCGGGGGATGTAGGTCGTATTTAAGTGGGAGGTGTAGATTGCGAGAATTACAATGTATGGCCTGCATAGAGAATGTCAGCTGAGACGGGTGCAGACATAAGTTGCCCACCGCCACCGGTGCGTCCATTTCGGTAACTTTGGAAGACCATAGGGATTTTGACGAATGCGTACCGGGATAATATGTCAGGTCAGCTTTACTACAACTTCACAAGTCAAATGTGGATGGAATCATGAAGGTCCTCATTTGTTTTCAACCTTCACATTTCCGGCACACATTCGCCCATGCGCAGAAGGGTATAAGCGCGTCGTCGGGGTCCCTAACGCAAATAAACGATGAGCCTTGGGCTTTCACCGAATACGAGAGCACATGGCAACTTCATTCATTAATACTGATCAATAAATCAAGGAGAATTATTCTTGAGAACAACTCCATACGTGCGACTCGAATCAGCGTTTTCTTGCACGCTGTTGTTTGCCTGGACGCACCCCCTTCGACGGAATGTTGCGCAATTAGTGGCTTCCTGTTAGTGGCATCTGCGAGCGCTTAGCTTATTGTATACCCCGCCACGATGTAACTTAGTTATTCGAATCCTTGGTACAGCTCTACTAGCTAAACCCGAGGCTGAGAAGTTGCATCCTATTAAACCTCCTGAGCCCCCCGCACATGCCGACACTGTTGAAGCATCTTGACATATTTCTAATAATACATCTCCAGCACCTCCTTCCATCCCTTCGAGGATCCGACTTGGAAAGCCTTAAACATAATCTTATTCTCTTACGTTTACATCGAGGAATGTTGTCATGCTCATGAGCTAGTTCTCCCTACGGGCTTACTTATTTGTATCAAACTTTCTTAACTGAAATTGAAACCTGAAATTGCTTGCGGCTAGTGAGGCAGCATGGTGGCTCGAGAAGGTTGGGCGACGGAATACATAAACGACTATTGGTCCATGCATTCGGAAAAATCGATGGAACATCATTTGGCGCAATAGACAGGTTCATGGTGACGACAATCAGTGCCACTTACGAAGAGAGTTAGTCAATTTCGAATGTGTGGGCCTTGTCATAGCTGATTAATCGCAAATGTTCATGTCTGTCTCTGTGAAACTAAACAAGATGATATTCGTCGTACAATGTACAGTTCGGCTCTGCTATGGCAAGCCTCTACTTTTGAATAGAAGTTTATGACACTGGTAGGTGAAATCGCCGATCAGCTCCTGCAGAAGTATGGAATAACGTCGCAGTACATGAAAGAGGAACGGAAACTTTACTGACAACAACAGTCTCTCTAGGCAGCAGCATTGTGCGTACTGCAATTTCCCCATGTCTCTTCAAAAGGATTTACCATTCGATCATCGTTCTCAATGACGAGTGTAAGCTGCATATTCAACCCCTGTGGAGAGCAACTATATATCTCAAGCAGATCCCGCCTCATCGCATCGATAATATGGCATTAACGAAAGCATAATGGCTTAAATATGTGTTAGTTCACGGACGGCTTCCGAAAACAGTACCTGAAGGGTGTCCAATAATCAGCAGCTGCACCTGAGAAACCCTCTACCAGAAATCATGTATGCAGAAGGCGGTGTATAATATCCTAGCATTGCCTAAGTTACGTCAGGAAAGTATCTTTTCATCACGGTCGATGTTAAACTATTTGTGAGGTTGAGTCCACTGCGCTTTGCGTCACCTCTGGTGCTCGTAAATTGGCAAAGAAAGCCCCTTGCACTTTTTATTAATTCAGGATTGGCTCAACACGAAGTGAATTCATGAACGCTATGACGATCATCTCGCTGAAGACTGCCGATGGGCTTGCAGAATTTTGCAAATGCCAATTCATGTTTTCCGACCTTCATACTGTTTTATCTGATGAATGTAGTAAGTTACATTTCATACACTACCTAACAAGCTAGAAGCAACATCCGCAATATCCGAGTTTATCCATTCTTGCAAAGAAGTTCGCATTCTCTCGTAACCCTTAAGCAATGGTTAGTTATACTGTTGATAACGACCCCTGCAATATCAATACTGTATTTCCGATACGAAAAACAAAATTCGCGCATGGAAGTTACTACAAGGGATCAACTTTCATCATGTTCGTCTTCGGTAAAACTACTTGTTGTTGTCACTCGTTCAAACAATAACTCTGTGTGCATCGCAATCAAAACGCTAAATGAAGGCAACGTACCTCGATGTAGCTATACGTTATTTTTGTCACATTCATAATACGCGTCTTATCTTACAGGAGGGTTCGCACACTAGTGATGAACAAATCTTCAAAATTGTTCAATTTCTGTGGATTCGTAACATCCCGACGTCAATTTGAGATGTAGTTCGCAGACCGTCCTCCTGTCCTACTAGAGTGTTACATGCTCTGTTTAGAATTCTGTTGAGTTCTCAGGGGTTAAATACGGAAACTCAAGTCTGCCTCCATGAAAGTTAGTAAGATTGTCCTTCGACAGATTCTCGATGTGATATCAAAAGAGGGTTCTCTGACGAGAAAAGTTAGGCTAGGCTCAAGTTAAAAGGGAGTATAATGGAATAGAAAAATATAGAAGGCTACTGAAAGGTTTATTGATCCCCTAGTGAAGTACAATCGTAATGCTTAAGTGTAGATTCCCCTTACTACGTAAATCTGGCATATTGCACCGGAATGAGGGCGTAGCTATCACTTGTCACGTAATTAACCATTGCCGGAGGATCGAATTCCCAGTAAATTCTATCTTATTACGACTGCCACACTACCGACCCAAACCAGCGTAGAAAGCTTCAATGGAAAATTCATTTCCCCACGCAATCAAAATCCCAACAATCCTGCCTTTCTTGCACGTCACAAATGTAAGCTTTCAATTGCAAAAGTAAAACTACTGCTTCTTCGACGAAGCAATTTCTCAAAGCCATGATCAAATTTCTATTGAATCAATTGAAACAGTTTATTGAGGATGGTTGATAAAGTTACATCAAATGAAGCAATTATTGTCATGATTCAGCATATACCCTCAGGCAAAAACTTGAAGAAGTGAATAATTGTGACAATAGCATTTAATCACACCAGTACAGAATTTTGGAGCCTCAGGTTGTAGGAAATGACGTACAGCGCTCTTACTCGCGCACTTTTCTTGCCGCACTCATCTCACAACATTCGCATCAACAAGTAGCCTCATGTTTGGCTCAAGCGATAGTCGATATATCAAACCGACACTTTCGCTCAAGTCGGCAACATCCGAGCTGCCGCAGTTCATGGCGAGCCGGCTGACTAATGTGTCATCAGCTTCGGCGAACGGGCACTCTAAGAGTCTCGCGATGTCGCTGAACCCCAGTCATCCTACGCCCAGGCGATTTGTACCCAGACCTGATCTCAACCCTAAGCAAGTGAGCTACAAAATTCAGGTTCCGGGGTTTTCTGCTTTGTCGCCACTTCAACTTGGAGGAAAGTACATATCTGATATGACCAATATTGATATGATGACCCCCAACGATTTGTATGTCGGTGAATTGAATCCTCAAGATCTGGACGACAATTACAATTTTGCCTACAATCAGGGGTTGGGTGACTTCACACGATTCGAGGAGGTATTTTCGTTGAATCTCCCCGACAAATTTTTTGAGGAATACAATCAGTCAAAGGCCAACTTTAAAATGGGCATGTTTCGTGAAATAAACCGCGTATGGTTGGCAATGGACAACAGACTTGTATTGTGGAACTATCAATGCCCCCCACTGAGCTTTAATCATGGGCTGCAATTTACTACCATTGACAAAATGTCTCACCTGATTTTACAAGTGGCATTGGTCCCACCAAAGCCAGGCGTATTCAAACCCGAAATCACTCATGTATTGGTGGCGGCCACCACCAACGACATTCACTTGTATCTTGTGACCAATGCTGATAATAACCTCGAATTGTATGATCCTCACTTACTGGTGCTGGTGCATGGTCATTCAGTGAATCAATTGGCTGTACACCCGATCACACACGACATCTACTTTTGTGAAGAAAATTCTGTGAGCATATGGCGTATTGATTATTGGAATAAAGCACGGTTTGGCAAGAATCGATGTGAAAAGGTTTGCCTCACTGATAGCCTTCTTCTGGGTGCGGGAGCTCGATTTTCTAACATGTGGGGGAGCAACTCATTGGAAGTACCTAATCACGGCATGGGTGGTGCTGAAAGCATCATCCTGCTCAAATTTTCACCGTCTTATCAAGTTGTTTACACATTGCTGAATAGATCAACGTTACGGGTTTACAAGATCAACCAGAAAAACGACTTACACGAAACCGAAAAATTGAATCTGGCGCAAATTTTGAAAATGGTCACAAATTTGTATGGTCCAACTCTGGTTGTTCAAACTTTTGAAGAATTTGGTATTGTTGGAATTGACGTCGTGGAAAAGATCGAACTGAAAGCAGTACAGTTAATCGCAACCACAACCATGGGTTGTCGTATTTTTTTCAAGCTTTCCCAGGGATATTCGGTTGTGACAAGTTCGAGATTGCTGGTCTTGCTGGTCAAATTCCCACCATCACGTGAAGAGACGGTGGAGAACAACAATGAAATGGGATTTCTTACTCATACTGCCCAGATGCAGAAAAAATCAAACCAATATCGTCTGAAGGTATTAGCAAATACGAAGCTTGCGAAAGTCATAAGCCCAGGAATATTCATTGCAGTGAAACGTACGAAGCGCTCTGACAAACTCTTCATATCAACGCCGAATTTTGGGTACTATAAAAAGCACAATGAGATGCTTGAGGATGCTGAGTTTTATTCCATTGGTGGTGGCGAGGATCCTACATACGTTAGAGAGGTTGTTCAATTAAACTCCTCGATGATTAACCCACAAGTTGCTCAACCCCCTGTTGGTTTTGCCAACGTAATGGCCACGCAGTACACGAAGCCCCCATTACGGTTTGCTGTTCTCACAAACAAGGGGGTAAAGATTTTTGAGTACCGTCACTCGAACAAGGTATTGCTGCTGCTCAAGAATGACTCAATTGAAGCTTTCATTGGCGAGAATGGCTTCGAGGAAACTTGTAATACATTATTGTATTTGGCCTGTCTGTTGACAAATGAGGTTGCTAAAAGAAAAGCTCTGTTACTATTTGCTCTGTGTGGCGAACCTGCCAGATTATTGGAGCCTATAATGCCGCTCAATGGTCCCCAATTACTGCAATTGACAGCATTAACTGGTTATTCTTCTCCTCAAGGGGTATCTCTGCTGTCGCATCCAACGGCGGATCAAGTCGTACTTCTGGACAGATTTTACGGCACTTGTCTCCTTATTCTGAGAGTTTTCCGAGACTTCTGGTTTCAACCTGTTTTTTCGTCTTTACCTTACATCAAAAAGACTAGTCTGGGTGCAGTGGAGAAAAATCTGATCAAACTGGACAACTTGTTGATCGAAAAGCTTAATATCTCCAAACTGCAATTGGAATTTTTCATTGGTACTACAGTCACGCTCTTGGAATTTTTCAATAGTACTGGAGTTACCACAATTCTGGGTTTACTGGTTCCAAGCAACTTGACTCATGGCGATCCCTTTCAACTTGATCTGGAGATTTGCCTTCGCCTGGAGCACATAGCCTTTGCTCTGATAATTAAGCTGTTAGAACTGATTAAGGAAGGACTCACATTCCTAATGGTGTTGTACGAGCAGCAAGAACAAAGTGACAGCAAGCTGCTTGTTGAGGTCTTCAAGGGAATGTCGATCTCGGCCCAAGTCAACTTATTAACTTTATCGTTCGATGATATCTTATTGCCCACCAGAGAAGTGAAGCAATTGGTAAAGGATCTTTTCAGCAATATTGTGAATCAAAAAATTGCTATGGGAGGAGGTCTGATTGACGTTGTAACAAGTCTGTTGAAAGGCAAATGCGAACTGTTTTGCCTGGCAGACGACGTATTCATCTTTAAGGCTATTGAAAATTTGACTAAGGCTAAAAAGATTGGTGCACGTGATCAGGACCTTCGAGACAAGTGCTTACTGAATGCTACACACTTCTTCGAAAAGGCATTTGCGCTGTTGTCGTATGACAATGTTGAGCTGACCGTGGACATAATGGTCGATCTTGAGTACTACCAGGGGGCCGTCGAGCTCGTTTTGAAGCTTATTCAAAAAGTTGGTCTGGTTCCCAACTCGAGCAAAGATGAGGATGACCAATTCAAAAAGCGATTATATCAATTGGTGTTCGGCGTTCTCACAAAGATTGATCTGAAAGCTCTCAAGCTAAGCGATTTGGATAGTGATACATTGATTTTCATCAACCAAGTGCGAAACCCAACATATGACTTATGTTTCAACTGCAAAGACAAAGATTTCCAGTTTTCTCTTTATCAATGGTTCATTGATCAAGGTGTACCTGAGCGCTTATTGCAGGTGACAACAGGGCCGATTCTTGAGTTCATTACTGAAAAATCACACTCGCTGTTGAAAATGCTGGACCTCTTGTGGATGTATTACGCGAAACACGAAAATTTCTTTGATGCCGCTTGGATTCTCTATCTTTTGGCAATTCTGGACTTTGATATTGAACTCTCCCAACGTGTCGAATTTTTAGCACGAGCTAATGGTTTTTGTAATTGCGTCTGCCCTCCTAATTTACGCCAAAAGATGATTGAATTGTCACAGGTTGTCACAGAGCTATTCGATATTGCCACAATCCAGATGGACCTCGTTAAGTTCGTTGAGAGCGATCAACGTATAAGCAAACCCAATAGGGATGCTACGGCCCGCACTTTGTACCACTCGAAAATTTTTCTGATCCTGGATCTTTTCAACCAGTATGCGGATGCTCTTGGCTACTATGAACTTTGCCTTGTGATATTTTATGTTTCCGACTACAAGAATACTGATGATATCTTGAAGAGATGGGAACTATTATTGGAGAAGTTGTATACCGATTTTAGACAAACCCCAGACAAGACTCCATTTTTTGTCATTCTTGATGGGTTGTTCTCGGAGTGGGGCCCAAAAATCAGTGACAATGACGTTGTGTTCCCCATTGATACTTTAATGAAACTTGTGGCCAAGTATGTCAAAGATGCTATTGACGAATTTGGTCCAGGACAAAAGCCTCCTAATGGTTATTTGACAAATTTGTTCATTTTGCTGGGGGTAAGTTACGACAAGGTTCAGCATGTCATGCGTCTGGTGATTTCATTTGACAAGAATTTCGAAGTGTATCCTGGATTCACTAAGGAGTTGGAAACGCGAGAAGTTGGGTGTATGATCAAGCAATCTTAAGAGATTTATTAGTTTATATGAAATGCATTTACAGCTGTGGTTTTGCAAATGTAGACGTAGGTGAGGAATCTAGACAACAACATCCAGATAAATTTATTATGTAGCTGCACTCAAGAAGCGTCAAAAAAAGACCCCTCACGACGCCTTAACATGTTGGTTCTTGGGGTACTGACTTTGGAAGTGTGACTAACTTGTTGCTCAATGCTATCAACAATCAATTGGACAGCAGTGTCCTCCGCCCCCGGCAAAATGATATCGGCGTACTCCTTCGTTGGCATGACATACTCTGCCATCTCTTGCTTCGCGCCTTCAACGTAATAGTTTAATACTCGACCAAGCAGATATTTACCCAGTACAACATCCCGACGAAGCCACCTGATTAGACGAGTATCCGGATCACCATGTAAATATACCTTAAGTTGAGCAATGTTTCGAAGGCGTCGGTCATGGAGAGCGTATAGGCCGTGAACAATAATAACCGCATGATCTGATGTAAGATTCAATACTTCTGTTAAGATTCTGTCGAAGTCAAATCTCAGGGGCCTCAAAGCCGTACGAGATATTCCCGACTTGTCCACCAGAATTACTCTTTGATCACCATCGTCCCAATCCTCATTGACGAGAGTTTCAAACTCTCCCATATTGACCAAAGCTACATTAGCATCAGACCTCCTGAGACTATCACGTAGCTTAGTGGCGGTGGTGGACTTCCCCAGACCGTGGCCGCCTGCAATTAGCACCACAACCATCGTCCCCGTTAGGGATTCGCACTAACGTTCAATCAAACTAAGTCATCGCGGATTGATTTGATGAATAATCTAGAGTTTACCCATAAACTGTCCAATGTCGAAGTATTTCTGACATTTGAGCTGATGAGTCTCAAGCCAGAGTTATTGAAAGGCATTTACAATTATGGTTTTGAAGCCCCTCTGAGCATTCAGTCTCGGGCCATCGTTCAAATCATCAATGGTCGAGATACTATTGCCCAAGCCCAATCGGGCACGGGGAAAACTGCAACCTTCAGTATCGGTATGTTGGAAGTGATTGAACTGAGGTCAAAGGATTGCCAAGCTCTTATTTTGTCGCCTACACGTGAATTGGCGGTTCAAATTAATCTGGTGGTGAAGCAATTAGGGTCATATATGAATATCCAATGTCATGCTTGTATTGGTGGTACTCATATGGGCGATGATGTTAAGAAGCTTTCGTCGGGTGGACATCAAATCGTTTCTGGTACTCCCGGGCGTATTGTTGACATGATTAAACGCAGACTACTTATGGTAAAGCAGGTGAAAATGCTCATTTTGGATGAGGCCGATGAATTGATGACCAAAGGATTCAAGGAGCAGATATATGAGATTTACAAGCACTTATCTCTGACCGTCCAAGTTGTTGTCGTGCTGGCGACTCTCACCCCAGAAGTTTTGGAGATGACTGGTAAATTTACCTCCGACCCTGTAAAGGTGTTAGTAAAAAGAGAAAAGGTCACCCTCAAAGGTATAAAGCAGTACAAAATTCAATGCGAGGAGGAACAATGGAAATTCGATACGTTGTGTGATTTGTATGATAACTTAACCATTACCCAGGCAGTCATATTTTGTAATACTAAGGCGAAAGTGACTTGGTTAGCACAGCAAATGAAACGGCAGAACTTCACAGTTACCCTGATGCATGGGGATATGAAACAAGATGAGCGTGATAAAATCATGGCCGACTTTCGGCTGGGTCAGCTGCGAGTGCTCATCAGTACTGATGTTTGGGCTCGAGGGATCGATGTACAGCAAGTGAGTCTAGTTATCAACTATGATTTGCCGCTTGACAAAGAGAATTATATCCACCGGATTGGGCGACTGGGGAGATTTGGCAGAAAGGGGGTCGCCATAAATCTTCTCACCAAATTGGACATTCCTGAACTAAAGGCATTAGAATCGTATTACAAGATCAAAATCAAGGATATGCCTCTGGATCTTCAAGTAATGTAACTTTGAAATTTTTAAAAGAACGACTACAATTCTCGGAGACTCGAACTCCCTTGAGTCGTGAGCTACTCACATCGGTGGACGCCAACCAGTTCAAAGTTACATTCAACCTAAAGAAGGGGTCGATTTCGGTTGCCCTTAACCGTCAGTTTAACATTCTTAGATATACACGAACGTTAATTTATAGGAAATCTATCACCAGTGGTGAATCGGCAAGTTCATGCAAAGGAGCTCCATGTGCTAGCTCATACCTTGATCTTTTGTGACAGCACTCTCGTGGTTTCGATTGCTACCGAATCGAACATAAAGGGAATCTGCTTAGTGCGATGTACAAGCATTGCCTGTAATGTAATTCGGTACTTCTGTTTCTACGCGCTATCCCTCCTATTCTGTTCATTGCTTGTCGTTCTCATCGCCCATCGCGGATATAAAACGCTACCGAAAAAATTCTACCTGCAAGCATATCCATCCTATAATGGACGAACAATATCTTCAGTCGTTAGAAACGACGTTAAAAGAGACACTTGTGCCTGACTCTAATGTCGTTAAGCAAGCTGTCAACAGGTTGCAAAAGGAGTTGTACCCTCTGCCTGCCGCCATCCCTGGATTGTTCCAACTTTTGCTGACATCGCAAGATGAAGCCGTCAAGCAGTTGGCCGCCGTTGAAGCTAGAAAGCGTGTTTCCGCTGCGTGGGAGACCCTTGATCCCCTGATGAAGCCTCTGATCAAGGCTAACCTCTTACAGCATACCTTCGGGCAGTCGAACAAGAAGATCAGACATTCTTGTGCACGTACCGTAGCCGCCATTGCTGAAATTGACCTTGAGAACAACCAGTGGGAAGAGTTGTTGCCTGCTCTTGTAAACGGTGTACAAGACGCGAATCCTCAAACCAAGGAAATGGCCATCTTCACTTTGTATGCTGTGCTTGAAACGCAAGCCACGCCCCTTGCCAAACATGTTGGTGATTTCTTGGATTTATACTCTGGTCTTCTCCGCGATGACTCGAGAACGAACCGCGTCAATGCCGTCCTCGCACTCGACGTTTTGGCTCAATATCTCGAAGAAACCGAAGATCTTGATCAAAACTTGACCAATAAGTTCAAGCAATGCATTCCTGGTATGGTTGATGTATTGAAGGAAGTCATTTCCCTGAATGACGAAGACTTGGCAAAGTCCGTTTTCAACGTGTTCAATGGCCTTGTGTTTGTTGACTCCAGACTCATTGGTGACCAGTTGGTGGATCTTATCCAATTCATGTGCGAAATTGCCTCAAACACTCAGTTGGATTCTGAATACCGTGCCTTTGCTTTACAATTTCTTATCTCGCTGATTTCCTACAGAAAGTCACGCATTTCGCAAGCTAAGCTCGGCCCCGGCTTGACCAAAATGGCTGCTCAAATTTCTGCTGAAGAAATTGACGAAGATGCCGAACTTGCTGGTGATGACGAAGAGAATGAGAACGAAGAAAATGAACCTCCTGCTTTAGCTTTGCGTTTGATAGCCATGATGGCCGGTGAGTTACCTCCTTCTCAAGTCATCGTTCCCTTGTTTGACAACTTACAGCAAATGTTGCCCTCTCAAAATAAATTCGAGCGCCGTGGTGGTTTGTTGGCTATCAAGGTGGCTTCGCTGGGGGCTCCTGACTTCATCCGTACCCAAATCCAAAAGGTTTTGCCTGCCATTGTTGCTGGCTTGAAAGATCTGGAAGTTATCGTGCAAGTTGCTGCCCTCAAGACTTTGGCTAACTTGACTGCTGAATTGCAAGACAGTGTGGCCGATTACCATGAAGAATTGTTACCTCTCATCATCAATGTGATCAACAACGCTACCTCGATGGCTGCTTACAAGTTTGCTTGTTTTGCCTTGGATGGTTTGATCGAGTTCATGTCCCATGAAGCTATGGGTACTTATGTACAACCCCTCATGGAAAAGTTAACCGTTATGTTGCAACAAGCCAACAACAATGTTTTGCAGACCGCCATTGTATCGGCTATCGGCTCCACTGCCTTTGCGGCTGGTAAGGCTTTCACTCCTTACTTCAGCGAAACCATCCGTATCTTGGAACCTTTTGTTGCTAGTGGTCAATCCATCGAAGGGTTGTCGGAGGACGATATTGAACTAAGAGCTTGTGCTTTTGAAAACATTTCCACTATTGCCCGTGCCGTTGGTCCTGAACTGTTCTCGCAATACGCCAAGCCTCTCGTTGAGGCCGCCTACCATGCCGTCAAATCCGACCACTCTAGAATCCGTGAATCTGGTTTTGGATTCATCTCTAACATGTCTAAGGTTTACGGCGCAGAATTTGCAAGCTTCTTGGAACAGATCGTGCCTGAAATCTTGACTTGCTTGCAGCAAGAAGAATTCTCTTTCAACGAAAACTTCGACGAAGAAGGTGGTGAAGATGAATCGCCGGTGAACATCCATACCGGTATTACTATCGAAAAGGAGATTGCCGCCCTCGCTCTTGCTGAGTTGGCTAAGGGTACTGGTAAGGATTTCGCACCTTACGTCGATGCCTGTATCAAGGTCTTGTCGGACCAAGTGGAAAACTCGACTGGTATGAGAGAAGCTGCCCTTCAAGCTACTTTGGCTATTGTTAAGGCTATCTTCGTAGCTCAATACGGTGAAGACTTTAAGGCACCTAAGGGCGTCCCCAAGCAACCTTACGTCGATCAACCAATTATGGAATTGATTAACACCGCTCGTTCGGTTGCCATTGCTCCCTTAGAATACGAGTTTGAGATCACTATGGTGGCTTCAATTCTTGATGGCTTAGCTGACTTGATCAATACCATTGGAGCTCTTGCAGTGGTTGATGCTTCTAATACTGAGGAACTTCAGGCACTCTGTGTTGAATTGATGAAGTTGCTCAAGCGCGAACACCCTTGTCAGGTTGAAGATGACGAAGGTCCTGACGATGACGATAGTGATGCTTCTGAAGTTGATGCTGTCATTTTTGAATCCATCTTGGAAGTTTTGGTCAACTTGGCTGCCGCTCTCGAAGGTGACTTTAATGAGATCTTCTCTTCCTTCAAAGATGTGATCTTGTCTCGTCTTAACTCGAAGCTGAAGCCCATTCGTGTTGCCTGCATCGGCGCTTTGTCAGAGATTTCCTACGGTCTCAAAAGCGCTAATCCCTACACTCAGGAGTTGTTGCAAGTCTTCATCGACCGGTTGCAAAATGACAAGTCTCTTGAAGTCAAGTCCAATTCTGCTTATGGTGTAGGTGTTTTGATTGAAAACAGCACGCAAGATTTGTCTTCCATCTACCAAAATGTGCTTGAACTTTTGTTCTACTTGTTGAGCAAGGCCGGGAAGACTGCCGAAGAAGATGAGGAAGCCAAGGATGTCGTGGATCGCTCTTACGCCAATGCTTGTGGTTGTGTCGCTCGTATGTACTTGAAGCAACCTCAATCTATTCCCACCAACCACGTCGTTCCTGCCATGTTAGAACGTTTGCCTTTGGAAACAGCATTCGAAGAAAATGATGTGATTTTTAACATGATCATTAAGTTATATGAAGCCCAGGATAATGCTATTGAAGCTGAAACTCCTAGAATCATTAAAGTGTTTTCGGAAGTTTTCGTGAAGGATGCGAAGCGCGTGAAATTGGCAGAAGAGTCCACTTTGGGTAGAGAAGAAACGTTGGATGCTATGAAGCAATTCCCCAAAGAAGGCTTACGGGAGAAGGTTGTCGAATTGCTTAGGTTTTTGGATTCAAAGCTGAACGGTGCCGTCTCGCAAGACGAAGTGTTGAAGCTGGTGTTGGCTTGATTATAGATTAATTAGTGTAATGGAATTTAAAATTTGTGTCAGACGTTGATAAGCTGCTTATGTAAAGATTTCATTATACGTGCTGCGCGTTTCAACGGATCGGGTTACTTGCAGCAGTTGGTGGGTCAAGTCTTCTCGAAACCTTCCAAATCGAGACATGAATCAATGAGGTGGATGGATTTAAAAATCTTCACTTGTTGAAATTATAACAATAACTATGACTTCCATCATACTAGGCGTATTTTCGTTTATTGCCTTTGTTGTGCTCATTCCGCCCTTTACCTGGCAGTGTTACAAAGGGAATACGGCCCAAGCTATGCTTTTATTTTGGCTCGCTATCACCGACCTAATCACCTTCATCGGAGTGGTAATTTGGGGTCCACGCGACTTTAGAAATCGATGGGACGGCAAAGTTTATTGTGATTTCGTTAGTCGATTAGATGCCATGACGAACATGGGTAAGGTTCTGGCAGTGTGCGCCATTATGTTCACGTTGAATGAAATTTTAAAGCTGAAAAACCCAAGCTATATCGATCCACGATCACTAAAAAAACGTTTGGTCACATGGGTTATTTGTTTACTGATGCCATTGTACGGTTTCATCATGACATTCTTTCTCCAAAGTCCACGTTACAATATTGTGCGTCATTATGGGTGTCGCAGTTCTTATTCACTGACAACAACGACGGTGGTACTTTTATATGTACCTATGGGACTCATTTTAATTCCCACCATTGCGTTTGCCATATTGACAGTCAAAAATTGCTTACGCAAGAAAAGGGAGCTTGCTAACATTTTAAAATGTACAAACTCCAATATGCTGCTTTCAAGATTTGCTCGAGTGCTTGTGTTTTCCTTGATTGTAATCCTTGTTCTCACTCCACTTACGATTTACATTATTGCAACAAATTCGCTGATCACAAACGGACTGGTCCCATTGCTGTTCATTTACAATCCTGTCACGTTCAATCAAATACGGAAGTTTGACATTGGTGAACGGCCACTTCTCTCTCGAATTATAAATACGGCATTACTGTACGTTGCTATATTGATTTTGGGGACTGGTAAAAGCAACGTGGCTATGTACAAGACTATTTGGCGATTCATCGCTCGGCGACCTCAACAAGAACCCGAAAAACTTGACCAAGCGGGCACAGTAACCTGTGTTGACACAAATACGACCCGTACTGACTCTGTATATAATGCCAAGAATCTCAACTTCGGCCTTGAGATAACTCGTTGTGCTTAAACAATCAACATTTTGAATTTATTCTCAAAATCTTTAGCGGGTATTTTCCCTTGTGTTTCTTTCATCGCAAGTCCAACAAGATATTTCATCAGCTTTGTTTGCCCCCGCCGTATTTTAGCCACAACATCTTCATTAGCGTTGACAATCTCTTCACAGATTTCATTGATTGCCTCGTTGATTTCCTCTGATGATACCAGCTCACTGGGAGGTGCCAAATCATACTTAACAATTAACTCACCAATGGAACCTTCGTTTTTGTGTTTTATCATGTTGTATATCAAATGGCGAGCTGAGGTCAAGGAAAGCTTTTTCGAAGCTACCAACTGCATAATTTCCACGACTCTGTCAACACTCACAATATTGAAGTCCCACTGTTCATTCATCTTGGAGAATGCAGCCGGTAACTCTTGTGTAACCCAGTTATTAACCATTTTAGTGTTGTTCATCTTATCGAAAAGATCAAAATAGAACTTCATGATGTAGGGATGCTCGACAAGATGTCTTGCATATCTTAGCTCCAAATTGTAAGGCATACTAGTTAGTTTTCTCAAGAGCTCCTCGGGTAATTCAGGAAGTGTGGCTCTGATCTGGTCACCGATTGTGGGGTCGAGGATAACATGCGGGAGTTCAGAGTCTGGGAAATAACGATAATCTACAGAACTTTCTTTTTTTCGAAGTAATATAGTCTTTTCACCATCCCAGCCGCGTGTTTCTTGTTGTAATTCTTCTGATTTGTCTTGCTTTATAAGCTCAACTTGGCGCCAATATTCGTGCATAATGGACTGCAGAATTTCGGAATGACTGTTCAAATTTTTGATCTCAACTCGGGGATACCCATTGACACTCACGTTCACATCGACACGGATAGCTCCAGTCTCAAGATCACCCGTGCAGACACCTATATGTCTTACTAACAGTTGAAACTTCTTCACGAACGCTTTCACCTGATCAACAGTATCAAAGTCAGGCTTCGTAACAAGTTCAATCAAGGGAGTATTGGCCCGGTTGAGATCGATATTGATTGTGTGATCGAAATCATCATGAGTGGTCTTACCCGTATCCTGTTCAATCTGAATTTGCTCTATGCGAATTGTTTTGGGAATTTGGACTTCATCAAACTGCTTGTTCAACTCCAACTTGCCCCGTTTAGCGATGGGATGGTAATGTTGTGTAATCTGGTATCCCAATGGCTGATCTGGATAAAAATAGTGCTTACGGTCGAAGCAACTATGGGATTGAATCTCGCAATTCAAAGCTACAGCAGTCTTCAACGCTAGGAGTATAGCTTCAGGGTTAAGTTTCGGTTGAGTCCCTGGAAGACCAGCATCAAAGTAGGACACATTGCTGTTTGGCCAAGCGTTAATACTGGTTGGGCTGAGCGAGAAAAGCTTATGCTTTGTCTGCAATTGCGTATGAATTTCAAGGCCACATTTGAGTCGATAGTCGGGATTTGAACGAAGCTCTGCTAGGGCCCGGGTTGATGTATGGAGGCGGCGAAGCATATCAGCCCTGGTGCGATGTGCGAACGTAACTACAAAATGAGACATATTGGGATTCGAAAGCAACGTCGACTGAATTGAATCGGAATCAACAATATTGGCAAGTATCGAAATGGCTGTAATTTCCCACTTCGATTGTAGGATTAGCTCATCTTCTCCAAGAATTTATTGATGTTCTCGATAATCCATCGAATCCTGAAATAAACAACAAGTACATCTTTTCGAGTCCAAATCTAAAAATGAAGAATTGAATTTGTCAATGTATTGAGTATCAATCCCAGTTAGCGTGTATCTTATGGTTAATCTTCATCGAAGGTTTGTAGAAACGATCCTTCGATGATTTCCATAATGACGTCGCGAAAACTGAAAGGGCAGGAGACGGAGCAACGCGATCATGGAAATTCCCGATTGCCCAAATTATAAAGATTAACATCGTTTGACAGCTTTTAGGTACCTCAAGTTGAGTATGTCAGCTGTACAACTTGTCAAATCCTCATATGGTAAAACCAACGTGAAATTCTTGAAGGTCAAGAACGATTCTCGAAACAAGAAGAAGCAAGAGGTTATTGAAGCGAATGTAATGGTGTTATTGCGTGGTAATTTTGAAGCTTCATATACTAAGGCTGACAATACGTCGGTGGTGCCTACTGACACTGTAAAGAACACTATCTTTGTGGAAGCGAAAACCACCGACGTTTGGCCCTTGGAAAGATTTGCTGCTCATTTGGCTAAGCACTTCACTACCAAGTACAACCACGTCTCGGGTGTTGAAGTGACTATTGTCCAACAAAAATGGTCAAAGTACCCGTTATCCACTGGCAAGGTCCACGAACACTCATTCAAACATGACGGTCCTGAAACTAAGAGAATCTATTTGGTCTACGACAAGAAATCAGGGGAATTAAAGCTCACAACGGGTATTAAGGACTTGACCGTACTTAAGTCGACAGGTTCGATGTTTTACGGTTATCACGAATGTGACTACACCACGTTGAAGCCTACCACCGAAAGAATCTTGTCCACTGATGTTGACGCCGTGTGGGAGTTTGACCCTAAGGCGTTGCCGAACTTGCAATCGGTATTTGTCGCTGCTGAGAGAGGACTTTTTGACAGAGCTTACAACGCGGCACGCCAGACTACCTTGGAGTTGTTTGCTTCGGAGAATTCTGCCTCGGTACAAGCCACGATGTATAACATGTCACAACTGATTTTGGAACAGGTTCCTGAAATCAAGGAGGTCCCGTACGCTTTGCCTAACAAACATTATGTGTTATTCGACTTGTCGTGGAAGGGCATCGAGAACAATGATGACTTGTTCTACCCTCTGTCAGACCCTAACGGATACATCAAATCAACTGTGAATAGAGAAATTGATAAATCTAAGTTTTGAACGTGATACAGTTGCGCTATAAGTAAGCATATTTAACTCGAGTTAATACATAATTTGAGACGTTGAGAAATTTTCGTCTTTAGAAAACACTAACAAATCCATTACATTTTTACACTTGTATTGTCGGAAGAACACGATCTACCTGTTGTATCCCCACAAAAGAAACCCAGTCGAGGTGACCTTTTATATACAGTACATCGCACTTCTTTGAAAAAACCATCTACCAACTCCTGAACCGACACACATCCAGCATGAGCGACTCGGTCGACTTCAAACGCGAGTCCGATGGGGAGTTAGTTGAAGATGTTGGTGAAGCTTTCGTGAAAGCCGAAGAAGAGGAGAGGGAAGCCGCTAAACGTGAACATGATGAAATTGAACCCACTGTCTCAAAGACTAGCGAGCAACCAGCCAATACTGAAGATGATAACAGACATGATGAAGTGGAAGAGGATGAAGAAGACGATGATGACGAAGAGGAAGAAGAGGATGCTCCCCGCAGAAAACGCCGGAGAGCTGCCAATCAATTCATCGATATCGAAGCCGAGGTTGATGATGAGGAAGAAGATGAGCTTGATGAAGACGATGAGGAAGCTGAACTTATCCGTCAACAATTTATTGCTGATGACAAAGCTGACGAAGAAGGTGGCCGCCGTGACGATCGTTTACATCGTGAATATGATTTAAGACGACAAGAAGCCGAAGACCAAGACGCTGAGGAATTAGCGCAATCACTCAAAGAAAAGTATCGTCGCAGTCATACGGTTTATCGCGGTGATCTGGCGACCTCAGGAGCCGTCTCGCAGAAGTTGTTAATGCCCTCAATTAATGACCCCGCCATTTATGGTATCCGTTGTAAGCAAGGCGCTGAAAAGGATTTGGTTCGCAAATTATTCGATAAAAAACGAACTTTCGAGAAACGAGGTCAACCTCTTGATATCTTGCTGGTGTTCCAGCGAGACGCTTTCAGGGGTTATATTTACATTGAAGCTAAAAGACCAGATGCAATTGACAAGGCTCTCAATGGGATGATTAACGTCTACGCGCGAGACAAGCTTTTGGTACCAGTGAAAGAGTACCCTGAATTGTTGAAACAAATCAAATCTTCTGACGTGGAAATTGTTCCTGGTATCTATGTCCGTATCACCCGTGGCAACTATAAGGGGGACTTAGCCATCGTCGATAACTTGTCCGAAAATGGTCTTGAAGTTCGGTGTAAGTTAGTTCCAAGACTTGATTACGGCCGCAATGATGAGTATGATCGTGATGGTCGTAAAATCATCAAGCGTGGTGGAGTGCGTCCGATGCCTCGTTTGTTTAATGAGCAGGAGGCTAGGCAATACGATCCTGGAAACCTTCAACCAGGTCGGACTCGTGGTGGCTTCTTTTACAAGGGTGAAGAGTACAACGGAGGGTTCCTATTCAAAGATTTCAAACTCCAATTCATTCAAACAAAGGATGTGCACCCATCTTTGGAAGAGCTTGATCGTTTTCAACAAGGAAAGGATGAAGATGGTGGTCTCGATTTGGCAGCTATCGCAGCACTGGTGAAACTGTCAGGTGGGACTGACGGTCTGCCATTTCAACCTGGTGACCGTGTAGAAATCAAACGCGGTGAATTAGCCCGAACTGTCGGTCAGGTGGTAGAAGCCGCACTTTCTGAAGTTGTCATAAATGTCACCAATTCTGGAGATCCCAATTTTGTTAATCAGCGTATCACTGTGCCCGCAGGTGACTTGAGAAAAATGTTCAACGAGGGTGACCACGTAAGAGTGATCACCGGTAAGCATGCGGAGGAAACTGGTTTGGTTATTAAGGTTGAAGGTGAAAACGTGGTTTTGGTGTCTGACTTGACAAAGAATGATATAAAGGTGTTTGCCAACTACTTGGTCAAAGCTACCGATGCCTCTACTGTTATCCACGACTTTGGTCAAGAATATGATATCAAGGATTTGGTTCAACTTAACGCAAGTACTGCAGGTGTCATCGTTAAGGCTGAACGAGGCATTTTCGAGGTACTTACCACGGACAATCGTACCATTTCTGTTAAGCCGTCAGGTATCGCTTCGAAGCTCAAATTAACCCGTCGAGAACAAGTTGCCACCGACCGTAATGGGTCTAAGATTGCTGTTGGTGATACTGTCAAGGATGCTATTGCCGAGAAGCATGATAAACGTGAAGGCACTATTATTCACGTATACAAACTGACAGTGTTTGTTCAGCTGAAAGAGATTACCGAAAACCTTGGTATCTACGCTACGAATTGCATTAATGTGTCGACAGTTTTTACTAAAGATCTGATGACCACTAAATCGCGTGGTCCTGATTTGTCACAAATGAACCCTAATCTCAACCTTCCCCAACCGATGGCACCGCCATCCTTCCGTGCTCGCGGGCCCGGTGGTCGTGATAAATTGATTCAGAAGGATGTTACGGTGACACAAGGTAATTACAAGGGGTTAATGGGTAAGGTAGTGGATACCACTGACACTATTGCCACAATTGAGTTGCATACTAAGGCGAAGCGGATTAAGGTGGATAAGAACAAATTGAATGTCATTTTCAAGGGTCAAGCCATTCCCTATTTGCGCTTTATCGGCGCCCCTATGGCTGCTGGTGGCGAAGGTGCTGGCTCGCGAGCGTACGCTCTGGGAGGTCGTCTGGCATGGAACGGTGGCGCAACTCCTGCTCAAGGAGCTGGTTCGCTGTGGGGTTCAGGAAGCAACACTCTGTGGGGTGGTTCAAAGACCCCAGCATACTCCTCGGGTGATAGACTGACGTGGGGCGGTGGAAGTGGCGGTGCGCTGTCGTGGGGCTCGCTGGGAAATACCTCGACGTGGGGTGCTAGCTCGGGCAATCAGCTGACATGGGGTGGTGGCTCTACGTGGGGTGGCTCTGGAGGCGGTGCCGGAGGGAACGGCGGCGAGTCTACCTGGGGTGGCAATCTGAAAAAGTCAGGCTCTGGATCGTCGTGGGGCGGCGGTGGTGGTAACTCCACCTGGGGCCTGAACTCTGGAGGCAATCTGACGTGGGGCCAGAAGAAGCAGGGGGGCAACCTGACGTGGGGATCTGGGGGTAACCTGACTTGGGGTTCTCTGGGCTCTGGCGGCAACTCGTCGTGGGGGTCATAGTGAGTAACATATTGTATTATAGACATGATGACCATTTATGTGTTCGATCTAGTGCGGTCTACAGGTAGTAATCAAACGTCGAGCATTAGGGTGATTGTATTATTGTAGCTTCCTGCAACGGCATCGACGCCACCGTCATGCGATAATGTTCATGGCGCTGTTGAAAACGCCGTGCATAGGCGGCGCGGCCTGCACGCTCTCTCCCCCACGTATAGAGCCCAGCCCCAGGTTGTTGTCGCCCCATCACCGCTAAGAATACATATGCCGAAGGTGGTTGTTGTTGGTTGTGGTGTACTTGGTCTTTCAACGGCGTGGGCAATTAAGGAACACCAGCCTCAGACTACCGTCTTGGTGATCGGCAAGGCGGGTCCCCACGTCCGCCTGACAAACTTATCAATGACGAACGACCATCATTATACGTCGCCGTGGGCGGGTGCCCATTTCCGACCATTTCCGCTGAAAACCAATCAGGAGTGGACCGAAAGTCAGTTCACTCGAGCCACTCAGCGTCGCCTACGCAAACTTGCCATAACTAATCCAGAGCTGTCGGTACAATTTATTGATGGCATCGAATACTTTGAGGCCCCTGATCAATTCTATCGGGAATTAGCCAAAGGCTACCGTGAAGAAATGGAGGGGTTTGAGGTGTTACCTACAGCGGAGCTCCCTCAAGGAGTAACAATGGGAGTGAAGTACCGAACGTGGGCAATTAATCTGCCACTCTATTTGCAATGGCTCTATCGTAAGTTGTTTTACGAATATCAAGTGGATTTTATTGAGACGGAGCTCACAAGTTTGCGCAACGTTAATGACTACGTCCCCGGCAACCCTATCATTGTCAATTGCTCGGGAATGGGGTTAATGTACGACGGCGGTTACGACCCCGAATGCTACCCGATCCGAGGCCAAACGCTTTTGGTGCGCCCCCCTTGCAATAACCGATTTGCTGCAACCACCGTCACGCATCAACTGAAGGAGGGCCTCTGGACATTTTGCATTCCTCGCCCTCTTGATGGGGGGATGATAATAGGGGGTACGAAACAAGTCGGTGACACGTACGATGGTGTTCGAGATGATGATACTAATCAATTATTGACCCGAGGTCAAATGTTATTCCCCGAGTTGTCAAAAAATGGCAAGTTTGACGTGGTTAACATAAATGTTGGGTTTCGTCCCGCCAGAAATGGGGGATTGAACACTCTGATGGAACCATTACAACAGTACCCGCAACGACAAAACCATGTCATTAACAATTACGGTGCTGGGGGGATGGGCTACGAATTGTCTTACGGCCTGGGTTTACAGGTAGTGGAACATTTACGCTGTTTGGTTAGAGCGAACAAACTCTGAAACATCTCTACTCTAGTTTTCGTTATCGATGTAGATTATATATTAGACTTGTTGATAATGCATTTACTAAGACTACATTGCTCCTCAGAGATCGCTTTAGTCTACTATCGGCGTGTCCTTTGTTGAATATTCGCACTCCGGAAAAGTCTGCAAGAGGCCGTCTGAATTCTGCACTACGCGTATCGCGATTTTTCGTAAACAAAGAGTGGTCCCGGGGATGAAGGACATTGAGTTGATTGAACAACAGAAAGAAAACATTGCTCCGCTAGATTCAGGCCGTCTGGTTCTGAAACTAGTACCCCACTTACGTGGATCCAAGTCGAATAACTCTGACCTCCAACGACAGCGGGACGATTTCGAGCAACAACTTCAGGACCTTACAGAGTTGGACGATCCTTTACAAGTATTTGTCGATTATTTATCGTGGATGCGTCACCTGTATTCTCATCTGAATGCTCTGCCGGAGCTAGTGATGTTGCTAGAGCGTGCAACGACTCGATTTAAAGATGATGCCCACTATCGGAATGACCCTCGTTTTGTGAAAATTTGTCTTGAGTACTGTCGTCTAACTGACATACCTCGAGAAATGTTGATATATATGCTGAAGAAAGGCATTGGCAGCGATTTAGCGGTGTTCTACGAGGAGTTTGCCCGACATTTGGAAGTTCAGGGTCAAATTAGCGAAGCTAATGAGATTTATCAACGAGGTTTGAGTCTTGAGGCTCGGCCAAAGTCTCGTTTAGAGCGCAATTGGCGCCAATTCCGTGAACGAGTTGGTAATTTCAAGGCACCGGTTGTACCGAAACGTCGATTACTGGGAGAGACTCAAGTGTTGTCTGTACCTACTCCAGTCTCAGCGAAACGCTCGAAAATGACCATCTTTCAAGATGAGCCTGATTCTGTCCCACTGTTTGTGGAATCCATCACAAATGGCAACGATGCTCCAGATCCATTCCTGAGTGCACACCTTCACGAGCGACTCAAGGAAAATCATATAACTCCTTCGCAATGGGTCGGTGAAACAATCAAACAGAAAATGCCACTCAATTTATCATCAAGGACAAAAATTCCTGTTTATGTTGACACTCAACAACCACAAAGGGCGATGTCATCGTATGTTGCTCATGACTATTCGATCGCACACGATGAATTTGATGGCGGTATCATTACCATATACAAAGTTCCAGGAAAGCACACCGAAAGAATTCACATAAATACCCAGCTTTTGAAGTCAGGTGACATGGAGAGGTGCCCCTTAGAGGTGATGATGGCGTCCACTTTAATGCTGGTGCCAAAACAAGACAGTCCAACTGAATGTCTTCGTTACGAGCCTTCATACGTAGCACCACCGTCACCAACCGTTACATTTCACGGTCGGGATTCGCGTCAGGTGGTTCAAAGAATGTTTGGGGTAGGTGTTGATCTTCATGATTCTTTCGAGGAGGAGGTGGCGCTTAGAGACGCTAACATACCCGAACAGACTGAAAATTTTACCGATTACGTCACTGTAACACTGATGGCGGCTCCGGTAGTGGAACCAGCAGATGCCACTATTCCAACTCAAGAAGACTATCTCCGGAAACAGTCGACACCTTCAACTGCTCCAGCTTCTCCACGAGACAGCTCCCCTTTTACTATTGAAACTGCTCAAGATGCACCCAAAGTACAAGTGTTTGATATCGGCGACACCACCATAAGAGATAATCGTCTCCACAAGCTCCAGCCACTGAATCTTGAAGGATTTCATGATAGAAGCAGTGTGGCAAACGGGAAGGTTGCGAAATACCAAGCAGCATTTAAGCTTGGCCAACCCAAACCAGCGCTGCTGGCAGCGCTTATTGACTTTTGTGGAAACGATTTGTACGTAATCAAGCTGGAATTGGGCGAGGGAGGCTATGGCACTGTTTATCTCGTTGAGCTGGCCATCGGCGAATTTAAAGCGCTCAAGGCGGAGACGCCAGCACTGAAATGGGAGTTCTACATCATGAAAGAGTTAGAGAAACGATCAGCAAGTCTGTCATACTTCGTGAAGCCTTATGAGCTTTACTATTTTGCTGATGAACTGTGGTTGCTAATGCAATATTGTCCTCAATTTTCTTTACTTGACTTGGTGAATCTCTCTAGAGAAACAACAGGCAAGTCACTTTCCGAACCAGTTTGTGCATTGATTGCCATTGAACTCCTTCGAGCCGTCAAACTATTGCATCAGCTGCATATCTTGCACGCAGATATAAAACCTGACAATGTGATGACCCGTGTGTCGAGTCTGGAGATGTCAATAGTATTGATTGACTATGGTAGAGCACTTGATTTGAGCTTATATCCCGAAGGGGCACAATTTTTACTGCATATCGTCAGCAATGGACTGGAGTGCCTTGCCATGCAACGACAACAAAGCTGGGGCTATGATGCGGACTATTTTGGGGTAGCTGCTGTCATCTATTGTGTTCTTTACAGTGAATTCATGAAAGTATCAGATTTCGATGGTGAGGTGAAATTAGCATCACCCTTGAAACGATGGCATCAAGACTTATGGGGACCCCTTTTCAAAAGTTTACTCAATCCTTACAAACAACACGAGCCACAGATGCCATTGACCACGATTGATTTCCACATCAAAAGATTAGAAGCATGGGTTTCTCACAGACGGGAGGAAATCAAGGCGAACTTAGAATCTTTGAAGTGTGATTTAGCTAAAAAGCGTCGCAATCATGAGAACCGTTAAGGTTAACGCATCTGTAGCCCCAAAGGCTTGCGATCTTTTCGAGGAAAAAAAAATATTCAAGGAGGAATTTGAAGGACTACAAGAAATAAGAACATCAAAAACGCCAATGAATGAACTGCATTAATACATATATGTAAATATTGACACCTTTTGAGATCCGGGTATCAGTAACAGATTTCCTGTGTTTTCAAATTGCAATGAATGAGCCACAAATCCAACCTGCAACGTTTGTTGATGTTTACCACTCGGCTAGCTTTTGAGGGTTTCTGTAATGATGCGTTCCGAAACTTTAACACTCGTTTGGATTATACTCAAAGAATTTGTTATTGGCGAGATTGTGCGTCAAGTCGAGTCGAGGGATAGCCGGAAGCCTTCCCTGTTACCAAGTACTACGGTGTAAGGCTAGCGGTGAAATGACAATGGACCGCATACCAAAGTCTAAATATACGCTGTGGCTATGGCATCCCGACCTGTGAAATATTCTGGCGCGAATATACCAACAAAGAGGATGACGACGGCCACTCAAATGAAATGATTGCGATATCATTGCCAACGCAAGTGGCATATTATGTATCTCTACAATGCGCTAGATAGTATCATTCAAATAAGCAGTGATTGAAGGGGGGGTTTATTTTATGATACAACAAGTTGCATGGCAGTGTCAGGATTAGGAGCCACGCACCCAAGTAATTCGCTTACAAACATAATTTCAATGCATCATGGTCTTTATGTGCGATGAATGCAATCTCCTTGAGATCTTCTTGTTTACTGAAAGATTTTCAAAATCCCATAATATTTTTCACTACACAGTTACCGAAATTAAACCTAAAAAAATTAACCCGTTTTCAACTTACAACAAGTTGAGGAAGATAGCGGCACCAGCCACAAGCATAGGCAAACCAGCACCCGAAGCACCGTTGGCGGTTTCAACACCAGGAATGCTGACCGAAGGAGCGGGTTGACCAGAAGGAGCGGGTCTCAGTTCTTCAGCAAGGGTGGTGTTGGGAGAGGGAGCAGGAGCCTGCGATTTCTCAGTAGTAGGAGCAGGAGCAGGGGCAGGAGGCTTCGATTCTTCAGCGGCAGTGGTGGGAGCAGGGGCGGGAGGTTGCTCGGGTTGAGTCGAAGGAGCAGGGGCAGGAGCGGGAGGCTTCGACTCAGTAGTAGGAGCAGGAGCGGGAGGCTTCGACTCAGTAGTAGGAGCAGGAGCGGGAGGCTTCGACTCAGTAGTAGGAGCAGGAGCGGGAGGCTTCGACTCAGTAGTAGGAGCAGGAGCGGGAGGCTTCGACTCAGTAGTAGGAGCAGGAGCGGGAGGCTTCGACTCAGTAGTAGGAGCAGGAGCGGGAGGTTGCTCGGGTTGAGTCGAAGGAGCAGGGGCAGGAGCGGGAGGCTTCGACTCAGTAGTAGGAGCAGGAGCGGGAGGTTGCGAAGGTGCAGGAGCAGGAGATTGCGAAGGGGCAGGAGCAGGAGGTTGTTCAGGTTGGGTCGAAGGAAGAGGGCAGTACGTCACGTACACGGTCTTCTTTTCGTTGTCAGTAACAGTGGTGAGACCAGTTTCAACTTCGACTTCGTTGCACTTGTTGTCTTCACACGAGGTAATGGTCACACGAGTAGTTTGGATGTTGGTTTCGTACACGGTACCTTCGGGACCAGTAGGAGCAGGCTTTGATTCACCTTCAGGGGCAGGCTTCGATTCACCCTCAGCGCTCGAAGGACCGGGAGCGGGCGCGGGGCCTTCAGAAGGCAACGGGCAGTACGTAGTGTAAATGGTCTTCTGCACGTTGTCGGTGACAACAACGAAACCAGTGGTGACTTCGGTTTCAGAGCCGGTGCACTTAGCTTCCAGGCAAGGCACGGTAATGACAGTGGTACCAATAACGTTTTCCTCAGTGGTGGTTGAGTTAACGTAAATGGCCGCAGCGGGCACAGCGAGCGCAACAGCAGTAGCAGCGAACTTCATTGAATAGCGATTGAATTAGTTGTGATGGGTTGACGAGGTGGCGGGATTACCCTATTTATAATGTATGCTTGAAATGATGATGCAATAATCAATGAACGCTGGTCAAGGTGCTACGGCAGGATCAGCAAGACTGCATATTAATTTGCATACAGCAGGTGTATGCGAACAATTCCCCCTGCGAAATTATCCTAGCGATGACAACAATAAAGAAAGGAGAGATCAACAAATCTTCACATGGCACCGTCGTTCAGACATTCTTCGTACAAATAGAAGCTACGAAAAGAACATGAGTTCAATTATGTTTCATGTATGAGTGCCAACCACAAAATGTGCTTGCCATACCCATTAGACCATATGGCCAGCGTTTTGCATGCAAGCCCCGCCACATGATATCAGGGGCGTCAACGTCGACGCACGCTGCAATGAACCACATCGTGATGAGCCTAGTGTCGCTAGGGGCAACGTTTAAAGCAACCATACAATCTCAGGGCTTCCGCGGCGCACACGGTTCCGATAAACTTCAAGCAATCTCGGAAATATCAATGTAACATCATGAGGCCACTTTGATTGTCCCCAACACTCTCATTCGGATGTGAGCGTCGCTTAGACGCGACGCCTAGAACGGCAAAATTCGTACATGCATTTGGTAGCCTAGGTGACACCTTGTACCAGCCTACAAATTTTTACAGTCATGTTTATTCGCAGGTTGCAATGGTCTGGGGCACGGCCCCAAAGTCAGCGCAAACCTATATACAGGAATACGAGCTATGAGCCAGCGACTGCCCCCTTGCAAGCACTCGGTGTTCCGGGGCAACCGTCAACAAGTGACGAAAAGTACGAGAAAACTATAATCAAACTTCCGACATTTTGCGATGCCTCAAGTTTGCTCCTAAATATAATTCAAACAATGTATTTCTAAAAATAGTGCACGTGACTAAAATTGGAAGTTTCAATGAAATAATCATGCTAATCCAAGTAAACCTTGAATGTGGCAATTTCGAATCCTCGCAATTTAATATCAACGCTCCCATCTTTATTGGGAGTCAATTCCTCCAATTCATCTTCCTCTAACGCATTTGTCTTCACAATTCTCTTAACTTTCAATTGCTTTGAGTCAAAGCTAATTTTACCCGTCAGCGACCCACCGAGTGCTTCGTAAACACGCAAAACCAAAGTCTTTTGTTTTGCCACGTTCTCATAAGCTTTGTATATGTTTACGTCAACATCGTTTTCGCCCCGTTTGATGTGTGATAACACAAGAGAACCTTGTGATTGTTGATGCAACTGCACAGCGTGCGTCAACATACCCAATCGGTTGTTACCATCGGGTATAACTCGATTGACACGATAATTAAAGTCCCACGCCACCTTCACAGTGTCCATGCCGACATTGCCACGGTGTGGATATACAGCATACTCGAACGTGTGTTTACCCATATCGGCCCTATCATCAGGAGCTTTCGCCGATCTCAATAACAGTAAGCGAATCAAATTTCCATGCACCAGCGACCCATACTTGCAGTCGTTCAAGATGGACACCCCGTAGTTGTACTCACTTAAGTCAACAAACTTATGGTGACAAACCTCAAATTGTGCAACATCCCACGAAGTATTGTAGTGCGTAGGACGCTGTGTGATCCCAAATTGCGTCTCGTAGTTGGCATGGGTAGCTGTATAAATTGTAATAGGAAATTGCACTTTGAGAAACTTGTTTTTCTCATGCCAATCAACATCACACTTGAAGTGCACGAAGTTGGGGGCAGCATCGGTTTTTTTGCTCAAACCTTGCAAGGAAATTCTGGTTCTCATAGTCAGTTTCTTCAGAATCTTGTAATGAATTGTAATCGACAGCTCCACCGGATCACTTGTGGTATCAACAACCTCACCACTGTTAACAAAGCCAAACTTATCCAATGAATACAACTCGGTATCCCAAGCCGGAAAGTTGAGTGGCTCATCGTCCACGAGAATGTATTGGTTGAAACCGACCTCAGAACCACCACGAGTTTGCTTAGTGTTGGTGGTATCAACTATTTCACGATCATTTACAATATCGTAAAGAGATGTGATCACACCAGTTTTGGAGACGGTCGCTTTCAAAATATTGTTTGAAAGAACAAATGAGTCTCCTTCAGGTTTTACCAGTGAAGGGTATTTCAATTGGGAGTTGATATTCGTACCCTTTGAGGTGATGTCAATTAAAGTGAGGCCAGGTTCAAGACCTTGGCGTTGAACCCAAAATTTCATCTCGGGGATTTCACGAGAATCAACGACAACATCGTGACGTTCCCATGGTGATGGGTTAAAGAACGACACCGGCTCGCCAAGCAGACGCTTGCGATCTTTAAGGACGTCAAGGACCTCACTGATCAACTTATCCATTTTCGCAAGGTCTTTGGTTAACATGGGATAGGCCTCATCGTAGTATACCATGCCGATGCAAGAACCCGGAAATACATCGTGAAACTGGCACAACAACAAGTCCTCCCATAACTCCTGGATTTCATGCTTAGGATACTTATATTGCTTTGGGTACAAAAGCAGTGTTAATGCTGCCAAATACTCCAAGTTGTGCAACTTGATCTCGCCAAATCGTTCCAACTTTTTGATAAGTGCTTGAGTTGTGTAGGTTCCCCGGTGGTATTCCAAATACATTTCACCGTTCCACAGAGGAAGTAAATCACCATTGTCGGTAGACTCCAAAACTTGATCATAAAAATCGTCTACCGTGGATCCCAAGTGCACCGTAGGTACCAATCCAGAGGTATTGGCTAATCCACGACAGCGACGTATCTTCTCAATCATCTCTTCAGTGGGACCGCCACCACCGTCACCGTAACCGTACAATAACAAGCCTAGGCTTGATTGCCCCAAGTTTTTGTTGCCACTTTCGGAGCGAACAATGTCACCAAAGTGAGCATGAGCTGTATAAGTGTTAGCAGGAGGCATATGTACCAACACTTGCGACCCATCAAGACCGACCCAATTGAATGTTGATAACGGGAACACATTGATGTTGTTCCACGAAAGTTTTTGAGTCAAGAACCGCAGAATCCCCGCGTGCTGACATATTTGTGGAATTTGCAGCGTGTAACCGAAAGTGTCAGGGAGCCAGTAAATATTCAGATAGAAGCCAAACTCGTTGAATTGGAAACGTTGACCCACTAAGAACTGACGAATCAATGACTCCCCGTTTGGTAAATTGGTATCATTTTCAACCCATGAACCACCAATCGGCAAGAATTGGTTCGTGGCAAACTTCTCTTTGATTTTCCTCAAAATCTCAGGATGACTCTGTTTTAACCACTTAAATTGTTGCATTTGCAGTGCCACAAAAACAAATTCAGGATATTCGTCACAAATTTTAAGCTGGGTAGTCCATGAACGTACAATCTTTCGCTTAGTTTCAGCGAACGGCCATTCCCAAGCGGTGTCAATATGACAATTACCAATACCGATGACATCAACTCGTTTGTCAGGATTCAGGTAATGACTGAATACACTTTCAGAGTCGACATCACCTCCGAGCAAAGACAGCGCTAATTTACGGCCAGTTTCTACCAGGTTCTTGTTGTCAGGGTCAAAAGCATCCATGATGTCGTTACAAACAGTCAAAGCTTTGTACTTCTGCCAATGACCGCCTGGGAACTCGCGGGCAGCGTCTCCCAAAATCCAAAAATCCCAATACAACCGCCTAGCTGTCAAATTTGGCAACACAAGATCACAGGTCTTGAGCTGGAAATAGCGATTGGGGTCAGGGTGTCCGTCCAGGCCATTTCCGAACATACCATTGCACGCAACTTCAATATAGAACGTTTGGCGCTTGCCCGTTACGTACTCCTTCGAAAATCTGAAGTAGTTACGATCACCACCACCAGTGAACGCCTGCAAAGGTAACCCTTTATCATTGTAGATCAAAGCTTCCAGCAGAGAGTCCCACTCCAATTCAATAGCCTCGGCTTCAAGCCACTTCTCGGGGATCTCCACATGAAGCTTTACCCAGAATGTTTTCCACAGAGGTCCGAATCGATAGCCCACATCAATATGCTCCCATTCAACGGTACTCCAATCAATTTCCTTGAATAAAGGTCGTTCAGTCTTCCCATTAGGACCATCAGGAACTCTCCACAGCTTTAATCCATCAATACGAAATCTTTCATGGTCATATAAAGCGGGTAAGTTCAGGTCGCGAAATTGACCACCGGGGTCAGTGAACTGGCGCAAACGATCGGTGTAAAGACGATCCACAGGTTTGTGATTCGGCTGAAGCCGGCGAGAGGGATAAGTCATATGGATTGTAGTTTATGCGGAATCCCCACTCTTATAACCGGTCACCTGCACAATGGCTTTTGGGATCCTCCGGGCTACAAGTATATGGCTTGATGGGGGGTCATTTAGGGGTCAACGTAGTCCACGCCGAGAATCTACGACGTGGTGGGTTAACTGCGTTCCCTGCCACTCATTGGACGGCTCTGTAGACATTACATTGAGCCAGAGTAGTCAGTGAAAGTACATTGTTTTGTATAAAAAGAAATTACAAACTATCAATTGACCTTGATTTAAACTTGTATTACCATCTAGGTAGACGTATATGTTTAATACTTAATTTTTCGTCGGTCCTCATTGAGTGTGGACAGGTTGATCAGCTTCGAACAGTAACACATGAGGGCTCGATTGCACCTTTGATGCAGCCACCTCAGGCAACTCTGCCGCGAAACCCTTGATCAACGAGTACTCTTGAGTGATCTTGCCACCCAGCTGCTCAATTTGCTGCTTGATTTGATTGGCCTCGTCATCAGACGTATTTTCTTTCAATGTGACAATGTATTTGGACATAGTTGCTGATAACACGGCGAAATCGTTGCTCTTAAATTGAAGATTTCGCTTACCTAATTTTTGCCACTGGCGCACTGATACACTGGACCAGATAACGTGACTTTGTGACCTTCCCCTCTCCAAGTGGCTTCATTTAAATGAAGGTCTGGCTGTCGTGGAATCAAACCCTCAATCGCTGGCACCGTAAAGGTTTCTGGTTGTACACGGCGCTTATTCTCGGATCATTTGCCTACGTGTGGTACAGTATTGGCCATCTACCTCCGCCACCTCCTGCCCCTCAAAAAAAGCCTAAAAAAGGCATGGAACGCCTCTCCCGCCAACGGCGTAATAGTGTGGAAATTACACTCAAGCGCCACCCCGACAATCAGTTGTCTCAATTACATGAGCAGCAGCTGCAAAAGGAACCCCATGTTGTTGATACTTGGAGTCGAAAACAATTGACTCGGTACCTTCATGATGAACGCATTTACCCCCCAACTGACTTACCCCTAGACGACTTAAGAGCGAAGGTTCGTGATCTTTACGATCATGACATGCAACATATGTCTTAGTTTTATACATGAGTAACGACTATGATATCACACACAGTAATTGTGATTGATGTTGTATACTTGTAACGATCTCCCATAGGTTCTCCCGAAATGGCCGGTAGCAAGCAGTGACCGCCACAGCTTACGTCATTGCGTTTATTGGTAAATCCACGCTCACACCAACTTCATTTTTGCCACACTGAAAATGAGCAAATAATCTACCTTAACGGTTACTTTAGACTGTAAGAGCGACGTACTGTAGTGGTTACAGCGGCTAAGACATTATAAAACCGTTGAAATCCCCCATATTTGCGACTAGCGAGATGAGGATGAAGCTATGGCGATTTTGAGTTCCCTGTGAAACCCCGTTGGTAGAGGCACGCCCCTCTCCACGCCCCTTATTTAATGGGGCCGATCAAATTTCGTATTCTCCAATCATGGTTAAGGCTGGTAAGTTGCACCAAGGGCGAAATTCTTGAAGTCCCACTACTCAATTGCCAATGAAATTGCTTCTAACAACCTAGTTGCTGTTATTAGAGGTGACTCTAAGGTCTCCGGTGTCGTTCACTTCGAACAAGCTTCGGAAAACGACCCCACCACCATTTCGTGGGAAATTTCGGGTAACGACCCCAATGCTTTGAGAGGTTTCCATATCCACACCTTCGGTGACAACACCAATGGTTGTACTTCGGCTGGCCCCCACTTCAACCCTTTTGGTAAGGAGCACGGTGCCCCCGAAGACGACAACCGTCACGTCGGTGACTTGGGTAACATCTCCACCGATGCTAACGGGGTTGCCAAGGGTACCAAGCAAGACACCTTTGTCAAGTTGCTCGGTCAAAACTCCATTATTGGTCGCTCCGTGGTTGTCCACGCTGGCACCGATGACTTGGGTAAGGGCGGGAACGCTGAATCCAAGAAGACCGGTAACGCTGGTGCCAGACCCGCTTGCGGTGTCATTGGTGCTGCCGAGTAAATTAGTAGCTAGCGAATACATGTGTTGTTTAGAGATCTCGACTCATGATTAATTAATGATAGAGGACACACTGCCCAGGTAGAATTTGCTATAGAAGTAGCACGTATTTTGCGGCGATAGCCCGAAGGGTTAACCCGCTACATCGAGTTATAACAGTGTTTCGTACCGTAGAATACATTGCTTCTTCGGCGATATGCCTAAATCTAGAAGGACACCGAAGACGAGACGCGTCTACTAAAAGATCGAAGCACAATACTTCGATGTGAACCAAATAACTCCATAATATCTATCAACGCTAGACTTATGCGTGAAACCTGATTCATTCATGAGATGTTTGAGGGCACGACAGTGAGTAATACAGTTTACTTGGGCAACAAACAGAGAAATCACCAAGGTTCCGTTTCAAAACTACCTACGCGATCAGCATTTCCCGCTCACCATTTCCGATTACATTGTGATCTACTGATTGATTACGTATAGTCACGTCAACCCATATGGTTAAACTTTGACTCAACAGCGGCAAGTTTTAATTTGATAGTTTTTTGATGTCATCAAAGAGCCATGTTTAGGAACTACGTATGAGAAAAGTTGCGACATAATCCTCGCACATGGTGATACAGATAAATTCCCTAGCTTATACGCGTAAAGAGGTCTAGTGTTGAAGCCCTCAGAAAATTACGAGACGCTCAAAGTAAACCGAACCCCTTTCAAATGTCTTCACTCATCTTCTAAATCGATCTCTTGCTAATCTTTTGCTTGACATTTGCAAAGGCGCATGTCACGTTTTGATACTACTCGTGCGCATTGGCATACCTTGTATTTCGCTTCTCAGATCTCACAAGCCGAATCAAAGGCGACCCGGCACTATGAGCGACGATCCATCCAGCGGGAATCTGCCGCCGGTAAGACGTAAACGGGGGATGTCTTTGCGATCTCAGCTTTTTGCTAGGCTGATGCAACAACCTCAAAACCCCTCGTCAGATGACCACCCTACACCGCCTTCAACAACCCAAGCGACTCCACCACCACCACCATCCGTTCCCGAGACTCCAAAGATTCTGGTGAGTACCGCAGCTGAAAACTCTGAACCCATCGAGTTGAACAGTCTCGATTTTGTCAACAATTCTCTTGATTGCGTCAACAATGCGGACGATGGTTCTAGTCCCCCTGACTATCATGATACAACTCATTTGCCTCGATCAACTTCACTTTTTCTGGTCGCCTCAAACAATCTGGGGCAACCGTTGTTTGGGCCACGCAGGCACAGACGACCACCATCATGGCTACAGCGACTTACTCGCCTCAAAAATAAGATTACCGGCAACACGACTATTCCGCCATCCGATAATGGTCGACTCATTCCCATCACTACCAACTTGTCCCTGGTCAATCAAGATTTCGGTGAACCTTTTTACAACCCCTCAACTAAGGAATTGATTGACGATCGCACTGGTGATCGTTACGTCGACAATACTATCACCCTGAGCAAGTACACTGTATGGACATTTCTTCCAAAGCAAATTAAAGCTCAGTTCTCAAAGTTGGCCAATTGCTATTTCATGGTAGTGGCAATCATGCAGATGATTCCCACATGGCTGACGACCGGTCAGTACACAACCATCGTGCCTTTACTCATTTTCATGCTGATTTCGATTTTAAGAGAAGGATTTGATGATTGGAAACGTCATAGCCAAGATAAGGAAGAGAATTCAAAGAAGTCAACGGTTATACGAGAGGACGGAGAGATGGCAACGCTCGACACGCAACTGATTACTGCGATCGTTACGGAAATGGAACTGCCATTGGATGAGTTTAGTTCTGATACACTGTTCATGAATGACGAACTAATGCGTCGTTATAATTTGAAGCATTATCCAAAACGTTGGAAAGATATTAAGGTTGGCGATATTCTTGAATTACACGAAAATGAGTGGATTCCGGCAGACTTGGTACTTTTGCTGACCCTGAATCTTGAGCAGCAAGAAGCATTTGTTGAGACCATGGCTCTCGACGGAGAGACGAATTTGAAACCAAGGGTTCCCCACCCTGAGTTGGCTCAGTTGTACTCCCTGGTTCAAGGTCTCAAAAATTCTCGCGTCCAGATGGCTGTTGAGGATCCCAACCTAGATTTGTATAACTTCGAAGGACAATTTGAAGTTAATGGTGAAAAGTATGCTCTTGGACCGGAAAATGTTTTATACCGCGGGTGCATCCTTCGCAACACGCAAAAAGTTCTAGGCGTGGTGATTTTCACAGGTGAGGAAACTAAGATCCGCATGAATAATATCCGTAACCCTCGAACCAAGGCACCTAAGCTTCAAAAGAACATTAACTATATCGTTTTGTTCATGATATGTGTTGTTGTCTTATTGCTGGCTTTCCTGACCATGGGCCAAAGGCTCGAGTATAACAAATGGATCAAGACTGATCGTTTGTGGTATATGTTTGGTGAAGATGCGGGTGTTGCTCCTACTTTAATGGGCTATATCATCATGTACAACACCTTGATTCCTTTGTCGCTCTACGTTACAATGGAGTTCATCAAGTTGATGCAGTTGGTACTTTTGCAATGGGACATTGATATGTATCACGTGTCAACAAATACCCCCGCCGAGGGAAAAACCGCCACAATCTTGGAAGAATTAGGACAGGTACTGTACATCTTCAGCGACAAGACTGGTACATTAACCGATAATCAAATGTTATTCCGGAAATTTAGCGTTGGTGGGACTTCCTGGTTGCACGACTTGGATTATATACAAAAGCAGCGGGATGACCCCACTTATGAGGCAGCACCTATGATGCCACTGTGGAATGCTGATCTGAAATTTTTGACAAGAGCAAGTTTTGAGCCGGCGCCGGCGCCGCGCACTTCGATGGCCACCATAGCTCGCCAACTGATGGATTTAGTTCGCGCGCATACAAATGATTTGGCAAGAGTAAAGACTTACAAACTGACAGCCAATCCAAATCGACCTCAAGTTATGAATAACTCTTTGCAGCTCTTGAGATATTTACAACTGAGTCCTCAAACGTTATTCGCCAAGAAAGCATCCTTCTTTTTGTTGCTGATTGCCATATGTACGACTTGCCTCCCTCGACGAGTTGCACCAGACAAAAATGAAGATGATATGGTTGATAACTCGGATGATGACGGCGATATTCAATATCAAGGCGCTCTGCCTGATGAGTTGGCTCTAGTGCAAGCTGCACGAGATTTGGGTTACGTGGTTTTTTCGAAGCAGCAAAACACAGTCGTCATCAAGACATACCCTAGAGGGTTTGATCAACCGGCTAAGTTTGAGGAATACCAGATTCTCGAAGTTATTGAGTTTTCGCTGGCTCGGAAGCGAATGCTGGTAGTTGTGAGGTTCCCCGATGGTCGCATTGGCGTCATCAGTAAAGGTGCCGACAACGTTATCTTGGAACGACTCAAGCAAGCGGACTTAGCTCAGCAAAAAGTAAAAGAGTTGTCTCAGGCGACTCGAGAACGACAAGCCGAGGAAGCTGAGGTTGTTTTGAGGACAAAGAAGCTGCTTGAGGCTACCGAACTGCCAAGGCCATCCCTTTCAGGAATTCGTCGACTGATGCAGGCTCACGCCAATCAGGTGTTGGAACGCATGGGTCTGATTGATAATGCTCTTGCTGATGAAGAAATCGAAATCAATGATATCGCTTTCAAACTGCGGAAGCTGCTCCATCTTCAACAAGCCAAGAAGTACAATTTGGAATCTCAAGATGGACCAAGCGATATCTCGTCAGGATCACTGGTACCTCCAGATAGACTTCTCGTTAATGATGAATTCATCATTGAAAAGACCATAGAACACATCGACGAATTTTCACTGGAAGGTTTACGAACATTGTTATACCTGTTCAAGTGGGTTGACAAGCAAGAGTACGAAGAATGGCTGGCAGAGTATCGAATTGCACGTACGGCGTTAAATGATCGTTTAGCCAAAGTTGAATCCGTTGGGGCGAAACTTGAACAAAGTGGATTCGATTTGCTTGGAGCGACTGCTATCGAAGATAAATTACAGGATGGGGTCGCAGACGCTATCGAAAAGCTCAGACGCGCGGGTATCAAAATGTGGATGTTGACTGGCGATAAGCGTGAGACAGCCATCAACATTGGCTACCTGTGTCGTTTGATCAAAGATTACTCAACGGTAGTGATAATTCTGAATGATGGTACCCCAGAGGAAATGATGAATCGAATAACGCTGGCAATCCACGAAATCGTTGCTGGGACCGTTGCCCACTGTGTATGTGTTATCGATGGAGGTACTCTTGCAGATATTGAGAAAGATCCGTCAATGCTATCCTTATTATTGGATTTCTGCGAGAAGGCTGATTCTACAATTTGCTGTAGAGCACTGCCGTCTCAAAAAGCTAACATGGTGAGTTCCATTCGTAAGCTCAAACCTAAATGTGTTACATTGGCAATTGGGGATGGTGCTAATGACATTGCAATGATACAACAAGCAGATATTGGTGTTGGCATAACGGGAAAGGAAGGACTTCAAGCAGCACGATCTCTGGATTATGCTATTGCACAATTTCGCTACTTACTCAAATTATTATTGGTTCATGGCCGCTACAATTACGTGCGTACACTGAAGTTCGTGCTTGGGACTTTCTACAAGGAGATCATGTTTTACCTTACCCAGTGTATTTATCAGCGAAACACACTCTGGCTGGGACTGTCTATGTATGAACTGTGGTCCTTATCAATGTTCAATACGTTATTCACCTCCTTGCCGGTGCTTTGTATTGGAATGTTCGATCAAGATCTTCATCCTGCTACAATTTTGGCCGTTCCGGAGCTTTATAACAAAGGTCGGTTGTATCAAGGATTCAATCTCAAACTATTTATACAGTGGATGGTTCTCGGAACTGCCCAACTGGTGGGCATTGCGTTCATGGCATTTTACCTTTGGGGATTTTCTGCATTAAAAGACAACTCGACTCTTCCCTTGGGGACGTTGTGCTATTCAGCTCTAGTCATTGTTATCAATGCTAAATGTACTCTAATTGAGATGCAAAACCGTACTTGGTTAGCTTTTGCACTGTTTGGGATTTCGGTCGGTGGCTATGCATTGTGGAATCTTTTGATTATGGGTCTTTATCGTACGAAACAATCATCAATATTTTTCGTTGATTATGGGCTTTATCATTTCGGGCTGGATGGAGCTTGGTGGGCCACCATTCTCGTCGCATTCGTCGTCCCGCTCTTAGCCGATATTTTGTTGAAGGTGCTAAAGTTCATGATCAGTCCGGCAGATGACGAACTATTTAAATTATTTGAGCGTGATGTCACGTTGCGGAAGATGTTCGAAATCAAGGCTTGGCCTGAACTCTGTCAAGGTTGGACTTTCCCTAAAGAAGCTCTGCCGTGGTTGGTCAAATTTGTTCAATGGCTTCAACTGCTAGGTTTTTCCGTTAAAGACCCTCGTGTAAAAATGGCAGAGAAAAACGAACAGATACACCAGAATCAAGTTGAATTTGTGAGAGAGGAAGAGGATGGACTTAGGCTGGTGTTGAGTCGAAAGAGAGCTGGGACAAACCCGTTGGAGCATGAATTAGCTCCCTCTGGTAGTGGAATAGGCGCATCAGCGCTGTTTCAATCACCACACATTGCGAGGCACGGCAATTACGAAATACTACCGCTGGGTAAGCGAGTTCGCTTCAAAAAAAGTGATTCCGCCTTTTCAACGATCGCACATCGTCTCATGGGGCGACAAGTGGAGGATATTGACGCTATCATTGATCAACGTTTAAGAACCTTAGATGGCTGATATTCTCATATGGCTGAATTCGCTCAGCATGGTAATCATTAAAAAAGTCTGAACAGGCATAAAATAAGTATTTCAGATTCTATAGAAATCATTCGATAAAGGCATTACAACATACAGAAGTTAACAATATTGAATGTTTCTTCGCACTAATCTGAATCCTCCAGTAATTTCATGTCACGTGATTCGCACTTTGCCACCCTTTTCATGAAGCGTTACCATACTTACCAACACCGACACTTGAGCTTCTTGAACCATTGACTTCCTTAAACATGAGCGGTGTCGACGAAAATGATCCTCTTTTGCAAGCGCTTAATGAGGATAATGCCCAAAATGACGAGACATTGACACTGTCGGACCCCGAACGGGAACGGGCGCTTTCCAAGTTCAAAGATCGCTTAATCGAACATCGCCGATGGGATGCTAGATTGAAAGAATTAAGGCTCAAGATTAGAGATCTTGAGAAGGGATATGAAAAGACTGAAGATGATATCAAGGCTTTACAAAGTGTCGGGCAGATTATTGGTGAAGTTTTGAAAGAACTTGATGAGGAAAGATTCATTGTCAAAGCACTGTCTGGTCCGCGATACATAGTTGGTTGCCGCAATACTATTAAACGAGAGTTACTCAAAAACGGTGTGAGGGTGTCATTGGACATGACAACTCTCACAATCATGCGTATTTTACCAAGAGAGGTTGATCCATTGGTGTACAACATGACCACTTTTGAACCCGGTGAAATCTCGTTTAATGGTATTGGAGGGTTGACGGAACAGATCCGCGAATTGCGAGAAGTCATCGAATTACCATTAAAGAACCCTGAATTGTTCACTAGAGTTGGTATCAAGCCTCCTAAAGGTGTTTTACTTTACGGTCCTCCTGGTACAGGTAAGACTCTTCTTGCTAAGGCTGTTGCTGCCACCATTGGTGCGAACTTCATTTTCTCCCCCGCCTCGGCCATTGTCGATAAGTACATTGGTGAATCGGCTCGATTGATTAGAGAAATGTTCTCATACGCAAGAGAGCATGAGCCTTGCATAATCTTCATGGACGAAGTTGACGCTATCGGCGGTCGGCGATTTTCCGAAGGTACATCCGCCGATCGAGAGATTCAAAGAACTCTCATGGAACTTTTGAACCAGATGGATGGTTTTGATACACTTGGCCAAACAAAGGTTATTATGGCAACAAATAGACCGGATACCTTGGATCCGGCTTTGTTGCGCGCGGGGCGTTTGGATAGGAAGATTGAAATCGGTTTACCGAATGAAGCGGGTCGACTTGAGATTTTTAAAATTCACACTGCCAAAGTTGCCAAGCAAGGCGAGTTTGATTTCGAATCGGCAGTGAAGATGTCGGACGGATTCAATGGTGCTGACATTCGTAATGTTGTTACCGAAGCTGGGTTTTTCGCCATCAGAGATGAGCGAGACTACATCATCCAAAATGATTTGATTAAAGCAGTTAGAAAGGTTGCCGATGTCAAAAAATTGGAAGGTAAGCTCGATTATGAGAAGCTTTAGCGATATCAATGAACGACGAATGATTATAATTCTATCTTTAATTACGTAGTAAGAAGATGCAATTGAAGAAAGCGTTATTTTTCACTTTCAAAGGACTATGACATGCTAGAGTGCGGGTATTTACAATCCTGAGTTATCTTCCAGTTCAGAGCCAATAACAACAACGTCGGAGACCCGCTTATATTTGCTCCTGGAATCGATATATTGAAATAGAATATCAGCTGTTTTCATTGATCGAAGATGTTAATGTCATTCAACTTGAATTACTGCAACCCTGTTTTAACAGGACATCGATGCTGTTAAGGTCATACCACCAGATATGGACAACAACCTCAATAATGATTTCTTAGGTTCGTAAAGCGAGATGAGCGCATAAAGCTTAAAACTGGAATCCCTGTTCTTGATTTAAATACGTACAGTGACGATGATACAAATACCGACACAGGCACCACTCTACGCATGAGGTGAGCCAACGGGCCCTGAAGCAATAAAACCCATAATTCCAATTGCCAAGGATCAAAACTTTAAAGGATTTAACCCAATAATATGAACAAACATGGGTTAGATTGAGGAATGTAGAAAGTACGCTTCATTGCACAATTAACAAGAGTCGAAGTCTTGTCGTGAAGGGAGTTTGTCATAATAAGCGCTCATGCAATGGGTGTATGGGTTCAGACAAGAGTTGAATCATGCATTATAAAATACGACACTAGAGTTTCAAGATTCACCCTACCATTAGACACGAAGGCAACCCATTTGATGTACCGAAGTTGACATTAATTAGAAATCGCCAGGGTTATTCACGAACCATAATGCTGCAGTCAATCGAACCTTGAATCCCTACCTGAAACTCTGTCCACGCGATATGGAATGTTCACAAGTATGTGCCCATCCTTTGAGATATTCGGTGCTTCTCAAGCTGCACGAAGCCGCACTTCATCTCAACTCCAGTATGGACTCTTCCGACGAAGAATTCAACCCACTGCGAGGGGGGTCTCCTATCAATCATGATGACAACTTTGATGACGAACCCGCTGAATCATCCCATGTCAAGATTCGGGCTGCTGCTAGCAATGTTAAAAGTGGCGAAATCAGCACGCTTCGTGGAGCGAACGGTTACTCATGGGAAGATGAATATCAGCGAACTTGGGACATCGGGACAGATGGCAGTGACCAGCAGTCACTTGAACATATCATTCGTACAATGATGGAGTCACGCAAAAAGAAGATCCTAAAAGATCTGACACCGTTTCAAAGAGGAATTATTCGTACGATGATTCTAATCATTGATGGTTCTCTGGCAATGCTAGAGAAAGACTTGAGGCCTACAAGAATGACCTTAACGCTTCAATATTTGACAGAATTCATTACTGAGTTTTTTGATCAGAACCCCATATCCCAATTGGGTATTATAATGATGCGAAATGGGGTTGCCAATTTGATCTCTGAGGTTAGTGGTAGTCCTCAATACCACTTAGAAAGGCTCAGGCAATTGAAGTTGCGTCAACACAATCGTTACGAGCCAAAGGGTGATCCTTCATTGCAAAATGCTCTTGAAATGGCTCGTTCAATGCTTAAGTATCGTGGTCAAGAACTGAAACACCTGAAAGAAGTATTGCTAATATTTGGAGCTTTGTTTACTCTGGACCCGGGTAATATTCATAAAACTATAGACTCGTTGGTCAAAGATGACATCAAGTGCAAAGTTATCGGCTTGCTGGCTCAGGTGGCCATTTGTCAAGAGCTTATTACCAAAACAAATGGAGGCTCTATGACTACTGCTATCGACAAGAACTATGGTGTGATCATGAACGAAGCCCACTACAAAGACTTATTGATGGATTGTGTCAACCCATTACCGATATCTACGGAAGAAAAACAAAAGCAGTCGATGGAACCAAAAAGAGACACTCTGGGCGTTCCCCTTCTTCGAATGGGCTTCCCACTGAAATCGCAACCGAATTTAGGGCACTCCCTTAACAATGCTCAATTCACAATCGACTACCCTGTGTTACTGGCGTCGCATCCAACAAATGGATCTGATGCATCCAATCAAGTTGTACTGGTGACCAACACAATAACAACGGAGTCCGCGTCAATTGCAGACGCTGGTCAATCAGCTGTTATTGGGTATAATTGCCCTCAATGCAAGAATCGAGTCACCAATTTGCCAACAATTTGTCCGGTATGTGGAATTATGTTGATTTTGTCAACACATTTGGCTAGACTGTATCATCACCTTTTACCTTTGGCACCGTACGATGAGGTACCGGTGGCATCCTCATATTCCTCTAGTACATGTGAAGGTTGCATGCTTATATTCCCCACGCCACAAGAGGTCTCACTGACAGATTTGAAAAGTCTGCTGCGTTACCAATGCAAGAAGTGCAATCACGTCTATTGCATTGATTGTGACGTTTTCATTCATGAAACCTTACACAACTGCCCAGGTTGTGAAAACCTTATACTGAGTTAAAAGCATTAGCTATATATCCCTTCGATATACTTCCTTCCCGTGACGGGGTTCACTAAACTCACTTTCCGGGTTTCTCCGTTGTGCACAAACAGAATCGAATCGTTAGCGAAACAAGGCTCAAAATTTCGATAGTTGAATGAATTAGTAGTTACTCCGAAATTTGATAGCAAGTAAAGCATCAACGTGACCATAAAAGGCCCATGGACAATTACGTTCGGGAGACCTTCATACCCACGGGCATAATCTGGGTCTATATGTATACGATGCAAATTATTAGTCAAAAAGCTGTAACGTCGAATAGCGGTATAACTTAGCAGAAACGTTAGATCATTGTTTGGATGCCAATTATCTTGGGGACGTTCAATACTTTCGAAATACTTCTGAGTATACATCATTTTTCTGACCTCACTGATGAGCGGTTGCTTATGATTTGAAAACTCTCTGTTTATAGTCACAAACGTCAGCTCACCCATGCGACGAATCCCCAGGATATTTTCTTCACAATTAATAATGTCGTGAATGCTATTCGGTTGGGTATGAAAGGTGATTGTTCCCCCTACCCACATTCTTCGTCGAAATAGCGGAGTTCCCATGTCTCGATCCATAGGTGCCTGATAGTTATCATACCCATCGATTCCCAATAACTGATTATCCTGAGTGTTGTTAAGAAAGTGAAACCCATTGCGGAACCAAAAACATGGGTCCTCGGTTACCGGTTCACGCCCAGTCACCTGATGACATAATTTAAGCAACTGCTGTGTCCGACCAAGGGATATGTTATCAACGATGTTCCATCTCTGCATTACGGCCCATTGCGCCCATGACTTCAAGCTCATAAGTGTAAAATGCGCGAAATGCATAAACTTCGTGCTGTTGGTATTATGAGCCCTGGTACATGATCATATACAGCCATCGCAGACCTTTCCGCCTGTGTACCAGATGGATTCAGCAGCTGATCAACGACTCAAAAAAATCAAGAACAAACAGACGCGGCAGAAGCTATATGCTAAACTCAAAGCACAAAGGGACAAGGATCGTCACAAGCTACGTTCTGAGAGATCCAAGGACGAACGTGCTAACCCAGAGTTGAGAGAGCAGCGTCTTGCGGAAAATGTACCCGATACACTTGAAAATCAGAGAACGTATGACGAAACAGTGGGAGCTGAGTTGGAAGGTGAAGATGAGTTTGAGAGTTTTTTTTCAGTTGACAAAGATCCCAAGATTTTGCTCACAACTAATGAGAAGGCGAAGAAGATTGCGTATGAATTTGCTGACTTGCTAATGGACTTTTTACCTAATACCACGTTTGTGAAACGCAAGCCTGGCTATACAATGAAAGATATTGCTGAGTACGCCTCAAATCGGGAATTCACCCACTTGATCGTTATCGATGAGGACAAAAAGAAAATCAATGGTATGACCTTTATTCATTTGCCTGCAGGACCTACATTCTACTTCAGTGTTACTCTGGTTGTTGACACCAACGACATACATGGCCATGGCAGAGCTACCGACCACACCCCAGAATTGGTTCTTAATAACTTCACTACTCGTTTGGGTCGTACAGTGGGAAGATTGTTTCAGCTGATTTTCCCAGCCCATCCTGAGCTAGTTGGCCGTCAAGTTCTTACAATGCATAATCAACGTGATTACATCTTTTTCCGGCGTCATCGGTACGTGTTCCGCAATGAGGAAAAAGTTGGTTTACAAGAATTGGGGCCCCAATTCACGTTGAAGTTACGACGCATGCAGAAGGGTATCAGAGGTGAAACCGTATGGGAGCATCGTCCCGACATGGAGAAGGACAAAAGAAAGTTCTACTTGTAGTCGTATTCTCGCCATAGACTTTATAGATAAGAAGTGCAAATGAACTTGCACGCGTCGAGGAACTTCTCCGTAGCAGGAAGACTTCAGTTAAATGATGGGCCAGAGTGCCAGGTAAAACTTCGTTTTTTGTGTGTCAGCCTAGCCACTCTCCCATGTGATGCCTTTCGCCACGCTCAGGAAGTAATGACAAAAATTTAGCAACGAATGCGCCCACTTAATATAAATACTGGTTCGACGTTCAGATCTTCCATGTGTTACCAATTTTGTGAGTAAATTCGACTCCTCACAGTAGATGTGTAAGACTGACGATGTCATTCGCGACGTGCACGCACAACATCAACACGTATCGTGCTAGGCATTCGAACCAAGGGGATGCATCTCGTAAATTCCAAGGTTTCCATTCCAATTGAACTTACTAGCTGAAAGTTACAAATAATATAGTACAAGTAGAATTGCTGAAGGCTTCCACTCGCATCACTACAGTCTTCGACTTATATTGTACACATTGCGACAACATGCGGACGCGCAAATGTGGCACCAGATCCTTTGGTAATCTAAAAAAAAAAATCATATCCGTTAACGGCTGTCACCTCAACCCGATGAGTTGAGCCAGAATCCATTTTTCAACACGACTTTGAGTGATCATACACCATGCGCGCCCAACCTCCCCCTCCCCCCCTTCCGCACTCGTCGGCAGAAAAAAAAGCCTCATCTGTTCACGCTAACACTCAATCCGAACGCACCACGCTCCCTTCGTTGACTATTCAAAATTAATTTTACACAAATCTAACGCTATGGACACCAATGGCGTCAACCAAATAATCATTGCGCTTGAGGCAGTGTATGACGCCAAGGTGGACAATGCCAGGCGGCGCGAAGCTCAGGCGTTCCTCGAAGAGGTCAAACTCAACGATGAGCTGCCATATTGGGGGTACCAACTTGCCCTACCTGATAATGGGCTGGATCACATTGTGCGTCATTTCGGTCTCCTGCTTCTTCAACACGCCATTCGGTCTCGATATCATCAATTGGATCAAGCAAAGCTGGTCGCTATTCGCAATTGGGTGGTAGAGTTGGCTGCAAAAACTGCTGAAGACGAACCTCATTACATCAAAGAGAAGATTGCTTTTCTCTGGGTGGCCATTGCGAAGCGTGTCTGGGGATCTCACTTAATCAAGCAACGTGAATCTGTTGATTTGTCTGATTCTGAAAAGGAAGCCCTGTGGATATCAATGGACCTAGACTTATGGAACCTATGGAATTCCCTGTTAGCAACTCGTGACGTCTCCATTATCATTCTTCGGACGTTGTTTGAGGACATATATATCATTGAGGATCCCGCTGCGGCCATGCGCCTGACTGTGTTGAACCAACTCGCGATTACAATCACAACGCCAGACAACGTGTTAGATACAATTTGGGAACCACTGCCGCAATTCGCATTATGCAAGGCACTGAGTGAAGGTTGGTTCAAAGCCTGGGCTCAATTTCTTGTCGAGCGTCTCAGCCAGCACGACATCCTGCTGCCTGAGTGCCAATTGTTTGTTCCAAAATTGCTACACACATTCAAAACGTGCTTGCATTGGATCCTGCCGCAAGTTCTCCGGGAAGAGAATATCATGGCTAACTTGTTCAAGATTTTAACACTTGACGATACCAAAATAAAGACAGCCGCAATAGACTGTTTGCATATTCTTTTCACAAGAAATTATGGAGACGATGATTTTGAGTATTTTGTTGGACTGGTTTTCACTGCAGAAGGTATCTCTAACTTACTGCAATTTTACCATCTGCTCGAACTTGATGCTGACGATATTGATGAACAAGTGTATGCTCTTGTGAAGAAACTGGTTGAGATGATTGTTCTGTTACTGGAATTTTTGAATATCAGTTCGAAGCAAAAGGTAAATTGGGAAACGCTGGATGTCGCTGGATATCTCAAGTTGGTTTTAATTACTACTAATCATCCGTCTCTAATTGTGCTGGGTCTTCTGCTACAAATGTGGGTGACTATTTTGCGGTATGATGAATTACTGCTGCGAGAGCAGATTGTAAACATAATTCCAGAGTTGTTGCAAATTGCGAGTGATCGCACGATAAATTATCAGAATGACGCGAACAACCTTCTGACAAAATTTTTGGCCGTTGATTTTGACTCATCCCCCGAAGCTGATCTGTTTCTTAATAATTACCGCAAGTTTTGTGAAGACATTGTTCGCATTTCCGTTTGTAAGGCTCCTGAGCAAGGGCTCTCATGGTTAGAGCAAAGGCTTGAGCAGTTTTTCAGTTCAGGGTTGGGCCGTCAATGTATTAGTGAGCATCATTTGGACGAGAAGCTGTTGGCGTTAAATTATGGCAATGCACAATTTAACGTTATCGAAAATTGTATCAGAGGCATCTCACGTTGGCGCATTTGGTACTCTGGGGAAGATTTCGAAACTCTCAATGAGCGGCTCAACAGTCAGGTGGAGGTGTTGGGAGAACGACTTTTGGCAATGAATTTGGCTCTGCCACGACTCATACGGAAGCAGGTTCAAACTCTCGTTCAATTTGCACCGTTATTAAAAGATCAAGGTCCACTCATGTTTAAGGTCTTGGAACGTATCCTACACACAGCCACGTACGATTACCCCTCAGATATTGATGATGACGAGCGCGAGTTAATTCGTGATTTGCGTACACTGTGTGGTACTGAACTCAACAGGTTGGCATATATCATGCCAGAACTGCTCAAAAACATTTTTGATGATTTGGAAAACGTCATCTCGCAAATTTTGTCGAGCAATAAAGTCACTGACCACGAAGTTGTTGCTTTCAAACTGTTCTTATTGGTGATAGCTCTGCGGCTGCTGATAGAAAATAAGGATGAACTATTCAGCAAGATTGTCGATCCTGAGCTCGCCGCTTGGCTGGCTCCGGACACCGAGAAAGGATTGCTTGATCTTCATTGGTTCATGCAACGTATCGGAATTGTTGAGATTGCCAGTTATTTCCAAAAACGGGGTATAAATGAACAGACTAACTTGCTTCTGGTTCAAATGGATGCGGAGGGAAAGGATTTGCGTAAGCGGTTGCGGGATCATTGGCTGCTGATTTTTCCAATTCGAGCGACCCGCATCTTCATCCAGTATTCAATCGAAAAACTAAGCCATGATCTGTCTGAGTATAATAACTTACGAAAGTTATGGGCACCACGAGTGCAGCCAATTATTCCTCACATCTTACAGCTATTGCTGCAAATTCAAGCTTATCACAATCCTGCAAACTGGAGAGACTTACCAGAAAGTGTGCGCCTGTTTGTGCGCGATCTGTGTTTAGAGCGATTTTGGCAGCAGGGTGTGAGCGTTCAACTGAAGGAGATGTTTATCGAAGAAAATGTGAAAGCCGCCCTTACTCTTCGGGATTTTGCAGACTCCGTGGGTCATTTGATTCGCTATACTCGCGAGTATGCTTTTTTGACTATTGGGCTGATTGCTCAGTTAGAAGATACGTTATATGAAATACCCGATGTGGGGCAGATGTTATGGAATGCGGTCGCTGGCGACACCACTGGTATCACGTTGCACTCGTGGAAGCATATGCTTAATTCATGCTTGCGGCTGGTTGTGAAATTTTGTCCTGTTGAACATGTTCCTAACTTCATGCTGCAATTGTTGCCAATGGCTTTCAAAGATTTGGATACGCTATTAGTGACTCGTTGGAACAAGGTTTATGAGAATGGTCTTTGTCTCGGACAAGGTGATACTGATGATTTATCTGAGGAAATGATGGAGGAGCATATGTTAAGACAGCTTTCAGCAACAGTTGTAAGATTTTTGATGGATATTGTTTCCCAACTCAATGCGAAACAGGTCAGTCCTCTTCAGGTCGCATGTCGCAAATTGGTATCTGAGGATCGCGATGTCATGGCATCTTTCATACAGTTGAGTAGCCATATCATTCAGTTCAAGGACACTAAATGCTCGTTCAACACGGTTTTGATTATTCGAAACATAATTCTGGAAATCTTGTTGAAAGATGATGAAGTGGATAAGTATATTTGTGATAATTTGTTACCTGCATTGTGTAACATCCTTCTAGATGATTATTTCCATGAAACCCATCCGGAGGCAGCGGTCACCCTTACAACCATTTATTGTAACTTGAGAGCAAAGAGCGATTACCCCGCACGTGCGTTGTTGCAATGTTTGCCTAATGTATCGACAGCTCGTTTGTCAAACTTCGAGCAGCTTTTGGTATCCTCTAAAACCGTGAAATCTCAAAGAGGAGTTCTTCTTGACTTGATTCGCGTTTCGAAAGAAGATGCGACAAATGGCACTGATGACGATGATATTGCGAAGCGAAAACAACAATTGGAGCGTGTGGCTTTGTCTCGGACGAAGAAGAGTGCTGGTGGGGATGTAATGAACGACCCGTTCACTGAGAATGGAGCTCTCACAAATCTATTTGGTGATGACTGAAGTTGCGAAGTAGGCAGTATGTTTGAAAGATTTTGATTGATTCCATATAATAAACTTTTCCACTTTATGACGTGCGGTATTTCCCCCCCCCCCACTTTAGGGATCTTTAAATGTGTAGCGATATAATATCCGTAGACATCGATAAAATCTTATACAAAGGCATTGCCGAAATTGCTCCTGAATATACAATCAACTTTCCATCAAATTGTTGACGTGGATCCAACTGCCACCACAGTGAGCACGTTCGCGCCCCTAGCAGCACAGTTAAGTAAAGTATATCAAACAAATGTGATACAACTTAATTAATGGGTTTTATGAGTTCACAAAGTTGTACATTAGCATTCGTCATAGATTCCGAGCATTTAGTCCGAATCCGGGAACCTCACCTGCAAGGTCGTGTCTGAGCCAGCCTCGCGTTGAAATTTGATTACACCACCTCGAGCGGACGTTGTTGTACCATGCCGATTAAGACATTGGAATCGTACTTGTTCGAAAGAAAGTTAGCAAACGCCCTGTCTATTGAAATTCTTCAGAATGCTACAGTGGGAATTGATGTTGACCATTACTTGAGCCGCATCTATACATTCAAAAAGGAGCAATTTTTGGCCGGTATTGGGGGTATCCCAGCGCTGCTCAAAGATTACATCCATCTGGACTTGCAAGTCTTCCAGGAGTTTAATATCAAGCCAATTTTTATCATTAACGGTTTAGGATTTCCAGGGCAACGGCATCAGTACAAGACCAATGAATTGAGTCCTACTGAGCAACACTTAGAAGCTATGTGGGCCAAATTGGGCCTGAAGCCGATGTACCAATACAATCTGTTGGAGTCTTTTCGGATTTTCACCGATCCTTTGCCACTCCGTCCTATGATTCACGACTTGGTGCAGTATTTTATCGAAATCGGGATTGACTACCTCATTAGTCCTTACGACGCATCATTCCAATTGCTGTATCTCTATCAACTGGGCATGATTGATGCGATTTATGGTCTGACTGACCTCTTGTTAACCAAAATTGACAAGTTCATTCTTGGAATGGAATTTCAACTGAAGGACTTCAGGTTTATTGATAAGCAAAAAGTTTTACTGGAACTTCAATTGACTGAGCGTCAGTTCACAGACTTGTCTTTGATGGTTGGGTGTACGGTGCAGCCCGAAACCTTTCCTAACTTTCCCCCCTTGCCGAAACCTAATCAAATACAGCCGTTTCCACAATTGCTGTATTTTAAGTTGGGACTTGATATTATATACCATAATAGCTTCGTCAACCAACTGGGGGATTTACATGCTTATATTGCGCTGCTCAATGATCCAAATTTGTTACAGCTTTACTACCAAGGCCACGCTGCTCTAAATTTTGCCCCTGTACTCAATAAGGAAGGATATGTTGAGCCCTATCTGGTTGAGCTATTGAAGTTGGGTCTTCCAATTAATCCTGATTTCCTTACTAAAGATGATAGTGGTGATGCTATTGTCAAAATCCCGAATAATACCCATGAAGTGATAAATGAAAGATTGCCTCCCGAATTTTACTTTTACCAACTGCTTGGTATTGTTCCCTTGGAGCTTGCGGAAGCAATTACACAAGGATTTCTCGAAATTCGACCCACTCTCGAGCTGGGTTTGCTGGACTCTTACAAAAAGTTGATAACATCTAAGTTCTACGTTGACAATTTAGATCAACAATTCAACCTACTTACTCAATTGCTTGCTCGATATTATCAAGTTAAAAAAGTACAAGTCAAGTACTGGTTTCAGGATGATATTGTCGAACTAAATAACCGAATGACTCCTTCAACCCTGAAGCGGATAGGGCTGCACTATGCTATCATCAAGGGAAAACCAGACAGATTTTCACTTGTCGAGTACTTCAAGATTGGTACAACGAAGCCCGATGGAGCTGTTTGGAAACCTGCCGCAGTCATTGCTACTGTTGTGTACCGCACATTGTTAATGTTTGACTTGATCGATGCAAATTCAGGCGAGCTCAAACAATTAGGAAAAGTGATCGTGCGGTTCGTAACTGAGAATGACGTCTCCGAGCAAGCTTTTCAAGAGTTGTTTTTAGTTTTGCTTTTGATGAAACTGGGTGCCTTGGTACTCACTGAGCTGAACCGAAACTTTACCAACGTGCCGAAATACTTCAAGGAGGGCGGATCGGAGCTGGCAGCAGTTGAATTGGGACCTGAACATATGAAGTTTTTAACGATTATTGGGAGGGTCTTTAGCATTCACAAGCTCAACATCTCTCCAATCAACTATCAAGGTCCAATTTCTCGGAACTTGCTCAACTTCCGTTCTCATATCAAGTTCATTTCGTCAGCTTTGTGCAATACCTTACAACTGGTGCTTGTCGACTTCTTGGTGCACAGCACGGAAGTGAAGCACGAGTATAAAGGAAAAGATGATTGGTATCCACTTCTCTCTCAGATACCATTTTATCGAGATGTCAATTCTACCCTTCTAGGTGTGGTTGCCGAAATCTACTTTGAGTATCTGTTCCGCCAACTGAAGGTAGGCAATAAACTGTCTTCCGAGATCAAAGCGATGAGCCATGATCACTTGATGACTCAAGTATTCCAGACTAATATGTCTCTGTTTAACATCAATGTTCACGGTGTTAATCTGATAACGCTGGATCAGATGGCTCGGGATTTTGCAGAGGGTGTCAAGTTCTGGAAATTGTTCATAAAGTTGGCACAGTTAATTCATGCAACTGACGACAATTTGGTAGGGGCACAATATTTGAAGGACATTATGGGCGCAGATGAATGGGTGAACCAATTCACATAACTTTTATATTCAACCTGTACTAGATCTAGATTCTTTTGCCACACTTGTAGACTAAAGTGATCATGCATATTCATATCGACCAGAATTATATTATACACGCATGGTTGGAAACGTCAGCTTTTTGAATGCTACAGTCTATTTTGATTTCGTCTTGACAGGGTATCAATGTTCGTCATAAGAACGATTATTCCCGAAGTTAAACAGATTTTGAGTTTCATATTTACGCGACTGCTCACTTAACCTTCATTTCGCAGCGCGCAACATCATAGGTTCAAATGCGGTTATCTCCTCGGTTATGGAACCAATTGGTGCCGATAGCACAACGACCATCTGTTTCCGGAAATGGGCCTTTTGTTGAACTTCCGCGGTTCAAAACCGTAGGGGAACCCTCGCGTATGCTCAATGTCACGATTCCTGCTTCTGGGTGTGTCAATATTCGCCTGGGATTCATGATAGGAGTCGATGGAGATGTCAACGGGATCATGTCTACTGCAACAAATCACAATGGCCTTGAGTATCACGCTATACAACCGCTTAAGTCGGTGCTGGTATTGATAGCGGGCCGTTCAGCTAATTACGCTTTACTTGACAACACAGACAATGAACAATGGACTGTGCTTGATCAGCGTCATATTATAGCTTGGTCGGGCTTAAATTTTGATTTGATTCCCACAATGGTTCTCTCCAGGCTTGCGAGTTATCAAGGTATTGGTGTGGGCACGTTGGTGGTAAATTGTGATGAAATCGGCAACTTATACAATGTTGAGGTAAGAAATGGTGAAAATTTTCTTATCAATCCTAATGCAATCATAGCAACGACTACTCCCATCGAATATAAGGTTCTCAAAAAGGCGAGAGTCCAACTTGATTGGTCTAAATGGTTACCTCATATCTCATTGCCACGCCTGGGTTTATTTGGAACTTTAGGTGTAAGATGGGATGATATCAAGGAAAAGATTATTACCAAAGAGACACGTCAGTTTTTTGGCAAGTTGTTGATCTGCTGGCACGAGTGCAAACAATGGGTCTCTCATAAGATTCTTCGTCGCATACATGAAACTCCAATCTATGCTCAAGTGAAGGGGCCTGCAAAGCTCTTACTTAATACGAAGCTGTCAGTGGCGAACAGAAAAATGTTCACCAATTCCGAGATAGATTATATTAGGGGGCATAAGATATAAATGCATAAATTAATTTTGAAACTGATCATTACCGATATCTCAATAGTGTCTCGAACTCACCAAAATTGCAAAAAATTTCTGGAGGCGCTACGTCTCAATGATTTTCTTTCATACGGTTTTGCATCGGGATACAAGAATGCGCTTCCCACGCTGAGTATGTGGAATTTCCAAACCAGATCAGGTCAATTCTCAAGCCTGAGTACCATTTCGGGGCTACTAACAAAGCAAACGAAAAATGCGCACCATTCGAAACCGAGCGACATCGACGAACGACATAGCCGATTTCAATCCAGTCGGAGTTGGTGCCTGAGCAAATCCATTATGGAGATTGCCAAAATCACAACTCCCAAGGATTGGGTCTATTTTGCCAAGGGATCTGCAAACATATTGTTCAAGTATATTGGAAGCCATGATTTTCTCAAGGACAAACTATTACGCATTCGTTTGGCCAAAGAAACAGCTGAATACATCAGTACTTGCGAACTTTACGATTTTGTTGAACTAAAATGCAAACCTCTCTTTGCAGATAGTTTTATCGATGCTCAACTCATCGTTCTAGAGCAGCAATTCCTCGCTCAGCTCGATCTGAGGGGAAACAAAATTATGACCCTGGAAAGGTACGGCTTGCTTACTCCCAATGTCCTCAATGGTGACTATATTCGACATCTGCTTTCCAAACACTGCCAGCTTTATATAGGGACACAAGAACCATTACAACAGGTGATATTCGAGATCAAGCCAAAATGGTTATACGATAATAACCAGACCAATTATTGTCGAACATGTCTGCTAAATCAACTTCGCGATCACCCACGTCATTTTTGCCCTTTGGACTTGCTATATGAGGATACCATCAACAAAGGGTTGAGTGATCTCTTTTCTCCCATTCCAGACGAGGTATTAAGCCAACTTGACAGGGAAAAGTTTCCCGTGAAAAAATTATTCGAGGCATTTCTCAGAAAGCCAGATAATGTTTTCTTGAAACTAAAATGTTATCAGAAGACCAATGATCCAAGTGCTGAATTGATGCAATTGCAACTGAGTAAAGATGTTTCAATCGATTTGAGTTTGATCATGACGCTTCGAGATGTTGGTGTGTTCATCAAATTTGAACGGTATAACAATGAAAGTGGTCTGCAAAATCCCAAACACATGGGTGACAATATAGTCAGCATGGATGAATATGGAAAGTTTCTCATAACATGCAACATTTATGACCTAGACTTGAAATCTCAAATGAAATTCAAGTATTGGCAATCTATCGAGGTTAAATTGGGTCCTATTTATAATTCTTCAAATCCTAATTGGATCCCGTGTGTCAAGCATAGCGATTGAATTAAATCGTTTGCATACATTTTGGTGTTTACTAATGCAGTTATATTGGTTGTGTTAATTTTTACAAAGTAACCCAAAATTACCACACATCTTCTTGGTACCTGTTCTGGACCTTATACGATCTAATCAACTCAGCCCCCTTCTCTTCGGAAATATTTCGCTGTTGAGCGATGATCTTAGCCATGGTACTTTGCACCTCTCTGGCCATTCTCAGCGCATCGCCACACACGTAAACAAAAGCGCCGTCTTCAATCAACTGGTTGATTCTTTCAGCATTTTCCAATAATCTCTGCTGGACATAAACCTTTTTGGAAGGATCGTCACGAGAAAATGCTGTAAAAAGTTGCAACTTTGACCCTAAGTCCTTGGAATATTGAGGCCATTCGTTCTTGTACAAGAAGTCTTCATTTTCTCTACGGCAGCCGTAGAATAACAACATTTCACCAGGGTTTTGACCTTGTTGTTTCAATTGAACACGGTCGCGAACAAAACCACGGAAAGGAGCCACACCAGTTCCTGGGCCGATCATTATAACAGGAACCAGAGGATTCAGTGGTAACTTAAAGGTCGAACGTCTGACATGAACCGGTAATTTGAACTTGGAAAACTTGGATCTAGGACCACGCAAATCGTAATGAACCACAAGCTTGTCATCAGTGCCATTTTGTTCAACTTCAATATTTTTGATCAAATTGGTCGCAACACCGGAAACCAATCTGTCACCCTTTCTCTCCCACTCGACAACAGCAGTGATACCAATTTTGGTCTTGTCGGCTAAAGAGGACGACGAAATCGAATAATAACGTGGTTGAAGGTGAGGGATCAGTTCAATGATGAACGCAAAAGGCACGTTCGTCCAAGAAGTCCCCTTGGAGATCATTAATAAAGCATCAGCAAGATTGTAGTCCTGCTTCACGATCTCCTCGGCAAACTCGAGCTTGTTCGAGCCCAAATGTTGAACTTTCTTTTTCGATTCAACGTCTGGAGCAAATTGAGCCACCGCAAGGAAAAATTGCCGGGATACAGGACCAGAGATTTCAAGGTAATGGCGCAAAACCGTCTCATACGTCGTAGGAGAGAGGAAGGGAACAGAAATGGTCGAATCTAACGGCTTGACGTGAATGACAGTGTCCCTTTTATTAAGCAAGCCGAATGCTTTGAGGAAGGTTTCAACGTTCTCGTCCGAGTTCGACGGCCATACGGCCAAATGATCACCAGTGGTGTATCTCAAGTTCGAGGCGGATGTGTCAAACTCGACTTGAACGCAAGAACGCTCTTTTGAATTGAACAACTCACGAGTGAGGCTGATAGGTGCCAAGTACGGATGGTGCAGATTGAAAGGTCCTTTAGTCAAGTCGGAATCCATGGCGAGATACGATTTGTCAGGTTCTCCGAGCGCAACTTCAGGATCGTCAACAGTTAATGATTCATCCTCGTCGACTTCAACACCAGGTTCATATACTAGTTCTTTCTCCTCGAAGTTCAAGTCATTCTTCAATGTGTCCATAACTTTATCCTTCCATTCCAAGAAATCTTCATCCAAAGTGCCCGTCCCATCATCGCCTTCACCGTAGTCTGCAAAGCGTTCAGCGCCCTTCTGCTCCAACTTCTCGTTGATGTTGCGCCCAATCGCATTGTAGTATTCGTACGTTGAATTGCCAAGACCGAATACACTGAACCGAATGTTCGACAACGTGTCGGCTTCATTGTTCAACCATTCGTAAAAGTCGACAGCGTCATCAGTGGGTTCCCCTTCACCATACGTGGCAGTGAGGAAGAATACCAAGATCTCATTGCTTAACTCTTCGAAATTGTCAAAATCGTATTGATCCAAATCGGCCGCCATTGTCTTAAGACCAAATCTAGCACTCAATTCCTTAGACAATTTGTAAGCATAGTCTTCGGCGGTACCAGACTGTGAACCGTAAAAAACTATGCAATTTTTACCGGTTTCTTTGATCTTCTGGAGGATATTCCGATCTGAGCCCATAGCGTCAGTATTTAAAAACCCACCTTCATCCGTTTTTTCTGGCCAAATAAAATCTTTGCCAAAATACAAGGCAACAGCAATTGCTAAGCCAACTATCACGGCAAGATCCAATTTATCAAGCGCCATGTTGTTAACGTTGAGGATCTCAAATTCAATTCTTTTTCAAGTGCAGTTTTCGTTCATTAAGTACCACCTCACAATTTCACAAGCGCGGTATATATGCAGGTTGCCTTTGAATAATGAGAATAACTTGAAAAACAAGGGGTTGATAACGAAACAAGTATTCGGAAAAATTCATTATCATCAATACAATGAAGTTCAAACGTTCTTTAGCTGTTTGGAGGTTTAGCAATTTGACTACAAGCTTTCAATACTTTGAGCGCATGAGGGGAAATATTGGGGTTGTGTGTACGTCAGTTGCTGCACTCTGCCGCTGATTTCTTCCCCGAGTCCCCACAAACCCCACAAAGATCATTAACGACGACCAATAGGCAAATAATGACACCGGCCATTGCGAATGGAGAGACGACTTCAGGGAGTTGTCAAAACTTATGGGTTTACGCTATCGAATTGATCACTACAGATTTGTTCTCAACTGTTAATACCGTACTTCCGCCACCACCGCACATTATAATCACGACGGTCTATGGTCACTTCCGGAGCTCGCATTACCGTTGTCTTCCTGTATGGGACGCGAGAATTCACATGCATAGGATTGAATGATGGTTGTGGACACGGCATCAATAAAACTTTGAGACTCATCGTTTGCGACACGAACCATCAACTCGAGTAATACTTTAAATGGGTACTCTTGTATGGCCCGCCATCCCAACTTGTACCACATATCCTTGTCGTGTGTGACCTCCACGAGGTAGCCTCGTTTGACAAAATCATTGAGTAAGCTCGAAGTATCTGTATTTATCGAACTTATCTTCTGAGTGTCTAACTTTGACATACCGAAGTTTGCGAGTTGTCGTCGTAACACTGATTGTTTCAAGTTGTTTTCCGACAGTACGACCAAAAATATCACCATTGTCAACACACCCGTTTTGACGAGTTCTTGATTGTACAATGGAGCTTTGCTTTTGAGACTCTTAGGTATAAAATAGAGCTTATCATTGTAAGGCTTACCATGGATTTTAGTGTGCTTCTGCCACAATTGACCCATGCTAAATTGGATCTCCTCTGGTAACGTTTCAAGAACCACGTAAGTCTTTTTGTTATTGCTTTGAACGATGCTGATTTTGAGGCCGTAGACTTCCTTCAAAGTAATGTTCGATTCATCAATTAATTGATCGAATGTGTATGGACTGTGGCGGAAGTCGATGACATTTTTAAGGTGGTCACGACGAAACGACCCCTGTTGAACACCTCGAAGTACGGCAAATCTTACCATGTCATTGACGGCTTTCAGTAAGGAACCACCATGCTCGGGAAGTCTCCGTTTTGGCATTCCCCTTATATGTGAGGGTTTCGAAGTCTCAGTCCGAAAAACTAAAGTAAAACCCGCGCAGTTGGTATTTACTTGACATGTATGCCATCTATTGAGGGCTGTGAAATCAATTCCAATAAATGAATATCTATATTGCCTCATTTTATCAATTAATTATTGCATTAAAAGCATTGCTAACGGTATCTTTAAATTCAGATCGCAAGCACTGCTAGCGAAATCGTCAAATTCAAATCAAAAGCTCCAACTCATCCACTTGTTTATTCGTTTCCATTGGGTAAAACGGAACCATTGCATCTGAATTTTGAACGTAAGCCACGTTATACAACTGCCAATACGGCTGTCGAACCTTGGTGGCTGGATGAAACAAGCCCGCCCAAATGTAGTTCAAGTAAGTGCCATTTCCGACGACGCAACGAAGAGCATCCAAAGCTTCGATAATACGAATAATGACGTGTGGCGATGTTTCGAAAATACTTGGAAGTACCAAGTTAATGAAGTGCACAAAAACTTCAATGTAGTTTGCGTCCGCAGTACCAATACAATTCAAGGCCATGTGCCGAATGACTGCCGCTGCCGTTTGGCGGTGTACCTGATCGCTGTCAACAAGAGCATGCTCTAGTAGTGGTACCAAAGAAAGTACATAATCCTTAGTAACGTTGCCAGGTAAGTACTCAATCATGAACGAAACTGCTTTGAGTACACCATTTTGAACATTTTTGTCAGGGATGCGATATTCATTCATGATTGCAGGTAATACAGTGAATGGCGAGCAAGTATCTGCAACAATCCCTATTGCCACAGCCGTACAAACACGCAATTGTCGTTCCTGAACCCGAAGATTGTTGAGCAACATTACTAAAACGTCTGAGGGTCCGATTGTTTTTGCTATGCTCCCAAAAGTTCCATTAGCAGCAATTCGGATTCTCTTTTTATTCAGTTTGAGCAAGTCTAAAAGCTCAAAGCATACCCGCATCCACTCCTTTGTATTTATCGTTTCCGGCTGCTTTGAAGCTATTAGCCCCACTAGTTTGACACAACTCTCTTGCACCAACTCATGTCTATTCTTGAGAATTGGAGTTAAGGTTGGCAATATCTCGTTCACCAGTGGACTCTTCAAGTTCTTGAGAGCGTCACTGCCAAGAGCGTTCAAACATCCATAAATTGCATCAATGATACTTGCCAACACTTCAGGATTCACGTCGCCCAACAGCTCGAACAAAACAAGAATCAACTTGTACATCATATCTGGTGTATCACAGCAAGTATTTATGACGGGTGCGATCTTGTTGATAATAGAAGCAGCTTGCTGGCGTACATTGAACTGATCACCCAGTAAATTGTACAAAATGACTGATACAATTTGATCAATATGAGGTTTGACACGTTTGCCTAGTGCGTTAACCAAAGCGGCAAAACCAGTCATGTATATGGCTTGCGTGTCCCGTTGCTCTTGGAAAGCAAAGACCATACCATCAATTAACTGATATTCCAATTGGGCATCAAATTCGATGAGGTCTTTGGGGTAGTTGAGAACAAACTTGCACGTAGCTTCTACACACATCCGTCTCATGAGTTCGTTCTTATCTCTCATAAATTGAGCAATAAGTTTGAACATTCCTGGAGGGTCGAGTCGATGTGCCAACTCACTTGTTGCATCGGAGACCATTCGGACGATATTCTGAGAGTCCGTAGCTGTTCGTCGAGTCCAAAAGTTCTTAACAAATGGAATGAAAAGATTCTCTTTGTACTGCTTACCCAAAAGTTCTCGTGTCAACGGAAGAGTGCCCAAGAGCTTTAGTATTGTCCGTTTTATTTCTTCGTTTGAAGTGGAAAACTCTCTTGTCATCACTTTCAAAAGTTCTTTTGTGTAATAATTTGCATACTCTCGGTCTCGCAAATTGTGACAAGCAAGTGGAACAATTGCTCCAAGTGCACTGATGAAGGCAGCCAACGTACCACCACGATGTTCTCTCAAACCTTCCCAAATTTGAACTATTATCGGTTCGAAAGAGTCAAACCCAAAAGGTCTTACATTCTCAGCTAATCTCGCGATAGTTGTTGCCAGCGATCGCGAAACTTTGATATTGTCGTCTGAAATTGCAGGTTTCAAAATATCAACAATTTGATCAAGAAATGGCAATGTTGTTCCACCATTCCCTCCACCCAAAGTAACTGCTAAATTTTGGATAATTTTGACACCAGTGTGTCGAGTTGTCCATACTTTGCTTCTGAGTACGGCTCTCAAAAATGGCATAATAGATACAAGACCAATTGTGTTAGCAATCACGGCGAAAACTTTTGCTGTTACATTTCGCGTATATTCGCTCGAGTGATCAAGATCTGGACGAAGTGATGATATCATAACGGGCAAGCCGACAACTTTCGTCAAATGGGCGAGAACGTCCTGCGCTTCCATTCGCACAGTGAAGTCTTCTTCCGTGAGCATGGGTCCTAGTGAATGAACAATTTCAGCTGTCCACGGGGTAACTTCCTTAGGCGAGATGTACATTACTCTCGAAATAACCTTCATTAGCAAGTGCTTTTCATGATCACCGAGATTCGCGTGCTCAAAAATCGAAATTGTTGCTGGTAAAATTATGCTTGGCCCTTGTCGCTTAACCACATTATTTAATTGACGCATGGATCGTTTTCGTAGTGACTGAGTACCATTTTTGATGCGCAACAATGCCATCAACGCCTCTAATCTGGCTGATTCCGCTTTTGTGAGTTCTGAATCTGGGATTGTTTTCAATTGTAGTAGTGGCTCAAACGTTATGGCGTCATCGTGGGAAAACAGTTCCAAGCCTTCGATGGGAGGCTCAGGTAAGGCCAACTGGCTATCTTCAATTTTTGCAGTTTCAGCAGGGTTGTAGAGGTCAACAGTTTGCGAGAGTTGAGGTTTCTCCTTTATCCCCCTTATACCAAGTTCTTGTTGCTTTCGAAGCTCGTACTGTGCAGGATCTACATCCCACCTCCACGGACGTCGTCGACTTGTAACCTCGATATCCGATGATGTTTTGCTCTCGCTATGATGCTTCAGCTCATGTCGAGCTGATGCATGTCGCTTTATCGAAGTCTCGAGGCTTGGAATTCTTCTTTTGTGAGCACCATTTTGACACTGGTTGTGTGCAACCAGACCAACTTCGACGCCATCCTCATCAGATGCCTGTTGTAATGCATAACCATCTAAAGACCTGTTTTTGACCATACCAATATTTTGTCCGTCACTCCGTTACGCGCGACCTCGGGCATCGCACATGGATAACTCGACCGTGCTTCTCAAAAGGCTTTTTCTGGCCAAAGAATCAGGATTCTTCCTAATTATTGACAGTCTAGCACAGTCGGGCTGTCTTCTTATACTGGAATTTGTTGAGCATGCACAGGGAGTCAATTTTGTTGCACTTTCATTTGAAACCGCAAAGCAGCCTTGTTGGGCGACTCATTGGATAGAATGTTTGGACAAACTGCCAACCGACATTAGCAAGGAAGTGAGACTTATTAGTCTGACTGTGAAAAAGGCGGTTATTGTCATTGATTCACTTAACTACTTGTCAAGCGAGCAATTGATTGAATTTATACAAAATCTTATGCTGACCAGTATCACCATCGTGGCTACAATCCATCAACTGAGTCGACATCAGACAACCATAGCAAACTACCCAGACCCCAAAACATTGCTTCTGTTTATCGCCAACGCCATATTTGAAGTCAATCCTTGCTCAAATGACAGCGATCAAATTGAGTCTCAATTGGAGAATCATCGTATTGAAATGGGGTGGAATAGTTCAACTTATGAGCTAGAATTGACTCATAGGCGGAAGCTGGGGCGTTCTATCAAGCACTTTTACACCATCAATAGCCATGAACATGTGTACACTCCGAGAACGGCAACGAAGGAGGATGTGAATGACGAAGAGCTAATGCATGACCTAACAACATTCAATTTGAGTACTAGTACGCGTCAAAAATTAGCACGAGAACAAGTTGAACTTCCTTTTATGCAAGCCCAAGACAGCTTAGGTTCAAGTGGTGGTGCGATTGTCTACGAATTTGAAAAAGATGATGATTATGACGAGGAGGATCCTTACGAAGATCCGTTTTGAAAAGCTTGGCTTCTCGGGGGAGTCACGCTTAAACGGTCCCCCAAACATATGGATCAAGATACGCATTTTCCATTACATACATGTAGGAACCTCTTATTGCGCAATAAGGCATTCTCTCAGCCCCTAACGGATCTTTTGATAGCTTGAATTTTCTGTTTCAACTTACCTAGACCGCTCTTCGCAGCCATCATCTGGTACTCATCCTCGGTGACGGTCTTCTTGATCAACAAGTTGAAAATAGAGCCAAATGCTAAAGACATTACCGTACACGTTAAGATGATGACATTATAAGGCATTGAAAAATCTGGTACCGGTAATGTTAACAACATTGACGTGGTTCGGAACTCATAGATAGGTAAGCCATCTGAAGCATCGAAAACTGTAATAACAGCGGGATCAATGGCAAAGCCGTGGTTCGCATCGGGAGGATATTCATGAATCAAAAGCAAATTTTTATGGAACTTGAAAGTCAATGTGAGAGTGGCACCTGCGGGTAACTCTATAACAAACTCAAGACGCAGAGGTCTCGTTCGATCAATCAGAGGTCGATAAAATTGATCCACCACCCACGATTCCGCATTTGACCCCGATCCGACAATAGTTAATGTATGCATGTGTAACTTCATAAACCAAGGTAAAGTCTCCAGATAGACAAATCTTGAAGTTCGATTTAACTGATTGGTAAATGCAGCACGGATACCTCCTTTGTCTTGGGAATATCCGGTCAACGAACGAGCAACTCGAACTGGAGGGTCAATAATAGGTGAAGTTACCGAGTTATCGCTACAACTGAGTAAAACGTCACATGGCTCTGTTGATGTTATGTGGCGCTCTATCGTCCATTGCTTGGAGTATCTTGCCACCGGCATTTGTCCTTCGACAAATTCAACTTTCCACAGCTCCGGATGTACATTCAACACAATGAGTGTCCCCTCGTTATCTCCAACGAATGCAGGTCCCTTGATAGAACGCCCAAATATGGTGCTAAGGGAATAATCAATCTCCTTGTCCTCTCCTGAAGGGAAACATGTCCATACATCATGCTTTTTCGTGCTGTCGCACCTCAAATCCTCACCTGGTGTGGGCTTTGGTACACCACCCTCTTTTTGCTTACGAATGGATCGATTCACATCAATGACTGCGCTGATTGTCTCTTGCATATCCAAATAGCAGCCAACCTCTGTACAAACTGTATTCACGTCAATCAGCATTGCGTGCCATAATGAATCGAATAGCTTGTGTCCATCCAACAACGACGAAACCCCAGCTTTTCCTCTGGTTGGCAATAGCTTGAGAAACGGAGTTAAATTTTCAGTGCAAATGGGTTCCGACGGTAAGGCTGCCTTGAGTAAGAATAAGCTGTTTCTGGAATCCATTGTCACTGTAGATGCATCCCCGATAATATGCTTCGGCGTTGTCGTGATAGAGTCATCGATAAAGTTTAGCAGAGCACAAAAAAACCCTGAAAGTGTTTTGGTAAGCGAATACCACTGCTTTTTAGCTTGCTCCAAAGATGGTGCTTCGATAACGGCCCAGACTTCAACGCCTGTTCCGCCTGATTTTGATCCGCTGTATGGAAGCTCGCCCCATTTCTCTGCATCCCACCATCCTTGGCCAAAGCGTAAATGCAATTCCCTAGCACCGTTACTCTCTATGACTGGCCCCAATGCTCGGCTAAAGTAAGCATAATGCCCGTTGCTAACATCTTGTCGTTCAAAGTCAAGAACTCCTGAGGTAATATTAAATTCAAAGGAAGTCAACACTCGATTTCGTGGGAGCGGAGTGATATGGAGTGACTCGTTGTAGTATGTATGAGCGACAACAAAAAATGCCCAAAGGAGAACCCCTAGTGCTTTCATTAGTTGTCGTCGATTGCACGCGTGGTGTTTTTTCTAGGTGTACGCGCGAAAAAGTAGCTCTATACTGAAGAAGTGTTACAACTCATTACAGACAATCATAATGTGAATTATTCGGCGCCGTCGTTTCAGCACTCACGAATTGTCCGCTGTTCATTCACTCGTCAGCATCACGTTCTCGTACTGAATGCGATCTCCAGAACCAGGCTATATTATCACTAGTCGGAGAGAAGAGACGTTACGTAGGTATTAACAGGAAATGTTGCATTGTAGATCATGGATATCTCACCCTAACCTATCTCGTAGCGGACTTGTAAAATGCGGTGACAGCCACTCCTTTACCACGTGCGATTCGAAATTTGTGCCGCAAAATGTAGAAAATTCCTAAGAGTTCGAGACAATCGTACTATTTACAACTCGCTTGAGTGCCTCTTGGCGATGATGCTTTCGAGAATATCGATTTTTCTTGTTATTAGAGGACACGTTTGTCGTGTGAGTTGTTGCCGGACATGCAGAACTCGCATCTAATACACGGTGGCCAGGGCACGTGGGGCGAAATTACGGCTGGTCGGCATAAATAAAGCGGAGCGATAGCGCAACTCTTTCTCGACAAAATGAAATTTGGCGAACATCTTCGAAAGAGTCTCATCAAGAACTATTCGTTTTACTACATCAACTATGATGAACTCAAGCATCAGTTGAAGAAGTTGTTGAAAGACAATGATTACCAATGGAATAATCTGTTGGAGGAGGAGTTCTTGAATGAATTGGAACAAGAACTAGACAAAGTCTGGCTGTTCACCAAAGTGAAAAATACTGAAGTCAATCGTCGCATCAAAGATGCCGAACAGCAAGTTGACAAAGTGGTGACCGAGATGAAGCAGTACCAGGATAATCCAAATGGGAATACACGTCGTCCTCTGGAGCAAGATTTTGAGGAGTTGGAGGCGGAGTTGTCGGACATCATTGCTGATGTTCACGACTTAGCTAAGTTTACTCGTTTGAACTACACTGGCTTCCAGAAAATTGTGAAGAAACACGATAAAACCACCAAGTTTAACTTGAAGCCCATTTTTGCCGTGCGTCTCAATTCAAAGCCGTTCTATAAGGATAACTATGATAATCTCATTGTCAAGCTTTCAAAGTTATACGACTTGGTGAGAACAAAGGGTAACCCAGTACAAGGAGATTCTTCTGCTGGTGGAGCTCAACAAAACTTTGTTCGGCAAACGACCAAATATTGGGTACACCCCGACAACATCACAGAACTCAAGCTTATAATTTTGAAGCATTTGCCAGTGCTTGTGTTCAATGCCGATAAAGAGTTCGAGCCTGAGGATCTGGCTATTACCTCAATTTATTTCGACAACAAGGACATGGACTTATATTATGGTCGGTTACGGAAGGATGAGGGCGCTGAAGCAATCCGGTTGAGATGGTATGGTGGGATGAAGCTGGATACTATTTTTGTGGAAAGAAAGACCCATCGTGAAGATTGGACTGGCGAAAAGTCAGTAAAGGCTCGCTTTGCATTGAAGGAAAAGAAGGTGAATGACTTTTTGCATGGTAAATTCACTGCTCAGCAAGCCTTTGAGAAGATGCGCAAAGATGGCAAGAAAAGTAAGCAGGAGATCGACAACTTGGAGCAGTTGGCTAAGGAAGTTCAATATCGCGTTCTCAAGGAGAAATATCGACCTGTTATGCGTTCATTCTACAATAGAACAGCGTTCCAATTGCCAGGGGACGCTCGCGTGCGTATATCGTTAGATACCGAGTTAACTATGGTACGTGAGGATGATTTCGATGGCTACGATCGAACTCGCGGTAACTGGCGGCGAATGGATATCGGGGTTGACTATCCCTTTCCTCAATTGGCTGACAAGGATGTATGCCGGTTTCCATACGCCGTTCTTGAGGTAAAGTTGCAAACCCAGTTGGGGCAGGAGCCCCCCATGTGGATCAGAGATCTCGTTCAATCGCATCTTGTTGAAGCTGTCCCCAAGTTCTCTAAGTTCATCCATGGTGGTGCTACTTTACTCACTGAGATGGTGGATTTATTGCCTTTCTGGCTACCCCAAATGGATGTCGATATTCGTAAGCCCAAGGTCCAGCTGGAGGTGGGTATTCAGCGTCAACAGCGTTACCTTAAACTGCTGGCTTCTCTGGGAAACGACTTAGATGAAGAAGAGTTGACAGGCGATGCCTACTCACTGGGCTACAACGGTGTACATTTTTCCAATGATGTTAATCCCTTAGAAGAAGATTTGGACGAACTGACACCCTTGTTGTTGCCTCTGAGCTACCTGACACGGCAGAGCGATTCTCCGTTGCGCAACTTTTTTTACAAGTTGTACGGGCTGTTTTTACATCATTTCAATGATGACCGCACTTTTACGCTTAAGCCAGGAACTAACTTTGACTTGAATAAGCAATTCGCTGATAAACTTCCCAATGGCAAGAAAATTTCAGTTCCCATTCGTATTGAACCCAAGGTTTACTTTGCTGCTGAAAGAACATTTTTGCTGTGGTTGCTGATCGGCATGGTTTTGGGTTTCACCGCGACAACATTGTTACTGTACGGAACTGCGACGGCATTGACAGCCCTGATTGGGTTTTTCATAACCGCTATGTTGACATTGATTTACTCTACCTACATGTATGTGTGGCGTACGATTATGATCAGAGAAAAGAGAAGTTTCGTCAGTTACGCTGACAAATTTGGCCCCAATATGATTTGCTTTTGTATGTTTGCTGCTACGTTGGCCACATTTATGTTCAAAATTTATGAATAAGATATTCCTACCACTAATTTGTTGCGAGAAAACTATCTGAATACATGGAAGTTCTACATAGACAGTAGCTATCAATAGGTGCTGATGTTGCTGCTGGGATTGAAACACGATATGCATCACTGACACAAGTCGTTTAATTCCATAATCGTGAAAAAATCTGCTCTTTCATGAATGTTCAAAGCGGGAGTCACTATGAGTACTCAAGCCACACAGCTTATGAGACCCCCGTCGTCAAACGCAGAGAACTGAGACCTGGTACGTTGAAACGACGTATAGTCTATTAATATTTATGCTCGAACTATATCACCTTGTCATTACTCATCCATTCATTACACCGCTGCCTGATATCAGACGGGAGTCTCATTCATTTTACGCTTCTTGAATTCCCGATCACTATCATCAGCAGGTGACAGTTGTGGAGAAGGATCTGCGGGCGTAACCAGATTGAAGAATGGTCGCAGTGCTGCCAGCTTGATCAGCTTGTCAAGCTCCAGGACCAGAGGAAGCGTATTCTTAGTTTTCTCTTTAGACAGAGCTTGTGCATCAGCGGGAACCAGCCGGGGTAACATTGTCAGCAACGGTGAGGGTATTCTTTGATGGCCAGGATTCGTAGGCAGAATCAGCCGTATAGGGTTAATCTGAGGAAGCTTACCAACAGCCAGACCAGGACGTGAAGTTTGTAGCGGTTGAGGCAGCTGCTGCCCCGGCGCGACAGGTAACGTGGTGGGATTTGAGGGGACTGCTTGCCCTGTCGATGACACTGAATGACCCAAATTTTGCGAAGTATTAAATTGGAAGTGCGGTACCAGTGTCTGACCGACAGTACTGCGACGCTGATCATACATTGATGTAAACGAATTGCGCTGCAGATAATGATAATTCGGGTTAGGGTTGAACACCAGCAGCTCAGAACCTACTGCTACTGGTAGCAGATTCGTGCGAGTCAGCGGGGTGTGCAGAGTAACCAATGACGCCAGTGGGTTTCTTTCGTGAGAGCCCGGCGATTGGGGACGAGGAGACGGACCGTGTTGTTGAACATTGGCTAGCAGAAGTGGCAGATACAGCTTCAGCTCTGCACGTAATTGGCCAACTGCTGGTGGTGGTTGCGTGAGTGCAGATGGTGTAGACGTCGTTGCATTAACCCCATGGTCTCCATCAATCAATATTGTGGAGTTTTTGCGCAGCGGAATAGGCTGAAGGGGATCCATAAACACCAGGCGATGGCGCAGCGTCAGTGGCTCAGGCTGGAGTTTCTTCTGATACAAAGCGTAGTTCGGATTGAGAGGATAGTTTTGAGGGACGATATTAACCAGTGACAGTGATGGTTGGCGCAGCATGTTGTTAAGGTGATAATTCAGCGACTGGGGCGGTGGAGTTGATGATCCAAATTGGGTAGTTTCTAATCTTTGGAGTACTGTCATGCGTAAACCACGGACTTCCTGCTCAAAAGCAGCGGCGGTAGATCCAACCTTAGGCTTCAGCATTGGACTTTCCTCGGGTTCTTGTAAGGGTGTGATCTTATTTACCGGTGTTCTGTTGTTGAGACGATCCGGCACTGAAGCAGTATTTGCTTGATTATTGGAGGAAGCAGTATTCGCTTGACTAGTCGTTGAACTAAGTCCTTGTGACAGGGCCATCGGATTAAGGTACCTTTCCATCAAATCCAAAATTTTCAATGTATCCAGGTGTACTCGCCGAAGTTCAATACCCAAGAGCTCGTTGCGCTGGTTAGCCACTGCCAATTCATTGCGAAGTACTCCCACCTGATTGTTGACTTCAATAAACCGGATATTTAGTGAGCGCTCAAAGGAATTTTGCTGTGTAAGTGAGGGACGCTGAGATGGTTGACTTTGAACAGAGCTCGCAGGTGTAGGGACAACATTAGTACCCTGGGCTTGGCTAGGCAGTTGGGGGCTGCCCGGCATCGCAGTTGTCGCCAGATTACGGTGTGGTAAGTGCGGCGTCAAATGAGGTTGCTGTTCTTGGGATTGGCGACGCAGAATATCTGGAGGCAGAGAATAACACGGTGCTGGTGGGCCTTGTTGAGGTGGTGGTTGAGGCAATACGCCCAGAGGAGCTGGTACCATTTGATGAACCACCATTGGGGTGGGGCCCATAGGCGGAAAGTATTCGAGTGGTGCCAGGGTGGGAGGGATCAGCAGTAAATTAACAATCTCCTTGTGAGAGTTTACATTCTTCAGCAGCCTCCGTTTGATCAATTTTAACAGCTCAATATCACCTTTGCGAAACTGATTTGTCGAGTGGCGAAACTCCCATTTAGTAGCAACCAGATCTTTATCCAGAGAGTTTGAGTCACTCTGAAAGGTATCATTGACTTTATGGAAACCATACATGTTAAGTTGGCGAATGAATGAGGCGATGTTGGTGTGCTTAAAATATTGCGCTAGCACCTTCAGAAAATCCTCTCCTGGTAATAGATAGAAACTGTCATTTGTGGGCAGCCACCAAATAAGATGCAGAATAGTGGGATCGTGTAGCATGTCGTACAATTTGTGGATAAACACTGTTTGAGTTTTACCCGACCCCAGACCCAGAGCTGGTCCCAGCACAGAGCTCAGGTTCAGACTCGGAGCTGTTGAGGTGGTGGGATGTTCTGGGATCGGAGAAGACTCACCGGGTTCACGTTTGACGTCGTCCAGCATCCCCAAGCAACGGTGTGGAAACGTGTAGGATGGTTTAGGAGTAGTCGAAGAGTGTTTTTTTCCGACGCTGCACGGGTGTGTCTGGGGAGAGTTGTCTACAGAGTTGCAATACCTTATAAAGATATTGTCGATCACATTTGTAGTCAACATTTGAATTTGGTGTGATCGGTGTCTATGCCATTTCTTATCCCTTGTCGCAAGTAATACCCCATAGGATCCTTATGTCAATCTGGGTGATTGATGACTTGAGGGTATGCACTGCCTGCTTTGGGAAACGTTTTCGCTTCCGAATGAAACGCTACATTAGTCTAAGTCAATATGAGTCTGAGTCAGAGTCACGTTTCCCTCATCTCACCCTACTTTTTCCCCCCTCGCCATCTCACGTCGCCATGATTGTATCTTGTTCAACCAAATGCCGTGCGGCCGCGAATGTTATCAAACTTAGGGTGACGAGGTTAACAAATGGTTGAAGCCAAGCCAAAATATAACGAAATGTGATAGATCCGAAATGATCTTTATCGTATACAAACCATCGGATTTGATTTTTCCTATTACCGACTATTACCTGATGGAAAACTAATTCTCCACGGCGTTACCGTGCCCAACTGGGCATCCCTCAGACCCGGTTTGGAGACCACGGCGGCGTTTTCGAGTGATTGCTTTTCGTCAACACGAGCCCCGTTTTTTTTTTTTTTTCCTGCGCGCACGTGAGCCCGGCACGGAGGGTATTGTCATCAGACCCATTGGTTTGAGATAGAAGGACACGATAGCAAAGCGACCAGGAATATAAAGTCTAAACTTTTCATGGCTCGAGGGTTGACACACATACCTACATTGTCTTCAACGTAGTGTACCTTCATCACTTCCCATCAACCGAAGATGGCATCGTCGAGGGGTAGGCTCTCGGTGTGTTTCCTACCACCATTATTCCCCCTTGCCTCGACACCACATCTCGTAGCATGCTTCGTTCATGATTCGCACTAGTTTCCATGCGTGCACAAGGGGCTTCCAGCCACGCAGTCGATCAACTTCATTCCATCATGTCTCCAGTCTACTCTACATACAAAACCACACACTGTGTTACACTTATGTGTACATGCCACGTTATGGGTGCTTGGCGTCTCTCGCACCTCACCCCACATTCGCACTCGCCTCGTTGAGCGCCCCAGGGATTCCCGGGCGGAGGTCATGTTTCATTGACGATGTGCCCCGTTGCGGTTGCCTGCAGGCGGCATTTCCCGCATCATTTCTTTTCCTGTTAATAAATAAAAATTTTGTCGTTCGCACTCGATCATAGTTTTACCCCCCACCACTTGTTCGTTGGGTTGTTAATCCCTGGTTTTCACCTTGTCCCACAGCTGACGTCCTCCAGTCTTTTGGTTTTTCCGTTTTCTACTACTATCACTATATCTGGGTAAGGTTCATGAACTTGAACAACCAGCCCGACAACCAAGAAAGCGACCACCAGTTTCGCCCGGTATGCTTCGACTCCCCTCTGGGCGGAACGGCCACTGCTCAGGTTCCCCCGCCACCAGGGCCTTCACTGGGGAAGCGACAACTGCTGCTGCTGCTGCTGCTGCTGCTGCAACTGGAGCTGCTGAAACGTGTTCGCCTTGACCCCCAACTTGTTGACCCCTTGGGTAATGCTGCTCTGCCAAAACTGTTCCATGCAGGGTTCGAATCCGTATCGCAAAAAGAACCACTGGTCCAATCTACGGCGACAACGCCAGTGCCCCCCCAAGAAACCACAGTGTCCGCCCAACCAAATAAGAAGCCCGCTCGCTTTGTCAGAAGATTCAGGTCCCGCCTGTTACCAATAATCAATTATCTGCAAAGACTGCCTGGTTACAAACTGCATTTCTCCACCGCAGCGGCTCTGCTGGCCCTGACATTGCTGAAACACCCTCATCCTCGTCATCATCATCACCATTTGGGAACTCTGATCCCCCCTCTCCCTCCGATCAATTTACAATCGCTCAAGGAAATTGATTTACATGAAATCCTCAAAAACCCTCAGTTGCGCCACGACATATTATTTGACCCTCAATTACAATTCCGGCCAAATTTGGATGGTGAACGAGGAAAGCGGAAAAAGTCTATCATTGATAAGTATTGGTTGGAAATTCAGAAGGAATGTCGTCAATATTTTACACCTCCCAGTGGCCCCATAAAAATCAATCGCTTACCTATTTTATTTCAAACTTTGCGAGATGTTCTCCTCTCGCTCTTGCCCAACAAGGACCGTCCTCAAGTCAATGAAATCATGGATATTGAGCTATTGGTCCAACAGCTTAATCACGGTTCTTTTGATTTCGTGGAGATGGCTCGATGGTTGGGTGATGTGTTCAAAAGCCACTGCGCCCCCATGCGTGATGGCTGGGTGCTGGAGATGATTCAAAAGTTTGTTGATGCTGAGCGGCAACATCTGGTAGAGCTGCTTGTTGCTGGATTGCGGCTGATTTTCCAAATCTTGGAGGCTATGAAGTTGGATGTCGCCAACCATCAAATTCGCATTCTCCGGCCAGTACTTATTGGTACGGCCGTAGACTTCGAGCGGGAGTATTTTCAACTGCTCATTTCCCACAACAAGATTTACATTGATGATTCCTTGACTTGGTTCTACAAAAAATATTCTCAGGCAATCAAGCTGGGGGATGTACGTCCCGATGACTACAGTGACACTACTCTCAAACCGGTTATCATTTCGCTGATAATCGACCTTCTTTCCTGTCGTCACATGGCAACCGAATTCCCAACAACACTTGCGTTTGACCACACACGGTTGGTTTTACTCCGGGCTGATGTCCGTCAACTAGTGTGTGTCCAGTTATGTCTGGTGCTCTATCGTCAATTAGCGGCTAAAAAGCCTTCACGGTTGGCGCCTCTGGTGATCTCCCAAGTGCAGCAAGAAATCTTACTGATAGTAACTGATGACAATGGTAACATCAAGTGGACGAAGAACATCCAAGCGATTGCCCTTCAACTTGTCAAAAATGTTGTCTCATCTCCTGCCACAGCGGTTCTGTCAAAATTGCCCCAAGATGTTGTGGATTTTGCCTACCATTGGCTTATCAAGCACATTCAGCCACTGCTGCCAGTGTATGGTCTTATGGAGCTGAAAGTTTTTAAGGATCTTCTCTCAGAGATCATGATCACGATCGACGAGGAAGCGCCAGCTTTGGCGGCGTCGCAATCGTCGAGCCAACACACATCGTCAGCACCCGCCAAACTGGAGCTGCTGGAACTCAAAAACATCGCTCAACGAATTCTGACTCTAGGCAAATTCCATTGGTCGGTTTTTGGTTGTAACTACACCGAGTACATCAAAATGCACACACCGCCACCTGCGGTGACTCCGGTGGAGAATGAACCGAAGCTGAGATCAAATTCTTTTGATGACGAGGTGGATGATACGGCTTCTAGACAAGTTACTGAAGCCCCTGCATTGGATGAAGTGACTGCAGCAGTTATTTCGACATGACGATATAATGAGTACTACATAATCAGTCCAGGTTGCTTATGAACTCCCCAATCTGGAAGTTGACCTTCAGAATTCTAGTGATTCGGTGTTACTTTTAGATCTGAATGAACGTACCCTTATGAAGCGCAGTACTCTCTCTATATATGTGTTTCTGGTCAGCTTGCAATCTTTGCGTGCCTGTGGAATGATAATAGTATAGCAATATCACGCGGTAAGCGTGAGACACGAACAATTGTTTGACACTAAGGTTCACTGCATGTCGTCGACCCACAGTATTGAAAGCCGCCCTAAACTTACGATTGTAAATGAAGGTCTAAAAGATTGTCCAGATTAGATGTTATACTCGTAGCATTTGACTCGCACCGTAAGGATACCATATCTGACGTGCGGTCAGAATTTGGCAAAACTTGCAAAAGGGGTCTAATAGCTTCAACTTATTTAAACTCACGTGGGGTAAATATATTCTGGTAAAGGCAAAACGGGTTTCACGTAACCGAGAAAAAGGAGCAAGAATGTGACGTGCAGGGCTCCTTATGCAGAATTGTTTTAGTGACCAAAGGCCCTCCCATAAATATCAAATCTTAATACAGAGCCGCGGTCGTCACACATGCGCAGAAAAACTGTAGAGTTTCCAACAACAAATGCGTGATGTTACTCAAAATCGTCAAATGTCGAGGGCACTTTGAGGTATAATGGAGGCTTGAATATAGGGTTGGTCCTCGACATTGTTCGAAGATATCGCTCCCCGCTTTTTTAGTTTACCCAAATCTGCCGTTCCTCACCCGCAGAAATGCGCGCAGCTTACTGTCCAATAACCTGCATTCAACACCCCCCGTATCACATGGCATTAAAGATAAAGGGAAAATTCTTTTCCACATTTAAGACCTAAGCGCGAGTGGAGATAAGTGGAGGCCGATTCTACAGCCGTCGACCATCATGATACGAAAAGTGTTTGATGCAAACGTCTCCCTCATTAAGCACATGGTGCTTATTCCCCTCAAACTTCTTTTCGTCATCACGGTGTACATACCTTTCGTGAAACTACCTGTTCTTATTCCGGCAAAATTTCTATTCGATTTGGAAACGGATTGGCAAGCCGATATTCTGATACTGTGGCTAAGCTCACAGCTCGAATTGTTGGTTTTATCATGTATTCACTTCGTCATGGTCAACGTATTTTTGGGCATAATCGTTGGCCTTCTAACGGGGTTCAATTTGAAGGCAATCCGTTATGTTCTTACTTGGAAACCGAAGTCGAAGATAAAGAAAAAACCGCCAAAATGGGCTCGTCAATCCCGACGATTCGTACTGGAATTGGCACTGTCAAATGTTGTCGTCGAGGAAAACCCCCAAGCGAAGCGTACGCCACTGCTTGAAGATATCGGCTTGTCACAATTACCAGCACCTAAACTGATGATTGTGACGCTGCTGCTGCAATTTGACCTGACGAATAACATGAGACAACGTACTCTGGGGAAATCCCTGCCGAACCGCGCTTCTGCACTGACCTTAGAGTATGAAGATGATGACGGCTACTCCGCTTACATCTCAATGCTACTGGATTCACTGAGTTTGCCGGCTATAGACTCCGCCAACTTGCCTCTGTCGTCAACTCGCAGGTCGAGCTTACACAATATTGACGAAGTCGAGGAGGAAGAATTTAAAGAAAATGCTTCTCACGTTCTTGATAAAGTCGAGAACTTGGCAATTGCAACTAACAAAAAGCTGGCATCGAAGCAACCAGCTGATGGCATTACTACTTAGTTTCAGAATTCTCATTGTACAACTGTGGATCAGTCATTGGTTGGTGGCGCGATTTTATTTTTAGTGGTAGCTCCCCTTGTTTGAAATTTGAAACTTGCATTACCGACAAGAAACACTGTCACTGTACTTAAAATGAACGAATGAACATATTGAACGTTTTATGGTAACTGTCAGATGAGCACGTTCGCGAAAACTACAAAGTTTCACAACTGTTACACATGGAAAAATGAGTCCACGTACGGCGACTTACACGACAAACTTAAAGACTGTCTCACGTCATCTTTTGACATTGTCGAGCATGATACCAAAAGTGTTGGGAATCTAGCCAGTGTCTTACTGCAAGAATTGCGTTTAGCAATAGTTTCTGTTCCTCGAGCACACGTTACGGAATTAACCAAGAAGGCTTTGACGGATATTCGAGATTTGTTACTGATTGCAAAGAAAAGATGGGATTATCTCGGTTGGGACAATACCAAGTTCTATACTAGAGATTGCTGCTCGACACTATTTGTTGAAGTAGATTTCGAAACGTCTCGATTATACTCGAGGTATAATGTGAAATTTCAAATTTGGTATAAGCCGCGTCAATCGCGTTGGCACGACCCCGGTATCTTTATTTCGAAGCAGGAAATTCAAGAGTACATTGTGGCACTGCTTGTCGTACATCCTTCGGAGGACTGGGATAAGCGCAAGGTGGCTAAGACTACCATGGAACAATGCTGGATTCTCGCAAACGCGAAAGTGACGATAAACAATCAGATATGTATGTCACTCATTTGACACGAGTACACCTGATATAAAGTGAATAATAATGAAAGTTAAGCTAGTCAATTGTCCTACTTTAGTTCATGCCACGATGGCAAGCACCAAATCTTTACTGGAAAACATGTAATCTTGATGGATTTAAATGCTTATTCTGCGTCTGCAGAAGAAAATGAGAGATCATTGTGAGAGTCTCCGGATTAATATGTGAAAGATGCGGTCTCTCGTAAAATGGGTTTTTAAAGATGGGGAATCTGCGAAGTTTCTGCTACACCGACATCTTATACATAACTCGTCGTACTCATCATAATAAACAATCATAAAAGCGATTACCTCAAATTTTGTCACCTGACGGAAAAAATTTCCTGAACATCGCCTGCTCCTGCGACCAAGTTTACACTGATTTCTCGCACCCACTGCTCGTGTAGTTAATTTCTGAAGATTCACCCAGGCTGCTGCTAGCGCCACCTCCCTGTCGAGTGCCTTCAAGTCTTTGCTACCAGCCGTACTTTGACCTTCCGGCAAAGGCTGCGTGTTAGCTTAACTTTCAAACACCATGGGTGACAAGTCCAAGAAGCTTGGGAAATGGAGCCGCTTGTTCGGTATAGGTGAGGATGAACAGCTGGCTTCAAGTGTCCTGTCCAAACAAGCGTCTAAAGCCGAGGAAACTCAAGGTCCCCAGAGTCGTCTGGTTACACCTAACCAGCACACCTCCCACTCACACCCGCTGACGCCTTCGCTGGTGCTGCTGGCAGACACCAAACCTTATGATCCACAAGGAGTGACCAGATCGAATATCAACCTGGCTCCTGTTCTGCGTTCCGGCTCTACAAAGAAACAATTGCTGCGGGCTCTGCTGACAAAATCGCCTTCCGTCGTTGAGGCGCCTCGCTTCAAGATGCTAGAAAATGGTAACCATGAACATCATTTGAGGGCTGTCAAACGCCAAGAGAAAATATCCAGCCTTTTAAAAGATTTGCTAGGGGCTAAAAAATTAAGAGATGAGGCAAAACTGGCGGTGTCCTTTGATGTACCTCAACAAGTGGCTCCGAATCAAGTCGGGAAAGCAAAGCCGCCAACTTTAGTGCTGGGCCTTGTCAACTACCTCAATCAACACCCTCAAGGTTTGACCTCGACAACTCAAACTGCTGAGTTGAAACTGGCGCTTCCTTTACTCGCCGATGATCATCGTCTGTTCTCTGAAAAATACGGGAGATGCCAAGAGGTCGTTGGCAAGGGACTGTACGGTGTCGTTAGATTGTCTCACAAGGATGATGAGGTTTTTGCAGTCAAAGAATTCAAGCGTCGGGCACAAGAGTCCCCCGAAAAATATCAAAAGCGACTCACTGCTGAATTCCTGATAATGGCTCTGCTCAAGAATCTCAATGTCATCAAAACCTATGATTTACTCAAAGATGCAAAAGGTGACTTTTGTGAGGTGATGGAATATTGCGCTGGTGGTGACCTTTTTCTGTTGATTATAGCAGCGGGGCGATTGGAGTATGCTGAGGCTGATTGTTTCTTCAAGCAACTCATACGCGGTGTCAACTATATCCACAAGATGGGAGTTGCCCATCGCGACTTGAAGCCTGAAAACTTGATTCTCACGCAAAGTGGTGTGCTTAAGATCACCGATTTCGGCAACCTGGAATGTTTCAAGATGGCTTGGGAGGATGAAGTTCATATGCTGGTTGGTGTATGTGGTTCGCTGCCATATATCGCTCCTGAGGAATTTACTCAAGAAGAGTTTGATCCCCGAATGGTCGATATTTGGGCTTGCGGTGTGATATACATGGCGATGCGAACTGGTCGGCAATTATGGAAGTTGGCTGATGCTAAGGCTGATGGTTTCTATGCTGAATATCTTGAGAAGAGGAAACAGGAAGGTGGTTATGAACCTATCGAGCTGTTGAAGCGAGCCCGTTGTCGAAATGTTATATACTCAGTCTTGGATCCGAAACCAGAAAGACGTATAACAGGGCCACAAATTTTACAACTGGAATGGGGCCGCGAAATTAAAGTGTGTGCAGCGGGAGACGGAATCGATCCCTATTAGCCATATACGAAGATAACACGAGTCACACTCTTTAATGTATTACTTTAAAACGTGCGGTACATGTATTTGAGCTTGAGGCAAGTACTAGTGGGAGAAATATGACTTTCAGCAAGTCCTCGTCGCACAATATGTAGCTTTGTGAAACAATCTCTAAACTAATGGTAACTATCGAAAAAGGGCACGTTTTGGACGTTATTTCTGAATAACTTTTGAAGCTATCCTTTTTCTTTTGACAGTGCGCTCCACCTTTAGGGGTTTCATATTCGAGGTCAGTGGCGTATCAACCTTAGTTTTTAAAATCAAATGCCTGTTTAAATCTTGAGCCCAAATTGTTTAGGAAAAATTCTCAGGTCATTAAAACTGATGTCCCCGCCAATTATTTAAAGGGGATGAACGACAAGTTACTTGACTAATGAACTCCCAAATTGAGTCTGTGGAAATCCACAGCCTCCCACCACCATTGGAGCATTCTGTGAGAAGTGATCGAGACTATTTTACCTTAAGCGCAGCCTTAACGTCACAAGAACAAGATGCCGTTCCATTGCAACTAGTACCCCCTATGACAGCCCGAAACCCACCCAAAAATAGACATCGAATCATCGCTTGTTTTCTATGGACAATGGCTCAAGGGTTTAGTGATGCAGCACCAGGCGCATTATTGCCAACAATGGAGAGCCATTATGGTATCAGTTACGCAGTTGTGCTGATAATTTGGATTGCAAATGCTATAGGATTTATCCCTGTGTCAATGTCGTTCCATAAAGTAGAACCCATAATTGAAGCGAGTGTTTGGTTCCAGGTCTCTAACAATGTGCTGCTTGTGTCTGAGTATTATGTACGCTATTGTTCTGCTGGGTACCATCTTCCCAGTGGTTTGTGTCGGCTTCTTCTTTGGTGGAATCGGAGCAGCAATTGGCAATACTTATACAAACATATTTTTAAGTCGATTGAACAAGCAGCTGAAATTTTTGGGTACTCATCATGGATTTTACGGCATAGGTGCTACCATCTCCCCGATTATTGCAACAAGTGTTTTCAAGGTTGGTTTCAAGTGGAACTATTTTTACTTTATATTATTGGGTATGGCGATTTTCCATTCGGTTCACACTTACATTGCATATAGAGGGTGTGAAACCGATTTAGCTCTTTGCATTGAGGCCACTAGAAGTGACGAGAGCCAGGCTGTGTTTCGTGATGCTTTCAAAACTAAAACCACGTGGTTGCTAGCATTCTTTTTATTCTTTTATCATGGCCTGGAGGTTTCAATGGCGGGATGGATTGTCACTTATTTTATCAACTACCGTCATGGAAACTCCGCTACCACGGGCTACAAATAGCTTCTGGGTTTTGGGCTGGACTTACAATAGGAAGAATGCTTCTTACTCGTCCATTGCATCGGTTTGTGGGAGTACATCATGGAGTTGTTTTAGTGCTGGCGATTGCGATTGTGCTAGTTCTGCTACAGTGGATTCTATCTGACGTTTATGCTATTGCAGTTTTAGCAGCCTTCCTGGGAATTTTCATTGGTCCCAACTATCCCTTGATGGTGACGTACACCTCATTTAATGAAGCGATTCCACGCAAAATTTACCTCGTCTCTATGACGCTAATGACCACACTTGGACTGTCAGGTGGAGCTTTCTTCCCATTCATGGTGGGTTTAATCACACAATCTGCGGGCTCATATGTCGTTCTCCCGGTTTTTATTGGACTATATTCGGCTATTATCGGAATCTGGCTAGCTTTGCCAAATCTCGAGAAGGCTAGAACTTGTCGATGTTTCTCAAAAATCAATTGATTATGTCTCGCTTCAATGGCTTAACAATATCTTTACAACCATCCTTTACATACACAATGTAGTAAGGAGTTGCGGTATTACCCTCACTAAAATCGAACACCTCCAGCTCAGGCACTCTTGTGACGACTTCATCATTATACTTTCTCCACATATCACGCTCGAAATCCTTGATGTAGACCCAGTAATGGCCATACAGGGCCTCTCCTCGATGTATAAATATGGCGAACACAGAATACCCCACCTTGTTATAGTCATCAAATTGAACGGAAACTTTATTTTGTAGATCTCGTATTTCGGCATCGATCTCTTTAAGTTTCATCTCCAACTCTTCGATAGCTCTGTCAATAAAATTGATTGTGGATTCAGACACCGTAAGTGAAGAGAGTTGCTCTGTATCAACACCCCGCAGATTTTCCTCCTTGGAATCACGTTCTTGCATCTCAATATCCGATGAGTCGTCAGCTTTTACCGTATAGGACTCACTGATCATTGTGTTGGGCGAGCTTTTCAAAGCGCCCTTCGTTGAATATTCTTGACTTAAAAGCTTCGTCATGTAACTTTTTACGCCTTTCAAAGAGTCTAGAATCAGCAATTTGGTACTGGGGTTCGGCATGGTTATTTTACTCCTCTCATCACGGAGGAAAGAAATTTTCTGCTTCCAAGTGAAAACCTCTGCTCGTCTAGCAATCATTTGCGCATCATCTGAATCAAGATATCGATCTAAGTAAATGTGTTCTCCAAATGGAATAGGATCGAGTGCCTTATACGCGACAAGTCGCTCGCGATCGAACATGACACGTTGAACATGAAATTGCAAGACATCAGGAAGTTCCAGAATCGTGACCAGTTTTCGGCACTTCCCACCATCCAACTCAACTAAATCCTCACTGAAATAGGTATCTAACGAGTCATAGATGTCCTTGGGATGTTCACTGATATTGATGATCAAGGAGAAAAATCTTTCTGTCAGAATTCTCGGTGATTTTGTGGCATCTAAAGGCGTTATCGTTTGTTTCGTCTTACCCCCAAATAATCGCTTGATTAAATCATTTTGTTCTTGATCTGTATCAAGCAGTATAGGAGGTAGCGCTGTTTCAATTTGAAAAGTGACGTTTTCAATGCACTCGGTCACATCTTGTTGGCGCCCCACTTCGATAGTCAGTTCAATCTGGTCAGAGCTGATTGGTAACAAAGCTCGACCTGGTTGCTCATCTGTGAGTGACTCGTTGAATGTTTGTGGATTCTGGGATTGTGGCAAGTCTTCAACTTCCACTTTTGCTTCGGGTGGTGTGACTTTCAGCACAGAATCTTTTAATTTTATTTCACTGACTCGCTCATCAGTGTCCACAATGTACGAACTTCCTGTGAGTGAAGTATCATCCTCGTAATCGCTGTTACTCTCTGATTTACACTCCGTCATCAAATTTTCATCAACAAGATCATCAACAAGCCCCAAATCTTCCTTCTTTTTGAAGTCAAAATCAACCGGAGTCAGCAAAGGAAGAAATGCCAAGTATGCCAATTGCTTCAGCGGTTGAACACAACGACGATTGGCATGTATCAATTGGTAAAATAAATCAGCCAAGTGGTAAATGAATTGATTCAGCCGCTCAACCTCAATGGGATCAACACGGCGACCTCCAATTTTTCGAACAGATGCAATTTCGTTTCCGATTTTCACATTATGATGGTCGAATGCAAGAATCTCTTTGCGAAGCGGCTCTAAACAAAAGTAGTATTGAAGCAATGAATTCAAATAACAGGTGTTGCCAATATTGTCTAAACCTGCGGGCCACATATCTAATGGGAGAACCAGAGAATCTATTTGCCCAGTTGCAAGAAATTGATTGAGTACAACCAGATCTCGAACTTCCGCGATTCTCCTCAAAGCTGCACGAAGAGGTCTCGTATCATCAGTGTTAATCAGGATCTCTTGGAACTTCAGCACTAGCATGAAATCCGGTTCATGAGAATCCACACCTAAAATGTTGTACGCTGTCTTCGTATCTCCCTCAAAAGGGATACACAACTGGGGTAGCTTTTTCTCGACGTAATCCAACAAGCAAAACAGCTTCCGATGCACCGCGATTGACAACAACGCTCGATGAGTCGCACGAATTTCGGCAGCATCCGCATTCAACATATTTTGCTGCATGAGATCATCAAGTTTATACTCGTATGCTGTGATCACCACTTCATCTTCCGTCACTTCCGAAATTGCCAACATCTCCTCGGCTAGCAGTACGGGTGGTATTTCCTTGGTCAAAAAGTGTCGAATAGAAGGTCGCACCGATGCAATCAACTCGAGCTGTTTGTAGTAAAATGGATAATTTCGGGGATCCTGGGCCACTTGGAACTCATAAGAGGCAATTATCAGTGAATCTTCAATATTTGGCAAATATTTCTCATCAACGGCCACACCGAGAGCCGCGAGAGAATCAATATACTCGTACAACCCGGTAAATTGACCTTTAGTAGTCATTTGTTGAACCCACGCATTCAAGCGACCACGCCCACCACGAATGTTTGCCAAATTTTTCATGGCGTCAACATAATATAACCTATTAGATGGGTCACTTGTAGTAGACAAATCGAAACATTTGATAAGAAGCTCGTCTTGGTAGAATGGATATGCCAGCAATGCCACAAACAGGGACGGTGGCAGGTCGGGATCCTCAGAAAAATAATGTACAGCCTGACTGCTGTCCAAATCACCGGCGCAGCGTATGACATTCAGGGACAGCCACAGATAACGTAGAAAGGAAAAATTGCCTTCCAAATTCAAACTTCTCGCCTTCCAAATTAACTCAAATATTCTTCTTGTGAACTCCAGTTTCAAACGAGTAGCAACTTCTAGATTGGGTGGTATGAGTTGGGTACCATCTTCGTTTAAAGTGAAACCCATCAGGTTCACAAGCATTTTAACATCTATCTGTGCATCCAAAACCAGTTGGGACAACGTTATGGTCTTATTTTCGTCGCCCGGCTTGTGTAAGAGAGGTCCCTTCAAAACCCTGATGAGGTACAGAATGCAGGTTCCTGCTGTTGGAATTGTGTCTTCCAGAAGCGTTGGATACTTCTGCATCTTTGCATGCATATAGCGAGACTTAATGATCTCAGAATTTGTCAACAGTTCCATCGCATCGCCATCGAACTCCGAATCGAATATCAGAATACGTACTGACTTTTTTGAGAGACCCTCGCTTCGAAAGAAGACATCCTCAATCGGTGATTTCCCAAAGATAGCAAGCGTCATTTGATCATCCGTACTAAGCCAATTCTGCAGAATAGCATAAAATTCGAGCTTTTCCTTACCAGTAGTTCTGAAGGGATTTCCCACGCGATCTTCGAGGATTCGAATCTCTAAATGACGCAATTTCTCCCCGATCAACAATCCCCTGACAATTGAAAGCTGCTGTTGTCGTTCGGGAAGCTGAATCTTCGAAACCAGCGGAGCGAATTCAACTTGATCATTCAAACTTTCGATTTTAGAGAACTTCAAAGGGCTCACGAGACGTCCACTATAATTTAAAGGTCGTTCCGGCAAAATCAGATGATTGTAATGAGCCATGTAAGCCTCCAGCCACCGCAAATCATCCACAATGCGGTCCCAGGTTTTGACCGGCTGCAATGATAAGTAATCAGCACTGATAACTGTCGGCGTGTACAGTGGAGATATAGTGGGACCAGTCGATTGTGTCAGCTGCGTCTCTAACAGCAATGGCAGCTCCTCCAGACGTAGCATTTTTGGCAGATCGTCCATTGTGGCAACACTCAAGACGTGACACTATTGAGGGTGAATAGTGGTAAGTCACGTGCTAGAGCATTTCCCGTTTTATTTCTAGTGTGCGAAGTAGTCTTTGACTATGTGCGCGCGATTAGAACAGTGAATATCCGATGAGTGGTCCAACACCTCCTCAGCTTGATTGGCAAAAACTAAAAAATGAGTCCGATGGTCTGTTTCTGGGTATGTTGAAGCTGGGATTTCAGGAAGTCGTTCAAAATAATCCATATTTTGCTGCCGGTGGGGGTCTCATGCTCTTGGGTACTGGTCTCGCTCTAGCGAGACAAGGCGTAGTGAAGCTGAGTGGTTTCATCTACCGCCAATTGCTTGTTGATTTGGAGATTCCCAGTAAGGATAAACTGTACCTATGGTTTCTTGAATGGATGGCCCAACACAAGAATCGGCGACTGAGACACTTGGCAGTCGAAACAAACTTCATCCAGCATGACAATGGCGCAGTTACTACAAAGTTCTCTTTGGTTCCTGGGCCTGGGAAACATTTGATTAAGTATAAGGGCGCTTACATGCTTGTGGATAGAGAGCGACTGGGCAAGCTCATTGATATGACTCTGGGTACGCCATTCGAGACCGTCAAATTAACAACTTTGTATCGTGATCGGTATCTTTTTCAAGAAATGCTTTCGGAGGCTAAGCAGCTTGCTTTGAAAGCCAGAGAAGGAAAAACGGTATTGTATACATCATGGGGCCCAGAATGGCGCCCCTTCGGTCAACCACGCAAGAAGCGCATGCTCGGTTCAGTCATTCTTGACAAAGGTGTATCAGAAGGATTGGTAAGAGACGTTCAAGACTTTTTAAACTCAGGCGACTGGTATCACAAGCGAGGAATCCCTTATAGACGTGGTTACCTTCTCTACGGGCCTCCTGGTTCTGGCAAAACCTCATTCATTCAGGCACTTGCTGGAGAATTGGACTACAACATTTGCATTTTGAATTTACTGGAGAATAACTTAACAGATGATCGGCTTAATCATTTAATGAATCATATTCCTGATAGACTGATTTTGTTGCTTGAGGACATCGACGCTGCATTCAATAAGAGAGAGCAATCGGAGGACAAAGGGTATAATAATGGCGTTACCTTTCTGGGTCTTTTAAATGCATTAGATGGTGTTGCCTCTGCCGAAGAGTGTATTACGTTCATGACTACCAATCATCCTGAAAAGTTGGACCCCGCCTTACTCAGACCTGGTCGCGTCGACTACAAGGTTTTAGTTGACAATGCTAGTCGTTGGCAAGTGCAGCAAATGTTTATGCGTTTTTATGAGGGCGAGGAGCAGCTTTGCGAAGAGTTTTTACGGAAGTTCGACGAGGCGGGTGTGGAAAAAGTCCTGACAGCTCAATTGCAAGGTTTATTTGTCTATAACAAGGGGAACCCTCAAGGTGCAATTGACATGGTAGACACTTTGAAAGTTCAAAACGCTGTATTTTGATTGGATTTGTCTTGCAAATGTAATCAAATTGTAAATAGGTATACAAGCATCAATCAATAGAATTTCGCAAGCCTATTAGCACTCCTCGAAAGTTTTTCCTCAGAAACTTGAAGAGGATTACTGAAGGTATGAAGAGACAACCTCCCTCTCCTTTGGCAGTGGGAATATATGCAAGCGGCTTTCAATTCAATCAACCTTGGAATTGTTTAGCAAGCGATTCGCTAGCCTCATCAACCAAATTAGGCTGGAGCTTACCATCAACAATGCAACCCTTAACTAACTCGTCAATGTACTTAGCAAGAACGCCATACATTACCACGTCACATCCGTCATCTGCCAACTCCAAGTTTGTGCCCTGCAGAAGCGTCCTTCGAAAAGATTTTTTGGGGTACACTGGATTCTGTTTGTTTGACATTGATTTTGGTGATGTGAGTTGATCAGACTATGTGCGAAAGCCGCACAAGCTGCTCTAGTAACTTCAGAGTCGTAGCATTAAATTCAAGTCAAAGTGAATTTGAAAATTGAATTAACATGATTATAGTAAAGTTTATGCTGTGCTATTGTACTACTTTGAAGAGTGAAATTATCGTTGAATGCGCGGCACGCGGCGCCGCAGCTATATCAGGTGTTGATTGCGCCACGAAACCTCATGGTTGCCACCAACTCAATTTCAGCGATTTTTGCTGTTTTTGCAGTGGTATCAGGTTTATTGCCATCTGAACAATCGCTGATATATAATAAAGATAGTCAGGGTATTTTTCAGGTTTCTCGAGATAAGCCACCTTCAAAAGACTGTCCTCCATGCTTCAATTGCAACTTACCAGATTTTGAATGCACTCAGTTTTCTCAATGCAACAGCTTCACGGGTATGTGTGAATGCCGTCCGGGTTATGGTGGAGTTGATTGCTCCGAGCCATTGTGTGATTCTCTTGAAGTGCCCAACAATCGACGCCCAGTTAGAAAAAGAGGTGAACAATGCAAATGTGCACTGGGATGGCTGGGTATCAACTGTAACGTTTGCACTGATGATTTTGTTTGCGATAGCTTCATGCCTGATGGGGTCAAAGGAAGTTGCTATAAGCTGGGGGTGATTGTCAATAAGTTCCACCAAATGTGTGACGTGACGAACAAGAAGATCAACGAAATATTGGAGGGAAAGAAACCTCAAGTCACTTTCAGTTGCAATAAAACCAAAGCTGTATGCGATTTTCAATTTTGGATTGCTCAAAATGAGCTGTTTTATTGTGATCTCACTGACTGCGATTATAATTATGATATGAAAGCAAACACAACCCACTACCGATGCGAAAAGGTAGCGTGCAAGTGTTTGCCGGGGCGCATGCTTTGTGGTGAAAAGGGTTCGATTGATATACTGGACTTCTTAACTGAGACCATCACTGGACCAGGTGATTTCTCGTGTGACTTGGGCACCAATAGATGTAAGTTTTCAGAACCACTGATGAATGATTTGATCCAACTGGTATTTGGAGATCCATATATCACTTTACAATGTTCTCTGGGTGAATGTTTACACAGAAGTGAGATTCCTGGTTTTGAGTTCCCCGACCCCCCCAGATGGACTCTTGGAAATTTGTTGATAATCATGTCAGTTTTGATGATCGGCGCGTTGGCCGCAGCTCTGGGTATTTATAACTTTCGCAAACTGCCCTTGTTCGGGGGTAGCAAAATCGCTTTGAGTGATTCTGATGAGCCTCACGTTGATGAAAATGTTCCACGTGTGACCCTCCTGTTCGAGCACGTATCCTACACTGCTCCTAATGGAAACCGCATTCTTCATGACGTTTTTGGGATTGTCAAACCCAATGAGTGCATGGCCATAATGGGTGGATCGGGAGCTGGAAAAACTACTTTACTTGACATTCTAGCTCTGAAAAACAAGCAAGGTGAAGTGAGAGGCAACGTTTCCGTCAATGGACAATCTATTGGACAGAAACAATACAAAAAAATATCTGGCTTCGTTGATCAAGAGGATCATCTTATTGGTACATTAACGGTATACGAAACCGTGCTAAATTCGGCTCTTTTGCGACTTCCCCGAAGCATGTCTTTTTCTCAAAAACATGGGAGAGTTCTTGAGGTTCTATCAGAATTGAGAATTCTCTCCATAAAGGATCGGGTCATAGGTAATGATTTCAATCGGGGTATTTCAGGTGGAGAAAAGCGTCGTGTTCTGATTGCTTGTGAATTGGTTACACTGCCTCTGATCCTCTTCTTGGACGAGCCAACCCTGGGCTTGGACTCTTTCAACGCTTATAACGTTGTTGATTGCTTGGTGAAGTTGGCTCGGAACCATGATCGAACAATCGTATTTACCATTCATCAACCTCGCCTGAACATAGTCGCACTCTTTGATAAGATGCTTGTTCTTTCTGGTGGTAACACAGTATATTCTGGTGAGGCAATTAAATGCCAGGATTACTTTGCGAAAGCTGGTTTCCGTTGCCCCTTGGGCTACAATTTGGCTGATTATTTGATAGATTTGACAGTTGATGACACTGTCAAACCTAGTGATTTAGAGTCACAAGCTCTTCAAATATCTCGCCGAAATACCACTGCTGAGTGGGAAGATTTTGCTTCAAGAAGAGAAGAATTGAATGCAGAGATTTCTGGAGAATCCATTGAGCAACCACCACCTCGATCGAAATTGACGACCTTATTTTTGGAGTCACCAATTGCCCAGGAAGAAATCATCAAGATAAACGACATCAAGGCGGAAAGACCTTCACTCTCAGTTTCCACCGCGAAAGCCGCTCTGATTACTCAACAGATTTTGATATTGTCTCTGAGGACCTTCAAAAACTTGTACCGTAACCCCAAAATGCTTTTACTGCATTACACGTTGCTGTTCTTGGTTGGCATATTTTGTGGGTACTTATATTACAACGTTTCCAACGACATATCAGGGTTCCAAAACAGATTGGGCTTCTTTTTCTTCGTGTTAGCGTTTCTCGGATTTTCACTGTTCACAGGTTTGCATGCATTCGCTGAAGAAAGAATCATTTTCATTCGTGAACGAGCAAATAATTACTATCATCCCTTCAGTTATTACGTGTCCAAAATTCTCTGTGACATTATTCCCCTTCGAGTATTTCCCCCTATAATTTTGTTACTGATATCATACCCATTGGTGGGACTCACTATGGAGCATAATGGATTTATCAAAGCATTGTTGGTATTGGTGTTATTTAATGTTACAGTCGCCGTCGAAATGCTTATTATTGGAATTTTAATTAAGGATCCTGGTGCACTGACGATAACAGCTGTACTAGTTCTTCTTCTTTCTTTATTATTCGCTGGTTTGTTCATTAATTCTGATGATTTGACGTCTCAAATACGTTGGTTGGAGTGGATCTCATTGTTTCACTATGCTTATGAAGCGTTAGCGATCAATGAGGTCAAGGATTTGATTCTTCGAGAGAAAAAATATGGGTTACTGATTGAGGTTCCAGGCGCAACTATTTTATCCACTTTCGGTTTCAAAGTTGGCAATTTTTGGTTTGACGTTAGTATGCTAGCACTTATGTGTTGCATATTCTTAACGTGTGGCTATATTTTCCTACACCAATTTACTATTGAGAAACGTTGAAGCCGGGTTCAATTTTCTTTGGATTCGAAAGTACATATGTTCTGGGACATTTTTGAGCTCTAAGTGAATATGAGGCAGGTACCGTCGAATGCGGTTGCTTTTTGTAAGCATAAATCATGTCATAGAGTTCAATAGGGGATCAAGACTACGAAAGTTAAGTTAATGCTTGCATGCTGGATCTTGACGTTTATCGTTCACTATAATAAATGCTACACTCTCTAGCATTTTCAGTATTCTGTCCATATACACTTGGATTGTTTCCTGTTTCAAAAGTAGCGCTGGAGATCTGTAGCTGAAAAGCGCAATCTAATGTGTGTTAACTATCCTGCCGCCGACTGTTTACTTACATCTTGATAATTACAAAATAGAAGGGTCTAAGGCTCTTGCTTGTGTTTCTTTGATAGGCTAATCAATGTTTGCCTTCCCATCATTCAGCAGTCAGTTTCCATGAAACCAAAAATCTGAAAGATCCCATATCGTTATCAGATACCATCGTATCGTGTGCGGTGCTCATCAAGAAGTTCAACTTGGATGTTTTACTATGATAATGTGTGCTGTCCCTTTTTCGTCATGTATCTCTCGTGGCACTCGATTCATAGTTGTATAATAGCTTTCTATTCAATTTTAGGGTACAGAAGCCATTTCTGATACTTGTTTTCCTATAAGGAGGAGAGAAGTTGCACGTACGTAACAAGCTAATCCAAAAGATTCGATCGTAGTAACACAATGCTGGTGCAGCATATCGGCCAATCTTGAAGGGGTGACGGTTTATGGCCTCTACTAGACTTCGAGATGACCCACATCATAAAATTACAGTGTGTGAAACAGGTCTTCTCCCCTACATTACCCCCATGAATTTGCAGATTGTACTGATGTTTTGAGAAAGTACAATTTGCGCTTCATTCAGTATAAAATTGAAACGGTCGCAGCATCACGATTTGTATTGAAGATCATCCATTGAAATTCTATGAACTCGATGGATTTTCTACATCAGCAAGACGACCGATATTACCACTATAATGGCACTGGTAACCTTCCACGCATGCTTACAACCGCGCGTGTGTCACCTCACATTCTTAAACCCCATTATAACTCCCGTCTGTTTTTTTCAATTGTTCCATCAGCTTCCAGAGTTAGCCCTTCACAAATTCGAGAGCAAAAGTTAACCTTCTACACAACAAAACACAAGGTTTACCTGATGATTTTGTTATTTTTTCACTAAAACTTACATTCTTATCTATTTATCATCTGCCAAAATGGCTAAATTTACAAGTACATACACTGTGTTTCTAAGATAAAACCATTTTGGGAACTCTGCTCTTTATTCAACCAATCTAAGGAGTCTTCAAGACACTCACGTTAATGGATATTGCTATTGTATGGGTTATGATACCAACAAAATACAAAAAGCGCAAATGGTTTAGTGGTAAAATCCAACGTTGCCATCGTTGGGCCCCCGGTTCGATTCCGGGTTTGCGCAATTTTTAGTGACTTCATAACGACACTTTTTGTCGCTAAAACGCAACCACAATGTTATACTAAAGCGTACCAATCCTCTCTTATCCCGGTATGGTCTGACCACTCAAATTCTTCGTCTCACACCTAATAGTCCGCTTCAAGCCTTTAAGTTGGAAGAACTTTAATAGATCTCAGACCGTGGCAACACGCAGTACTGGTTTGAATGATTGCACTTGATCATTCAGTTTATCTCTATGATGCCTGATTGTATCAATTCATATTTGAGAAATTGTATCCCCTCTTTGCCAATCGTCATTGAAATAGTCCACGCAGAAATACGTCTGAAATATAAGGCACAGAAGGCGGTGTATGTTTTGCAGGAATACATCATATTCAATTAAAATCAAGGAGTGGCGTAGTGGGAGTCGAAACTTTCAATAACTGGCTTGATTGGAAATATCACCTGCACCATGGGTTTCAATTTCTCAAGTGAAGGCCTTGAGTATGCCGTATCGTGGATTTCATATGAATTTTTGCATAACATGTACATTCTAATTAGAAATTTTTGCATTAAATTATCACTATAGCATATTTCAGCTAATATATCAATTTAATTTAGTTTCATGACAGTTTGTCCATCTTGTGGGTTTTCAAGACCACAGTGGTTTGGTATTTGCCAGCTATCTTAAAATGCCTGCGATCATTATTAAATATACTGATATGAATTGAATTGACGTGTCCATTTTGAAAAATGCAACCTCAACAACTGAGTCTGCAATTCAAAACTTTATGCTCGACTTTTTCTTCCCCTTACACTTCTTGACGATATATTCTTGCTTTCTCAGGGTTCTCCAACCTGAAGTAGACACTTTCTTCCCAGATTCGGTGGTAGTTGAAGATTCTTCCTCCATGTTGTCTTCTTTTTGTTTCGCCATCCCCTCAGCAAGTTTTTTGGCAATACGCTCTTGTCGAGCACGGTTTATTTCTTCAAACTCACCCTTCCGTTTGAGGGTTTTGGCTTTGAGCTTGCTCTTGGATCTTAAAGACTTTGCCATTGCTTATCTGTATGTATCAGGAGACGTCCCTTGCTGGGCCGCGATGCCTTAGCACATCTACTTGAGCTCTGGTTGTGAACACTGATGCATGGCGCATTGAGCATCATCAGTATTAATTTTTTGAGCCCTGGTTAGGGTTTCCAACCCTACTTTTGTAGGGTGAATTCAAAAAAACGCGTGACATCGCCCCTGCTCGCGGTGTGCGACAAGAGAAGTTTTTTTTTTGAGGGGGTTCGTCTTTTTCACTAACCAAGATGTAAGTGTCGACGAACGGCGAAGCGTTGATATGAACATGGAAATGATGGTACCGAGCATAATTCCATCAACACGTTGTGAACAACAAGTCATTTTCATTGTCATGTCACCTGACCGCCATCCACTATCGCTGTTGAAATGAAACTAACAATTATAGGGCTAATCTCAGAACTCAAAAGAGACTTGCTGCCTCCGTCGTTGGCGTGGGTAAGAGAAAGATCTGGCTCGACCCCAATGAAACCACTGAGATCGCCAACGCTAACTCGCGTGCTGCCATCAGAAAGTTGTACAGAAACGGCCTCATTGTGAAGAAGCCTGACACTGTGCACTCTAGATCGAGAGCTAGAGCCTTGGCTGAATCCAAGAGAGCTGGTAGACACACCGGTTACGGTAAGAGAAAGGGTACCAAGGACGCCCGTATGCCTCAACAAGTTGTCTGGATGAGAAGATTGAGAGTTTTGAGAAGATTGTTGGCCAAGTACAGAGACGCTGGCAAGATCGACAAGCACTTGTACCACACTTTGTACAAGTCCGCCAAGGGTAACGCCTTCAAGCACAAGAGAAACTTGGTTGAACACATCATCGCTGCTAAGGCTGAAGCTCAAAGAGAAAAGGCCCTCAACGAAGAAGCTGAAGCTAGACGTGCTAGAAACAAGGCCGCCAGAGAGAGAAGAGCCCAAAGAATTCAAGAAAAGAAGGATGCTCTTTTGGCTGACAACTAGGCATGTATTAATAGGGAGTGTACGTAATCTAACAATAGGCAAGTTTTGATGTAGACCTATCATTGATTTCAAGTGCTGGTACGATTCAGACTTGCTGGTGGGTATTTTATTTGCGATTACATTGATTGTCTGGTCCTACGATCCACGCGCTAAGCACTTGAATGCGCGCGCAATAACCACACGAAATTTACAGGTTCGATCGCCACTCACGCTTGAACTCCAACATGGCGTCATTATTTGAATGGGCGTTCGGGAAGAAGCTCACTCCTCAGGAGAGGCTTCGTAAAAACCAAAGGGCACTTGAAAAGACTCAAAGGGAGTTGACCCGCGAGGTTACGAAGCTTCAACAACAAGAAAAGAAATTGATACTGGAAATCAAGAAGTCGGTGAAAGCTGGACAAGTCGCTCTGGCTAAAATCCAGGCTAAAGACCTTGTACGGACAAAAGGCTACATTGTAAAATTCAATCAAATGAAAGCCCAACTACAAGCGATATCGTTGCGAATCCAGCTGGTTCGTCTGAACCAGCAGATGGCAATGCTGATGCACGATGCCACCAGATTATTGGCAGGTATGAATCGGCTGATGAACTTGCCACAATTGAGTCGAATCGCTCAAGAATTCGCGAAGGAGAACGACATCATGGATCAGAAGCAAGAATTTATGGACGACGTTGTCGATGACGCTATGGCAATCGATGATGACGAGTTGGGTGAAGACGAACAAGTTGACGAGATTTTGGGCAAAGTTATGGATGAGATTGGTGTCGACCTCAATACAACTCTCAAGGACACCCCTAACGGTCTCTCTGCAGAGGCAGACTCACGCCAGGCCGTTGCTGCCCACGGAGGTCTGGATGAAGATGATTTACAAGCTCGCCTTGACTCCTTAAAGAAGTAAAATGTCATGATTTATGAGTTCTTTTTTTTTTTCCTTTCCAATCTATAAGCATTAGATATATTTTTCCCTCTCGAGATACGAAATGATTTGTGCAGCAGCATCTTCAACAGAGGCGTCGTAGTTTTTCAAGTGAATTTCGGGGTTTTCCGGTGCTTCGTAAGGGGCGGAAATACCAGTGAATTCCTTGATGATACCTTCACGAGCCTTTTTGTAAAGGCCCTTAGGATCTCTTTGTTCGGCTACTTCAATCGGGACATCGACAAAAACCTCAACAAAGGGCAAATTATCTTTCTCGTGCAATTCACGAGCAGTTTCCCGGTCCTTCTTGTAGGGCGAAATGAACGATGTCAACGTGACACAACATGAGTCATTGAATAATTTGGCAACTTCGGAGATCCGGCGAATGTTTTCGTTTCTGTCAGCTTCAGAAAACCCAAGGTCCTTGTTCAACCCAAATCTGACATTGTCACCGTCCAAACGATAGGCGTTGAGGCCTCTGTTGAGCAAAGCTTGTTCAAGAGCGCAGGCAATCGTCAGCTTCCCCAGAGCTGACAAGCCGGTGAGCCACACGGTGACACCCCTTTGCTTGCGCAAAGTTGCCCGCTCATCGTGAGTCAAGTTTTCGTGCCAGGTGATATTGGTAGCCATATTAAGGTGGTTGCCAGTAATTGCAAATTTTGTATGTAGCAGCATACATTGATCCAAATGTCAGTGGCTAATACCACGTGATATGGTGCAGTATGGGGTAATTGAATCGAGCAGTCAAAATCCATGCGGAAGATGTTTTGAACAGCTGAGAAGGGTAGATATAACGAAAATCGACTGTTCAACATCTACGGTATTTTCGAGTATAAGCAGCTTCAATATTCCCCAAAAAGAAAATTTCAGACAAAGCTCAACGATTGGAGATAATTTACATTTTTTGAAATACAAGTTCGAATCTTGAAAGAGTTGTATCGAACATGGATATAATCGTATCAAAAATGGACTAGTAAAGAGCGATAAAAGCATACTCGTGTTCATTGATTTTACGAGAATTATCTCTTCATCCAACCTCTTCGAGTCTTACCAAATTTGTCAGTTGAATACGGTGCGCGAAAAGTTTTCCAGGTACAGCGATGTACTACGAGTTGTTTGCCATCGCTCGGATCACAGATCCGCTCATGATTGAAAGAGAGGCATCCAAGATTGCTTCCACCGTTGGCAAGTTGATTCTTTCTAATCGTGGGGTTATCCGTGATATCCATGCCATGGGAGCGCGTCCACTTCCCAAAATCATATCCAAAGAACAAGAACGTCATTTCCAGGGTTACCACTTTGTTATGGGATTCGATTCTAGTGCCAAAGTTCAATCTCAACTTTTACGTACTTTGCGGAGTGATCCCCGTATCCTTCGGGCCAATATAATCAAGAGGGATCTTTCCAAGTCATTGAATCCATTACTGACCATCCAGGCCGCTGATAGAGCTGTCAATATGGGCCAATAAGACACTGAACCAGGTGTTCACGTATCATATCTTGTAAATAAGTACTCATCAATACACATACTAGAAGATACAATTTAGCACCACATTCTGTAGCTCGTGCGATTTGCACCACGATTACTACGCACTAGCGATGAGTTTTCTTGTTGGACTTAAATGTCGAAAAAGCCTTCATTGTCCGAACGTGGTCAAATTGTCATATCAAATCAAATTAACGAGATCAGCGCTTCCTTTGTTGCCGCTTAGCACTGTCCACATCACTTGGAAGTGATGCTTGTATGTAAACTTACGGTTAAGCGGTATCAAATGGTGCGATATGTCGGTACCGGTAGCCTCAGTTGACGCGGTACGTGTTCTAGGTAGCGTAAACTGCGTTTCAAGATACCCCCCATATATCTGTGATACACAACACGGTAACACATTTTTATCAATATGTCTATCTTTTGGCCAATATCTTCGACTCATCTCCACGTTTTCTTTCGTGGGTAAAATCCTGCCCGAATCGGGAAAGTTTGTCAACAATAGCATGCACTACACTATGGTGCAGCGGCGAGTAAAAACAACAGTGGCAGGAAAAAAAAACTTGTTGCTAGTGGTGGTTTAGGCTGATATCAGACGACGCCCCCAGGGACATCTTCGATTGATTTTGGCTTGTCAACGGGCTCCTGGTCATCACTACCCCCTACCTCCTACATCAGCATGGAACTGCCGCTTCCGCCGGCGGCTGTGCCGCTCCAGCCCATCAATCGCTCGGTGGTGCTGTCTCCCCAGTTGAAAAAGAAGATGCTGGCGCCTCAATTGGGGCGTGTCACCAGCTTCACACCGGTGGCGTCTGTACCGGCAACTTCATCTACACTGGGGCTGATCTCTCTTTCTGGACTGCCCCGTCGACGCGCTGGTCGGTTGTCACATCTGGTGCTGTGCCAACAATTAGCACCTTCCGCTGATGATCAAGCCAAATTAAACTACCGCATCAATGAGATCCAGCAGAAATATGCTGAGTTGCAGATTCAATTTAGCCAATTAGAGACAGATCTTGAAACCAAGCGAGCTGAAGCCAACCTAGTCGCCACCCACAACAAACAGTTGACCGAGGAAATCGAGTACTACAAAAAGCTTATCGAACTGCTCCAAGCAAAAATTTCTCAACTCACCTTGGCAAACGATGCTCCCGAAGATTTGCACAAATTGTACCAAAAGCTTCTCAAAGAGTACAAGGTCTTGCAAACAAATTTTGAGCTAGAAAAAAATGCTAAACTAGTGCTCATTGACCAGATTGAATTCTTGGCCAAAGAAAATGAGTCTTTACAAACTGGTAAGTCAGTGGAAGAGGGCATCAAAAATTTAATCATTGATGACGAAAATTTAGCCGACGATGATTTGCTGGAGACAGAATTGGATTTTTTTGATCAGGACTCACTGTTGGATTACACTTCGAACTATGAATTTCCTTCTGGGTTAAAAGGACCACCCAGTCCCGACATCAATACTCGATACAAAAGGGCTCTGTTACCTGCGTCGCATAAGTTACAAGCGGAGACCGAAGATTTTGTTTTGCTGCCCCTAAAGCTTGCAGGGCCAGCCCACAAACGTTTTTCATGCCTGGGTGAATCATCAAAGCAAACAAGTAAACCACGACGTCTGTGGCGCCGACTGGCTGGTCATCAAAGATACTCATCTCATGATCTTTTACCCATTCAAGTTGAATTCGAGCCTGCTGTTTCAACTAATTCCCGCGATTCGGCGTTTGATACGTTGAATGGCGACCACATTGTTAGCCCAGTGACACCAGCACCTTCTGAGGTATCACTGAAGCGCCTGAGTTTGGAGGACCTGGTGCAGTCGCGGGAAGAGTTGACAAGACTTAAGTTTGAATTGCAGCTGTTGAGACTACAAAACGAAAAGCTTCTTTCTTACATTGGCTATGAAATGCAGCGACTGCAACAACACAAGCACCGCGAAACAGAAGAAGCGCCACATGAGTATCTGGACCGCAAATTGATCGAACGCCTGCGGGAGGTACTCATCAAAAAAAAGCGGGTGTTGCGGCTGGTCTCCATCAACCCGTTGCAAAAGCTGGCAACTTTGGGCCCTAACCTCCCATCATTTGACGACGCTTATGGGTTTATGGCCTATAAAAGCGATCTCTCCAAGCGAGTGTTTTCAAATGGCTTACAAGCATATTATCGTTTAGACGAAGTCGATGGTGACGATGATACGCCGTCAGTAAAGAAGCACACCCTGATGGTTTTCACCGGATTGGTCAGAGACTCCGATCTGCTGCTGGACCTGGATTATGACGAAGATGATGAAGCATTCACTGACGAGGAACCCGATATACTTGACTTGATACCGGCCCCGCCGACATCTGGGGTGTTTTCTTCATTTAAATACTTGATGTTGGGTGCGCCAAACCACCGGAGGAAGTCGGATGAACTTGTGGATGACGGGCTCAAGTACAAGTTTTTAACGATAGCCATGGCCATCACTGTGATTGGTCTTCAATTGAGTCATAACCGTCACCATTAGAATATCGGTAGTTTCGAGATTCAGATGGTACTGGATGCTGTGCTCTCAATCAAAATTGCGACTTAATGCCACGCCAGGGCCGATTCTGGCGATCTAGGGTATGTGATATAGTACAGCCCGTTGCATGTAACATTATTGGCGTTTCTAGGGAATTGAACGAACAACATAAGTCACACTTCAATGCTGATCTCTAAATTTATGAATCAATCGTTTTCGAACATTCGGTTTATTGAAGCTACAATTGAGCATTGCCGCAGTGATTCTCGAACGTATCTCAGGTATCTCAGATTCTTTGGCGTACACGTAAATTTGAGAGAGTGGAATTAAGTCTAATGCTCGGATTCACATGGACACCCGGATATCTTTAGTCGCACAGTGGAGATTATACACATAAAATTTGTGGGCTCATTTTGAATGCTGCGGAAATGCACAAACTTAAAAAACATTCGACTCACGCATAGCTTTGAGAAAGGTCGGCAAAACTATATATGAACCAAATACCAGCCGTTACCATCGCTTTTGCTAGGACAAACAAAATGGCTCTCAGAAACTACATGTATGCCAAACATGGCGACGCTGTTGCTATGGCAAAAATTAACAAATCGCCCGAGGCCCATCCGGTGAAGAGGCCCAACACATCATTTGCTTGCAAACAAGAGTTTGAAGACATTGAAGAATGCAAAGGCAAGTGCAGCGATTGCCAGAGAAAGTGCGATGAGATTACAACCGCAGTTGAGGATTTACAAATAAAGTAAGGTTGTTACATTCACGTTCTTTGGTGTTGGTCTTCGATTTCAATTTTTTATAACTATTAGTTTGGAGTTTAGAGTTTGGGTTTAGGAATTAATGACAGCGATATAAAATATTTGAGAAAATCTCGCGATCTTTGCATGAAAATTTGAGAATTATACAATGACATGCTCAACGGACCTTAGCTTGGCTCAGGTACCTATCACTCTCTTTGATTTGATTATGTAGAATTGTCCAGTGTGAATCATTGTCTCAAATCCACTCCTCAACGACGGCTTCGAACTTTTGTGGGTCAACCCACGTCCATCATTTGAGGAATCAGGTGATTTCGGGAAATCGATGACACAAATAGTAACCTCAATGACCTCAGGCTACATAGTCTTTACGCAGTGGAACTAAATGTAACTATTGAAGATAGAATCGTGACTGTAAAACTAGACTTATTTTGTGAGGGAGATGCGATACTGAACCAATGACAATTGGATATATAACAAATTCAAGTATGGTACCTCTGCATGTCTGTTTTTTCCACCAGTTTGGTCGTAGATTTTCAAAATGTTGCCAAGTATTATCTCGAGCTCAATTGCACGAGAGTTTCGTAAATCCATCAACATACTAGGGGCGTAAAAATTAGGGGCATCAAATTTTGCAGTAAGCATTTCCATTTGCTTTACGTCCTCGTCAGTGACCAAATCATTGCTCTCATGAAATCTTAGATCCTGATTAGCCACAAATTGAACTTCTTTCATTAACGGCAATATCAAGTTGTTGACAATATCCAACGAGTCTTTCAATTCGTACAACCTTCCAACATCTAAGTCAACTAAACAGCATATGGTGTTGTACACTGCATTGTATAACAACTTTTTCCACCGAGAGTGTTGAACGTTTTCATCTTTGACAACTTTATTCGACTTCGTCTTGTACATGTCTATGAATCTGTCCAAGACTTTCAGACTGTGTGGCTCGTTTTCGCCCTGGAACAAACCAAACTTGATGTTGTCGGTACCGTATTGCTTGACTTCAGCCTTCGTATTCGTCGATGATATATATGATGTACCCAGTAGAAGCACCGCCTTCGATCGTACGTTGTTCCAATAGGATTCAATCCCTATACCATTTTCGATAAGCACGATCCCTGTAGTCTTATCTTCTTTCAAAAGCTCGGTGCTGTTTCCGATAAGATCCCATACATCCGAACCATCATTTTTTGGAATAACTTTCGTTGTTACCACGATGTAATCAAATGGACCTTTCACTTGCTCGATGGAGTTGTAAAAACGGGTGGGAACGTAATTGACGGTTTGGCCCTCGTCTAAGGAGTGAATTGTGTATCCCAGAGTCTTCACACGTTCGTAATCAGATCGGATTATGGCGGTCACATCACTTCCATTACGTTGAAGCGTCCAAGCAGCAATTACCCCGAGTCCCCCAAGACCAATGCAAAGTACTTTTGCGGGATCTGGATCTGGCATGATTACTTGAACGTAAAATTCGCCAGTTCACTTTCATTTATATATATTTGCGGGGTGCACCCCTCATTGTCGGCTTTTCTATATAGGCACAGGCGGCTAAATTTCCGTTTTCGTGCGAATTATTTACTTTAATAACAATTGAGCTTTACGCTTACCCAGTACTTCATCTTTAATCAGCTTCACATCCACTTGAACTCTATCAAAAACTCCCACTTTACGACGAGTACCACTAAAGTCAGTGAAGTGTAACTCGTACTTCTCTTCATCAAATTCAGCTGTGGCTACATCACCAATCGTGTCTAACTTAATAAGACCTTCAACACCAAACTTGGGGACAAGAACCACAATACCATTGTTGAAACATTTGATGACGTACCCTTCGTGTTCCAGTTCGTTATTGCGCATCACCTGACCCACGTAGTATTCAATGGATGCCCGACCCGCAAACTGAGCATTTCTATGACGCTTATTGATGTTTTTTACGATAAGCTCCATTTTGCCCTTATCACGGTGGGACAAATCAAGAGTCTCGTACCCAATAGCAGCAGCTAATTGCCGATGGGCGACGACATCACAATAACGACGGATAGGCGACGTGAAATGGGTATAGATATCGACAGCCAAACCATAATGCCGGAACTCCGACCTTCCATACATTCCCAGCGCAAAGTACTCCGCAGCCATCATACAACGAGTCAGCATGATACGCAAGAGAGTGTTGAAATAAGGATCATTGCCGTCTTCACATCTATCCAAAGAATCGGCCAAAGCCTTCGACAGCTCCAAGGAAATCGCCATACCCGGCTTACGTACGCTTAACATATCATTAAGCTCCTCAAAATTGGTCAGAGGTGGCGACGCATGACGTCTCAACATCGCAGTTTGAGGGAAAGCTTCATAGATCTTGCGAGCCACTGATATATTAGCCAATAACATGAATTCCTCAACCAATGAGTTCGTCGCGAACGGTTTTTTAATTTCAACCTCATTTGGATCCAGTGTCTCAGAATCGACATAAACCTTAACTTCGGGAGATGCTAAGTTAAGAGCACCATTATCGACTCGTTGTTGTTTGAGCTTTTGAGAAAGGTCGAGCAAAATACGCATCAGGTTTGTAAGTTCGTCATTGTCCAGTTTGTCGTCAATTCTCTCTTGCGCGCGTTCATATGAGAAGGCTTCACGAGACCTAATAATCAGCTTCATGAATTTGACGTCAACAATGTTGGCACCGCTGTCAAGTTCCCAAATTACTGAAAAGGCAAAGCGATCCACGTAAGGTTTGAGGGAACAAAGGTTGGTTCCCAAAAGCATTGGCAACATGTCGATACGCTTGTCGACGAGGTAAACTGACGTTCCCCGCAGAGCCCCCTCAGCGTCAAGAGCTGTGCCCGGTTTCACGAAGTGGGTTACGTCGGCAATATGGACTCCAACTTCGAAATTACCATTAGATAAACGTTTGGCGTGTAAGGCATCATCAATGTCAACACAGGAGGGCGGATCAATCAGACAAACCAACTTATCTCTTAAATCAACGCGACCAACCATCAGCGGATCGTTAGGATCCTCAGGCACCTTCCAATCGTCTCCTTCTTTAGGCAAGCAGTCCAAAACATTTTTGGAAAAAGGTCTATACTCAACATCATGTTCCAAGAGAAGGGCTTCAGTCTCAGCCTCTGGGCTTTCGATCGGGCCTAATGCACGCACAAAGTGGCCATGAGGGAAGCGCAGAGTGGTCGTCCATTGATCCACAACAACAACAATGCGCTGGCCCACTAACTCTGCCGCCTTACGAGTTCGAATCTTTATTCTAGGAAGTTGCTTATCCATGAGAATAACGAAGCAGTCACGAACTGCATTACCGGCTTCATCAACCAGGGAAGGATCGATTTGGCCTACGTAGTATCTCCATGAGCGCCTTTGAATACCAACGATACGAGCAGTTGGCTGTAACCTTTTGTCAGAATCATCTTTGCGGTTAGCTGCAGTTTCTTTGATTGCTTCTTGTGCTAAAAGCTGACGTTCCTTGTCTGAAATTACAGGTTCAACAATATTCTCATCATCTGGGTTTTCACCACCTAAAGCGTCTTCCTCAACGATAGTATATGAAAACTCTTTCCACTGGTTTTTAGGAAGCAACTCAACAAAAACTGCATCCGAGTTAAAAGCACGATTCAAGTTTTTTGATCCCATCAAAAGCAAGGGTTTCTTGAACTGAGCTACGTTCACTTGGCCTTGAAGAATGTTGTGCTGAGAAATATTCAAGATACCCTGGAAAACAGTACCATTTTTGACGCCAGCCATGATGCGCGCATTTGAGTAATATTCGGGGAACATGATATCTGACAGATGAAGTTCATCAAATGAAGTCATATCGGCTGGAACTAGGTCGCGTAATTCATCAGCATTGGGTAAATCATCGATATATTCAATGAGAGAACGGGCATCGATATTTTCCTTCTTAGCTTTGAACCGGTTGTCATTATCATTGCAGAGAAACACAATATCAATATTTTTGGATTCAAGATGCTTTTGGTACCATTTAGCAGTCTTACGAATCGCTCTATCGTTGCGATCATTGATCAGTTCATTACTCAAGCGCGAAACGTAGGTATCTTCCAGATACTCGTTGTGAAACACAACAAACCGTTTTGTTTCCTTTCTGACAAGTGCTCTCAAACGATGATATATGGGGATGGAACGGTTTTTAACCTCTTCAAGCACTGTCTGAGGAATGATGACGTCGTAGAATCCCAAATCGCCCTCAAGAAGATCAATCGCGTGCAAAATGATATTAGTGTCGACGACCAAGTAATGTCCATTAGTAGCAGAATTGCACTTTGTAGGCTTCGAGCTCAAAATAAACTTCGGCGTTTCACCACGAGCGTCAGGTTTGACAATGTCAAGACACTCCGAGCATGCCAATGAGTAGCAAGGAATATCATCACGAAGATAGTGCTCTCGCACAATTTTCATTGCCAGACCATTTCGGGAACGAACAAAGACCTTCAGAGTTACCAGAAGTCCCTCTGCAAGCCTCTTTTGTTCTTTAATCATATATGCTGATGGAGATGCCGTTGAGATGATTATGATGCGCGTTCTGGAAGTAGCTTAGTCAGCCAAAAGTGAAGCATACGCCTCCACCACGAATGGGAACTCAAGGCAAATCTATCTAAAGTTGAATAACGAGGTATTGCTAAGCCCATTTCAAACATTGTCCAGCTAAAGAATCTTTTGCAACTAGCAATAAGTTCGTCTAATTTTTGAACGCTGTCTGTGTGAACACTACCCATGAAGGACCACAAGACATGTTCAATACTACAACAGATAAATCTGTCCAAAAAAATTTCAGTTTCTTTATCGATGGCTTTTATCTGCAATTTACATAGTTGGAGGTGGTTTACACAGTGCTTCCAGAGTACATTATGTGAAATTTAAGTCCTCGATTTTAGCATCTCCGTAATGATTTGGGCCTGGCTCCAGTTTGCAGTTGCTGTGAGCTTATTTGGCTTGACGTTGGACTTTTCGACATTGTTACCCATTCGACTGGTGCCGTTTGATACTTTCAACGTGATGAAGGAGCCCTTCCACGTATTGCGGCTTGCTTCTACACAACAAATTGACTCTCCAATGGTGCTCAATCTTATGAATAGATCTGAGTATGCATTTCATATGCAAGAAGAAGATACGCTTTACTTCTTTGGCGAGGATGGAAAATACTATGGGACTCAAATCTCTTCTTTAGCACAACTGGACTCTGAATGGGAACCCTTGACCGCTTGTTTCGATTGTAGAAATTCACTTGGCTGCATCATCACTGCTGAGACTCTGTTTTCAATCTCCCTGGCTTTTACGGGTGTTGCTGATGGTACATTCAGTTTGTTCGCCTCGGCGACATTATCTTTATTGAAGGGAGTGAAACATACCTACCGCACAGCTGATGGTATAACTTGCACCTTGAAGAACGGTGAAAGCGGTCAAATATTCATAAAACCGTTATGGTTCGACAATTCGAAGGCTGACACATTCATTGCCACCTTTGATTATGGGCTCAAAAAATTCAGGAAGACATTAGCAGTTACAAATCGACGTAAAGTGAAATGGGCTATCAAAGATGACGTTGCTTTTGAATGTCGTATATCCACACAATGTGAAAATAGTGTTATTAGTATTGTCAATCATTAATCTCTACTCCGTTGGTTGCAAAAGTTTGCCTGCATGTAAAGACCATCCAATCACCGTGAACCTCGGATTTCTACATTATGAATTCTGAAGTTATATTTATTTTGGGTGAGCAGAGCCACGCTCGACTACTGTACATATTTACCTGAAGGGAATTTAGTGCTTTTCAGCCTTCAAGTGGTCTTGAACGTAGTTTTCGATAAATTTCTTCTCATCCTCCGACTCGGCAATGATCTTAGGATGCTTGGGAGCAGGATTCCAAGGCTTAGGGATAGCCAAAAGGGTGACAAGACCCAAGGTGGCGATGGCCAATTGGTGAGCGGGCACAGAACGACCCATGATGTGGTAAGCAGCACCCATTATGATCAAAGTTTGTAGGTTTGGGAAGAATGAAATTTTCGCGGTACATGTTGACGTCGGTTATATGATTCGGTACACACACGACGCACTCCGGGGTAACCGATTCCTTGTAAATTAATGTCGTGGAGAAGACATCAATATAATTTCACCAAAGCAAGGTTATGTTTTAATTTTAATCTTCGTCATTCAACGTCTTTCTTATGAATACGAGTTGACAAGTTAACAAGTTAAAGACATCTACATGTGTGATAGCGCGCTCCTGGATGTCTCATCATCGTTAATTTCTTTGAATAAAGCTTTGGCTGAATTATCGTTTCGCATGTCACGTGATTCATTTCGTTTTATGCGATTTCTGAGATGGGATGCTCATCCCATATGTCTGCCATTTACAAAGCACTCCAATCCAAGTCCACAAAGGATGCTTCGGAAAAGACCAAGCACATAAATAGACAGCGACTTCTTGTGATCACATCGCGTGGGGTCACTTATCGTCATCGTCATCTTATCAACGACTTGGTTTCAATGTTGCCGCATGCTAGAAAAGAACCTAAGTTTGATTCAAAGAAGAATTTGTATCAGTTGAACGAAGTCGCTGAATTATACAACTGCAACAACATATTCTTTTTCGAAGCCAGAAAACATCAAGATTTGTATTTGTGGATTTCAAAGCCCCCTAATGGACCAACTTTCAAGTTCTACATCCAGAACATGCACACTTTGGATGAGCTCAATTTCACTGGTAATTGTCTCAAGGGTTCCAGACCAATTTTGTCTTTCGACAAGCTGTTCACTCAAGGGGAACACAACAAGTTGATGAAGGAGCTTTTGATTCAAACCTTCGGCGTCCCCCCCAATGCCAGAAAATCCAAACCTTTCATCGATCACGTTATGACTTTCTCTATTGTCGACAACAAGATTTGGGTCAGAAATTATCAAATCAATGAGACTGTCAATGTTAAAGAAAATGTGACCGATGAAGTCGATACTGACGAACTCAACTTGGTTGAAATTGGTCCTCGTTTTGTCATGACATTGATTACCGTGTTGGAAGGTTCTTTCGGTGGACCCAAGATCTACGAAAACAAGCAGTATGTGCTGCCAAACTTTGTGCGTGCTCAAATCAAGCAGCAAGCAGCGCAACAAGCAAGATCCAGAGCTGAAGCCGCTGCTGAAAGAAAGCAAAAGAAGCGGGATGCCATTTTGGCCCAAGATCCTTTGGGTAATGATGCCTTATTTAAAGAATAGTCTTTCTGGTCTCGTGTAGTAATTTGACCGCATTTTTAATACATCTCAATCTAGTTGAGTGGTGTAGACTTGTGTCAAACTCACAAAGATTCCCATTAAATGTGAGGTTAGTCAAAGTCTGAAGTAAGTTTTCGCCGTTGTGTGAATGACCCCTATGACCCCTTGCAGACTTGCAGGAGTCTAAGTCGAGTACTGCATACAATTCTCAAGACTCGGGAGGCTGTACATTCTTTAAAGTCCTCAAGACGAAGAATGAAATTCTAGCCACAATATCTTTGAAATCAGAAGTCCATTCACGCGTAGAGTTGATTTGAAACTTGGCGGCAAAATTGTCAGGAGAACTAGGTGACGATGTTCATGTCATGAAGACCTAATCTTCGAAGAGATCACTTTCAAGTATTGACAATGCTGTTACGAAGTGCGTTGAGTTACATATTGGATCATCAATTTCCCAGTGTTATAAATATGCCATTTACGTGTTTTACACAAATGTTATTCAATGTGGCTTTGAAAATTGGGCCGCACAGGTCACATGTGCGCTTGGCATAGCATGTGGCGTCGAGAGGTTCAGCTTGATCATGGACGGTATCGGGATTCGTGGATAATAACTTCAAGTGCCCTTACCAAACGAATGTTTATCGGTTTTCCTGCTACCAGTCTCTGATTTGCTTATGTAAGAGTTACGTCATAGAGCGGCCCCGAGGAAAAACTAGGAAAAAACCACTCAGTTGAAATTCAGTTGAATACACGTTCGACAGTCCCGTGAAGACAACGACTTCAGTCCCGCCACATTCGTTTTTTGTTTATTGGGGTATCCCCACTACACACCGTCAAAAATGGTGAAGGAGTCCAAAACCAACGCAACACCATATCCAACGGAGTATGAGATGGACACATTGAGTGAGTTCGACTTCAATACTTCGAGAGATAACGATGCAACCAATGATGATCTGTCATCTCGCTATGATGCCGACCTGTTGAGACATCAAACAACCGTGAGCCGTCCCCAACAAGCTTGGCGAAATCAAAATCTCCCACCAACTCCCGCTGAACTAGAGAGACATAATTCGATCAAACTGGCAGCTTCAAGTTATAACACTCATGTACCCCTCCCACCACCGCCCTCAGACGCAAACCCATTTGGGCCCCGGCCCATTCTGGGCCCAATGAACCCTTACCGCGATTATTATCGCAAAGGACTGAGGGGAAAATCCGTCAAGTACTCGGCAGCTCCTACATACGATCCGGATCAACCATATACCTCGCCCCGTACTCGTACCTCAATGTTTTCTCGCAGTGGACCGGCCTCTTCTACATCAGGCAAAATTCTTGGAGGCGCGGTACCATCGGAATATCTTGACGATGTGGTGAGTTCAGGTGCATCTGGCACCCGCGCCGAAGCTGCGCCACCTTATTTAGTTTCTCCATTCGTTGATAATGTTTCGCCAGAGGAGACCCACGACCCTTCACCTATTGAGTATCTGGACTTTTCTAGACCGCCCATGGTCGGTAATATGGGGAGCTCAAAGAAACCGCAAGTAAGATATGAGGAGGTAGAACTCACTGAGCCACATCCCAGAATTACTGCACTTGATCGAACATTACCTCCTGTTCCTCAGGAAAATCCATTTGAATCCAATGTTTCACCTTCTTCTATCCCCGATACAGATTATGACTACCCTGATGACCTGGATGATAAGTTCGAGATGAAGGCTGCAGAGGCGCGTAAGTTGCGCAAGATGAATCGCAATCGTCTCAAGCAGCTCCGCAGGAAGCCTCGATTTCATTGGAGTAGACTCCCTTACTTTACGATGTTCGTGACATTGGTTCAAGTCATCGTTTTCATCGTTGAACTTGCGAAGATGTCACATTTAACGGGGCTGGCATTTCAGACGAAGCCCTACTTTAATCCTATGCTTGGACCTTCAACATACTTGTTGATTAACATGGGCGCCAGATATATACCTTGTATGCACCCGGTTGATCGAGTTACCAATGACATGACATTGAATTTCCCCTGCCCAAACTCGACGTCAATCGAAACAAATGTTTGCTCACTCCTGGAGATATGTGGACTTTCTGGTATTAAGATCGTTAATGACATTTATGCACCGAACCAGTGGTATCGTGTATTCACCCCCATGTTTTTGCATGCCGGATTCCTTCACATCATCTTCAATTTGCTTCTACAATTAACAATGGGAGCTTCGCTTGAGAGGCACATTGGTATCCTCAAATATGCCATTATCTACATTGCGTCGGGTATTGCAGGATTTCTATTAGGAGCGAACTTTACCCCCATTAATATCGCACTGACAGGTGCTTCAGGAGCGTTGTTCGGTATCATCGCCACAAATATCGTGCAGTTTATATACTGCGGACGCAAAAATGCCAACATGTATGAAACAAAACACTATTGGCTTTTCATCGTTATCATGGTGATTGAACTTGCGATTTCGTTTGTGCTAGGTCTTCTCCCTGGCATGGATAACTTTTCGCATTTGGGAGGTTTCGCCATGGGGCTCGCTTTGTCAATTGTGTTACTCAAAGATCCATCTTGGGTATACATCGATGGCATTATCCTGTATGACGCTGATGTCAGCACCTGGCAACAATTTAAGAACAACTGGAATCCGCGGTATAAACTTGAAGACAAGAATCTGAAAAAGTGGATGGCATGGTGCGTTGTAAGGGTGATTTTTCTTGTGTTGGCGATATTGTACTTCGCCATGCTTTCCAAAACATTCTTCACCGATGATCAAGATCAGACGACCCTGGGTTGTACTTGGTGCAAGTACTTCAATTGCCTCCCCGTGAATGGATGGTGCGACGTAGGGGATGTTCAGTTCGAGGATGTTAACAACGACGCCACTTCAAGTATACCCGATAAATCGCAACCGTCGATGAGCTCCACAGATCTGTTAGCAACAGAGGCAACTACATCTCCGCCTATTGTGACAACTCTGTCTGGCACCATCGCTTCGTCGTTGCCAACGGCTATTGAAAATGGGAACTTTGGACAAGTCAATAACGGTGGTTTAGACGGTACTGGTAACAACAAGAGACACAACTTTGATGCGTTTGAGATAAGTCAACCCACCCTTACCGTTCATGCGTTGAACACCGACACAAAATTAACTCTGGTGCTGGCCACCACGCTACGTGTCGTTGATGATTCAACGACTTTCACGACTCACGCCAATATTGGCGTAACCTTTTATTTAATTACTGGACTCTTTTCATATGGTTTCTTGAAGCGGAAGAGAGTCATTTGAGGTTGGATATAAATGGTATCACCTCGAATCGTAAGTCTATAGCTTTCATACATTTTTGATCGCGCTTATATACAGGACCAAGATAGTTGAAAAAAAAGTTATCTACACCAAAGCGACCTGAGCATCATGTTATCTCGAGTTGTGAGTCGGCCTTGTGTGAGACTGTTCTCTTCATCTCGTCTGCAATCATTCCTCTTCTTCGGGAAGAAAGAGAAAAAGACTCAGCAAGAAATCGTCGAGAACCAGGACAAATTTGAAATCGACCCAGATGCGGCCATCACTTTCTTGAATGAAGCAAACTCACCCAACACGATCCAGTTTGACCCTGAAACTGACATGCCCGACTTCAAAATCTCCCAATGGATGCAGACAAAAGTGAATGCTAGGGATGTGGAGGCAACTTACAGCTCAGAATCCTTAGTGCCTATTATCAATTCAACTTACGAGGAATTAACGACAAAACCGCTTACCCAAGATCAATATGATGGCGCAGACTTAAGAGATTTACAGTTCCGTTTTTCCTTAGCCAAACTGTTGCAACAAAAATTGGGATTTGAGTTGAATGACTATCAAATATCTAAAGCGCATTCTGTACGCGATATTTACAATTCCATCGCCGAAACTGTCTCAACTAGATGGGTCAGTGAACGCGTGCCTCAAGCCATCGTGTTGCGCCCAGAAGATTTTGCATCTGGGAACGTTTATTTAAACCAAGAAGCGTCGCCTAAGGAGCAACAGAGAAAGTTAGAGGAGCTCATTGAAAAAGCTCGTCTTACTGAAAATTAATTTACTTGTATATAGCCAATTCATTGCTTGAACACTTTCACTTGCTATGAAAAATAGATTTAGGTATCGAACTGGTGGAAACACCAAGGCGATACGACATTTCCAGGGCATTAGTTCGTTCATAGCCCCACCGGATTATAGCACACATGAACTCCCGATACCCATACTCGGGCCACAATCTATCTGAGAATTCAATGGTGCAATTGGTCGAACATTGCCAAAGCATAAAATCGGATAGCCTTTGGTGCCCACTAGTTCGAATCAACAAATCCAATTTTGGGGTATCTGGAGCAAAATACATGGCATTTTCAATGGATTGAGCTGTAATAAGTTCAGTCATGGATGAAGTTGCAACGGCTCCAATGGCATGCGCAATCTCATCACGAGAAGTGTACGGGAAGCACACATTGAAAACTCTCACAGCATTTACCGTATCTGCCTCAATTCTCTCAAGGTCACTAAGTATGTCGTGAGGTATCATGGACCGATTCCCAATGATACGCACACCAACTTTCAGAAACAGCGGATATACCTTGTGAAGTTCTCCAATTCCCTTAAGTTTATCGCGTAAAAGGGCAAGTAGCGTATTTACCTCATGACTAGATCGTTTGAAGTTCTCTATGGAGAAAGCGTACACTGTAACATGCTCAATGCCAAGTCGGTACGCTGTGTCCAAAAGTTTGATCAACGATTCTGCCCCTTCTTCGTGTCCATTTGCAAGCTTCAATTGATTCTTCTTCGCGAAACGACGGTTACCATCCATGATAAATGCAACATGTTTGGGAATGGGACCAGATTTTGTGATCTTAATACCATAATCTCTAAGGAAACCAAAAATATAATACATTAGTGGAAAGTTCACAACAAGGTTAACGAAATGATCGAAAATCAGAAGAAACTTCATGTTAGATGGAGTCGTTGAATTGGGATGAATGCAGCCTTATTTATAGTTTGAAGCTCATGCGCCGAGGCGTTTGTCACAAAGAATGTTTGAAAATAGTGCATAATCCCAAACTTGATGCAGGCTATAAACGCTCGAGTACCTTTTTCACTTCTACTTTCGCTTGCTCACGGGTACGGGCCTCATGAACACGTCTAACGTAACCCATGTACACAACAACTTCGGCAATTAACACCAATAAACCTGCTAACACCATCAATAAAACTCGCCATACAGTTTGAAGTCCCCACGACGATCCTGTCCAATACCAGGCAGCATAAGCAACGCTTGCAACTGATACGAGAATGTTAACAATTGTTGTTATTTGGTTTTTAGCTTCCTTCGTTTGTTGCGCTGCCAGCAGCGTCGATAAAATATCCTCTTCATGAAGAGTTTGAAATTGTGGCTTTGGCTTTATGAGTCGTTGATACTCAATCTCAGCTTGTCTGAGCCGAAGCTTTGTCATCATTGATTCATACTCTGGCGACTTGGGGATCGGTTCTTCACGAGGAATCGAGGGTAAAATCAAACGTGTCGAGTGCAAAACTTCGAAAAGTGATCGAGGCTCGTCCGAGTGTCGATACCATTTCAATAGTTGAGTATGATCTAAAGTATCAGCTTCCAATGCCGAAAGTTTGGTGTCTGGAGCAGTGAGGGAATTCCCGATCGCCTTCTTTAAGCCATTTGTCACAACAACTTTCATGCGTTATAATGATCTCAGCACCCGCGCTTCGGGGCTTTATTGTCTACCTGCACGCTACAACCGAACAGTGTCCCCGAAGACGTGATGTCCTTATCGAGAAGACCTCTGCTGCTTAACGGGAGTGATATTCTGGAACTGCGGCGTCGTGCTCTGAAGAGAGATGATGCACTCAGGAGAAGAATTGAAAACGATCTATCGAAGAAGAAGCGCACCATTCCAAGAGTTACCAGGCATCGACGAGCCACGCCAGGTACTGTGATGCTGTTACGACCTCTGGAGCCGGTAACCTGCAAAAAGCTGTTGACAGCTTACGAGGCATCACAGCTAATGGCAGCTCGTCGTGAAAATTGCGTCCTAGTGCTTGATGATCATGCCCTTGTAGGTATCATCACTGCTAAGGATCTTGCTTTTCGGATTGCTGGTGCTGGTAAAGTAGCGGGGATGGTTTTAGTGGAAGAAATCATGACATCGAATCCCATATGTTCACACTCAGACGACCCCGCTGGCGAAGCGCTTAATCTAATGGTCGAGCGCGGCTTTCGTCATTTGCCTGTTCTCGGAGATGATGGAACAGTTGTGGGTGTCTTGGATATAACTAAGTGTTATGCTCAGCAAATGGAGAAACTTGAGCGCATGCATGAGTCGTCTAAACAATTGTATGAAGCGTTGGATACGGTCCATCTGGAAATGGGTGGGTCACATCCGCTGCACGTTTTCCGTTATTTTGAGGAACTACGAACCCGCTTGAATGGCCCTACATTGGACCTGGTTTTAAGCCATGAAACTGAACCAATCTACACCACTGTCAAACTGACAGTTTACGATGCAACTGTGCTTATGAATGAAAATCATACCACTGCTGTTCTTGTAAAAGACTACCAAGGCTCAGTTGCGGGGATTTTCACTTCTAAGGACGTTGTTCTTCGAGTTATCGCTGCGGGGCTTGACCCAAAAACATGCCTGATTGTGAGGGTGATGACACCTCAACCTGACGTTCTGAGGTCACTGACGCCAATACAGCAAGCCTTAAGACAGATGTTCGAAGGCCATTATCTCAATTTACCCATCGTTAGTGATGAAGACGACGAAATAGTCGGCATTGTTGATGTTCTCAAATTAACCTACGCCACCCTCAATCAGATTAAACAAATTGAACAGAAGGAATCACCTACTGGTTTGCAAATTACGCTGGATACTAGCACCCCCACTCAAGAACCCGAAGGACCGACGTGGAACAAGTTTTGGACGCTGTACGATCCAAACCTGAATGATGATCTGGATAGTGTTCATTCAGATTCATTAGTTGCAACTCCTGATGTGGCTTCACTGGAATATCAAAGGTATAACTTTGATATCACACCCCAGGATTCTGTGTCGCAAGTAGATCCGCATCAACCTGCCGTCTCTAAAAGTTATGCACGTTCAGGAAGTCATTCTGGAATTATAGCAGAGGAAGATTATGGAAAATCCCAGATAATTTTCAAGTTGAGAGTTCCCGGGATTCAAGATCGTGTGTATCGGATACCCTTTACACCCGCAGATGGTACGAACAAATTGCGCCAGGCTATAAGCGAGAGGCTTGATGAAATCGAGCTTGAAGCGATAGGTGGATCTTCCTATGCCATCAGTTATGTTGATGATGAAAATGATACAGTATCAATAACTTCAGATTGTGACATACTCGAGTGTGCTCGAATTAATTTGTGGCTTGGAAAAGATGTCGTTGACTTGTACTTACATGACCCTTCTAAGCCTGCTCGTCCCTCGAAAGTGGATGCAATTGAATCTAAACAGTGGATCGAAGGTATATCCAACGAAGTGCTTGTACTGGCTATTGGTGTACTTGCTGGCACCATCCTTTTGGGGTATGTATTCTCGAAGAATTAGGTGTTTGTCCAGCATATACAGTACAATAATAGAATAGGACGATATGATGCGGACATGTCAGCCATTGTCGGCGGTTTAGCGTGCCAATGTGATTCGTTCCTTCGGTCTCTCCAAAACCACGGTCATTGTAACCAACAAGTACACTATATCCAAGAAGTCCACAGAATATGCTATTAAACTCAGAAAATGGTGTTTTTTCCCAAAGGAGGTGGTCAACCAAGTGACTTGGCACCATCACCACCACAAACAAGACAGTCACTGTTGAAATTGTCATCCGCGATAAACCTATGGCACTCTACATCATGAATGAACCCTTGGAAGTAGGCTTGGAAGTTGTAGACATCAACCGGCCTCGACGTTTCGATAATGGGAGACATGATCAACTATATTGAAGCCGAAAAGAATCTTAATGAACAGTTGGTGGCCGATGTAAGTGACAAAGTGAACTAGGCTGATTCTGATGCACTTCCAATCCAAGTGGTGACCGCCGAATTACATGGTGATGTTGATACTGGGAGGATGTCCGAAGACCACGATAAGTCCGAGGGAATCATCAGAGTGGTCGATTTGATTACTTGGATGCTGATTTATATTGCGGCACCCACCTCTCAGACAAGAGCCAGATCCATTGTATACCAATGCTACATCCAACAATTTCAGAGGTGGAAACTCTCGTCTTCACTTTGTGTGCGATGCTCGGGTTTCTAAGTGCTTATAAGACGAGTATATAATCTTGAAGGCAGTCGGTGCAGCGTTATCGACTCCTTGTACAAAAAGCGCCGATTTTAGGTCAAAATCCCAAATTATACTAAAGGCGAACTCGAACCAACTCTTGCGTGGTTGTAAGGAGTTTGAAATCGATTATTACTTTGAATCCTCTGAATGAATGCCGTAGTGTGTATTTTCTCTATGTACAAGTGTGAGTTCACCGCTTAACCCAAGTAGGCATCTTTCTGGCCTTAACTCTACCAGGCTTCTTTCTCTCGACAGTTCTTGCATCTCTAGTCATCAAGCCAGCCTTTCTCAATCTAGGCTTGAACAACGGGTTGAAAATGGTCAAAGCTTTGGAAATACCATACATAACGGCATCGGCTTGAGCTGAAGTACCACCGCCATGAACTTTGGCAAATATATTGTAGTTACCTTCCTGAGTAACCACCTGGAAAGGATAGACGATCCTTTTCCGATCTGCGACGAGAGGAAAGTACTCAACAATGGACTTCCCATTGACGAGAGTTTGACCTTCACCTCTTACAAGCCATACTTCAGCCGTAGCCAGCTTTCTCTTCCCTACTGCAAAAGCTCTGCCATGGGTGTCAAGAGTACGTTCAATGTCATCGACTTGCTTGAAAATATTCGTTTTCACAGAAAACTTTTCAAGAACGTCCTTGACTTCTTGAGGCATCATCTGAGAATCAATCATTCTTAAGCGATGCAACAATGCCGTCAATTCAGAGTGATGGGTTTCTTTGACTCTGGAGCCGGAATTTGCCATCTTTTTGTAGGATTCAAAACCAATGAACTTATAGGTAGATTCGTCGTCAGCAGCTCGAATGGGTAAATCGCAATACTTCCGAATGAGTGCATTCAACTGATTGCAATACTCCTCATGCACCGGATTGCCCCCATAAAAAGTTTTGAGGGTGGGGACGACTCGAGTTCTCTCGAGTTCCCAGTCACGAAGCTGTTCCATCAGAACAGTGGAAGGGATGTCAATGCGAACGTGACTTTTCTGAACTTGGTCTCGAAGTTGCTCCGGGATAGGCACACGGCCCTGATCAGGTGCAACCTGTCGTAACCGATTAACCAGGTTGAACCCTCGAGAGGGAGTCCACAACCGTGTACAAAACTGTCGTAACGACATGGTGGTAAACGATCTCAGTGACTTGAAAAATTTTATATGCGCGCTACCAGGTGACCGGTGCATACATCTTAGACAACCAGTTAACGAAGACGATTGACGATAACTTATATGATATCCTTGTGCACAACATTCTACTTTGATAGCTTTTCTCTAATGTTGAAATTTTCCCTCAACGAAAACATTCTATGCATTAACCGTGAAATACCTAATACCCAAAATTATTAATATAATACATGATTGAGAAAGCAAATGCTCAATTTGGCTCAGCCGATAAAAGATCGGCGAGTTTGTGTTTCGACGAACGTGAAGGGGCCACCACTACTGGAATTTGTGGAGCAGGCAGCGAATTCAAAATATCCAGTAATTTGTTTTGGTGATGGGCCGGCACCACCACTGCCGGGTTGGACTCAGTTTCAGTATTCAAAAGACTCATAATGGAGGAGCGGATGGGAGGTGACGGAAGTGAAGGGGCCGCGACAGCAGTGGCTGCAGCTTGGGGGATAACTGCAGCGTTTACAGGAGCCAACACTGTCGGTTTTGTAGGAGACGTATCGGACAATAGCAGATTAATATTGACCTTCGCAAGTTGTTCTGTTTGAACTGAAGCTGTTGGAGGCTGATGTCTAAACAGTCCAAGAGGCACTTCCATACCATTATCAACTGTTTCGACAATCAGACTCCAGTTGTATTTATCAGCATTTCGTAAAAAATAATTACGAACCATGACCGCAGATTTCGTCAGCAATTCCTCCGCAATATCATTCCACCTTGACCCGTGCTTGAGAAGAAGATCAGGGAACATCAGGATTTCGGTGATTGACCAATAACTCAGCTTTTTATCATCACTAGTAGAATCAGCATCTTCGCAAGCTGCTATCGTTTCCGAATCACGTCCTGCTAAAGAAGCTTGTGAATGTTCCATGTTCCCATCTGTACCATTTGTGGTAATTGGGATGGCCTGCGACTCTGACACCTCTGTCTCATCCTCTTTCTTGCGTTTTCTTCGATTTTTTTCATCCTTTGGGGCAGATGAACGCTTCCGAGTTTTTACGTCATCAACATCCAGTTGGCCCAATAAACCAATAATCGGCGCCTCGGGTGAGTCTATTTGTTGAATAACGAAATCCCCCAGTGAAGGGTTCTCAGAGCTTTGACTTTGAGGCGAATTGCGGGACCGCAGCGACTTTGACTTACGACTTTTGCGAGCCGCAGCAGCTTTCTTTTTATACTGAAGAAGCAATTGCTTGTAATTAACTTGCTTCTTGGTCGCGTAGTAATGAACAACACAATCCAGCGCCGTTCTCAAACCACCAATATGGCGAGATATGGCACCAAACTTCTTCGGGTAAAGGCACCACGCTTCACAAAATAATTTGTGTTCCAGCTCCGAAAAATTATCAACGAAGTCAGTCTTGACACGCAGTGCCCACTCATCCTTATCGCGAACGACATTATTGGAGTCCATGAATCTGACATAGTATCTCTGGACTGGGTCCAAAATCAAGTCGGGTATAGTGGCAGCATGCCGCTCAGCTCGAATTATGGGATCCTCATCCAGTTCTTTCCCAAGAGTCTGTAATATTTCTTGGAATTCAGCCTCAGAAGCCACCAAATCACCGCGTCTTCCTCTTGAACGGCGTGATGATTGTGGAATCTGATCAGGGATAGGTTCCGGTTCCACGGGCAAAAGTGGCAGCAGCTGTTGTTTTTTGATATCCAGCGAATCAATTTCACGACGCATCTCATCATCAGGTGGATGAAGTAGTCGGATTTGCTGATCCATCCATTCACGTTCCCTCTGCCAAATGCGGTTACGGTCTTGATATTCTCTAACGAGTTTCAACTTTTTGGAACGTAAGCTATCACGCTGACTTTTGAGTGAAGATAATAACCGCAAGTGCTTGGTATGCTTAAACTTGGAAATATTGCGATTGTAACATGGATATTCAGAAAGGGTTTTGATAGGATGCATTGGTGAATATTTTGAGTAAGAATTACCTTGCCCATCATTTGGCATCACACTCTTGAATTCGTCACAAAGCTCATTATATTGTGTTTCGATCAAAGTGAGGGGATAAGCTGTGGTATAGGCAATCTCCAGTTCAAGCAGATCACATGCATGACGCGTCACATCAACAACTGGCGGGTGCGCTATAATAGGTGAAGCCTCCATATCAGACCGAGGTAACGGCGCTTCAAACGTCTCCTCTTGCATTTCCTCATCATAATCAATATCCAGCGCGACCATGTCAGGATGGCTGGTGAATGCTTCCAGAGCGGCCGCGGCGACAGCGGTGACTTCTTCATTAGATAATTGCTTGCTTAATGCAACAGGCAGGCGCGAAGTCCAATGATGCAGTGAATTCAGGTGATATCGATCAACATTTCCAGAATAATGGCTTATACTGTGGGCGTTGTCGCGGTTGCCGCGAGTGGTGTTCAAAGTGGAACGACTTGATGGCAGATGGGGCAACTTCTTGGAAGATTGATGATTTTGACGTACGGTACCATTACGGGGGGAGTGAAGACGGGGCCAGCCATCGGGGTTGGAGTGAGGCAGCGTGTGGTTCGGTATCAGCGGGAACGAACCATGGGAATTCGTACGCGAGTAATCTCGAGAATCGTTACCGACCAGGAGTCGTTCCTGACCTGTTCGAGCCGTATTAAGCTCTTGTTGCTTCTGAGAATTTGGCAAAAACGATGTTGAATGAAAGTTTTTCCTTCGGCTCTTGTCGTGGTCTGGGTATTCGTTGTGGTGAGGTGGGGGACCTCGTCCAGAAGTGCTCATCGTCAAGCAAAATGGCTACCACCTGCTTTGCGATTAGCCAGTAATGCTCGGTCGACGGTATAGCCAACTTGGCGTGGAAGGGGTAGCGGCGTGCGAGTATGTTTTAAAGATTTTATCTGTTTGACCCCTAGGTGCAGGACTGGCATTTCCACATTGGGGGATCGCCCAAAAGCTAAACATAAATTGACGACGATGACTAACGATTACCGCTGATGGGTGGTAATATTGACATTATGTCATTACCGTTGGTTGAAAAATCTGTCAAGTATTTGGTTCAACGTTGATGAAGTGTCCATCAGGGATGCTCAACAAGGGCGAAAGTGTCATGATGGAAAACTCACCTCATGACCGCGAGCTCGGCCCCCCTTAAGCGACCCCTGAAAGTGGACTTTTGACGTTAGGAATACTCGAGATGGATGGGAATACTTCCTGCTGAAAGTATGGCGGCCTTTCTAGCCTTGAGGTGTTTCTCCACAAGTGTCTTGTCTGAGCACTAAAGAATGGTGTCAATTTGCCACCAAAATGATGTAGCACCCAAGAAAACGTTGAACATCCTTAACCAAACTAGCAGTGCCCATGAAGACGACAGCCTTGGTGGAGTGACAATTACATACCGCTATTGTAATACCTATTCAGAGGGGTCGTCAACTATGGACGCCAAAAGTCGCACGCGGACCCGAATGGTGTCATCATGCCAGAGTTATATAGTGTGCAACATCGTTGACGTAGCTAGCACGTAAAGAGCTAACCGATATTTTTTGTCGTCTCTATATCTACTGCTCGATGCTACGGAAACATCGTCGCGTCGTCCTCCGCCCTCATGATAGGTCTACTCGTCAAAGTAAAAGAAAGCATTAATAATTGCGGTGATTGTGCATGTCGAGCTACGCGCACCACGAGGAAGGGGCAGGGCGTTTAAGCCTGGCGGGAGCGGGCGCAGTCGGGGGACCGGCACACTTCGTAATTATCAAACCCACCACGTATCGGTCGTGTTTTCATTAACTTCTGTAAATCATAACACTTCTCATCATCCGACTCATCTACCACCATAGGCACCACCACTTCCAACCGCTTTGACCCGCCAGCCACGACGATCTTTGTTGGCCCAGTGAGAAAAAAAATTCGTCGAGCGTCCGTGCTTCATAAGCCCATGAACTACGACCCCATCCACGACACTTACCTAGGGGGTGCCAACCAGTCGTCTCCGAAACTGGCCCCGTCGGTGCCAACTCCAACACTGGTGCCACCACCAGCATCGGTACCCCCGCCACCCCACGCTCTTCAACCACCTCGCCAAGTGTTGCCACTGGTGCAAGCGTTTCTGAACCTGCCCACCGCTTCTTACCCTTACGCCAATGGCTCACTGGGTATAGCGCCCCCACCCCATATGTTGTACAACCCTGGCCAGCCCCAACTGGCGATGCCATTTGTTTACCAGCAAATGGTGCCGGGCCAACCACTTCAACAGGTACCTCCTCAACCAGGTACAGCCCCGCCACAACAGCGGATGATTTATGACCTGGCTCGAGGGTCAAAATCTCAACAGCGACGTCAGCTGCTGGAGCTGGAGGACCAAGGCGAAATGCTGCCCTCAATGGCGAATCTGGGGGAAATTAGCCACTCACCACTGGCGGTTGATGACGATGATGAAGATCGCCGGAAGCGTCGCAAATACAGCAATACAACTATCCCCAAATCGCGTCATTTGAAAAAGCTGGACGGCGAGCCTTTTTGGCGTCGAGACATACAATACGATTTTTTGTACAATCTATTCCAAGATGACACCAAATGTTTCACCAACTACTTTGATATGCTGGACGTTCCGGGCATCAATAACGGCGACAAGCTCCTGTTTAGCGAGCTTTACATTCGTACTATTGCCGAACTGTCAAAGTGCCTGAGAGTGCTCAAAGAGCGTCTTTTACGCGACCATGCGATGGGTATGCTGGTAGCTATGGTAACTCTCTTAGTTAATGCTGGTCGCATGAATACTACCATAAACTTTGTTCCTGAAATGCGCCTGTCATTGCGCACGTTTCACCTGATACCATGTTTACAAGCTGATCCTTCAGGAGGGAATGCCACTACACCACTTCAAGACACGCCTCGGTTGAAGCTGATCTTGAAAGCCGTATGTCAGGTTGATAGGCCGTCGCCCGCGCGCGACTTGCGTGAATTAATTGCACTGCCTCGTGGAGAAAAGCCGAATGTAAATGTGTTTCACCTTGTTTTCATGTTGTCGCAGTTCATTGGAGTAATCCCGTTTTATGATGACGACCAAAGCCAACCTCCTCCCTATAACGACTTTATTGACTTCTTTCTCAACCCATTGATCCATCCAGCAAACCGCGCGCGGCGTTTCCTTTGGCTAATGTATACCTACATGGAAACTAACTTTACTCCTGAAGACATGGCTCGGAATCCATTTGGCGGTGCCGTCATTCCCCCAAGAAAAATCATTCTGCAAACTGAGGCAGTGAAATTTGACGTTGATACCCCCGCAGAGATCGCCTACTCTCAACAAATGTATCAAATGAGAGTTCACTATGTGAACGAAGATGAATCTAATGTACCGGTGGCAAGAAGATCGCTGAAGCTGTATTTCAAGCCCCTTTCTAATTTGACCGAGAAAAAAGATGATGATGCCATCAACGACGAGGTATTGGCGGTCGCGACTTCGGCCATGGCTGCCGCAGATAATGTAAACGAGCAGACCGTGCCAATTCTTTCTGAGCCCGCTTCGACTCAATCTAAGGATGTCCTTACCCTGCTGCATCGTAGTGGAACACTGACCCTCGATCCTGAGGTCACGAGTACGGAAGATATTCCTGTTTCTGAACAGGATGTGCATGACGCAGAAGAATTTCCACCGTCAGAGCTTGACCATGCAGAGGCAGATTTGTTGAATGAAGATGACGACGCTGAATTTGCCAACGCCCCAGACCCAGATTTTGAAGCCGAAGACGCTATTCCTCACTCACTGCCGGTTATACCACCCGAAGAAGAAGTGCCAATTGATCCGGTGATCCCAAGGAGAAAGCCCGTCAAACGTAAGCAGACTAAAGACAAGAGTGTAAATGACAAGACTCAACCCGAGAACCTTGAGCAGCAAATGGGACCTCATTATTCCTTACTTTCGGCATATCCAGAGGCATGGGAGGATCTCCAACACTTCTTGACTCATCAGATGGAAGCATTCGGCAATCTTCTTCCTGTACCCACAGGCATTGAGGATCAGTATTCCTCAGTCCCTCAAATTGGTGATATCAATGAAGACGCGCTACTAACATCGGGTCAGCATCGTGAGCTTATTACCCTGACGAAGCCCTTCATCAAAGAGGTGCGCACATCGTCTAAAGCATCAACTGCGTCCTTCAATAAGAAAACCACTATTTTGGGGGCATGGATCTACCGCTATTTCAAATACAAGCGTTCGATTGGTAACATGTTTCTCGGAATCGAATGGGAAGACATTCGTTATGACCTCGTTCATGGAATTGAGGATGTATTGAACTCCCAATTTGGTAAGCAGCTTCATGTACCTCCTGTTAAGGCAGCCGAACTCAAGACCCATGAAGAGGACCACATTGTTCCACAGCGTGATTATGATCGCATAAGTGAACGAGACATGTTTGTGCTTCAACTTGTCACTCATATAAACGACTGGTTGACGAAAGAATCAACAAAGATAACTCAACCAAACCTGATTCAATTCGATTTCGAAACGTCAAAGGTGAAGTTCGCGTGATGTTTTGAAAGCATTCTATAATGATTGATGATATGTATAATAGTTAAAGATATAAGCACTGATAATTTCAAAACTGACGTATGTAGTTGTCATCGCCGGCGACGTCACTTTAGCAATTGCTCAACCATCAAACGAACCGCCTGAGATATCAGTAAACCCTGTAGTTGGAGCAAATCATATAGCTTTTGCACATTACCAACTTCCTTTCCTGACAACACCTCATGAACGGCCGCTGTGATTTTCGCACCACAATCTGCGGTTGCTTTATTGATTAAAACGATTTCCCAATGTAGGATAAGTTGATGAGATCCATCGCCCCTGGCAAACTGCATGCTGGATCGACTTTTAGTCGCAGCAATGATCAAGCGGTTATTGTTGGGCATGGAGTCGGTAGTTCGTGGACTAACGAATCCCTCCAATTGTCTTAAAGACGCAAAACATTCGACCTTGGCGTGAACTGCAACGGCAACCGAACTGATTCCCCAAAGTAAAGCATTAATTTGCATTTTGGGGATGTATACAACTTTGGCGAAATCGCAAAACTCTGGACATAGCAGCTCGAGATCGGCTAGGTCAGCCTCCAATTGTACTATCAGATCACGCTCATTTACAGTGAAGATGATCGGCACTCGAAACAAATGATGCGATATTGCTGAAAACAGGTATCTCCACCCTGAGCCGCTGCTCTCGAATTGAATATTTTCAAATTGTAACTTCGGTAAGAACCACTTTATGTAATCATGACGCTGTTCCCAATCCAACAGAGGAAATACCCCCAACAGCTGTGCTTCGACACTGTAAGCGGGAATTTCGAACCGGGGTAAGTGTTTGGGCGTCTGACGGTTCTCCTTACCTTTATTTTGGCGCAATCGAAGTTGCGCTTCAAGTATCTGAGATTCTAGGCGTACTTTCTCATCGAGGAGATCATCACGACGCTGTTGAGTCTTCTGTAGATCACCAAAATATGTCTGAGTTTTTTGGATATCAACGGGTAGTTGTGGCTGGGTATTGGAAGGTGGTGTTATATCCAGTACTGGTTCAAAATCACTCATGTCTACCCGCTATACGCGCGCGCTGGAGCCACCTTTAATGTTTTTATGGTTTCGGAACCAGAACTCAAGAGTGTAAGTTTTAATGATAATCTTACGGATGAAGTGGGATTAATTTCATACCAGTGAAACTATGAAAGCTGAAGGTATTTACTTCGAACAGTGCAAAGATCCCCAAGAAACTTTTGCGATACATACTAACAATCCAGTACCTTGAGAAGAGGGTGCAAATTCTGACAGACGGTGACCGCAAGATCACTGGGGTTCTCAAAGGTTATGATGTCTTTCTTAATATTACCTTAATGGATGCCATCGAAACTCTGTCACTGGACAAGATGAGTCTCGGACTGGCAGTGATCCGTGGAAACTCGATAGTGCTGCTTGAGGCACTCTCCTAATGAATGCATCGAAAGGTTTATATGATACATCTATTTGATCTAATTGCGGTCATACCGAATCGACATCTCTATACCACATTGCTTTAATCCACATTTTTCGTAAAACCCAACGTTTTTGGGATCACAATCCAAAATCACCTTGTAGCACTTCTCTTGTTTGGCTATTTCTAAGAGCAGTAGAATTAATGCCTTTCCTAATTGCTTGCCCTGCTGAGATTGGTGGACTGCAATGTCTTCAATGTGACCAACACGACCGCAATGATGTATCATCTTTTGTTCGATGACGATGTTACCGGCAGCCACCACCTTACCATCTTCGTCAGTAATCACCAAGTTGTGGTAAATTTGAGGTTGGCTTTCCCACAATGCCACGGTGTCAACAAATTGGGTCTCGGTCACATCACCAACCACGGTGAGAGCTTTGAGCGTCTCAAGATAATTGTTGTTATAGTCAGAAGCTTGCACTCTTCGAACTTTATACCCAGGGGGAATCGTCACCCCATTGCTGATCGTTGCTGACATGGCTTAGGGCTGTCCTACAACAGTGCGAAAGCCAAACAAAACGGAATGGTTACGAAGCCAAGTGGGGCTAGAAGTAGAAATGTGGAGGGTTTGCCAATGCAGACGAAAGTTTACTATACGAGGTTTGTAGTACAAGTCAGTAATCCACAACTCCAATATCAAGGACTTGCTTCTCATGCTTTTCACTTGTTTTTACGAGAGGTTGACGAAATGTAGCTCCCCGCATCCTCGGTATTGCTAAATTGAAAAGAAAATTTTAAAACAATGTAATTAGTATACTCGATTGTTGGTTTTGTCCACCGGTTGGTGGCACGCCTCTATGCATAAAGGATTACTTAGCAATGTCGCGCTTCAAACACAAAATTGAACATGATACCCACAGTGGCAACGACTAACTACCCCGCCAACGCGCGTCTGAAATACCAATGGAGGTAAACTTTTGCTTGATCATTCTATACTATTTTGATGACAAACAATGTAATTGCACCGTATAATGTGAGCCTGAATTACGCCTATCACAGCAACAATGCCACGGACGCTCCTGTGATATGATAAAAAAATATTCATGTGCAATACCTCTAAGAAACCCATAGCGCGGGGTAGATATTATCTCACACGCTGAATCCAGTCAGGATTCATGGGGTAAACGGTTTTGTGGATCTATGAAGTGAAGGTCATTCACAGACGGAACCACCTGGTTTCAAACAGCCTCATGTATACCCCTTCGAATAATTTTAACTTGCGCCGACGCAAGGTTTGCCTCTACTCATACATGAGGCGACTCGATGTACCATCATCTCAGGGTATTGCTTCTTAATAAAAGGTATATGGAATATATTAATTATACAGGGCGGCTCAAACCTTTTCAGCCAGGGAAGACTCGCCGTTGGTGGATGAAACACGAGAAACGTGCAGCACAGTGCGCTTAATGATGGACATTTGGTCGTCTCCGTAAATACCCAAGCGTTGAGCTTCTTGTTCGACTTCGTGCATGGACAATTTCGGCATAGTAGCAGCAACTCTCCAAGGTTGACGCTTCTCTTCGTATGCCTTTGCGAAAATGACATCGATTTCTTCCAAAGATCTGCCAGCGGTCTCGGGATAGAAGAAAAAGATAACTGGCACGAACAAAAAGTTCATGCACGCAAAGAATAAGTAGCAACCCCAATCGGATTCATTAATGAAAATAGGGGTGAACAACACGACAGCGGCATTACACAACCAATTAGTACACGTCGAAACGGCAGAGGCGCGAGTTCTAGTCTTCAAGGGGTTAATTTCAGGGGGATAGATCCAAGGCAATGGCAAGATCGACATTGCAAAGAAGACAATGTAGAGGTACAAACCAACAGCTGCACCCTTGGAGTTGTTTGTGGTAGGGTGAATTAAGCAAGCCATCGTGATAATGAAAGAAACACCCTGACCAATTGCACCCATTAAGAATAAGTTTCTTCTGCCAAATGTATCAACGAGGAAGAAAGATGGAAGCGTGAATACAGCATAAACAATTGAGAAAACACCCCCCAAAATGAGCGACAATCTTCTCTTGTTTTCCTTGTTAGGGAAGATAGTCGTCTCAAACAATACAGTCGAGTAGTAAATAGCGGCATTGCACCCAGTAAACTGCTGGAAAAATTGAGTGGAGGCACCAATGCACATTCTTTGAAAATGTTGCGTCTTACCACCGGTGAATAAGTCTCTATAAGAATTGCCACTCTTCTCAGACAATTTGACAGTTTCCGCAATGTAGTCAACTTCTTCCAAAAGCTCGGGGTCATTCGGATCGACTTCAAAGAGGCACGACATGATGTAAATCGCTTCCTGATTTCTGTTTTTCTTAATTAACCACTTGGGTGAATCAGGCAACCCCAAAATAATAATGAAAACGATAACGGCAAACACAATTTGCAACGCAATGGGCAATCTCCACGAGACGGAGGAGTTTGCATACGACAATCCAAAATCAATCCAGTAGGCAATCATGGTCCCGAAGGCAACAACAGACCCTTCTAAATTGACCAACTTCCCACGATGTTTGGGCTTCGACATTTCCGATTGCCACACAGGAACAGTAGCGGTATTCATACCGTTACCTATACCGGTGATTGATCGACCCACAATGAAGTGCCCAAGAGGCCACTTGTGGGGAATAGGCGTGATAGTAATAACAGTCCCGATAACAATGATGAAACAACCAATCAACACAATAGGTCTCCGTCCAATGCGTTCACCGAAGGCCAAAACCCAAACAGCACCAACAAGACACCCGATTTCGTAACAAGCAGTGGTGGCACCCTGCACGATTGTAGCGTGGTATTCGTCTTCCTTGCGAGTAGCCACGACACCCGGGAAATCTCTCGCGAATTGAGGAGCAGTGATAATACCCGACATTAAACCTTGGTCATAGCCGAATAATGAAAAGGCGGTAGTAGCGCAGGCAGTGATTGTCCAACGAAGGGCGCGACCTCGCAACCCCATAGTGTTGGTTCTATTTAAAATCCCTTTTGTCATGATTGAAAATGGGACGTTTCCGTTCGAAATCTACGAAATATGGGGAAGTATTTATATCATTGTTTGCCCCCATCTATTTTTTCTTATTCAAGGGCAACTGTCTATATGCGATGCTAAATGATGTAAATGCTACATTGACGCAAAAAAAAAACGATGCATGCATGCATCATGACGGTAAATAAAACAATTGTCCGGTTTCAGATTCCGCGACCACCCTATCAGCAAAAATCTAAGACACATGGAGGAAACGCGTTATGTATGTTAAATTTCATGATGGTGCTGTCCGCTCCAACTTTCATTAATAGTATACAGATTTATCCCAAAAAATACACAATATAATAATTCTGCATATGCGTATCCGGAACATTACACCATAATACTTCGTGCGGTTTGACCGAGGGCTTCGCCGCACTGTTCATACAAGTCCGCGCCTTACCAATGATGTAATTTGACCGAGAATGTCTCATACATATTGTAAGTCCGAAAAATATCTGCGATGACTATGGCTTAGAAATAGTCATCACAACCGAATCTTATGAAGCAGCCTGAAATCATTTGTTGAATAAGCGACATAGTTTACTGACGTGGTGGATGTCTTGAGTTGCCCTTTTGCGATATTTTATTTAAAAGTTACACTAAATTTGCTCCCTCTCATTCCGACCCCTCCATGCATATGTTGCGAGGCGGAAAAATTTGTGTTCGTTTAGTGTCCAAATATTACCCCGCGAGGGCATTGTTGAATGCGTCAAGATCCCAGCGCTTTGTAATATTAAGCTCGAGACATCCCATGACCATATTCTTGGCAAAATTAAACTCGCCCCGCTTCAGACTGACATATTCCGACCAAGACTCTCGAATTTCCCGCATTTGCTGTTCTCGCACCATGCTGGCAGTCAGATTAGAGTGGAACAATTGGCGGGGCAACGAGAAGCGATCTGGCTGATCCTCGCCGCTCGTGCTTGAGTCGGATGTGTCTGATGAACTGTAAATCCACTCAAGTAGGCAAGCTTTGGCAAGTAATAGTGAATCGTACTGACCTGCGGTTATTAATGACCGAAGCTTTTCTTCATTCTGATGTATGAAGGGGAGCTTTCCAACAAATAAGGAGTAGGTGATTACCCCAAGTGCCCAAATATCGGCCAGGGGTCCTAAGGGGGGAGGGGCTGGGCTCAAAAGCTCGGGAGCTGCATACGGAAGCGATCCGATATGGGTGTGGGGTAAGTCATGAGTGTCGGGCGGGGCTTTTGTGTCGCCGTCATCTCCAATTCTAGTGAATGAATCTCGACGTGGCGCCAGCGCCACCGGGTTCAAATCCACCAGCTGGAGAGCTGGTCCATGCATAATGCCAATTTGCAGGTCATCAGTGAATACAGGGGTCGCGTCGTTTCCCGGAAAAGGTTTCCGAGAGGACGGTTGGCTCAGGCGCGACCGTATATATAATGTACCTTCATCGTCATCTTCAACTTCATCTGCATCGCCGCGTCCGGATGGAGCTAAATGTGTATGGTATGACGGAGCCTTCAACCGAACCAGCGGCCGCCTTTTCACGTCTGCAAATTTCCGGGCCATGCCAAAATCGCAAAGGATTACTTTTAAGCGAGAAGGATCGTTACCGTCAACAAGAACATTTTCAAGCTTCAAATCACCATGGACAATACCCTTACCATGCATATACCGAAGTGCTTCTACAATTTGGCGAAGGTATCCTATAGCTTGGCGAAGCCGATGTCTCTGACCCTCAACAGTGAAGCAGATATCACCAGTTGTCAGGTAGCATCCCTTGTCGAACTCTCCCCATTCTCCCATCACATCGAATAGAGTCCCGCCCCATATACGGTTGGTTATACAAAAAATCGCGGTATCGGTTTCCTTACTTTGAAGTAAGGGTAAAATGTTTTCATGGTGGAGCTCGCGCCAGATCTCAATCTCATGCCGGAAAACCTCAAGTACCTTTGGATTATGTTGGCGCACGTCGCCATCTTTGTCGGGTTCGTTACGCACCAGCTTTACAATTTTGATAGCTCTAACAATTCCATCCTCGCCAACACATTCCCGAATGGTTCCCCACGCACCATAACCAATCACCTTCCCCAACTCATGACCCATGACTATTGCACCACGTTCATCAATATCAAACTTCTCCGTCGATTGTGACTGCATCTTCTTCAAATCAGTGGCCAGCTGCTGAAGCAAGCGCCCTGCAATAGTGTTAACAGAGCCTGCTCGAGATCGTCGAGTAAAACTCGAATTCAGGCCGCCCAGCAGACCCACACGAGCCAGCAGGCCCATCAGACCACTGTTTTCGTTGAGGTAGTTTTTCGCAAAGAGAGAAAACTGCAGGTAATCAACCAGGTCAGAAAACAGCGTTACCAACTTCTTGCGCTGCGAATAAGGAAGATCGTTGAAATTAGCTGGTAGACTATTGAGAATCGCCTCGTAATTGACATCACTTGCATTACCTTCCACCATCAGGGGACGTCGCCGCTTAATATCAATAGCTGTAGAAGATCCGACCTCTCCTCTATTCAGTGGAGTGCGAAGCTTCATCACTTCATTAAGTTTGGAGTACAGATACCGATTGAAGGACAGGCCCAGATTAATCGGCTGTGGCTTTACCAGCGAATGCAACTTATTCAAGTCCAAATACAGGGTGCCCTCAGCACTTGATGGCAGAAGCACTTTACCGCTAACACTTCGTGGAGCACGTCCCCGAGGCACTGGTTTGGGGCCCATGGGTTCATTCCATTCATTAACCACTCTATCATAGTCCAAATCAGGTACGTACTGGTCCTCAAATCCAGTCATAGGATGTAGATCACTTTTAGGGTTGGCGTATGATTGCGATAAGCTGGCGAACGAAGACGAATGGTGCGGTGATTGGGTTCCTGGCAGAGTGGGAGAGTCAATTGGCTTTATGTTGTGGTTTTGACGTGGTGTTTCGGGCGTTGGCTTCAGCAGCGAACCACTGTCTCTGAGGAGCGAACTAAGCTTCGACATCGGTACCAGTGTGCCACCTCTTCCCTGTCCCGTCAGTGGTGGAGTCTCCATTGGGGTGGACTGTCTCTTGGTGAAAGACAATTCTCCATCATCATTCGAGTCAGTTCCCATTGATAGGCGTACAGTAGGAATGTGGGGTGAAGATAAAGTGCGATTTGAGTTACGAGTTTGTCGATTAGCGTCACCAGTCGGAGTCACGAGCAAAGAGGGGTATGGTAAAGACAATATGCAGGATCTGAGGAAGGACAAGTAGATTTTATAAGAAGGTTGGAGCCAAATCGATGGTATTTTGCTAGAATCAAATCAGTCAGTTTGTGAAATACATAATGTTTTTATCGTTGGAAAATGCATTCATTGATGCTTTGACAAAGCAAATATTTCGCTACGAAATTTTAATACGAAACCCACCACAAGATAACAAGATCTAGAGTAATGATTGATAAACCTGCAAATGCTGCCTGGATTAGATGTAAAATATCCACCTGCCTCAAAGAAAGTCATTCGCAAACTTGGTAAACGATGAGTGTAGATACAAGTACTTTAAGCGAAATTGAGATTAATCAAACGAGTAATACCATGATTTCGATCGATGTAATGATTATTTACGTAATTGGGAATCACTTGCCGATCAGATTTTAGCTCAACTTTTACTCATAATCAAGGGATTTAAGAATGGCATGGCCAACAAGTCAACTGCATCGGGACGCTTATTGTAGTCTAACTCAAACGTCATCCCCAAAAAGTCTTTTCCCTCCATAGTGCACCATTCTGGAATTTGTGGACTGATATGCGTTCCAATCTTAAAGATGGCTTGCATTTGGCTAAACTCGGGAAACGGATGCTTCCCAGTGAACATTTCGACGATAAGGCAGCCAACTGACCAAATATCAGCTTTCTTGGTGTATGCAGTCTGTTTTACAACCTCAGGTGCCATCCAGTATACCGAACCTTGAAGAGACAGTCTGCGTGGGGGCTGAACTTGTTGGGATGGTTGGCCATCTTCATCGAGAGAGACTTTCTTCGAAATCCCGAAATCACCGATCTTCACGGTACCTTTAATATCAATCAAGATATTTGCCCCCTTGATATCTCGATGTATAATATCCTCGCCATGAAGGTATGCCAATCCGATAAGTACTTGTCGAATAAAATTACGAATCAATGGCTCCTCAAAAGGCCCGTACAGTTTCAACATCAGCTGGACAGAACCGCCAGGAACATACTCCAAGAAAATGTTCAAATTATTCTCATCAGTTGACAGGCCATAGTATCGCACGATATTTTCGTGATTCAATTGTTTAAGTAGCGTCATTTCACGTTCTTGCTCAATCATTGACTTTTGCACATCACCTGGGGAGTTCTTTTTTGGTAACGAGATCTGCTTTACCGCCATCAATTCACCAGTGAAAGGATTCATGCCAAGGAAAACTGTTCCGAATGATCCAGCGCCGATTCTTGCGCCCTTGAGCCAATGTTTAGGCCCCTCTATGCCACCCAACAGTTGGGAAGACGAATCAAACCCTTCTTCATCCTCCAGCTCATCATCGCTTGAATCGACATGGAACAACTCTATTCTTGAGCTTCGATTATTACCATGTTGCGGTTCAGCGAACAGAGCTGCATAAGGAATTCTTGGGGGTATTAAACCACGCAGTTGCTGTGATTGAACCAGAGTGATCAGTCTAACTTCGGCATTGGACCCCAGATTGAGCAGCGGCAGCTTCAGTACAATCAGTTGGTTGTCGCCAGTCGTACTCACAGCCTCATCAATAGCAGTGATGTTGTTCACCATGACATCACCAATGGTTCGCACCAGATTTTTCCTGACACCAGCTTGAGAGAAGCTCAGCATGTCCAGCATGCGTCTAGTAAACATCAGATTATTGGCCAGCATTATCAGCGAACCCAGAGACAGTATACCGGGGATTCTTTTCAGTAATCTAACCGAATGGCGTACGGAATTCTTGACTGTTTGCTCAAGATCTTTCTGCTTAGTTTCAGGAAAATATTCAGCCAAATTTGAGGAGATAAGTTCTGAAGGGGGTCTCTGACCAAAAAAGTTCCTGAGTGGTTGATTCGACGGCTGTGATTCAGAGATATGAAATTCACTCAAGTCTTTCATGCGAGAAGCAGTTTTCCCTTGTTTTAAACTGATCTTTCGCAGAGTTTCTTGTGCTTGCTCCAGTGGTTCCTCGCCATGTGGACAAAACATGATGCGATGCCTTTCGTCTCTTTCTGGAGTATAGCACACAGTGACTAGCTCAACATCAAAAAGCAACAGCACTATTGCGTTTTTCGAGTTTGTTTTGGAATGTATGTAAGCGTCATAGGCAATATCAGGTTGTTTGAAACCGAGCTTCTTCAAAACCTTCCGCTTGATCAGCTGGGCATTAAAGCAGCCACTTATATTGATTTTTTTGACCAGTCCATCTTGAAGAATGAAAGTGGCTGTTTTATCTCGCGAGCTAGAACCAGTCTCTTTGCTTGGGGTCAGTACCTCAGCAGGTGGTAGTGGCAGTGCAGGTGCAGTCAGAGCTTCTTTGTATAGTGTCGGCGCCAGGTGATATACACCCTCACCGATTGCTTCTCGGAGTAGCCGATCTATGTCCTCAAAGCGAATCGCTGTGGAAGATAGGCGTTCCACTCGAAGAGCAGCAATGGCAATCTCCATTCTTATTCTGTCGCCCACTTTCGTGATCCCGAGTTCTCGTAAAGCCTCTGAATCGAGCTCTGTAACCAAATCGAAAGTGATTCCATGATCAACAAGTTTTGAATAATACTGTTGACAATTCACTCTTTGGAGCCACTGTCGTAGCTCCCGGTATTCAGAGCGTATTAGTGTCACCAGCTCTTTAGTTTGGGTTCGAGTGTCTTCCATTCTTGTTGTAACGTTTTATCAAGTCGCCGGAAGGTAGCGCAGATGCAAAATGCAATTTTCGCAGTAACTTGAATTTATGATTCTTGTCTCAGAACATCATGCCCTAGACTGTATTCTCTATAATCCTTTCATATGCTTCAATGAGATTAGAGGCATATGTGAGTCCGTCTAATAGCCTATAGGGCCTTGTCGAACCCGATAGCATCACAATCTCGAGATCCAGTCTAAACTGGGACCGACGATGGTAGCGTTTGATCGATGCCAATAATTTTGGCGCAATTGTAGTAGTGCTACTTGATCAACAGACTATCATTTACGCTAATAAAATTACCGTTTAAGTTTAACGAGGGTATCCCTATTAAGGTAAAGCATAAAGCAGAAACTCCAATAAGCGTAATTTCCTCAAATTTTGTTGTTAGTGTCGCTCGAATGGTGAAGAGGTAGCGGGTTTAACGAGGTGTCTTCTAAGGGCATTTCAATTATGTTTATAATTAGCAGTCAAAGACTGAAATCTCAAGCTTGGTAAAGCACCTGATGATCAAACAGTTGAGAGGGATTGTCTTCGCGACGCTTCCACGTCTTTATAGACTTATCATTTTCACTCAACTCGAAAAGTCGTACCCGGCGAACGTATCCGTTATATCCACCATAACCACCCTCGCCAGCGCCGCCACCATAACAGAGCCACACATCGTTTTCATCTGGTTGTCTATCTTTGAGGCAATAATCGTTAGCATGATCATGGCCGCAAGTGACCACTTGGACGCCCCATGCGGCAAATCGAGAGCGAGCGTGAGTGTTATACCGAGGTGCAGTGACAGTCTCGGGATTTTGACCAATAAGTTCATTATTGGCGACATTGCGATATTCAGGTAAGGGTATATGAAGGAAGGCCATGCCTAGCAGCAGTTCTACCTTGTTGGCTAGAAGATATTCCAATTGTTCATCTTTGATCCAATCATAGCCCAGAGCGATTCGTGGCTGTGTCAGATAAGCATGTGTGTCAACGAAATAAAATGTAGCCGCAGGTTTGTCATCTTTAGATGACTTCACGGTGAGAACATAATTTCCAGCGCCGGGGATATGTGAGGGTCCGATCTCTGAAAGCGAGTATGGGAGTAACAGTGACAATTGCATCACTTGGGTTCTTGATAACAGACCTTGATGGTCGTGGTTGCCCATTGTCACGGCAAATGGGATTTTCCGCTTGATGAATGGATTTAATGCTTTAAATATCGCGGATTCGCTTTCCGGGGCTTCGTCCCCATAGATTTGATCACCTGTGAGTACCACAAAATCAGGCTTCTCGATGTCGAGAATGGATTCCAAGAATCTCACAGTACGGGGATCTGCTTGGCATCCTTCGGCCAGTTCGGCAGGTACTGGGTCACGACAAACACCCACGCCCGTCAGAAAATGGAGGTCAGCTACCTGGAGAATTTTTAGCTTACCAGCCTGGTCGAACTGAAGCTGCTTGACCTCTCGTCCTGTTGTTTGACCGCGATGGTACGTGAGCTTTATGGGGAAGTCGTAAGATCCATCCAAAGGAGTATCAATCAACTTCCAATTTTGACGCGGCTCCACTGCATCTTCTCCAAACAATAAGTCTATCCCAGTAATGGCCTTATCTTTCAGCGGTTTGCCGTATTTTACCCAAATCCCATGGCCTTTACTTCGCCAGCCTTGGCCAGGAGAAGCCCCAATAGCGATATCCACGATGACGTTATCGTGTTCACTAGCTCGTTTATAGCTGAGATATCGTAGGGCTGTCCAGTGCTTATTCAAATAAAAATCCTTGGTAACACGTTGCCAGTTCATGTCAGTATCTTTCTGCAGCGTTCCCTCACCGTAGGATACTGACGGCACCCCACAAGTTGGGCTGTTCTTATTCCACTTCCCACAATCCCTAATAGCGATGTCAATCACGTAGAAGTTTGTGTCGGGTGCAAAGTAGTCTGGCGATGGCGCCTGCTTAATTATGGCATCGAGGTACGGCTGGACATACTCTGGGCTGTTTGCATAGGTGATAAGGACGATAGCCAAAATTATCAAGGCGATAAGCGACACGCTCAACCGAAGCCAGCGCTTGCTTAGCATTGTTGGTGATCAAAGATCCAATACTGCCCCACCATATATATCTCAACTCTTATTGTGAAAAACGTGCGCTACATATGAGCCCTGTACTTCAAGTCCCATCAACGTGTCTTCCCCTACGATTAATTGATATCCAGAATGCTGTCACCATGCTGGCGGCGTAAAGCGTCATGTATCACTGTAAAGTTCTCAACTATCTGCTGCTTTGTCTGTCTTTTGCAGAGCGGCTTTAGCTTCAGCCCGCTCAGCGTCTCTGGCCTTTGCCTCAGGAGTCAACCCCGGGAAATCCTTTGTATCAGGGATAGGAACGTGGTCCTTTGCATCTAAAACAACATGGTGGGGCTTATTGATAGCACTGAAGGGAACTTGCCGACCTCCCATATTTAAGATCAAATTGTCAGGATCGAAATTTTTGAGGTCTTCCTTGGTCAATTCCTCCGTATTGAGGTTCAAGTCCTTTTTAGCATCGTTTGACATGATTGATTTGAAAGTTTGGTAAGTGGCAAAAGCTAGCAAGCAATACCAAATAAATCTATGCATGGTCTTTGCCCCTGATTTAGGTCCTTTGTGTTGTAGGGCGGGCGTGCATATAAAGTTGCCACTGGTCATTTGCTACGTATTTGTAGAGATAAAGGAAACCCGAGCTCTTGCGATATACATGTGAAGTCGAGAAGCGTTTGCGTCTTGCAGTATTACTGACAGGCTCAGAGTGTTTCAATAATGAATTTGATCTGTGTTCGTCTATCGTATATAGCAATCTAACTTCGGTAACAGAGTAGTGCGGTAGAAAATTCCAAATGTTGTAAGGTTGTTGTGACCGACAGCTTTATGCGTACGAGCGAAACATATTCACGAATTAATGTAAAATTTCAACATTATTTGCAAAATACATCATATAAAACTGTCTCATTTTTTCAATTTCTTGTCCAAGTACTCTTCGTAACCGATTTCTTCCAACACATCGGCTTTCCCCAACACTTCCAGCTCCATATCTTGCATGTACTTGCTCATTTTGACCAACCAAGAATAATCGAAAGCACCCAAAATTCGAACGGCAAGTAAAGCGGCATTGGTAGAGTTGTTGATGGCAACGGTAGCAACTGGAATACCTCGAGGCATTTGAACTATCAGGTGCAACGAATCAACACCATCTAAAGTGCTTCCCTTAACAGGTACACCGATCACCGGAAGAGGGGTCATGGCGGCTACCATACCTGGCAAATGAGCAGCACCACCCGCACCAGCAATAATTACTTTGATGCCACGTTTGGCAGCGTTAATAGCATACTCTGACATTCGGTGAGGGGTTCTATGAGCAGACACGATGGTCAATTCAAATGGAACGCCAAACCGTTTGAGGATTTGAGCACCAACGGACATAACAGGTAAATCCGAATCCAGGCCCATGATAATTCCCACGAGGGGTTTTGCAGCCTCGGTTTCATCTTTGACAGGTGCGTTACTCTCCCCCAAGATGTAGGCTAAACGAGCTTCACAATCGTCCATCAGCAGCGATACGATGTTAATGTGACCCATTTTGCGTTCGGGTCGAGTTTCTTTACCGTAGAGATACACCAGTGAGTGGGGGGTCTCCAATGATCTGCGACATTGTTCAAGTTCACCGTTCGGTTTCAGATCACCTAGAACGTTAAGCATAATGGCATTGGTTGTGGTTGTGCTGAACTCAGTGAATCCTTTGGGCATAGGCAACCCACAAACAGCTCTGATATGGGCTTCAAACTGAGAGGTGACGCACGCGTCAATGGTGTAATGTCCCGAGTTATGAGGACGTGGGGCAATTTCATTGACAAGTAACTCACCCAGCTCCATGAGGAACATTTCTACCCCAAAAATCCCACAACCGGGAAACAGCTTAACTGCTTCTTGAGCCAATAACGAGGCCTTCTTGGCAATTGTGTCGGGAACACGAGCTGGAGCATACACCAAGTGACAAATGTTATGTTTGTGAACAGTCTCAACTGTAGGGTAAGCGTACACGTCTCCTTCAAGCGAGCGCACCACCATAACGGCCAACTCCATAGTGAAGGGGCACCACTTCTCTGCGTACAAGGGTCTATTCTTCAAAAATTCAAGAGCCGACTCCACCTGGGAAGGATCGTTGACGACGTAGTTACCTCTCCCATCATAGGCCATAGTTCTCAGTTTTAACATAAATGGATAACCAAACTTACCCCCCACAAGACGGAGAGCTTCAGGGGAATTGGAGGTCACTGCAGTAGACTCGGTTACTGCCACACCATTCTTTATAAGGTGTTCTTTTTGCAAGTACTTGTCTTGAATCAATCTGATTGTCAGAGGTAGAGGGTAAATGGGAATTCCAGTCTCTTCATGAACTCTGTCTAAAGCATCACAATCAACGTGCTCAATTTCCACAGTCAAAACATCACATTGTTTAGCCAACTTCGAAATCAGTTCGTATTCTTTGAAGGAGCCGTCAATGTGGTCCAGAATAGCATTAATTTGTTTGGCCGGGGAGTTCGGAGAATCGAGCACGACTGTTTTAATGTTGAGGCGATTAGCCAGTTCAACGATCATCCGGCCAAGTTGACCACCTCCAAGTATACCCACAACTTTGTTGTCCATAGCTAATAATTATGCTGGAAGAATGTATTCAAAGATTGGTAAATGCTAATTGATTGCTTGACGCTCGATGGGACAGAGTCAGCGCGAGTCATGGATGTGAATTATGTGTGCGCTTTCGCGCAAACTAGATCACTACAGATCTATGACGTCTATCTCTATAACAATTAATCTAATAATGATTCAGCAACAAGCGTTCAATAATCTGCAAGACTTCGCTGACTTCGTGAGTTGGGTTTCCAAGTTGCTCATCCAATGCTTCATCTAACAACATTCGTAACTTCTTGATCAAAACTGCGTTCTTGCACCAAGTTCTGATGGGAAGCCACAGATCCAACACGATTCCCGGGGATGTCTTCCCGCTTACCTCATAGTCAATCGTACCGCCAAACATGAGAGCACCAAAAGTCAGGGTTGGTGTCAAATCACGCAAGTATAATTTCGTAGTATGATGACTAGAGCGAAACAGCATGAATGAGTTCTTGAATAAGTTCGAACTTGAAGATGCTGACTTTGGAGTAAGATCGAAAAGCTCACGAGCTTTTGCCATATCCACTTCGCCATCCTCAGTGAGAATTTGCTCCATATCTATACCTTGTGGAACATCATTTGATCCAAAGAAAACAGAACTTGGGTGTATGAATACACGATTAGCCGGAAGATTTGTCGACTCCAAATCGGCTTGATTATAATCGTCATTCTTGACAAACAACTTTATCTTTTTGGCGTCAGGGTCAACTGCTACCGAGCCCAGGCTCAGCTTGAAGTATTTGGGACTTGGCAACTCTACTCGAGCAATCTGAGGATAGAATGCCCCAGCGATGACACTTCGCAATAGTTGATAATTGGTCAGGTTTCTGTTTAAATAGCCCTTGTTCGAGTTATAGTTCATTGGCACAAATCCAATTTCCTGGAGTAAAGAAAGGTATTGGCGTTTCGTCAGCAAGATTTCTTGCATTGTCAAGTATTTTAGTTTATTCAACGCCAAAAACCCTTTCGAATGATCTTCTTCATAAGCTTGAACCACATTGCATATCGCTACCATATCCCCTTGATCGTCTGCCCATTTTTTTTGAATTCTCTTGATTTCATCACGTTCATCTTGCAAGTTGAGGAAAGGCGACCCCGTCGAAGCGCTAGCTGCGAGCACAAGACAAGGTTCAAGACATCCAAATATGCAACCTAATATCAAAATTTTACCACTACCAATGTCAGTGGGTAAATATGATAAATGCAGTCCTAAGTGAGTCAATAGGCCGGATTCATCAATGGCTCCAATGTCCTGTAAATGTTGTGAAGCCTTTAGCATGTTTGAAGCATCAGGGACGTCTAATCCGCTTGAAAGAAATCTTGCGACATCAGTTATCCCCATCGCCTTCACTACGAGGAAAAGATTTTCAAGACGGGTACGCATTATCTCGGGGACAGGTTGCAGAGACATCTTCTCAAAGGTCTCTCGCGTGTAAATATGATAACAGGTACCACTCGTGATACGTCCAGAACGCCCACGGCGTTGCTTTACCTCAGCTTGTGAGCACCAATTTTCGACAAGCCTCGTTGTATTGAGTTTTGAATCAAAAAACATCAGCTTCGAGCGCCCACAATCAACAACTGCAACACAATCAGGAATCGTAATAGATGTTTCGGCAATGTTAGTAGAAACGACTATCTTTCGTGAGCCTTTGGGAGGTCTTTTGAATACTTGTTTTTGGTCTTGGCTGGATAACGCCGAGTGAAGGGGAACAGCCATGATTGATCCGTTAAGAACATTCTCAAGCTCTCTTATTAACTTTGAAATTTCCATTATACCTGGCATGAACACAAGAATACTCCCTTGACTTGCTGCGACTGTCAAATCTGCATCCACCATTTTGCACACTTGCGCAACTAAGCTATAGTTGATGGTACCTCTTTGGAAGAACTCAGAATCCGATTTCGGCACTATCAACTCACCATTACGCTCAATGGTGAAATTCGTTTTCTCAAGCAATTCGTCAAGATACACATCGGCAATCGGGAAAGTACGCCCCTCAATGTGGATGTGATTCACAGTGGTGTCGAAAAACTGTATAAACTTTGTGGTATCTATGGTTGCACTCATTAAGACGACTTTAAGATTCGGATATTTTGGCAAAATCTGCTTGAGAATGATCAACAACAAATCCAGATCAACCAGTCGCTCATGAACTTCATCGACGAAAATATAGTGCAAATACTTGAATAGATTCCCATTCAGACTGAGTTCCAGTTGCAACATTCGCAATAGAACACCAGTTGTCACAAACAGTATCCTGGTTCTGGGCGAGGTCTTGTTTTCGCCCTTGATGATATAACCAGTTTCCTGACCAACTCTGGCACCTCTTTCCTCACTAATACGCTCGGCCAATCCAATAGCTGAAATTCGCCTCGGTTGAGTACATAATATTTTGGACAGATAATTACTCTGAGAATTAAGATAATCAAGAATGAACTGAACAATTTGGGTCGATTTACCTGAACCGGTCTCACCTGTGACGAGAGTGACTTGATTCAGACTTATAATGTCAATTAATTGATCTCTCTTTCCCCAAGCAGGAAGGCTCTTGCGCCCTTCTACCATCTTCCTTGTCTGTTCATCACTCATTCGACGAGTGTAGTCTTGTTTGATCGCCGAAAAATCGTCATCAGTGAGAACGAGCCGCTTCCCAGAGTTCTTCGTGGGCTTCTGGTTGCTCGCCTTCACTGAGTTCTTTATATTGATAGGCAGTGTAACCAAATTACCTGGATTCGCAATGATCTGCGCGACATTCTCTTCAAGCCATTCGATCATTGTGAATAGCATTGGCCCCCCCAACATTGGTTGTAAATATTCACCCAACTTCCTAATGATCAGGAGCTTGATATAGTTAGCAAGCTTATAAGATGTTTCAGTTACCACCAAATGAATACCTGGAAATTGGTCAGGATACTGTGAACCCCGAAACACCCGAAGTTTAAGCATTCCCTTGAGTGTCGGAGGGGACAAAGGAATGTCCACAATAGTTTTACGATCGTTAAGGTAGGATCCCTTATGATCACCCATGAGCTCGAGTCCCTCTACTTCCTGCTCCCAAAGTAACTGTGAGTCTTCTTTGAACTCTGTATCATCAACCGACTCAACGTTCGCGAAACGCAACAAGCGATTTGTCAAAAATACTGCAGTCTCAACTTCATCATTTTCATGTTTGGCCAAACTGTCAACAATGTCGTCGTAATCGAAACCCAGTTGTAGCATTCTTTGCATCATATACTCTTGCTTGATATCTCGAGAAATTTTGAATTGAGCCCCCAGATCCTTCTCCTGTTTAGAGAAAAGAGGTGGTAAATCATCCTCAGGGATATGGAATAAGAGCCATTCTAAAGCATCATTATAATTACCTGTATGTTCAAATGCTTCATCAACATGTTGCGGACGAAATCCAAACGACACTAAACTTGCACGATCATTGGAAGAAGAAACTTTCTTCGAGGAGTTCCATTTAAGATGTTTCGTGATTTGACGCTCAATCTTGGAACGAATATCTGGAGGAAAATCGATAAAAGGTGCCCTTTCCCACACTGATCGAGGAAACGTTCTTCTAGTTTTTTCCAAAGCAGCCGGATGATGACTTGAAGCTGTAGATCCCAATGATACAACGGGCTTCTTTGTTTTCGCTTCGCTTTGCTTGCGGGCCTCGCGCTCTTTGGCCTCCTTCTTGCGGCGATCGTCTTGGTCTAGCTTGACTTGGAATGGATGAGGGTTGTACTTTTCATCATGAGCTCGCTTATTTTCCTTGGCCAAAGCCAATCTCGACTTTTCTAACTCACTCCAGTAGTCTCGAAATATGACTGGCAACATAAGTTTCATATTTTTCATGTAGTTTATGCGATACAACACGTAAGTAGCAGCATAATGCCTAGCTTCGTTTGTCGTTGCCTTGGGAGAGTATGTTTCAGAGTCAGGAATCATTACTAACTCCACCATCTCACGTTTAGGAGACTCCCAGCTCAACTTTACCACACCTGTGAAACCTTTACTAGATTTGCGCATATCAAAGATCGGCTTGCCCCACTTGTTCTTTTGGCAATGTTCATAAAGCAAGGTGGCGGGGAGTTTACCTGTCCATCCAAAATTGTCTCCAATCGCTAAACCTCTTTGAGGTTTCAGTGCATCCACAGTTGGTTCTGGTGTTTGGTCGCGTTTCCCCTTTTTGTTTTTGGTAGCTGGAATTGGATCCAGTGTATCGCTCTTTTTCAGTCCATTTCCCTTTTTTGTAGTATTAGTGTTTGGCTCAGTCGATGGTGTCACAGTCTTCTTCTTGCCCATGATGTGCGACGCGATGACATGTGCGATGAACATACGCGACGTAGGTTACATGAATCTTGCTAACTTGTCCGCATGATAACCTGATGATGACCCATGCTTGATTACCGAGTTCTTTTCAGGAATGTCTCAAAAAGTTAAAGCTGTGAAAATTTCAGAAGTTCTTCGAGTTTTGCTTAGCCCTATGGAATTGATAGCATCATCGTTCTAATACCAATTATATAATTGAGTAAATAGTGACTTGGAAGTTAATGTATGCTTCTGAATGATATAGTTAGCGCAATGACCTCTTGCCAATGCTGCGAAATGGCTTCATTCAGTTGTACATACGCTGGTGGTGTGCCCATTCCTGTTTCAATCTCGGAAAGTCTATTGTAGTTCTATTCTACAGAATAAGTCTTCTTCTTTTTAAACAGATAACCCCCATCTCCGTCGCGACCTATATTATGAGTTGATTACAGACTAGCCATCCTTGCTCATGGGATCTTGCCGCAGCTAGCTGATAAATAAATTACTATGTAGACCGAATTTACTATAGCATTAATTCTTAGTCAGACTCACTTGAGAGTTCTGCCTTGCGACTGTCTCAGATGAGATGTAAAGTGATCATTCACTTATGATCTGTATCCCAACGACTGACGTGATCGGGTATCTATTATGCCCTGAACATCAGGACTCATTATATTCGAAATTTCAAAAGTTCAATGGCATCTTGTCTAACCGACTCAAACGCTGAACGGAGCTCCATAATCATGCAAATGCACATAACCATCTATCCTGAATATTGGGCGATGGCATTTTTTACGTTCAGGTGCAATTGGTGTGGATGTTTAGCCCAGAATGTACACTAATATAGTCGCGGTTATGATTGTAACACCGATAGATTTATAGTCCAAGTGTCGAACTTCGCAGACGCTAAAGGTTAAGTATGCCTAAGCTTTAAGTCTTTAAAAGCAACGAGATGGCGTTTCGAAAAAAAGTACAGTCTTATCGGCGTTCTGAAGTTGAATAGATTCGAAGCAGTTGCGTCATTCTCGGAGTACTCGGAAGGATGTGTTTACCGCTGCGCATAAACCACACAGTCTTGGACCGTGGCGAGCATGGCAAGGCTTAAGCGTTAACGCAAACATCACCAAGGGAAAGTATCAACCGACTGATAACATTGGTGTACTTCATTTGTCCGGTTTGCTTTCATATCATGGTAGTTGAGCTCGTTCTGTCGGCTGATCATTCGAGCAAATTACTTGCAGTGCGAGTCCTGGTACGACAGACTTGTCCTCCATCAAGATGGCCGCGCCATAAGATAGGTGCCACGAGACCCTGAGATTATCGCGCGGCATCATAACAATGAGAGAGCGAGTTTTCGTTAGTAGGGGAGTATAACACGAGGTCGGCATAAGACAAGATCTTATTAGTCCTGTAGTTGACTTTTGTTTTGTTTGTAAGTTGAATGATTAAGGGGCTACTGAGCGATGGTTGGGGGCGGGGACCTCGGTAGTGCAACTGACGCTCGAGGCAGTGAGCATGGAAAGGTGGCTTTTTCCGTTATTCCGGCAGGGCTGCAGCATGTCATAGTACGAACCAATAGCTTACTCCGATAGTACTGGACGTTGCCACCGGCAAAAGAATTTCTTTCTTGTCGCCTACGAATACTGAGTCAAACGACCGGTGGCGGACGATGGCTGACCTAGAACTTCTTCGAATGATAAATTTCCTTTCCTTCAGTTGAGTTTTTCGGTCACAGCAACCGCAACTACAACACAAGCTCCCAAAAACTGGAGGGGTAGGCCGCACTTTTCTTCTCGCTCCGGCAAAGGTGGAAGACAGTTAGTCGTCTGGTTCTTGGCCAGCGGTCTTCTTACTGAGGTCTGGTTGCTGCCGCTATACTGGAGTTCAAAAAATAACGTAAACAGGCCGTAAGGTGGGTGAAAAAATATTTTCTCAACAACAAGAATTTAATAGTGACACTTCTGGCCGTCGAAAATCGCATCTTCGTGGCTACTGCTACTCGTGTCCCCACTGCCACAGAATCGTCTCCGCCCTATTACCGGCTGTTTGAAAACTAAAGTCGACTGCATCGAGCCATTGGTCGGACAGCGCCACCACGTTCATTTGCTATATCTCGGCCGCTACTCTCCCCGTTGAATACCACCTTCCTCGAACCAGTAGGGGCCAAGATGTACGACGATCACCCATCCCACATCAAGAAGAAGCGGGTGGGCAAGGCGTGTGATCTGTGTCGGATCAAGAAGACCAAATGTGACGGCAAAAAGCCGTGTGGCCGGTGTATCGCCGATAACAAGATCTGTGTGTTCACTGAAAAGAAGAAGTTGAGAGAGAAAAGTCATCCCCAGGGATATGTGGAATTACTAGAAACCCGGTTAGATATTTTAACCAAATCCTTGGAGAAGATGGTCGAGTTGTCAACCCCGCACCTAGCGTTTCTTCAAAAGCTCGCAGTCGCTTCCCCGGAGGATGATCTTGAAAGCGCTAGTGATGATGACGGAGAGGGCGAAGGTAACGAAAATGCCATCCCAATCAATAGGGTCGTTGAGTACTTGATCAATCAGGAAGGACTTCTCAAAAATCTACCCGTGGAATGGGAGAAGGGGGCACTGATTGCCGCCAGCTTCGACCCGAAGCGCAATTTACGCGAGCTGGCAAAACAGTTTGCCGATCACAAGGGCGACGTCGCCGATCCACAGCCGGCTACGTCGTCACTGGGCCTGTCTGGTAGAGCCAAACGAAGAGAAGATTCTTCTCTTGCAAGCTCTCTGACCCCTTTGGGACTGGGCTTTGGGCCCACACAATTTCTGATCGGTAGTTACTCACCTGGCGGCTTGGTTTTAGCCCTGCTGGCTCCAGTAAACTGCGCTGAACCTCAAGGTTTGAGCCCACTGGTCTTTTCAGATGTCGATCTGGACAATAACCTGCTTCATCTGGGACTCAATCAAACAGACGTTCTGCCACCCATTGAGGTGTTCCATAAGCGGCTGAATTCATTGTTTTTGGACAATTTCGGCGTGCCTCCAGAAATACCCCTACCAAAGCAGAGCTCTCATCTGCTGGTGCTGCTGTTGCAGTCACCGCTGATGATCGCTGCTGAAGCTGCGGCAGTGGTAACAGCTCCACTAGACCGTCGTGGACTGGTAGGCCGTCTGGGACCTTACCTGCCCAAACTTGGGCCACAGAATGGCGTTCACAAGCCACTGCATTTACTGGCCACAGGCCACCATCGACTGGCGCTGCTTATTAGCGATTATCTGCCACCTACAGAAATGCCACTGGTCTTCCAACCTCAGCTGCAAGCATACGTGGCCCCAGATATGATCGTAAACTCTAAGGATATGATGGATGTCGAGGTCGCAGATCTCCAAAACACTAGTGGACTACCGGCTTCGGGATCTCTGGGTTTACTGAATGTACTCAACTTGTCGATGGATGATGATCTCGGATGGACAAATCCGTTTGCCACCAACCACTAGTTGTATCACCACTCGCTTCATTGTATTTTGTTTGGTTTTTTTTTTGCTTTACCCCTTGGAACTAATATTTAGCTTTTTTTATTGTTCTTGCTTTGCGACTTTATGGGAAATTTTTGGTTGTACTATATAAACATAGGGCTTACTTAGTAGTTCAAGACTTTCATATGTTGATGAGCTCCTTCATCGCGCTGAATTTGCCTTTCTCGTACCAATACAACCGACAGGGTTGCCAATTTTGATTGACGATAAACGCTCACGTTTGCGATAACATCGTTACGTACAGTTCTGTCACGACATGCGCTCTACGTGTGGAATTTCTGTGCAATTACAACGTGTCGTGACGTGAATACATCATGATACTATCCGCACCATTTTGAATTGCTGCAGCAATGGGCGAGATTAAATTAGTGTATATAGGCGGCAATGCCAATGTTCTCCAGATTCTTGACTCTCTTGGTTTCAGGGGACTTGACGGGATCCGCCTGCATCAAAGCTCGCCATGTTGCCTCACACTGAACTGTCACGCGTGTCTCCCATCAGCTGTTTCTGATGCAAAAACGGCTCATGACAACAAACCTAACTGACAACAAACATTACGAATAGTGTTGAGCAAATTTAACACATTCCAAACGCCACCACTTTATTAGATGAAGCTATTAATCGCATATGTTGTGATCTTGAAACTTCCCGACTGGGCACCCATGAATGGCGTTAATAACATGGACGTAATTTAAGGTTAATGTCACATCAAATCAGAAGATGTGGCACATAAAATCCGAGGCCTCGACCGATCGTAGTTCCATAAAATTGCTTAACGGCGCAAGTCAGCCGTATACATCAAGGAAGTGTCGATATTTGCGGATACTGTACCAACTTACATTCACTTGCTGCAATCTAGATGGGAAGGCTACCACCACTCAGTCGAAAAGGGGTTTCTTGCTAAGCCATAAGTAAATGCATTAAGTTGTGGCAATGGTGAAGTATTATATAATACCCGAAAGCGTAAGCTTTTCAAGAAAAGGCAGTAAATCATCTTTGCGGATCTCGATAGCAGCGCTATTAAATGAATCAACGCGAACCTTGGCTCCCAGTGACGCTGCAAGCTCCTTGAACGCCACGCTAAACGTATTGAGTCGAGTAGTTGAGGATCCTTGCTGTATCAAACGAGCACGAGCCAGGGCATCCATATCTCTGGGATATTTTGGTGCCAACCCCATCACCATATATGTATCACTGTTAACATCCAAAGAAGCAACAACAAGCGGTTTAAGTTGGACTTGATGCAGTTTGTAGTCAACTTCAGTTAAGTTATCCAAAAGCCATGTTCCGAGTTTTGCAAGCATTAGGGGGTTCACAAACACCGCCAAATCAGGAATAGCGTTATCGTAAAGCACACAAAGTCTGTATAGTCTCAAGTTTTTAATAAGTTTGCGCTCCAAGAGTGACATTCCCGTGCGGAATACAATTTGTTGGACTTCTTTAGCTTTCCCAAGACCCTCAAGGAGTAAGTCATATCCTTTTATGCGAGTCCCAAGAGCCAGTTGAGTGGTTGTAGGAGCCAAGTCAAGAGCATCCCAGCCTCTCCAAAAATTCTCAATCCACAATTGCTCCCGTTTCACGATGTTTTTGTTTATGGTACCATTATCCAATTCTTCTTCGACTCCAGTACTTGAATTTGCCAGTGTTTCTAAAAGGGCGGTCAAGGCTTCCACACATTCCATTGCCAGTAATTGCACGGTATAACCAAAGTATCGGAAAAACCCTTCACGAACTATTCCTTCAAGCCCATAAACAGGGAGGTATTTCGAAAAGATATATGGCAATTGTTTCTTGATTCTCACGTCCATGTACAACCATTTTTGTTGGGCTACAGCTAATGATACGCCCATCTTTGCTAACATCTTGTGTAATCGCTTCTTCCCATCCTGGGTCCACAAATTGAGTTTAGCATTCACCATAGAGGAGTAGGTGAAGGAGTCATAGAGTGTCCAATGTCTCAAAAGAAACAAGTGATAGTCTCTTTCAACAGTCAACGTCATTGTGTCGGCAGTTTTCTCGTTATCTTCGAAATGACTCAGCGGCACCAAACGATGGACCTCGTCTCTAAATATCGGCTGCAATTTGTCATACACTTGTGGGTAATTTGAGTCAAGTGAGCTTGTACCAACAATTGCCAACCAGAGATTATCAATCAGGGTCTCACCAATCTTTGTCATGAGGGCATATATCAAGGATGATGTAGAAGTGGCAACAGTACTGCCTTGGTTATAGTAATCTTGTATGATGATTTCCAATGCATTACGATGGTGCTTTGCTCGCAACTGCTGCCTTTTTCTGTTTTGCATGATCTTATAATTGCGTACATCATCATCATCGTCCAGCTCAATTTGTTCGTCTGAAAGATCTTCAACTGCCTCACTTTCCAGCTCTGAGTCGGCGTCGGTATCACCTTCATCGGCTGCATAAAGTTGAACAAGTTCAAGGTAAGCATCTCTTTCATCGTGTAAACCATTATCTACGGTACCATCATCAAAACACACCACCATATCAGTGTTAAATAAATTGTCCAAGTTCCAGGGTCTGTGGCCGTCAAGAACGTAGATTTTACGCCTGTATTGTTTTTTCGAATGCTTTTTCACATCGTCTTGTAATTCTTGTCGCCAGTGATCATTCCAGTCGTTATTATCCATCGAATATTGTTCAGGATTTATCTCAAGGTATGCCTCGAGGTCAATCAGCAGGCCGCACCCTATCAAAATAATCAGCGAGACTTCTTCATCCATGTCTTGGTAATGCACTTTCAAATCATTATAGCCAACAACTGGTATAAGCTGATATTGTATTAATTCTTTTCGCAAAAGTTGACTCAATATACGAGCCGTGCAGATGGCGTCTATGTCAAGACACAGAACGAACATAACAAGCTTGCATGTCAGATTCGATATCAGTCGTCGCTGGATCTCTCTGAATTCTCGGGCATACTGATCGGGGTTGATATACATTAATTGAGAACGCGTCTGAATTGAGCGGCATCGAAAAGCGCGTCGTAATCACTCACGATATTTGAGAACGAGGCAATCAAAATTAGGAACGAAGGGGTGGGATATGGCCCACATTCAATAAAATTAAAAACGCACGAATGGTATTCTACTTTTTGAGACATCCTGCTTAAGGATTGAACACTTACTACTGAAACCTAACTCCACCCATGAAACGAATTTTAACACACATTGAAACAACAACACACTTTAGAATCTTTACGACATTTGAATTACTATACTCGGTTTATTTACCCTGTATTCCATACATGAAGGGCAGCTCCAAATCTGTAGACGAGATATCGATTATCCGATAATAGCTGTCAATCGCTGCTCGACTTATGTCAAATAACATCATGTAGGTTTTTCCTGACGTGACTCATCTCATTTGAGGTTAGACAAAGAGACTTGGGCTTGATACCAACTTCCTTCAGAATTTGAGTCAAGAGATTCTCAATTTACCTCAAATCTGATGGTCCTGAGCATTGTAGAATGTCAATTACAAGCTTCAGGTATCAAGGTGGTAATCGCTCACAGAATTGTCGAAAAATTCTTGTAAATTAAACGATTGGGACCCCATATCGTTAAATTGGTGCCCTCAAGTTGCTTGAAAATCTTATGCCATACTTTGTGCTCGACGCTTGCATCCTCGTTGATGTGGCCACACTTGAGACAGACCTTGTTAGACTTGATCTGGATGGTCAAACGTTTGACAATGCCCATATCGCGCAAAAAGCCCCCAAGGCCTTGATCATCAATCACCCAATCATCCTGCTCGAGGAAATTTTTCTCAACACACGTAGAGATGTCGAAATTTTTGAGGAATACATGCTTTAATGTAGCGTATCGACCCTCGCCTGAACAAACAAGTCTAAAGAATGGATTGTATTTCGAAAAGTTGAGGACCTTATTCCCCCCGATGATGTTATAGAATAGTGCCGAATCCATATCAATTTCCAAATCCAGGAGTGAATCCGTCAGACCCCTTACGTAGTCAATCAAAGACAAGTCACGTTGAGCTCCGATCCGCTCGAGTGAAATAGTATTGCAACTCGAAAGCAAGGGAATTACTTTTCTTTTTTTGGCAGAATACTTGCAACCCGAAAAGGTTACCTTTTTAATAACGGCTGTCTTAACGATGGTTGCGTTGTCGAAATCATCGTCGATGATGAAATTAACGAGTTCCAAATGGTCAATCTCATCGAAATAGTCGAATATAGCAGAAAATTGATTGAGACGAGCGGGTAACGTCCATCCCGATTGTGTTTTGAGTGTCAAATGTGGAAGATGCCGTCGTATTTGCTTTGACGGTTTGCGAAAGACTGATGAAGATGATTTTCGTGATGTGTCAGATGGAAATGCAAAATTAGGTGCAACTTCATCTAGGGTGATTTTTTGGATACTGTATGACTCAGTAAGCAACAGTCGAAACACTTGCACAAACGTATTGTAGGTCAGATTGTCATCCAGGGTTTCAATATTGTAGGACCCAGCTATTTTTATGGATCGCTGAACATTTGGTATAGGTGGTTTAGTTATTGTTATCAGCTTTATAACGTTGATACAGGAGCTGGACTCTTTGATCCCTCTTTTTTTTGGTAAAGGTAGGTGATTGATCCCAAATTCTATGAACTTGATAGCGTTGAAATCAAGCTCACGATAGATGTGTTTGACTGTAAGCTGGTGAAATCGTCGACATGTTTGACCCAAGTTGACAAGGCCGGGCTTTGAATTGACATGTCCGAAAATCTCTGTAAGGATTTCTGGGGGAAGCAGATGAATATGGGCGGGTGGATAATCCGGCGTGGGTTCAGCTTTCAAAACTTTCCGACGCGAAATGAATTGATACCGCATCTGACGTTTCGAGTGTGGACTTTGAGCTGGGTAAATGAATGGTGCGAAGTTTTATAGCGGGGTGACCGGTTATTGCTGCACGGAAAGTGAGACGAAAGCTTGTGTACGTCTTCTCAGTTCAGTCTCTCGAACACACAGGAAAGGATTTCGCTAGCGTCGTAAGATGTACATGGGGACCTTGTGATCGTTTATCTCGCACTTAATTTCTGTGATCTACGACTATGGCTGATATACAGCGTCAAGCTATTGAGCATCTATTGGGAAGGGAGAACACCTCTGTGGGGACCCGGGAAGCATTATCAATATCACTGCCACGCGTGTGCAAGCTGTTTATAGTGGGGACATGCCCACATGATCTCTTCGTGGGTACGAAACAAAATCTCGGCAAGTGCCACAAGCTCCACCTTGAGAAGTATCGATTGGAATATCAGAGTCGTGTTGATCGAGGAGATAAATTCCCAGAATTTGAATATGAATATTATATCCATCTTCGGCAATTCATTGAAGATCTCGACAATCAAATTGCTGTGGCCCGTAAGCGGTTGGAACACACTCCCGAAGAAAAGGTGAAAATTGCAGAAGCCACTCGTGAATTAGACGTGGCTGATATGCGCATTGCTCTTATGACACAGGAGTTACATGACTTGGTAGATAAAGGTGATAATCAGCGGGCCTTACTACATACCATCGCTTTGAATAAGGAACAAACACAGCGCCAAAAGCTATTCGAAGACGTGCGAAGCGTTATCGACAACGTGGGACAATCCTCACAGCAAAAGCTTCAAGTCTGTGAAGGATGTGGTGCATATTTGTCACGTCTTGACAGCGATCAACGGTTAGCGCATCATTTGATGGGCAAAATTCACTTAGGATATGTCCAGATGCGCAAAGCATACAACCGATTAGCACTTCAATATGGTCAAACCAAACCGTCTGGACTCGGCTGATACGGAGAGAGTTTCATCATTATGCACATTCATATGACCTACAAAGATTGATTGTATACTTTTCGTGGCATTAATGAAGTCTGCGTACGATATCAATATAGTCTACTCCATTTTCAATCCATCAGCTTTCTCTCTCTGTTTGATTTTCTCATCATCCTTCTTAAGTAGCTGCTCTTGAGCTTCTTCTTCTTGTTGTTTCAACGGCGAGATTCCCTTTCCGACCTTTCCCAGAGGTACATAGTTTAAAGCGGCTAAACGTTCCAGAAGCAAGGGATGAGAGCGGTGATAGGCAGAGTATAACCAGTATGCTTCGACATACAGCAAGTTTTCGTTTGTCAACTTGATCAAAGATGAAGACAAGTCTTTTTCGAATCCACATTTCTTTGCGTAGTTGTCAGCTTCATATTCATGTTTGCGAGACAACAAGTGAGTAATGAAAGTCGTTATGGCCTGAACTGGTTGAAATAAATACAGGAACAATGAAAAACCAATAATCACCGGTCTGGTAGTATTGAATCCAAAGGCTTCATATAACAGGCCATTATTGATGAAACCATTGAACAAGGTGAAGGTGAAAGCAAGACTTGCCTGAGAGTACGCTAACATCTTCGGCAAATGTGACAATTTCCAATGCCCAATTTCGTGAGCTAAAACAGCGACCACTTCCGCTGTTGTCAGATGGTCGATGAGAGTATCGTAAAGCACAATTTGCTTGGACCAAGGCAAACCCACAAAATAAGCATTCGAGTGAGCGGATCTTTTAGAACCGTCAATCTTGTACAATTTTGTGAGTGGGAACTTCTGTTCTTTAGCAAGATTTTCGATAGCAATCTTCAATTCGCCCTCCTCTAAAGGCTCGAATTTGTTAAAGAGAGGGGCAATAAACGTAGGATAGACAGTTTGAACCACCAAAGTAAACACCAAGAATAAACCCGTTGCATACAAAATAAAATTGCTTCCAAAGTGATCAACAATCTTCAAAAACGCAGAGACTAAAGGCACAACTAGTGCTGCAGTCACAAAATACGTCTTAATAAAGTCAGTGAAGAATAATTTGGGCGTCATCTTGTTGAAACCATAACGGTCTTCAACCACGAAGTTTTCATAATAGTCGAATGGTAATTCGAGTAACAGATGGGCGACCAGCGAGACAAACAAGTAACACAATGACTGGGTAATGGGACCTCCCATGAATGAAGGAAGAATAGGACTCAATTTAGTGAGAAGTGATCCACCAATTGACCAGAATTTTGCAATTAAGTTGTACTTTATTTCAATGAGGTCAACAACAACACTAAAAGTCAGTGCAAGCCATTTGAATTTCATTTTGGATCTTGAATAATCTTGAGATTTATCGAAATTCTCCTGTGTTATTTCGGCTTTGAGTGTTGCTGGAGGAGTTTTGCGTTTTAACACTTGATATTGACGGTAATCGAGGTAACGTTGAAACACAAAGTTCCCGAGAGTAATCCCCACAATTACCTGTTTCCATGGTATGTCACGGTTATCCAACAACGCTAAGGAATGGTTGAGACCCCACATGTTGACCAAGATTGGGTGCGCTGTCAACTTTTTATTTCTGTTCAATCACGTGAGGTAAAGTGCCTCGCGTATGATCAGTTGGAAACATGGTTGTATACAATTTGATGTAAAATGCGACCTGAGGCCACTCGCTAGTGGCGTGCCTCTACAACTGTTTTAGCTTCACCGAAAGTGTCCTCCTTGTTGTAAGCAAAAGGCCAGATTCAATTTAGCCCTGTTAATATATATATGAATTCTTCTGCCTTTACGTCATTCAATATCCACTTTTCTGACGATACGAAGAATTTAAGATTATGGTCAGTACAAGATCTCTAATGTGAATTTTCTCTCTCTCTGTAAACAAATCCTATCCACACACTATCTGTTTCGAGAGAGAAACGCTCTCTCACATCATAGATATGCTTTACGATATGTGTTTCTTTATCATGACCATCTATTTCCATATTTCTAAAACCGGGGACCAGCCCAAAAAAATCAACTTTACAGTTCCAACTTGATTATGATCAAGCTTTAAAACAAATCAGCATAATCAGCACAATTCGGATGAACTAGGTCATGTTCTGCATGTTCCGCAAATCGAAAGTGTTGCATACCGCATCCGTTGTAATTTGCCAATATTCTGTCAAAGGATTCACAATCCGAAGCAACCAATTTGTTGGCGTAGTCAATCACCAACGGAAGTCCCAAGTTAACGCGATTGAAGTCCTCGTCGGAAAGACTGTCGAACTGATTTTTTCCAAATAAGCGATGAATGATGGCCTTATTCTCAGGATGAACATCAACACACTCCATCAAAAATTTGAAATCCATAGGGCATAAATCTCCTTGCTTCGTTTGGATATCGAACTGACCACGGCAGTGTTGTTGCAATTTCTCATATAATGATGATTTCCCGTGAATACCAGTATAAATGGCCATGGAAGGCTTGGTTTTGGTTGCAGTCTTAAGCCAATTGCGAAACATTCCTGACAGAGAACTTGAGCAGTTGCGGAAGCGCGGTTATGATTAGCGCCAATCTCTTTATATAGTTGGAGCTTTCGTTTGTATTCTACGTTTTTATATAGCCTTACCTAAACGATGAGCGTGTTCTATGCGACAAAGGAGGGGTAATTTACCCCTCTTCGGAGGACTGCGAATTGCTACAGGTTATCTCACACGTGTGAGGAGGGGAACAGTTTAAAAATTAAAATGTAAAATCTACAAACGTTGAACTTTAAATTGAACTTTAAATTGAGAATGGATAGTAACCGTAAACTAATAAGCTAAAAGGGAAGGACACTTGGTGGCTAGTTTGATCAATCGAATTGAGATCGCCCACGTTCACGCGTTTCCATGCATATGGCTGATTTTTGTACTTCGCAACGATCCCAACACGCGCAAAATCTCGTACAACAAAACCCAACCAGTGATAAAGGCGTTGCATCAAATTGTTCTGGACTCTTCGTAAGAACCGCCAATCGAGTCTTGAGATACTTAATTCCATTCAATCGCTTACTCTCTATCGATGTATTGTATATTGGATTACTCTAATTTGAGTGATTTAAATTATCCTCAAAAGTTTGATCGGTAGGTAGAACTTGACTTGACACACCGGAAAAACTTGACGTGAAGGTAAGATGCGGATTGTTGGTCGCCGACTTGACTCTGGCCTTTGACTCGTTTGTCATGTCGGGCATTACCGAGACACATAATCAGTTGCTTGAATATCGACTTCACCATTTAAATCAGATTCATTAACAAGAGGTATCGGGGAAAACCGCAAGTATTAGCCAGTATAGTTATCTATCAAGTCATCCTCTTTTGCAAAAGAAAAAAGTATGGTCCCTAGCGGGATCGAACCGCTGATCTTGGCGTTATTAGCACCACGCCTTAACCAACTGGGCCAAGGGACCAACTTGCACATGTGTCGTGTAAAATGCTAACTTCCAGATCGGAGTTATTGAGGAATGACTCCGATGCTGGTCGAAGGGTCTGGAAGGTTCGAGAAGCCAGACGAAGTCACATGTGAAGGCTCGATACACATGTGACAGATGCAGAAGAAGGTACCTGGAGCTTCCATGGTGGCAAAGTGGGAAGCCGCAGGTTGGTGTATAAATATGACTGATTTGATTAGAAAAGAATACAAGTGTTTTATTAGTGAGCTTCGGATATTATACAACAACTTGAAGCATCCAATATCACAAATGCATTGTGTCACTCGAAAGTACCCTTCAAAAAAGGCAGAAGAATTGCGAGATACCTTCAATTCCATCAAGATATAGGTAATACCACTAACTTAATGTCTAGCAACAGCCAAGTTCTTTGCAATTGGCAGGTTATGAAATTCATAATTTGACAGCAGGCCTCTCTTCGAGTCTTTCATAACAGTGTTCAAACTTATAATACAAAACCCATTCGGCCTGTGTGAGGCCTATGTGCTAATTTTTCACATAACGGATAGATGGGCATGCAAGATTCGTAAGGGTAAGTGTTAGCTGCTTAGTTAGGCTATGTTGATCTTACAGGAAGACAGGATTGAGATAATCGGCACCAAGACTAATTTGATATTACAGCCCGAATGGGGAGTTTTATTCAGCTTTGTGATAGTCCTTAAGTGACAACTTGTATTCTTTATAGGTTTACTTTCGCACATAACCGACTACATCACCCAGTGCTATGGATATTTGCAGCTGCCATATATTTACCGAAAACATCAAGTAAACATTATTATTACAGCTAACTCAACACATCGAGAGAATAATACGCCACATCGAGGGAGGATGCACTCCCATTCGTCATCATCATTCGGTTTTCATAATATGTTATTTTTCTCGTGAATACATCAACACCAACCCCGAAGCGAATTCAGGCCTATATCCCCATTTTGATTTGTGGATGTCTGCGAAAACTCGTCAGATTGAGACACCCAATGATTAGGTTGAAAATCTTTTGGCATGAAGTATGTTGAAAGTAATTGAAAATCACAACAAACGCCTATCACAAAGGTTGGGTGAAACAATTCTCTCGAGTGAGACCTGTCTTTAAGCAGCATTTAATGTCAGTACGTCACCCATCCAAATTATGGTAATACATTTCATGCTGCTTATAACGACGCCGTGCTCTTTGGTGCTCCTGATCGTCTTGGTAGGACGCCTCCCTCATAACATCGGTGTAGGTGGGTAACGTGTTTTGTTCAACAGCTTGTTGCTTCTCCGATAACCCAGATTCAGTTGCAGGATAGGGTGGAGTTTTTGAGTACGTTGGAATTGAGCCAGTGCTTTCCCCAAAATTGACTGAAGATTTCAGAGCATTTGAGTGCAACAGCAGCGTAAGCTGCAAGCCCGATAGAATTCGAACATTGGGACATACCAATTCAACATTTTTAACTTTGCGATTGATTTCGTTGGAGTCTTTAAAATTGTGTACCTTCTCCAGCGAAAAACCAGCCAGCACCGTCAACAGATATTTTCGGCTAATGTTACACGTTCGAAAAGTCGGAGATAAGTGTTCCGGCAATACACAATTAGAAAAGTACTGCTTAGGGATTTCAATTTCGTAAATTTCTCCCCCACCAACATGGCTTTGCATCCCTGCCAGTCTAACAGGTTTTGCATTAACCAAATCAAATTTGAGATTCTCATAGACGTTATTGCATATTGGAATCACACGTTCATTTGTCCCATTGTGAATATCTCTTTCGTTGCCGTTATCTTCGAGTACCAGTACTGAAGTGAAAATGGTGAGTGATATAGATAGCTTTTGCAAATACACTACACCCAAGCCACTCAGTTCTCCTGGTCGACCATATTGAAGTTCATAACGCAGCGGTCGATGGTTAGAAACAAGGAAAAGCCGAAATGATGGGGGCTTGTCGGGGATGAGGAATGCCGGGTGTCGGAATCGTATTTCAAATCCGAACGGAACATCCTTGGCTTGAATTTCATACTCCTTTCTATTCCGTTGCTTCGAAATATTGATAGGTTGACCTGAATTGATTTGGCCACCGTACAGACGATCAGTAGGCATTGTCGAAGGATCAAAAATCTTTTTGAAGAATCCTCGTTTCTGCTGTGGCGATGGCACCGTGATTGGATCAGGCATCATTGGTGGTGGAGGTGTAGTGCGAGGTGGAGAAGCTGGAACTCCGATGATATCAGGTATACGATTCGAAAACACAACATGTTTTCTTACGAATACCTCTCTATATTCCTCCTCTGCCAATCGAGTTGAGTTCTGTTGCGGAATATCAAGATCCAATGGTAAAAACACAAATGGCTCGTAGGAACGCAAATTCTGCTTGAATATCAGCAGACGTTTGCATGTCACTTTGACAAAATACTTGACCAGCGCAAAATCATCCATGCCCAGTAACAGAGGCGGTAATTGAGCAGATATGTGATATTGCTGCACAGAAGACCTCTGAGGTGGCATACCAGGATCAAGCTGTTGATTTAAGTACAGTTTTGCTTTGTTAACAAAAAATTTCTGATTGAAATTCCCATTGTTGAGAACCACATTCATGTTCTTCTTATTAAACAGAACTTTGTTGGTGATCCCACTCACTTTCACACAATTCAGCTCCAAAGGAATAGTGAATTCGAAAGGATAGGTGTAATTTCCAGGGGTTAAAGTGAATTCGCGTCCCAGTTGAACATTGCGTACGTTTGGAGGAGGAAATACAACAACTGAATCGTACAAGACTTTGTGGACATCAATAATCGTACGCATGCGTTCTTTATCCGATTTTCTTCGCTTAACCTCAGGTACTTTGAGTTCCGAGCGAGTAATCCCTTCAAGCTTCACGTCGATCAGAGCAAGCGAGATCAGGTCTGTGACAGCAAGGGTGACAACTCCTCTAACGATATCATGATTTGTGAACGTTCCATTGGTATCCAGGCGGTCGATATCAACTTTTACCGTACCTCCAGAACCCATGGTCGTAGGTGAGTGGAAATTTCGCAAATGATCATGTGCCACCCACTGAGTTGTGTGCCCAGATGGCAAATTATGGGGAAAATAGCGTAACACTTGTGGCTTCACTAAAGTGATCATCATCAGAGAAATGGTATAAATAAACCGCCTTTGTCCATCACACCAATAAGTAGCGAATTCTTCTAAGGCAGCACGTATCTACATAGGGTGGACAAATTTCGCAAGAGCCTCCCTTGATATGCTTGCTTATGGGTACAGGGCTGTGCAAACCATGGCTTCAAACAAGAATGCTCACGATTATATAACATCAAATTATATACGAAGCTATAGGGTTTACATTCTCACGCGTTGCTGTTGCTTCTTTAACATCTTCTTTCTCTTCTTCTCCTGCTCTTTCTTCTCCAACTTTAATTGCTCTTGCGGACTCAACCTTCTCCGAGCTTCGGCTTCTTCACGGAGCTTTTGAGCGGCTTCCTCTTGTTTGCGTAGTTCGCGGTCTTCGTCCAAAAGCTTACGAATCTTGTTCACCTCGTTATCTCTAGTCTTGACGATCTTCTTCAAAGTTTCGGGCCGTATCTTGATTTCATTAGCAGCCAACCCATCAACTACTTCGAAAAGACCTTCAAGAAGTTCGGATAATTGAGCAAGTTGAGCCTTGTCGGAAGTGATGTCCACAGACACGACAATGCGACGTCTAGGAATCAAATCAGCGATTTCTTCAGGTTTGGAAACTGGTAAATCTGTGAAAGCAACATAGCGCAAAGACTTGAATAAGTTGTTTTTGATTTTATCGGTGGTGATGCGCTCGGCCAACTCATTAACTTCAGTCATGTAAACAAATTCCACAGGCAATAGCGACGAGTCATTCGTGGTGGTAAGCGAAAGGTAGAAATTCTTTTGACGATGATCGTTCATCCCATTCTTGTTTACAATCCCCGCGATGAAGTTGTCATATTGTTGCAGTGGATAAATCGTAATCTCGCAAGTGTCCTCGGGCTTAGGGATCGACGGAAAGAAGAAAGAAAGAACAAATTCAAAAAACCAGACAAGGAAGTTTTGCCTCGCTTGCAAAGTAAACTGAAAAGCGACACTAGCTATGTTTTCCCGTCCGGTAGCGTAACCCGTGAATTGTTCGGGCGTGTCTTTCTCAAGCTGTGGAGCTTTGGGGTCAGGGGAGACACCAACTTGTGCAAAGTTTTCATTGAGCACTCCTTTCAATCCATTGAAAAAATTGTTGGCCTTCTTGGTGTTGTACCAATTCCCTAATATGTAAGCACCCACAAACGAGGCCACCATCACTGAAGTTACCAACTCCAAACTCCAGTTTTGCGCCTTGACTCGGCCAGCAAACGACATTGCCTGAAATTCGGCATACGTGATGTTGGCATTCAAGGGCGTTTGCACGAAGAATTTCGCCACCAGGTTCAAGGCCTCCATGCTTGACTGGACAATTTTTCGCGTCAAAATTTTCGAGCCCTACTGCAGCCTAACGAGCAAATACTCCTCTTGGCAAACTTAATAAACGAACGTCGCCCTGCGATAATAGCATCGACATATGAAAATTGGTTGACAACTCCCATCTTAAAGCTAACAGTGATTTGTGTGTTGTGATTTTTATTGTTATACGTCAGATTGTATTGCGTGAGCATTGTAGCTGTTTCGGATCATCAAACTTAAACATCACTGCAACGATTACTGATCCCTTTGCCTCTTATAACTCGATTGTTCCTCCTGCAGGAGCATGCTTTCTCTAACGGTTTGGCGTAAAAAGTCTCTCAATCCTTCCTCAGGGTTCTCGCTATTTAGGATTTGCTCTAATTGTTGTTTTTTATCTTGCAGAATTTCTTCTGGTATGTCCTCTGGATTCTCCATGGTGTATTTCACATCAAATTGATCGGCGTGACGAGTAGCGTCGTTAGCCAGTCTTTTTCTAGGCTTCATTCTTTCCTCTTCTTCTTTGCGGAGCTGTTCGTTGACCAACTCTGTCTCTAAGTCTATACCTTGACCATAGTTTTTGAGGAACTTGACGATTTCGGGATGTTCATCATCTTCCTCGATGAATTCTGCAGCTGTCAATCCGTCCGAATTTTTTATGGTGCAATCAGCCTTATATTCTTTGACTAAAGCGATGGCAGTTTTCAAATCTTCCACATGATGTAAAGGGGTGTCACCTTCATTATCTTGAACATTGACATCACCCCCGCGGGAGATTAAAAGTTGCAATAAATCCAAATGGCCATACGAAGCGGCTGCATGTATCGGGGTATAACCGTTGTGATCTTTGGCATTTGGAGATCCTCCTTGAGTCAAAAATTCATTCACTACCGAAGTATTATTGTCCGCAGCAGCGATCCACACGTTGACCATGGCGCGATGAGAATTCAATTGTGCACCTTCGTTCTGCGACCAATCCAAATATGACTGAAGTCTCTGATACTGTCACGAAATCTCAGCAGCTCTCACCAACTTCAGAGCTTAATGGTTTCTCTTGGTGGAAAAGAGAAATGAGCTATCGCTTAGGTTTGTTGCTGAGTGGCGAGATGCAGCAGTTTGAGTATGATTACTACAATAGAAATTTACCCGAAAAGTGCCAACAATGTGACAAAGATTTGCAATGGATGCTCAAATACAGTCCAGGAGTTATATTCATGATGGACAATATCAATAAATTACAAAAGGACCCTCTGGATTCGATCGCAAACCACATCACCTGTGATGTTTGCCCTGACCTCCAAGGAGGTGGGTTTCATCCAAAGTACGGCATCTTATTGTGCGCCAATCGATTGCAATCGAAATGGCAACTAGAGGATGTTTTGACTCATGAGTTGGTGCACGCCTACGATCACTTGAAGTTTAAGGTGGACCTTAACGATCTAAACCACCACGCTTGCACCGAAATTCGAGCTTCGACTCTCTCCGGAGAATGCCGCATATTCAACGAAATCAAAAAGACTGGCCTAGGAAATTTTGGCAAAAAGTTTCAGGATTGTGTTAAGCGCAGAGCTACCATCTCTGTATCTCATAATCCCAATTGTCTGAGCATGGAGGAAGCTGAAAAGGTAGTAGATCGCGTCTGGCAATCATGCTTTAACGACACTCGGCCATTTGAACGGGTCTACAGATAGCGTCTCGTATGTATATAGTTGTTACCAGCATATATCCTGATCATTCGGAATCGCGTCCCTCACTCTGTTAATGGATGACGCATATCACGTGGATAGCGACAATATTGACCGCTAGCTTTAGTGGCTCAGTTGGACAAACAACATAACACAAAAGTGCACATGATAATTACTAATAATGAAGACTTTATATTCATGAATTTGCATAGACCACACATTCACCTGTGGGCCAGCAAAGAGCATGTCTAGTTCAACCATTCTGTTGTCAGCCTCACGATCGGAAAGGTTTAATAGCATGCTTTTCGGAGTTAATTTTGTTTACCGCGAAATCCGGGGACGCGAACGCATTGTTCATTCGGACCACAGCAAAGCGTCAATGCGACCTCCAGGCCGAGACTGATAACGTGCGCATCATTTATATATCCGAAGCTGCCATACCCTTTCAGCGCATCCAAATGTCAACGTCGACGGATAGAAATATCAACATCATAAAGCGGCGAAATTCAGCCCTGAGACAAGCTCTTAGGGTGTCAAATGAGTATTCCCTGTCCGATGATGAAACTTCGACGAAAGGTGATGGCAAATCATCAAAACGACGCGGCAAACTTACTTCGAGACCCACGTTGGAAGGTGAATTTGAGCAAGGCAAAACGGAAGCAACTCCAGAGGAAGTCAATGTGCTAGTTTCGTCGATTAACAAAAGAAAACCTCTTCGAAAACCCCAAGATGAATTCGTATCTAAGTATCGCGATGTTAAACTTCGTGAAACGTCCCTGAGTATTTTAGACTCTGAAGAGTTTAAAAGTCTGGATTATTATGGATGCTATATCATCTTTTGGATGGCTACTGGGTACTTAATCTTTGCTCAATTGATGCATTTTTCGTTTGAAAACCACGAACTGCCATGGTCCTGGCCAATTGTGCAAACATTCCGCAAGGACATTTTCAAGGTCGCTCTAACTGACTTGGCCATGTACTTGATGACATACATGGCTTACATAGTTCAGAGGTTAGTGAAAGCTGGTTGGATTAAATGGCAACCAACTGGATGGGCATTCATGTTAGTCTATGAAATCGTGTACTACACATTTTGGCTTTATTTTGCACTGGACAAGTGGATGGGTTTTCCCTGGATTGCAAAGATTTATTTGTGCTTGCATGGTCTTGTATTTTGGATGAAAATGTACAGTTATCATACTTACAATGGCTACCTTTGGACTATATCTCGAGAACTTTCTTTCTCCCAATCGTGTCTTAAGACTATGGACGAAAAAATTGAAAGTGGTGAGCTCACCGTATCGAAGAATGCAGACCCTTCGGATCCCCACTCCGTTCAAAACATCCGTCAAGACTTGATTGACTCTGTTTCTTTTTGTAAGTTTGAGCTCGGGTATCAAGCTCTGGCAACTGTTATCACTGACAATACGGCTGGAGTGTATGAAGATGTGGTGACGAAAATCAAGGAAGGGAAACATAGCGCAATTGAATTCCCCAATAATATCACGGTAAAGAACTTTTTTGACTACCTGATGTACCCCACTGTGGTATACACGTTAAATTTCCCCAGAACAAAACGCATTCGTTGGTCCTTTTTCTTTGGAAAAGTATGTGGTGTGTTTGGAGTGATTGCTTTGATGATCATAGTTGCTCAAAATAACATGTATCCTCTTGTTTTTGATGCGCTTAAAGCTCACACATTACCGATACATGAGAGAGCTATCGCATTTGGACTTATCGTTTTGGACATGATACCACCCATGTTGATTCAATACGTGTTTGTGTTCTTTTTGATTTGGGATCTCATCCTAAATGCCTTGGCCGAAATCACTAGATACGCTGACAGGGATTTTTATGGTCCTTGGTGGTCTTGTAATGATTTCAGTGATTTTGCACGCTTGTGGAATAAACCCATCCATAACTTTTTGTTAAGACATGTCTACCACTCTCTGATAGCGACATTACAAGCCACTAAAGCTCAAGCTGGATTCATCACCTTCCTTTTACTGTCTGTTTTTCATGAGTTGGTTATGTACATCATCTTCCATAAATTTCGTGGATATCTTTTCATGTTTCAAATGTTTCAGATTCCCTTGGTACTTTTTGCAAAGCTGCCATTCATGAAGCGGTCAAGGGCAGCGGGAATTACTTTGTGTTGGCTTGGATTCATGATAGGACCAGCCTTGATCATGGTCTTATACTTGGTCTTTTAATTTCCAATATAAGTATTTTATTACATTAGCTGATTTTTCGTTAAATATCGTCATATTCATCGTTCATACTGTACTGGGTCATTTCCTTCGCTTGATACTTGAACTCAGTCCTTTTTGCCAACAATAGAGTTTCAAATCCATTCCCACGATCAACACCATCCCAAAAACAACCAGCCTTTATTCCAAATCGATTCGGAATATTGACGCCCTTTTTGTATTCAAGCAGAGTCAATTCCGTACGCACTGGTGTTGTTATATCTGCCATAGGATCTTCGAGCAATAAATTTTGTTGCCTCTGATGGTGTATCACTTGCTTCGACAGAGAAGTAGCTGAAATGTCCTGCTCGCAAGTTTGTATGTCCCTCCAATTGGATTGCTCAATCTCGACCTGCTTGGCAACTAACCTGCGCTGCACTTCGTGGATGTCAATTTTTTTACCAGATCGATCACGATATATCGTCGCCAGCGTAGATTCACGCTCAGTGGCTTTCTCGCAAGCTACCAGCGATATTCTTTCACCATTGTCAATTCGTTTGAATCCCTTGTGTGACTCTCTTGTTCTTGTTAATTCTTTCGCCTCGTTTTGATTTTCATTTGCCTTTGGAATAATCCGCTGATGCAGCACTGTCACGCTTGATGTAGGGGACAATGACGTCGGCTCAACCTTTTTTGGCTTACGTATCTTGTTCAAGTAGTCGGCTTTACCCATTTGCACAAACAAGGCCAACCACGACTGGCATGCGAAGAGGTGACTGAGTGAAAGTCATTTTTGTAGTTAACGCGGCTCACGATGCAGTCTGAATAAACGCTTACGTCTAAGATGTAGCTTTATTCGTACAGCCCAACAAAAACATGCTGTAATTGCATATTAGGCACTATCACTGTCTGATCCATTTATTATACTAATACACCCATTAACCAATTGTTTACGCGTACCCGTCGACAACCGTCGAATATAACCAAAAACAACAAATCGAATTATGCTAATGTTCCAATGATCACCACATCAGCCCAGAACCCCAAATTGATCCCGTTTTTGTAGTCGAGGTGGTGACCAACGGTCCCCAAGGATTCAGTGCCTGCGAGTTGGTGCAACCAGCTTTTGGAAACGCCAGTTGAGAGGGAGCAAACCTACCAGACTTGGGAGGGCTTGTAGATGACTCCAGCGAGATCGACTTAAGGGGCGATTCCAGCAAAAACATGGATGGCGGCAGAGCCAGCTCAAAACCAAGTTGTGACTGTGACAACAAAGTGGGAGTTTGTACTGAAAGCGGCAGTATGTATTGCTGGGGCAGTTCTTGAGGCAGGTATGCGTATGTTTTGCGAGGCTGAGGGTAGGGGTAAGACTGCTGCTGATGGTGAATTGCCGCTGCTGCCGCCACTGCCGCCACTGCGTATTTGTGATGTGTACCTCCTTGACGGTAGTTTGTTGTTGAGTAGGTTGAGTAGACGCCGTTACCTTTGGCGGCGTTCACAGCACGATCAATAGACTCAACCTGATTGGCAAACGGTGTCGTCTGCAACTGTCGCCTTGGGTAGGACATTATCAGTCACCAGTAAAGTCGACAGATAATCAAGAAGCACGACAATCAACAACTAACCTGGAGTAAGGTGATGTCGTTGATAGCGACTGTGTAAAACTTTTTTGTGCACGCGTTCGTTCAACCGTTACTCGCGAGCGTGGAGTTATCGACAGCTCTGAGAAAATTTCGCTTGTAGAACTCAACCGCGAAGTACTCCAGCTATACATTACTGAGAGCTGCCACATTTGGCCTTTTGTTAGTATTTTGAGTCATAGTCCTCAAAATATTACATACTATTTGATAACGCAAAACAAACCTTTCCGTAAGTTTTATACTACAGGGAGGATGAGTTAAAACCTTTCGTTATTACCCGCTGCCTCCTCGCCAAATCCACTTTGAGAGGATAGAAGTTCAAGCGGACAGCTAGGAATTGTTTATTGAAAAATTTACTCCATAAGCAAGCTCATCACTTGCTTTATGTCAGCATTGATAGTGACCACTTTACCAGCCTCAATCAAATCAAATGGAGCTGTGGCCAGAGGGCCGAGGCCGACTCTGATTAATCGCCAACTTCCAGACCTCACCAAATCCTCGTTCGGCCAACGAATGACACTAGGCGTATTGAGTCCGACTCCTAGTTCAAGTATTATCCCACCATTCGTGTCACGATGATGAAGGAACTCCTTGTAATGAAGTTCCTGCTCATGGTACGGTGAGTCGTTAAACCAATCTCCGCCGCGCACGTTGAGAGTCATTGATCCTTGACATGAAGAGCACACAGGCACGTCAACATCATTTAAAGAATCCATCGCAACAACAGATCCACACTCTAAGCATTGCGCATTGTCGTAACAGCCTTGTGGAGTCCATACCCTCTTTGGGTCGAAACCATTTCTGCGGAATAAGTTATCCGCGTTCAGAGTCACCACAAAGTAATCATCACGACTTTCAGCAAGACATTTCAAATGCCCGTAGGTGTCACTATGAGGCCACGATTGGACAACAGCCCGATGATGTCGAAAAAATTTCCACATCAAAGATTCTGAGGACCAGTTATGACCAATTGTTTCGTAAAGACGAGTAAGACCCTCATTGGAAAAGGATGAATACAACTCAGAGAACAAAACCTCGTCCTTGTAATCCAATCCATCTGCGGCCAGGAGACCAGCTCCGGCCGTTATAAGCACTACCGGTGCTTGCAGTAGCCACTGCTTCGCAATCAGTAAATTATTGCCGGTTACTCCCTTGGTTGGGGGTAAAAGAATGCCGGAATATTTCAAGCTCAACCGAGTGTATGCTTCTGAATAAAGTTCAGAATCCTCTTCAGTGAATACGTTGAAGATGACATCCGTGATAGTCAGATTTTGTCTTCCAAAATAATCTAGAACTGTTGCAACTGCTATTTTGCACGCTTGCAGTGGTGGAAAGTTGAATAGTCCTGTAGATATACAACAAAATGCTATCAGTTTATCAGATCCTGCTACCAGTTCTAGAGCTTCTAGACAAGATTGGTAGCAGCTTGATAATTGCAACCCTTGATATCGTGTCGGCTGCTTTGTATCAGCAACTTGAGGGCCGACAGTATGTAAAATGTATTCAGCTGGTAAATCACCAGCATGCGTCACTTTGCAACAGCCTACTGGCTCAAGATCCTGAACCTCCATTAGTTCGAAACACGCTTGGCGCACTCGAGGGCCGGCAGCGGAATGGATAACATTGTCAATACATTTGTGTGATGGCTGAAAGCACCCAAGCAAGGCCAGGTTAGCCGCATTCACAATGCCCGTCACTTTTAAGGTTGTGATATCACCTTTCCAGACCCCTAGGCGGACCTCGTTACTACCTATTCTCAAAACTTGACGCTCGATCAGCTCAAGTCCTACTTCAAGCTTCAGCTGGTTCCACGTAGTGATAACTCGATCGATATCGCACATCAAACTTTCTTCAATAGGTGGTTCAGGGCTCCTTTGACATAGAAGATGACGAAGAAGTTCGCTTTTCTGGTACAGGTCAACGCCATGATTAAGGCGATGAGCCACTAGCTTTCGTCTATCATGAGGAGTTAACCTTAAAATGACTGAATCAACTAGCAGCGCCATGTTGGTGTTGTAGGGAACCTTGCCTCTCGTATAAAAACACCGCTCGGCATATTTCTTAGTAAGATTACAAATACTATGCCTAAGGTTCGGCACAGAGTGTAGTGCGAGGGTAAACTAAAACTATGTTTAGTCATTGCAAGTACAACAGCAAGAGGCATTCTAATATTTCAAGAGGGAATGAATGTTTGAAATACTAAACTTGTCGTAGGCTCATCTTAGTCCGTGACAACCCCGCAAGTCACTTCGGAAATATCATGTAACTTTTTGCTTCGCGCGGTTACCATGGACGTCGCCATCCCTCAATTCCCTCCATTCCAGTTGAGACTGTCATTGATTGATAAAGATCCAGTGATATGGGTGCATTTACTTGAAGGGTACATCCAGTTACTCTACTATCTAAGCCAACCATCAGCTGAGCCTTTGAGCGTCAAAAGTCAGCAAGATCTTCATCAATTCCTTCGTCTGTACTTGTCAGAGACTTCAGACGAACAGTTGAAAATCTTCAGTTTAGGAGCTATCAATCCTGATATTAAAAACAACCAAAAAGTTCTTCGAGCTCATGTGTTTAATTTCATCAGACTCCACAGCATCGTAAAATGCAACCTTCCAGGTGATCTGATTTGGAACTTTGCAATCAACTATGCTCGAGACAACATCCATACAGTCAGGGGCCTCATTGATGGCACATATACCTCCAAACTTAATGACAACAAGATACTGGGACATATCAGCCTGATTCCCTTATTGCACAAATTTCTCGAGGCCAAAATCTCTAGAGGTGAATTTTCTCAAGCAGATTTACACATTCTCTCGACAATTTTGGGTCAGATGATCGGTCTGCAGCAAAAGCTATCTTTGGCACTGTCGGAAGTTGTTGAGAAGCCCATGAAAAAGTCGACTTCGCAGTTTGCTGCACTGTTTGTGACTAATACCTGGATCGAAATCATGGAAAGGTTGTGGAACAAAGGCAATGGCGTCAATGCATCTTTGACTGAAAGGATCATGGTGCTTTCATTGGTTCTGCTCAATTCTCTGGGGTTGAACTCGCTTTGCCGTGAGTTAGGCATAAGCAATGCCACCTCACTCAAATTGTTTCCGCTATTCGGCACATGTATAACGCTGAAAAGTTTTCAACAGCTTATCCCAAATATCGAAGACAAGATTCCATGGCTTCGCGATGTTGTTCTCCATCACCCTGCCAGCGACGAAGATGTTACTATGATTAAAGAGATCTTCCCCGATTTAAGCGAGGTACGCGCCAAAGAGCTTCTTGAAGAATACGGTAGTGTCGAGGTGGTAATGGAAACGCTCTTTGACTCCCCCTCTTTGATTCAAGATCAAGCGAAACCTCTGCTTAATATTGAGCGAGCTAACGTCGCCGCACGTTTTGGTGAAGAACGAAAAGTTGAACTTCTCACTAAAAAGAAAAGCGTTTCTAAGGAGACACTTAAAAACAAAACTCTTGAAACTGCATTGATGATGTTATACGAATCTGACGAGGATGAGCCTGATGACACCTATGAGGACCAGGAAAAAACAACCGGGAGCGCTTTTGAGTTACCGCAAGGTCGTCACCAGCGAAGAAAGATAGCCGTTGATGATCATACTGACAATGACAATTCGAATCTGGAGCTTTTGAACACAAACGTTGACGCCCGCGATACATATCTTTATGGCATGATGAAAAAGTATGGAGATACGATTTTCGATAAACGGAGTCGTAAGCTACCGGAAAGGAAAGAGATTAGAAATGCCACAAGCTGGACAGATGAACAAGTTGAAGGTTGGTGGAGAATGATAACTAGACTGCAGAGGAAATTCCGTATGCTTGAAGAGAACTACTTATTTGCCCGCCCCAATAATTCAACTCGCTTGAATAAACAAGATTCTCAAGATTCACGATCCAAATCGCAGACAGGTTTCGACTCAAAAGTGAGTGAGGAGGGCTCGCTCAATACATCTCAAAAAGCCAATGTGAAAGCAACGACACCAGTGAAAGTTCCAAAACATAAGAAGAAGTCGCATCACAAAGCTAAAAATAAAACTTGATAATCTATTATTTATCCTCCCATATATGTACAATCTTATCGTAAAAAGAACATGTAATGAACTTGTCGTCTTTCATCCAATCAGCACCATAAAGCATACTTTCGTGCTGTCCCTTGAAGGTGCGATCAACTTGAATGTGACCGTCTGATGAAGCCATGATACGCCCGCCATCATACATGCAACAGGCAAGCACCCGATCGGTTCCGGGTTTGGGAATCAAGCGCCATACGCCACCCCCAAGATACTCTTCTTGTTTGATTGTAGGAGGTATCGCGTAAAGTTCATCATTGATTACCCTGAGATCAAATGCTCTAACTTTATCATCGTACGACCCAGTCCACAATTGATAAGGGTGGTTACTGTTCCAAGATGATGTGGGCGAGAGGATGGACACCACACCTGCTTCATGGTGTCTATGACCTGTACGAAAAACAGATGTATTAGTTCTCAAGTCATGTGCTATCAAACCAGCATCATCCCCTCCTGTGTAAACAACTGGTCCAACTGTCTCGCTGAAATTAGCAGTCCAACACTCAAGCTCATGTGCAGTTTCGAGCCAAGTTATGCTAGAGTTCTCAAGATCCACAATAGCCAGATACCCCGAAGTAAGCGTGGCCACGACTTGGGTTGCGGTAGTAGGATTAAAATGCACCAGAGTCACCAAAACTGTCGTATCCTCTGCAATTTGTATTTTTTTTAGAAGCAGTAAAGACGGTGACCCCTCGATATCAACCTTCCATACGCTTATATAGCCCTCAGAATGAGCCAGAACCAATAACAGCAGATTGTGATTCAATTTGATGTCCAAAATAGCACTTTGCGTCGCTATATTCTCAATTCGAGTGAATTTATGAAGGGCATCGCACCGGTAAATGTCAAGGCTACCCCAACGCTTGGTTCCTTCCTCAAGCTTGTAAGTTCCCACGAAAACAAAGTCATCATATACTTGCACACAACATGGCGGAAGCTCTGTGGTAAACGTACTCAATGGTTGCATGGAATTTACTTGATCCTGCGCACTTCCCTCAAAACTCTATTCGACTTGGTGCTACAGTCCCAAAGAAACTAATGAGTCTATATCAAAGGTGGATGAACCTTCCTATCAAGGCGAGGTATTATATTGGAGGTTCGACTTTTGTATTCGCTCTACTTGGCGACTATATCACCCTGCGAGTAAATGATGAGGTACAAGCTCGTGAGAAGGTCATGAAGGAACTCGAAATGGAACCCAAGAAATAAGTGCAAATGCCGTGGTATATGGGTGGTTGAAAATTACATCTTACTGTTAACACAAGCAAATCAAGCTGGTTTTAGTCATAGTTGATGAATATACATTTACTGTGATAAACAACTGACGTAAATGACAATATCAAAGGTAAACCGAGTATTTTCAAGAGCTTGAATAGCTTACAATCATGTTACACCCGGATGTATATATTCTGATCAAAGCCGCATTGAACTTGAAATCGCGTGAAACGTGTTACAACTACAATGTCAGATCAAGATACAGAGACAGAACTTAGCAAAGAGGAGAGATTGGAGGCCGCCCGCAAGAAATTCGAAGCGATGAAGAAGAAGAAGAAGAAAGCCGGTAAGAAGAAGGCTGAAAGCGATTCAAGAGAAGGAAGCATTATGGCTGAAGGCGAGACACCCGAACCAAAGGATAATGCAGAAGCTGAGCCTGGCACTGACACCGGAGATACTGAAGCTAATGACAATGACAAGGGAAGTTTGGCCGCGAATGAATCCAAAAGCAAGACGGTCTCTGAATCAGATATCTCACCTGCAAATTCTAAAAAGCCAACACACGGTTTAAACAGCGACAAGGACGCCGAGCACTCAAAAGAAACAGAGAATATTGAGAACCTTGAAACAAATGTGGATCTGAAAGCCATTCCGAAGCTGTCAGATAACACACTGCCGATTGAAGATGCTACCAGCGACGATGTCAACCAATTGAAGACTATAATTGAAACTCAAAAGAAAACAATTAGCAAACTTCGAGATGAGAATACGGATCTCAAACTTGAGCAATTGGATCTAAACGATCGAATTACTGCACTTGAGGCAGAAGTACAACAGTTGCAAAGCAGTGGTAGTCAAGTTGAACCACATACGGGAAAAACTAAAGTTTACCAGGCTCACACTCAAGTCTTACCGGCAAAACCGATTGTCACGAGTAACGAGTATGCTCTGGCCTCACAGGTTGATTTGTCAAGTAAATTCGAGACAGTACTGGATTTCAGAGAACGTTTATTATTATGGAAAGGGTGGCAGGTTGATATGACTAGTTGGAATGGGGTCAAGGGACAACCGATGTTACCACTTTGATTAGAGTATAACTTGTAATTCAACGTGTGCGAATTATGTTCAATTGACACTGAAGACGTGACGTTAAGCACGACTTCAGGAAACAAAATCGTAGCTCATCATTAAAACTCGAGGTGAGGACATAATTTCGCAGACTTGTTGCTTCAGAAAAACATCAATCCATCAGAGTAACCTCCTAAATTACTTCACGCGATGATGTTCACACTGACATGAATATCTTTATTAGCGCTAATGTATGTCCACACTGCCCAACACCACCCAATCGGCCACGTCACCTTCACATAAAATCAATTTGAGCACCCCTCCATCCCATGAAAGACCTGAATTGTCAACATCCTCGACGTCCAAATAGTCTTGAATTCTTGTTCGGATGGTGCGCCACATAGCATTACTGATAGGGTGGAATTCCGAATAGACCAAACTGAGATGAGGGTGGAATTCTGTCGCTGCCCATTCGGCGGCCATTTTGGGAGCTTTCTGACGTATCTCCGAATCATCAATGGGATTTTCCTTGACTGTATGTTTCAGCTTTGATTTCTTGCGGGTGATGGCGCCATCTGGAGTTGTCGTAAAAAGTTGTGGATTGCGCTTTTGTTCTTCCTTTTCCATTTCCTGTGGAATAATAACAAAAAGCTCACGAATAATCTGTGCAAACAGTACTAGGGAGGGGTCGCGATAGGCCTCAAAATACAACTTTTTGAAATACTTGCGTTGTGAATCGACTTTGCCCAAAGTAATTAAATTCTCACCATTCTTCGGCAGAGCTCTCAAAGCAGCCACACATGCTCCCAAGACTTTGTCAACATCATCTCTGGTCTTGTCTGGCTCATTGAGGTTGATAGCCACATTTGATGTTATAGTCACATGTGGTTCAAACGCTGGAGGCTGTCCCGGGAAAAGGGTATTGAGAGATGACATCAACGTTATGAGTTTTTCATGAAGTTGTGTATTTTGTTTGGGGCACAACCATAAAGAGACTGCCATAGGGGATTAGAGCGTTTGTGCTTATCTGTTGGGAAATGCGTCTCGGTGGATATTAAAAGATTTCCTAGCGACGCGCGCTTGCTAGATATGGCCCTAAAAGAAGTGGACGCACGAATCTGTCAATTTGCCCAAGATGCCTCAAGCTTACAAGGTATGATTAGTTATGTGTATGTGACTAGCAGCAATACGAAGCGCGTGTATGATTCCATGAGAGTCAAAAAATGCATTATGTTAATTATTAGTTTAGGTAACCCTTGCATCCTGGAGCCCCACATAAACAGCGAATACGCTCTTCGTCATTGGTCTCCCTCTCGAACTTATAATCATACGTAAGCTCTTCATTAGCTTCGATATCCCTCAATGCATAAATGACAATGCGTTTCTTCCCCTCGACTTTGATAATCTTAGCGGTACAACTGGGAGAGCAACAATGATTTATGAAACGGGCAATGCCGCCTTTCTTTGTGGCATCAATGACGGTATTCTCGTCAATCCGGAAAAGGTACGAAGAGCCTATGCCGGTTTTCATGTATGCTCGTTCCCTGACCTCGGCAACTGCTTGACGAATCAGTTCACCGACATATTCAATAATCATCTCTTTTGCTGCAATAGGCTCTAATGCGTATAAGCCCCAATTATGAATTGTTGATCTGGCAAATGTGACCGGCTTCTTGCGCTTCGTGAGTGCATTTAGTGAAAGTACTTCTGTCTCTGATCCAAGTTGAGCATTGACCTCCGCAGCGAATCGACGATTGTTTGCGCGATTGACGCGAGAAGACACATTGGTGGACAGGCCTAACCCCCCAACAGGTCTCGGGGTACCCTCATCGTCCTCCTCTTCTTGCTTGATATTGCGAGCTTTTGCGAAAGCCTGCCTTTTATGAGGCAAGTATGCTATTTTGTCAGCCTCCTTGATCTTGCGATAGCCTTCCAGCCTGAACAGACCCAGCCAATTTTCGAGCAGCAGATCCAATTGCTCAATCAAATCGAGATCTTCGGAAATCTCGTGCAGCGGAGAATATTCTTCGTGTTGCTTCCATGCCCAATATTCGATATTCTTGATATTCAGAGAATCCGCGATGTCTGCAAGAACTTCACGTGCAAGCGCCAAATCTTCATCATCCTTAAGCACCAGCTGCAAATTTGATAAGCTGAATCGTTCACCTGGAAGTGTGGCAACTGCTGTTTCCTCAAAAACTGTAGTTGGAAATCCTTCAGTAGGCCAGAAACGTTCGGGAAGGTGCTTGTAATCTTCAATGGCTTCAGTCTTAGGCTCTTCAACATCAACCTGTATTTCGGGTTCCGGCTCCAGCTCGTCTTCCAGTCCATACAATAAACTCTTCTTTGATCGCTTATGAGACTTCTCTTCAATCTCATCAACCACGAAGTCATCTATACTAAGACGACGTTTCGTTGGTTCGTTCTCGCTATCTACCTCATCGCCACTTGCGATGTCACTTTCATAGTTGAGGGCATGTTGCAACGGTATCACCTTCGTTCTCAGCTTTTGCTGTGCTCTTTTCGTTGCTTCCTCTTGCTTGGACCTCAAGATCTGTAAAGCATTCTGCTTGAGCTGATCATTCGTATTGATCACAACCTTGGCTGCTTCTTTTGCTTTACGCTGCTCCTCTTCTTTTTTGAGTTTCGCTACTGTATCAGGATAATGATCATGATTGAGTAGATCCAATACAGTCGGTGCAATGACACGCTCACGAATATCCTTGGCCAAAAATTGTTGAAAATCTTTGAGCAACATTGTAACGGCTTCTTCCACAACCAGATCTTTTGACCGAGTCTCTATCGGTTCTTCCCAATTTGGAGGTATCGCGAGATCCATCACCATGGTGTACTCATAGAAATTACGACAATCTTCTCGTTTGAAGCAGCGATCGGCCTCTTTGACACTCTTGAAGACAACATAAAATCCCAGACGATCATCAATTATACGCAGCCACCGATATTGTTCAAGACATCGCTTAACATCCAGAGCCGGAATCACCTTTGGGGGAACGTAGCGCGACTTTATCAAAATGAATGGGCGGTTTTTTATGTGACGATTAAGTTCATGCGGATATTGGTAACCATGCTTTACACGACTTCCATGATACTTGGATGCAATTGTCACATTAGTCAAAGATCGGACATCTTGTCGCAACATTTCAGCTTGCTGTTTTTTCATTTCCTCGTGTTTGCGTTTTTCCTCATTGCGTCGCTTAAGTTCCTCAAACTTCCTCTGCTTGCGCTCCTCCTCGTCTCGTTTCCGCTTTTCAGCTCGCAAAGTATCCTTTGCTCGATCAATTTTCATATGGAGAAGACGATCTTCGTCATCATCAAGACCAATATGGAGGTCTGCACCATCAATTTTGAGCGCTTGCTGCTTCATATCTGATAGGAATTTTCTGGCTATCTTCAGGCTTTTTTCAGGCTGTCCTTCAAATTCAAACAGAGCCACCCCTAGAGGAACGGCAAATTCTTCGTCATGATGTAGTATGACATTCTTCGTTTGACCATAGCTTTGAAAATAATTTTTGAAATAACCTTCAGTGATGCTTATTGGCAAATCCCACACCACAAGACGAGTTTGAGGAGCAGGGCCAATCGATTCTTTCGAATAACCATATTTGGCTTGTGGAAGTTGTTTGAAGGGAAACTTTTTCAGTTTTTTGTTAGGCTTCTGAAAGTAATTGACGATGTTGGCTTTCCGAGGGTCTTGAGGCAGCTGAGAACTTGAAAACTTGAATTCACGTTTCTTGAGTTTCTTATCTTGCTTAGAAAGCAGCAGATCTAGTTCTGGGTCATAGATAATGCGATAGACTTTGGATGGCTTCGCATACGCTGCTGCATCTCGAAGCACTGCTTGATGATGACTTTGTCGTTGATACTGATCGTCATTGGAGCATTCTCCCGCATCTAGCTTAGTACCTTCATGGAGCTGAGGAAGCAGCGATTCTCGTCGTGGAGTTAACTCACGACTAAGGGGTTTGGGGTAGTGATCGCGATGGTCGCCATTATGATATGGGGAACCATATTTTGAATTGCCCCCGTTATCACGATGACGCCCCCAGTTGGGAGCCCGATATCGGCTGGCGCCCCCATGGTAACCTCCTCCTCGGTTCGCATACAGCATCACCTCGTCGTGCTCGTTGTAGGCGCGTTAGATAGGATGCGCGCCCACGACAAACGCGGCTATCAGTCACGAAGAAGCATACCATTGAAACTATGTATTGTTTGGAATTTCGAAGAGCCAACGGAAACTTTTGTCTAAGAGATCATTGATCTCTTGCGTCCTTTGTGTTCATCATAGGTCCGTTGTGGAAGCCATAAGGGTTTTAGTCACCTATGGAGGTCTACGGGCATCAATCGTAACGTTCTATTATGCTTATTTGGTTCTGATGTGCTTCAAGGGGCCCTTCGAGTGCAAGAAGTTGATCGAGTAGTCCTTCTTTCTGAATCTCCGCTTGTTTGGTTCTTGCACGTAGTGATCCCAACCTTGACCTTGAGCGAAACGGATGGCGGCTTCTTTAGTATCAAACTTCATAATGGTACCCTGCATGTAGTCCGAAGAGCCTTGGTAACCCATCAAATCGTTTTCCCAACGGTTACCAGCGCCCAAAACATCCCAGTCTAACTTCCAGACATCGGTGTTGTGAGTACCTGACTGAGTGGCGTACTTGGATTCTTGGTAGATTCTCACCACACGAGAAGTGGTCAATTCCTTGGGAGCGCCCGAAATAATCTCGTTGGGTACCTGGTCGACGACATTTTCCAACTTGTTTTGGAACTCCAAGTGTTCAGGAGCAGAGAGTCTGGCGGCACTCAGGGCAAACGTCCGAGCTTGTCTAACAATGACTCTCGACAACATGGTAGCTTTGAGAGAGAAATCCTTACTCCTACGAAAAACTATTGGTTGATTTTCGCACATGAGTGCGGCTCATGGGAATTTCCGTTTTGGGGTGATGGGTCGAATTGTTCAATGCTGCGGATCCAATGGCAGTGGTCAACTTGGCGTAGGCCATGATGAAGATTTACTGAGCCTCCTGCTGTGCATATTTGATGGGCGAACCTCTTTGGATGCTGACATCCGTACGATCAGTTGTGGTGGCAACCACACAATGATACTTGATGATCTTGACAGATGTTGGGCTAGTGGTGATAATCTGCTCGGTCAATGTGGCCACAATGGACCATCATCAAGCACTTTCATTCACATACCGGGCACCTACTCACATGTTGCTTGCGGTTGGGAGTTCTCCATTCTAGTTGATACTGATGGCAACATTTGGAGTTGCGGCCATGGTCCTAAAGGCGAACTTGGCGTACCCGGAGTTATAAATACGCTTGAGAAGCTCAAGGTATTGAGCTTGATTAATGATGGTGTTCACGAAATTCGTGCAGGTTTGAATCATGTCTTATTAAGCACCAAGAATGGTGAGATGTACGGGTGGGGTGTATCACGCAAAGGTCAATTGGGGGAGAGTCTGGCCAAGCATCTCGACAAGCCCACCAAATTGACTATCCCTCCGGGTAACTTTCGTTTAGGACGGGACTTTTCTGTAGTGGATCATTTTGGCAAACTTGATGTCTACGGGAAATTCGATTATGACCTTGAGGAATTCTCCTTTGACAAATTTGATACAATGTGGACATCAATTCATTGGTTAGACGGAGGAAATCTTATGGGTAGAGGTAACGATAGACACGGCCAGATCGTCAGTGCAAGCGACATTGAATCCTTTGTGACTGGAAGTGAACACGGGCTAGCGTTGAAAGCAGATGGCGTTTATGCCTGGGGTTGGGGTGAACATGGAAATTGTGGCATATTATCTGGGGGTGATGTTACAACAAATCATGAGCTTGTACGAATTGGAGATCGCCGCGGTGTAGTTGCCTTGTATGGGGGTTTGGCAACTTCATGGGTAGTTTATGAAGATAAGAGTTAATGTATTATTAAAGAAACAGTAAGAAAAGGTGATTTAAGTTTACCATTAGTCGTCAAGATTGATGCTTGAAGGATCTCCTGCATATGCTTTAAGCATTCTCATCCATGCTGCCTGTTTAGCTTTGTAGCGTACTGCGAACTGCCTCTCACCGTCTACGCTGTGGTGTCACAGTGTAAGCTCCTCTTGATGGATTTTGATTACAGTCAGCTTGACATACATCATGAGCAGGCCATTGTTCGGGATTCTAAAAATGTTGAGCTTTGGCGAAAATATATTAAGGAGGCGAACTCGAAGCCATTGGAAGTTCGATTTTTATTGTATCATCGTGCTACTCGAGCATTGCCACAAGATGAGTCACTTTGGAAGGACTTTCTCGAGTTGGTAACCAGTCACTGTCAGTCGCTTTCCTTCTGCAAACACCGCGATCAATTCATCATCGCCAAGAAGGTTATTGAAAGAGCATTAGAATATTGCCCTCAACCTACTATCTGGAAAATTGTGTTGCCATTCATAGTTGAAAAGATGGTATGTGAGGTGACGTGGTGTCGAGAAGTATTCAATCATGCGCTACGGCTGCTCTCTGCTACACACCATGGGTTTGTGTTCGACCAATTTCTCAAATTCGGTAACATCATTGGTGGACCAACATTACAACGCATTCTCCAGCAATATCTTCAATTTTTGGGGGCCAGCAACGAAGTTGCTATTGACAATATTCTTGATCTTTTAGATGATACCGAACAAGATCGAGTTCTCATGGACATGATTCGTCGACCTAAAAGTTACATCACCGCTCACACGACCTTAGCACTTTGGAAAAGACTTATAACGCTTCGCTATGGAAGCCCTGGATTTGAACAGATTGTTACGACTGCTATCAATCACTTGCCTAATCAGCTTGCTCGATTCGTTTCTACATTGGCGGAAATTGATACTCGCAAAGCACGGCATTGGTTTGAGTGGGGTCTCATCCGGGTCAAATCGATCGAGCAGTTCGTGGAGTTGTTCGACGAATACTTGACCAATGAATTGCAAAGATATCAGAAGGACCCGACGCCTTTGCGTGAACATTTCATCAAGCATTTAGCTGCTTCTCGAACCTCGCGAATAGTGGAGATCCGTCTTCGAAATAATTCAAACGACATCATAGCGTGGAACTTGAAAATCAAACAGGCTCGTCTGCCCAAACAAAAACTTCTGACGTACGTTGAGGCTTTACGCAAGATCAATCCTCTCAAGGTAACTCCAGGGCTGTTGGCAGCATTTTGGGATGCATATGCAAGCATATATCATGAGAACGGTGATCTCAAAACGGCTGATGTTGTATTTACTAAAGCGATCGCGTCAAAGTTTGCCCCAGAAGATCTCGTGCAAATCTATGAAAAGTGGAGTGAAATGTGGCTTTCCCATCAAAAGCCTCAAAGGGCCATCGCCATATTGGAGCAGGCATTACTGCTGGGTGCAGTTGCTGAGCTACCTAGCAAGTATAAATCGCGTCTTGTGCAGTTTTATTTGAATATGTTAGAGCTGTTGGTCGATTCCTTTACCCCTGAAGAGATTGAGAGAGTCGCTCAAGGATACTACAATGTGTTGAAAAAGCGACTCATTACTGCTAACCAAATGATGGAGCTTGCCGAAATCTACCAGGAAAATGATATGTGGGAACAGCTGTTCAAGGTTTACGAACAAATCGTGGTGAATTTTGCTCATCCCCGGATTCGGCTGCTGGTATGGCGAGTATACCTTGAAAAAGCGTTTTCGCGAGTTAGCGAATCTCGGTACGAAGATCTCATTGACCATGCAGTGTTCGGGCCTACTCTGGCTAATCCTTTCATTCTCGACTTTGTTCTACTCAAGCCGTCAGCATCAAAACTCAAACGAGCATCGAGCTTACTCAGAGCATACAAAGGCGTCTACGCTCGACAAATGGCTGATGATAAATTTAGACTTTATCAAAAACTTGCTGATATCATGAATGAGGACTTGGGTGTTGACGAAATGAGAGAGTGTTATGAATGGATGGTCTCCGATCAAGGACTTACAAACTATCAGATAGTTGAAATTCTGCAATTGTACGTCGAGTTTGAGACTCATCAAAATCAAACCGAGCGAGCCCGAGCATTGTGGAGACACATCACCCGATTACAGCACCCCAACACCCCTCTTATGGTGCCCGTTTGGAAGAAGTGGGAGCAATGGGAAATAGACAACGGCGATCAAAGTCTGTTCAAAGATATGTTGCGATGGAAGCGGCGTATTGAGCATGATCTCAAGGCTGTGGAGATCTTCAAGGATCAAATCAACCCTATGGGCTTCATTGCGAGCTCTACCACGAAGCCCTCAAAAATCAACCCCAATCAGATTGAAATTGATATGGACTGAAAGTTTGAATCACATCTCTCTACTCCGAATCAATAAGCACATTTCTGCCTCTGTATGAGTTTTGCACCATACCATTGGTACATCTCAAACCCTAGTACAATGTAGATGACGGTCACAATCTCGTACACTGTAAATCATACACATCATCCATAGATTTCGTTGTATCTGTCTTCGCCCGTCAATGCCAAAGCTCATGTATGATCTTAACATGAGGTTACGCGCTTCAACAACCACACGCGTAACACTGGTCGCGTTGTGCATCAATCGAAAACGCGACAATACAAGGCGTAGCGGTAAAAGCATTAAAGCATCCTTGCTTCACGCCAGTTTCACCGACAGAACTGAAAATATAATCTCCAGTCTACTATAATAATTCTAGAAAGGAATGCGTGCAATAGCCACGCGGTATCTGTATTAATCTCTATCTAAAACCCGGTAATATCAAAACATTTCGATGCGAAAGATATATGCAAACTCCTACTTTCTGAAAAGTTGACGCCACTTATCGGCAAACAGCTCCATCACTTGGACTTTATCCAGAGTATTGTTCAAACGGATGGATGCATTCTCCGAAATAAGCTCCTTGAAATTATTCCAGTTGATGTGATAGTAGGTGAACACAATCACCAAAAACGTTTGCATAACCTTCAAGTTGTTTTTAGTTTTCAGCTTTGGCAGATGAGCATAGATAATTAAGGTTGTCAACAACTTTACCATCAATTGCAAAGAAGCCGAGTCGCAGTCTTCAGATTCCGGATTGGGGTGATCCACCAGCAGCAGAGACCAGTTGAAGTGAGTTCCCACTATGGGTGTCGATGGAGCCAGCATCAGTAATGGCAACGAATCGTTTATCTGACACAAAATCTCGAAAAAGCTAGCGGAGTTCAACCCCTCGAACTCCAGCATATCCCCAAACTTAGCCAATCCCTTTGTGTAAGAATGCGGCAATGTTGATGCATCACCCCAGTTGCTGAAATCGCGATTCAAAAACAGTGATAACTCCAGAGTGAAAACCTGAGTGTTGAACAATTCAAGTAACGTGAAAATCTCTTCCATCGAATGATCGTGCTCAAACATGAGTAATAGAATAGGAATCATGAAAATCTCATCTCGCTTGTGTAAACCATGCTCACTAAAGTACTTAATGTACAATAAGAAGCGATAGTTGGCCCTAAAGTCTCTGAACTCGGGTTTTTCCTTCATAATCAGCGTGAATAAGGGACGGTCGAGGGTATGGGTGATGATTCTATCAAACTCGGCGTCCTTTTGCGCTTTGGCACCAGCGTCCAAGCACAAGTACTTTGCTTGGGCAGCATTATATTGATGAGCGATTCCTTCTACCACCTTGGATGATACCAGCATGGTATCAATCCAGAACTGGTAACGAACTGCAACAGGAGGATTGGCATCCCAAGCCAACTTACGAATCTCATTCTTTTGTTGGTCAAACTTGCGGTGATAATCCAGAGATGAGCCGCTCCTAAGACCAGCAATGATGCGAAGCCATTTTTGTTGACTTTGCAGCAAATTGATGCGAACTTCATGGGCTGATTGTGCCGTCAGTGTATTTTGACTTTCAAAGTTGGTGAGAACTTTATTGAATTGGCGCAGGTGCTTCGACTTGTCCGTGTTCAGTTTTGGAGGAAGGTTAATTGGCCGCAGTTGATCTAACATCTCCAATTTTTCCGGCGAAATAAAGTGCAACTCATCCATCAGTGACTGCAGCCGGACATACTGAGGAAGCTTGTACATCGTGTGTTGGTCACGCTGCAGTTTGACAAGCTTCAGCAGCGACGCCAGGCGCTCTGAGTAAAACTGAGATATGTTCCGAACAATAGTGACGTCGTCATCGATCAGAATATCAGTGCCATCTTCAGAAATGTTGGTAAGAGGGGTGCCTTGCCCGGGGTACAGCAATCCCAGTACCATCAGCAGGTTTGGTGACACCTCTGTCGTGTCAGTTTCGAGACGACCGGGAAGAGGACAGGGTTTGATAGGCACGGGGTACTTGTTGTCGCCATCCAAATTGTCACAGAAGTCGTGGGTATGTTTATACAAATCGCCATAACTGCGCAATACAGGGACATTGAATAACTGATTGTCGTCCAAGATGACATCGTCACAGTCACTTTCGTCGTACTTCTTTTTGCGGTACACTCTGCGTTCTTTCGTTTCGCGATTCAGAATATAGCGAGTTTTGGTACGAGTCAATCCAGGTAAGGACGTGAGTGACGGATTCACATTGAAAGCTGCTTGAGATGCTTGAGATCGGCGTAGCTGGGGCATCAGGGTATAGCGTTTTAACAGTGGAGTGTGTTGGAGCAGGATTGGAGCGGGGGATGGGTTGGGAAGAGGCGGCATCTTTACCGGTGGCGCCTGCGCCACCTCATCAACACTATCATCATCATGGTCGTCACCGCTCAGTAAATCGTTCAGAGTAAGCAGAAACCGTGTACCACCACTCAGGCTCTGGACCAGCTCGTCCGATAGCAGGCAGTTGCTCAATTTTTTCACATAGTAATCCAGCGGACGGCTATTTGTGACTGAAGGGGCGCGCTTGGGCACCAGGGGATTGGCAAGCAGTTTGGCGATTCTCGACTTGGAGTTCATACATATGTCGTAGTAGTTATCCACGGCAGCCATCACGGGAGTCACTGGAGGGGTTGGAGATGACGCCGTGTTTATCATTTTAGACGATGGTTGGAAATGGAACGCCATAAAAAAGTTGGGATGTATGGCCGGCATATAGTACAAAGTATGCAAGCAGCTTTGTCGGTGAATACAGGAGGCGGGTGGCGTAGGAGCTGCAGCAAACATAGTGCGATAAAAATAAACATCACCAAGGGCAACTGATATCAGGGAAGTCCGGGATGGTGCTTGAAGGTTATGAAAGTAACTTAGGTAATAGCGACATCACGAGTTGAGCAAGCCGTGTGTACCGTCTCGCTATCATTGCCAGTGCCGACAGCACCCTGGAACACGCCATGTTTTGGGTGCTGCTGCGCGGTTTGACGCAAGGCTCCAAAGACCCAGTAAGCCAGCCCGAGCACCCGTCGAATCTATAAGCCCCGACAACAATAACGTCATCGAATTCAGTATTAAGGGGAGCGGACGTGAGAGGCACCGACATTGCAAATGTGTACTGCAATTCCTCCCTTTAACTGAACCCCGCGGCCCCCCCACTTATGCTCCTTGGAACATCCCGCTTGACAGCTAGGGGTTGCCTAGTAGCAACGAGCAACGTGGCAACCGAGGGGCGGTAACAAGGTTATCTATAGTTGATATCTCTACTCGCTATTGCTTTAACATGAGTTTGCGGTTTTGGATATCAGAGGACGAGATAATACCCAACGCAAAGTAGTTTTTGGCCTAGGCCTTGATCACCGATGCCGATGGATGGCACGGAATGCATTGCGGGCTGTATGCCATCGCCTACGCGTAAAATTGGCAAATACGTGGCTCGCTGATTCGCGCCAACGTCAACAAATAGCTAACGCCTTGAGTCGGGCTTCGGCACGTTAAGATCGGCGCGCTGCTTCGACGTGGTGTGGATACGGGTAGTGTCACTTATACTCGCAAAGTCTGATTCGCTGGTGGTGATACCTCACCCGGGCTCACAAGTCCTCCACCACAGCCATATTACCGCTAGAAGGAAGAAGGTGGGAACTTTAAGAAGAGCAGGCAAATTACACTCCCCGTAGTATGAAGAGTTCTTTGGGGCATCCAAAGCTTTTCGCTCGTAGGTGGGGCAATACTTGCGCAGAGGCCTAAACGAATTTTTAGTCGAGGATCGCCTATCCCCATATCTTAAAGCTTCATAGGGTGTGTCTAATAGTTGTGTTGACAAAGATGATACGGTATCGTTTTAGCACGCTCAAGCAATGCCAAAAGCCATCGCAGACCGTGGGTGGCCCACACGATGACGCGGGGATTTCACCAAATCTCACCCCTTGAGTACATCGTAGCTATCGCGATGTTTCACGAGCAATATGACAGATTACGAGCTGGTACTGCACGCATGGCGAAGACTAATTTTTGCTTTGCTCGAAACCTTATTTGCAATGTTATGACGTAAGATGTTCACAACCGCCACCCCAAAATAAACCTTCATCTTCAACGCGCGCACGACTGACACAATACTCCAACTTGAAGTATCCCTCGATGTCAATAGATGCAACACGAACGAACATGCTAAAACCACAAAAACCTCGCCTTACTCTACACTGATGCTATGTCCCTCGAATTTGGTTCGATTTATTGACGTCACCGTAGTGCAAACAACATTGTCCGGCCACGCGCTTTGGCGCCTGTTTCACTGGTGAAAATCACACGTTTCTTTTAATCCATCCTACGTTCCGACATCTCCGTGTGTCTGTCTCGATACAGCCTGGTTCCTCGCGGCTTGACCTATGGTCAAATGACGATTGGCCGAACTTACCCCGTAAGACTAGAAATGATTGCTAAAATTTATAGAGTTTTGCACGGTGTTATTCTTCGGAGTCAACGACGACAAAGTGGACATGGTCAACAATGACGACACTCCGGCGCCGACTCGGAGCTGGATTAGTCACCCCAATTTTACCCCATCTTTTTTGTCACCGCAGCCTCCAAAATTTACCCGCCGGTGAGCCCAGCAGCCACTCACCAACCTCGTTGCGAGTTCTGAGTAGTGACACACATAATGCGGTGGCTAGCCCAGCAGCGACGCCTCGGTGCCACGTCGTGTCGATGGTTTCACGTACTGATACCTCGGGTCACCTCGACCACCCCACTTCAAGAATACAACCATCAGGTGGAGAGTGGGCGGTTACGTGACGATCCTTACCAGCGCAAAATCATTCTGCTGCTTTCCAAATTGCATGAGCTGTTGAACAGTTACCACCCACCGAAGGTACCAACCCCTAGTGCCAAAGACATGCTGCCCCCGCTGGGTATCTCCAAGTGGTTCAACTCCTTTTTGGGCAAAAAGACTGGCGATGAGTTGCCAACAGAGTTTGAGGAAAACCCGGTCAAGGGGATCTATCTCTACGGGGACGTCGGTTGTGGGAAAACTATGTTGATGGACTTATTTTACGAGACGGTTCCCGACCACATCTCCAAAAAAAGATTGCATTTCCACCAATTCATGCAATTGACTCATAAGCGTAGTCACCAACTTAAAATGCAATACCACGCAGACTACGATGTTATCCCCATGCTTGCGGCAGAAATTGCACAAGAAGCTACCGTGCTCTGTTTTGACGAATTTCAAGTGGTGGATGTTGCTGATGCCATGCTTTTGAGACGTCTTTTTGGTTACTTATTGACTCCAGAATACGGAGTGGTGCTCTTTGCGACCTCCAACCGAGCACCCGATGACTTGTATCTCAATGGTATCCAAAGAGTAAGTTTCATTCCTTGCATTCAACAGATCAAGCAACAATGTCGAGTGATTTACCTTAATAGTCCTACCGACTATCGGAAAATTGAACGGCCACTCAGTCATGTATACTACTCGCCAGCCCCAGGCGTTCGGTGGAACTCAAAGACCATTGAGGCGAAGCGGAAACAGCACGTACAAGATTGGTTCGATTACTTCAATCGTGAGAACCCTAACCCTAAAGTTTTGGAAAACTACGAACTCGAAGTATGGGGCCGAAAGTTGGTGGTGCCGAAGTGTAGTCCGCCATACGTGGCGCAGTTCACTTTCCATGAGTTGTGTGGATCGCCCAAAAGTGCAGGTGATTACTTGACTCTTGCGAACGCATTCCAACTGTTTGTGATCACTGACATCCCTTACTTGTCTATCGAGGTGAGAGAGTGGGTTAGAAGATTCATTACATTTTTGGATGCTGTTTATGACGCTCATGGTCGTATGGCTTGCACTCTGGCGGCTCCGTTCAAGGATTTGTTTGTGGAGCCGGAAGATATTGCTAAGGGAAACTACCAGTTATATAAGCATCTCAGAGATACGGGTGAGGAAAAATCTTTTGACGATGATGAATTGGTGACCAAACATGGCTTTGATAAGGAGATTGCCAAGAAGGCTCTGATGTTCGCCAATGATGAAGAAAGATTTGCCTTTGCGCGGGCCTTGCTGAGATTAAGTCAAATGGCCAGTCAAGACTGGGTTGATAATCCCAGAAAAATATAGACGACATTATATTTATTTATTAACAATAGACTCATAAAGTTTCAAATGATCTTATACTTATTTGTTATCGATAAACTTCAAGAATTTTCTATTTACTGATTCAACTTGAATGAAATTTTACAAAAGTGTTGAAAGTTAGTGCCAAACTTATCAGCAAAGGAATCAAAATTTGTACTTTCGTTCATTTTTAGTTAGAGTTTAGGCCGGTATTTTTGGTAGTTTGCCGTTGCATCAATGCATCAACAATTGTCCTTATTCCACCTTGGTCGCACTCACACTCGACACCAACATGGACCTTGTGGAGAAGAGTCTGATTATTACCAAACATCATGGATTCAAGAACCCTAACCGCCCTCCGATAGTCAAGCGCAATAAAGCTGCAAGACAACTCCTTTCGGATGAGCAGAAATATCTCCAAAGCAAAATGCTTGCGTTCGACACCCCGACATACCCATCAATCGCTGCTCCGCCCTCTTTGCTCCCACAGAAACACTACTGTGATATTACCGGGCTTGAGGGCAAATACAAGTCCCCGACTAACCGATTGAGATTTCACAATGTCGAAATTTACACTGAGGTGATCAAGAATATGAGTCCAAGTGCTGACCAGGAGTACCTCGAACTCCGTGGTGCGAATGTTGTCCTCAAGTAGAGTTTTGCTCGTGTACGAATCATATCGAATCTATATAGCTATGTTAACTAGTCAGCTTCGGCATCGTGGCTCAGCCATTGCGCCACCACTTGCTTCAAATTGCGATCAAAGGTCGCTGAGTTCTCGATGCTCTCATCGGCATCCTCAACACCACCATTAAACGGATTACAAACTGCCCGCAAGTAGCATTTATGAATCTTGAGGAAAAGCTGGTTAAGACGGTCAGTAGTTTCAGGTGCTTCCAGTCCAACAAGAATTTTCAATCCATTGTTGGTTTCGTAGCCATAAACCAGGATCCCGTCGTGAATGAATAGCAAAAGGTAGATGGGAGCAACGCCTTGGTTTTTTTGGTGTTGTTGTTGTTGTTCTCTGAGCGTTAGGGAGGTCGGTGACGAGAATACATCCAAACCCATATGGCTCAAGAAGTTGAACTTGAGGAATTCATTGGCTGTAGCCGGATCATTGGAGGTTGGAAGAAACAGCTGGATATATAGTGGCTTGTCTGATCTGGAGATGAGGGATATGAAGCTGACCATTATTGTAGCCCGTCCAAATACTCAGGCGGTGACCGTGTCGCATCCCGCGCTACCATGGAGATGGATGTAAGTCACACCGAAAAGTTGAGTATATCGTCAATCTCTACCATTATCCAAAGCAATATATCAATTACAAAGATTTCGTCACCCTATGGTCTTATATCTTCTCTGGCTTGGTGGAGGTCACACAATTCGGTGGCATAGTATATGGTCAATTTTGAGAGCGTATATTTTTAGATTTTATTGTACGATGGACTGTTTCAGTTGGTGTTTGGGCTGTGCCTGTAAAACCAAAAAAACAACAAATCTTAACTTCATAGCGACGATCTCACGAGGCCCACACCTTTATCAACGTGAAAAAATACTAGACGCATGTACTTTGAAATTTCAGAGCTCACCAGACTATACTTAACCTTGCGTAAGGCCCTAGTTCGCATAGTTTTTGTTCACACAAAAGTCCATCCCAGTGCGCTTCAACTTGAGTGCCTTCAACGAATATTAGGAGTCAGTTACCTTTCTTCGTATTCTACATTCAGTAAGCTCTATGTCTTCAGGTGTGAATATAAGTACAAGAATCATTTGGGATTTTCAAAGAAATTTTCAACTGCTCGATTGAAACCACCGCATGATTTTTAAAACAGATGCTACATATGCATACATCCGCTAAAGTAAATGCGAGGGGAGCTAAACCGCCAAATGACTCTTTCATTCCGTGCCATTCCTGGTGAGTGATATTAGCTGAAGATATCAACGTCTATCACGGAAGGACTTTCAAGGTCATCTCTTAAAACTTCCATCCTTAATCGATGCGCGCTCGACGCACCCTCCTGCATTTTGCAGGATTTTAATCGCGAATTGGCGATTACATGTAAATGAACACGCCCCTCATACAGGACATTAACGCCCTCTCCCACTCCCAATCACACAGACGAGCAATATATAAATTCCTAATATTCCGGATGACTCGATATTGTTTCAAGTCCAGTTTTGTTATATGAAGTTGAGTACGCTTACGGTGCTTACCACTGTGGCATCAGTGCAAGCCGCGATGGTGGATTGGAACCTTGACGGGGTTTTGAAACCTGGTGATTTGTTCATAATGAACCTCCCCCCTATCATCAACCAACCCAATGGATCACACGTTGCCCTTGGTGAATATGCCGACTGCTACACGCATGATCATCAGCTCGATTGTGTAGCTACAGACAAGGTTGAATCGGGTAAGGCTCGATCAGGATCCGTTGAATTGCAAACTTCTGACGAACAGATACAAGCACGCAACTTGGTGAGACGTGGAATTACCATCACCATCAATAACATTTATGGTAACGTTAATGGTCCAGTTGTGAACGGCAATGTTGTTGGCAATGGTAATTTGAACGGTAATGGCAATGTTGGTGACAACAACGGCAACGACAACGCTAATGAAAACAAGGGCAATAATGTTCTCAACGATGGTACTATGGGTGATGTTGTGTACGATGAGAATGGGAATGTTTGTGAAGTATGCAAGAAAACCACCACGTCTTGTGATGTCACCGAAACGACCCCTGCTACTCCCACACCAGAGACGACAACGACACTTTCAATCAAGCCGACTACCTCGGTGAGTGAGCCCCCCAAGCCAAGCACGAAGCAAACAACGGAGCCCACTACTGAGCCCACTACTGAGCCCACCACTGAGCCCACCACTGAGCCCACCACTGAGCCCACCACTGAGCCCACCACTGAGTCCTCGACCGAACCTTGTACCGAGCCCACTGGTAACGAATCTACCGTTGAACCTTCAACTAAGCTGTCAACAGAGGTTTCCACCGAACCCACTACTGAAATCTCCGCTCAAAGTTCGACAGAATCTACAAATGAAGCTACAACTGAGTCTATCCCTGAGGCAACTACGAAGACCACCACAGAGGAATGTACCATTGACACCACTACTGAGCCTGCTACTGAAACCGAGTCTACACCTGCACCCAGCACGGAACCTAGCTCGGAATCCATTGCCAACCTGTCCTTTACTTCAGAGTCTTCTACTGAGGCTAGCACTGAGACCACTGAATCGACAGTTGAGGAACCGACGACGGAATCTTCATCCACTCAGCCCACTATCACCGTGCCATCAACTGAGCCCATCACTGATGCTTCCTCCACGGTGGTAACCACTGAGCCGTCCACTGAGTCTTCTGCTGAGCCAACTAGTGAACCCTCGACCGAGGAACCATCCACGAAACAGTCTGTTACGAAGTCATCCCAAAAGCCTTCCTCAGAAATTACATCGGCGCCAACTACTGAAGAGTCCACCACCGAGGAATCTACAATTGAGTCCACTACCGAGAAATCTACAAATGAGTCCACTACCGAGAAATCTACAAATGAGTCCACTACCGAGGAATCTACAATTGAGTCCACTACTGAAAAATCTACAATTGATTCTACTACTGAATCAATTGTAGAGTCCACCACAGAGCTGAAGATTGAGTCGGATTCCACCGCTAAGTTGACAAGTGAGTCCCTGACTGAGCCCTTGACAGAGTCGTCCACCATTATTACCACAACTACTGTATCCTGCGATAGCTTGTTTTCGGTTGAACTGCTGCCTTGCTCAAGTGTTGAATCCTCGACTGACTTATCGCTGACGCTGGAAATTTCCACGCTGACAAACTCATGTTACACTGTGGTGACTGTTAAAGAATGCTATCTGGTGTCGTCCTCCTGTGTCGAGTCTGTCGTTACGCTGGTGTACTCTCACTGTATCAATACGGCTCTGACAGAGTCAAAGTCCACCTCTGAGACTACTGATGTATTTTCTAGTGAGCCCTCTGTTCCACAATCAGTCTCCTCATCATCGCGTACTGAACTTACGCTGGCCGCTTCTACTACCGCCACTACCCCGGCTGTTACCACCACCGTTGAATTGAGTTCTGATTGCTCTACCGAGACTTCTTATCATGAGCCTGCAGGTTCGTCCTCTGAGGTTACCCCGAATGAGTTGACGTCTTCGAGACCTGCTGAATATACCAACATTCTGTCAACTACTGGAGTTGTGCCCTCCCCTGAGAACACGGTGGAAACTGTCTCTGAACCTGTCACCACCACGGACAAATCCGCTAGTAGTGAAGAGCCCACTACCTATGAGCTGACTACTACTGAAGTCACTGGTGAACCTACTACCGATAAGCCTGAAGTTCCCACTAGTCAACTGACTGAGCCGGGCATTGAGTCTACTTCTCCGGTTGAAGTTGAAACTAAACCTACGCTGACTTTGCTGATTGCGTCTACAAATGTACAAACAGAGGAAGGCGAACCCTCTAAGTCCGAACTGGTTGTTGAGCCCTCAGCCACTGCTTTGACGACAACTGCTCCCGAATACCCCGACGCAACTACGGTCATTTCCACTACGCCCACCAAAAACCTGGTGTCCGATGTTGTGCCGACTAATGTTGAGCTGGTGCCAGAAGTTACCACCATGGTTCTGTACTCCTCGTCTAGCTCGGTTGTTGTTTGTCTTACTTGTTCACCTCAGACCCCCGAGCCCCCCATCATTTCAGTGCAAGAAGGCTCTGGGTCGAGATTGGTTGGTTCGTTCCCCGTGTTACTCTTGGCAGTGATAGGGTTATTGTAGATTATGCCTTGACATTTATTAATTGTTTGAGGTCTGATATCAATACGTATTGGAATTACAATTTATCACTTCAAATCATACCCTTTTTTATGCTATGTATCGAAATCAAATATTCATTGTTGCATTCAGCCCCCAAGAGCACCTTCAGGGCGTGGTCCCTCTTTTTGAATTACCATGTCCTTTGAGAGCAATCGGCGTAAGTCATCACTGATTGTCACCGTGTCTACTTGACCGGACTCTCTTTGATATGGCAGAGCGTTCATCAACCGTAAGCTGTTTTCCCGATCGATGATATCTACCATGCGACGGAACTTGAGAAATAACAATTCCGCTCTGATCAAAATAGTGTTGATGTTCAAACTCAATGCCAAGTCGTTCATGTACTTGAGTACTTCATCGAAACGAACTAAGTTTTGGCGTATGATACGTTCATTGTCCAGCAAGATCGCAAGCGCCACGAACAAGTGGTATTGTGAGCTATAATAATCAGTCCACAACGTTTCCCACAAAGGTCCAATTTGGTTCCATTTCAACTCACGTTTGAACCACACCAACAACATGCGGAAGAAGAAAAATAAATCGCTGCATTCACACTTCTCCAAATGAGCGTATAACTGCGGCAACATAAATTGTAAAAGTTGAGTCAACGTCAGCATCTGTTGTTTCATGCCGGAAGCATCACGCAAAAAGTTACGCTCCATGCGTTCCATGAATTTGGCAAACGCCCAGAATACCAAAGACTCGTCGCGAATTTCCACGTAAATAGGCAGAAGTAAGTCGGTCATGCCTTGAACATAGCCCAAATTGGTATTATACTGGTTATAAGTAAGCAAGATTTCACGCATAGCGTACAAATGGGGGTTTGCAATGTTGGCAATGTCGACTTCATCTTCATTGTCTGAGATATCAGGCGTCTCCGGAGACGACTCTCTCGATTCCGTTTGATTGGGCTTTTTTCGCTTGAACAAATCAAGCTGGCGATCTGTTCTATGGACGTCCTTCTCGATGCGGTGCTTTTGGTCACGCCAATACTCAGTTGCCCTCAATTCGTCGTCACCCAACCACTGCTTTTTGTAATCGTGATAAGCCAGTTCGTAACTGTTTCGCAATTGTTGTCGCTCTTCCAGGTTCAGATCCCAAGGGTATACACCCAACAAGAATAACCAACCAGGGTTACGTACCTCGGGCGCTAAGCCACCATGGAAAATACGCTCTTTCACTTCGCTGATCGGGATTGCCAAATGGCCATCACGATCGAAGAACAGGTCCCATTCCTGTTTGCAAATTGGCGACCGTCTATTGGTCTTGCTAATCTCCTCATCAGTCAATATCTCGCCACCCAATTCCTTTTCGATCTTCCGGTAAATGTCGTCACTAAGAACCATTTGATTTTGTTCGGCTTCTTCCTTAACTTGTTGAGCCCACTTAGCCAAGTAGACACGTGTAGTGTCATTAAACTCGGTGATCATCTCCGGTTTCACAAGTTGTTTTATCGGAGTTGGGGCGTGCTCATCATATAAGTCAATGACATTGTTACGTGTTTTGGCCCCCAATGTAGCTATCGTTTCCAAGACTTTCCATTTCGCTTGGGTAAACATTTTTCCAAAGTCGGGAAACTCAATGGCAGCGTCAGTCGAGGTATTACTTGACTTTGCTTTGTCATCTTCAGGAGGATTGATAAAGGGCGAGAAATTGCGCAAATCATCGCTACCAGGGTTAACAAGCCACACCAGTTTTTCCACACTCTGGGCTATGTTAATATACTTTGACAATGCCTCTTTGAAATCAACACCTCCCCAGTAGAGCCCACCATCGCTACCGAAGGGGTCAAAATCTTTATTGCGTTGCTTCTCACCCTGTTTCGTCAGAGGCGACTCGTCATCGTGAAAAAACAAAATAACTCGGTTGCCATCCTTGGTATTGACAACAATCAGGCCGTACCAGAGGCCAACACTAGGTTGGCGGAACTGGATCAGGTATACAAACAGAAGCGGCCACAGCTGACTGTAGTAGCCTGACGACGGTTTTGCCACACGGTAGACCTTCTTTGGTTGCTGCCCTGGCATGCACGACACATCCACTTCCTCGTAGATGGCCAATTCCTCCAGGGACAAGGATGCTTCTGGAGTGAAGTTGAGGCGAATGTCCGTCGGAGGCGCATTATCGTCTCGAGTAAGACTCAAAAACCCACAGACATTATCCTTTTTCGATGTAGTAGGGTGTAAGTACACCTTGCTTTTGCAAAACAAAAGCTCTGTCTTCAGCATCGTAGTGGTGGTGGTTGTAATCTAACCCCTAAGCGGCGGTGCCCAACGCATGACAGTGGCTGTGGCTGTGTGCAGGCCGATCGTTGCGGGATCAAACGGAAGTCAAGGAAATAACACCGATGAACGCGTTGAGTATGTCAAGACAATTGTGATAATTGCGGTCAAATAAAATCTACGAGGGATAATAAAGTGGTTTCTGATTGAAACGGAGATTAACTTCTTGTGTATAATTTTTTGTAGACTATATTTGATGGTGGACCCCTGATTCCCATCATTAGAATCATATCTGGAGGTTTAGCGATGTCAAGCGATTCTGGGGCTTGGTGTCTTTAGGTTGTGTGCACACCGAAATCTGCGGCCATGGGGCACTGCGACCGATCGCAGTATACCCGCGTCCACTGCGGTCAAGAGAACCAACAATGATCACCGCATTATTCATGTATGACTCCAAGGGCGACGTCATTGTGGCGAAGACCTACAAAGAGGGAGTAAAGCGCTCGATATCCGAGGTGTTTCGCATCCAAATCATCACCCTGCTGGAGCGGCATGGACCTCGCCTGCCCGTACTCACGTTGGGATCGACATCGTTTGTCTACATTCGCCTGGGACTGGTGTGGATATGTGCTGTCACCCGGAGTAACCAGGACTGCGGGGTGATCCTTGAGTTTCTCTACAAGTTCAACCTGTTGGTGGAAGAGGCCGTCGGCACTAAGGGCACCGGTCTCGAGGACGAGGCGTTGGTGAATAATTTCGTCATGATTCATGAAGTGCTTGATGAAGTGATCGAGTTTGGTTTTCCAACAAACCTTGAACCAGCATACGTGTCAAGTCACGTCCAAGGCTATGGCCATCAATCGTCGACAGGACTTTTCCGCAATAAATCACTCATAGCCAAGGCGAAGCCAAAGTTGACTCTGCAAAAACTGTCTCAGTCGCTGCTGTATCCATGGCGTCCAGAGGGCATCAAATACCGCCGAAACGAGATCTACTTGGACGTGCTGGAGCGGATCAACGCGTTGCTCTCGGAGGAGGGTGAAGTATTACAAGCATTTGTCGACGGTAAGATCAATATGAAGACGCATTTGAGTGGCATGCCAGAATGCCAATTTGGTTTCAATGATGACCTGATTCTACTCGAAAACGAAACTGTTTATGGGGGAGGTAGCGGTGGGGTAGTGCTTGAGGATCTGAAATTTCACCAATGCGTACAATTAACTCGGTTCAGCACTGACCGTACCATACGATTCGTTCCCCCTGATGGCGAATTCACCCTCATGAGCTATAACTGCCGCCTGGCGATCGAGCTACCGTTTTCAGTGACCCCCGTAGTGCGTACTTTGCATAACCGATTGATGTATACGATAAGAATCAAAGCTCAATTTTCAAAGAAGCTTCCGGCAATTGATGTGGTTCTCAGAATACCCACACCGAAGGGGGTGATATGGAATAACGCTTCGGCCCTGGGCGGTCGTTTCAAGTATCATCCTGAAGAAAACGTTTACTTGTGGCGGTTCCCTAAATTTTTTGGTGAAGATGAACACGAGTTCCGAGCGGAGGTGGAAGTCAATGATTCTGAAGACGATTATACCACCAGTCTTTCAACGTGGAGCCGGCCGCCAATGCTGCTTGAGTTCAAGCTCGAAATGTACTCATCACTGGGACTTCTGGTGCGGTATTTACGGGTGCTGGAGAAGGCTAGTTACCGTACAGTGAAATGGGTGAAATATGAGACTGAAGGCGGCAAGTACCAGATCAGATATTAATAGAGTATGGCTTAAGGTTGAGGTCGCCAAGTAAGAGAAAGTATATAGATTAAATTGTGTTCGAAATGTAGGGATCACATCTCTGACTAAGCGGCAAAGTCACCCATATTTAACAATGTCTTACGCGAGTTAAGCCGATCAAGGAAGTTTCCTCAGTTCTCATATGCTCGTGTCAGCCAACAACTTCTAAATCACCGGTGTCTAAACCTAGTGAGTCACCAAAGCGGCCGAAGACTGAAGAACACTATCCTTGAACACAGTCGTAGAGTAGAACGATAGAGAAGATGTCATGATCTCTACTTAGGGATCTTGGCAAAATAACTTTGGGTCGTTCCATGTCGCTGCCCTTGCTGGCAGCGCTCAGACGTGTCTTTGGAACGATGTGACATGTGCCTTTATGAATTCTAGAATATATCAGCCACCTCGCTCGTAGCCCATCAAATTTGATTTTTTTTCCTTAGTAAGCGCTAAAAACGCTTATTGCCGAGTCCGCGGAAGCCGTCGGCCTTGGTGATGTAGTGGTGCCTAAAAAATGTGACTGAATCGGTAACCTTCCCAAATTGGGTGCACCGGAGTCGCTTCAAAGCGCTTACTCGTCGCTTAACACATAGCCTAGTACGCCACATATGTGAAGCTGCCGCAAAAACTTATTCATCGTTTGATTCTTTATGTGACGTTTGTGCGTGGGATGACACGCAAACTCCTTCCCTATCCTTGAGTCGCACTCAGTCCTGTTTGGGTAGACCCCGAAATCTTTGGATGAGTAATATTGCCCTATAAACAGAAATGGTGCGTACGACAAAGACGGGGGGATCGCCATCGTGGGCTTCGGGACAAGGAATAATTGAAGCCGCATTAACGGATTTTAGATGCACCGTTGGCATCGTTTATCTCAGATTCTTTTCCCCTCGGTATACGGGAACTACGACCACCTCCGTGCCGAAATCAACTATTTTGATGAGACAAATGTGGTGCGAAGGCACATAACCACCGCACGTGCAGCAGCACTGCTTCTAGCATTGCCTACAAAGTAGAGTTTATAATCGTGTTGCAGCCGTCTCTCTCTCCACCTCCCCCCGTCAATATACTCCCGCCCTATCCCGTTTCATCTGACACACGATGGAGGACGACCAAGACGGGAAAAAACGCATACGTGTGGCGTGTGAGACGTGTCGTCGCAAGAAGATCAAGTGCAATGGCCAACAACCGTGCTCCAATTGTGTCCATGTTCGCAACTCGAAGTGTGTCTACAAAGAACGTATCATCAAGAAGCGCCTGGCCGAAGACTCTGCCTCCCGCAAGCGCCGCCATCTCCAGCTGATGGAGCTGTTTGACATGAGACTTTCGAAGATGGAGCGCATTTTGTGGTCGATCTCCAACCGGATGGAGTCACTCGTTGGTCCTGGTAATAATCAGATCAAGTCTGTCCCGTCTCATGACAGCTACAACATGGTGCCTTTGCCCGGTCATTTACCGTCATCGTCAGAAGTCGATGAAGGCGTGGACGAAGAAGAAGACGACGATGAGCCACTGCTGGACGAGAAAGTTGGCGTCAACGAGGGTAAAAGCCTGGTGGTTTCAACGGTACCCACTGAACCACCTATTGAGGTATACATTGGCAACCACCTGATTATGTGCATATTCAGTCGTAAATCGCTTGACTGGATTCTGACCGCGCTTGGCCTGGAAGGAATTGTTCTTACAAACCCAATCAGAAACTTGCCAGTGATTTTCTTTTCAAAACTCAAGCTGTTCATCCGCAAATGGGTTGACCCTCCTGTGTTGGATCTGAAAGGACGTCGACGTTTACTTGAGCGGCCATTCACATTATCTCGCGAGGGCTGTTTTGCATTGTTGGAAGCGGCGTCGCTGGAAATCGCCATTACCGGATTGATCATTGACACTTGTCGCGTGGAAAAGCTTTTCCAAAAGTACTATGACGCTCTCGAATCCGGCAACCGCGTGCAAATCAAATGCTCTGAGCTTCTTATCATGTGCCTGATATTATTGTGGTGCATCACGTTCCTCGTCGACGAGATTGCTCGGGGAGCTCAATTGCCTCCAGTGATTGCCAATGAACTCGACGCGGAAGATCTTCAAAAGTTGAAAGATCAACTTTTCAATCAAGCTATTGCTTACTACCACCGTATATGTGTGATATCTGAGGGCTTGCCCACCATTCAAGGCATCCTCTTATTCATGATGTATATCGAAGCTAATTGGTTTATCCTGCCGATAAACTACATTTTGGGTACCGTAGCGCTCCGGTTCGCTCAAGAAATTGGTCTTCATCGACTGGAAACTTATGAGTGCCTTAGTTACGAGGAATCTCTCGAACGCCGCCGCGTATGGTGGTTCTGTTACTACTTTGACGTGGAAATTTGTTTCCGAACTGGGAAGCCACCATTGATTGATCTGTCAGACGTCACCACCGACTCTTACTCCGACTTCACTCATTTTTTCACTTGGGCTGCTTGTATGGGGCAAGACTTATCCGAAGATGTTGTCAAAGCTCACAATGAGTTGCTGCAGGAGCTTTTGCGCGACCCCAGTAAGCCCGAAAGACAACTCATAAAGTTCTCCAACTTGTGTGGTGAACCTATCGCTGGTCAAGTTTATCTCAAGGTGCTTTCGGAGATTAGAGCCAAGCTGTACAATCGCATTTTCAGTGCCCGTGCAAAGCAGTACCTGTTTCCTAAGTTTATGGACGTATTGGAAGAACTCAACGAGGAGATGGCAGCCTACGCTGAATGCATATCTAGTGAACGCCGGCCTCGCTTTTGGGACGATCCTCACTTTGATACTAATAAGCTTGAGTTTGTTACCGCTATGCGCGATAGACGTGAGTCTTTCAACATGCATTTGGCATACTTTTTGCACCTCATGATTATCAACCGGGTGCCATTGGTGGTGGACACTGCTAATTTAGGCAACGAAGAGATCCTGAAGATAAACCGCAGTCGGCACTTATGCTTTCAACTGGCTAGAACAATCTTGCATCTTTGTAAGGACTTGAACCGACTGAACTGCTCCATGTCGTACTTCAACTGGATTGCCTTCTTTCCCTCCTCGGCATTTTTGTGTCTTGTTGCTGGTGTGATAAATCACCCCCACTCAGACTCATTGAATGACATCAATTTGCTCATCCACCTTCTGCGTAACTTCTTTGCTATTGCCGATTTAGAAGAAGGGGATGCTAAGGCCCGATTCTATCACAAGGAAGCCATGGTGGGACTTATAATCAAGCTCATGCTTAAGATTACCACAGTCATTTATGAAACTCGCAACAACCTGACAGTATTCCTGGATGATGCTGGCTTGCAACACCACTTTGACAGTGCTCGGCTGATGTTCCCCGAGCTCTTCATGAACCACAAGGAGTTAAGGGCTAAGATCAAGGGTGTGACTGGTGACCTGCCGTTTGGTAACAACAAAAACCCTCTGCTGTCTAGCACCCCTCAAAGTCGGGTTTTAGCTATGGGCGATCCCCAAACTGGCCCAGGCGGTGCCGGCACTCAGTACCACGCATTGCCAACCGAATACATGCCAGTTGGCTCCCAAATGCCACCCTGCAGCGACGGTCTGATGGGTTGTATGATGCAAGCATCTTACGACCCCAACACGGGCATGATGGACAATCTGAATGTGCCTGTGAATGTCAATAAATACGCCGCTCTGAGCAATCTGGACAGTGCTAACTTGACTCCTCAATACCTGGGAATACTTCACGGCAATTTCCTTGATGATGCGATAAGCAATGACTCCTTCGGCTTAGGGCTGTATTTGCAAACGGAAACCATGCCAAACTTTTTCTTCGATAATAATATGGGTTTGGAATGATACGAATTGACGATAATATTATAATGACGTGACCTTTACCAATTTCAAGGCTCTTTGTGGCCTTTGTATAAAGGATATAGTTGATGATGATGACTAATAATTTAGCATTTACTAGCGGTTATACACAATGAGATGACAAAAGATAGTCCGATTTCGGAATAATTCGATTTCCTACCCTATTGACCGTTCGGGAAAAGTAATTGAGAAAGAATGGTTTGAGCCAATCGGATTTATGAGTTGATGTGAGAAAGTTTTGGCCCACTTCGTCAATGGCACCCTTACGTGTATATAAGTCAGACATTGATATCGATTTGCCATACATCTCCACCTTCAATTAACCATCCATGGATGTCTAAGCGCACGTGACCGTTGATGCTCACAAAAAATCCATCGCCTCAACCACGACAACAAACCATCAGTGGCCAAAAAAGTTCCCCAACATCATCCCTCGAATATTACTATTTGTGGGTGTTTTATTCAGTCTCTATCTGGTATTCATTGTATTTGGATCGCGGATGCCTAAAGAAGTGACGTCGGTGGCACGGGTTTATGCCGATGTGCTCTCGCACAAGCCCCAGCTGTATTGGGATTATGATGATCTCCAGATTCAGTGGAACTCACAAGAAAACTATGAGATTATCAAGAAGCTTGGTCGGGGCAAGTACTCCGAAGTCTTTCTTGGTATCGACCTCACGCTGGGAGCAAAATGCGTAATAAAGGTTCTTAAGCCAGTCAAGCGGAAAAAGATCAAGCGTGAAATCCTGATTTTGAAAAACTTGGTTAATGGGCCCAATATTATTACTCTCTATGATGTGGTTCGGGAGCCGCAGCTGAAAACCCCGGCGTTCATTTTCGAGCTCGTGGAAAACATCGACTTCCGCACATTATACCCCACTTTCACCGACTATGACATTCGTTTCTACATGTTCCAGTTGTTGCGTGCTCTTGATTATTGCCACAGTCAAGGTATCATGCATCGTGATGTGAAGCCGCACAATGTAATGATTGACCATAAGGAGAAAAAATTGCGGTTAATTGATTGGGGGTTGGCTGAATACTACCACCCCGGTACCGAATACAACGTTCGTGTCGCGTCACGTTATTTTAAGGGTCCCGAATTGTTAGTCAATTTCAGACTTTACGACTACTCTCTCGATTTGTGGAGTTTCGGGTGCATGTTAGCATCGATGGTGTTTATGAAGGAACCATTCTTTCATGGTAAGTCTAATACTGATCAGTTGGTGCAGATCGTTCGCGTGTTGGGGTCCAATGCATTGAATGCTTATCTTGAAAAGTACAACTTGACATTACTGGATGAATATGAAGACTTGGCGTACTACAACCGCCGGTCATGGGATAGATTTGTCAATGACAACAACCAGCACTTGGTGTCCGATGAGTTTTTAGACTTCATCGACAAGTTGTTACGTTACGACCACCAAGAACGGTTAACCGCCCAGGAGGCAATGGACCATGCCTACTTCGATCCTGTAAGACAGGAAGCTTTGGCCACCAATAATTAATCACAGTTTCTAGGCTCCCAATGAGAGCTTAAAAGTATATACATACTAGTTTATCTCCTCAATAAGTTCAAGTTGTCAAAAAAAATTCCGCCCCACAACGGCTTTTTAGCTCGATGCAGTTTTGAGACATTTTTCCATTTGTGTAGATGAAAAATCTCCCCTCGAGTAGGACACCACCTAAAACTGTTAACGGTGAGATTGATTACCAACGAGAAAAATACAACTTGTGAGTATGTTCAGTTCGATTATAAATTTGCCAGTCTGTGACGTACAGTGTGCCCCACAGAATTTTCTTATCTCACCTCCGGGAGTTTTCGGAGCTCCAAACTTAAATTTCTGTTTGCAAGCTACCTTAAAGCTGCGCCAGTGGCGGTATCTGAACCATACCGACCAAACACTTCTGTTGTACGTTTGTGACTCCACACATTCAGTGGGGTCCGCTCACGACTATCTGCAACTCTCAATGAGGGTGGCGATGCCCTCTCGAAGAGATGAGGTTAGACGCATGTAGACCCGGCGATGGCGGCAGCGACAACCGCAGCCACATTCGCGATAGAAACACCCTACAATGTCTAAGGAAATATCTCTCACCCGAGTTAACTTTATTTTGGCCGCCTTGGCTCCCCAACTGAAATTACGAGTGGATACTGTTGGTACCGATGGGGTTGGGAGCTGCGGTTGCCCATATGCACTACTCCGAAAACGTGCCTTAGGCCAAATGATCTCGGCCCCCAGTAACACAATAACTGGAGAAATGCGTAGCGATAGTCGGAGGTATTCATTCCGGACGGGGCACCAAGACCTATTCGGCGTCTGTTACCATTGTAGTACTCCACGAAAAACAAAGCTTGAAAGCTTGTTCATCAATATGTAGAATAACTAAACAAAACCCAATCAAATCTGGGAAATGAAACGTCTTACCCATCAACTTCTTATCCACCTAAAGTGCTCTTCGTTCTTCCGTTCGCCTCCCAACAGTGTCGCACTATGAGCCCAGATGGGGCCACCAAAATCTGTTGAGCACCTATGTACACTACATGCATATCAAAATGTTGAGCAGACATGGGAAACAAAAACCCCCATAGCCGCTGCTGTAGGTCCCGCAAGGTTAATAACTCGCACCAGACGTACCACCCGTGTGCTTGTTGATTTATTTATTGCATCCTTCGCAGAATCCCTCCACACAATGGTCAGTGCTACCCATCGTCCGTTTCTGTTGACTCACGGCGACATCGAACACACCTTTTTGGTGCCCGTGGACCAGTTTTTCAAATACTCCCAGTTGCGGGAGCGCTTCATCAAACAATTGCCCACTCCCACTGAAGGCTACGCCGAAGACGATGAACCTTCGTCCCCCGCCGAATTGTTCGGTCAGTTTTTGGGCTTTGTCGCCGCCGAAGTGAACCCTGTCGAAGAAGGTCAATTTGACGATTTACTCAAGGTCTGTGTTGCTGACTTCGACTCGCGGTACCTTGCCAACAATGATATCCACTCATTTGCCGTCGAATTGATGACTCTGGAAGAACATCCCACTACCGCCTACAAAGTCAAGTACCACGTCATCCGCAACTACTTGCAAGCCGTCCACAACCTGAACCTGAAGATTTCGACCCAGCAGTCTCAATTGTTGACCGATGCCGCTTCTGGCCCCGCCTCGCTCCTGGCCATCTTTGGTGGTCAAGGGAACACCGACGAATACTTTGAAGAATTACGCGACTTGTACCACATCTACCACCCGTTGGTCTACGAAGACGTCATTGTTCCCATTGCTAAGCACTTCAACAAGTTGATCAAGGCCGACCCTCAGTTTGACAAGATCTATACCCAAGGCCTCGATGTGTTGGGCTGGTTGCAACTGGCCGACAAGACCCCCGACACCGAGTACTTGCTTGCCGCCCACGTTTCGTGCCCTTTGATCTCCCTCATCCAAATGTGCCACTACACCGTCACTTGTAAGGTGTTGGGTGTCACCCCCGGCGAATTCCGCGACTCGTTGAAGGCGGGTACTACTGGTCACTCTCAAGGGTTGATCGCCGCGTTGGCGGTGGCCTCGTCGCTGACTTGGGAAGACTTCATTTTGAACGCCACTAAGTGCTGTGCCATGATGATGCTCATTGGGTGCCGTGCTTCGTTGGCCTACCCCAAGACTAACTTGCCCCCCACTATGTTGCAAGACTCGATCGAACATGCTGAAGGTCGCCCGTCGCCAATGTTGTCGGTCCGTGACTTGAACCGCGAACAGGTCTCAAAGTTTATCGACGAAACCAACAAGAACTTGCCTAAACTGAAGCACATTGGCATCTCATTGGTCAACGGTGGTCGCAATATGGTCATCTCGGGTCCCCCCGAATCGTTGTACGGTTTCAACTTGATCTTGCGGAACAACAAGGCTCCTCTGGGCTTGGACCAACTGCGGGTGCCTCACTCGCAACGTAAGCTCAAGTTCTCCAACCGGTTCTTGCCTATCCACGCCCCCTTCCACTCGCACTTGCTTTCTGACGCTACCGAAGTCATCTACAACGACTGTAAGGAGCACGGCATTTTGTTTGAACAACTGGCGATTCGCGTCCCCGTGTACGACTCCGAGCTGGGTGAGAACTACCAAACCTACTCCGACAACTTGAATCACCGCTTGATTGAATGTATCACCACTTTGCCTGTGATGTGGGAACGCGCCACCAACTTCAAGCTGACCCACATGTTGGAATTTGGTCCCGGGGGTGTATCTGGTTTGGGTGTTCTTACTCACCGGAACAAGGTCGGCTCGGGTACTCGTGTGATCTTGGCCGGCACGTTGGACGCCCCTACCGCTGAGGACGACTTTGGTTTCAAGCAAGAAATTTTCAACTTTTACAACGTCAAGTATGCCCCCAACTGGTTGGCTGAGTTCGCCCCCAAGTTGGTGAAGACTAAGGGTGACAAGGTGTACGTCGACACCAAGTTCTCGCGGTTGTTGGGCCGGGCGCCGTTGATGGTTCCTGGTATGACTCCTACTACCGTCAACTCCGACATTGTGGTTGCCGCTACCAACGCCGGCTACCACATCGAACTTGCTGGTGGTGGGTACTTCCTGCCCTCGATGATGACCAAGGCCATCGACGACATTGTCGCTCGCATTAAGCCAGGTTTCGGTTTCTCGATCAACCTCATTTACGTCAACCCGCGGATGTTGCAATGGGGGGTGCCATTGATCAAGGAATTGAGAGAGAAGGGTTACCCTATTGAAGGGTTGGTGATTGGTGCTGGTGTTCCCTCCTTGGAAGTGGCCACTGAATACATTGAAGACTTGGGCATCACCCAATTAGGGTTGAAGCCGGGTTCCATCGATGCTATCTCTCAATGTATTACTATCGCTAAGGCTCACCCCAACTTCCCTATCCTCGTGCAATGGACTGGTGGTCGTGGTGGTGGTCACCATTCGTACGAAGATTTCCACCAACCCATCTTGCAGATGTACGCTAAGTTGAGAAAGTGCAAGAACATCATCTTGATTGCTGGCTCCGGGTTCGGTCTGGAAGATGATACCTACCCTTACTTGACTGGTGCCTGGTCGGCCAAGTTCAACTACCCTCCCATGCCTTTCGACGGGGTGTTGTTTGGTTCTCGTGTGATGACTGCTAAGGAAGCTCACACCTCGTTGTCTGCCAAGGAGTTGATTGCCAAGTGCCCTGGGGTTACCGACGCTCAATGGGAACAATCGTTCAAGAAGGACACTGGTGGTATCGTCACTGTCATCTCGGAAATGGGCGAACCCATCCACAAGATCGCCACCCGCGGTGTCTTGTTGTGGAAGGAATTCGACGAGACTTTGTTCAATTTGCCTAAGAACAAGCTCCTTGAGGCCATCAACAAGAAGAAGGACTACATCATCGACCGTCTTAACAAGGACTTCCAAAAGCCCTGGTTCGGTAAGGACTCTAAGGGTAAGGCTTGTGACCTCGAAGATATGACCTACCAGGAAGTAGCTAACCGCATGATCGAGCTCATGTACATATCCAAGCGTGGCCGCTGGATCGACTTCACTTTGCGCAACTTCTTGGGTGACTTTTTGCGTCGCGTTGAAGAACGTTTCACTTACAACGAAGGCCAGGTTTCGTTGATCCAGAACTTTGCTGAATTGGACTCCAACCCTCAAGAGTTTGTTGACAAGTTCTTTGACCACTACCCTGAAGCCAAGGAACAACTCATCTCTGAGGAAGACGCCGACTACTTCTTGATCTGCTGTATCCGCCCCGGTCAAAAGCCCGCTCCTTTCGTGCCCATTTTGGACGAACGTTTCGAAGTCTACTTCAAGAAGGACTCGTTGTGGCAATCCGAAGACATCGAGCTGGTGGTCGACGAAGACGTTGGCCGGGTGTGTATCTTGCACGGGCCTGTGGCTGCTCAATTTACCAACAAGGTCAACGAACCCATCGGCGAGATCTTGGACTCGATTCACGAAGGTCACATCTCGAAGTTGTTGGACGACCTCTACGGTGGTGACATCCTGAAGGTGCCGGTGGTTGAATACTTTGGTGGCAAGCAACCCGTTGCTGCTCCCAAGCTCGCCGGTGTCGAAGTTACTACTGACGGTGGTGTCACCTCGTACAAGGTTGGTCGCACTGTCCTCCCCGACGCTACTGCTTTCTTGGACGCTTTGGCTGGTGACAAGTTGCTGTGGATGCAAGCCATTTTGCTGACCGACCGCGTGGTTCAAGGCAAGCTGCACGTGCCCAACCCTCTCCACTCGATCTTGGCGCCTGCTCCCGGTGCTGTCTACCAAGTGCTGGACTCGCAATTGGTGGTGTTGGAAAAGATCAAGGGTGAGTACAAGCCCACCGTCAAGTTGTTTTTGAAGAATGCCAACACTATTGTGCTTGAGTTGATTGAACACCGGACTGCTGACGGTCTTCCCTTGGCGATGCCGTTCCTCTACACCTACAACCCTGCCGACGGTTTTGCTCCCATCTTGGAACAAATGGAAGGCCGCAACGACCGCATTAAGGAATTCTACTGGAAGTTGTGGTTCGGTCAAGCTGTGCCTTACGACACCAACATTGACGTGCAACAGTCGATTAACGGTGAAGAGGTGGTGATCAACGCTCGCGACATTGCCGACTTCACTCACGCCATTGGTAACAACTGTGAAGCGTTTACCAAGTTGCCTGGTCGCGACCAACAAGCCCCCATGGACTTTGCCATTGTCATTGGCTGGCGTGCCATTATCAAGGCGATTTTCCCCAAGACTGTTGACGGGGACTTGCTCAAATTGGTGCACTTGCTGAATGGTTACAAGATGATTCCTGGTGCTACTCCGTTGAAGGTTGGCGATCGCGTGAAGGCCGTTGCTGACATTAAGGCCGTTGTCAACCAACCTCTGGGTAAGATGGTCGAAGTTGTTGGTACCATTTTCCGTGACGGCAAGCCCGTGATGGAGGTTTCGTCGCAATTCCTCTACCGTGGCGTTTACAACGACTTTGAGAACACCTTCCAAAAGGTGGTGGAAGCTCCTTACCAAGTTTCGTTCAAGTCGCCTAAGGATGTGGCCGTGTTGCGCTCGAAAGAGTGGTTCTCGCTTGACAAGGAAGTCGAAATCTTGGGTGAAGATTTGACCTTCCGTTGCACTTCAGTCTACAAGTTCAAGCTGGGTAACCTCTACTCACTGATTGAAACCGTTGGTGACGTGTTATTGGAATTGCCCACAAAGGAAGTGGTTAAGGTTGGTTCGGTTGAATACGAAGCCGGTAAGCTGTACGGTAACCCCGTGATCGACTACTTGCTGCGTAACGGTAAGACCATCGAGGAAGCCGTCAAATTTGAAAACGTCATTCCCATCTCGCTGGGCGAAGAACTCACCTCTAAGGCTCCCGGCACTAATGAACCTTACGCTGTTGTCTCTGGTGACTACAACCCCATCCACGTGTCGCGTGTGTTTGCTGCTTACGCCAACTTGCCTGGCACTATTACCCACGGTATGTTTTCGCTGGCTGCCGTTCGTGGCCTTGTTGAAGAGTGGGCTGCCAACTCCATTGCTGCTCGTGTTCGTGCTTTCAAGTGCAACTTTGTTGGTATGGTGTTGCCTAATGACGTGTTGCAAACCACTCTTGAACACATTGGTATGATCAATGGTCGTAAGATCATCAAGGTTGAAACCAAGAACGTTGAAACTGAATCCGTGGTGTTAGTTGGTGAAGCCGAAATTGAACAACCCATCACCACTTATGTGTTCACCGGTCAAGGTTCTCAAGAACAGGGTATGGGTATGGACTTGTACAACTCGTCTGAAGTCGCTCGTGCCATTTGGGACAAGGCCGACAAGCACTTTGTTGATAACTACGGGTTCTCAATCTTGGACATTGTTCAAAACAACCCTAAGGAGTTGATCGTACACTTTGGTGGTGCCAAGGGTCGCAAGATCCGGGAAAACTACATCTCGATGATGTTTGAAACTATTGGTGACGATGGTTCGCTTAAGCTGGAAAAGATCTTCAAGGACGTCACTCACAACACTGAGCAGTTCAAGTTCGTGTCGCCCACTGGTTTGTTGCTGGCTACCCAATTCACTCAACCCGCCCTTACTCTCATGGAAAAGGCCGCGTTTGAAGACATCAAGCTGAAGGGCTTGATCCCCGAAAACATTATGTTTGCGGGTCACTCGCTTGGTGAGTACTCGGCGTTGTCGTCGCTTGCTAACGTTATGCCCATTGAATCGTTGGTCGACGTTGTATTCTACAGAGGGATGACGATGCAAGTTGCTGTGCCCCGTGACGACTTGGGCCGTTCCAACTACGGTATGTGTGCTGTGAACCCGTCGCGTGTCTCGCCCACTTTCGACGACGCTGCTCTCAGATTTGTCGTTGATGAAACTGCCAAGGTTTCGGGCTGGTTGCTTGAGATTGTTAACTACAACGTTGAAAACCAGCAATACGTTACTGCTGGTGACTTGCGTGGGTTGGACTGCTTGACTAATGTTCTCAACGTTATCAAATTGAACAAGGTCGACATTGTTAAGTTGCAAGAGCAAATGCTGGTGGAAGAAGTCGCCGCTCACTTGAAGGAAATCATTGAAGAAGTGGCCAAGCAAACTGAAAACAAGCCTCAACCTATTGACTTGCAAAGAGGTTTCGCCGTCATCCCGTTGAAGGGCATTGACGTGCCTTTCCACTCATCCTACTTGATGCTGGGAGTGAAGCCCTTCCAAAGATTCTTGCGCAAAAAGATCCCCAAGTCGCTGGTGAAGCCTCAAGACTTGATCGGCAAGTACATCCCCAATTTGACCGCTAAGCCTTTCGAAATTACCAAGGAGTACTTCACTGATGTGTACAACTTGACTAAGTCTGACAAAATCAAGGCTATTTTGGATAACTGGGACTCCTACGAAAAGGCTTGAGTCCCCGGCGGTGTACTGACTTTTATTTCGTTTTGACGATGCGGTGGCTTCATGCGTGGTACCATCAAGCTGCCGCTGATTTATTCAATGGTCTTCAATTATTTATTTATTATAAACGTTTGTGAATTGAAATCTTGTAGCTTGAACTTTTCGCTCTTAGAAAGCATTGAGGTTCATGTGGTAACCACAACGGTAAACTCTCAATCGTCGAATCATAGAGAGCGGATCAAATTATATGTCTATAAATTGCTTTGAGATATTATTTCTGATTACTTTGAGTCATGTATTCGAAATGGAACATGCTTGCTTGTGTGGTTTTTTGAAGCTGTTGATATAATTTTATTTTGCTCGTCAAGAACGTCTGATACGACCGAATAACCCCAGCCTCCCTCCTTCGCCAACATTTAATCGCGCAGCACGACACGAAGGACCGCCGCCACCACAGCCCATACCGCCTCGACACTCACACACTTGATGTACCGCGTCACACTTTTGTGGGTAAGTGGGAGAAAGTGCTAGCCAAACCCCAGCCTTGCCACTGGCACTTGCATTCGCATACCCGGGGGGTAAAGGAGGGGCGGAAGGATTTTGGGAAGCTCCACCTCCCCCAATTGGCTGTTGTCCCCTTGAGTCCAATGACGAATTGCCGCCTTTTTCAGGCGGGGGTCCTGATGGGGGGGCGAAATCATCCTGCGGCGGAGGACCAGGAGGAGGAGCGAAATCATCTTGAGGAGGGGGGCCAGGAGGAGGGGCAAAATCATCTTGAGGAGGGGGGCCAGGAGGAGGGGCAAAGTCATCTTGGGGAGGAGGACCAGGAGGAGGTGCATAATCCTGCTTGGGAGGATGTCCGGGAGGCGGTGCATAGTTGTCGTCCGGATAACTAGGAGGAAGGCCTTGCGTTTCACTAAGGGAGTAGCCTCCTTGTCCCTTGGAACTGCCCTGTTGCTCTTGCTGGGCATAATGCTGGGCCATGCGCTCCTTTTCGGACATATTGTTGAAGTTCACTTTTTCCGATAACGACATCGAGCCCATGGCTCGCAGTAACAGTTCGTCGCCCATACCATGCCGTTTACGTACACAGGCATTACATTTACAAATGCTCAAGTCATGGCCAGCAATCCCTTTGTATTGCACCAAAGTATATTCATATACTTGAAGTGCATTTTGAGCAACGAAACTCTCGTCCAACATATATTTCATCTCTTCCTTCATGAAGTTGAAATAGAAGAATGGAGCTAACTGGTGGGTGCGCCAAATCAAGTCGATATCCACAGTAGGAAAAATTGCCTGCCCTTTAGTGGCTCTGGACACCGGTAACCATTTACGGTATCGCTTAATCAGCTCGTCGATCAACAATGTTTGATACTTGTCTTCGGCCCAGTTTAATTGTGTCAACTTTTCAAAAAATGGTTCGCAATTCCTGACCATTTGCACAAAGTCTTCCGTGAATGTCAACGTGTTACTACCAGTGGTGAATACAATGTTAGTGTTGGCCAACGGGGCCATGATCAAATCCATTTTTTGAGCAAAGTCAGACAGACGACACTTTTGGCGTACACCCCAAACAAATTCCGAGAACAGCATATTGGGCATGTTCCGCAATAATCTATCCGACGAAAGCGTTTTGTTAATATCAGCTTGCAAACTTTCAACCTTTTTGTAACTGTGGAAAACCTCACTGAAGTGTTTGAATAACCCCGGCAAAAACAAGTTGTTTTTGATGAAATAATACAACGTACGTTTGCGTAACTCATCGTGAGTGATCATAGGTGAGAATGGACAACGACACGACAGGTTGGGCGCCTTCTGGGCCACAAAGTCAGCATCGGCAAACCCGGTCAAGTCGTCGTTGGTCCATGGAACCGAAGGCAAAATGTTTTCCCCACAATTGGGACACCACACAAATACCGAATCAGGTATAACGCTGATGCTGGGGACGTGATAGATTCGTTCTGGCTCATCCTGAGAAAAGTTTGTCATTACCTGTTGGTAGTATTGAACATCTTGAGGCTGAGGGTTGTAGTCATAGGAGTCATCATCAATAGCTTGCGCAATTGCTTGGAGAGGGAAAGGAATGTTGATAAAATTCATAAAGTCACCACGGATCCCCCGATCATACCAAGCACCCAGATCCATAAGGTAGGAATACCACACCATGGCTACATCTAGAGGCGGCACTAGCCGACTCATAAACTGAAGGAATTTCGGCGACAGCTTGAAGCCATGTTCAAAGTTCTTCTCCTCATTCACCTTTCCCGGTTGGTGGTTATATTCTCGGAAACACGCCAGCATGAATACAATAAAACGACGCAGGGCATAGATCAAAAACACCCGCCATATATCTCCTGGGAGCGACCGATCAGAGTTGAGGATGGTGCGCTTGTACTTGTCGAGCGCCTTCACAAATTTAAGGTGCCATCTAACTTCATCAGTAGTGGGAAAGTAATTCTTCAGTGAAACGGCACCCGACAGGTTTCGCCGGTAGTACAATTCACTCGCCAGAGACATATTGGTTTAGCAATTGGTGGATTGTGGAGAGCTAGCTCTAGCAGTAACTTGCTGTGCGGTGGGGTGTAAGATTCATATGCAGTGTCGCAGAGCGGGCGCGAAAAAAAAAAGGAGGCTGAGACGAGAATGACCAATACGGGGAATGAATGGCGAAGTTGGCGGAGTTGTACAAATGCCAAATCCACTCCATTGATCCACAGGTTTTGCATTACGCGGGCCTAGCATGCGAATTGCGCAGTACTAGAGTGAAGAGGCATTTGAGGAACTCTACGGCATCATCAACTGGTGCCACAGAAGAGATAACCCGAAGACGCGTAGCAAGATTAACTATAGACAACAAAATATACCTGGTCCCGGGGAGAAAACGCGAGAATCCACTGATGAGGCTTGGTACATTACATGGGATGCATGGCCTTCTGTGCGTGGCGGTATATGCCTCGGCTTTCAAACCAATGGTAATAGTGAAATTTGTGAAGGCTGATAGCTCTCTAATCATCGGTGATAATCTTTTTGTGTCAGTAGCCCGTTTGGATGGATCTTTGCTGTGTTCGACTGCGTTGTTGTGGCTCAATTGATTTCGATGTTCTATTCTTAGATCCGATGAGGCAAACAGCATATGCATGGCGGTTACGTGCTGGTATCGATCCAGCAGATTCGTGTGAAGGTTGTGTCGTGTCGGCAATGTGTTTATTGTCCGACGTTACTATTATTGGTGTTAGCCAGCTGAAAACATTGAGCTGACACCGTTTAAACTCGATTTTTCAAAAGTCATTGGTCTGGCTATGTAATATTGTATATGATCGTTGGAAATACCATCTGATGAGGTTAATAGTTGTGATTTTATTGACCAGCTGTGTTGCATTTTTGTGAATTAGCTCAAAGGCGTTAATGCGATACGAGGTGGTAATTATTGTGGGGTATGTGTTTCATCTGCTTCAGATCAAGCCTAGACCATTCTATGGGGAGCAATTGAGACTTAATGTGGTAATACCTTAACCTACTTACAGCTAAACGATCATGCAAACCTGGCGAAAACAGATCAAACCATCTCCCATACGCGAGACTTTGTACTGCTAGCGTTGTCCTATTGCTGGTAATGCCCCTACTTGGTCAGTAGAGGACCTCCTACATATACCTATTGGGGTCGAAATTATGACGGAAGTGCGCAAAACGCAGCAGCACAGAAAAGTCTCCAGATAATTGCCACCAGCATCAGCACGTTCAGAAGTTGGACAACCTCGGGCTGGCGAGTTTGAGCGAACTACGACAGTCAGAGTTAACCAGTTGAGTTGCTCGGCGCTTTTGGGGGATTACCTACGATGAGTTCAAACGTGATCAAGCGCAAGTTGGTCATTGTCGGTGATGGCGCCTGTGGCAAGACCTCGCTTCTCTACGTATTCACCCTCGGCGAATTCCCTACAGAGTACCACCCCACGGTGTTTGAAAACTACGTCACCGACTGTCGAGTCGACGGCAAGCCGGTGCAATTGGCGTTGTGGGACACAGCCGGCCAAGAAGAATATGAACGCCTACGGCCTTTAAGCTACGCCAATAGCCACGTTCTCCTCATTGCATTCGCCGTCGACGTGCCTGATTCCCTTGAAAACGCCAAAACCAAGTGGGTTCAAGAGGTGCGACGATACTGTCCTCAGACCCCATACCTCTTGGTGGGGCTTAAGAAAGACTTACGTACGTCGCAGGATAGCCAGTTTGTCCAGACCCATCAGGGGGAGGTGGCGGGGATTGAAATTGGCGCCAAAAAATACTTGGAGTCGCTGAGCTTAACCGGCGAAGGCGTCGACGATATCTTTGAGTATGCCACTCGTACATCATTGTTGGTCACCAGTGATAAGGTAAAAGACGGGTGCTGCGTCATCTTGTAGACCCATGCTTCGCGCGACACAAGCCTATAGATTCTCTGGCGTTAATATATCATTTTAATTTCGTATGGGCGGTGAATTTCGACCCCCTCCCCCGTATTAAGTAATCCACCACGTGCCCTACTGATGAGGACCGCCGCGTTTGCATATATGCACTCCGTGACATCGCCGACAGACACCTCTGCCTGAAGTTGCCCCGCCAGCGTCCATCCTCTCCAGCGGTCATGACTAGGCAAGTAGATCTTAACTTGAACGAGCCGCTTGATGCTGCTGCCAAGCCGACGTTGAGCAAAACTCCGCTTGTGCCCAAGTATGCTACTGCTGCCGCCACGTTACAAGGGGACTACTACGTTCAAGAACAACTGAACCTCAATCGCTACTTGTTTTGGAGCCCGATTCTGAAGGTTTACATGACGTTGGTGATTGGCACTGCCCTTACTTACGCGTTGTGGGACTACGTCGTCATCTCAGACACCCCGATGGAGTTCCTTCAGTATTTCCGCAGAACCGAAGTGTGGGTGCAGTTGGTCATCATCTTGCCGGCACTTGTCCTCATTGTCATCTCATTGGGGTTGGTGATCTTTTTGGTGTCTGATGACTTGAAGGACGTGAGCCGTAACCTTGTCGGGAACGGTTATGTGAATGAAATTTTTGGCTTTGATCTCGTCAAGTTCGCTAAGCTCGATGTTGATTCCAACGTTCCTAAACAACGTGAGCAATTGAGTCTTGGTGACAATACTCAGATTATTGTGTACCGAGACTCGCCCATCGCCATCGCCACCGTGGTGCCTGACCCTAAATCAACAGTTTCCGATTTTATTGTCCGCATTCTGGGAATGAACATTCGTAAGGTGTACTCCAAGGTTGACTTTGACCAGTTGGTGTTGGAATGGAGTATTATCCGCGCGCGTCAATTATTGCAAAGACGGGCGGAGAAGGAAAGCATTAAACTGATCTCGGGATGTAAGATTACCGTGTTGGTGGATGCATACAGCTTCGACCAACACCGGGTGTCGTTGCTCCTCAAAAACGGTTTTCTGCTTTTGTCATCGACTTACCAACTCAACCCTTTCGGTGCGGCGCCCCAACACTGGCAGGTCGGGTTGCAAAAGGTGTTTTCTGTGGCTCGCCGCACCTACGGATTGGTGTTTGTCGTGGATAACGAAGACGCTGACCTCTTGATGAAAGCGGTAAAGACTTCAGGTTTCCTTGCAACCACTGATAACGTCAAACGGAGAAGACCTGCTGCTTGATTTAGCTTATTACTTCTCGGTAAATATAAGCATAACTACTTAATAATACAATCAAAAGGATTTCAAGTGGCCTAGTTGTTCATTTAGCATTAAGGGTGAATGAAGGCAAAAAGATATGCGAATTTTGTGGATCGAACACAAGACCTCCAGATTTCAGGACCGAAGTTGACTTCAGTCTGGCGCTCTCCCAACTGAGCTAAATCCGCATCTGCGAAAAAAAAAGTACTGTGACTCTGTCATACCGTCCAGATGCATCAATCAAGTTTGCGTTTATTTGCCCGCGATCCACTCATCACTCATAGCATCATATTATTTGTGTTACATTAAATATATAGTGATGTGTCTATGTATTATATCATGGGCCTTTGCGCAAAAACTCGAGAATGTCCATATCGTCGCCCAGCGTCTGGCGAGGGGTTGTAGCTTTGGCAACGTTAGCAACACTACCACGGCGACCAGATCCCTGTTTCGCGTCTGAAGTATCGGCAAGCAGAAAACGTCGCAGTTGATTCAGATTATGCAGCCGTTGAGACCCCAGAAACACGCTGCCCTTGCGAGGCGAGAGCACGCTCGATCTGTGGGTGGAGAAATCGAACGAGTAATTTTCGAGTTTGTTTTGGCGAAAGTCCCTTTCGTTAGGGTCATCCTGCAAAAGAGCAGAAAAGTCATGGCCCACCATGGTAGCGCCAGCGCTGGTGGGGACATAGACTGGTTGAAGACGGTCGAGCATCTGGCCTGCGGTGGAAGAAGACTTCGTTTGCGGTGGCTCGATGTGCTCAGGAGTGATTTTGTTGTGGATGGCTTTCACCCGAGACTCGGTGGGGAGGCCAAATAGCGGTAGTCTTAGCTGGTTGGCTAGGCGTCGCCACCACAGGTAGTTATAATCGTCAATTAAATCGGTGGGAAGTGACGGTTTGGTAAGGATAGCACTCAGATTCTGATCTTCCGGGCTAGACGGCGTCGTCGCACTGGTCATCAGGTGCATTCGCAGCCGGTGTTCGTTTTCAAACGTCTTCATCACGGTGTATCGCCACGGCTGTTCGCGATAAAAAAACACCAAAGTGTCAATGAACCCGGGGATGGGTTGCATGAACGCACCCATACCGTTGAGCCAAAGGATGGGGCCATGCTTCTGTTCGTAGTTCACTTGCGTCGCCTGAAGAATGAAGGGAAAAAGCCAGATGAGGAAGTATGCAAAGGGATAAATAAAGATCAGTTTCATCTGCTTTTCTATGATCTTCTGCCGGCGACGGAAGTTTTCAAGGTTTGACTGGTGAAGGTCTTTATCGTAGACGATATCGCGCGGGTCAACGTGCACTGGTGTCAGCACTGATGTTACCTGCGAGTCTTCTGACGGTTCTTCTTCTGCCTCCTCCTTGATGGTGTCGACGGGGGCATCACTACTATTCTGCGGTGACTTCAGCGCCAGCTTTCGCGGCGACGGCGCCTGCGCCGTTTCCGAAGATGACGAGGATCTTTCAGGGAGCACCATTTGCGGAAGCACGGCGTCCTTGACGCGGAGTATGTGGTAGCGGATAGTTCGCAATATCAGCTGCTTACCCGGGGTCTTGCGCTGGCCCTTGTTGTGGATAGTGTTGAACACGCCGCCTAACTTTTTAAACTCACGGATCACGTGGAAGTAAATGTAAACGTAGATGGCGATTATCAGCACCAAGATCACGTACCGCGGCACCCACGAAAGCACAAACCGGTACCACACTGGCCGCTGAGGCAAGTAGCACCAGCACACGTAGGGGAGGTACCCGGTGGGGTGGATGAACGCTAGCAGCGACATGAGCACAGGGAAGAAAAAGGCGAACGCGTACACGTAGAAGCGGTAGCGGTAAAGGCCGCCTTCGCTGCGGGGGACGACGGCATTGCGCACTTTGACGGTGAGCTCGGGATAGAAGATGAGGAGGTAGGTGTGGACGGCGAACGCCAAGATGGCGATGTCGGCACCCTCGATGGCAAACGCGGTGAAGAAGCCGGCGGCCTGGCAGAGCTTGGTGTTGGAGTACAGCTGGTGGTGCTGGAGGACGCGGGCGGGGTAGATGAGCAACACGATGGCCTTGATCAAGTCGAAAAAGAGCAAGAAAAAGATGAGGTGATGGCGGAAGATGAGCTTGCGGGGATCAATGGCAAGCAAGGTGTAGAGGCCGGCGAGGGACATCAGTATCAGCCCGCACAGCGCCAGCACCAGCAACACCCGCTGGACGAACCGCTGGGAGGCGGTGAATAGCGACGCCTGGCCCAGCTGCTCGGCATCGCGGATCGCCACCACCACGCGGGCCACAGCCAGGTAGGCCCAGTCGTTCACGCTCATGGCGACAACGTCAACGGGATGGGGGGGAGACGGAAGGGGTAGTGGCCGCAAACAAGGTCCGGCCACTGATGACTGATGATGGCTATTTAGGGAACCCGGTCCGGGTGCGGCGCGGGGAAAAAAGTTCCCTGCGGACCCTGCGAGCCCTGCCTGAGGTGGGTGTGGGGCGGTGGCAGAGGCGGCGTATTCCCCCAAAACAAGGCTTTTTTGGGCGTGGCGGTTGTTTTGCTACTGGGTGCAGTTACGAGCGGTGCGTTGGGGAGGATCGGTTTAGAAATGTAGTTCACTGGGGAATGTCTAACGCTAGACCATAGTCAAACCTTTTTTTTTTTTTTCCCCTCGCAGACCGTAGAGAAAAAAAGTTAATGACAGGCGACGACTGGCTAGCTTGGACTCAGGGGTAGAGGTAGTGTGTAGGGTAAAAGAGGGATTAAAAGTGGAGGAAGACGTTTGGATCGAGTGGAGGCAGCGGTGGCGGGTGTCGAAGGCTGGGTGATGCTAGATTTGGGGGCACTTTTTGCGAGATGGTTCCGCTGGCATCTCGATTGCCGTATCGCAGCAGGCATGGTCCCGCATCTCAGACTTGCCCTGCAGGGTAGGTTTCGGCGACTTAATGATGCCCTCACATCCCCTATATGAGAGGCTGGAAGCTTGGCGGTGGCTTGTGTGATTATAAGGGCTTGCGTTGGTACGCTATATACCACCGACAAGAAGATGTTTTTACCACCAGTAGCTAAATATCCTTAAGTACAATTTGTTGGCAAATTTCCGCAGTGAGCGTCGTCGTTTGCAACTGTAAGTGGGCTCTTCATACATGTACAGGTGAGATAGGTTCACTGGCGTCGCGATGGCCCGCAGTGTGCGGCATATGGGGGTTGCGGAAGGCAGCTATACGCGGACGCTTGGTGACGAGAGATAACAGGGTTGGCGAACACGAGGTGGGGGGGTAGAGGGTGGAGGCGTCTGAGGTGGTAGAGTTTTTTTCTGGGGAATGATCGACGGCTGAGACTGGCATCGATGTAGCAGTAGATGACACAGACATGCGACATTTGACGTCGACGTCAGGCGGCGATGACCTGTCACCCTCTCAGACAATGGTAAGCGCCATGCGCCGACGCCGACATGACCGCGGTGAAATGTTCCTAAAACTCCTGTATTAAGTATTAAATGTATGTTTTTGTCCCAGGGTGAAAAGGCAAAGGTAATTAGGGGGGGACGCCGGGTATTATGTAGTGTGTATCGTTCATCTCAATTTCGTCTTGACGCCAGCGGGGGTGGTGCCTTCGTACTGCGACGCCAATTCTTCAAGCAGCGTCACCAGCGTCGCCAGCAGGATCTGATTTTGGTAGTCGTCAAACACCAGCGGCAGCGCCAGGTTGTCCAACAGCAGCACCTCCAGCGCCTCTTCGAACGCCGCCGGCGCCACCAAGGCCACCGGCAGGTGGACCCGCTCGTTCGGCGGCAGCGCCGTGCGTTGCGACCGCGACCGCGCAAGCAGTACCATTTCCATCAGGTCGGAGAACCCCACTTCCAAGTCACGCGGCGACCCCATCCCCACCAGGACGAAGTCCAGCGTGAGAGGATCTTCCTGCACCATGTTGATCTTGGTAACGGAGTCGTACAGCCACCGGCACCACTTCAGTTGGTCCATAACCGGCAAGTGCACGTACTTGGTATACATAAACACCAGCAACAGCAACACCGCCCCGCCGATCAAGTCGATGAAGTAGTGGTGAGTCAAGTACATCGTCAGCCACCACAACCAGCAGGCGTACGTCCACCAGAGTACGCGGGCGCGCGGGAACACCCAGCACATGAACAACACTTCCATCACGGCGCACCCTGAGTGCAACGACGGGAAGGCGCCAAAGATTACCGGCGAGTTGCTGAACGCGGTGGTGTACATGTCGACTCCCAACAACTGGTCAATGCGGCCCAACCCACCCGGCGACCCTTGCATCGAGTAATTGGCGGGTTCAAGGCCGTTTCTGATCTTGTACCAAGGAGGCGCGGCGGGGAAGCACAACTGGATCAACACCCCGACCAAGTTCATGTAGCCAAAGGCAAAGGCGTAGCCTCTCAAGGCAGTGGGCGGCGCAAACAAAAAGATGAGCGCAGCGACGATGAACGGCACGGAAAAGTGGATGATACCGTAGGGCAACCACGCCATGACGTCGAACACGCGGTTATTGATGGTAGCGAGCACCGCACTCAAATTGTCGCCGTAGACGATGGTTTCGAGAGCGGGCAACACCTGCACTGAGATCAGCGGCTTCCATGAGTTGGGGATCTTCAGACAAGTGAAAAAAAGCGCCAACCACGTCAAGATTGGCAATGCATTGAAGAAAAATTGCAGGGTGAGGGGGATCATGAAAATAAGAGCGAAAAATGCCAACACCACCAACTTAGCCAACACCGGCGCCGGGAACACGGTGAACACGAATAGGTTCACCGCGGCGAGGAAAGTGTAGTGGGCGACGTCGCCTCTCAGCCACCGGTGGTGCCGGATGCGCTGGAGAGTGGTGGTGACCCTAGTGTCGAAGTCGAGGTCGCTCACCGTGGCGCCCGGCAGCTTCTCCAGCAAAAAGTAGCGTTGAAATAGGTGCACCGGTACTTGTATCACTGACGCCATGGTTTTGCGGGTGATATATGGGGCTATGGTACCGGTCAGGAGGGGCGCAAGGACAAACGAGGCTTTTTTCTCCCGCTGCGGAAACAGAAGTGGTTTTGTAGTCGCGCTCACTACAAGCAAAAAAAAAAATGTTTTACCCCTATAATGCCGCACGTGATCTGCTGAGGTGGAACCTTCGGGTTAACCGTGTGATAAAAGGAGGTCTCTGACTACACTAGGAACCCCGGTGCCCCCGTAAATAATGATGGGGGAACATAGAAAAAAAAACCTGCAGTAGGAGGCCCTGGCCAAACCCCTATACGCGCCATTGCTACCAGGAGACGAAGCGGTCATCCCACCCTGGGGGGCCCTGCAACCCCCCGCTAAGCCCTTACGCTCTGGATCCGGTAACCTGGCGCTGGCACCGCCTCATACCCAGCAGAACGTGGACAGAGTGTCCCGGATCTGAAGCCGTCATTTTCTCGATTGCGTCCTGCACCCGGGTGCTAAAAGTTTAAACCGGTTTTGGTAGCGAGAGAATGTGGTTGTTTCTTATTCGCAAAAAGCAACGCGGGCCCGTTTGGTGGGAGGCAACGAAAGGAAAAATATCCACAACCTTGGCGAAGGGGTGAAAGATAAACACTACGCTCCTAGCCGGCTCATAAATATTCCCCTACCTAAAGTGTCATAACCGGCCATATCACCCTGGTGGAGGCATCACTCCTGTAAACATGGCATGAGGTGGACAGCTGCGACGCGCTTAGGCATGACACATGAGACGCCGAGTATAAACAAACCGGGGGGCAGGCAGCATCCGCACCAGCCGTGCCATAGCGTCAATGGCCCAAGCGCCGCTAACGCCAGGGCTTAGCGTCGCCAGCAATAATAGTGCTGGTTAAAAAACCTGTAAGTACACTGCAACGGTGATGCTAGATTTTGTAGAGACAGCAGCAGCTACACTCGTGTGGGTGTTGCCGGCAGAACTCAGCCGGAACCCCGCATATTTCATTGATAATAAAGCGCGACTCCGAACCGATCAAATCTGGCAAAAATAACAGAAAAACGCTTCAAAGAAAAAAGCAATTGATCTACGGGATCTTGGCTTTTACTGGTATGATGTAAGTATTATTTTGGTGTAGGCGATTGACTGGGGAAGGGGTCGGTTTTCGAAAGAACTATGCAGCGGTTAACGTGGGACAAGTAGCCTTTGACTTTGCCATCACCGATAAGAGAGGCAAGCACACATTCAAGGTCGTCAATGGCGGTTTCCGAGTCGGGCTTGCCACTGCTGACAGCAAATGCTTTCTGGTAGGCGTCAAAGGAGATGATATGGCGCTTGGCTTCGTCCAAGGTTGGCTGGACCAACTTGGTGGTCTTGCGGACCAAGTTGAGATGGAGACGCAGTCGTAACCGCACAAACAACACGTATAGGTGGTTGCGGAGAAGGAGGAGCTGGTACTTCTCCATCAATTGCTCGTAGCGCGCGATATCACCATCATTGATGGCAGCGAAGAAACCGTCACGGTATATCGGGACCAATTCCGGTACGAAATCCCAGGCTTCAGGTTTGAGGCGAAAGTGGGCCTCGTAGCTGAGTGCAATTAGCAAAAGCATAAGGCGAGCATAGTTCTTGGTGGCGGTGACGTTGTCCAATCTACCTAATTGTTTGAGTGCCCTGCTCAATAGATCACGAGCGTGGGCGTAGTCGCCGTCGTCAATGCTTAAAAGAGCCAGGTAGTACCAGTACTCAATGGCGTAGGGTATTTGTAACCCCTTGGGTTTGGGAAGAGCAAAATTTGACCCAATGACGGCTTTTTCCACCAGGCGGGCCAACTCCAATTTACCGAGCTTAAAGTAAATTTTGAGGAGCATCCCGAGGTAGAAGTAGACGTGGCTTCGTTTTGAATGGTGGGGTTCAGCAGGTTTATCGTTGAGCACCACTTTAAACCCGCGGTTGACCGTGGTACCAAACTCTTCCAAAAGCGACGCTTTATACGGCTCGCCACCAAGCTCTGCCACCTCTTGATACTCAAACAGAGTGAGATCTTCGGGGTTTTGTGCCTGGCTGACGAGATACATCGCCTTAAGCTCACTTAAACACATCATCACCACTGACGACAAATGGTTCGTCTCGTACTGGTAGGCCCGGATCAAATTGGTGCACATATCATTAGCGGCAACAAACGCCTCCCGCAACAGATGGTTGACGTAGACCGCTTGCATCATCTTAAGGTAGCTTCGTATCACTTCGTGGTAACGTTGCGGTACCAGGTGCAATTCGAAGTCGTTGGGGAGGTGCCACTTGGCCCGTTTTGGTCCGGCATTGTTGGCGGGGTTGAGGGTAAGGAGATCAGTCAACTCCTTGTTGCGTGTCTGCGTGGCCACCGCTGCCAGGAACCGGTCGATGTAGTCGGCAAGGTCGACCATGGTGCGATGGGAAGGTGAGACAGGGTGATGATATCAACGCCATTCCCCGTTGACGGTATCGGCTAAAGTTAATGGTTATGACTATAATAGTGATTTTAAATGAATTATATATGGATTTACTGTTGATAGATTAATTTATGACGGCATGAAAGAATTTGGGTGAGTGTCTCTTATCAGTTAGTATAAATTTATCGTAATACCGGCAATTGCTCCACTAAATTCTAGACTTGAAAGAATGTTTGAACATGTAGATGTCTCAGTCGTTCTACCATTACCTCCCTAACTTTTCCATGCAATTTTATAGTCATTCACACCCTGCCACTGATTTGGCGGCGTCGGTGGTGGTGACGAGCTCCGGTGGTTGCTGAGACTAGCATCTAGTCTTACATGCAGTCGAGGCTTAAATCGGAATCGGGAGATTGGGGTCCTCGTCGAGCGCCAGCGGCGGCAGTGGCGGCAGTGGCTTCCGGATATCAGTAGTGTTGGTGTCGCTGACGGCTAATCCCGCTCGCTGCCATTTTCGTGGCGCTGAGATCGCTATCGCTCTATCCTGGACCGAGCCGACATGGAGAAACCATAGATTAAAAACACTATTCGCCACATGAATTTTTTACTGACGAAAAGATACCGTTTCACGATGTCGGCATTGCCACCTCTCGAGACAGTAAATCAGACACTGGCTTAGTAGAACTTGGTCGAGGGTCTGCGACGGTGTTATCGGAGTACTACCCACGCTTAGCCGAGTCGCCTCGCCGCCCCCTAGACCGCCCCTAAACCAGACACAGTTGCCGAGTTGGCGGACATCGCTGCAATTACCGGCCTAATTATACCACACGTATTTACTGCATCCCCCCGAGGGTCATCGCCGAGGCTCCACATTCCCCCGGACGCTCGCCGGTGCTTTGCCACTGACGGCAAATTACATAACGCCCTCACCGCACGCATTGCCAAAAAAACACCCGTCCACCACTCACTGCGACCACATAGTGACGGCGTTGACAGGCACGACTTGCGCCGAGCTGGGCTGACTGCTAGTGAATATGAACGATCCCGACTCCGACAGCATGGACGCTGACACCAACGACTACCGCGAGTTGATGCAGCTGATCATGGCGGACAAAAAGGTCCACCGCTACAAGCACAACTTCAACAAGATAAAGCACCACGACGCCACCCTGTTGTTGCGGTTGCCCACCGAGATCTTGCTCCACATCTTCCACTACTTGGAGCGCCGCCACTTGTTCGCCTTGCTCACCATGTGCCGCGAGATCGCCGACTTGATCATCGAGATCCTCTGGTTCCGCCCCAACATGCAAGACGACCGCCTGTTCCACATGATCCGCGAGACGATGAAGCTCCCCCGCTCCCATACCCACTGGGACTACCGCCAGTATATCAAACGGCTCAACTTGTCGTTCATGACCAAGTTGGTCGACGACAGCTTGTTGCTGTTGTTTGTCGGCTGCCCTAAACTCGAGCGGCTAACTTTGGTCAACTGCACTAAGCTCACTCACGAGCCCATCGCCGCCGTCCTCCAAGGGTGCGACCGCCTCCAGCTGATTGATTTGACGGGGATCGCCACCATCCATGACGACATCATCCACGCCCTCGCCGCCAACTGCCCCCGGCTCCAAGGGCTCTACGCTCCCGGGTGCCGCCACGTCTCCGAGGCCGCCATCGTCAACTTGCTAGACCACTGCCCCATGTTGAAAAGAGTTAAATTTAATGGGCTGAACCTCATCACCGACGTCCTGATCGACGCCCTCCGCACCAACTGCAAACTGTTGGTGGAGCTCGACCTACACAACTGTCCCAACGTCACCGATTTACACCTCCGATACATTTTCCGCGATCTAACCCAGTTGCGAGAGTTCCGCATCTCTAATAGCGCCGGCATCACCGACGGCTTGTTTGAGCTTATCCCCGAGGACACCAAGTTGGAGAAGTTGCGCATCGTTGACATCTCCGGGTGCAACGCCATCACCGACCGCATGGTCGAACGCTTGGTGCAGGCCGCCCCCAAGTTGCGCAACGTCGTGTTGTCCAAATGTATGCAAATCACCGACGCCTCTCTCCGTGCATTCAGCCAGTTGGGGAGGCTGCTACATTACATCCATTTGGGCCACTGCGGCCTCATCACCGACTTTGGCGTGGCGCTGATGTTGCGCCTGTGCCACCGCATTCAGTACATCGACTTGGCGTGCTGCTCCCAGTTGACCGACTGGACGTTGGTCGAGTTGGCCAACTTGCCGAAATTGCGCCGCATCGGCCTCGTCAAGTGCAACCTCATCACTGACTTGGGGATCCTCGAGCTTGTGAAACGTCGTGGTGAGCAGGACTGCCTCGAACGGGTGCACTTGCTGTATTGCACCAACCTCACCATCGAGCCGATCTACCTCTTGCTCAAGCTGTGTCCGCGGCTCACCCACTTGTCGCTCACGGGAGTACCGGCCTTTTTGCGTCGAGAGATCACCCAGTACTGCCGTGACCCGCCCCCGGACTTCACCGAAGCCCAGCGCAACCTGTTTTGCGTGTTCAGCGGCAACGGCGTCAACAAGTTCCGCGACCACCTCAACCGAATAATGGAGGAGCGAGTGCACCCGCATTTGGATAACGACATGAACCAGTTGTTCCGAGAACGGCGCCGGCGGTTCCTCAACGGCGGCGGCAACATTGACGACGAAGAGATGCATATATGGGCGCAGCGGGGATTGGGAATTGCCCAAAACAATCAAGGCGGCAATGCTGGCACTGCTGCCGACGACATTGACAACAACCCCCCTCCCGACGCCCAAAATGAAGACATACGCGAGCACTTTCAGCAGTTGATCCGCGAACACCACCAAAACCGCCTCATGGTGCAAACCCGCCAGCAGCAGCAGGTGCAGCCGCAGCAGCAGCAGTTGGCGATGTTGGAGATCGGCGGCAACCCCCAGTTTGCCCCGCAAATCGTCCAGCCAGCGGTGTTCCCCAACGGCGAGCCGGGGTTCCCCGGAGATGAGGATACCAACGACGACACGGACATGGACGGTGTGCCTGGTTTGTTTCCCCGTAATTAGTAATGCATGTTTTTCTTTTGTGACGAGTTTAGTGCTGTTGTATATGATCTACTCCCTGTCCATATTAGTTAGCTAAATTGCAAAAGATTAGAAATACTCCAGAATTCGTCATGTCAGATCTGATTGAGATCAATGGCATGTGATTTAGACACATAATTAGAATGAATTCTCTACTTTAGTGACCCGTATTATCCTTTATTAGCAGTATTGATCATACCTTCGATGGATGGTAGCGTTTTGGCTATGGTCATAGTGCGTAAGAAGGTCTAATGGATATGTCAGCTATTGAACAAATTTACAATCAGACTCAAGCTTATAGTTAGTCTAGGTGCCTAAATTACACTCATATGACTATTCAGACTCTGATTCGATACTGTAGTTGTCGAATAGCTGATAATTTGACATTACTATTAGGTCACGTGTTTTAGGGTTACGCGACCTAATCCACACCCGCTGGCGCGGCGGCGAGCCCTCGCTGCACCCGCACTATAGTAGGCGAAAATTTTCACTTTATACCTCTCAGCACAAGAAAATGTATGTACCACACCAAAACGATTGAATGAAGCAAGGGTACCCCAAGACGTCAGATTCGTGACGGAGACGAGCCATCATTTCTTCCAGATTCCTAGTGATATTGTGGTATCGCTGTTTGGTGGTGATTATGGATGAGGGTTGAAAAATTCTCATTGTCGTCGGGGGGTGTGCCTTTTGACCCAGCTCAACTCAACCATACCTTTTGAAAGCGGTATACTAACTCCATAGGTCGAAGAGAACTAAGAAGGTCGGTATCACCGGTAAGTTCGGTGTCAGATACGGTTCGTCGTTGAGAAGACAAACCAAGAAGATGGAAGTCCAACAACACGGCAAGTACGACTGCTCGTTCTGCGGTAAGAGAACCGTGCAAAGAGGTGCTGCTGGTATCTGGACCTGCAAGTCGTGCAAGAAGACCGTCGCTGGTGGTGCTTACACCGTCTCGACTGCTGCTGCCGCCACTGTCAGATCTACCATCAGAAGATTGAGAGAATTGGCTGAAGCCTAAATGGTTGTACGATATACTTTAATATAAACGGGTAGTGATAGAACCAGTGTAGATGGGGCTACAGTACGCTTTCGATGGCTTAACTAAAGAGTTTCATGTGAGAGGAGTGTTGGTTATTATTTGCCTTATGAGTGGTGTTGTCAGTTATCTGCGAGAGAAGCTTCGCTGGGACATTGTTGATTTGGCTGACCCTCTTGTCATGGTTCTTAATTATAAGACGAGTCTAAACCGACGTGTGTCCACCAGATTTAGCACTACTGAAAAATGCTCGAGCGATTTTCTGAGCTAAAGTCGTCACGTGATGTTATCGGTTGTATTGTCTTCGTCGCACTAAGCGAATCCTGACCTTCTCCACGTGAGCTTTGATTTTACCACTGTACAATATCCTACATTGAGCCATCTGACAAATTCGTTACAGTCCAGGTTCGATGTATGAATTCCCCAAATTACATCTGTATCCCGCGTTCTACCTGAAGCAGAGGAATCTCACTATCCTTGATTACCAACTAGAAGGATGGACTCAGCTCATATTGGATTACTGCAGGCATTTTAAAGTGACGCTGCTAACCATACAAGGTCGCCCCAAATATAGCCAGCTGGAACTGGACTTGGACCGCCTCCCCCTGATATTTGAGAACAAAACCATTGATCGCGTGGTGACCCAACAGTTTCGTCAGGAGATCTTCCGTCACATGGTTCAGAAGCAAGTGGCTGCTACTGTGACGCCCGGTAAATTTGACCAAGGGATATACGTTTACTGGCGCTCCTTAGATGAATGGGGAGAGATGCTTTATGATCACGCAGTACAAACGGGGCAATTGGATACTGTAATGACGATATACGAGCTCACAAGCGAGGACCTGTCGTTACCAGAGCCTCTAAAACAACTTGACCAGGCGTTTTTGTTGACGATCATTGCTGACTTGAAAAAGAAGAATAAAGTGCAAATATTGAAGGAGGGCGGCACCGTGGCGGGTGTCAAGTTTGGTAGCGGTTAGAGGATTATAAATACAAGGAACTTTGCTTCATACCTTCCCCTCCAAATTTAGTTTTTATCTAATTTGGGGGAAGGGGTGACAAACCAGATTTTGGGGGGTTCTGCTGGCTAGCATTATACCCTTTACACTGGCCCAAAGCGTCACTACAGCAAAAACGTAACGCTTCCTCGAAAGGTGCCGCTTGAAGGGTCATCATATGACCAGTGTCAACGCCGAGCGTAGCCGAGGAACACAAGCCTTAAAAACGTAGACGTCATCATCATTTATCACTAATGGTGGTGGCTAGTAATTTAAATCTTACCCATCGCTCCCAACCAGAGACCCGATGACCCACGCCCACGCGCGGGCGCGCACCGCTGGGCCCGTTATCCACCCTCATCGCGCAAGTGCCAATTTTTCTTTCCTTCCCTCTCTCCAGGGCCTTCGACCACAACCACAACCTTAGGTTTCATTGTCTCGCTCTATTCCATCGGAAACTTTTGAAACATGAAGTACGTCGTTGTATCTGGTGGTGTCATCTCCGGGATCGGCAAGGGGGTGCTTGCGCTGTCGACGGGGTTGTTGTTCAAGACGCTCGGCCTCAGAGTCACCCTGATCAAGATTGACCCCTACATGAACATCGACGCCGGTACCATGTCCCCCCTCGAGCACGGTGAGTGTTTCGTGTTGAACGACGGCGGCGAGGTCGACTTGGACTTGGGTAACTACGAGCGGTACCTCAACATTACCCTCACCCGCAACCACAACATCACCACGGGGAAGATCTACAGCCACGTGATCGAAAAGGAAAGAAAAGGCGACTACTTGGGCAAGACGGTGCAAGTCGTTCCTCACATCACCAACGCAATCCAGGACTGGATCGAGCGGGTGGCGAAGATCCCCGTCGACGCCCTGGGCGAGGAGCCCGAGGTGTGTATCATCGAGTTGGGGGGTACCGTCGGTGACATTGAGTCGGCGCCGTTCGTCGAGGCGTTGCGCCAGTTCCAGTTTAGAGTCGGCACCGATAACTTCGCCTTGATCCACGTGTCGTTGGTCCCCGTGATCCACGGCGAGCAGAAGACTAAGCCCACCCAGGCGGCGATCAAGGACCTCAGATCGTTGGGGTTGACCCCTGACATGATCGCCTGTCGGTGTCTGAAGGAGCTTGAAGGCGCCACCATCGAGAAGATTGGCATGTTCTGCCATGTGGGTAGAGAACAGGTGATTGCCGTACACGACGTCAACCTGACCTACCACGTGCCCCTCTTGCTCAAGGAGCAGAAGATGATGAAGTACTTGCTGCGCAAGTTGAACCTCAACGACGTCATCACCAACCCTAAGAACGTCGAGCGCGGCGACCGCCTCATGACCAAGTGGCGCAACATCACCACCGCCCACGACCAGCTGCACGAAACCGTGACTATTGCCCTCGTCGGTAAGTACACCAACTTGAAGGACTCGTACTTGTCGGTGATCAAGGCGTTGGAGCACTCGTCGATGAGATGCCACCGCAAGTTGCGCATCGAGTGGGTGGAGTCGCTGAACCTTGAGGAAGGCGCCCGCGAAGAAAACCTCGCCAACTACCACCAGGCGTGGCACTCGGTGTGCCAGGCCCACGGGATCTTGGTCCCGGGTGGGTTCGGCACCCGTGGTACTGAAGGGATGATCGCCGCCGCTAAGTACGCCCGTGAGAACAAGATCCCCTACTTGGGGGTGTGTCTCGGGTTGCAAATCGCCGTGATCGAGTTCGTGAGAAACGTCGTCGGCATCCCTGAGCTGACGTCGATGGAATTCGACTCTAAGGCCAACGAAGACACCGCCTCGGTGGTGTACATGCCCGACGTCGACCAGGTCAACCTTGGCGGCACCATGCGTTTGGGTATCCACTCGACCAAGTTCGTTGCCAACTCGGAATGGTCGAAGTTGCGCAAGTTGTACGGCGGCGAAGAGGAAGTGTGGGAAAGACACCGTCACCGGTACGAGGTGAACCCGAAGTTGATCAAGGACATCGAGGCCAAGGGGCTCAAGTTCATTGGCCGCGACGAGCTGGGCCAGCGGATGGAGATCTTCGAGTTGCCCGACCACCCGTTCTACGTCGCCACCCAGTACCACCCCGAATACGTGCTGAAGGTGTTGGACCCCCTGCGCCCGTTCCTCGGGTTGGTGGCGGCGGCCGCTGGCACCTTGGACGCCGTCATCGAACACAACGACTTGAAGATGAAGGCGGAATTTTGAATTTTCCAAAATTAAAAACATTGAAACAATATCAAGGGACAATGATAGAATTGCATGAACAGAAAAAAACTTAGATAATATAATGTACTTTTTTATTTCTGAAACGATCAGTCAGTCAGTTAGTAGTGGAAGTAGGGATAAGCGGTTTGAGCTTGGCTAGCTGCTTGGCGTAGGCGTCGCTACCAGGAGCCGACTTCAATTTGGCGGGGACACCTAGGTCCACAAGCAGCTGGATCCCCTTCCACCCGTTGTCGTAGACGTGGCAAAGCTCAACACTGCGGGCGAAGTGCTTAAGGGCAAGGTCTAATAGCTCAATTGCCGGTTGCGGCTTCAACGACTTCTGTTGTTGCAAGTATTGTTGGTAGTAGCTAGTGCCAGCGCGGAACCAAAACGGGTACGCCAGCGGCTCCTGGAGAAGGATTTCTTGGTAACTGTAGGCGGCCATGTCGTAGTGGCCGGTGTTGGTGTACTGAGTGGCTAGCTCCGACCACGCCATGAGATCCAGCCCACAGGTGTCGAGGTAGCGGTTCAACGCGGTGATATAGGCTTCAGGGTTCTGGCGCTGGAAGGTGGTGAGACGGCGCTGTAATCTGAGTTGGTTAGCATCATCACCAAGCACTTTTTTCGCTCGTTCCACATCCCCCTGAGCTTCGTAGTACGCCAGCTGGAGAATCTTAAGCCGCAGCAGCGTCCCTACCAGGGCAAACTGGTCGCTGATGCGGTCTAAGACGATTTTGGCGTCAACATCACGGCTGGTAAAGATATCGAGCCAGAACTGGAGCTCCAAAAGGTTGAAATACTCGATGTTGTCCACGGTGTCCTTGTGGTTTTTGAGGAACGACACCACCTCCCGGGTATACGCCTGGATCTGTTCGGGAGGGAAATCGAAGTACACCCCCAGGTTCGCCACCATGAGCAATTTCTGTTTCACAGCCTCCGTACTCATAATGGATAGGGATAAGGTGGCGTTGGTAGCTGGAATGGCTTTGGCTGTGAAGATCGGTGCGCGCTGATGGGAGAGCAGTGCGCCTTACCTAGCGATACTAACAGTGCCGTTACATGGCGCCCGTGCGAGAGTCTGTGGACACCGGTGTCCTCGAGGCACGGTACGCCGAATTGAACCAGCAGCTTCTCCAGCGACTCAACCGGCTCCAGTACCTTGACCAGCTTCGCCAGGTGCAGGCGCTTAGCGACGAAGACATCACCCAGCGGTATCATGAGGCTAGTACTCAGTGGGGGGAAGGCGTAACCCCCGAGATAATGCGCCAATTCGTGGAAGTAAAGACTCAAGTGGTGGGTCAGTACCTTAACCAAGTGGGACCATTAGTGGCAAGCGCCGCGGCGCCGGCGGGGACGCCGTCGGCCCACATTCGTCAGCTCACTAACGAAGTGTACGGCCCTAAGGGGCCCACGGCGACGGTGACTGCCAGCTACGACCGCTACGTCGCCGCCACCAAGCGGTTTGACGAGCTTGTTGAGGCAACGGCGAGCGAGGTGGCGCGTCTCGCTCCGCAATTGCGGGAAGCAGAGCGCCGTCAACGCCAGATTGACACAGAAACCGCCAATACGAGCGCCGCTCGGATAGACGGCATCAAGGCCACCTTTGGCGACGCCGCCACAACCATGGCCGACGATCTCCGCCTAACTATCGCTGAGTGGCGGCGTTTACGCGTCGCGTGTGATTTGGTGCCCATGGTGGTGCTGATGCTGCTGGTGGACTGGACGCGGCTGCCAGAGCTATTGGCAGTAGTGGAAGGGTGCCAGCGCCACGGCGAGCGGCTCGCGGCCCTCGAGCGGGTGGTGCTGGTGGACACGGTGCTGCGGTATCTGGCGCCGGCACTATTGGCGCTCGACTTCGACCTGGCTTTATGATATTTTAATTCTATGTACACGTGCGGTGTTTACACCACAAACAAGCGGCGGTTGACGACATCCCAGTTGATACAGTCCCACGCCCGCTCGAGGAATTCGGCTTTGCCGTTAACGCCGTAGTCGGCGGTGTAGGCGTGGTCCCACCCGTTGAGGGCGAGCAACGGGAGGGTCCAGTCCTTGGCGCTGGCCTGCGCCTGAGCCTTGGTGGCTTCCAAGGCGTCAAACAGAGCATCGTCGATAGCACCGGTCAAGTCGATGCTCTGGTTCTTGCCGTAGTAGTACGGGGTGCCGTCGTTCTTGCACTCGACCACCTTCAAGTTCTTATCGGCGTCCTCGCACAAAAACACCCAGTTCTGCCCCGGCAGAGCGAGCGCCTTGTCCAACATCGCCTGCTTCAATGCGGGGACGCCGCTGACCCCTTGGTGGGCTAACCGGTCCATTAATTGGCGCATGGGCCGCGTCGTCTGCGCCTCGGGCTTCGGCACCAACTGCTGGAAGAACAAGTGGTTGTTGTGGGCCTGCGACGCGTAGTGGAACACATGCTGCTCCGTCGTCTGCTTGGCCGTCTTCAAGAGGATCTGGTACGGAGTCCGCACCTCGTTTTCGGTGCCGATGGTCGCCATCGTCAACTGCGTCGTCAAGTACTTCTGGTAGTCGAGCCACGCCTGCTGGAACCCTTGCGGCGAGTACACGCCCTCGATACCCTGGGCGGCGTACTGCTTGGCGTTTGCCAACCGCGGCACCGCGTGGAGGCCTCGTCTGAATACCACCATCGTGTTCGTCGCTCTCTCAGCCAAACGGAAATTTTTCGCTACCGTTTGCGTTAGTGCGAATCATGTAGGTGCATAAATGGCGCCGACGCCGGGACTCGAACTGTGGCGTAATCATCACGACAACGTGTACGGCGATGTGGGGGGGAGGAATTTCGCGCGTGCCGTAAACGTAAGAGCCCCGTGCGCATGTGTGGCCTTGCGGGAGACACTGTGGCGCTCGCTCGCTCCCGCGAGCCCGAACAATTATTAATTTTGGCAAACTATATTAAGCTAAGGTAATTCGCCACCAGGTTTATATCCCCTTATTCCAAACCGACAGATACCATGGTTCAAGTTATTTCGCTGACCCAAGAGTTTGAAGAGGCCTTGAAGTTCGACGGCCTCATCGTCGTCGACTTCTTCGCCGAATGGTGTGGTCCCTGTAAGGCGATCGCCCCCGTGCTCGACCAATTGTCCAACCGGTACAACTCGGTCAAGTTCATCAAGGTCGACGTCGACCAGTTGACCGACTTGGCCCGCAAGTACGAAGTCAACGCCATGCCCACCTTCAAGTTCATCAAGAACGGCAAGGTCGTCGACGAAGTCGTTGGCGCCGACCCGAACAAGATCGTGAGAGTGATTGACACCCACAAGTAAATACACGGATGTTATGGTGACGTATGTTGCTTATGTAGATACATGTTACACATGATTTAAGATGGGTATAGACATGAGATATTTGGCGGGGTGCTTATTCCGGCAGAGCCACCTGGCGGCGACACGAGATCACGGGGAGCTTCTGGCTCACCCAGTTGGCGTCGCGCAAAAGCTTTTTGGGGTCGCTCGTCTTCGCCGTCATCGCAAGCACCAGCGGGTAGTCCAACTCCTGGTACTTGAGCTCGCGGAGTATTCGGTTGGTGTCGAAGTCAACGTAGACCCGGGTGTCGCGGATGCGGAAGATGACATCGTCGATACGGAGGAAAAGGCGACAGAGGAGCAAGAGACACGTCGGCATCACCCGGATCTTCGTCAGAAGCATCAGGATCCCGTTGTCGCCTAACTCATCCTCAAAGAGTATCAGCTCGTCAAAGAATAAAATGGGATCGGGCTGAAGCAATTTGGCAATGGGGAGCTCCTCTTCGGTGTCTTGCCAGTCAAAGTCACCGTTGCCGCCGTAGTTAGTCAGATACGTCCAATCGTAGGGCTTGAGGATATCCTCATTCATCTTTTTACGGCTCAGCAACCACTCCTCGTGGTAGGCAACTTTCAATTCACACAGCGGCTCCAACGTGTCCAAAGCATCGAGGGCATTGAACACGATTTGTTTCAGCGACGGGTCGTGGACGAGTTTAACGTAGTTGTTACCAAAGATCATTTCCGGCAACGGAAAATCGAACCGCAGCTCCAATGCATCAAGCTCTGCACTAGAAAGGATGGGCCGCTTGATTGTGTAAATCAGCCAGTCCTTGACTGAGATCAGTGGCTGGTCACGGATGGGGAGACTCAGTTGGGGCGATGGAATGATCACCAGGCCACAGTGAGTACATTGAGGGTTATGGCAGTCTTCTTTAGCATGACTGCGAGCAGGGACCAGCACATTGGCAAACGCTGGCGCCTTAGTAGCGCCTGGCGGTCTGGTAGTCGCCAGTGGCGGGGGCGCTCGTGACGCCATCAGCAGCACCGGTACTGGACCCCGTCGCCCCTTGAGATGATTGTCAATCAATGCCTGGGCACTGGAGACCTCCACCGTCTGTATCCCTCGGCGCACGGGGGGTTTGCGAGGGTTGTTGTCCATATCTGTCACCACCCCGTTGTGGTCCGGTTTTTCGCACCATGTGGGGTGGCGAGTGTAGGAGCGAGGGAGGGAGGGGAAGAACCGCTCACAAAAAGAGACTATAAGCGAGTGTTTAGTGGTGGAATGTACTGTGACAGTTGTCTACTTATTATTCAATTTGTGCAGAAAACTGGTTAAACCTTGGAAAGTCTTTAATCTGGCGTGTCTTCGACCATACAGAACCTCGCTTAGTGACCCCACAAAAACTTGTGACCCTAATCAACAGAGACATTGTCTAGAAAACCCGATAAAAGCTGCAAAAATTACATAGCTCATGGGATCCACTCCAATCGTATGAGTATTCTCTGAAAGTGGATGGTATCAGTTTTGATTTATCAGCATGCCTTTGATCTCGTCTTCGGAAATAGCGGCATTTATAGCCATTTTCATCGTTGCACGCAAATGAATTCGAGTAAGTACCACAAACCGTGGTGTACGTAGTCTACTGAAGGTATTGGAAGAATGGATAGCGGTATCTCCAGTGCCAGTATCATGTAAGCCTCCATAAGCCGATTGCAAAAATAACCGTCTTACCCACGATCAAGTCGTCGTATCATATCACACGGTTGCAATTTGGGTATCAGCTTCTGAAACGACACAATCATTGGTCGATTGAGTCATTATACCCCGGTATCACCGCTTAGATTCGAGCCATTTTGCAATCGGCCCATGGTATGACGTAATCGGCTCGCGTTATCCGCGAAGTCCCTTCAACCAACTTTGACAATTCAGAAAGTTACAAAATTAAAAAATTGAATTTTGAATGTTATCGAGTTTAATTATCACTAGGAAACAGTTCAATATGATCAATTTGTTCTTAGCTGGAGATTTGAATTTTGATATACACACGACTTATTCCACGTTTTGAGTTTAGCACACTCTATATTGAACATGTGTTTTGATACACACAAGAAATGAATGGAGACGCTAATCAGATTAGGTGGTGATCGAGACGACTGAAGCGTCGTCCGTCGTCTTGTCGTTTTCCACAGTCTCAGGTTGTACAACTTCTGCTTCCGTAGCCTCAATTCCGGTGTGTTCTGCGTGAGTAGTTTCACTGGAAGCAGCTTCAAGATAGCCACGATCGTCAGCCACGTCGCTGATGGTGAAATCTTGAGACGAAACTGAGGTAGGAGGTGCATCAATTTGTAAATGGGGCCGTCTCACGTATACCTGGGTAGCGCTATCGATTCCCAGCACTTTGCGAGCCAACTCCGTCACCGGCCACGGCATCGATCGGAAGATCGGCAAGAACTTGCCGTAAAACGGCATTTTAATTTCACCTCGAGCACCGTGTTTCACTGCTTTGACGATAGTCTTGGCCACTTCATCGGGGTCAAGCTTGGGGGCTAGCCACTGACAGGGAGTATCAACGTCGCTAAACATCCCCAGAGACAACTGGCCAGGACACACCAACAACGTCTTGACTCCAGTGAAGCCGGCCAGCAGGGGTCCGCCTAACTCGTAGGTGAGCCCTTCGTGGAAGGCAATTACTCCCAGCTTCGTAGCTCCGTAGGCGGCAAGACGAGCCGGACACATGTACCCGAGAGTCAGCGCCACATTGACGATGTAGCCGCGTTTGTTTTCCACCATTGGCGGCAAGAACACCTTGGTAGCGTACATGGCACCTTTCAAGTTAACGTCGACGGTGCGGTCAATAGCAGCAAACAGCGTGTCGAGCACCAGCCCGCCTTCAGCCACGCTGGCGTTGTTGATGAGTACGGTCACCGGACCCATGGCTGAGCGGATTTGTTGGTCAATGGCGACAAGGTCTTGAGGGACACATACATCGCCTTGAAAGTAAGCGACGCCAGGCACCCGGCACGCCGCTATAGGGATTTCAATATCCATCACTGCCACCCGGCCACCAAGGGCACTGAACCGACGCGCTAGTTCGTGGCCAAGGCCGTGGGCGCCGCCAGTAATCAATACCACGTCGCGGTTAGCATCAAACACATGGCCAATGGCGGCGGTGGAAAGCCGCTGGTAGTGGGCGTTTAGCTGGTGAAGGACCATTAACAAAACATATCTGTGGCTTTTCCATTATTTTATATATGGGTGTAATCTGTCATTCTTGTGGGAATACTCGGGAGGTATCTGGTAGTCTACAGTACTCTGGGGAGATAGTGTCGCGACCATGCGCTCGCAACCCGCTGTCGCACCGGAGCGAGAAAAAAAATGTTTATGAGGCGCTCTCATTAGGCCCTACCCACCGCGATGTCTGCCTTCAGAAACTTGCCCAGCAGTCCGGTGCTCCGCCAGGTGGCCCGGTTGAACCAGATCGCGGGCACCACGGAGACGGCGTTCCGCATGGACCCGCTGAAGATCAAGGCGATCGAGCTCGTCCTCGTCCAGAAAAACGTCCACCAGCCGTCGCTGGGGCTCCGCAAGTTCTGGAAACAAAACTTGCCCACGCTCCAGTTCCACAACAACGACGTCCGCTTCACCATGACCCGGGTCAAGACCGCCTCCAAGGACGAGTTGGCGAAAGTGCCGGCGCTGGTGGTGATCCACAAGGTGGGCGACGACAAGGTGGTGGTGAACTGCTTGGACCGCCTGCCCAAGGACATCCTCCGCAAGGTGGTCCACGCCACCGGCGCCACCCCCGTGCCTGACGCCGAGATCCCCCGCATCGCCCAGCCTACTCACTAAATCCTCATCTTTCTTTCATGTACATAATAACGAATACGTCTTTTATCCCCGTCTAGTTGTTGAACTCTTCTTTTCGGCGCTGCTTTTCCTCGTCCGTCAACTTCTGGTGGTGCGGGAAAAAGTGGTGCTTGCCGTCGCCCATCTGAGGTAAGATGTGGTGCTTGCCGTCGGCGCCCTTCTCAAACAACGGCGCCTCGCCGTGGAGCTTTTCTTCCCACTTGCGGTGCTCGTCGCGGACCTCTCTCATCTGGTCAATCGGCGGCTGGTAGCCGGCGGCACCGTCGAGGATGGCAATGCCGTTGGCGTTGTCCTGGCGCGCGTGCTCCTCGGCGGCGCGGTCGTGTTGGCGCCCTTGAGGGTTGTTGTCGTCGATAAAGGCGCCGCGGTCAAGCGGTTGCCCTTGATAGCGTTGCTGGTGCTGGGTGACCTTGGGGTCGTCCTGGGCGGGCTCGTAGTTCTTGTTGTCGTCGCGGGGGTTGTCGTAGTCGATGACGGTGCGCCATTCTTCGTGGAGGTTTTCCTTGACCATGATTGGCAGTGGTGTTTGTGGTTGAAGTGTTCGGTGGCTCGCATTCTGCCACCGAGCGTTCCGGTTGCGCCTGCGTCGGAGCGCGTCCCTGCACCGCGCCCCGCTTCCATACGTTGACACTCGCGGTGAGACATTGTGAATTTATAATTAGAATGCTTCCCTGATCTATTTCCTATAATAGCTCAATAAGAAGAACATCCACTCGGGATATAGCTAAACGTTATTTTTCTTGTTAAGGATTGGTGTACAATTTAAGTTGTTTTCTTTGCATCCATGTTGTGCCACAATAACCTTCACGGCTGTTCAAAGTGGAGTTGTTTACGAATACATGGTAACTTGCACCATCAATGGTTCTTTCATTGAAGGTACTGTACTCAAATTGTAATCCTGTAAGATAAAACAGTGGAGGACTATATATATGAGAGCATCAAGTTACTTACGAAGTGATCGACGGTAATTGCTTTATGACTGCTACGATTGAGTCGTACTAGTTAACACACTAGTGAGCATTGTATCGTTTGCGATGGCATTGTGTCTATATTCTCGTCGTGCTATTATTATCTATTACATATCGTATCGTCATAAGGCCTTAGGCCAGTTCCAAAAACTGCAACACCTTGTCCTTCCCCTTGAGTAGAAGAAGCTTTTTGATCTTCAAAAGTTCAGCCACTTCGTCGGTAGCAACCACCGGCGCCGTCACCTCGGCCTCCGCTTGGCGCTCGGCTACCGCCACGAGTTCGTCCAACGCGTGCTTGGACCACGAGCGGTTTTGGAACTCTTCAAGCGCCTCCATCGCCTTGTTGGCATCGGCGTCTTCAGCTAGTTCTTCTATGCGGTGCTCTTTAGCCAGAGCTTCAACGTACTCGTCGAGAGTATCGATCACTTGGTCCTTTACATTTTCAATCACCCGTTCTTCGACGCGGACACCATGGCGCATCGGATGCTCCACTCTCTCGGTTTTGACCTTGGTGATGAAATCAAGCAATACCAGCAGCTCCGGTACGCGGTATATCATGCCGCCTTTATCCAGGATTTGCTTACCAATGGTGGATCGCTTAGATACCGGCGCCAACAACATATTACGCTGGGAAAAAGTGTTGGAAAGCCACTCGGGACGCTTGAATTCAGGTGCAGGGCGAGCAGCGCCGTTGGGCAAATTGGCTTCAACTTTAGACGCCTCCTCCTCGGCCTGGCGCTGGTCATTTTCCGCAGTGATATAGTCATCTAGAGTGGGCAAGAAGCCCTGTTTAATAAAAGGAGCGTCGCCATATTGGAACAACATTGAGCTCAGCGTGTTGGCCATGCGAACAAAGTGGTTGTATAATGCCACATCGGTGACTTTAGCCAGGCGAAGCATGCGTGCGTTGGCAAAGTTGCGCGGCAACATCTCCTCAAGATGGGCAGGACACCGCCATTTCGACCCCATGGTTTTCGGGCTGCACATAGGGTACTCAAGGCAGTCGAGATGCCACACTAAAGGACAGTAGTCGCAGTGAGCGAGAATGCGGTTGTGGAGCCCCAGCTCGCCGCACTTATGGCACAAGTAAGGGTTGCCCTTGATGTCGTAAAGCTTGTCTACTTCCAACAGCTCGTCACGATTGCACCCTCTAATCTGGGCACCATTAAGTGCAGCCAGTGTGAGTTCGGGCTTGATGCTGTCGTCGCTGTAGTCGCCAAAGTCCCCCGTTTGCACACCAATAAACGTATCGTCGCGAATCGCGCGGGGTAACGCAAACACCACCGGGTTACGCGCTTCTAAGGTCGATAAAAGAGGGCCAAATAACCCGACGTGTTCGTAGTTGGTAAGCTCATCGGGGAAGGCGCGGGCGGTACACTCGCGGCAGTGCCAATCATCATCAGGGACATCAGCTAAGGGAGGATCCGCGCAAGTGAAGTGAAATGACTTGGGACACAGCTCACAACAAATGAATATACCGGGAAGGCCACAGGTGGAGCAGAAGTCGTCATTATCCTTGATCAGGTCGTTGTCCTGCTTGATCTTGACCCCGTGGGCGACGCCGGCCAAATTGGATATGTGTTGTTTTTTCGGGCTCAGCACCTTTATTCGCTTCGTAGTCTGCCGGGGTTTCTTGGGCGTTGCTGGTGCTCGCGCTCCGCGGCGTTTCAGGGGGGTGGCGGTGGCGACCGCGGGCACCNTGGCGGTGGCGACCGCGGGCACCGCCAACGGCTTGCGGGTGTGGGAGGCGGCGGGCGGCGGCAGCACCTCCAACTGGGCGTCGTACTTGTGCTTGGCTTTGTCGCGGGCGGTCTCGTCGGCGTCGTCGGTGGCGTCCTGCTTCTTTTTACGCCACAACAGCTCGCGCTTGATTTTTGCCGGAGGGGGGTCTTCTAACGGCAAACCGGTGTAGGACGGCTCCGGCTTCGCCAACTCGGGCTCAACAAACAGCGGCGTGCCCTTTTTGACTCTCACTCCCCTAGGTGGGGTGGCGGGGTCAGAATCGGAGTCTTCATCAGACAGCGAGTGCTCCGGGCGATAGTTTTGGGGCGTCTTCGTTCTCAGCAGCTTGCGGGGCGGGTTAGCTCTCGCCCGTTTGTTTGGGGTGGCTCGTGGTGGCGAGTCCCCAGGCAGCGTCGTCGGCCGGCTGCGTCGTTTCATCGTGGGTACCAGCCGCTAGCCAGGTAGTGCTTGGTGGGTGGTGCGTGAAAATTTGGTAAAATCGCGTCTGGGTCCTAAGGCATACCCGGGGATAAGTACAGGTAAGTCTGGGACGTGGGTGGTAGAAAAAGTAGAGGATGTAGATTTGGCTGCCATTGACGTGGTGGCGGTGTTGATAGTCTAGTAATGGTGGCTTCGTGGTTTAGCAGATGGCATTTAAAGTGGGTTTTTTAAGTTTTTTACCGCCCACAAAAAATGCAAGAAATAAGTTTGAGCGAGACGAGCTTGCCGCTATGGGACAAATTGTAGGCTGTAAGAGAGAATTGAGTGGAAATAAAGAAAATGGTAGGCTATTTAAGTACTAGGAGTTGATTGAGCTGGGTAATAACTATAGCGGAGCCAGGAGGGCTATACGAGGTGCCGTCCACGCGTCTGAACGATGACGGCATCTGTAGCCACGGGGTAATTACAGTAAAACAACAAAAGATTGTGAGATGAAGAAGACTACGGTGTTGGTTGTAAATTTAAGATTTGTACTGTAATACAAAATTCAGCTGTGAATCATAAGGGTAATGCTTGAATTCGAACTAGACAAATTGTACAATTAAGTGCCGAGGTGCTGGTTTCATAAGAAATAAGGAAAATTCTGGCAAACGAATGTTGCGTGACGATGGCAATGCGAATTCCACAGACGAACAGAGGGAACCAGAAATTAAAGGAGTGTATAAGATACAGAACAAGAATAACGTCCACAGGGGAGTAGCGTTTGTATTGTGATTTTAAATCGTCGTAACGGTAAAGTCTAGGTTTTCGTCTAGGCCTTAGTGTCCTTTTCCTTAGCGGGCTTCAACGGCTCGGCCAAAGTCTGCAACACTTGCTCGTCGTCGACCTTCTTGTCCGACTTGTACAAGTCGGCGTTGAACTCGGGGTGCGACAACAACACCAACCCGTTCTTGGTGATGGCGACGGTGGTGAAGAACTGGGCGATGTACTCGCCTTCCTTCTCGGTGTAGATGTCGTAAGGGAGCACCACCTGGTGGTTGGCCAGCTCCAGCAAACCACCACGAGCTCTGGCGGGGTCGTCCAACTTACGGATGTTCATCGGAAACAACTGGTTGTTGGCCTTTTCTCTGAACTCAGTCAAAGTACGGTGGGAGAGCTTCATCTTAAGCGCGTACAGGCCACCGGTCAACTTGTAAAGCGTGGTACGGTAAGTGGGGTGGTTTTTAACCTTACCGTTGTCCGAGGTCGAGATCAAGATGTCGAGCCCGTACACTTCGTTTTCTTCGAACCGGTGGGTCAGCATTTCCTTTTTGTTTTGAGGGGTGGGGTTCAAGATGATCTCCTTGGGCCCGTAGAGCACGTTTTGCTCTTGGTTGTGCGACAACATCAGCTCGACGGGGGAGGTGCCGTAGGCCTTGGCGACCTTGTCGACGATGTTGGTGACGTCCCAGTTGCGCTTACCGGGACGCAAGGTGCGGATGGCCGCCTCCAGCGCCGTCCACGCCAGCTGCAACAAGTCGGCCTTGGCGCCAGTAACGGGCAGCGACTCCAGGGCGCCGACGACGACGGTGCCGGCGACGACGGCGGGGTTGCCGTCAATTTGCACCCCCAACATCACGTTGACGACGTCGCCGTCGGCGAGGGTGATATTAGAGGGCTCATCGGCGTTGAGGGGGGCCAAGTGGGCGGGGATGTGATTAGGGTTGACACAGGTGGGGAAGGCGATGCCCTTGGGGGTCTTCTTCGTCTTTTTCAGGTTGTAGACCTTGCCCAATTCCTCTTCCATCAACTCGTCCCCGGCGACGGAGAGCTCGTAGGTGGTCTTGCCCGCGGCGACTTGGGCCAACACGGCGGAAAGCACCCGCGACGAGATGTCGCCGGCCATCTTGTACTTTTCCACCACGGCGGGGTTGGCGATGGTGGTGTCGGGCTTGGCTTCCTTGGTAGCGGCGGCTTTAGGTTTCACTGGGGCATGTTAGCAAGAGCCAATGGTGGCGAATAGGTGGGGTTAAGGGGAATCACTTACCGTTAGACATGGGGGAGGGATGAGAGAAGATTCGCTGGCAGTGCGAATGGACAACTGGTAGGGGGGAGTGAGCAGGGAAAGGCCGTGCACGTGAGACACCAGCCGTGCGAAGTGCTAGTGAAAATTCGTGCGAACATGGGCGATTGCGCGTGCGAATGTTGGCAAGATCCGTGCGAATCACACCCCTAGCGAACAACTTCGGTGAGATCAGTGCGAACAAAAATAGCGAAGTAACACCTACTCATTAACACCCATTCAATAAGGCAAAAGAAACCAGCACCACCACCCTCAATGCATTGTAATTGCGCTTAGCACACGTTCCCACCAATACAGCACCGTAGGCTAAAATTAGTAATGGCGCCAGTGTGGGCTAAGCCCGGATATAACGGCGTCGTTAGCGGCGCCTCCCGGGTGACAGGGGTTGACCTGACAAAAAGGCGATGCCCCTCACTGTACCCCTAACCCTAAACTTTATCCTGGGGGAAGGGGCGAGCGGGGACAGGACCTAAGAGAATGTTGTCCATTGAGATACTATAATAAAGGCTGTGACCAATTAAAAACCTTGTAAAACCCCCCCAATTTTTGTAGTCAATGTATTGCAGCAGCAGCTTCGGTGCCGGTGTATAGGTGGCGGGTCATCGGCGCGCCTTTCCGCGCCCGGGGCGCACCGCCGTTGGATTTTCGGGTGCGAAACGCTATCTGGCAACGGCAACTCCCACCACCCCTTGACACGGCTTGCTACCACCACCCCGTGAGCCGAGCACCAGTCAAAGCAGGCTTGGCCTCTTCGTTGTATGACCAACTACATCACGTGCCTAGCGCACTTTTGTGAGGTCCACGGCCCCCTGATCGTCGCGTGCAGCCAGCGGTTTCTGCCGGCAGAGCACCAGCGGTACTTGCTCAACGCCACCGCCAGCCTGAAGCTGAGACAGCAGACGTGCGCCCTGTGCCAGTTGGTGCTACCCGACGATGCCGCCAATGTCACCCTGGCCCTCGACCACGACGTCGTGGTGCTGGCGCAGTACCCGGCGCTGCAAAAGCGCTTTCTGGCGTTGCTGAAGCTAGCGCTCAAGGCGCTCTCGTGCGAGGCTCTGAGCGACATCACCAAACCGGTGTACTATGGCGACCCCCTTCTGGGCTACTGTATGTTCAAGCTTTTCAAAGTCAAAGACATTTGCGCCCGCGGCGGCGAGCGCAAGTACGCGTTGATGGTGGTGGCCAACTACGAGCCCGACGTGTTGATGCACTGGAACGTGATCTCGCTCTACTTCTCCGAGATCGTTGAGTTGATCCAGCACAAGATCAAGGAGGACGAGGAGACGAAGCCCAAGAATGTCATCGACCACGAGCGGTACCTTCGCCGCCAGAACAACCGCCCCAAGAGCATGGTGGAAATCACAAACGACCCCAAAATCTTTGTGCGCTTCCACTTGTGGGCGGTGGAAATGTTCAAGGACATCACTTGACGATACTATTTCACACGTACTTTGAGCACCATCTCATATTTTGCATTTTAAGTCAGGTGCCCTCGCCCGTGGACGAGTCTTTTGATCGGAGACCGTCACTGGGCTTGAGAGCGCAGTTCAGCGCACCGCCCCCAGGAGCTGTCCAGAGCTAAATGGCTGAACCCCTGACAACGGTTACTCAGCTATTGAGAAAACCGTATTAAAAATTTATCTCGGCCTAGTAAAGAGCCGTATGAGAGACCTTCTATTATATAATATTACACCTCCCCCCCTTTGGCTTCATGGCCACCATTTTGAAAAAGGTCACTGTCCATCCCGTAAATTGCTCGTAATTTTACGGAGCCGCTCAGGGGCGCCCAAACAGCGCGCGCGTACTAGGGCGAAGGTTATGGGAGAGAAGTTATGGGAGAGGCAACGAGGTGTAGTTTTTTGCCACCTCAGCAACTTGGAGGATTTCACGGTTGTGACACTTCCCTGGCGAACCACATAGCCGCAGCTTGACCCAGAGACGAAGCTGGCGGTGGAAGGTGTGGCCGCCATAGACGGTATCGCGCACGCCACGCGGATACTCGCGCTCGAGAATCTGGCGATAGCGCTGAGGCACCCACGCCACGGCGCCACACAATTGTGTCGGCACTAAAGGGAGGATGTCTTCAATAGCATAGTAGTGGTTGTCTTTGCAATGGACAAGCTGACCGCGAAGCTGATCGCGCCGTTGGCGCCAGACATCGCCTTTAATCATGGTTGCCAGCTTATCTCGTAGTTGTGGGTCCACCACTAAATCAAACTCTGCCAGCTCGCCGAAGTCAATTGCGGGCACATCATTAGCTAATGAGAGCACGGTGATATCAACATACATCCCCGTAGACGTATCGATGAAGCGGGCATCGATAGTATTGTTTTTCGTCCCCTGACGCCAGCGCCAGTGGGGATTGACATCGAGGTAATACTGATGGTGTCGCCACTCGAAAAAGGTTCCATTCGCTGCTTCGAGTTTCTCAAAGGAGGTAGCAGTTATCTGGACATCAAGATCATTATCCCAAGGCAATGGTAATCGATTCCAGTACCATCCGAGTAGAGTACCGTGCGCCAACCACGTATCAAGTTTGTGTTGATCAGCGTATTCAAGCCAGGCAGTAGCTAGCCTCCAAAGCGTGTTTTGGCTGGTATGGTACTTTGGCGTGTAGCGGTACCAGCGATGGTCAAAGTGGCCCTGGGTCTCGTCAAACCATTTAGCATCGCCATTACTAATATCACCATCGCCACTAGCGACGACGAAATCATCGCTCGTAGCGTTGCTAGGGTGCCTAGGCGGCGCCGGCGGGCTCAGCGCCACGTACTGGCGCCACTCATCAACGGTATAAGGGCTGTCGCCGTCGTCGTAGCTGGCTATTGCCCATAGGAGCGCTGCTAGCCAAACCCCGAGCCACATCCTCACCAGGTATAAAACCTCAGTGCGAGTCGAGTCGCGGGGTTTGAAATTGTGTCGCTGCTACCAGTAACAACTGTGTGTGCCAAGCGTTGGGGCACAGACGTGCGGCGCACGGCGTCTATATCCGTTTCGTTCGCCATGCGTTGAGCTCCGACACTCCGCGTGCGTTCCCGAGGTAAGTAGTGTGCAGATATATGTCTAACCAGACATACACACACAAAGCGTGGCGATGACGTTATTATTACTCTATGAACCAAACCAGGATGCCGGCACCCGGTTTGCAAAATACACTTAGGGAAAAGACACCAAAGACTAGGCCAACATCTGCTGGAGCTGTTTCCCCTTGGCCAACTTCTGGAGATCGCTGTTGCCGCCGATGTGCTTGCCGTTGATGAAAATATTCGGCACCGTCTTTTGTCCCGTGATCTCGGTGAGCCCGCGCTGGAGGGTACGCCCATCCTTGACACGATCAAGCTCCACCACTTCAAATGGAGCCCCGAGCTTGCGGAGCGTTTCTTTGGTGGATTTGCAATAAGGGCAGTGGGTCTTGGAGTAGACAATCACCTTGTTGGCCTCGATCTGCTTGTTGAGGCCGGCGATGACCTGGGGCGGCACCGGCTCCCCCTGGATCCAGTTTTTCACCATCTCGTACATTGTCGGCATGCAATCCGTAGCTAGTTTGTAATTTGCTTGCGGGAACCGAAGGCCTTATAGCCCAACGGTGGCCGCATCGCCAGATCCCCTGGGGGCTATCGTCACCGCTCGGAACGACGCCCGCGGCTGCCTAGGTCGGCATGGCGTCCGCAACCCCCCGAGCAGGGCTGCCGCTCGAGCGCCGCAGCCTGTCAAATACCACCATAAACAATAGTGGGGGGAGGAGATGTGGTGTTTATTGGTATAGTGAAGTGGGGGTGACCACCCCATTGTTTCAGAGAATGCTGGCGTAGTGTTATATGTGACGTCTCACATGTCATTCGAGACGAGGTATTTTGATGCTATTTACACAGTTTGAGCCACAACCACATTAACTAGACGAATGAGGCAAACATCCGCTGGTGGGCTAACGAGGCTTGGACGGGCACTCGCTGGTAGTCCACCGACTCCCCTCTATCGATGGCCAGAAGGAGTTGGTTCAGCTCAAACGGACGGATCAGCGCGTCAGCCGTGCCCACCGTGATGTGGAGATGGGTATTAAGCACGGGGATCGGTAGCGGGGGCATGGGGGCTCCCACTTCAGGGATGGGGTCGCTCACGGCCACTTCGACACAGATCACACGGTCCAGCACGATGACCGATTGCACTTGGACGTCAAACGCGTAGGGGAGGTCGTTCCGCGGCTGGTGTTCGTATTTCAGCGGGAAGTCGTGCTTCAACTGAGCCCACTTAGCCTTATTATTAGGGTCTCGAGCCAGAGCGCCGTGAGCTAAAGTGATGTGGAACTCATCCTGGACTCGCTGGTTAGCTGTGTAGTGTTGCCACTGATGATGGCCATTCAAAGTAGTAGCCACAAGTTTGACTAAGGCGTCGTGGTCAATCTTAATCCCGTAGTAAGCCACCAGCTGTTGCAGTGCCATGCTCTTAGTGATAGTCACTTTGGCATTGCGAGCATCGTCAAATGCTTTGTGGAAGGTAGCCACGGGGGGAATCTCAGTGACAATTTCAGGGTACCACTGGTGCAATTGGCGAGCGATATACACCGCGTTAGCCACCAGCGACTCGGGCCGAAGCTCTAAATTGATGCAATGGTCAAACTCGTCATCGGGAGAATTATTAGGGTCTAAAGGTTGGTATCGGCCAATGAAACCTTTCATCACTCGCTCCACCGTGGTGGGGTCCAGATCCAGCTTCAACGTCTGGTGGTTGTCACCTCTAGCCTTCACTCGGGGCCAGGTAATTTGCCAGAGTTGATCCATGGTGGCATCATCAGTACCACCAATGAAATCAATCCCCACACAGCTGATGGAGTCGCTAACGTCCAAGTACTTGCTGCGCTTAGCCGTCAAGTCGTCGAAGATCTGCTTGCGCTCCCGTGCCAGCGAGTTGTTGCGGTCCATAAGCGCCGCCGGCGCCAGCTTGAGCGCCATGAGCGTCCGATCAACAAGCTTCTTCTTCGCCAGCGACAGAATGTTGTCGTTTTGGATGTGGGGCCACCCGTACACCGAGGCCAATATCAGAAACACCAGCGTTTTCCCCACACCGATCGTAGCCACGGGCACAAGCACCAACTTGGGCGGACCTCGCTCAATCTCAAGCAGTTCCATGTGGTTCAATAAGTCGATACCGTGCACTTCGTTGCGCAGGGCGAGAAACCGCTGGCGCACTTCAATCACGCCCACTTTATCGATAAACCTCTGCTTTAACTGAGGCTCTTTGGCGAACAAGTCGTCAACAAATTCCAAGTACTGCCTCGTGATATCCTGGTGCTTTTTCACCTTGATATCGTTAGGCAGACCTGTGGCAATAAGCTTAGACGTCACCTCGCGAAGCTGGCGGTAGAGTAAGTAGGGCTCCTCAAACTTGTACTTGAAGAAGAAGTTGTTCCCAGAACGAACGACAAACCCTTCCACCTCTTCATCCTTGTAGGTACCGGTTTCCGCGCACTTGTCCAAGTGCTCAAACAAACTGGTGGTGTCTTCAAACACCTCCCAGTCGATGCAGCGGAACCCCCACTCGTCGGCAAACCGCTTCACTTCGGGCATGGGCTCGGTGGCGAAGGCAATGGTATTATGGTTGAGCCCGTGGAGGTACAAGCCAGCGCGTTCTTTAGGGTACGGCAACACGTGCTCTTCAAACTCGTCGTCGCAGTACTCGGCCACTGCCGTGAGGTTATTCGCGTATAAGTAGTGGCCCATTTGTGCCCACTTGGCCTCAGTTTGGAGTTGGCGCTTTAACGCTTCGTAACCGGCCTTAGCGTGGTTTTTCGACTCCGGAGGCAAGTCGGTACCAGTAGAGTTTTTCAGCGTCACCACCAACTGACCAGTGGGTAATGCCCCGATAAAGATTATACACCCGTTTTCTTTAACTGTCACTTCAAACGGGCCTGGTAACTGCTCAAGTTTAGCCCTTTTGGTGCGCTCGGTTTCGTCGACGTTGAAGAACTTATCGTAGCCTCTGATGATGATTTTGTCGTCGTTTAGCGTAAAAAGCCCTCGAGACGATATCGGGAGGGTGCACTTAGCTTTATCGTAGTAGTCCCAGTCGTTAAACTTCCACAGCGAGAGCTCCACGTCGGGCACCCCGGGGACGCCATTGGCACGGCGCCGGCACCGGCCGGCCTTCTTGAGCTCGGTGCTTTGCTTGAGCGCCTCCACAAGCTGGCGCACCTCGTCGGGGGGCACTCGGGACATCGGCGTTGTGCGGTGTGGATGGTCCGATGAGGGATGAGGGTGGGTGAGTAGTGGCTGCAAACGTCCGATCAAAATCGCCAAAAACGAGACACCGAGGACCAACACACCATTTCACCTAGAGATGTGAATCACAATCATTTAGGACACCGAGATAACGATCATGGCTTGGCTCCTGATACGTTTTCTGAGTGGAAATTAAATTGCGTGCTTCGCGTGCTTTCAAATCAAGCAGAAAGGGAGACAAAGAGATAAGAAAATCGTGGGAAATTTCGCAAGATTTGGTGGGTACAGCCATCAACAATAGCGGGATCACGAAAACGCAAAAAATGGCTCGTTTCCACCGCTCCCCGGTGTCTACGAGGCATGAATAGGGGTCGCGAGGCACATTAGTGTCCTGGGACAAAATCGGGGCCGGTATCTCGGGTAAACACCGAACCACACGACAACGATGATCGTGGCCAGGGCCACACCGACGACAAGTCAGACACCACGGCAACCGAAGGCCATGGGGCCATCGGCTCATCACCTGACGTAGTGAGACACGCATACAGTGTCTGACGGTTTCTATTATAGACTGACACTGAGCGTGTGTCAACTGGCGATGAGCGGCGGGTGACGGGTATACCTTGCGTCATAAAACCACGCAACCGCTTCTTGTGGCCGGCGGAATAGAGTTTAAGAGTACGATATCTGATGTCAACCGGCAGCATGACTATGCGGTTACGAGCCACGGCGAAGCGAGCTAACAATAGGCGTGCCAGCAGGGTGAACGGGCGGGTGAAGGATGCTGCCCAGGAATTTTTGGGGCTGCTCAGGCAACCTGCCAGCCCGAGGCAGCCGCCAACAGTGCCAATACCCTCACGCCTGGTCTCCGGTGCCATGACGTCGACGCGGGATAAGATCGCGACACCTCGAGGGACGGTGTCGCTCGTCTGTATGTCTCACGCCGGGAAATGTCTGAGGGCCGCTCGAGGTCTGGATTGTGGCGAGGGAGGCTCAGGCACTGGTGGTGGTCGGGGAAAAGTGTCAGTGACGGATTGAGGGCTCAGCGCGGCGATGGCAGCGATAACCGTTACGCACGGTAGCGATTTCAGGTGCCCGCAGTGCAAGGCCTCGTTTGACACCCGCCAGAGGCGCCAATAAACCTTAACCACCAAGCTAACAGCAGGAGGGGCACGGCCGCCGGAGACTGGCACCATCCGAGCCGAGCCTGCGGCCGTCCACTGGAGAAAATACGCTGGGCCAGGATGGAATAGGAGGGGCTTTGGGGAGATTTCTTGGCACATGCCGCCATTTCGCTCTGGGTGTCTGTCGTTGCCGACAGATAGACGCCAGGTTGACCCGACCTGCCAGATTTAGTGTCCCCCCGCCTCATCCCGAAGCGTTAAACCCCTCACCCGCACGCGGGGAGGGTTTACCCGCCGGGGTGCAGGTTGGGCGCCCTTGGCCTCCCATGGTGCCAAGGCAGCTTCTAGAAGGTTGCCGCGACAGCGACATTATCGTATCCGCTCGACTACATGTAGAAGCTGTAGCCGTAGCCGGACATGCGCGGATTTTAGAGTTGTGTGCACGCCTGCCTCACGAATACGGGTGTCGAGACATTCCTGGGGCGTGCCCGGTGTCGGCCCCCTCCTCGACATCGGCCCCCCCAAGGGGCCCTCCCCCACGTTGGGATTCCAGGCGGAGGCACTGCGCTGTTGACAGGTGACAGGACGTAGACAAGCGGGCAGGCGACGCCATATGTCAACTTATCCTAGGTTATCTGCCCCCCTATAATTGGGTTCTGGCGAGGGCAATCGTATTCTCCCATAGCGCAAGGGGGGGTTGCCGTGTTTGGTTTTTTCTATGACAGAACGTGAGTAATGAGCGGGCGAGAACCATATTTGCGCTTTGCTTCTGTCACCCCGAATTTGTCAACTGGCGGGTCGTGTTGGGTTATGTCATGGCCGTAGGAGGGGAGGCGAGTTGTTGTGGTGTGATTCAGGTTGTAGTTTTGTCGGCCACGGCGTTTTTATCAACTGGGCGATGGGGCTAAGCCGTGTCCTGTCAAAACCCTGTTTAGATTTTTCTTATTAGTGTCAGACCTTTTCTTGGACGACGTCGCTTGACAGGTTTTGAGGGCGAGCAGGCCACAAATAGCCCCATGTCCGGGTATGCCGAGCCTGCACCACAAAAGAGGGCAAAAATTGACAGAACGAAAGCTCCATGCACACCGGCAAAGCTAAAGCCTAAACCTCCGGATTTAGGCCCAAGGCGGCGTTGGCAACCCCCCGGAGCGCCTGGAAAGAGGCTCAGGCGGACCCAATCACAGGCGCTAGTATTGTTAGCCTCCCCGAAGCAGCGGGCTGCCTCTGTCGCCGCCACTGCCACCTGCGGTTAGCGCATAATTATCATTACCTGCCACTAAATCTGTAGGATACAACGCAGGGATAGCACCACAAATTTGGGGCAGCACTGAGGTGAAAAGCCGACACGCTACCCTAACCATGGCCGCCGCCATCATTGCATATGCCACATGTCGCGGCGTCCTACCGGCACGGGGGAGTCATGCCCCCCTATTGCTAGTGGCGAGCGCACCCGCCACACTACCCCTCACACTATCTCGGGACGTCGAGGATCTGGCTAAGCCCCCTCCCCCAATGACCCCCGACAGCTACGGAAATGCGGGCGGAGGCAGGTGGAATGACGAGCAACACTCGTAGCTGCTAGCGCACCGGCATGGCTCACTTAGCCTCGAACCCCGCTTGCGGCAGCTGAGCCACAGGTTATTCCGTTTGTAACTTTAAGCTCGTAATCACCACCCCGATTATTTTCCGCCGCCGGCGCCCAACCGCTTTCAGCGATCCTGCTAACGAACCCCCCTTGGCGACGACGATGCCGCCAGGGGGCTTGGCTAAGGATATATGGCGTGTCGTTGCTCTGGCAGGTATCCGGTGGCTGGTGCGAACCCGGCCGGGGCCACTTGTCTCGGGGTGAAAACCACAATTTAAAAACTGACAAAAAACCACCGAGGCATTGGGAGATGGTGGTGTAATTGGCACCAGCGGCAGCGGCGGGTGGCGGTAGGCTCCATCCATGCCCAGGCTCTGGTGCGAACGGTTGTCTTGGCGGTGAAGCGCGATGTCGTCGCCGCGGACCGAGCTTCCGGATTCGTGTGGGCGCGGGGAATTGCTTTTTCGCCTCGTATCCTTCAGACAGGCTTCCGGTGCGCATGCTCTCTGGCAAAGCGCGCTAAGAGGGCCCGTGGCGGCTCAACGAGGCTTACGCCGCCATGGCGGGAGGGGCGTACTCCAGGATCCGCCTCCGAGCAAACGGTACTACGTACTAATGCTTAAGCGTAGCGCGGTGGCGGCATGGCTGAGCAATTAACCACTTGATCCGGGCGGATCTTCTAGAAACTTTATTGACCGGTGCAGGGCGTCGCCTTGTCCTGGCTGATGCCCCGTTGGCTGCCGCTTAAGCGGCGACACCGTTACGGAGAAATTTCGGACAATACTCGACTTCTTCATAGTAATGACGGAGAATACATGTCCACATGGAGGAATGCCGTTTGTGCCACTTTTGCGCCAGAGACACCACCAGCAGGAGTTGCCTGACAACCACAATATTAACCACAGCATTAGTAAAAAGCGGTTCAGCCACCGCCACCGGCACAACCCGCTCGATCGTGGGGGGCCCCCCGTTTGTTGTTGTTGTTGTTGATACCGCGGATGGTCCAGCAGCGTGGGCACGCGGTTTGGTCCACTGACGCGAAAAATCGGCTGGGTGACGTGATCAGCTATTCGAAACGAGGGGAGGGTGCCTTGGCCAAGGCCCAGGGGACGTGTCCGTGGCGGGTGGACGTCGGTGGTAAATTTAGCTTAGGGTGTATGTCCCCGGGCTGCGTAACCAGCGCGTCGACACCATCCCAGCTGCGGACGGTTCGCCTACGACTAGGTTTCGCCGCATTGACAGTGACAGCACTACCCGATGACTAGCCCGACTTTGTCCCGGTCGGAGGGCGACATCCCCCACAAAAAAAAAAACCGAAGCCGGGGCGCAATTGTCGGGCTGAGCCACCCACCCGCCACCAGGGTTTTGGCGGAGGCCTGTTTCCCGCAGGTTTTATTGTGGGTATCAGTTTGCCGGGTAAATTGGCGGCGAGGGATTATTGGCGTTTGCCTGGAGCCCTTTTGGAGTTTGTCGCTCCTAAGCCCGAGCCGTTAGCAACTTAAGTTGTGCTGATGCACCATTCCTGATGTCGCAAGTGTTGTCATGTCGCCCCGATGGGATGGGCGCATCCTGCACGCTGCCGCCACGCGCCTCAGGTTAACGATCTTGGAGGGGAGAACGGGGTACATTACGACGCTCGATATTTGGCAGCAGCCTGAGACAACGACCAGTAGGCACGTGATATGACACGTGATGACCACTTATAAAATTGGTGCACGGATGTAGTCATGTGATGCGCTGTCAGCACTGCGCCGCACCGCACTCGCGCGCGCACTCACACCAGCATCACCAGCACCACCACTACCACACACACTAGCGACGGATCACGGCGGAGTGTCATGGCGTACTCAGTGGACGTCGACGAGGCCGATGTCGCCGTGCTTAACCAGAACTTGACGAAGTCACGTGAGCTGTTCGACCATATCCAGAAGCTGCTCCATATCATCCTGGCGCGCCTGGCCAACCTGGCGACGTCGATCAAGCCGATCTTGCTGAGCGTCAATCGCCTTAATCTCCAAAAGCAACAGATTCTGGAGGGGCTAGCATTGCTCCAGGACGTGTCGGAGGCCGCGCTGCAGATCCATGGCTACGAACAGACCCTCCTGAACTCAGTGGAATACACGGGGCTCCGCCAGTATTTGGCGGCGGTGGACGAGGCGAAACAGTTGCTTGTTGAGCTTAAACCGAAGCTTAAACGGTTTACCAACGTGCTCATTCTGTTTGAGACGTTAATTGATAAGGCTAACATTAAAGTGCAGACGTATTTCCAGAGCGTGATGAAGGCGGAGGCGTCGACGTTGATTGGCGACAACGCCAAGATGAACGAGGCCAAGACGGTGCTTGCCTATTTTGGCGAGCAACAAGGGTCGCAGATGGCGCAGCTCTTCGTCCCGGGGCGTCGCGACATGTTGGTGGCGAAGGCACGGCTGTGGGCGAAGCTGTGTCGCCCCGTCGAGCGCCCCGCCAACATCCCCTACGAGCGCGGGTCTAACGGCATCAACCAGTTTAATAACGAGCTCATCAAGACGATTAAGGACGAGGCACAGATGTTTAAGCTGTTGGGTTTACCGCAGGACCAATTGCGCCAGGCGGTGACGTCGGTGATCAACGAAGTGTACGTGGGGTCAGTGATGCGCGAATACTACCAGTTCTTCGACCTGCCCCAGCTGCTTGTGACTAACGACCTTCTCGCGCTTGAGATCATCGACAATACGCTCCATTTCGATAAGTTTGTCGAAAACTACGGCCTAGACTCGGTGGAGTTCGGCACCTCGGTGTCGGGTTTCGTCAAGAAGGTGCTGCCGTTATTCCGCGAGTACTTCCGGGTGATCGAGAGCAAATTCGCCGCTGCCGGTCCCTTGACCGACGTCAACATCCCCCAGCTCTGTGTCGAGCTCGTGCTGAAGTTGCGTCGGGTGCTGGAGACGCCCGACGCGCTTTTGGCGATGATTGTCCACTACAAGCTTGGCGACTGGTTGGTGCTTACGCCGCCGGCGCGGTTTGTGCTGGTGTACCTGTCGCTCATCCCCAATCTGGGCGACGAGGCGCTGCCGCAGTTTTTGCTCTCGCTGTTGTTCAGCGACATTATCGACGCCATCATGATCAACATCGAGATGGGGGTGAAGCAGAACGACATCGGGTTCAAAAAGCTGACCCAGGGGTTCTTGCTTGTTAAAAACTTGGTGATGGTGGAGACAATCATCAACAAGCTGCCGACGCTCTACCAGTGTCTCGGGCTGATTGGGATGGAGCGCGTCAATAAGCTCAAGAACCGGTTCCTCAAGCTTTTCCTCGACGACTGGAACTACGCGCTGTACATCATCATCCGCGACATGACGCTGATCGCGACGCTGCTGGCGCACCAAGGGGGGCTGAAGCTGGGGCTGACGCTGACGCTGGTGGCGGCAACCAACTTGACGCTGAAGGAAAAAGACCAAGTGAAAGAGCTTTTCCGCACCTTCAACGAGCTGTTTGAGGACGCGTTGCGCAACTATGAGAAGCACCCCATCAGCGACCAGAACTTGCGCAGCTACTTGGCGCTGGAAATCAAAAAGCTCATCACTCTGGCGTACTTCAAGCTTTACGACAAGTACGGTAACTCTGACTTTACCAAGAACAAGGCGAAATACGTCAAGTACAACAAACAGCAGTTTGAACAGGTGCTCAACCAACGGTTGTAAGCCACCATTGCTCGTCATGGCTTCCCGCGACCGGGGGCACCCCCTTGCTAACATCGAGGTCTGGACCCGACGACAACCACCGCATGGGGAGGCGACCAACGGACGTCTTACGGACATTTACGGGTGGCGGCGACGGGGGACAACCAGCATTGTTTCGACGGCGTACCCCTCCCGTCGTCTTGGGGGATGGGGCGTTGTATACAGGCTAAATCGGCTTAGTTACGATGTCATTGTTTGTGTCCAACCTACCCTAAGCCAACGACGACTTCCTTTGCCGTTGTCGGAAAGCAAGGCGTTTTGAGCTAGCAATAGTGGACAGATCTCCACTATAAGTGAGCCACAAGCCTGGTCCTAATACTGAACGTACTCTAATAATATAGCTTAGCATTGGGTCAGTACCAATTCCTACCAATCTCTTTACATCGTCGTTTAATCAATGCCAACGCGTGGGTGGCGTTTAACCTCCGCATTGACGATGGGCCAGACGGCGTTGTCGGTCGCTGGATCGCTGAAATCTGTATGATCGGTTTTTCAAAAGTGTATGTGCAGGACATAACCGGTTGTCAGCGAGACACACATCGTCAATAAAAAGATGTGTCGGAGTTGGCCGGACGGTTGCCCCGTCAACTGGGCAGAGAACAACGAAAAAAAAACACCGGGCCATTGTTTTGGTACAGACGGCAACTCTCGGATGGGTTCAAAGTATACAGGTGGACGGGTTAAGCAATAATCTGAAAGGCTATAGTCACATTGGCTATACCGACAGACCAGGGCGTGTCCTGGCTAATCCGCTTGTCCGCCCCAGTGCGTGCCGGGTGGCTAGTTTTTCGAGGCGACGTGCCAGTCACTTTTGACGTATATGCCAAATACCGATGTGGTCGGCCCCCGTGCCAGCGGGAGGATGTCGTGTGGTGGAGGCAGGCGAGAGTGTGTCGTTGTTTCTTTTGTGTGGACCATCCTTCCCGATTAAGAAGGTAGATCCCCTGCAGGAATGGCACCCCAGGTTTCTTGGCACACCTGGCGAAACCGGACGCTCACCCTTTTTTTTTTAAGCGGCAGCCCCCGACTTATTTTTTTGACACCTCGGTCACGAGCCACTGTGCCTACAAGTGTTACGGTGCCACTTCTCCCATGCCAACATGGTGCAGAAAAAATAATTGTTCTCAAGCGACTCCCACCTCGACTCACACATCCATATATAAGTGATCTTAAATGTCGAATCCGGGTTTAACCATAATGAATTCCCTGGCTAAAATCTCGTTGCCCCCGATATCTGACATTTTGCAACAGGCTACCCAACCGCTGTCGCCGCTGAGCTTGCGCATCCCTCCTCAGCCGTCGTCGTTGGCGCTGTCGTCGTTGGCGGCGGCCGCCGCCGCCACCACGCCGCTGCCGGGCCCGCTGGTGTTGCCGCCGTTGCACCGGGCGATGCTGACGCCCACCCTGCTGATGGGGGGTCCGTTGCCGTCGTCGCTGTCGTTTGGCGTCGCGGGGACGCCGTTGGCGACCCCCGGCGCCACTCCCGCAACCGGGTCGATGGGCGCTTTTGGGCTTTCCAACTACCGCTACGACTACTACAAGCCGGTAAACAACATCACGCCGCCGCCGCTTTCGCTGGCGGGCGCCGCTGCGGGCAGCGGCCACCCCCATCACCATCCTCACCACTACCATCCTCACATATCGGCGGCGCTGGCAGCGCCGCTGGCGCTGGCGCCGCAATTGATCCCCCCTGTGGCCGCGCCGGCGCCGCCGCTGCAATACCTCCCGCGCAAGGCTGACGACCTGAAGCTCAAGCGCAAAACCCGAAACAACTTGCCCAAGGAAACCACCTACATCTTGCTCAAATGGCTCAACGACCACCTCAACCACCCGTACCCGAACTCGTTTGAAAAGAACCAATTGATGATGCTGACGGGACTCAACCAACAGCAGTTAAGCAACTGGTTCATCAACGCTCGCCGTCGCAAAATAAAAAGCATGAAGGAACAAAAACGGTTGAACGTAATCTAGCTTACGACTTTACGAGTATTTATTAACTTAACCCCAAGACCATTAAGACCATCGTTGTAGTTATTCACTGGAGCTAGGAATTCTAGCCAATCATTCGTTTCACTTCGCACAATAGCGTTAGACTCGTTGCCTGGTACACTGTATGGTATGGTATCTGGCGATGACAAGCGTTCGTCATCGGGCAGCGATCAGGCAGCGAGCTTACAATTTACTGTCAGCTGGAGCAACTGACACTTGGTGAATTAATGTCTTCACTGTCACATAGAGAATAAGCAGTCTGGCACATTACAAAAAGCTTGGGACATGGGAACCAGTGGCTCAATGCGACGATAGTTATTGACTACACCGTAGCTGCAAATCAGCTACAACAGAGCTACCTGGGTGATGGTAGCAGTTAGTTACAAGAGTGTCAAGGGTAATACTGCCAAAGGTTCCGATTGGGCCAAATACTGGATTAGTAATAGGTGTTTGTTGTTGTTGTTGTTGTGGTAGAGCCAATTCCCGCGCCTTTATCGCGCTGCTACAGCCTCGCTGGTGGGCGGCTACGGCTGCCATTGACGAGGAAAGTGCGGGTGCCGCTGTATAGGGATGACGGCGTGCGGGCAGAGGCGCTACCGGCGCCCGCACTATGTGGTAACAATAGCGCTATCGGGCGCAATGCCAGTGCCAAAATGCCTGCACCGCGCACAGTGACGAGCACACGGCGACTGCCAAAGTGAGACCAGGAGGCAGCGTGGTCCGAGACCAGTAGCTGAAGCCACCCAAACCATCGCAAAACCTTTCTCGGACCATAAGCCAGCGAGCAATACTCGCTACCGCCATGTAGTCCGAGGGGGGTGGTCATCTACGGCACCCTCCCCTTCGGGTTAAGGCACACTATCCTCCGTATCGGCTCTGGTTAGGCAGCCCGGGGCAAAAGGCGCCCCGATACGCCAAGGCGCCCTCCTGTTTGTCTTTTGGTCCCACTGTCATCCTGCCCCACCCCTCACCCTTTACTGCATTAGGCTAGCGGAATCTCGCTGCCCGGCACAGGCTCGCCACACAGCTGCGGCAACCACCATCGCTAGAGGAATTGTATGGGTGCCGGCAGCGGAGGCATTGTCGCCTGACATCGCCATTGTAGGGCGCCCCCCTCGCCAACGACGGTGGCGCCATCGCCCCAGAACTGTTTCATCCAGCCGCACCTGTCTCCAGAGACACCTGTCAGGCGATGGGTGTTTCTCTGCTAACCTGAGTCACCCACCGCGCATGGCAGTGACAGGACGTCAGCGCCAGCCTACATGGCACTGCTGGTGACACTCTTGGCTACACCAAAATAGATTCTCCCCACGGATAACCCCGAACGACCTCCCCCTGTGGCGACATAGCAAAATTCCACCTGGCGGTCACAGTCCCCTAAAAATGCCGTAAAAATCACCGTGAGATAATGGTGTCAGCCTCTTGTCGTCACTCCATTGTTAATCCGGCGTTTAGGCTGGGGGTATGCCGCAGGGTGTCGTCAGCGCCGTTGCTATCTTTAGGGGGGGGCGATGGCCTAGACTCGGAGACTCGGGCCGGGTATTGAATCTGCCAGTCTCGGGGTGCCAAGGCTTTAGCTCGGGGACACTGCCTCTTACCTTACCCCACAGGACGGAAATGGAGACTTTGGATCGTCGGCCCTTGCTGAGTGGTGCAGCGGTGAAACCTACAGCTGGCTGTGGGTGGGAGCATCTCCCCGCGAAAATTTTCGGAAATCGTCTCGTCATGTGATGGGGCTTCACCCACCACCGGGGCGCATTAGCGGTTTTCGGCCCTGGTGGTCCGAGAACAGTAACCCCCCAAAAAGAGACGGTGACAGGTCTCTGCGGTGTTCTCAACCAAAACCTACGTTGGGGCGACGAGGCAATCACTAAACCCACCTGCACCACCAACGACCTTTAGACAATGGCCACTGGTTTGCCGTCACCTGAGGCCGCAGCCAGGAGGCTTCGTCGACGTTCGAGCCTCGGTTTTAGCGGACGGTGCGTGTACAAAGACAATAATATTTTTCTGCGGGCACTAGTGAAGTGCACTAGGCGACATGAGGGGGATGAAGTCAAACCAGATATGTCAATTGGTCGGGTCCGTATTCCTTTCGCCCCTACAGAGCAAAACTAAAGGATCTCTGGTAGTCGTCTTCGCCGAATCTGCCCGCTGACATGCCGAAACTGCTGGCGGTAGGCTCCGCCCTCGGGCGGCCACGCACACAAGTGCTCCCCTATAGGGCGATTTTCTTGAGTTCCAGTTCAAATGCACACCGCCTGTTTCTTGGCAGAGTGTAGTGGGACAACACCGCAGCCGCTGCATGGCCTCCTACCGCACGTCAAAGTCAAAGGGTAAATAATTAATGTGCAGATGGGTTTCTCAATTACACTGACGGTGACACACTCCCACTGGTTACCACGCCACCTCAACGCGATTCGAACGTGACGGGGGGCTAACTCCAAGGTTCCCCTCTCCCCGCCACCATCACCACTTACCCTCTATCCCCTCAAAGTAACCAACACTAACTTTATCCCGACCCATCCCCGAGACATACCCCCACCACCACCACGTAAGACGATGTCGGCGACATCGCTGCCTCGATCAAGAAGGTCGGCGCGGGGGTCATGCATATGGTGGGGGGCATGGACGTGAGACTTATTTCCTCGGAATTGCAAATTGCGACAGCGCCGGTTGGCTCGACATGGAGGTTTATGTCCCCTGGGCGTTTGCAACCATCGCTCCCAGCAACTAGTGGAGGGTTGCATTAGCGGCAGACGCTGGTGCTGCCACCCACACCTTTGGAAACAGCTGGTCTCCCGTCCACGTCCCGGATCGGATCGTGTAGTGCACTCCGCATTCCCGAAACCCCAGCGCGTCCTTGGCGAAAGCGAGTTGACGATCTCACGAAATCTGACGATCAGTGAGCATCGTCGTCAACCAGGCAAGGGGCAGCGGAGCGCATCGCCCAAGGAGATAGTCGTGGTTAAAGCCGACTAAGCAAAAAATTATGACCATTGATCGATATCAGTGAACTGCAAACCTCACTAGTCCTAGTGCATTTTCCTCAATACCCCCTTACCATCCCTATTTAGTAGTTGGTGGCTTTGTTAGTGGTCGCGTGTCGTCGCACTTTTTTCTCTACCAATTGACTCGCCAACTACGCGAAGCGCGCGCACAAAGAAAACACGTCGACCATCAAGTGATCTCCTTTCCAGGTTTCTGTCCCCATTTTTACACCTAATACCCCTTCTATACAGAAACAACCGACGATCATGGTGACCATGGTATCGACGCTGGAGGCGTTGGTGGCGCTCCTGAACCTGATCCTCAACCTGATCGGAGACCTCAACAAGCTCGAGTACAACAAAAAGGGCCGCAAGTACCGGTTCGTCAACAACAACTTCCAGCGGATCCGGGAAGAGGATAAGCATCTCGTCATTTGCCCCGAAGAGCCGGAGTCGCAGTTGGCGGTGATGCTGCTGTTCTACATCCTTTTGAACACCGACAACGGCGAGCTTCTCCGGCGGTACCCGGACTTCTGTCTCGCCATCATCGGGTGTGCTCGCGAGATCGAAGCCCACGGGTGGTACGAAGAGGAAAACTCGTCGGTGGTCCACGTGAAGAACGCCAAATACGACCCCCGAGTGGTGCTGGAGCCGGCGCTCGAGTACATCCGACTCAACCCCATTGAACAGCGCCACATCGACATGGGGCTCGTGCTTATGACCTGCGCTAAGCTTAATTTCCTCCACACTGACCACCACATCGGCACTAAAGTGGAAGGGTTTTACATGAAACATTTCATCAAGGAGTACTTTGGCGAGGAGCTTTTGGCGCTGCCGGAAGTGCTTGTCGCCCTCAAATCGTTTGTCCACTGGGGCAACATTAAGGGCATTTTATACCGGTTGGATGTCCCCAACATCAAAACCACGCCTGAGCTAGTCAAGGCGTTTTCGCAGTTCCCCGAACCGATGGAAGAACTCAAGCTTAGTGTCTACGACCGCTACCCGCTGGGCACCTCGAAATACCTGCTTATCCGTAAGCTGATCGACGTATTAGGCGACTGGCAGTTCTCACTGCTCATCCCTTACCCGCAAGACTTCAACTTTGACTTGGACTGGTTATACGAGTTGTGCCATAACATAGAGAAAGACCCGGTGAAGTATCATCTTCGGTCACTGACCAAAGCCCTCTGCGAGAACCCCGTCAACCTTGGCGAGTTGCTGCTGCGATACTCGAAACAGATCGCCGCGTTGCTCGACTTCATCCTGATGATCATCCACACCTTCGAAGACACCGGCGGCGACTTCCTCTTACAGAACTCCAAGATCCCCAAGTTGACGCCCGAGCTCATCCTGCGCCACAGCGAGTTGTACCAGCAGATCCAGAAGCTCTACGACAACGTCCGTAGCTACGAGGAGAAGGGGTGGGACACCGACGACATTGTGTTGCGGCTCGGGGCGCCGGAAAAGTCGTTATTCTCCACGGTGATGGCGATGCGGGAAAAGTACAGTGACGACTACGAATAATACATATGTCCCCCAGGTGACGATCGGACATAGTTGCGACAATAACCCCGGCACCCACGTATACGCCGGGGGAAGCACGCGGCTGCCATGGCTGGGAAAAGTTTATTCATTTTTCTTTGACGTAGACGTACCTCTCTGCCTCTGACCCATCCAGTTGCCGTTGCTCCGTATTTCTGTTGTCAATTGCGCAGCAATTACGGAGCATGCGGCCCTAGCCTGCACTCGACGAGGCTATTGTTGCCACAGGCTTTTGTCTCGACCCCCACTCCCCACCGCTGCAGTGGTGAAGTCCTGCACACGATTGCATACAGGAAATCTGCATATGCGCTTTGCAAGGCTACACCTCAAACCATTGCGCCTTGAGTAGTGACCACAAAACTTTCCCCGCGGACATAAGCGGCGATTTCTCAACAATACCACAAACCGCCCTTGCCATATCTCTGTGGGTGCTGCACGCCCCTCCCCTGCCCTGCTCTCGACTAGGTCTAGAAGTCCGCCGACCTTCGCCTCCCCTATCATTCGCCGATCGTCTCGGCGAGCCCCAGCGTCTGTGTTTGCGCCACCTGCAGCGTTGTTATGCTCGGCACCTAGACCCAATGTGGAAGTCTGTTACCTCGCCCTCAAGGTCCCGATTTGAGCACTGTCACTCTCAGTGGTGCACTGTAGTGGTGACACACTATAACAACCACCTTCCCCTAGTGGGTATGGCTGGCCTATGGGGCTATCTGACGATTGCGATTTCCGAGGATCGTCTCTTGGCAGCGCTACCACAACATTGCGATCACGCAGGTCGCAGGGAAAGGTCTCCACAAAAGCCTCCTATTGGCCAGGCCGGCGTCCTGCACACCGGCCTTATCGATACCTGCCACCGCGTCCAGCCGAGGCAGCGATGAGCAAGACTCCGGGATGAGGGCACGGCTAACCCCCCCTTAAAGCAGGGGCCATTTCTCTCACTCAACACCCTAGGCTGTCACCCTCTCAAACCTCGACTGTGGCATCGCCGTGGTTGCTACCTCAACGTAGATCTCGATCATGCCTGGCAACCGTCGTCACCACCAGGCAAGCACCTGGCATTTTTCCCCAGATATTTATGCACCGGTGCAGAAGCAAAAAAAATTTTGTTTACTGATATATATATCCGGAGAAACGGCTCTCGCCCCACAATATGTCATCGATCGACGAGAAGACGGTGCCCGCGGGCGTCGACGAGAAGGTAGTCGGGCGTGCCAGCAGCGACGGCGACGTCGAGGCGGCGGTGCTGTTCGACCACCGCCTGGTGTACGACGAAAAGGCGCTGATGGAGGACATGTACGCCTTGGAGAACGACGACATCATCTTGCTGAAGAAGATGAAGCTCGTCAACGACGCCATCGACGAGATCGGCTTCACCTGGTACCACGCCAAGTTGTTCCTTTTGTCCGGGATGGGCTACGCCACCGACACCCAGTTGACCTACCTCGAGCTGAACGTGCGTAAGTTTATCAACTGGCAGTTTGGCTACCTGTTCCCAGTGTCGGCGGAAACCTACGCCCTCGGGATGTGTCTTGGTGCCGTCTTCTGGGGGTTGCTGGGCGACTTGATCGGGCGCCGGTTGGCGTTCAACTTGTCGCTCCTCTTGCTGGGGGCGTTCACCATCGCCACCGGCGCCATGGGCACCTTCACCACCTATAACTTATTCGTCATTCTCGTGTCGTTTGCCGCTGGGGGCAACCTTGTCCTCGACACCTGTGTCTTCCTCGAGTTTTTGCCCCACAAGGACCAGTGGTTGATGACGTTCTACGCGTTGTTCTGGGGTGTAGGTCAAGTAGTCGCGGTAGCCATCTCCTATGCGTTTTTGCCCAACAACTCGTGTCCGGGTCCCGACAACTGCCCCCTGGAGCTCAACCACGGGTGGCGGTACGTCTACTACACCAACGGGGGCATCGTGTTTGCCCTCGCCATTTTGAGACTCACGGTGATCCGCCTCCAGGAAACGCCGAAGTTCTTGGTCGCCAACAAGCGTGACGAGGAGTGCGTCAACAACTTGCACGAGCTCGCCCGCAAGTACGGGCGGACGTGCTCGTTGACCCTCGAGGACTTGGAGGCGTGCGGCACCATCACCTCCAACGACGACTACCGGAAAAACGTCAACGTCAAGGGGACGTTGAGACTCATCCGCGACCACATGAAGGTGCTTTTCAGCTCGCGCAAGGCGATAAGACTGTCGACGCTCTTGTTCTTCCTGTGGTTCTGTCTCGGGATCGCCTACCCGCTCTACTCGCTGTTCTTGCCCATGTACTTGGAGTCTCGCGGCGCCAAGGTCTCCGCCGACACCACCCAGGGGGTGTACCGCGACAACTTGATCACCAACGCCTGTTCCATCGGGGGTCCCATCATCGCGGGTTTGCTTCTTTACTTCTTCCCCATTATCGGTCGCCGCGGGGTGTTGTGCATCGGGGGTTTGCTGACCATGGCCTTCCTCTTTGGCTACACCCAGGTGATGAACCGGGCCCAGATGGTGGCGATGGGGTCGTGCGTGTTTGTGTGTCTCTACATCTACTACGGGGTGATCTATGCCTACACCCCCGAAGTGCTCCCCGCCTCCGCCCGTGCCACCGGTAACGCCATGTGCCTTTTGTGTACGCGTATTGCCACCGCCATTGTCCCCGTCATCGCCTACTTCGCCAACACCCTGACCCTGGTCCCCATCTGGATCTGTGGTGCCCTCATGGGGGTGATTGGGTTGGTGGCGATTTTCCTCCCCTTCGAGCCGTCGAAGCAACGCACGGTGTAAATTCTTTGATCCAGCAAGCTGGTGTAAATTTCTCTTTTATTCCCCATCGTATAGATTACGGTAAGATAGACCCATATTAGACGCAAAATGTTTATTTCTCGTTTCGACACCCGTCAAATCAAAACTCAGCCTCATCTCTGTCAAGTTCTGCTTCGGATCTCCGACTGTTGTAACCTTAATAAGTTCCACGTTGACGTTATCACCACTATTGTGGTACCTTGACAGCTGTGACGTATTCGTCATTACAGCTGCCGCCGTCGGTCGCGTAAGGCGACTATTGAGTACGATGACAGGTGACCCAGGAACCGTGCTTACTAGAAGTAACGACGGTTGCTTGCATACACCAACCGTGCGGAGCCCCGGGACGCCCACCACCACTTCTAGAACACGAGCGTCTGCAACGTGCCACTAATTTCGTGGTAGAGCTTGCTGGGCGGCTTCGCCGTATTCCCCGCCCTGCTTAGAAAATTAACGGATACGGTGTTTCGCAAGCAACACACTCGGGACTCCGGCGCCGCACTAGCTGAGACAGAAATCGTGTGCTTCGCGCCGGCTAATTAAGCGCACTGAGCCGAGTTGACAGTGTCAGCCCGATGCGATGGACGCCTCCACGCAGACTCCCGGCACCAGGAGCTCCCCATGTGAAAACGTTGTACCACCAGCATCCGCCGGCGTCATTGCTTCAGCCTAACCGCGCCGCAGTACGCGTCCAGCTCTTCCTCGACGCCTACACTCGCAGCGACATCCCCACCGCGCTCCGAGCCCTCTCGCGTATCCCGCCCACTCAACCAGTGTTTGGCGAGTGTGTGCTGCTATTACTCAAACAGCTCGCCTCGGTGGACCACGTGCTGATCCTAGATGTGAAGAAGGCGCTTGCCCTTAGCACTAATATTACCGCCGACAGCCGTATTGCCGCTCTCATCAATGCTTACCGCCTGGCGCCTACTGCGATGAAGCCAGCCGTACGACGCTATATTCACGACAAAGTAAACGCTGCCGAATTGGACAAATTCAAATTGGCGCTGGAATTGACGTCCAAGCTTGCCTCTGCTGCTGCCGAGCTTTGGCCTCAACGATCGTTTGATGATAGTGAACCGATGCCGCTTCTGATCAAACCTTATCTCAATCCCGATGGGCTTGTTTCATTCGACAACCTCTGCCGCTATATTTCTGATACTAAGCGTAGTGAAGATACGTGGGCTACGTATAGAAATCTCGATGAGGAGGGCCGGAAACAATTTCTCAGCGACCTTGAGCACCAGGGGCGTCAGCGGCAACTCCAGATCGAGGCTCACTGCGAGCTGATTGCTGACCTGACCCTGCGGCACCAGCACCATGAGGTAACGCGGTGGATCGACGAGGCCGCCATTGCTTTAGCTTCTATTGAAGCGCCACTGAAGGCGTTGGCCAAACACCAGCCTTTCCTCAGATTGATTGGTTTCAGGGCGGCGGCAAGGCTCGCCATTTCACGCATCGTCGCCGCTAATTTCGCTGATGATGGCGCCGACGTCGCTACTCTCACTACGTCGCTTCTGGCATCTTTTGCGGCCCGGCTCCGAACGCTCCAGGCATCAACAATACTATCATTCCGTGAAGGGGTGGAGGTGGCAGCAACAGTGATCAAAACCGTGGTCGACAACTGTTCAGTGTCCCCCGAACTCTGGCGCCAGTATCGTCTTGAACGACAATTGCGTGAAGATAACCCTAGCACCGCTTCCGATAAGGACGACGACAAGAACGACAACGAGGCGCCACCAGCTTTCATCCACCATTTCAAGTACACCAACGGCCACGCTCAGGGCCAAATACTATTGCATCCGCTGACGATTGCCGAGCTTAGCGACCTGGCTACTCGTCACGCCATCCCCATGTACTTGCCCATGGTGTGTCCGCCTCAACCGTGGACGCTGCCGACTGAAGGTGGCTACCTCACTAACCTCAAACATATGGTGGTGGGAGGAGCGCCCGAGTATATGGTCGGCGCCCACGCCACGGGACAATTATCGCCAACTTACCAGGCTTTGAACCAGTTAGCCTCAGTGGCATGGACTATCAATTCCAGTGTGTTATCGGTGTTTTCTCAGGCAATGGCTATCGGGACCTCTAATTTACCACCAGGGGTTGGAGCATCGTCACCCCCGACACAAGCTTCCGACGTCCCCGGCGTTGATCTCCCCAATCCTAATCCTACTGATGCCAATGGCAGAGCACTTCGCAGTCACTACGAGCGCCTCGTATTGGTAGCCAATGCCTTCAATGGTGACCGCTTCTTCTTTCCACAGATGATTGATTTTCGTGGCCGGGCGTATCCGGCGGCGCTGGTGCTTACTCATTACCAAGAAGACGTGGCGCGAGCACTCCTCATGTTCTGGCACCCGCGTCCTCTTGGCACCCGCGGCTTTGGCTGGCTCCAATACCAATTGGCTCTGGTTTACGGCGAATCCAACTTATCGTATGATCAGCGCCTCCAATGGGTCGAACAACACCTATCCGAGATTCACCATAGTGCTCAGGACCCATGGGGGTGTCAGTGGTGGCAACAAGGTGAGAAGCCGTGGCAAGTGCTCGCTCTTTGTTTTGAGATTGATAAAGTGATCGCTCACATAAACGCTGGCAAACCGGTGGAAGAATACCTGAGTCGCATCCCCGTGCATCAAGACGGGCTGTGTAACGGCTTTCAACAGTTTGCTGCTCTCGGCGCTGACGTCGAAGGAGCTAAGTCGGTGAACTTAGTCCCCGGACCTCGTGGCGACGTGTACAGCGCTGTCCTCGATATTGTCAAGGAGAAAGTGGCCGAGGACTGTCGGAGAAGTCATCCATTGGCACAACTAGCTCAACCAATCCTTTCCCGCAAGCTCATCAAGCAAACAGTGATGACAACTGTATATGGAGTCACTGAATACGGTGGCGCCCACCAAATCAAAGAACGCATCAAAAGTTTGGCCTCCCCCGAGCTGACCCTATATGAACACCGCTACAAGCTTGGATTCTACCTTCTGCGTCAAGTGCTCAATCTGGTCTCAGAGCTTTTCGCCGGCGCTAGTCGCATTCAACAGTGGCTCGTGGAGCTTTGTCGTCGCCTTATTTCCAGCCATGACTACGCCACTTTAGCGCAACACCCGCAACGAGACTTGCTCACTCGCAAAGTGTACAAGCCTATGATGTGGACGACGATGATGGGACTCCCCGTGGTGCAAATATATAAGCGCCACGCTCCGTTTATCGTGTCCACTGAACTCCAACACATTGCATTAATTGATAACCTGAAACTGGACGTTTATGATAAACAAAAGCTGCTCAACGGCATATCGCCCAATTTTGTCCACCTGGTCGATGCTATGCACATGTTCATGACGGCGATTGCTGCCAATGAACGGGGTCTCGCGTTCGCTGCTGTCCATGACTCGTTTTGGACACATGCGTGTGATGTTGACGAGCTTAATCAGATTCTCAGACGGCAGTTTGTTCAACTCCATCAACTGGGGATCATCGAGGCGATGCGCGATGATGCTGTAGCCATGGCGCAAAATCAGTACCAATTGGTATGGGTGAAATACGACCCCAAAGTAGCTCATTTCAGACTTCACTACCCAATTGATCGTTCCGGTACCAAGAACCAGATTCTCAATCGCATCTTGGCTTACGAACTCAAAGCATTATCGGAAGGCATGCCACTCGATGCCTACAAGCAACTTCATTCACAAAATCCAACTTTCTACCAACAAATCACCGCTGGGGCTCTAGCAGTCTACGATGACCTTGTTAGAGAGCCCGTACCACATAAGTTGAACCAGAACAAATGGATGCCAATATGGACTCCGGTGGCGATCCCGCATTGTCCAGAAAAGGGCGATTTAGACGTGAGTGTGGTCGAACATAGTACTCACTTCTTTTCATAAACTTGTATATATGAGCCGTTGTAATAGATCTTAGCATACTTTGCACAATCACTTATTCGTTGACGACTTGTCGTACCCACGGGCTGTGTTTGAATGATGAAATGTGAAATGTGAAATGTGATACGGCTCATATCAATGCATGAACTATAATGAGTTTCGACGCTCTTTCAACACCGACTATATTCTGTCATCTAGAAGACGAAGTCCTGCACATAAGGCGACTGGACCGCCGCCTCCATTGATCGATTGTGTTTGAATTTGCAAAAAGTGGTCCGCGAACGACCTTTTGGACGAATTGAGCATCACACTACCAGGAATAGTATAATCGCCCGATATTTCCAGTATGAATCAACGCTGCTTGCAATTGTCACCCATGATAGAGAAATTGGAAGGTAAAGAAGATTTTAGCTTTTATTAAAACGAATTGCACCGCAAATGCGCGGTTCAGAGTATATACAATGATGATTAAAACTCGTCGTTATCTTTTTAAGGGAGCAAAAAACAATTCAATGAACGGAAAAATTCTACCTTCTGTTCTATTTTCGTTTGCACTGGAAGTATATCCTATGTGTGTATGGATAAGTTGATATCAGAGTGAAAGTAAGAAATTCTTTTCATGGAATCTTGATATCAAAACACTGAGTTTGTTGTGTAATCTACTGCGTCTGGTAAGCACTGGAAGTGACTTGCAATGCTTGTAACAGTGATGATGGAGGTGTCATACCTGGTCTAGAAGGTAGGGAATAATTATATGCAGGTAAAACATGCGACAATCACGACACGACGAGTTGAGCTCTAACACCAGTTTCCAGAATGTCTAACCCGTATATCTTACCACAGTAATTTGGATAGACATGTCTATTTAGTCTGGCATGCCTTCCAATGGTTAGCACAACTAATGATACGGACTGGAAGCTCGCACATTGTCCTGCATGCAACAAAATCTGCATGTAAAATATAAAATCCCAATAAAGTGTTTTCACCACTTATAGCACACTTTAAGAGAAGACAAACAGCATCACCGTAATGTAGAAGGTTCAAATAACATTCAAGACAGTAAATGGGAATTCTTTGAATATCTCCCTGAAAAACTAAAAAGTGTGATATAAAATTAGAGAAAATCAATAAAATCAACCCTCTTACTCCATGAAATTCTTTGGCATCAGAAGTATGGTAGATAAATATCTGGGCAATCTCACTTCAGAATTGGAGTTTCTAGGTGAATTATAAGTAGGAAAAAAAAACTTTTTTTTTTTTCGGTCATATTTTTTTTTGAATGACTTTGAGTTTGCAACGAAGTCTATGTTGAACAATGAATCCTAATTCAGTGTATGCCTTATTCATTCCACCAAACAGGATGCCTATTAGAGCAAATAGGACATCGAAGTGGTTAATGCATGAGTGAGACATCGAAGAGGTTAAGGCATAAGTGAGACATTGAAGAGGTTAATGCATAAGTAAAATGCATAAATAGGACTAGTTAGTCTGCTAATAAAACAACTTGATAAAAGCCTATTCTACATATGAATAGTCAGCTTGCGTTTTCGCCTCAAGAGCGTGTAGCTCTTGTGGATCGAGTTCAACAACAGTCTATTACCTCTAGTGAGTATAAAACTGACCTGCGATGTTCGTAGCAGTGGTAAGAAAGGTGTAACACCTACCCTATTTACAATACCTGTATGCAGGTGCATCAAGGGAAATGCAAGACACATCAAGCTGAATTATGATATGCACATACAGGGCGACTAGCCCATTTATTAAGCATCGTAGTAGTATATGAGCACGTATATAAGGTTTGGAAAGTTTAGGTAGATCTCAACACTGATGCTGATGCAGATATTATGCTTCAAATTTGAGGTTCTACACACAAGCATTGCATGTGCATATGGTCCACGAACTTTCAATGAGGTATTCCATCACATATAGGATGCTCTAGAAAAAATTGAAATACACCACCATAAATTATATGGTACAAATAGTACTTAGAACAGCAAATGGGAATTTTCTGAATTTTCATACGAAAATTTACAAAATGTGATATAAAATTAGGAAAAACTGGTACAGCCTTCTAATTAGCCCTATAAAATTCTTCGGCATCAGAAGTGTGGTAGATAAATATCTGGGCGAGCTGACGTTCAATTTGAAGTAGTTTCAAGTAGGTCAAAAAATAAAATTAAGAAAGGACCGATAAAGATAAATTTTGTGCTTGTAATTAATGTTGGCACCTGAAGTATAGCTGATGTGTTTCTGGGCAAATCAGCAACGGATTTGACGTAGCTGGAGCAATGGCACTCCAGTGGCATTACCTGCAGAACGAGTACATGCATGCAGTACATAAATAAGCATGGCGCTACATTTTGCAAATCGCAAATAAATCAAGAATGATACTACTATCATAATTGAAATGCGCTAGAGTGCCGACGGCAGAAGTTTCATGAAGTTAGCTAGGATACTGGGGTACTAGTCAGGCTTTCATGTGCGTTCTCAGAACGATCCTGCATGTAAAGGAGGAATCATCAACGCAAGAATTCACCATCAACAAGATAGATCAAGTGAGTTCTGATGCCATTTGTATGTTCCGCACGGCTCAATAATATCTATGATAGAGATAAGAAGTTGTTTTCAAGCCAAAAAAAAATTTGAAAAAAAAACTTCAAAAAAAATTTCGGAATAATTTTTGACGGTGACGCGATATATTATGTGCAGGGATAGAATCATTTTAGTTGTGAGAACTCTAGCAAAAGCTAATCTCTATAATTTATCACTATCACTTTCGTTTCACTGGGATGCTATCAATACGAACAACATGATAGAGTTTAAATGAACACCGAAGTGCCTACAAACTTGTCGTGCAGTTGTGAGAAAGTACTAAAGCCTTAAATATATCTTTTCACCATACTTCATCAACGTTATATAAAGAGAAAAGTCTATCGTCTATCGCCAGCTTCAGCATTGATGACAGAGGTGAGAGTTTTTCGTCGGTTGTGCCGGTGTCATGTGTCATACTCTATCTAAAGTCGATTAACACACAATTTTGGGGTATGACCGATTCACCACGAATCTTGATCGCCTTTGAGTTAGATTTCAAGTATATCGTAAAGTTACTACAGAGCAACCACACGTAAGGTATGTGATATATGATTTTTGCCACACTCGTTGGCACGTATGAAAGACGCGGTGATGGTATGAGAAATGAAAGAGGTGGTTCCTTACAAAAGAGAGAAGCCTTTGGAGTTCTTTCTTTGAGCTAGTCTTCGTCAATCATCTTCTGCAATCGACCAAAAATACGATCACGATGCTGGGCCATGGGATCGTCGATGTCAGAGGGGAAGAACGATTGTCGGGATACATCACCGTCGACAAATCCGCCGTGAGCCCAGCTCTCGGTGGAGTCGTCATGCAGATTGAACGAACCCAAATAGTCGACCCCTTCGATGTATTCGATGTCGTCGTCATCCAAATAGAGCGCACTCGTCGCCAGCGCTACCGAGCCGGCGTCCTCATCGGAGGGGTAGTCATTTTGATAAAACAGCTCCGCGTTCAGATCCTCATCATCCAGAACCACTCGGTCACTATTGGCTTCGTCAGAAGGGTAGAGATTGTCGCCATTTTCGTCAAAGAATTGCACGTAGCCAATCATCAGTTTCGGGTGAGTCGCCAGAGTCACAGGGGCAAGCTGGTAGACATCGTAAACGTACTCATCAAGCGGAGAAGCCACCTTGGCTCCGAAGTCGCTGGCCCGGCGGCCGCGGCGTCTTCGAGGCGGGGGTGCATCCGTGTCTGTGGTGTTGATGAACGATTCCACCATATCCGACAATGCCGGGGGCAATTCCTCCTCAGCCAGCTCCTGTGTCGGTTTGAGCACGAATTGTCGTCGTTGGCCATCGCCGACACTCTCTTGGAGTAATGTATGGCCGTCCATGTTGTGGTCGTGGTCATCGGTACGGGCGAGCTGGTACACACTCAACGGCGCCGGCAGCCCCAGACGGGGACTGGGCAGTACCGTCTTGCTGCGCTTATTTACCCGTTGGTCCTCGAGGATGAGTGCCTGGAGAGGGTCATCGGTCCGTTTCCGCTTCACTCGAAGCACCGAAGGGATCGAGGTCATGCGCGTGAGATGAGGCTGGCACCGGTTGCGGGGACTGTTTTTAGGGCTGTCGAGGAAACAATGAAAGCCGGGTTTGGTGATTGACTAGGCTTACCTATGACTTTGGGAAAACTGGATATGAGGTCATTTTAAGTGTTTGAATTATATTTGTAGGGAGATATGTGTAGGTGGGGTGATTCATTCCTGAGGGTCTCGTGCCAAAACCCATTCAGACAACCACCTAATCTGTACCATAAGTCAACATTTCATTTGTATCGCACGACTACATAGTCATTACCTCTACTCTACTCGTCTCAACTTTCCTGTCGTCTCCCGATGTACCGTTTTATCTGTGGAGCGTCTGTTTGTAATCTCATCGCACCATGGAGTCGATCTTTACTGAACTTCACCAGCAGATTGAGGCCGATGCCGCCAACAAGGAGACTCTCCGGCAGATCGAACGGGAGTTTGCCCAGGACACCGCCCACATAAAACTGGCTCTCCACCTCCTGGCGGCTCCTACCCAGCTCCAGGTGCCCGACCATCGCGCCGAGCTTTTGAAGCTTTTTAACACTTACAACGACAAATTGAAGCCCGTTGTCAACAGCGACCGGTTATCCGACCGCTTCACCCAGGAACTTCTCACCTTGTACCTCACTAACGGCTATTTCCTTGAAGTTAAGCGCGCTTTCGCCTCGGACTTGGACACCATCACCATCAATCTCATGGACGTCGTCATCCCCCCCGCTCAATTGATTGCCCAAGGGTTTCACAACGACGAGAACGTGTTGGAGTACCTGCACTATCTTTTGTCGGTGCTCACCATGGTCGACGCCATTGTCGAATACACTAGTGATGCCATCATTAATGTGCTGATGGAACCTGGGGCCGACAAGCGCCAGTACGCCATTGGCCCGGCCAACCTTGATATCGTCAACAAGCTCAGCACCGGGTTCGGCATGTTGGACTTGAAGAACGACGGTATCCGTCGTAAGTATGACGGGCTCAAGTACGCCGTTAAGCGGATCAACGGGTTTGTCTACGACTTGCTGTTGCGGGGCCTCATCACCGTCAAGCCCGAGGTGGTGGAATCGGCCTAATGTCCATCGTTATGTACCTATTTTGCAAATAATATATCTAGGCATTGATTGTGATTAGTATATAGCTTAGAGGTGATCTGATTGGATTGATAGATGATTATGAATTGCAGAGAAATGACTCATCGGCTGGATCCCTGATTAACGTATGGTATCGGTGTATTATGCTAGTTATTGATCAGAGTCAAGATGTTGAACGTCACCGCGGGGAACTGGGTGATCTCCGTCAGCACGGTGGCGTCGATGCCAAAACTGGAAAGCACGCCGCGAATGAGGCCACTGGGGAACCAGAGGTACGTTTCCGCCTTGGCAATGGTGTCCTGGATCCCCTTGGGCGAGTTCATGCCGCGGATCGTTTTGAACGAGTTGTCGACAAGCACAAATGTGCCCCGGTGATTGGTCCGCAAGTTGTCCATCTGCTTGCCGTAAACACACTTCCACACGTCGCGACAGATGAACTTCATGATGTCCAAAATATCGCCGATCTTGGTGGTGGTGTGGCTGATGTGGTTGTTCTTAAAGAGGAGCACCTCGGCGAGAGAGACGCCAATGTGGAACCCGTACTTCTCCACGCGGATGCTGACGTCGTCACTGCCCAAAAGCGGCAGGTCGTAGATGTCGACGGTGCCCGGGAGGTCGTGGGGCACCGCTGTCAGAAGCTCAGTCGAGGAAGTAGTAGGAGTGAACTCTCGGGGCTTCTCCTGGGTCTGAAGAGCATGCGACACTCGAATCAGCGTCGGCACCACCTCCTGCACGAGTAGCTGGAGCGCCACTGCCGCCACCTGGGGGTTTCCATCGAGAATGTCTCCCATGGACTAGTGATTGGCAGCTTCCTGGCTAGCAGTGCGAACCGCGCCTAATGTGGAGAGACCATCAATTAGCGACAACGAACACTTTTCCTAGAAGTTAATGGGTTTGGAGTGGCGATGAAGTTTTGCCATTGTGATGATGCCTGTATCTTTTTGATTTAATTTTTAATTACTTTCGGTTTAGAGCTTCTACTAGCCACTACAGTGTCGACTAGATGGTCTTTCAAGTGGTCTAGATCGTTTAGCACACCAAGCATGAGAGCTCAATTCTGTTTAGAGCGTGTTTATCCAAAACAAACAGTGAGGGCCAACCAATAACCGAGTGAACGGTGGTCGAGGAAGCCTTGGCAACCCTCATTTTCTCAGTCTTCAGACACCCCCGACACCTCACTCGAGCCCTTTCGCTCGTTGTCACCCCTCGCATTTTGAACTCCGTCAATTTTAAGATTTCGGCAGTGTCATGCCCACCAGGCATGATTGCCAACAGGAAAGCCTACCTTAAATCTCCCTCTATGTGTGTTCTACCACGTGTACGCTCTAGCCTATACTCCGTCCTCCTCTGTGGTTGTCGCGCCCGTTGGCGCCGGAGAAAAACCTCGGAAAAAAAAAAGCAACGCTTGCGCAGCCGTGAGGTCACACACAAATTGTCACCCGCCCCTTGAAGGCGGAGGATAGGCTTTAATTTCTCACAACCCCCGCCGACACCCCGGCCGACATACAGGGACCAAATCTTCACCACGTCTCTGTGACACGTCAACCGACTGCTTGTGTTACATCTCTCTCTCATCTTACATTTACACCCGGTCCACATGGCCGTCGCCCAATAATGCCTCACACCGTTGCTCCCCTCACCGGAGACGTCTTCCCCTCTAACGGCGACGCAGACGTGGCAGGCCACGCTTTGCCTCGCCCGCCCATACGCGTAGCGTGCACGTGTCGTTGGGCGGGGGGTTGACAAAAGAAAAAAACGCGCCCGTGAGCAGGTGGGACGCTACCATAACAATGCCGGCCCCCTACTCCGGGGGCACAGGCGTTTCGCCTCCCGCAGAAAAGACACCCCCCGCCACCCACGCGTCGGCATAAACGCGTGGACGGCGACGACGGTGTCTCACTCGCCGCGGGGGTCACCCGCCACCATCTTTCCTCTAATCACCCCAGCAAACGTCATCGTTCACATCTAGACCAATTGCCACCCCCCAAAAAATTAATTACTCGCCGGTAGCCAGCCGAATACTTTGCTTAGGTAAGCTGGTCGTGCACCGGTCGTGCGCTACCGAAAAACCTTTTTTGGGGGTCACAGGGCGCTCCCGCGTGCCACTTTCACNGCGTGCCACTTCCACTTAACCCCCAAAAAAAAAAAAAACTTGGTGCCCTCTTTTACCACAAGCGCCCCCCAACGTCCCGCCCTCCACCGCGTTCCCAGCCAGAAGCCCTCGCGTTTTCCGGCCGTTATCCACTAACAAGCGTTCCCCGTGGTGTCTGGAGGCCTTTGCTTAGGGCAATGTCCGAACCTCTCTTCCATCCAAGCTTCCTGTCGCTTGCCCTCCTGCTGGCGCCGTCGATGGGTCTATCCAACCAAATCCAGCTGTCGCTACCGCTGCAACCGCAGCAGGTCCACGGCAACTCGCAACCGGGCCCCGCCGCCCACCCTCAGGGCCATTCTCAGCCGCATGGCCAAACCCACTCCCAGGGGCCCCAGGGCCAGCAGTTTGCCCAGCAACTGACACAGGCCTACCCTCAAACCAACCAGCACCAGCTGCCGCTGTTCTTGGTGCTCACCAACTGCCCTCCCGACCTCACCCCGCGTGAAGCCACCATCATCTTCTCCCTCGTCATCGACGACATCTTGAGCATTGAAATATCCGACTACAAGGTCATTGCCGCGTTCAAACTGCCACTGACATGCATCACCACCGCCAAGCTTCTTGACGGCAAGTGCATTTTCGGCCAGGAGTACGCCCCCGTCAAGATCGAGTTGGACCAGAGCCAGGGGCTCAGTAATCAATTCCTGAACATGAGATTACTGTCACAGTTGCCGCTGTTACTGCTGCCACCGCTTATGACCCCATCACTGGGCACCGGCCTCGCAAAGTTGTCTCAGTCGCGCCTGCGCTTTGTGTTCAGTGACCCCTTCGCCCCCGCGAACGGCGCTCAGCCCGTTCAGCCGAACGGCCAGGCTCCCCCTCATATCGACTTAACCGAATTGCTGCAAAACCTGCTTATGCTGGCACTGGCAAACCCCACTACTCCCGCTGACCCTTGGGGGCCCCAGCTGCTGTTGCTGCTCAATAGCGCTCCCCGCACCCCCAGTGTCAACGCCCCGTTCGACTGGCTGTCACAAAACGGCCAGACGAACGGCCAAGTGCCTCCGCCCGATCGACGCCGCACGTCGCTGGCGTTCTTCACCAACACTCAGCAATTTGCTCAGGCTCCCGTGGCCCTGCAAGCGTCGCTTTCCTCTCTGCATACTTCGCATCCTTCCTCGCAACCGGCGCTGGCGCCCCTGGTGCCACTGACGCTGCTGGACCAGCAGACGTCGCTGCCTCACACCCTGCCCGTGGGTCCCACCCCTCAGCTGCTGAAGCCCTCGTCGTCCGCGCCCTCCAACCAGTCATCGCTGCAACTGCAACCGCAACCGCTGCTGAAGGATGTGCCTGACTTATCGCTCTTAGCCCGGGTCCCACCCCCGGCTAACCCGGCTGATCAGAACCCTCCTTGCAATACTCTTTACGTCGGTAACTTGCCCCCTGATGCCACCGAGGCTGAATTGCGTACGCTATTCATGCCGCAGAAGGGGTACAGAAGGCTTTCGTTCCGCACGAAGAACTCGCTGCTGAATAATGGCCTGGGCGGCCTGTCGCATAATCACGGGCCCATGTGTTTTGTTGAATTTGAGGATGTGGCCCACGCTACTCGTGCTTTAGCCGAGTTGTACGGAAGGGCCCTTCCTCGTCCCAATGGTGGCAACGGTAAGGGCGGTATCCGTCTTTCGTTCTCCAAGAACCCGTTGGGGGTACGCGGTCCGGGCAACCCCCGGCGCTCGCTGACTCAACAGCTTCTGGGACAACAACAATCGCTGCAGCAACAACAGCAATCGCAGCAACCTCAACAGCCCCAACCACTGCAGCAGCAGCAGGCGCAAGCGGCAGCGCCGCCGGCTGGTGGAGTTGGCAACTACGGCTACTCCAACTACCACGTCAAGTAACGTGCATCATCGCTCATTACGCATTTCATCCTACACTGTACCATTATCCCCTTCCTGGCGAGTCTGGGGAATCATTGACAATTTGTTTGTTTCTATTACGTTATTCATTACCCCCCCTTGTGGTTTGTAAGACTGTATTATTTAGGTTTAATTATTGACATTGGATAGGTCCTTTTGGTAGGCATATATAATACTTCCTCGTATGCCTCGGACTCTATCCAGTTTATAAATGCACAATGTATATCTTAAACTTCAATTATAAATGGCGACAATGACTTCAACATGTTTTTTGGTCGCTCTCAATGGTAAAATGAATGTATATAAAGTAAATTCCCACCGGTATAATGTGATGGCCAGTTTTGTCTTTTCACTTAAATGATGTGGAATAAATGACCAATTAATAGGACGACTTGGTCAGAGGCTTTTGTAAAAGCTCAGCAGGCTTAGCCCAAGTGCCAGCGATCCATTTGGACTCCAACACGTCAGCAATCCTAGCCCGTTTCACTGGATCAGGATTGAGTAAGCCTAAGATGTAGGGCCGCAGATCGTAATGGATCTCCTTAAATAATGAAAGGCCAGGATTTCCTGAAAACCGCTCGTATTTGTCATTTAACTTCGACAACACCTGCTTTACCAGTCCTGGCAGGCGTGGGTAGTTTTCGGCGTACTTAGAGTAGGCGTAATTGTCGACTTTAGCCTCGTCCCAAGGCACTTTCATCGATATCATTTGGATGTATATGATACCCAAACTCCAATAATCAAGCCGTTTCAATAATTCGGGGTCGTTCTTGATCCGCGGAATGAATGCTTCGAGGTCGAATTGATTGGACTCCACGTCAGCCTCCCATATAAAGAGCTCAGGGGCTTTGAACAGCGGCGTCCCCACAAACACGTCATTCAGGTGGTCGTGCATGTAAGGAAATTGTCCTTTAAGGTCAAGAGCATAGCCAAAGTCACTGATCTTGATAATGCCCAGATCATCAATGAGGAAGTTTTCCGGTTTAAGGTCGCGATGTACAATGCCTTGATCATGAAGATACTTAGTCCCCTTGAGCACCTGTTTAAATACCAGATCAAGTACATGAGGAGGGATCTGGTGCTGGAACCGTCGTACATCACACATGTAGCCCAAAAGATCGCCTTTGGCAAAGTATGGGAGCACAAGCACTTCGTCGTCCAGGTCGGTGAGCACAGCCCGATCCACCACCGTGATGACGTTGCGATTGCAACAATTGGCCATGATGTTGTATTCGCGGTCAAACAACCGGCGGTACTCGTCGTCGGTCTCTTGAGGCCGGTGTTTTACCCGTTTGAGAGTGAGCTTTTGCAGTTTGGCGGCATCGGTGCCACGGTAAATAATGCCGTTGGCTCCTTCATAGATCGGTTTCAGCAGCAGCTTAAAGTAGTCGACGTTGACCACTTTAGCCCGTGGCTCCCGCGACGATGGCTCCAGCGGTGTGGGCGTGTCCTCAGCCGGTGCCGCCGGCGATTCCTCCGGCACCCGGGGCGACGGCGACGGGGCACACATCGGGCCACACCCGAGAAAGATGTTCAGCATCGTCTTCACAGGCTCACGCACTCACAGGGGATCTGGTTTGCAACCGGGGAAACCAACACTAGTGCTGTAAAACGTGGATGGTGGTGAGGTGGGTATTAGTCAGGGTTAAGCAGCCAGGGTCTCCACGGTCAGCCGTCGCACTAAATCAGGAAAAACAATAGTTGGGATGAGGCGATTGTTGTTCCGAAGGAATACGATGGTGGGCAATATGGGGGCCCCATTGAGACTTCTGTGATACGTAGCCAACTTGGATTTTAATATGGGTGTTTAGACAGCACTTCCAGACAATGCTTTATTTCAGTTTCCACCCGAAATTACCAGTAGATCAGTATAGACTTGATAATTTGTGGGTGACTTAGAAAATGGCACCATCGGACAAAGACACTGACCAAGTTACCGAGCAAAATTTACCACCCAATTTTGAAAATCACCCCACTCAATTGTAATTGGCCCACAATCGCCGCCGCTCGAATGCTGTTCCCCACCGTTTAACCTGACACCATCTCGCATTACGAGGGGGAGTGCTGACGCCGCCCCGACTCGGAATTTTGCTCGCGCCACTCGAAGGGGAAACAAGTCAGGGCTACATAACCTACAGCGGTCAATGCTACCTTACTGTTAAACAAAGTAGAAGAGGTGGGGGACAACTGAACTGTCAAAAGAGACATGTAGAGGAAAAAAAAAAAAACTAAACGATAAGTATTACATAGGGCAGGTTTTCGTATAGTTGCTTGGTGTACGTCGCTAATAAGATCACATCGGCAATGCGCTTTCGTCAGTGTCGGCACACCACCAGTGTCTGGCCGACATCCAGCGACATTTGACATTCACCCGACACTACGTTTTTGTCTTAGCGGCTAAGCCCTACTGTCGTGGCTGATGCCAGTGGGCGTTACGACGTGGGTTTATGATGTGCTATCTGCGGGAAAGACACGGCGGTTTGACACACCCGTCGTTAGCGGGACGTAGGAACGTAAGCCCCCACCCAAACACTCGCTCCCCGCAACGACATGTAACAAAACCAACAATGCTTACCATCTTAAGTCACCGTCGTCGCAGCAGGCTTCTGGCAAGTTATTACATATACGACGTGGGGGGTCACTCGTGGCGGGAGCCCACTCGATTGTCGTCGAGATCCCTCGCGCTGCATGGCAGTTGGGGGCAGTTAGATAATTCCTATTGTCGGAGGTGTGCCCCACCGATGTCTAAGAAGGGGGCAATAACCATCGACATGGGGTACCGTTTGTGTTCCATGGGGTCGTCGTCGTAAACGCTTCGCGGAGCCTCGCTGAGACATTCGATGATGCCCCACACTCGGGATAGGCATCACAACAGTATTTCGCTTGACACTGACCCGTTCATCAGCCACCGCCTCATCATTCACCCGACCAAATGTCTGAGTGGAGATGCCGTGCCCCGTCTGACCCCACGACTCCTATTGGCAATTATCGTACCACTTATCTATTATCTGTCATTTGGGGGACTTCATGCTTGTGACAGCTGCCTGCAGCTCGAGGGACCGTTGGTGTCAGCTAACAGTAGGCACCCTAGTGATTAATGGCACATGCTTGAAACACGCGACATTTGGCCTTTAACCCCCTTTTTTGTGAACTATTGGTGCAGTGGTTCTCACCCTCACCGCTATATCCGACATCTCAAAACCTTATATCCTTATTCGGTCGCGAGACGGTCACGACCGGCGCGCTTAAGGGCATCTAACAACAACAAAACCGAATCCGTCACTGGGATCAGTCATCGGCTTATCGTCTCCTTTGAGGTGTTTATAGAAGATGTCCGTTACCTCCGGTGTCGCGGGGAATGTCGATCAGGGGCTGATTGGAAATTTGCCACGGCGTTGATGGCGATTGGAGGTAGGCGAGACCCCAAGACAATACCTGTCTGACCCCCTGGCGCTGCAGACAATTTTTTCCATTTAACGTCTGTCACAATTCCTCCCAAGTTGCTATTGCCAACATTGCTGTTCGAGTCTCGGCAGTGGCATTTACCGACTGGATTTAGGGCTTGAACCGCGCACGACTCAATTTCTTTGACCTGCCCTATGCCTGCACACAATTGGCCACTCCCTGCACATTAGCCCGTAGTCTACCTCGCCAGCGAGCACCACCACCAACCCTCGCCCACCCGATGCTTGCCCCCGTATTTCGTCGCGCCCCTCAATTCGCTTCCCACCGGTTGTTTCACACCTCGAGAATCGCAATGTCCACTACCCAAATCAACATCATCAAGGAAGGTGACGGTAAGACCTTCCCCAAGCCCGGTGACACCGTCACCATTCACTACACCGGTACCCTTGACAACGGCAAGAAGTTCGACTCGCTGAGAGACCGTGGCAAGCCCTTCCAATGTGTCATTGGTCAAGGCCAAGTCATCCAAGGCTGGGACAAGGGTATTCCCCAATTGTCCAAGGGCACTCAAGCTCAATTGACCATCCCCGGCCACGAAGCTTACGGCGCCAGAGGCTTCCCCCCCATCATCCCTCCTAACGCCACCTTGATCTTCGACGTCGAATTGTTGGATGTCAACTAAACTTAGCTAGACTCAATTGATGTTATCTGCTCAAATTAACCGTAGTCATTGGTCCTTAATTATGTCACGATCTGGAACTTCGCCTCAAAAGTCGGCTCTGTGATTCGTACGCTCCCATCTAACCGAATCAGGGAAAATGTTGTATTGACGCCAATGAACCCAATTATGTACCAACGGCCTTGTCTCCCCTCAATGGCCGTGGCTGGAGAGTCGATGAACGCTTAGCTGGTATCCTTCGACGGGATTCGCCCCTCCGGCCCCTCCGCGATGAACGATGACGTCATTAGTGTAAGACCAATCTGTCACATCCCGTATACGAAAAACTTCCCCCACACACACAATTCACATAATATAGCCGTCTACATTACACGACAACGTCTCGATAATATCGATTATCTATATCCGTTCCGGTCATAACTTACGGCACACCAAACAACGAGAAGTTTCTCACCACCGACGGCCCAATTTCGTCGTAGTCGGCCTTGGTGTAGCAGTAACGCTTGAACTCGGCGGTCGACGCCAAGAGCGACCCCCCATACCATACGGCAGTACGTTGCTTCTTGTGAGAGATCACTTGAACATCAATACCGGTACTGCGCACGCCAGTGGCAAGGTAGTTGAGTTCCATTCTGTCGTTGACGATGCCCTTGATGTCTCGTTGCAATCTACGGCCAAAGTCCTTGAACATCGTCGACCCCCCGGACAACACAATGTTCTTGTAAAGCTTTTTACGCACATCTATCGGCGACAGCTGAATGACTTGGTCCACCACCACGGGCAACGGCGTCAAGTAGTCCAGCGAACAAATTTCGGGGTTGAAAAAGATTTCCGGCGCCAAGAACCGTTCGTAACCAACGTCAACGGTCTTGTTCCGGTTGCGGTCAGCGTATTCAACGATGTATTGAGCAAACTTCTCTTGCGGGTAGTGGTCAAACTTGGCAAATTCCTTCACCATGTCGGGACACACATAACAGAACTCTTGCTTAATCTTTTCGGCAGTGGCCAACGAAGTATCGGCCTCACCACGGTCTCTCAACAATTGTTGGATGAACAAGGTGATGTCTCTCCCTGCCAAAGGAATGTTCTTGATGGCGGTGCCAATGACATAACCTTCGGCAACGGGGATAACGTGAGTGACACCGTCACCCAGATCGATAACGGTACCCGTCAACGACCGGTCCTGGACTTTCAGCGACGTCCACAGCGCCGCCAACGCCAACACCGCCTGCACGGCAATGTACAACCCGGCACAATTGAACGACTCAAACATGATTTCTGCCGTTGCTTCACGGTTTTCCGGAGGGTTAAGCGGAGGTTCAGTCAACAAAAAGTAGTGGTCCTCAGGTTCACACCGCAAGTACTTGAAAATGGAGTTTTCCCAGAAACGTTCCATGTGGTCCCAGTCCTCAATCTGACCGTGCTTGATCGGGTAGCTCAACGAGTAGTTGGGGCCCTGGGCGGCGTCGATCGCCTCGTCGCCAATGTAGAAATCGAGGTCCTCCAATTTCCGCAGTGACGTCGACGTGGCAATAGCGGTGGGGAACACCCACGAGGGAGAGTCATTTCCTGCAAAACCGAGCTTGGTAAGCCCGGTCCCGTTGTCCATCACCACCGCTGGGGTGCTCGAGAACGACATGGTAGTGGTGGAAGGCTGGGTGAGTTTGGTGCGTGTAAAAGTGTGCAGGTGCTCAAATCGGCGGCCCGGCGAGCGAAAGCAACAATTGGTTATTAACGCCGATATTGATTTGAAAAATTGAAGTAGTTTGTAAATAGTCAATCCAATACATTAAAGGTTACCGGAGATCTAGTTTGTGCTATATCGATTGGTCACCAGCAAACTATAAGTCCATATTCCTCGAAAATAGGGGCGAGAGATAATCGCGCCGCCAGGTTGTTGGTGAGACTAGCCAACACATACACTAATACGATATAATTTTTACTAGATGTAACTGCGTTTTTTACTCTTTGAGTAGGTTCCGTAACGTTTGATTACGCAAGAAGTGGTCCTTCTTTTATCCGTCGTCGCCAACCAAATTCTACTCACACTCTGTAGAATTCTAGACAAGGGTCCCAAATTTAACCGGCTTGAATTCTATCAATGCACGTAGAGCGTTTTTGAATTATATCAATGATATTGAATATCTTTGTAGAGCCGAAAGAGATGATTCCGATTGCAATGGGGTAGATTTACCGAAATGAATCCTGAATGTTAAGAAGGCGGTTAATTGTTAGTTTACCCATCAAGCCACGGAACCAAGTGAGTTTGACAAGCTGAACTTTTTCACTATCACTATGTTATAGGTGCAGTACAATCGATTTGTACAACGGGTACAAATAGTTACGACCAACTTCAGCATAAAAATTTGCATCTAATTGATTATGTATTCTCTTCAGTACTCATCCTTACCACTAATGATCACGTCGTTGATCTTCAAGATCATCCGGGTCAATTGGGTCGCCAACAACAATTGTTGCTTCTTCCCAATCAACGGGTCGATGACAAACAACTCCTTCATGTCGTTGGTGCCCTTACTCAAACAGTCGACACCCAAGTTTGACAGCTTTTCCAACACTTGCTTAGCTTTAAGCAGCGCCAAGGTGTTGATGGGGTCCAAACCCGAGTTTTCCGCTAAGGTCATCGGGATGGTGTCCAACGCCTGAGAGAATGCTCGGAACGCGTATTGGTCAATACCCCGTTGCTGATCAGCAGCATCAGCCACAGCAATCAGACAAGCAAGTTCGGCAGCACCCCCACCGTACACCACTCTCGAGTCCCGGATAAGGTTACGCACGACACACAAGGAGTCGTGCAAGGCTCTTTGAGCTTCGTCAACGATCATCTGGTTGGAACCACGGAGGAAACAGGTGACAGCTCGAGTGTTGGAGCAGTCTTCCACACACAACATCCGGTCACGTGTGGTACCAAACTCAAGCTCTCTGATCACACCAGCGTGACCCAACTTTTCCGCCGACAAGTCCTCGAAACGAGGGACGATACGGCCGTTGGTGGCAATGGCCAATTGTTCAAGCTCGCTACCGCCAATCCACCGGATGGCGTTGAGGCCGTTAGCGTACAACAAGTGGTTAGCTTCGTCATCGAACCCCCATTGACAGGCGACAACGTTGGCCCCGGCGGCCTTGACTTGGTCGATCATTTCCTGAAATTTTTTCTGTTCGTACTCTTGTAAAGCCTTGAATTCTTCCACCGAGCTGATATCAAGCTTATGCTTAGTCTTAGGCTTAGGCGGTTCAAAAGGACAGGTCAATATAGCGATCTTAGCGTCTTCGACCACCTTCTTCATTTGCGGGTGAGACCAGTCTTTCTCTAAAAGAACCCCCTTGACAAGTCTCAGGTCTTCAATCGAGCCACCAACCTTCTTTTCAATCTTGATCAACTCAAAGTCAACGTCTTTCCGTTCAAAGTTGGCCACAGCTAACACCGCGTCCACCGCCATTTTGGCAAATTGGTCGTGCAGTTTCAGCACAATCTTGGAACCCAACGAAGTCTTGGCCAGTTTCAACAAGTTGCCATCGTTCAGCGATGCCGAAATGTCAATAGCGTCGGAGACAGCGTCCAATTGCTTCACGGCAATCTTGCACGCTTCGTCGAAACCGTTGGCGATCTTGATTTGGTGGATACCTTGTTCAATAAGGTCGAGGGCTTGGTCTAACAATGCCAGGGCAAGCACCACCACCCCGGTGGTCCCGTCACCGATCTCGTCGTCTTGCGATTGCGAGAGTTCCACCATCAACTTGGCAATTTCGTTGTCGAGGTCCATCTGGGAAAGAATGGTGGCACCGTCGTTGGTGATGGTGATTTCTCCGTCCTGACTGACCATAATTTTGTCCATCCCCCGAGGGCCAAGCGACGTCTTGATGATCGACGCGACCGAGCGGGCGGCGAGGATGTGGGACTTGGTGGCCTCAATGCCCAGCTTGCGCTGCTTGGTGCCTTGATCTCGCACAATGATGAAAGGACGGCCCATCTCGTCCTGAGCAACAATGGCGTTGCTCAAGTCGGGCATGGGCATCAGCTGGGGAGGAGGGGCAGCCATACTTGGGTAGTGGATCTGAAAATTGGGATGATGTGCGCACCAAAGCCAGGGTGAGGGGAGGAGAGAAAGGGCCGAGATTAATGAGATTTACGCGGTGACAATAACGATTAAATCGAAGTTACATTGTGGAAGTTGAAAGTGGTCGAGCTTAGTTATTTGGTTCCGTGGCTTCCGGTGTAGTCATTACCATAGATGTGAGTACACAAATTACCTAAATTTGTTAGTGCGATGGTGCCACCACAAGAACTTCCATGATAAAGACCGCTAACTATTCACACTTGTAAACTCGATGAAGCTGTGATAACGTCGTTGTTTGCGGTCTTTACAAAGTTCTGGAAGTCTATATGAATCAACGTGACTTATGTTGATCGAGAAGGTGCACCCTCAAGCATCATAAGACTATAGTATAGAGAGAGTAGCCCAAGACACTCAGATCAGCCCGTATCTCAAAACAGATCTCTCCCAAATAGGGAAGATCCGAAGGGCCAAGCCGTGTTCGTAAGTCCGTTCCACCGTCCGATGTCGGAGTGCATAAAAATTTTATAGCCACCTCATCTTGCGAGCCTAGTTATCGCACCTCATCTCCATGTCTGAAGTCGACGTTGACCAGGCCCTGTTGGCCCAGTTGAAGGAAATCCTTTGCAACCCCGAGTCCCAGCTTGCTAACCGGTTCCGGGCGTTGTTCAACTTGAAGAACATCGGCGCTGAAGGCGGTAACGATGCCACCACCGCCATCGACTACATCGCCGAAGCGTTCAAGGACGACTCTGAGCTTTTGAAGCACGAAGTCGCCTACGTCCTCGGCCAAATCAAGAACGACTACGCCGCCCCTCATCTCCAAAACGTCCTCAAGGACGAATCGCAACAGTGTATGGTGAGACACGAAGCAGCTGAAGCTTTGGGTGCCATCGGTCACCAAGGCTCGCTCCCGTTGTTGAAGGAATACTACGAAAACGACCCTCTCGAAGAGATCAGACAAACCTGTGAGTTGGCCATCGAAAGAATCAACTGGGAAAACCTGGAGAAGGCTAAGACCGAACAATTGGAACAGCTGGCGTACACCTCGATCGACCCTGCTCCTCCCATGGAACTCACTAAGGAACTGAAGGTGCCCAAGTTGCAAGATATCTTGAACGACCAACTGAAGCCGTTGTTTGAGCGTTATCGGGCCATGTTCAGATTGCGCGACCTCAACACCGATGAGGCGGCGCTTGCCTTGGCTACTGGCTTCGACGACTCGCTGGCGTTGTTCAAGCACGAAATCGCCTACGTCTTCGGGCAAATGTGCAACCCGGTAACGGTGCCGTCGTTGGTCAAGGTCCTTTCTGACGACACTGAGGCGCCCATGGTGAGACACGAAGCCGCCGAAGCTCTCGGGTCGATTGCCACCGACGACGTGTTGCCGATCTTGCAAAAGTTTGCTCAAGATAAGGAGCAGGTGGTGAGAGAGTCGGCGATCGTGGCGTTGGACATGTACGAATACGAAAACTCGGGCGAACTCGAGTACGCGGTTAAGGCTTAGACTGGTTTCTGGTAATACACGGTAAATAATGAGTTATAATAACTTTTAATACATTAGGTTTTGTAGTAATGCGAAATATTGTGTCTATTATTCATAACCGGTATGCTCTTCTACCCCCTCCTCTCCAGCTGATGACGTTCACCAAAACGCCATTCCAATTGATATCATCATCACCACCGCCTCAGTTATTGGTCCGGAAGCGGTACCCACACAGAGTACAGGTGTAAAACACCGTGGCCCCTTCATCTGCCGATCTAAGCTGTAACGTGTGGTATTGCATTTCCTCGTTGCCACATTTGGGACACTTCTCCTTGATGGTAGCCCCTTCGTCCATCTCGTCCTTGTTCAACGTGGTCTTCACCGCCAGCCGGTTCATCTTGATTCTGGAGGGGAAGGCATCGTCGCTCAGCGATGTCACCACCTTCAAGTCGGAGAATTTCTTCTTGGGGTAAGTGGCGGTGCACAACCCACAACGAATGTCGGAATCACCCTCGGTTTGGGCGTCCAATAGGTTACCACAGTGTGTGCAAAAGATAAGCGACCCCACCACCAGCATAGTTAGTCAAAGTTCGCGATGAGCATCTTTTGTCGAACTTCACCGCCCGTTCGCACTCGCACTGTGCCGGCAGTGACAGCTTCCGCACACCACTTCCGACAGCTTCAGCATCTGCCCTGGCGTTGCTTTTTTTCTCTCCTGCACCCTGAATTAAAACGAAAACGGGTCCTGAGGCGAGATGTAGAACCCGCACGCCGGGGCTCCACGCGACTCTTTTACGCGCCTCACACTCAACTTCGAGCGACACATGGACAATCTACGAAGCTCCCCCGTCAGTGACGACGGGAGCAGCGAATCCGACTCGTCGTCGCTCTTCCCGCAGTTCCCAAGACGGGTGAAAGTGTACCTCCTCCAAGGGGAAGACTGGATCGATAACGGCACCGGGTACTGTGTTGGGAAGATTGACCACGAGCATCAGCTGGCATACTTTTTGGTGAGAAACGAGCATGACCACGATAAGATCATCCTCAAAAGCTACTTGAATGGCAACATTCACTACCAGCGGCAACAGGAAACCCTCATTGTGTGGACAGACCTGCTGGGCAAGGACCTCGCGCTTCTGTTCCAAGAAACCGAGGGCTGCGCCGACCTTTGCGACTTTATCGTCAAAGTCCAACGTGAAAGCATTAGCCCTGGTATTCTGCTACACTATGTCGTGCTGCTGTTAGGCGAGGGCGACGATATCACCGAGCTCATTACTGGTCCCATATCGTACCCTCCCAAACCCGAGTATGACAATTTGAAAGAGGTTGCATCAGCATTGGACGTTGGGGCCAAACATCTGTTTACGCGTCAACGCATCGCGTCTCAGTGGATCTCGCTCGACTACTTTGCTGCCCTTATCCCGTTGTTGACCGAGGCGGAGCAAAATCAGGATAACGAAGCTTTGTGGACAATGGGAGATATTGTTCGCCTGCTAGTGGGTTATCAAGAGCCTCTGGTGATCGACGATTTCATAGATTCCCCAGAAAAGACTGCTTTGGTGGCCGGCGTTCTTGAATACGATCGCGAATGTCCAAATATTAAAGCTGAACACCGTTACAATATTGACATCAGTCGAATGATAGAGGTGGTGCCAGTTGACAAGATCGAGATCTTCCAGAGAGATTTCAGGTTACAATATTTGAAAAACCTGGTGTGGGCCAAGTATGGCGACGAACTGGCCAACAGTATGCTACTGACAATGATCTTCACCAACCAGATGGAGATTATTAGTCATTTCATCGAACTGGATCTACTCGAGCGATTATTCAGCTTGTACAATGAACTGGTGCCTTGCAAAAGTAATGGGACTGATCACAAACCCCCTGCATTGCCCGTGGATCCCGAACTGCAAGACACTACACCACCCAAAACGCCTGATGCATTGACAGACATAGATATCTCAAATCACTCAGAACCCAAGGATGGTTCTATGAACGGCAAGTGCTTTCACGAAGAGTTGTCCTCCTCGGTGGGTTTGAAGCGGAATGGCATCCGCATGCTTCATCAATATATCCTTATGGCTAAACATCTTCAGCTGTATCAGAAGGTCGAGTTTTTCACTGCCACTATTAAACATGGTCTATTTAAAATGGTTTATTTTGCTCTTGGTGACAGTGATCCTGCTATTCGAGCACTCGGCATTGAGCTTACCACGGTAATGATCGAACAGGATATGCTGATGGTGCACATTATGACCAACTTGGTGAGAGCCAACGGTGAATTGGCGCCACTTTACAATATTTTGGTGAACTTGCTTGTGGACGACCTGACCACCGGGCTTAAAAGTCAGGCGTACGAAGCTATCAAGGTACTTGTTGATCCTGCCGCCAACGACGTTGATTATGGCAATGCTGAAGACGACTTCAAGGATTACTTGGCTGACTTCTATAGTGAGCTGGCGCCGGCGCTATTCGCTCATTTGACGACTTCTTCTGACCCCTGTTTGTTGCAAAATTTGTGTGAGTTGACCAGCTTTTGCTTCAAAGATCATGCCAAAATATATCCCCCGCTGAGGCGATTTTTCTATGATGATAAAGTGTTACTTGCGGTTGCCAAAGTGATCGAGAGAAGCAAACTGGTAATCACGCGTCTTGCAGCTCTTCGTTGTCTCAAATATGTCATCAGTTTGTGTGACAACGACTGCGCTGATCATTTGATTGAACACAATGTGTGCAGGCCAATTTTCTCGTGGTTCAAGGAGATCATAGACGGTAACGGGCTTGCCACTCTGTCGATGTTATCTTTCATCGATGTCATATTTAATAGTGTTCATGAACCACTGGGAGCAACGAAAAAGATAGCTGACCACTTTGCGGCAAACTTCCACGACATACTTGAGGATTGTGAGCCAGGACAGAGGCTTTTGGCGGCATTGAAGCCTGAAGCTATGGATGAAGTGGCGTCTACTATCGATGATGCCTGGAACGGTAACAGTCATGCTGATCTCAAGCGGAAGTTGAACGATGACGAAGTTATACCCGTGGCAAAAAAGATTGCCCTATAATGATTAATGTATTAACGACCTAGACTCATACGTTATTGCAATAATTGTAGTATTTTCTTTGCATTTTTCATTACTATCCTCATACACTGACCATACAAAATTTCCCACTCTACAACTTGGGTTTGGCGGCACTTTCGAATAAGTTACCTTCAGCGTACAACTCGTCGAACAAGTCGCGGAAGTGCTTCAACGCAACCGCACGCTTCAACTTGATAGTGGGAGTCAACAAATCACCACCGGGGGTACCCAAGGGGTCGATGGCAATTCTGACATTCTTGAGCTTCTCGTAACTTTGCAACTTATCGCCAACATTACCGTTCAAGTAGTTAAGAAGCTTTTTCTTGTTTTCAGGCTTGTTGGCGTAGGTCAAAGCCTCAGCGTGAGTGGGGAACTTAGTACCGTATAACTTGGAGAAGAATTCGGGAGCCACTGCATCCTCAATGCCAAGCACACCAACGAGGTAGTTTTGCAAACCATCACCGTGGACGTAGATTTGACCCAAAGCAGGGTTGGTAGCCATGTACAAGTTCTCACAACGTTCAGGAGTAACGTATTCACCTTGCGACAACTTAAGGTAGTTCTTCACTCTGTCAATTACGTGGATCCGGTTGAAGTTCTTGGCGTCAATACGAGCCACATCACCGGTGTAGAACCAGCCGTCCTTGTCGAGGGCCTTCTCGGTCTCTTCAGGGTTCTTGTAGTATTCAGTGAAAATTTGCGGGCCCCGTAATAACAATTCACCTCGGGGACCACCTTCGTCGTTGGCAGTGTAACCCATTTCTGGGATTTCACGGAGACGCATCTCAGTGGTAACAGCAATCAGACCACACGAACCGGGGTTGATGTCGTATTTGGGAGTCAGCATGACCCCAGCGAACGATTCGGTCAACCCGTAACCTTGCGACATACCGACATTGACGGCCGCCTTCATAAACTTGATAGTTTCAGGAGCGATGGGAGCAGACCCAGTGGTGAAAGCGACTAAACGATCCATACCAATCTTCTTACGCAAAAGACCGAGTAAACGGTCGTAAAGAATGTGGTTACCAGGGTCACCTTCTTCTCTCAGCTGCAATTCCATCTTCTTGTTGATTGCCCGAGTGAACAACGACTTAAGAATGGGCTTTTCTTCGTTGTTAACAGTTTGCTGCTTGATACCCGCTTCAAGCTTCGAGTACACTCTAGGGACAAGAGCAAGCATGTGGGGACGAAGCAATTGGACATCTTCCAATAATGTAAGCGGCAGCGCCGAGGGCGGGAACCCGATACGAGCACCCTTGAACAACGCAAACTGACAAGTCATCCGCTCGTAGATATGAGCCAACGGCAAGAACAGGTAGGCGGTAGGGTTGTCAATGTTCTCCGCTTGAGTTGCGCAGAAAGTCACTGCCGCCACCGCTTGACGGTTCATCAACACCACCCCCTTAGGGTTAGCACCGGTGGTACCAGAGGTGAACGAGATGGTGTACACGGTGTTAGGCGACGGCGGCACCACAGGCAACGGGTTGATTTCACCATAGCGTTCCACTTGGTGAATATCGTAGGCCATGATGTTGGCAGCCTTAGCCGCTTCCACCAAGCTGTTGTCATTGTCGTTGAACGCATCCATCAGGATCACCGCGATGACATTAGAGAGCTCTTCAGGGAACCGTTCCTTCAACTTGATCAAATTCGCAATCTTCTCCTTAGAACAGATAAGGATGGGCGATTGAGTGAGTTCCAAAATGTACTTCAGCGTTTCCGGCCCCAACGAGTCGTAAAGGGCAGTGGAGCACAACGAGTAGGCGACACAGGCGCAGTCAGAAAGCACCCATTCGGCCCGGTTGTGCGAGTATAACGTCACCACAAACGGCAGGGCGTCGACGGGCGATTGTCCAGCGGCAGTTTCGGGACGAGTAGAGGTGTACACGCACTTTTGGTGGACTTCAGAGTCGGTGCGGAACGGGTTGTTTTCAAGAACGAAGAAGATCCCCGCCCCCAAGTTGAGACGACGGCGATAGACGTCTTCGTACAGGATCCATTGGTAGTCGCCGTAAGAGCCATCGGGATTGGTGATACGGGTACCGAACGCCTCCTGCTTCTGGTAAATCTTAGCCAGGTGTTCGAACAAGTCGTAAAGCGTGGTTAATTGCGGGTGGATACACAGCACCACTTTGTCTGGGGAAGCCTGGTTGCGATAGATTGCCGAAAACCCCGGCTGCTCAGAGCCCGGCAACGGCACTGACTTCAGCACCGTCTTTTCATCGAGGGGTAACTTCGTACGGAGATACTTATCGAGCTGGATGGCGTCGTCCTTAACTAAAGGCACTGCCGCGGAGTAAGCCATGATTGAACTTTAGCGCACGGGGCGCGCCCGCCGGGTTTTTAAACGAGTCGATCCCCAGCACATGGTCTGCGTGCATGGGGTTCAACTTTAGACCGAGGTTTCGGAGAGGGGGGAGCGCGCAATGACAACGCCGCCGCAGTCGTGACGGCGCGTTTTTCGCACGGAGACGGTGCTACTGCCGTGACGCATTTGTGGCGGGATCCCCAGGAGCAAATTGCATGTGAGAAAGTGTGGGGTAATTGTGGAGGAGGATCTCGAACTTTGTTCATGGGCCAACGTTTGTGGTGTGGGGTCCAACTAAGCGAGTGTGGGGAGTACGGGAGATAACATTGTCTAGGGCGTGTGGTTAGTCTGCGATGACCCAGACACTAAAGCCGTTGATCAGCAGCTGATAGTGCGAGTTTGTCTCGAGAAGGTGGGGTTATGGGGAGGGCTTCCCTATTAGGAAAGGGGCGATCTAGGCCTGGGCTTTCTCGGCGTCGGACAATCCCCGAGCCACCGACACCGAAGTCGTCAAAATATTAGCTGAAATTCATTTAGGTCGGTGCACCCACCCTCATCGAGCTCGCAAAAACCAGGTTACTTAAGTTACCGTGAACATATTTAATCATCACTGAATAGCCTTTTTCATTCCTTTACCCTTAATTCTGTATTGGTTTTCAAGTGACAAATACACTCACGCCTTAGAGTTTCTCAATTGTTCGTATGCACTTTCAGCAGCAGAATGTGCGGATTGGAAAATTCAATATCGGCTGAAAAATCAGGTAACGATTGTGGGAAGGTGGATGTTAAGCAGGTAGTCGGAGGCTCAAACACGAAGGATTGAACCTCGACTTAACCTCTAGTATTGCATTAGCCAATTGCACTTCAGCTTTAGGCGTCAACACTTGCTTGAATGATTTTTTTTTATCTATAAGTATGCATTAATATCTACCTGTAAAAAACGATTGTAGAAGACACCAAGAGCCGACTACCGCCATGAAAAAAAAAAAAAAAAAAAAAAAAAAAAAAAAAAAAAAAAAAAAAAAAAAAAAAAAAAAAAAAAAAAAAAAAAAAAAAAAAAAAAAAAAAAAAAAAAAAAAAAAAAAAAAAAAAAAAAAAAAAAAAAAAAAAAAAAAAAAAAAAAAAAAAAAAAAAAAAAAAAAAAAAAAAAAAAAAAAAAAAAAAAAAAAAAAAAAAAAAAAAAAAAAAAAAAAAAAAAAAAAAAAAAAAAAAAAAAAAAAAAAAAAAAAAAAAAAAAAAAAAAAAAAAAAAAAAAAAAAAAAAAAAAAAAAAAAAAAAAAAAAAAAAAAAAAAAAAAAAAAAAAAAAAAAAAAAAAAAAAAAAAAAAAAAAAAAAAAAAAAAAAAAAAAAAAAAAAAAAAAAAAAAAAAAAAAAAAAAAAAAAAAAAAAAAAAAAAAAAAAAAAAAAAAAAAAAAAAAAAAAAAAAAAAAAAAAAAAAAAAAAAAAAAAAAAAAAAAAAAAAAAAAAAAAAAAAAAAAAAAAAAAAAAAAAAAAAAAAAAAAAAAAAAAAAAAAAAAAAAAAAAAAAAAAAAAAAAAAAACAGATAAGATATCCGCGAGTTGAGGAAGCGAGAGAATAATAACTGAAGTAGGGTGCTCAAGCAAAAGGGGGAATGTGGCCCGTAGCCACAGGGTATCGAACCCTGATCTCTCTTTTTGGGATTATGTTAGCCAATTACCCCATAGCCATGGGTGATTCGAGCCAATCACTTGAGAGACGCCTTGATTGAAAACAAAAACACATAAAGTTGGGTCAGAAACCACTGCTCGTTAGATGGTGGTGGTAAGTGTATACCCTGCCCCTTGCCTGTCTCAATGTAACGCTGGTGTTGTTCAATCCACGTTTTTTTTTTATTCACTCCACGAACTAAACAGTCGCGTATAAAATACGACGACCAGCAAGTCGTGAGAATCATATTTGGGTCAGTAAGTTATCTCAACTTCTCTTTAAAGTACAACGAAATACTTCTGATGGTTTGATTTGACAAGAACACGGAAATGTTGCGCATGATATCCATATTGTCATTGTCTGATTATTCTCCTAACTTAACAAAAATCGAAAATAGCGTCGTGGCGCAGTGGTAGCGCGTTGGGCTCATAACCCAAAGGTCCTTGGATCGAAACCAAGCGACGCTACTTATTTTTTGAGTTTTATCTCCCTTGGACCGTCTTAGCGTCGTTCCCCGCCCTTGCCATCAAAATTAATTCATTTTTCTTTTCACATCGAATATGCATTTGCTTACTGAGCTAACATTATTATCTAAACAGGTTTTGAAGTTCTCTCTTTTGCTGATCTACCCCAAATGAGGGCCCAAGGTTAAGCCTTGGCTGCAAACAAAGATCGCGACGCGCGAACTTTGAAAACACGTCACATACTCATGGTAAGTGAGACTCCTCACTACGAGCTTGGTCCCTCGGTCACATCAAGAGAGGCTTTGTTTGCCACTCAAAGAGACATTCTACCTTCAAGATACTAACCTCAGGCTCTTCAAACTCGCAAGCAACGGGAGGCCAACGCCCAGTTTGAAAAGAAGGTTACCAAAAGTTGGGGCAAGAAGAGGGCCGCTGCCAACAAGACTGAGTTCCCTTTGTCCAAGCCGTGGATTATTGTGTTGGTGTTTTTGGTGTGTGGCGGGGCCATTCTCGAACTCATCCGCATGTTCTTTTAAATTGACACTAGTATATATATGATTTGTATTGAATTTCATAGACGTCATTGAATAGGAGCTAAGCACTCAACCAGATCAGGGTCGATAACAACATCGCCAAGAACATCGACCTCATCACTTTCCAGCGCAGCTGGCTTTGTTGGACTCAACCCAAAAGGTTTGACGATCGTCACCTCTGTTGATCCCCAAATGGGAGCCGCCTCGTCGAATGTGGCAAAAGCAACGTTGTCGTTATTAACAAGGTTCAAAAAGGCAAAGCACGTATTAATTTCTGCTTGGGCGATGGCGTCACTCGAGGTCACCTTCGACTTGACAGTAGTGTCGACAGTCTCTGGAGATTGGTCAAATACCACGCGGTCGTAATCTTGCCAATTCTCTGGTAAAGTTAGAGGGATGTCGTACTGGTAGGAGTGACTGCCATCGATTGAAGTCACGATTTTAAGTGCCCCCAGTTTGGTCAAAATTCCAAGTTTATGCTGTTTGGGTAAGGTGATAATGCGTTGAGCTTCCTCCAGAGGGAAAAGCCAAGCATCGACAAATTGGGGCTGGCCCAGTTTATTTGAGCGAACGGGGAGGTTATTGGTTTGACCCCAGAAATAGTTGATATTGAACCAGTGGACGGTTCCCAGCCCTTCCAGCACCAGTCCAAATCCACAATTGACACCACCCAGCTCAGTTTGAGTCATGTACCAAGTGAGGTCGTGGACAACTGCTTTGGTTTTTCCTCTAGTAAACTTGCCCACGAGAGATATTTCTAATGGAAGGCGGTATAAGTCCCACATGTAATAAGTGTCGCCACGGTGGGAAACTTGAATCAACTGAAGGTCGTATGGCAGAAGCAGTACCGCCAGTATCCCACCAGGGGGGCGGAATGCTGCTTTAGTGGCATTGGTGCCTAAATGAATCACTTTGATTAATTGGTTATCCTGAGGCTTGCGAGCATCGGCAGTCTTTTGAATTGACAGAGCCGTTTGCAGAGCCGTGCTGTACAATAGGTTACCGATCAGCTTTGAAATCAGCAGGGCTCGATAGTCAGCGCCTTCGTTGACCAAATGCTTTATTCGCTTCAGCAGCGCCCGCAGAAGAGCAATTAAGCCGTCCAAAGCCAGTTTGGAAAACAGCAGTAGCACTCGAGCAAGTAGCGGACCTCGCGGAGGCATCTTCACAGGAGTTAAATTTCGTGACATGTACCCCAGGCGAGCCTCGCCTTTCAATCGTAGATGCTCCGCTCTCACTGGCGAATAGACCAACCAGTCGCCCTGAACGTCAAAGATAGGCGTCCCCAGCTTATCTAATGATGTGTAGTATTTGGTATCTTGGGGGTTCAATGAGTCGTCAAATATGTGGAGTTGGCCATACTCGTCGCCTGCAACGATCCAGCCACTACCACGGCGGATATGAACAATATGAGCCCCCACATCGATGGTCGCCACCACGTCGGTGGTGTCCAGGTCAATGTAAACGGTGTGGAGCTCGAGGTAGTTGTCACGAGCAATTGCGAGGTTCAGATTAGACATCACCCGCATACACTCGATGGTACCTTTGGCTTTACCGCCAATCTTTGACCTAGTGGCAAGACAGAGGTCGTCCAGAGTCAGGTCCCAATCCCACACCTCAACCACATTCACTTGGGGGTGAACGATAAAGATCTCACCGCTGGGATCATAATCAATCAAAGGCAATTGGACGCTGTCTTCGTTGCCATCAGCCTCGTCGGTAACACCGTTGGTGACCAGCTTGATTTTGGTCCACGTAGCAGCGGCGGTTCCGAGCTGCTGTCCCCGCTTAGGGGATAATGGTCTGCTGTTAGTACACGTCGTTCTAGCCACAACACGGTCAATTGAGCGAACACTTACATTTTGGAAAGCCTCACTTCGTTGGTGGCGGTCATTAGCAATCACGACCCCACTTACTTTGGTATGATCGGGTGTCGCTATCTGTTTAGGCAATATGGGGTCACGTGGGGGGTCTCGAACCTCCTGCGCCAAAAGCGTCAATTGGCGTCAACTGCTGCCGCGGTCAATGAATGACCCGCGTGATGGCTGAGGGGATGGTGGAATACCTTTCACAATTTGCTTGAGTTCGCCTACATTACTACGTAGGCGTTGTATAGCCACACTTTTCGATAGGATTACGTTCGAGTTTCTTTGACGATGTTATCGTCCCGTGCCTGCGGGGCCCCGGAGCTATGAAGCGACTAGGTCCGCACGGGCTCAAACCGTATAGTTCGTGGTTATCAATGATCTCCTTGGCAACTCTAGGGAGTGCTGCGGTTTTCCCTTATCAGTTTCGGCGGGGTTCGCCCAAATTCCCGGAGTACTTGCTGTGACTCATGCCCCCTAATGGGGCAATTTGTAGGGTGATGTATGCCGAAATGAACACTTGGTCTCTCGCAAACAGATTTCCGAAATGCACCAGCAATCCCTAATGATAAACACTTACATCTTGATGATATCGCATATGTATTAAAAACGCCTAGGAAACGAAAATCGAAAGATCGTAATAAAAGTCATCGCCCCCTCCTACCGTAGCCTCACCCATTTCCTCCAACATGTCCACCGCCAAGTTCCAGTCATCATTCAGATCCATCACCACAAAGTCACCGTCTTCATCCTTGTACTTGAGCTTGTTCACCAAAATGTCGTCGTTGATTTGATCCAGATTAACGATCATTCCCGAAATCTTCAGGTATAACTCGTTAAATTGAATGTCAGGCAGAACCACGAGGGGCTCGGAAATCTCGATTTTGTTGTAGATTAACTTGATTCTGATTCCCTCCGGTTGTGTCAGTGTGATGGTGCCATTAGCCAGCAGTCTCAGAGTGCGGGTCTGTCTCATCATCAGAAACGTCAGCAGCAGCAGCTGGTGACGGTTGTTGAAATACAGCAGCCCGTTCGACAGACGTAACAGTATCAGGTCTGTCAGAGGAGTTGTGCAATACGCCGCAGCCACATCGTACAACAGATCATTAGTCACTTGTGAGCCTTGCAGGTCGCGTAAACGACGTTGAATGTGATAGTTCATCTCTGAGGTCTTCAAGTTTCTCAAACACAGTTCCCATTGATTCCGGAACTCTTCTGTACGGTATCTCAACGTGAAGCTGCCCAGCTCCTTCTTACCCAGCCACGAGATCACTAACGTGTACCCAGTTGGAGTGTTTGACAGAGAAATGTTGTAAACTTCAGAAATGTAAACTCTGCCCTTAAGCACAAGCGGAGTTTTGTCGCTCGTCGTTTCCAACAAGTTCACCAGTGACAGCAGCGACGTGCTCTTCTTTCGGTTACCCAACAAGTTCTTCTTCTTTTCTTTATCGGGTCGAGCATCGACCTCAGTAAAGAAGAAAATGATTTTTTCGAATAAATAGGCAACGTACTCCTTTTCATTTTCAACATCCCTCACACCAACAACCCCATGGTAGAGAAGTTCGCCTTGATCCTTTAAGTTGAAACCTTTCCAATCTTGAACACGAGCGACAAGCTTTTGGAGGTATTCGACGTTCTCCGCGCGTCTTTGAGCTTCATTGACATCATTAGCAAGCTCTTTCATCGCCGTTAATGCCAATTTAAGCTCATTTGAAAGCGGTTCGTCGGGTCCAGCCTTGATGAGCTCTTTCAAAAGTAAAGGATACTTGCACAACCGTTGAATTGGCTTGAGTAAGAACAGCTGCAACTCAAACCCGGGGTCCAATAATTGCAGCAGCTTTCTCAAGTTACCCGCCTCTTTATTAATCAATTCAATAGCAGCCAATTGGCCAATAGTCCACGGTTCGTACAGCTTGAATGGACCCAGAGCTGCATGAATAAACACCAGACCAATGCGTTGGTATTTGTCAGGGACATTGATGTTACATTCAAGACCCATTAAAAACCGCCGTTGAAAGTCAATGATCTCGTTGAGGTTTGGGAAAAGGGTATGAATTTGCTCCAGTGAGAAAAGTTGAGCGTTGACTAGGTCGGTTCGGTATGCTTGCAAAGTCTCAAGGTCTTGCACGTATTTGCGTTCGGTCTCGATAATCTCACGGAACACTTTGGAACGGTCGTCGTTAATTTGGATATCGCCGATCATTTGTGCCACCGCGTCAACCTCCAGAAGCAGTAATAACTTGTTAACCACTTTTATAATTCTGCACAAGTCTTGGGTATCATCACTGAACACGTTAGAAATCGTGAACATTAAGTCATCATCAAATTGAAGATGAGTCTTGACTGCAATCAAGAAATCGTACACCAGCTTTTTGCAAATACGCAAATCATCCAGCCCGATCACCTGGATCTGGTGCTTAGGATAGATGGTGTTAAAGATGAGACAAAGGGGCGCTCCTTGTTGAAATAATTTCCACAACTGGGTGGCAGGATCCACGCTGATGTTGGCCGGCAACACCCCCGCGGTAAACGTAAAAATGTGGTTGCGGGATTTAAACCCGGCTCCGGTTTGACCTCCTGAAAGCCCAAAGCCCAAAGCACCTTCAAACCCCTCTTCGATGCGATGAGACTCTTGTTGCATTTGCTGCAGTAAGGCCAAGGCTTGCTGTTCGGCACATCCTTCAGCAGCATTAAAAGCCAAATTCATGAACGGGGCCATCCCTTCGATCAGCTCCAACCGTTTTTTCAACAGAAGACATTGGAAGTAAAGATGGTCCAGTGCCAACAGTTGTTTGTTGAACGAATGATTGAGTGGAGCCAGCGCCACTCTGGTAATGCTGGTCAGCAGCAGATTGAGCAGAAAGTTGGATGTCGTAGACACCGATCGGAACTCGACACTCATAGCTGGTGTCGTGGTATCGACGCTGTTGTTGATTACTTCGCGACTTGAACCGTGCACGACCCTGAAGTCAAAAAAAAAAAAAGCGCGCACTGGTTGCATAGGCGGAAAACAAGCTGAGCCCCATGATCCGTAAACAAAGATAGGTATTGGGAGCAGATCAACTGAAAAATTTATTTAAAGTCAGCTTTCAATTTACAGTAGGGTGAAAACACTCATATGATAGACCCGTGTATTCGAAATTACCGCCGAACAGTCTCGTATCTTGTGAAAAATCATTAATGTGTCTGGTGACAAAGGAGGTGAGACACTTGCGCCACCTCCTGAAGTCTATATATAGCCAACTCCTCATCGATAAACAAACATGGCATTTATGGCTACAGTTCGAATGCCACCCACTACATCATGTCGTTTTCGTTTCCCCTTAGCTTTCAGGCGTTGAAGCGTTGAAATCTTCATCACCAGTTTGTGCGCGTCCGTAGTATCCAAGCTCCACGTCACTAATGCCCAGGCCGAAGTTGCTTAGCATTGACGCGTTTGCAAAGACAGTTGAAGATGCTCGGATCCGAACGACCCTGGGTGGGATCATCACTCTTATATGTGTGATTTTGGTGTTGGTACTCATCAATAATGAGTACGCTGATTACACCACAGTGATTACACGGCCAGATTTGGTGGTTGATCGCGACATCAATCGCAAGCTCAAGATTAATTTGGATATCTCTTTCCCCAACATTCCTTGTGACTTGTTGCTGCTCGACATCACTGATCAAACTGGCGACTCACTGCTTGATTTGTTGCAACAAGGGTTTCAAAAATTCCGTCTTACCAAGGACGGTGAAGGAAACATCAAGGATGAGATTAAAGACTCTGATAGCAACTTTGTCAATGTGCACTTGGACGTTGATGAGTTGGCCAAGGGGGGTCAGCAACCGTGTGGATCTTGCCACGGCGCATTGCCTCAAGACAATAATGAATACTGTTGCAACTCTTGTGAGGTGGTCAAGGCAGCGTATGCACTCAAGCAGTGGGCATTTTATGACGGGGAGAACATTGAGCAATGTGAGAAGGAAGGTTACGTACAACGTCTTAAGGACCGCATCAATGGTAACGAAGGATGTCGCGTGAAGGGTCTGACGGAAATTCGCCGTGTGAGTGGGGTGATGGACTTTGGTCCGGGAACCTCTTTTTACTCTCAGCGTCGTCATGTCCATGACATGCTGTTGTACGACAAGTACCCTGATAAATTCAACTTTGACCACTTTGTCCACCACCTCTCATTTGGCGATGAAGAACAAGCTCACCACTTCGTCGACGAACTGACGCATCCCTTGGACGACGTTGAGTTCATCGTTGGCGAGAAGCACCGTATGGCGGCCTACTACCTTAAGGTCATTTCCACTCGTAAAGAGTTCATTGACCCTGAGGAGCCTGCAGTGGAAACAAACCAATTCAGTGCCGTCACTCACTCTCGTCCTATTCGTGGTGGCCGTGATCAAGATCATCAACACACGATGCACGCGTTGGGGGGCACCCCGGGGGTATTCTTCAATTTCGACATCTCGCCGCTCAAGATAATCAACCGTGAGCAGTACGCTAAGACTTGGTCGGGCTTTGTGCTTGGTGTGATCTCGCTGATTGCGGGGGTTTTGATCGTCGGTCTGCTTGTTGATAGACTGGTATTTGCTGCTGAGAAAGCGATTCGGGGCAAGAAGAATTTGTAATTTACATATGCGGGGGCTTTACCTTGAAGTAATAAAATTCCATTATGTACAGTCTATTTACACGTCGTTTAACAAGTGAGCCACGTCGTCGTAACGGGGGATCTTGTCCTTTAATTCGTCCTTGGTCAACCACAAGTACTTGATGCCGTTTTGCGGGACAAACTCGCCCAGCACAATGTGAGATTTGATGAAGTAATGCTTGGCGTCGTCTTTGGTCTCAACATGGCACGGAGTGTTAGAGACGTTGAAGTAGTTAATGCGGTCACCGCCAATTTTGTACAACCCTGCTTCGGCCACTTCATCCAAGGCAGTGGGGGTTTCCGGTTGAGGGAAGTTGGGGAAATCCCACGACTTGCCGTCGCCTACGACAAGGTATAACGAGCGGGCCAACTGACGTTCCAATGAGGTTTGGTCGTTAGCTTCATCGGCTTTGGTCACTCGCGAGTTAGGGACAATCTTTCTCGACAAATCATTGCTGGCATCGGCCGCGGGTTCGGCAGTTTCGCCCTCGACGTAAGTCTTGGGGAGCTTCAATTCTTGTTTGAATCGACGGTCACGGTTCTGACGGATTTCAGGGCGACCTCGCGGGTACTCGATGTTAGGGTTATTGTCGACGGGATCCCGGTTGAGTTCTTTAAACTTTTGGGCGGCAAGCGTACCTTCTCTGAAGTAAAACCACTTCGGGAACGTCCACATTAACCGTTTCCAGAGCTCCTTCTGGTACTTGTAGTACTGCGCTTCGAACGCAGGTATGTCGGCAGAGATCACTGGATTCCGCAGAAGCAACAACGTCGAGGCAATCTTTGTGCTAGGCTTGGCTGCCAGCGCATACGTTCTCACCCACATCATGGCCCTGAAAATTTTCAGTCGCACTGATCAAGATGGTAGATGTAGTGAGCCTCACTATAGACGACGGGAGGAAATTAGATGTAGAATAATGACTCTAAGAAATATTGATGAAGAAGTTAGACGTTTTCTGGTGAAAAGAGTTCAGGCGGGGTGTATGGGGCTATTCAAAAGTGCGTCACAATCGTCATTGACCCAAGTTGGGCCTGTGTGCGTAAGCCGCATTCACATCAATAGACAGTAAGTTTGCGAGTGTTCACTTATAAGCTACACAAAGTGTTGGTTATTGTTCGTTTTGATATCACTGTTACACTATAATCACGCGCAGGTTAAGTCGACTTCTTCGACTGAGTTTGCTCCCTCACAAAGGATTTCGGTATCGGCTTCAGCTCTAATTCGCACTTCAGGAATTTCCTTAAACATGATGGGGTCTGCCACCAGCTTAAGCGCTTTGTGGTGGGCAACAAAGTCATTTTGGCTGGCTGCTTGTGAGTCCTGTAGCCACAATTCGCTGTCTTCAATTTCCTTTTCGAGAATTTGCTGTTCAAAGTAACTAATATTATTTGTTGAGCGAGGATTGAATGAATTCTTCAAAAAGTATAGGTACTTCTCAAGATCAACTTTGGCATTAACTCTCGCGACTACAGCTTCATCCTCTTCCTTGTACATCTTTGATTCGGCAATCATCCGATAAATCTCATCTTGCGATGATCTTTTCTTGTAGTAATCAATAGCAACTTCCTGCGATTTTCCAGTACTTCTATCGATGGCAGACACATTTAATATCCCATCGATATCCAAGTCGAAAGTGACAGCAAATGAAGGCACACCTCGCAGAGCCGGTGGGAAATTCAGCATTATGCACTTGCCTAAGAAGTTATTGTCTTTCGATTGAGCTCTGTCGCCTTCAAACACTGAAAACAGTACAACAGTCTGGTGGTCTCTATGAGTCGTGAATCTTTTCGTCACTTTGATGGGAATTACAGAGTTTCTCGGAATCAAAGTGGTCATGAGACCCAGATAGTTCTTTACGCCAAGTGACAAAGAAGTCACATCCCGCAAATCCACACTTTGGATTAACGCAGAAGAGTCACCCGATAATATGGCCGCTTGCACACCTGCACCGTAGGCAACAGCTTCATCTGGGTTGACGGAATGGTTGGGTTTTTTGCCAAAATAGGTCGAGATTAAGTTTTGAATCTTGGGAATTCTAGTGGAGCCTCCAACAAGAACAATTTCGTTAATTTGCAGTTTGTCAATTCTCGCATTTTCCAATACCTTTTGTGTCAAGTTCATGGTGATTTTGAATAGGTCATCACACAACTCTTCAAACTTAGTCCTAGTGATGGAGGTGTCGAGATCGAACCCTTTAAACAAGCAGTCGATCTGGAATGAGGCTTCTGTCAGTGATGATAATCTAATCTTGACCCTCTCACAAGCGCTTCTCAACCTTCTCAACGCTCTAAGATTGCCAGTGAGATCCTTACGAGTCTTGCGCTCAACCTCAGCAATGAAGTGATTGACCAAACGGCTGTTGAAATCTTCACCACCCAAATGAGTGTCACCAGCGGTGGTCATAACTCTGAAAACGCCTTTATTTATCGTTAATAACGATAAGTCGAACGTGCCACCACCGAGATCAAAGATCAACACGATCTGTTTGCTTTTAGTGTGGTCGACCTTGTTCATGCTGTAAGTAATGGCAGCAGCGGTGGGTTCGTTGATGATTTGTAACACATTGAGGCCAGCCATCTTAGCAGAATCTTTGGTGGCTTGCCGTTGGGAATTGTTAAAATAGGCCGGGACGGTAACGACAGCATCCGTCACCCTCTCACCTAAGGAAGTTTCAGCAACCTCCCTCATCTTCCCCAATATCATGGAGGATATTTCTTCAGGCGAAAAGACTTTGAGTTCTTCTTTAAATTTCACTTCAACCATAGGCTTGCCATTTTGCTCAAAAACTTTATATTGTAAGTGTTTCATGTCATGTCGGACTTCAGGGTCGGCAAATCTGCGACCAATCAACCGCTTGACGTCGTACACGGTATTTGCAGGGTTCAACGCCATTTGGACTTTGGCAACATCGCCGAATAACCGTTCCTTGTTGTTGAAGGCCACGATCGACGGGGTGGTTCTGTTTCCGAGGTCGTTAACGATGATGTCGCACCTGTCGTTGGCAAATCGAGCAACACAGGAGTTGGTGGTACCCAAATCGATACCTACAGCGATGCCCATGGTAAATTCTGTAGGTAGTCGTCGTAAGAAAGGCGGGGGGTCATATAAATCAGACGACTGCACAATGGGCACGAGAACATTAGCGCTATCAGAATGTCATACAAGGGCGAACCCCTTAACAACGGGGGTGGCAGGGCTCAAAAAGCTGGGAAGCCTTGTGAGTACGCAAATTGTAGGACTATGGCATTTCAACGAGTAAGACGACGAGGATAACTCTTGCTGACCACGTAAACCTTCGAAGCGCGTGTCTTCGTTAATCGTCTGCTGTCTGTCATATCGTCTATTTTGATCACCGAAGCGCGTCACGATCTGACATGGTCGTGTCTGAACCACATAAACGGGCGTATCAAGCAATAACACCGATATTGGCATCTCACTTGTGACAATTGTTTACGAGTCCATGACAACGGCAAAGTCTAGAATCATTGCTGCTACCAAGTGTCGAGTAAGTTCTTATTAATCAGTGGAACTTTCCAAAATTCTGATATTCAATTGTATATTCTTTCAACAACCTTTGAATGGTTTTGAAACTTTCACTTTCACAACTGACAATCACGTTAGAGCAAGTAGCTTCCCGTTTTGCTGTCTTATATACGCAACATCTTGATCTGATTACGTCGCCCTTAGTCAAGTCGATCCATATCTAATTGTTGATTCGAAACACAGGTAATCATCCAATTGAACACCTGTTGTTCATGCAAATTGAGATTTAAATTTTCTGGTTGTATATTCAAAGTATAATCCTAACAATTGAGTCTAGCTCATTAGGCAAAGAAGGCTTGAAGGCGAGCAGCCGATTGTTCAATATCGGTAAAGTCACGCTTGTCTTTCTCAGCAGAAAGCGAAGCCTTGAGCGACTTGTCCAACACTTGGAGCTCGGCAACGAGGGCAAGCAAAGTTTGGTCAGCGCCCTCTTCACGGGTAGCGATAATCTTGCCGCCGTTCAAAAGGTTACCGACGCTTTGCAAAAGACCTTGGATGAGGGGGCCAAGCGAACCAAGGAGGTCCGCGACAGCGTTGTCACGCTTACCAAGCTTACCGCCCAAGAGCTTAAGCAACGACGAGAGAATGCTGTTGAGGAGGTCACCAACAGTGCCAATTAAACCGTTAATACCATCACCAGGGTTGGGCAAACCGGGGAGATTCGAGGGGATGGGGAGCCCCGAGGGAATGATACCGGTAGGGATCACACCAGAGGGAATAATGTTGGTGGGGAGCACGTTAGTCGGGATCACGTTGGTAGGAAGGATGGCTTCGGGGGCGGCTTCGGCAGCTGGGGCAGCGAAGGCTTGGGCAGCGACAGTAGCGAGGATCAAAAGCGACTTGTACATTTGTGAGATTGAGTTGATGAGGATAAAACACGGTCGGAGTTGGGCTTTTTATATTTCGAATCTGTGGCCGAACGTGTTTGGTTACATGTTTGGCCGCCATAATTATTTCAGAAGTTGTCGAGCATTGCTTTGTGTCGCAGGGCGATTTGCAACCTCGTAAATGAGGCTTAAAGTGTCGGCTTTCATCGATATGCGGCTGAATTTAGTCACCACGGTTAGCGAATGTACTGTTTGGACTAATAATAACCCGTGAATGAGCTATCTGGTGAGCATTTTCGTTGTGTTGGGACTTTCGTACAACTTCTCGACGAGAGACGGGCAGCCACCATCACACACATTGGCTATTGTTCCTGTTTGTTGATCGTAGTAGCCATGCACGACGTCCGGGGACATGTCTGCATCAGCAAGTATGCCGGAGGTAGATGATCACGTGCGTATTGTTCGCGAGACTTTGTTAGATCGATGGGTAGAACGCTAGATTGGTGACTATGCATAGACCCTGTGGTCTACGACCGTGTGTTTCACAAAAAGCAACAAGGCTAATTTGGTGGAAAGGTGACGAAGCCGAACAATGTGAAAATTGCTGCCAGGGTGGTCGCGCCATTGTTTTTGCGGCACTACTATCCATCGCCTCGGCGTCGCATGTTCGTCAACACTCCATGCCGCCATAGAAAAAAGGGGCTATAGCGAACAATGAGCTAGGAAATCAGCTCAACTTGGGACTTAGTAAATGCCTCGAGTCCCTTCGATGTAGTCGATGTAGCAAGATCGGAAATGCACCAACTCCGTAGTATTCCATTAATTTACGGCGTAAAACGGGGCGTGATGTGTGATTTACTACTACCGCACCCTGTCCATTGTTTGCCATTGCTCGTCACCGAAACAAAGCTCCTAAGCCATTGTTGCCGAAAAGTACCATTGCCATCAGACAGTGTGGCTACATTGTAGTGGGACAAACGGGGGGCAATCCAGTCTCCCGAATACATGAAAATACACTATGATAGTAGAAAGGGGTGTTTACCAGCACAACTATCGGAATCTCATACCGCCAGTAATCATCGAAGCCTCTTTCTTTTTGGTTTAATGTAACCTAATGTAGGAATAGATTTAAGTTGTGCAGTGAGTACTGCGAATTCCACCAATACTTGCCCAGAGAAGAAGAAAGGCTTAGATAGAAACGGACCCGCCCGAACCGAGCCTTGCCAAGGGTTTTGCTAATTTCCGCTAATCAGATACTCGTGGTAATCGTATCCACTTTTGCATGAAAAGACACGCTCATGCCTGAAGTTAACAATCGAAAAGTCCGCTTACCAATGCGTCAACACGAAGCCAGAACACGGTAGCTGAATAAGCTTTTCGCACATTAAAATCTATTGTTATGGTGAAGGAAGGTCTACGCGGTACTCTAAGACCTGGAACCTGTAACAACATGTCAATAATAGACGAACTCCTAGCGAAATTAGTTTCATCAAGAATTTCTTGATGAAATTGCAACCACAACCTTCAGGGGCGGTTGTTGTAACGAAAACGTAATTTGGTAGATACACGCAAACACACCCTACAAGCAATTTGGTTAGCGCACGCACAAATTTGCTCAGGCGACTATGTCATTCACTCCTGCAGACAAGAGGTCGTTTATAACCCAACAAATTTTCTTGCGGAAGGTTTTTTCTCCTCCACCCCCGGTTTCCAGTAATTGCCCCCCTTCCCGTTCCAATAGGCACGTAAAGTAGTCTTTGACATATATGTCTGTCGACGAGTTTGAAGCGATATTAAAACAGCTACCCACCCTCAAGGCTCCAGGGGTTTCGGGCTCCCGCATTAAGCGGTTGACGGAGTTGGCAGTGAAGAATGTGGCCGAAGAATCCAAGTTGATGGCCACTTTATACTCTAACTGCAAGGCGGTACCCCTGACCCACAAATTAGGGACGCTCTATGTGGTTGACGCCATCGTTCGGGCTTATATCGAGGAAGCTAAGCGGTTGGAACAAACCGTTGACGCTAACGCCCCCGAAGGTACACCGGCCGCGGCGGCCTATAAATTATCGGAATTGATCGAGTCGTTGATGGATGACTCGTTGGAATTGTGTATTTCGCCGTCTACCAAAGTTAAAATCGGCAAATTAGTCGACATCTGGGAAAGGGCAGAAACGTTTCTGCCCGAAATCCTCGCTCGTATTAGAGACAAGCACTTTAAGCTGACGACTCCACCGGGTACCCCTCCTCCCCCATTGGTAGAAGTGGCACCCCCGGTACCTAAACAGGAGCCGTTGCCGCCTTCGGCTTCGGCTTCGGCTTCAGCTTCGTCGGCCGCCACCAATGCCCCTAGTCAAGACTCGAATTCGATTCTTTCGGCGTTGGCGTCTCTTTCACAATCACGCGATAACGCGGCTACCGCCGCTCAACCTAACGCTGGCGGTGATGCGCTGTCGATCTTAGCTCAATTGAGTGCATTCGCAGGCCAGCAACAACCGTCGGCTGCGCAACCTCAGCCCCTGTTCCAGCAACAACCTCAAGGTAACGCTGAGTCGGTGCTCGGGGTGTTGCAGTCACTTAGCTCACAACAGTCTCTGTTCCAAGGTTCTCAAGGTTACCTGCAACCCAGTTCTCTTCCTCCTATACCTGTGGCGGCGTCGTCTCAAGGTTACGGTAATGACCGTCGGGTAAGATCGCCCCCTAGCTACAACCGTGACCGCCTGCCACCTCGTTGGGGAGGCGACCAAGGTAACCAAGCTAATCCCGTACCACAACCTCTGCTGGCTTACAGTGACCCTCTTGATGACCCTGCCTATTGTAAAGCTCAGTTCGATGCCATGCAACAAGCCCGCGTTCGTGCTAACGATCCTTCTCGTCCTCCCCGTAGAGGTCAAGGTGGACAACTTCTCGATGAGATCAACGTTCCCGGTGAACCTCACTACCGTCCTCGTAATGTAGGCGTTGATAACAGCATCCCTCACGGTTCGTTCAAGGTTTTGTCCCGGACTTTATTCGTGGGTGGTGTGCCCCGTGGTATGGATGAAAATGGGTTGTCGGAAGTGTTGCGCCCTTTTGCCGAAACTCAATCAATTATCCTCAACTCTGAACGGAAGCATGCTTTTATCAAGGTGTACCTGAGACGCGAAGCCGAACAAGTTATCACTGCATTCAACAAGGACGGTCAATTACCTCTTCGTACTCGTTGGGGGGTTGGTTTCGGCCCTCGTGACTGCTGCAACTACCAGCACGGGGTGTCCGTAATCCCTATCGACCGGTTAACTGAGGCCGATCGGCAATGGGTCGTCACTGCCCAATGGGGTGGTACTGGCGGGTCACCTTTGACTTCGGGAATGGTCATCGACGAGCCCGATATCGAAATCGGTGCCGGTATCTCCTCCAAGGCCATGTCTAAAAAGATGCCTACTAATTCTGCCCGTAATGGTCCTAAACTGAACCGTCCGGGCGAGCCCGATGAGGACTTTGCTAAGGCTACGATGATGGGTCAAAGAGGTCGTGGCGGTGGTCGCCACGGTGGCCACATGGGTCACGGTGGTCACGGTGGTCACGGCGGCCATGGCGGCCCTCCCATGGGTTTCAACCAACCATTCCCTGGTCCTGGTGCACCGCCGATGGTGCCCGGCGCCAATCCCGGCAACTTCCAAGATTTTATGAAATCATTCCAAGGACAACAAGGAGGCCCGGGGGGTCCTCCCAACCAACAACTTGCCAACCAACTTGCCAATTTGTTCCAACAACCCCCGCAATGAGTTTTGTATAGTAGTAATTAATGACAGAGTTTTTGAAGATACCGCCACTGTAGACCTTTTGACCCAAACCCCGAAAAATATACTCGAACCTCCTTTCGTCTATTTGAATAAAGAATTGAAGGCTCACTACGCAATACACCAATGTTTTACTGCTTCTTGTTCTACGTTTTCAAAGGACAACTTTATCCAAGCTATTCGACTCCTAAAATTATGAATTGAAAGCGATAAGGTTTCCCTGAAGGACGCCTGTAAGCCGGTGTTGTTCAGTTTCCCCACATGCCTCAGTTTTGCGCCTCGTAAATCCAACCCTATCTGCGGTTGTGATCAAGGCTCTTTAGATCATGTAAAGAAGCGAGTAAGCAGTCCATTTAAATATGAAAACCAGTAATTCAGAGTTTTCGACATGTGATTAGGGTCGATATTCATGAGATTGATGTCTTAGTTGTATGGTACCGAGGAACTTTCTTTCACTATGGGCTTTACTTTCGGGCTCGGAGTTAGCCAAAAGGTGGCTAACGCCGTTATCCCTCGAGCCGACTCCATCTGTTAAAAATGCAGGGCTCATGTTTCCATAACTCCAGATTTCAGACAACCGGCTGCAATAACCATTAATTGTGAATTCTCTCACGTATATATATGGCAGTAATCAATTTAAATTTCTCTGGTTTCATCTCTGATTTGTTTTAACTTGAGATCGCAAAATTCAAAACCACCTCGAAAACTCTAATCCCGAAGGATCAATACCCTTTTCGATTGTGGGGTAACCACGCGTGCACAAAGTTCAGAGCCCGAAGACGCCCATCGAGGCGCTCTCCTCGTTACGGGTATTCCATGCTCCGCAGCTAACAAACGGACCGTCGTGACTCCGGCGATTAGTATGAAGGTGACTACCCCTCAATGAAGCTTCCTTGGGTCCGAGTTTGAGATAAGACCCTCTGACCGACTATAAAGCGCTGCTGTTTCCCTGATAGATGTTGATCATCAATCACGATTATGCTTTCCAACTCTATCAGATCAATGGCCCTCAAGCGGGCTGCGGCTCCCAATGCCTACCGCCCGTTGGCTCAGCGCTTCAGAGGTTTAGCTACTGCTGGTAAAATCCCTGATACTCAAAAGGCTATCATCTTCACTGAACACGGCGGTCCTTTGGAATACAAGGACATTCCTGTGCCTAAGCCTAAGCCTAACGAATTGTTGATCAACGTTAAGGCCTCGGGTGTGTGCCACACTGACTTGCATGCTTGGTTGGGTGACTGGCCCCTCGACACCAAGCTTGCCACCACCGGCTCGCTTGTCGGTGGTCACGAAGGTGCTGGGGTTGTCGTTGATATGGGTGAGAACGTCAAGGGGTGGGAGATTGGCGACTATGCTGGGATCAAGTGGTTGAACGGGCTGTGCCTCTCGTGTGAATACTGCGAAAACGGTAACGAATCCAACTGTGATCACGCCGACTTGTCTGGTTACACCCATGACGGTTCGTTCCAGCAATACGCCACCGCTGACGCCGTGCAAGCGGCGAGAATCCCCAAGGACGTCGACTTGTTCAAAGTCGCCCCCATCTTGTGTGCTGGTATTACTGTGTACAAGGCGCTTAAGACCGCCGGGTTGAAGCCCGGTCAATGGGTCGCCATCTCCGGTGCCGGTGGTGGTCTTGGTTCGCTTGCTGTGCAATACGCCAAGGCCATGGGTCTCCGTGTCGTCGGTATCGACGGTGGTGCCGAAAAGGAACAAGCCGCCCGCAAGCTCGGTGCCGAAGCGTTCGTTGACTTCACCAAGACTAAGGACGTCCCTGCTGCCGTTAAGGACATCACTGGTGGTGGCCCTCACGGTGTGATCAACGTGTCCGTTTCCGAACAAGCCATGCAACAATCGTTGGATTATGTCCGTAAGAAGGGTACCGTCGTCCTCGTTGGGTTGCCTCCCAACGCCAAGGTCACTGCCAATGTGTTGGACACTGTCGTGAAGTCGGTGGATATTGTTGGCTCGTACGTCGGTAACAGAGCCGACTCGGCCGAAGCTATTGACTTCTTCGCTCGTGGCCTCATCGACTACCCCATCCACATCGCCGGGTTGTCTGAATTGCCTGAGATCTACAAGAAGATGGAAAAAGGTGAAATCGTCGGTAGATACGTCTTGGACACTTACAAGTAGAATATGTGTATTGGTTTCGAATTGAATGTTAAGTTAAAGGCTTATCTTGTAAAGCTTATAATGATGATGATTATCAGGTCCTGTCTTTCTCGATTTTCGTAATTCTGCAGCGTAGCGCATCACGATGCAATGGGATTAATGATTCCGTATACTGAATGCAAATTGAATTCAAGTAATTCCTCTTGAACTGTTTGTTGCTTCCCTGAATCTATGAAAAACATGCAATTCCTTATCGACAATTCACGTTGTCTTATGCAATCATGAATCACTGAGAACGCGACTTCCCTCTCTGAGCGTTGATCAATTGAATAATGATTAGCTCGAAGTTTTAACATGGTTGCTTGGAACACTGCCTTAGAGCTTCTAGATGTTGTTAATGCCAATTTTCCTGAATCAGTCTAATTCTTATCTAGTGTAATCAAAACGGGCGCATCGCGCGACCCTTCCACTCATGTCGCAACCCACAAAGGCAGTTGAAGACGTGTCAGCATACACCGAGATTGGATTCAGCGCCTGCTGTTTCGTCGGATTGATGTTGGTGCTTTTGCACTACGTCTACATCATGCGGCAAATCATCGCCAATCCTGCCATCGAACGCACTGAGGTGTACTTCCTTTTCGGTTGGTTGGTTATCACCGTGTTGTTGGTGTTGATTATTCTTGCCAAAGTGGTATACCCCTTCCTTTACAGAGATACTACTCTGAAGACCAAGAAGAACCAATAGACGATGCTTATGTCACCTAATAAATGAAGAACACTGAGGTATCTATAGGCATACGAGCTAACCCCATTTCGCGCATTCGCACAGTTAATCACTTCCTCTGATACTGACAACAGTGGCGACGAACTACAGATTTGATTCAATTCGCTTGATGACATGGCCACGACTGAATCACCTGATAAATCGGATAAACTAATATCACGAAAGCGTGGGTCCGCGGCCTCAGGGTCGATCTCTGGCGATGCGTCATCTCCTTCTAAGCTGACGATGTTTAACAAAGCCATATCGCCCCAAAAGCTGCCAACAAAGAAAAGAAAAGTCTACATTCATCAGAGCGATACAAACAAGAAGACTCCCACTCTTCTGCATTTATCGTCCGATGTAGGGGTAGATTTGGCTAGCGATTTCGGTTCTGACGACGACTTCGACATGCGTTTGCCTATCTTGCCGCCTAGGAAGAAGATTGAGCCCATTAAATCAAGTCCAGTGAAGATTCCCCACATTGTCGACGAATTGCCAAAATTGAAGGTTGAAACTTCATGGAGAGGACACAAGATTCCCGAGCCCTTGACGCGAGATCAACTTGATGATGCAATAGACCGCCATATGAAGTCAGTTGAACGTGTGCTAGACCCTAAGGTCCAGCTGCCTCGATATTACGATCAGATTAAACGGTTTCAAAAGACTCTGACGCGAGAAACTGTACGTGACAACGAAGAGCAATGGCGGTTTGAATGGAAGCAGTTTTACGGCGGGTACATCGGTCCGGAGCGTCAGTTCTACATTGGCGATAAGATCATGACCAAATATTCTGATCAAATTCGAAAAACTGGTCGAGGAGATGCGGTTGTGCAATACTTGTGTGAGGACAATTACGTCAATTATGTCCTTGCTTTAGAACTCATCTTAGAGTTGGTAGCTGAACAATTTGGCATAAGTATCGATGAAGCCATGGATGCAATTGCTGAGACACGAAATTACGGAACCGAAATATCTGACAAAGTCAAAATTGCTTGAACGGGATTCGAGATGCATGAAATAATTCAAACACTTCAACATTTCGGACTTTATTCGAGTTCAACGTTTGATAATATGTACGCCCTCAAGAGGTTATTATTGTCTCTGCGAAGTTGACTCAGTTGCCGATGCCGATAATCGCGAGCCGACGCCATCACACGTGCAAATTGTACAAGGTCCACACAAAAGAATTGAAGTTTTATAATTATGAATATGATTCACTATGATTCATGATCGAAGATCACTCATCTATAAACTCATATGTCTGCTCTACACTATGAAACAATTGAAGCGTCTTCTTCCCAGCTCTCAGCCTCTTACACTCAGATACCCCACATCTCAGCGGAAGATTTTCGCACCATGTACATACTACGCCGAGGGGTTGCGCTTAGCCGACGAGTGATGAAGGACACTGTATTCATCGAGCAATTGGCGGCGACTGCCATTGTGGGCAAGGATGCGTGGAATCGCGCCACCCCTCAACCTTTGGCTGTGTCAGTTCGGCTCAACACCGATTTCTCCCAGGCCAGTGCCTCAGACAACCTTGAGCACCTGCTTAATTACGCCGTGATTCTGAGAAACATCCACGAGTTCTTCACCCAAAACGCTCGCCGCAACTTTGGATCGCTTGCAGCGGTGGGATCAGCGGTTCTGGGGTTGCTTTTTGCCAATAATGAGCCCTATACGGCTCAAATAACTGTGCTGCTGCCCAAGCTGGAAATCAGGGCTGACAAGGTGTCCTGGACATGCACTTATAACAAAGACGGGAAGACAGATAGTGATATCCTTGAAATCAACCACTTGAGATTACTCACAGTCATTGGCGTATTCACGTTTGAACGATTACAACGACAAGTGGTTAATTTGGACCTCAAATTGACTGCCACGCCCGAGGTGAACATTCGCAAAGTCATTGATGACGTGGTTGACTATGTCGAGCAATCCAATTTCAAGACGGTGGAGGCGTTGGTATCTCGCGTAGGTCAAGTTATCCTTCAAAACCACGACCAGCACATTAGTACCGCTGATGTCAGCGTTACTAAACCTAACGCAATTAACTACACTGAAGGGGTGGGTGTGGCTTCAAAGATGATTGCCAAAGACTTCGAGGGCAAAGAGCCACTCGTGGTAACCCCAGAACAATTCTCATCATTTAATTTACCGGTCGCCCAAGCTGCTGCTCATTCTGAAGAAGGTTCCCTTCATACTGTGTACATTGCATTTGGTCTGAACGTTGGAAATCAAATGGCTCAGATTCGTCAGGCCCTCGATCTCCTTGATCAACACGGTGTGAATGTGAAGGTCACTTCACTGATGTACCTCTCAAAACCGATGTATTACAAAGATCAACCAAACTTTTACAACGGTGTGGTCAAAGCGGTAACGAAACAACTGCCGCAGGAACTATTGGCTACTCTCAAACTGATCGAATATGATCACATTGATAGAAAGAAAGATTTTGACAATGGACCGCGGTCAATAGATCTTGACATCATTCTTTATGATGACGCTTGCATTAACACTGAGAATTTAGTGGTACCTCACAAGCTCATGCTCGAGCGAACATTCGTGCTTGAACCATTATGTGAATTGATTCCTCCAAGTTTCGTGCACCCAGTAACTGCCGAGCCTATCCACGACCATCTTCATCAACTCCTCAACAGTCAAACTGACGAAGACCTTCAAGAGCTGACGAGACTACAACAACTTTTACCCATGCCCAGACTCAACGGCGATGAAAATCCGTTGAAGTTCGATCAAATTCATAATCTCCACCCAACCATGATAATGGGCATCCTCAACACTACTCCCGATTCGTTTTCTGATGGTGGTAAAAACTATGATCGTGACATGTCTGAAGTGGAAGCGAACGCTTTGAAATTGGTCGATGAAGGAGCTACCATTATCGATATCGGTGGAGTACTGACCAGACCGGGCTCGGTTGAACCGTCAGAGGAGGAAGAATTAAAACGGGTTGTGCCCTATGTTGAAATGATTCGTAACTCCACTCATCCTCGTCTTGCTAATGTCGTCATCAGCATTGATACTTATCGGGCCAAAGTCGCGGCGGCGGCATTAGAGGCCGGAGCTGACATTATCAATGACGTATCTATGGGTCTCTATGAACCTGAAATCTTTGATGTGGTTGCTACATACCATTGTCCATACATTATGAACCATACTCGCGGCACTCCCGCTACCATGTCCAAGTTGACTACCTACACTCCTAATACTGATGAGTCTATCAATGAGTTTTACGTTGACCCCAGTCAAACTGTGGTTCCAGCATTGCTGCCGCTGGCGGAAACATTAATTAACGGAGTGTCTCGTGAGCTAGCCCACCAAATTACGCAAGCCTTTGCTCGGGGCGTTCGCAAGTGGCAGATAATCTTGGACCCAGGTATTGGATTTGCGAAAAATAAGGACCAAAACCTTACATTATTGCGTCATGCAAGCTACTTCAAGCGCTACAGCAAGGAGTTTGAAGGAGATAAATACTTGTCCTTCAATGGCATGGCGCTTTTGATTGGTACGTCTCGCAAACGGTTTTTGGGAACCCTCATTGACGAACCAGTCGCTGCGCAAAGAGTTATCGCGACCACTGCTACTACCGTTGGGTGCATTGAACAAAATGTTGACATTTTGCGGGTTCATGACGTCAAGGAAAACAAGGAGGCAGCGGTGGTTGGTGATGCCATTTACCGAGGGTTGGTTGACTGAATGGTATTGTGTATTCTTCCACTGATATGGAAAGATATATATAGTGGAGTGTAAAAGCTTCGTATCTCATTAATGCATCCTTCTTCATCGTTTTTTCATAGCAAACTTTTTCTTCATCTTCGTACTGATTTGTCGGTTCCAAACTACGCCGCTCATCAAGCTGCGGTTGAATCCGTACACGTCGTGAATTTCTTCATCACCGATAAGCGTCTTTTGTTCCTCAGCACTCATATCAGACAAGAGTCCTTTCAGTTTGCGTTGGTTAATCTTTTCTCGTTGTTTCTTAACAAATTCACGACAGTTGTTGATTTCGTCTTGGGAAAGAGAGCCAAACCCATAACCGCCAATCTTCTTGAAGCAATTATCGATCAATTGATTAGGGTCAAGTATCAGCTTGGGATAACTTTGCATGAACTGGAACAACTCGATTTGCTCGATATTCTGCGACGAGGACCGAAACTGGTCTTGTTCGAGGCACATATTGCACACCGTGAGCGAGATTCTGAATAATGTCTTAGATCCTTCGTACCACAAAATGTCCCAAACTCGAAGTACCGTTTCAATCGGCATAATCCCCACAAACACCAGCATAAACCACAGTGATGTTACTAACGTCACTGGGGGAAGTCGAGAAAGAATCTTGTCTTCGCTCACTTGTTCTCCCTCCATGTTTTTACCCAACATTGTCCACATTCGAGGAATGTATTCCTTGATGCAAAGCATGAGAACCCCTTGGTCAGTGTGAACACCCTCTAAATTCGCCAGGTGCACTTTGGGGATGATGCGCTCGGTCAAAATCACCAACATCCAAAATGCACGTTCCTCATCCATAAATATCAATAAAAGCCCCGCCAAAAAGTTTAACAGTTGGCAGTAGCCGATTTGCGGTTGGTAGTGAGCAAAAGCCACAAGCACCCGTCTCAATGCCTTGATCATAGCGGTCTCGGGTCCAGGCAGATCGTTAGGGGACAGTGTCCCCAGCGAGAGACAATTCTCGTTGAAGTAGATATTATCTGGGAATGTCCGGTTAAGGTCACGTTCGATGACTTCGGTATCCTTATTTTGAATGCCCTGAGTGTCCTTGACAATCTTTTCGTAGACGCCAATGTGTTTGTTGAGCTTTTCATAACCGCCGGCGTAAAAAAACCAGGCATTCCCCCGCCATTCAGGAGGGATTCCTCGGCGAATGAGTTTCTTTACCTTATCGGACTTTGGGGGAAATCTCTGCGGGGGTTTATCATGATCGAACAGAAGACCGTTGTGTCGAAGTAGGTGTTCCCACTTCTGGCGACGCCGCATCATGTACTGGGCATATGTTTCGTACCAACTGTTGTACTCCTTAGCGGTGAACTTCAGCAAGTTGGATACTTTTTTGAATCCGTAGATGTCTACCGGCAGTTTCAACGTCTCTTTAAGCTGATTGGCATTATAGACGGGTTTGACGCACAGCTCGGGCATTAAGTCCACGGTTTCGTCCACTTTGACCTGGCTGAAGGCTTCGTCGTGACTTAAATGTTCGAAGTCGAGGTCATCTAGACCCTTCATGATGCTCTGGTCCAACGGGCTCATGTCATCCGCCGATAACTTGATATTGCTCAGTTGAGGGGTCGGGGTGCTCGTCGTCATACGATTGAACACTGGTGGGGTATTGGCCAGAGAGGTATCGGTGGTGTCAAACCGCGAGTGGATGCTAATCCCCGGAGTCAGGCGAAGCGTCTTCCCCAGCACCAGGCCGGTGGCCAGCCCCGGCGCCAGGGTCGATGCCGGCGTGTCGTCGCCAAACACCGACTTCAACGGCGTGAGCATCGTCAGGTACTGTTCCGGGTGTTGTCCAGCGAGCGGGTCCAACGACTCCTGGGTGGCTTCGAGCTCGACGGCGTCGTCCTCGGTGGCCAGGTGCACTTCGTCGCCAACATCGACAAACTCCAGGTTGTTTCGCAGCGGGAGCGAGGCGGCGTCGCCGGAATCTACCGTCGGTGGCGGTAGCGGGGCAGGCAGCATTGGTGGCAGCGGCGGGTGGCTGACGGCGGGCAGGTCTGGTTGGTACATATCTAGCACCAGCACGTTGCGCGAGTACAGCAGCTCGGTCCTGCGATGCGTGCGCAGACTTTGGGAGTCAGGGTGAAGCTGCCCCGGGTCCTCGTGGTCCATGGCGGGGTGTCGCGTGCTAGAGGAGCAAAGGGTAAATGTTGCCACCGTCGTGAAGCGAGGCAACGGTTGGTGTTGGCGATCGGGCACAAAAAAAGGGTGCTTATGTAAGGAGGCACAGGGTGCGGCCGGTGACGGTAGAGATTCTGGACCCGCACCTTAATCGAAAAAAAGCACACGACTAGCATAATCGCTGTGTTTATTTTCGAGATCAGGCACCGATTGGAGACGAATAGGCATGATAATTTTAATGGTTACTAATAATAGTGGTTGCTGGAAATTGCAGGGTTGGTCGTAAGGCATCGGTAGCGAACACCTTATGTCTAATTGTAGGTACTCTCCAGGAGAGACCCGCTGGAAATTTACTGTGTTCACTGAATATCACCTAATAGGGTAGGAGTCACATTCCGTACGATGAAACGGCTATCTGGCGGGCCGTCGAATATACCTACATTGGGATGGTGTGGCCACCGCCGGGCGCTCGTATCGGTATATCGTGCTTTGTCGATGAACTTTATTTAATTGGGTGCCGCACCTCGTTAACAGTACCTGGCATTGAGCATCTGAAGCTGGGTCAAGCATTCTTTTTTCCACACTCAAAATTTCGGTTGCGAGCCCTGGCATTTCCGATCGAGTATGCTCTGATGACGGGCACCCCTGTTGATGAAATTCGTCTGGACACGCGGCGCGCGCGCTCGCGAAAACCTTACCCCAAGACACCTATAACCTCTATAATTGACCACGGCCTGGTGGGGATGATGAGATACACCCTGGCGTACCACAAGGCCATTGCCACCGATAAGGGCGTGTTCAACGGGTCGCTGTTCCACATCCTGACCGACCTGCTCCACTGGATATGGCTGCACTCGCTCCTGATCACCGAGCACGGCCAATTGTTCTCTACCGACGAGAATGATAACCATTTCCTTTTGTTACACGCATTGCAGCTGTGTCACGTCCAGATTTACCCCCTGGGGGTAGGCCTGGGCGACCGCATAGTCCGCAAGAAGAACCTCGACCCTGCCCAAGACGACCCTCCGGTGATCTTCATCAAGACATTCGAAAATGAAAAGCTCTATATCCGCGTCACCTCCAAACGGAGCTTTGGTAACCTAATATCAGCTCTAGTGGTGTGGCTGTCGCTCAAACCTCAGGGCCTTGCTAAGAAATGGTATGCTGAGAATAAGGTGGCGCCGAAGCTGCTGACTCACGAAGTGTTGGTCTGCCGTTTCAAAGTGTATGGCCCCATTCCTCATAAGCTGAAGAACTTGAACATCGTTCCTGGGCCAAAAGCACCGGTGTACCAGCCGCGAAATGCTGATCATGCCCCGGCGACCCTCGACCAAACTAATTTGGCCCACGACGTCAACGAAGGTTGGTTTTACACCATGGGTGTGCTCAAATCCAACGGGAAACTCAACTTCATCTCCGAGTTGGACGGAACCCTTCTATACTCGCTTGATGTATGCCTGCTTCTCCTGCTGGAAATTCGCGAGGTGCATAATCTGATATTCGACTCATCAAATGTGCTCTTTATCGGCTACCTCAAAGAGTTACGATTCAACAATGTCATAAAAACCACCAATAACTTGACGTTAGATCAGTACTATCATCTGACCTTCCTTACACGTGATGGAAAGCCATTCCCTAATAATCAGCGCATATTCATTGAGTTTCCCCTTCACATTGACTTGGAAGATTGGTTTGTTGGACTTAACTACTTCAGCAAGCGTGAATATATTGGTCTGTTTCTGGCCAACACTGTCATCGAGTCGCCCCCTCCCGCAACGGACCCCGCAAGTGGTGAAACCAAGCCTAATAGCCACATTCCTCACTCACAGCTGATGCCGTCTTTTGCTCGTCTGGCTTCCAGCCGTAATCTACATGACGAATTGCAAACTAAACTCACCGAGTTTTCTCGTGACAACTTCAAAGTGAGCAAGCGCTTAACTTTGGACATTATTGAGGCTCGGCTAGAGCTGGCACTGAGTCTGGAAGGCAAGATTTATGCCGAAGTGCGCATGTGGGGTTTACCTTGGAGTCGAACAGCTGTGGTCAATCACACGCTGAACCCGTTTTGGAAGGAAGAGTTTAGCGCCGAACTTCCCATTCTGACACAAATGATTCACATTCTTATCAAAAAGTGTCTGTTCTCCGACCTGCAGTATTCTCAAGGCGATAAGGTTATTGGCACTGTGTACGTTACTCCTGATATTCTTGCCAATAAGCCGAACCTGCAACTGCTGACAATTGCCGTGGGTGGGGCTCAAGGAAATAATATCAAAGTTCAAGGCATCCTGGCGGGAGGGATGCTGCCTGGAAATGCTTTTGCTAATATCAATGCCGACATTGTGCGTCTACTGATTTATGATGCGCTGAATATTCCCATCGGTAAGCTTTTGATTCAGGTCAAGCTCAAAGAGTACCACATCTTACCTCCGGCAAACTTCAAGCCGTTGGAGAAGATGTTGCTAAGTGCACCCATGAAAGACATCATTGAGTATTGCAACAATAACGTTGCGTCGCTGGATTTTGAAGAAGTCTCTCTCATTTTGTTGGATGTCTTTCAACTGTTGGGCGTTGAGGAGAGTTGGTTCAAAGCATTGATGGAAGCTGAGTTAATTAACGTTGACAAAATCACCCGCAAGAATTACATAAGTGATCAGAGACGCCAGGAAAAGAAGACTGGCTTGGGCCCTCCTGCAAATGTCTCAAGTTCTAATAACGTATTCAACACGTTATTCCGGGGCCTGCTGATCTTTTCAAAATCGCTTGAGCGGTATAATTTGCGCATTGGTCAAGAATACCTTGAGAAAGTACTCTCTGACTTTTTCAATAAGATAGCCGATGAGCGTCTCAACTGCGAAGTGGACCCACGATATGTGCGTCTTCAGGCACGTCGCAGGCGCCGTCACCCTCACGCAAGCATTGATGTCTACGGCGACGAGCTGGACTCGGAGCTGGACTCTGATGCACTGGTTGATACCGAAGAGGAGGACAGGCGTGATGCAGAAGTAAAGCAAATGATTGAAGAAAACATGGCAAATTTGAATTCATATTGTGAGGAAATCTGGCAGAAGATTTATATGACACTGAATGATTTGCCTGAACAGATCAAGTTACAACTCAAGAATTTCCGTGTTAAAGTTGAGTTGGCATGTGACCCTGATGATAAAACGACAGCTCTTAATTGTTTACTGGCGTTTATCTTCTTGCGCTTCTTTTGTCCTGCCATTCTTAATCCGAAATTGTTTCATTTGACAAAAAATCACCAGACAGGGACGACCCAACGTACGCTCACACTTATCGCTAAAGTCTTGTTGAACTTGGCAAATCGGCAGCAGTTTTTGCCGCATAAGGAGCCCCATTTGGTGCCGCTCAATGCATTTTTGGAGAAAGAAACACCCCGTGTTTTTGAGTATTTCGACAAGATTACTGGGCGCAAGAATGATTTCAACAAGAAGATATTGGATTTGCTGCACGAAGTGAAGCGGTTCGACCTAGGATTGCAAGGGGACACTCTGAATGAATTGCCGACAACGCCCTATCTTATTGACAAATACTTGCGTTTGACTGAGTTGGTGCACTTATTGACGTTCAACTCAGGTCAACTTCTGGCTCTGGCTCTGCAGCAGCAGCTCGCGCTGCCGCTTACTACGGTGGGAAACGATGATCTTCACACGATAAGTTCCCTGGTAATTGCTCTGCCCAGTGCATATCCACGGTCGCTGGCGCTGGCGCTGTACCGGCTTCTGGGAAGCGAGGTACCTGGTGAGTTGCGCGTAGATGATGATGTATACCAGATTGGTCTGCTCGAGTTTGAAAAGCTGGAATTTTTGGACCTCGCAGGCGATGACGAAACCGAAGGGTTTATAAAGCTGTTGTGTCGAGCTGATGACAACATCTTTTCGTTCATTGCTCTGAACATCACTTTGAAAGATCTACAAAAGTCAAGCGCCAAGTTGATGAACAAGGTCCATGATCTTGAAACCTACTTAGAGAATGGGGAGTTTCCTGGAAATTATTTCGGTTATCATCATAACAACAAAGCGCTGCCATCGCTGCTTTGGGAGGCTTACACCAACGATGTTTTAAGCCGGTGCTACTTGGATACCAGTCGATGCTGTCTCGTTTTCCTTGATCAATATGTGCCAGTGCCTCCTCAATATAAACGGCTCGTTGATAACGCACTTATGCTGTTGAAACTTAAATTCCCTGAGGGCGATCCTGTGGCGATAGAAAGAGGAATCCCTAACTCCTTCTCTACTAATCTGTTAAGCAGTGTCAAGTCCACCAGCAGAAACCCGTTGAAAAAGTGGTTCCGTCGGAATCCTAACCCCATTTAGGATGTTACCATTTTAAATAAATCCGAAAAGCAAATAGATGCTACTAGAACATACACATAGTAGTTTCGATAATACAAGAAATGTGAGACAATCTAGACTCACATAGTTGCACCATGTGGCCGCATTTGCATCCGCAGTATTTCTTTTTGCTCACTGGCGAAAACCACCAACCCCACAATATTTGGACGAAGACAAAGGCGGTTCAAATGAGGGGAGAGGTTTTCGACGCGATGGCATAGTTCTATATGTACGAGCTGCCAGGTTGGTGTCTAGTGATGATGAACGATGACGTAGGCTCTTGTTAATGGCATTGATGCCATCGGCCGATAAGTTTAGGCCGTCGGAGCAATCCTTTTAGCTTGGGCCACGGGCCATGTCATTTTGTGGACTTCGTTGGCCCGGGTGAGACCTCCCTAAGACACCCATACACACACCCACGCGCACCACAATGTACAATTGCTGAATGGCGACAACGTGTCAGCAAAAGCGTGACTTTTTGTCAGCAACCACGCAATTGGATGCGAGAGCACTACTGCTGATAGCGACGTCGCTAAGAGTTAGTAACAAGAGAACCAATGGCTCCTACCACAGTTGCTAGGTTCCGCGATAGCCCGTAGTTCCTAATCGAACGGCCTCGTCTATTTCTTTTTTCTCAAAGCAGCGGGGCGCATTGGCACCCACGCCAACAGAAAAAATTCAAATATACCGCTGCTCGCTGATTGCTGACCATCACCATGACCAGTGTGAGTGAAGAAGAATTGTTGGCGTCGTACCCCCAAATTACTGCCCCGACTAAGCAGACGGGGTACACTCTGAACCTCACCGATGAGCAGAGAAAGGTCATGGAGCAAGTCCGGTTGATCTTGCTGGCCGAGGGGTACACGAAGAGACTAGACGACGCTCTGTTGTTGCGTTTCTGCCGGGCCCGGAAGTTCGACATTGAGAAGACCCTCGCCATGTTTAAAGAATGTGAAAAGTGGCGGAAAGACTTCGGCACCGATACCATTCTCACCGATTTCCACTACACCGAGAAGCCGTTGGTGGCGAAAATGTACCCCCAATACTACCACAAGACCGACAAGGACGGTCGTCCCGTTTACTACGAAGAATTGGGTAAGGTCGATTTGGTTGAGATGCTTAAATACACCACTCAGGACAGAATGTTGAGGAACTTGGTGTGGGAGTACGAATCGTTTACTCTTTACCGGTTGCCGGCGTGCTCGCGTAAAGCCGGTTACCTTGTGGAAACCTCGTGTACTATTTTGGACTTGAAGGGGATCTCGTTGACGCTGGCGTACAATGTTATTGGCTACGTTAAGGAGGCGCTGAAGATCGGTCAAGACTACTACCCCGAGAGAATGGGCAAATTTTACCTCATCAACGCCCCCTTTGGCTTCTCCACCGCATTCAAGTTGTTCAAGCCGTTCCTTGACCCCGTCACCGTGGCCAAGATCCACATCTTGGGCTCGCTGTATGCGAAGGAGTTGCTTAAGCAAATTCCCGCGGAAAACTTGCCGAAAAAGTTTGGCGGCAAGTCCGACTACAACGACCAGGAATTGGCCTTGAGCGACGTCGGTCCCTGGAGAGAAGAAAAGTACATTGGGCCCGAAGGTCCCGCCCCCAAGTCGTTCTAACGGTTGCATAATAGACGCGTACGTAGATAATTGTCAATACCCGAAGACATCCGACATTATACAAAAGTCCCCCTCAATCAATATAGATAGCCTCCCCGAACATCGGCATTGCCACCACGATGTCTGCCTGTTTGTCTGCCTATCTATAAAGGCGGTGGCGGACGACACGCAAATCACGCCAGTAACACCCCTCGATCACGCCGACAACGATTGTCTTAACTCCGCCGAAACCGGCACGGCACCCGCTGGTTGTCTCCGTGACGCAGCCGTACCGACATTATTTCAATTTTATCTTTCGCATCTCTCCACCCACCATCACGTTAGGCGATGCTTTTACTCTGGCTCCTTATCGGCTACGTGTGGGCCAAGACCCATACCTACAACTTCAACGTGCTGTGGGTGGATGCTGATCCCGATGGGCAGGGAACACGTCTCATGATCGGTGTCAACGGCCAGTTTCCCCCACCACCCATTCGCGTCAAACCCCGAGATCGGGTTATCATCGATGTCCACAACGGCTTGGGCAACAAGAATACCAGTTTACATTTCCATGGGTTGTTCATGCACGGTCAGAACTCGATGGATGGCCCCGAAATGGTGACTCAGTGCCCCATCGTCCCAGGGCAAAACTTTACCTATAACTTCACTGTCGATGACCAAACCGGTCTTTATTGGTACCACTCGCATCTGGGGTCCCAGTATGCCGATGGGCTTCGAGGGTTGTTCATTATTGAAGATGAGGACTACGGCTTTGATTTTGATGAAGAAATGGTGCTTCTGTTGTCGGAACACTACCCCAAGCTGAGTGGCGCCATTATGCAAGAATTTCTCAGTCGATACAACCCAACCGGGGCGGAACCGATCCCCCGTAACTCGTTGTTCAACGAAACTAAGAATGTCACCTGGCACGTGCAGCCAGACACCACGTATTTACTCAGAATCGTGAATATGGGGTTGTTCACGTCGCAGCATTTCGTCATCGAGGACCACCAACTTACCATCGTCGAGATCGACGGGGTTAAGGTGGAACCGTACACCGTGGACCTGTTGTACATCACGGTGGCCCAACGGTACCTGGTGTTGGTGACGACCAAAAAACTGACGAAGAAAAATTTCCGCATGTTGAATGTGATTGACATGCCGATGCTCGATGTGATCCCTCGAGATTTACAGATCATCAGCACTAACTACGTGGTCTATGACGATAAAGCGAGCCTTCCCGCGCCGGCGGTTAACACCAAAACCCTGTTTGACGAATACGTTGAGCGCTATCCGTACTTCGACGATTCGGTGTTGGTGACACGGTCCCGCAGAGAACTCCTCGGCGACCCTGATTACCGTATCAACTTGAATTTCACCATGGACCATTTAGGTGACGGCGTAGTGTACGCATTCTTCAATAATGAGACCTACGTTACGCCGAAGGTGCCGACGCTTTATTCGGTGGTATCGTCAGGGAAGTATGCCGGCGACTCGTTGGTGTACGGTACCAATACCAACACGTTTATCCTCCAAAAGGATGAAGTGGTGGAGATTGTCCTCAACAACATGGACCCCGGTAAACACCCGTTCCACATGCACGGCCACATCTTCCAACTCATTGCCCGTTCGGAAGAAGGCGAGGAAGACGACCCCATCATCTATGACCCCGAAAACAGTAACGTCACCTTCCCTGAGTACCCCATGATGCGCGACACTGTCGAAGTCCAGCCCAACGGGTACATGGTGTTGCGGTTCACCGCTGACAACCCCGGGGTATGGTTCTTCCATTGCCATGTCGACTGGCACTTGGAGCAAGGGTTAGCCATTACCCTCGTCGAGCTGCCGTTCGATATCCAACGCCAGGACATCCCCGGTGACCACTTCGCCGCTTGTGAAGCCGCCAACGTGCTGTACTACGGCAACGCCGCCAATCACAGTGGTGACACCAAGCAAGCCTGGCTCAACTTAGACGGGCAAAATTCACAAAAACCACCTCTCCCTGCTGGTTTCACTTTCAAAGGGTACGCGGCGTTTGCGGCTTGTGCTGCCGCCGCCATCTACGGGCTTATTCTGATCTATCAATACGGGATCGAGGACGTCACCACCGTCGAGACCGAGGAGATGGTAACTAAGCTCTACCAGTTGATCGACACTGACAGTAACGAGTAAACATAATAAACGTCGCGACGCATACATTGGCTGATTATCTTTTTCGCCGCACTTCCCCTGTTATCTCTGTGGGCTCATCGCTTGCATCTTCCCCGGCATAGTGACGATCGCGCGGCATCGGACATCGACTTCCTCAAATCGGGTAGCCGCTAGCGGGCGGATATAAATCGCCGTTTCCCCAGATTATCCTCAACAATAACCCACTACTCCACATTTTCTCATCACCAAATGACTAAGTACGTTGTTTTAGGTCTGGGGGTGATCGGCTACTACACCGTGTTCTCGCTCCTCGAGCGCCAGGTGCCTGGCTCCGACATCACCATCGTCGCCGAATTTTGGCCGGGCGATGAATACGTCGAGTACGCTCTGCCCTACGCTGGGGCCAACTTCTCGTGCATCACTGATGACGACGACAAGACGATGTTCTACGACCAATACACCTACGAAAACCTCGCCAAGATCCAGCAAAAGTTGGGCGGGGCCGAGGCGTCAGGATTGGACCGCTACATGCTGACTGAGTTCTGGGACCGGATGCCGTCGGAAAAGAAGAAAGCCGGCTACAGAACCTACTTGCAGAACTATGAAGAATTGACTGAACTTGCCCCCGGTACTGAGTACGGTATCAAGTTTTTGTCGTGGAACTTCAACACCGTCAAGTTTTTGAAGGCGTCGAAGGCGTACTTTGAAAAGCAAGGGGTGACCATGAAGCGGGCCAAGTTGTCTCACGTGTGCCAGGCATTTGGCGCCGACACCAAGGTGGTGTTCAACTGTACTGGGTTGGGCGCTAAGCACTTGGGTGGGGTCAATGACCTCGCCTGTTACCCGACTCGTGGTCAAATTTGCATCGTTAAGGCTCCTCATATCAAGGACAACACCATGAGATGGGGTGATGACTACTGCACCTACATTATCAAGCGTCCTTTCTCAAATGACCAATTGGTGTTGGGTGGGTTCATGCAAAAGGACTGGCACACCATGGCCACCTACCAGGACCAGACCGAAGACATCTGGAAGCGGACCACCACCTTGAACCCGAAGATTTTGTCGGCTAACCCTCACGGCACTTCGTTCGAAGACTTGGAAGTGGTGAGAGTGGTTCTGGGCTTGAGACCGTCGCGTCACGGTGGTGTTCGTATCGAAAAGGAACATGTGGAAAACGGCAAGTACGTTGTCCACAACTACGGCGCCTCGGGCTACGGTTACCAGGCCGGGCTTGGCATGGCCGTGGAGGGGGTCAACTTGGCGTTGGCTAAAGACTCTAAATTGTAAATCTAGTCGAAAATATTATTCATGTCTCATTAATTAAATTGTGGCAAGGCTTGCTTGCCGTTGACAAAAGTTATATGCTCAAGTCGTCATGACCTTCCGGAGTTATCAACCCATAGAATCATGATATGCAAAAATGTTCAGAACACTAAATTTTTTGGCAAGTCGGTGTGGTCAGTACCGACATTGCGGACATAGTACCGAACTTCGATTACCTGTTTCGGTTCAAAATGCATGAAAAAGGGATATTGGAACTAAAGCCTCGTCGAGGGGACCACCAGAAATACTACCAGCAAAATGGCCGTACCCACAAGGATATACACTATCACCCAAAAACTTCGCTTTACCAATAGTCGATACACGAATGGTTCGCGAATTTTTCGTAGCGGCAGTCCCAGTCGTCGCGTAAACAGCTCTGTGTACCCAAACCACGCCAATAACGGATCCACCAACACAATGGAAGTTACTAAAAAGTAAAATGCAATAAAGAAGGGCGCCACACACACCGCCCGGATGCTCCGACTGTAGTCCAAGAAAATTAACGTAAAGCCAATCCAGAACCCGGCGAACAAAAAGAAAAAGCCGAGCACCACGCGAATGAAGTTTGAGTGGTTGACGTTGCGGATGGCAGTGAAGTTAAGGAATTTAGGTAAGTGGTCAGATTCCATACGATTGAACACGTATTCCTTCACCTGTTTGAATACGTCAGGATCATCACGTCCCTCGACATTAATCGCTCGGATAATATCTTCATGCATGTTTTGCGGCAAGTTGAGATTCTTCTCTGAGTCCTCAACAAAATATTTGAGTAACAAATTATGACTCAGTTCTTTCAAGTTCTCACGAGTGATAAACAGACTGCGGGCGACAGAGTCGTTGGGGGAGTCGTGAATAAGCTTTTCAAGGAGCAGCGGGTTGATTGCCAGCAATCTTCTCGGGGGTGTAGGGAACTCCATGGTCTTATCCGGTGCCTGCGCCTGATTTAACGAGTGATCGTTATCTTCTAACAATTTCAGCTGCAGTGATAGCCGCTTTTGAGAGAACTCGTACGGAGCGATCGGCAGTGCCAACGGCAGTTGCAGTGAGCGGTTCAGTCCCGTCAGGTGATGCTTATTGTATTGGTGGATGACATCCTTGAGTTTTGGGTCCAAATTTTCAAGGGAAATGTCACCGCGAAGAAACTGTGAAAGACGGTTCGAATCGTTGTCTTCGAGGATATTATCGTTGATGATCAACTCGAGTAAAATCAGCGACAGCAACAGCTTGTGTTTCAGAGGCTCGGATAGAGGGATCAGGCCTCGCGATAGCCGCAGGTTACGCGGATTAGTACCGGTGTCGTCACCAGTCAGGTGGGTATGGTCGTTGTAAGCACTTTGACGAACAATCAGGTCGCGCAATCCTTGCACGTAATGTTTGCATAAATTCAAGTGTTGGATGAGGTCGATCCAAAAATCAATGTAGTCGACTTTGCCCTCAACATCCCGCATAAACAGATAAAAAGTGAAGAAGTCCACCGGCAGTTTAGTTTTGTTGGCCAAGATCTCCCCAAGGGTGGGGAGCCGGTTCAACAGCACTGACTGGTTGGTCTTATTCAAGTTGTTTAACTGTCCCTGGAAGTGTCGATTGGCATAGTCCTCGATATCTTTCTCCTCATCATACATGATTAGAGTGGGGACGACCCTGCCGTCGAAAGGGGTTCAGTTGAGTTGTGGTGGGTTCAAAAGGCGTTGAGGCAATCCCGGTCCACAAAATTTGGCGCAGATGGCGATTCACGTACGACGGAAATTGAGGTCGTCGTCTGTTTATGAGATCAAAAAAACTCAATGGCATTCCTGCACCTGGGCACTCCCATTCTCGAAACACAGCCAGCCCTCGACGCGCGCGGCTAATAAAACTGCCGGCTAATAAGGCCAGCGCGGGAGAGTCTGTCGTATAAATTGGTATTGTCGGTGCCCCTCGAGAGACAATGCTATATGATCTGCCGTTGGGTTGGGGAAAGGGTTATTGTAGTCGTAGGCTATGGATTAACGCAAATAGTCGGTGTATATTCGGAAACGACGGTGCAGCAATTGTTTTGTGATCGCGCGTCTCGTCTAACCGAAGATATATCCCCTGAGGCATTCGATCGATGATGAGGTGGAGGGCCACAGCAAAGTTGTCACGACAGCGTAGAGAAGACAACGAATGAACAAGTTCAAGACAAAGTAACTTGATAGTAGCTAATCATTATATTAGGTAAATTTATCGTGAAAATTTTCACATGAACTTTGATTTTATTCCTAAGACTTTGCCACGATGCAGCTGCAACGGCATATTAGCATCGATTTGACGACACCGATGAGTTAGCGGTGGGCGTCCCGTGTCTCAACACAGTCAAATCAAAAGCGGTAGAACAAGAGGCCCTGCACCTCTCGCAGTACCACTATCTAAATTGCATGCGGGATGAAGCCAGGCTAGCGTTGTCTGGATGGGGACACCTCTAGTAGAAAACTTTGTCGCTGAATTTTCTCGAGCTTGTTGCAGCATTTTGGAAGCGTTGATATCTACACTATGGACTGTGTTAGCGTTGGTGTTCGGTACTTGCTTTGCAGAAGTTTTCGGTACAAATTATTCGAAAGCATCGCTGAATTTTCTAATTTGATTTGAGTTGCGAAACTGTTTTTTTGACAGGAGTGTCGGTTAAGCATGCCACACTTAGCATAGGAAATTATATCTATAAATTGTGGAAGAACGCTACCCACGTAAAATTTCCATTAGGTAATCGGCGGAGTAGTATTAATAGTATTCGGAATAGGGGGTGTAGGGGCGCCGAACCCGAGCTTTGGCTTGGCTTGCTTTTCCTTGTTTGTGCTGCGGATGGCGATGGAGCCGTACAGAAAACGGTTCTGCCGATGGCTCAACCACATAGAGGGGGGGTAAAAAAAGAGGGGCACTCAGGGGGTAAGCCACCGACGACGGCGGCAAAACTCCCATAGTGAAATTGTCGTCGTATCCCCTGTGGTCACGGCACAAAATTCCCAGTGTCTGTCTGGTCCTTGTCACCATTTCCTACCACCCCTTATGAGCATGCGGCTCCGAAGCCGAGCACACGGCACTTTGGCAACGTGGCTATACTGTAAAAATTCATTTAAACGTGGTTATGCCAAGTTCTCCGTATATAGTCCAGATACGTTGCCCCCGTCACCGGTGATGATTAGCTCCCGTGAATAAGGAATCGCCGACAGTATCGTCGCATCGAGGCTTCCGACGTACCTTATTAGCCAAAATACAGGACGGGGTGTGGATGGTGGTAAGACCGAGAGATTAAGCTACGGTGATTAGCTGTGTTGCGCCGGGCATGATACCCCGTTAGCCACTGTGGCGTCCTCCTCATCTTGTCCGTCGGAGGGGGTGATGAAAAAGTTTCATGTGTGATCTACTGAATTTGTGGAAGTTACGGGGAAAGGGGAATTTCACGAATTTTGTATTGGAGGAGGTTGAAAAATTAAATGGGGTTAAAATTTATCCACCAGACCGGCTGAGGGAAAGGGGTTTAACAAGAAATGAAGTATGCATGATTGTCTTCGCCGCAAAATACTCACGGCATCTCCTGTTTCACCGTCGGCGACGCTTTGGCCCCGATGGTTCCCTTACACTCGCCGACCTCGATGTGGCGCACCAACCACTGGTGGTTGCTTTCAAAGTGTTCGAAGCAGCCGGCGCAGCGGCCGCCAACCTCGTTGCGCTCCGTCAGCTTCGTCCCTGGTGGGTAGATGAAGTGGAGCGCTTTTAAGTGGGTCTTGTATGTGTCGCGACGGGAGAAGCCGCCGGTGGGGTGGCACTTGGTGCCAAGGTTGCCTTCTTCTTCGTAAAAAGGGCACACAAACGCCTTCAGCGAGTTGTGTTTCTTTAAGTGGCGGGTCAAGTACCCTTTCACTTTAAACGAAGCATCGCAGTAAAGACAGTCGAAACTCGTCTTTTGCCGGGCGGCTTTGCGGCAGTGGCCCTCGGGCGACAGTCCCATCAGCAGCACCAGCGAGTGGCGACGTTCTTCATCGCTCATCTTGCGTTTGCGCGCCGATTTCGCCATTTGGCCCGCCATCGGCACCGTCATCGGCACCGAGGGCATCGCTGCCGGCACCGCCGCGGGGGCGGCGTCGAAGTAGTCCATCACCGGCGGCACCTCCAGCATCAGCAACAGCGAGTGGCGCGTGATGGGGCCAAATTCGTCGTCCAAGGGGGCGGCGCTGGAGTCGGTGCTCACCACCAGCTGGGGCGACGACTTTTGCGGGTAGAAATCGTTGAAATACGTCTGAGGGTGCAACCCAATCATGTTGAGCTTAAAGTGGCTGAAATTCAGCACGTCGACGTGGGCCGGCGGCTTGCTGGCGCCGAAGTCGAACTCGGGGAGCTCGTACAGCGATGTCGTTTGTTTATCAAGATCAAAATTGAGGTCGCCAAACTCGACATTTTGCACGGCGAACTCGCTGAAGAACTCGATCTGGTCGGAATTACCCAAAAGCTCGAGGTCATCGGCGGCGCAGAGGGTGGGGAAGAGTTTGGCCGAGTTGGCAATGGCGTCGATCGTCAGGATCGCGGGGAAAAGGCGCGGCCGCCAGAGCATCGACACCACGGCGGAAAACACCCCTTGGTCCTCGGAGGTGGAAGCGTGTAATCCCAACAAGAACATTGGTTGTTGTAGCAATCAGTAGTTGGAGAATTTAAAGGAAAAGGCAAGCGTTCATAAACTGGATGTGGAGAAGGGTTGACACGGTTTTGGTTTTTTCGACGGTGACAGACAGGATAGATCAAACCCAGAGACGTAGGATTTTTGATAATTTTAAAGGTTGCCAATTATTTTCGTACGGCACCAAAACTTTAATGTACAGCTTATGTAATCAACGGCAAAAAAAAAAAGTTGTTATGGCGGGAGATAAGCCGGGAAAAGTGCCCGTGATAAAGACGAAACCGTCGACATCGTCGAAGATATGACCCGAGATGTGCATTATCATGGGCGTCGTTTTTTTGCCAGGGATAAGCGAGACGGAGTCAAACGAGACCAGCCTTCGGAAAGTTTGTCGGTATTCCGACTCATTGCAACCTGCAAATTATCCGATGCAATGTCCGCTACTCCACCTTCATGTCACGACGACATTGCCTTTGGCGTGCATAGAGGCTTAAAAAAAACTGCTAAGTGTGGCATAACCCCCCACGCGGGGGGCGAGTCAAAAGCTAGGGAAACAATGGTGCGTGGAAGAATGCGCTTACCCAAGAGTGTGGCGACCTTCCGCCTGAGGAGAAGTGCCTCAATCCACCACTGGGCAAGTTGCACAGAACCCACCACACCGAAATTTTCGCCAGCAAACAGCGATTTCCCCGCTCCCCCCCCTCGGCGAACAAATATAGCCCTATGCGCGGGGTCGGAAATACCTACCAGGGGTGCGAAGAGCTGCGGTAGTGGTTAAGTTCGCTGGTCACGAACAACGAGGTGCTAAATTAATAAAGGAAAAAAGCGGGGCATAGAGCCTTCGCTGCGTCATCTGAGACAACTACTCACTCTGGGGTAGCTGATTCCCAGCGGCGGCAGGCTCGTCGTCGTCAGTGACTCGGAATTTGATTGCCGACAGCGTCGACATGTAGCGAATTGTCAGGCGTAAGGGTCCAGTTATCGCGCCCGCCCGGGTGATTAGCGACGCCTATCAGCCACCACGGCAACCCGACGGCGAGCCCGAGTCGGTCCGACCACCCGAAACGACATCTGCCACGCAAGCCATATCTAGCGAACGCCAGTAAGCCTCGGTTCGTGATGGGCCCTCGCGGCGAATTTCACTAAGGTCAGGGCGCTGTCAAACGAAGAGGCTTAGGGACTCGGACTTTAGCCTCAATCGGTAAGCCACAATCGGTGGGGGGAGACATAGTTACCCCATATTAGTCTATGGTCCACCTCATAATCGTGCCGCGCCTATCGCCAGCAAGCAGGCCCCCCTGGTGACCTCCTGCTTGGTGGCTGGCGACGCAAGCGGCTTGCTCCCCAGCCAGGGTTATCTCGGAAGAGATAACGTGCAAATCGGGAGTAATGGTGTGAGAGATACGGTTGTGTGATACCGCGTGATTGGGTCTTTTGCGGAGAGTTGTTTTGTGTCAATGTCTAACCGATCAAAATTTAATGTAACATTCTTTTGCACCAAATCTACTCGTCGGCTAAATTGCTCGGGTACACTTGCTGATTAGGGTAGCACTGGCGTCGCGCGATCTCGAGGTCAAGTAACCCCGAGAATCCGCCCCAACGAAAAAAACTTCGCACGAACGAATTTTTGAATTGGAAAAGAAAAAAAAAAATGCTGGTGTGAGTGGCGAGAGGTTTTTAATTTTCGCGCGCGTGGTGGTCAACGAAAAACTTTCACCACCCTCCTCGCCAGCCACCTCAGCTTGTACCCATGTCTACCGCTCTTGATAAGTCCCTCGACGAGATTATTGCCAACGGCAGAGGCCCCCGCCGCGCTAAGGGCAACAAGGCGAAGAAGCAAGCTGGGAAGCTCAGAGGTTCTGGTACCACCAAGACTGCGGGGATCTCCAAAAAGCAGCAACAACAGATTTCCAAGAAGGCGGTCGCTCAGCTCTCGCAAAAGGCCGCCTCTTATGACGCTTCCTACGCGACCAAGGTAATTGTCACCGGGTTGCCTAAGGACTTGACCAAGCACATGATTCAGGTATGTTTTTAAAACCCCTTGTGAAGCAGCGAGGAAAGATGTCAAAATCCCGAGAAGTGTCATGGTGATAAGCTGGTCTTATATCGCCTCTACGTGGTTCCTTAGCCCCGTGGGTACCTTTTTTTTTTCTATTTGTTTCGGGCTAAGGAAACCTACTAGCACTTTCAGCAAAACTTAGCCCTGGTGGCTTCGTTATATTGTTTCCCACACTTTGGAGTGTTTGTATGGTATGACCCATTGGTTTGGGGGAATCGTCAATTTCTCAGTGCAAAAGGGAAGCCGGTGATTACGAGTTGGATCTGTCTGTTGATCAGAGTTGACACTCAACACCGTTATCAAAACCCCATTACCGGCTGACTGGTTCAGCTCGATACCATAAACCGAAGGACGCTGACAATCTAATTTTCTCGCTGTAATATTCTTTTCTTAACCGATGCTAACATTTAGGAATTTTTCGACTCGCAAGTTGGCGGTGTCAAGCAAATTTTGATGACTTTCAACGAAAAGGGCAAGTTCGTTGGTAACGCCACCATCCACTTCCACAAGAACAAGCAAGCTGTGCTTGCCGTGGAAAAGTACAACAACGCTCCCATCGACGGTGGCTCGTCTAAGCTTAAGCTTGAATTGGTGATTGACCCCAGCATGCGCCCTCTTGCCACCCGTATCGCTGCCAACGCCCCTCAACCCACCGCGGCTGAAGTTCAAGCTAAGGCCCAAACGAAGAAGTTGAAGAACTTGAGAAAGAAGGCCCAAAAGAAGAAGAAGACTAAGGCCGCCCCTGCCACCGCCGAAGAATTGGACAAGGACATGGACGCTTACATGGCCGAATCCAACTAACTAGCCGTGGGTATCCAAGCCACCGCTGAGGAAAAGCAACCGCTATTGCGCTCGGCGTGGTTCTAGTGTATAGGTTATGATGATGAAGATTATACGAATTTGTCGGTAACAAGGTGAGTGTAGAAAATAGTTTGGTAACCGTTTCGTATACCTATATGTTTCTAATGTATCGTCGGCGATATAAATAGTGCGACATAACCCCGTGTGCGACTCGACGAGGAACACAATTGCTACAACAGTTAGCGTGGTACTAAACGGATCAATTTTGTGTAATTGACTAGTAATTGTAGCTTATGGCCCTTACCATCTTCTTTATCCATTGATCAGTGAAATTCAGCGTGAAGAGGGTGACAATTCGCCCACGCTTTGGCTTTTGTGGGCTTTTCTGCGACGTGTCGCGTTCGGGTAATCACATGATGACGAGGCTGAATTTGTAGCGTATTTTTCTTAGACGGGAACGGAGTTTTGTTCAAGGGTTGGCGGTATGCTGAACATTGAATACATCTTGACGGCAGAGTTCCATGTCGATAAGGGTCCGTCCCTTATACACCAGTACCCCCAGGTGCTTCCGGGGCTGGACAAGTTGCCATTTTTGCCGGAGCTTATGTTGCCGGACCAAATTCACAAACGGGAAGAAGACTTTACTTTATTTCTTCTCTACCGAAATGTCGCCACCGGAGAGTTCCAATACCTATACCAAAAGACGTGTGAGCCGGACCCGTACTTCTTGTACACCATTGTCATCAACCAAAAGGACTCGCTGTTCAAGCGGGGGCTGAGTATCAAGTCGTTGCTGATTGTCACCAAATTGCTGTACTTCAAGAACTTTAAGCCGTTATTGCTTATCTGTCTCGATAAGTATTTTGCCAATAATGATACCCTTGTGCTTAAAGAGCTTTACAAGCTGATTAACAAGAAGAACTTTGCCATCTCCTCCAACTCTCATCTTAGTTCGATGCTGATGGTAAAAAAGCTTTTGATCACGCTGATTTTGGATTTGCCAATCAACGACAAGATCTATTACGATGAACAGTTCCGCAATCGGTTATTGGGTATCACTCAAGAAAACGTGTTGAACCTGGACTTGTTCATCCGTAAAGACTTGCTGTTCAACTCGATTGTTGAATTCAACAACATGAATATCCCAATCAAGATTCCCATGATTCAGTTGCCCGATACCATTGGTGATTACCTCAACCCTACCGATCTCAACTTTCGGCCTAATTTGATCAATATTTTGCAGGCAAAGCTTGGTCTGACCTACTTGCACGACGAGTTGACTATCTACGGGTTGCTGACGCCCCCCATCATCATTTTGATCAATGCTCTTTTGACTGGTAAACGAGTGATGCTCATGTCGTACGAAAACTCTCTGGGGTTCATTATCGACCACATTCTTTTGATTTTGAAAATCATCACCGGAGGCGGTATTCTTTCAGGGACGTTCCGTTACAATTTGTTCCCCATAGTCGATGTGTCGAAGATTGACTTGTTGGAACAATGTGACCATTACCTTGCCGGGACAATTAATCCATTCTTCAAAAACAACGATAAATTATGGGATGTTTTGTACGACTTGGACGCTAACGAGTTTCATATTTCTTCGCAGAATGCATCGCCGGAGCTGGAGTTCAGAAACCTGATTATCTCCGAGGATGCTAAGTTTTTGTCCAATTTACAGATGTCGCTTTTTACCTACAATGACGATTTGACAACAATCCAGCTCATCTTCCGAAGGCACATCAACGAAATTGTTCGAATTTTGCTCAGTTCGAAGAACTTTTCAAGTCTGATGCTGCCCCAGCATAAGAACTTGACGCTTCTTTTGGACGGTATTGGTTACTATTGGCACAGTGACACGAACAAGTTACTCGAAGTGCTGTGTTACCAACTAGTGCTGAAAAAATTCCAGGATTTGTTGTACGATGAGGTGTTGCTGTACAATTTGTTGTTGCCCAATTTGGCTAACGAACTCAATCTTATGATCGATTTGCAATACCACTTGCAAAGCTTGAACAACGCAGCTCTGCTGGCGCCTCTGAAGGTGAACGAACGCAGTATTTGGTTCAACATTTTGCAGTATTTAATCCTGGGCAAGCTGTTGGAGGTATTCCTATTAATCACGTACTTGATCCCTCCCAGTTCCCTGACACTGTTACAACTGCTGCAGATTCATGGGGGCAACTTGACGATTTTCGATAAGAACAAAGGTATCGAGTTGCTCCTTATCAACTTGTTCAACAAAGACGATCAGATCAAAAACAATATCATGTTGATCTTGCAGGAGCTTCAAGACAACTTCCTTTGCGGTTGGTGCCTCAACAACTTTATCCGGTCGAATGTGATCTACGAGATTGCCTTTGCCGATCTCGTTGAGAATGACTTGGCGGGTCCGATGCTCGCCACGCTGGCGGCGTCGTAATATAATGAGTTATACGAGTGTAATTTTAATCTATGTACAATTAGTCATCACTTGTCGTTGTCGTCGCCGTTGCCGAGCACTTTGGATTGGATAATCGCCCACATCAGGAACCGATCACCCTGTCGGCGGGTGGAGTACAGGTTACCGGCACCTTCGTATTTCGACGGCCGAAGGTCCAGTTCGTAGTCCAAGTTCTGGTTGTGGGCCGGGAACCCGGGGCGGGGCACGACAATGCCGAAATCATCATCATCCCGGTCCACCACCGCATCCAGCTCTTCCCGATGGCGCCGTTCTTTCAGGAGAGCGATGTGCTTCTTCCCCACGAGGAAGAGGGCGATGGCTACCCCAGAGAAGATCCCAAGTTTCTTGAAAAGCCCCTGTCTGGTCTCCATATTTGTGTTGGTGGGAGTGCTTTTACGGCCTTTGAAAATCGCACCACTAAATTTGATTCTTGCTGTAGGTAAGACTTTCGAGCCCCCATCGTAACAAATTTGTTTTTCTTATTTGTAAGAGTAGTGTGCACTTTAGGGAGCGCGCTCCCAAGGCTGAGAGATTCTCACAATATCCCTGAGGATTCAATACTCTAAAGATTTTAGCAAAATATCAGGTAAGTACAATCATGATATCAACCTTACGTGATCGATAAAACACACACTTGTCAATACCGATTGGGGGCTATCACAAATTTGGACGGCTCGAAACCGTTACGGTTGACCCCGGTATCGTTGACTAAGGGATAATTACTGACACGCGTCGCGTTATCGGCATGTGATTATGGACACCTGTCAAGTACCAAATAAACAGCTCCCTGGTGAGGCTTTCATCATGCAGCCACGTCATCTCACTCCCCTCCTCTCACCTAGCCTACACACAACCACCATGGCCGCCACCCAAAGCTTACTCCCACCCTTCTCCCCCGTCTATAGGAGAGTGATTCCGACCCGGCGCCGATAGCCTCACGCCGAGGGTGACTCGCAGTCGCACTCGGGAGAAAAATTCCCCACACTACATCCACGGTTAATATCCCGTATATAAGCACTCCACCCCCCGCGATTCGCCACACGCTACCATGTCTGACTCCGAAGAGCTCGCCCACGCCATCGCCGGAGCCGGCGGCGGCGCGTTGTCGATGATTGTCACCTACCCGTTGGTGACGTTGTCGACGATCGCCCAAACGAAAAAGAAGGACAAGAACGCGAAGCCGCTGATCAGCCCCGCGACGTCGAACAAGATCGTCGCCGCCATCCAGAACCTGGGCACCTTCCAGGCGCTCAAGGAGATCATCCAGACCAAAGGGGTGCTGGGGCTTTACGCCGGGTTGGAGCTGGCTCTCTACGGGATCACCTTGACCAACTTTATCTACTACTACTTCTACGAGTTCGTCCTGAAGCTCTTGCTTAAGCGGCGCCCCGGCGCCCGCGGGTTGACGACGTTGGAGTCGATCCTTACTGGCGCCATCGCCGGCGCCATCACCTGTGTCGGCTCCAACCCGTTCTGGGTGACCAACACGCGGATGATGACGCAGAAGAAGAAGGACGGGTCGCTGAACTCGACGTGGAAGACGTTTGTCGACATCATCAAGAACGACGGCGTCGGCACCCTCTTCGCGGGGGTGTTGCCGGCGTTGGTGTTGGTGATCAACCCCATCATCCAGTACACCATCTTCGAGCAGATCAAGAACTTCATCATCACCAACAACGGCGCCAAAGCGTTCACCGCCAAGAAGGCGTTCCTCATTGGCGCCTTCGGCAAGTTGGTGGCGACAGCGTTGACCTACCCTTACATCACGTTGAAGCTGAGATTGCACGTCGCCAAGAAGGACAGCGGCGACCAGAAGTTGCTGATGGCGCAGCAGTTGAAGAAGATCGTCCACGACGAAGGCGTCGGCGGGTTGTACGGCGGCATGGGAGTGAAGCTTCTCCAGCTGATCACGACGGCGGCGTTCTTGTTCTACTTCAAGGAAGAGTTGTTGCTGGGGTCGGTGCAATTGGTGAACATTTTGCGGGCGTTTAAGGCGAGAAAGACGCTCAAGTAACGTCTGCTTCCGCCCACGTATTTTGTAGGTACTTATTAACTATTCAAATTTATCGGATTAGGTTGCCCTCGTGTGTGTGCTTTATATCGTAAGTGTTCACTATACGGGTAGGCACGGTGGCCCCGCCTGTTACACTTTGCTAGTGCTCAGGTAGTTGCGTTATCTAATGCAAGGGACTTGCGTTATGTCGGTAGGTTCGGTGAGGCAGGCAGGCGGGGTGGTCACTGAGTCCGGTTCCCCTCCTCGCCTGTGACTCCCGTCGTAAACGCACCGCCGCACATATCAAACGGTTTCGGAAAAAACATTTTTTAAAGCAAGAAAAAGGTATCGGACCGCCTTCGGCAGGCGCGAACCCCAAGGGGCGCTAACGGCGCTCACCCCCCCGTAGATTCAGGCGAATGGGCGCCCTGCCCCCGCGTCGCGTCCCCCCTCGCCCCCGCCTCTGATTCATAGCCATCGCCTAAATTGTCGGCTGCATTGGGTATAGGGGACGTGACCGTGACCCGGTTGCTGTCGCCCACCCGTCGCTGACGCCGTCGCCGGACCCTCCATGCACATGGGCCTCCCCCGGCGCCTGCTTCTTCTTCCCTCTGGGGTAAACTCCCTGATCGCATCACTAGCGGCGCATGTGATAGCGGCGCGGTTACCCCGACAGTCAGGCACCAAATCATGGGGTGTCCGACGGGCGCCGCCCAACAGTGTTGCTTTGCGGGCTTTGA